CAACCCCAACCCCAACCCCAACCCCAACCCCAACCCCAACCCCAACCCCAACCCCAACCCCAACCCCAACCCCAACCCCAACCCCAACCCCAACCCCAACCCCAACCCCAACCCCAACCCCAACCCCAACCCCAACCCCAACCCCAACCCCAACCCCAACCCCAACCCCAACCCCAACCCCAACCCCAACCCCAACCCCAACCCCAACCCCAACCCCAACCCCAACCCCAACCCCAACCCCAACCCCAACCCCAACCCCAACCCCAACCCCAACCCCAACCCCAACCCCAACCCCAACCCCAACCCCAACCCCAACCCCAACCCCAACCCCAACCCCAACCCCAACCCCAACCCCAACCCCAACCCCAACCCCAACCCCAACCCCAACCCCAACCCCAACCCCAACCCCAACCCCAACCCCAACCCCAACCCCAACCCCAACCCCAACCCCAACCCCAACCCCAACCCCAACCCCAACCCCAACCCCAACCCCAACCCCAACCCCAACCCCAACCCCAACCCCAACCCCAACCCCAACCCCAACCCCAACCCCAACCCCAACCCCAACCCCAACCCCAACCCCAACCCCAACCCCAACCCCAACCCCAACCCCAACCCCAACCCCAACCCCAACCCCAACCCCAACCCCAACCCCAACCCCAACCCCAAATTATTTTCTTAAATTAAACAAACTATTTATTGTTCATTTACCATTTTTTTTTTTTTGTGATTTATCTATCAAAAATTTAGAAAATAATATATTTTGACTAAAACAATACTTAATCAAACAAAGTGGTAAGCTCTTCTCAAAACAATTTTATTGATAGTATTTAAATCAAAAATCTATACTACAAAATTAAAAAAATTAATTAAAATCTAACATTAATTAAAAACATATTTGTGTATTTTAATATTTTCCATACTTGTTATTTAAAAAATAAATTACTCAAAATAAATAATTTGAAAAATTTTGGGAATTTTTAATTAAAAATTATTAAATTAATTAATTTTAATAAATAATGAAAAAATGAAGAATTTAAGTTTTAGATTTGCAATTTCTTTGCAAATTTTTAAGAGCATAAAAGAAATGAGGAAAGACAGAGGTGGAAATTTAAATATCCTACGAAGTAGGTTACCATAAAATATTTAATACAATATTAAATAGCGTATGATTAAGTGAATATATATATATTTATAGTTTTATGTGCAGTTTATTAGATAAAGAGGTTTAAAATTCAGATTATAGATCACGTTCATTCGTCACCTTCCTTGATTTCTTGACCTTGAGCAATGAAATCAGCATCTTCTTATCTAGCCTTAGCAATAGCTTCTTCGTTAGCCTTGTTGAAAGCAGCAATCCAAGCTTGAGATCCCTTCTTGTGGGTCTTGGCAGCCTTTCTGTTGGCCTTGAGGGTAGCTTATCTCTTAGCCTTGGAAGCTTCAGCAGCCTTCTTAGCTTGTTCCTTAACGATCTTAGCAGCGGGGTTTAACTTGAAGAGAGCGTTGTTGTTGGTCAAGGGGTTTTTCTTTCTTTCGTGGGTTTCGGTGGTACCAGCAACCTTAACAACGGATTAGACTTCGTTAGAGTTGATGATTCTAGCGATGTCAGCGTTGGCCAAGAGGGGTCTTTATAATTGGTAACCGCTCTTTTGGACACCAGTAGTAGAGTAAGTACCGAAGATTTCGTTTAACTTCTTGAAAGCAGATTCAGTCCAGATGATGAATCTACCAACGTGACCACCAGGAGCCAATTATAATAAGTTAAGTCTGTTAACGTTGCAAACATCAACACCTATTCAATATTTTAATTAAAATTTTAATTTTTCATTCAAAAAATGAGGACAAATTTATCAAATTTAGTCTAAATTTAATTTATTTGCTAATATTTAAATAAATATTCTTTCAATAGCTCAATTAAATTAAATTTGATTTAACTATTTATAGAACTTGTTGAATTTTAAAACCAAATTTAGACTAAATAAATTATTTATTTATTGCACTAGTGGCAATGTGAATTTTATTTTCTTTTTAAATGTTCAAAGAATTACCAGGAATGTTTCTAAGAGCTCTGGTGAGGGTGGACTTTTCGTTACCGTAGACGACGAGGGGACCTCTTCTGAGTTTGTATCTTCTGTTTCTCAATTTACCTTGACCAGCTCTGAGTGCCTTGGTTTCAGCAACTCTGAGGACATCATCGTAAGCACCGACTCTCTTGAGGAAAGCAACAGCTTGCTTGGTCTTTTCATAAGATTCGACGGAGTCATCGAAAACGTAGGGGAGTTCCTAAACGTTGGAGATTCTGTGACCTCTAGCGAAAACTAAAGGAACCAAAGCAGAGGCAGCGAGGGCAGCAGCGACGGCGTGTCTCTTTTGGTTGACATTGACTCTTCTGTGGACTCTTCTGTAGGTCTTCAAGGGAGCGAACATTCTACCCTTTCTACATTGGTTACCGAAGGCGGCTTGACCGGATCTGTGAGTACCAGAACCACCAACTCTGGGAATACGAGCAACAGCTCTACCAGTACCCCAAGATTCAGCGGAGTGACCCATACCTAATTAAAAATAAATGAATCTTTAAAATAAATTCAAAATGTAAATAATAATATTTTGATTTATAATTATGCTTAGCACGTCTGGTTAAATTTTAAGTGAATATATTTAAATTTGATATTGCTTATGAGTTTATTTTTATTTTTCAAGCACTATATATTCTCTTTAATATGATAATTCAGTAGAAGCGATTCAAATCGTTTAACAAAACCTTAATTTGAATACATTTCTGGGCAATTAATTTCATGCTACAATACTTTAAAGCATCTTTCAAATAGATATTTATTTATTTATTTAGTTTTCACCCTTAGATATTTACATAGCATTTTGCAATTTACTATTAATACTTTGCTTAAAGGGAATAGGACAAATATATGATAATAACCTAAATTTATTTTTTATGAGATTCTCTTTCTTTACCAAATTTATTTGTTATATAAACAAACTATCAGCCCACTTTATTTTGAAATCTAAACCAAATGCCCTGCTTATCACACATTAACTAAAATTGATTAAGTATAGCTATCTTTTCTACTTGCAACCCTTTAGAATTAGTAGTTACTATCAATCATAATTTATTTTTGTCTTGCTGATATTTTATGAAAACTTCTCTATTATACAGATGCGCTACTTAATTTATCTTTTCAACCGACTTGATTTTTGTAATATTATGATGCTAAAAATAATTTCTCAAAGCAATAAACAAATTCACTTATACTCTTAATATTAACATCGAACATGCCAAGATATTTATAAATATTTGATTCCTTTTAAAGGATGAATAATAAATAATTTTATGAATGTCTTACCAGCAGTACCTCTGGTGGAAATCTTGACTCCGGAAGCTTGCTTTCTGTTCTTGTTAAGGTCGGTGAAAACCTTGTGGACAATATCAGTTCTGATGGGAGCAGTGAAGACAGCGGGGAGGGTGAGCTTGGTAGCGGTTTGCTTGTTAGCTTCCTTAGCGTCGTGGACGTGGATTTGAGGTCTAGAAGTCATTTCTTTTATTTTTTTTTTCTAATACTTTTTAATTTATCTTTTACTTTACTTTTATTTGTTTTTCCCTTTGATTAATTTCTCTTAATAGATATTTTGATTTGGCCTTAAAATCAATATGTTTCCCCCTCTTTAAAATTATCTTTTTTCAATTAATTGGCTAAATTTCTTTTCTTCATTATTCTTCTTAAGGTATGCATCTAGATAAAGTGCTAATCATATTATCACTCAGTTTGTTAGTCACTTTAACATTATCTTTATATGCAGTGTACCTACATACATACATATATAAATACATTTGTATATAATAATTTTTGTTCCATTTTTCAATGCTCGTTATAAATAAAGGTAATTAATCAATCAAAACAAAATCTACCTCCAACATAACTAACAAAGCAATTTCAAAGAATTTCATTTATTTATGAATTATTTCATTAATATTAAATAAATATTTATTTTAATTTTATGATATAAAAAATAAAATAAAAATTAAATTCATTTAATATTTCTTATTTTTTAATAAATTGTTTTTATCAAACCATATCATGGAAATTATTTTTATAAGTTTATTTTTTATGATAAATTTGTTTAATATTTTTGATATATTATTAAAATAAATAATAATAGCTCAAAGAATCAAATTAAAATAAATAATTATTATTTATTCTTAAATTAATTTTTTATTAAAATATATAACATATGATATCTAACCCATATCAAAATGTAATTTTAAAAATCCATTTTTAGGAATTATAAATAAATAATCAATTTTACTATTTTTAAAAGCACTCAGATTAAATAATTTTAATTTTTTAACGAAAGAATAAGTTATTTCCATCCAAATAATAGAAATTTTTTTTCATTGATTTATGTAGATATTTTATTGATAAAATCAAATATTACAAAATTAAAAAAAATGTTTAAATTTTCAATAAAAAGATGAATTAGTTTGTTGAAGGATAAAACGAATTATTTTTAGATCTTTAGAAATCTATCTAAATAAATCCTCATAAATTATCACCAAAATTTCAAAAGTTTTTAAAAAATTTTAATATACACCAAAGGTTCTAACTATTCAGTTAATGTTAATTAATGAGGAATTTTTAGTCATTTGGTATAATTTTCTTTACCTTCCACAATATTTTGATAATAATTTTTTATTTAAATTAAAAAATTATTTCTGAAGTAAAAGCTGAATGAATTAATAAGATAGTTAATATTAATTATACCATTTTATGTAAAATTTATAAAATCATTTATAACGCCATTTTATGTTTAGAGAAAATGAGGATAGGGAGGTGTTAATTAATGAAGATTTACTATAATTTTTTTTTTTAATATTGTTTATTATTGATTAATTTATTTTAATATTATTAATTTAATTCTGATTATAATTTATGCAGAAACATGTATAATGAAGTAAATTATCAAAAAAATAAAATAATTTTGCTTATCAGTTGAAATTTATTAGATTTAATTCCAAAAATAGATTTATTATTTTTATTCATTCATAACTTAAATAAGATTTTAATAAAAGTGTAAACAAAAATTAAAATTTTTAAAAAATATCCATATATTTTTTATTAATTGAAAGAAAGAAGTGTGATTTATAGTGATGAAATTGATGTCATCACTCGCTCATAAAAAAATTTTTATTTGCCAAATATTATAAAAATAAGAAAATATCTTATAAATTTTTAAAAGAAATTTCTTTAAAATAACAAAAAACTTTTACAAAATAAAGTTACTTATTATAATTGTAAATTTAACTTATTTTTTCTTCTTTAAGATTTAAAGATATTATTTTACTGATGTCGTAAATCATTACCAACACATTTTTATTTTTTCATCCTTTTACTTAATATTTTTGGCACAAAATATTTGATTTCAAGAATGGGCTGATATTTTGCTAACAATCTACCAGGAATAAACAGAAAATTTTAATTATACTATGATAACACTTTAGGAGCATAGGACTTTGAAGGATATTCAAACTTTAGAGTATTTTTTGATGAAAAATTTCAGTAAAGATCGTATCTCGATTATAACTTTAGTTATGTAATTTACGTCATCGGTGTGTTTCTTAGACAAGGCGATTTATATGACATAAATTAAACGAATAGGTGGGAAATTTGCGTGCTCTTTTATTTATACAATTTAAAAATTTTAAGCAACTTTGTTTAGTTGTAAATAAGAAAGAAAGGTATTGCTACCTTTAATACAGTTTTAAGGTTTTATCTTTAATCTTACTTTAAAAAAAATATCTTATTGAATTTAATTAAAACGAGAAAGAAATTTTGCATAATTAATAATAAATTAATAAAATTAAATAACTAAAAGATTGATTGACTTGTAGAAATTCAAAATTTCTATATAACAGCAAAATAGGAAGATATAAAAGTAGGTTCAATTTAAGAATAAATGTCCAACTAATTTTTACCCAAACTCGATGACAATGAGTATCTCTACTGTTCTCCTGAAGGATTCTAGAGATTAGCTTCTGTTTATGACCCAAAAGATCCTTACAAAAATTACAACTGGACTCTCGATTACACATTAGAACTACCTATTAGAGTTAAGAAATCTGGTCCTGGTAATGCAAATTCCTTATCTTTTAACAACTCCTTACTTAACCACACAATAAACAAGTGTTACCATTACCCATAGGATTTAATTTCATAGATATTTAATATTATCTATGTATTAACATTTTTGTTGTGCAAATTTATAACAATTAAACAGCTCTACTTCTTCTACTTTTTAGCTGAAAATATTTATTAAATAGCTCAAAAGCACAGATAGAAGCCTTTAAGCTCTACTTTTTAAAAAGCACCAATCTAAATTACTCATTTTATTTCAATTAAATATTATAGGAAGTGAACAACCTTTCACCTTAGTTGAAATGTTTGAAAGAATTGTTAAGCAAATCCCTGATTCTCCTGCTTTGAGTGTTAAGAAAAATGGCAAATGGGTTACCCTTACTTACAAGTAGTATTTTGAAGAAAGCAAAGTTTTCGGTAAAGCACTTATCTCTCTTGGTATGACTCCTTACCGTAGTGTTAACATTATTGGTTTCAACTCCCCGGAATGGGTTATCAGCTTCTATGGCTCTATTTTTGGTTACTATCTTCCTGTTGGTGTTTATACTACCAATGGTCCCGAAGCTTGCTAGTACGTAGCAGAAAATTCAGACTGTGAAGTTGTTATTGTTGAAAATCAAACCCACTTAGACAAGTACTTAAAGGTCTTAGACAAGCTCCCTCTTTTGAAATACATAGTTGTCTACAATGATACCATCAAGAATGTACCAGAAAATTGCAGAGTCAAGGTATTTACTTGGGACTAATTTATGTCACATGGAAGATCCTTCAAACCTGAAAACCCAGCTGACATCTTAGAAAATAGAATGATTAAATAGAGACCTGGTAATTGTTGCACCCTCGTCTACACTTCAGGTAAATATTATAAATAAAAAGCACCTTTGTTTTTTTAAAACTTTGAATAATTTCAATAAAGGAACAATTATAAATGAAATGGATATAAAAATAAAGTTTATCTTTCCTTTTTTTATCTATTTCTTTTACTATGTAGAAATTTTTAAATAAATAAACAAATTTTATTTAGTGTAAAGGAAATTTCTGAAAGCAATTAATTAATCAATTCCATCAAAAATAAGCAAGTTATTAGAAAAATTAATTTTAATAATTAATCAATTAATTAATTAATTGCAATTTTATTAAAAATTGTCACAAAGCATTTATTTGAAATTAATAATTTCCATAAAAAATTCACATATTAATTAATTAAAATACTAATATGTATAATAATTATTATTATTCTTAATAAAGGTACTACTGGTATGCCTAAGGGAGTCATGCTTTCTCATGATAACTACACTTGGACCTGTAAAGCTTGTATTGGAAAGTACGGATTAGCTCCTAACTAACAAGAAAGATTGGTCAGCTATCTTCCCCTTTCACACGTTGCTGCTCAAATTATTGATATTGTTGGTAATATTGAAGGTGGTGCTCATATGTTCTTTGCTGATCCTTCTGCCCTTTCAGGCTCTTTAGTTGAAACTTTAAAGGAAGTCCGTCCCACATTCTTTTTCTCTGTACCTAGAGTATGGGAAAAGATCGAAGAAAAGATGAAAGCTCTTGCTGCTTCTAACGGATGGTTAAAGACCAAGATTGGTAATTTGATTAAAAAATAATTTTCTTTAATTGATTTTTCTGATATTAATAATAGCAACATGGGCTAAGGGTATGGGTGTAGAAGGAACTTTTGCTGAAGTCCATAACAAAAAGTTACCATTTGGATTTGGTCTAGCAAAAAAAGTAGTTTATAATAATGTAAAGAAAGCTTTAGGTTTAGACTAATCTCGTTTCTTAATGTACGGAGCTGCTCCTCTTTCACCTGCTATCCGTGAATATTTCCTCTCTCTTAATATGTATCTTATTTCTGGTTATGGTAAAATCATTTTTTAAACAATCAAAATTAATTAAATTATAGCTAATTTATATCAAATGTTTTTTAATATTGTTATTTAAAAATAAAATATTTATTAATTATTTAAATATCAAAAGGTATGTCTGAATGTGCTGGCCCTGAATGCTTGAGTGATCCTTCAAACTATGATAAATTTGAAGGTGACTTTTTCAATTCTACTGGTGCTGGTATTTCAGGTACTGATTTGGTTATTTACTAACCTGACAAGGAAGGTAATGGTGAAATCTGCTACAAAGGACGTAATAGATTCATGGGATACTTTAAAAACGAAGATGCTACTCGTCAAACTATCGATTCTTAAGGATTTTTACACAGTGGAGATGTAGGAAAATTAGATAAATTCGGTAACTTGACTATCACAGGACGTATTAAAGAACTTATTATTACAGCTGGTGGTGAAAATGTTGCTCCAGTTTTGATTGAAAACATTCTTAAAGAAAACCTTAATTTTGTATCAAATGCTGTTGTTATTGGTGATAAGAGAAAGTATTTAGTTGTACTTCTTACTTTTAAGTTTGTTTAAGAAGGTGATAAATTAAGTAACTAATTGTCTCCTGAATCTCTTAGAGAATTCGAAGCTCTTGGATCAACTGCTAAAACTGTTGCAGAGGCCAAGAAGGATCCTAAGATTCTTTAAGCTATTGAGCAAGCTATAAAGAAGACAAACTCTAAGGCTATTTCTAGAGCCTAAAATATTCAAAAATATGCTATCTTAGATAGTGATTTCTCAATTGATGGAGGCGATCTCACCCCTACTCTTAAATTAAAAAGAAATGTAGTCAATTAGAAACACGAAGCACTTATTGAGTCACTTTACGTTGATCCTAAGCTTTGATTAACAAACATATTTATCAATTTATTCGTTTAAAGTTAAATTTTTTAACTCATAAATAAATACTTGTTATTTTCTATGTGATTTTTTATAAATTATCATTATTAAGTAGAAAATATTTGAGCAACAAATTCCTTTAAATTTAATTTTTATAGAATAAGATAGTTTGTTTGTTGACATAAATATTAATTATGATATCAATAGATAAGTGTTAATAGACCTAATATTTGAATATATAGAATAAGGTGATAGCATTACATACATGGCATAGAAATCTTAATATTTAAACAAAAATTTTTAATTATACTTTTATAATTATCATAGAATCATTTCTGTCTTAAAATTATAATAGTTTTTATAATTTAAAATTATTTATTCCAATTTAAACAGTTGATAATAACTTTCATTAATAAAATTATTTATTTATTTTAAGTTATATTTAACAACTAGTGAATTTCATTTTGTAAAATACAATAATATACAAACATATGAATAAATCTTACTTCTTTTACAACGGCAAAAATATTTAAAATAGCTTTTCTTATAGATAATGGAGCTATTTGGATTCTTTTATTTATTTATTTATTTATTTATTTATCTTTTTATGATATGTTAGCAAAAATTAGCTTTTTTACAAGATAAACAGCTTTTAATCAAAAAAAGTGTTATGAGAAAATACTTTAATAAACATCTAAACATATTTGGCTGATTTTTATTTTAAATCATAAATAAGAAGTAACTTACAAAATATAAAATTAAGTATATCTTATATATAACTTTTAGAAAATAAAACTAGAACTAGTTTATGTTTTATAAGTTTTAGAAAATATACAAAATTATTATTAAAGTTTTAAGAAAACCAAATAATTAATTAATAAACATACATTATTTTTTAAAGATAAATATTTTTTTAATAAATTAATATAGTAGCTGGGAGATAATTTATTTTATTTTATTTTCATTCTTCATCAGGTTTTAAAGGCAAGAAAACTACTTTTCTATTTTAGTGTTCTGATATAGCCTAAACAACTTCAAAGTATCTAATTTGCATAGCTGCATCTGTGGCAAGCATATCTGCTGCTTATCTGAGCAGTTTAGCACTTTCAACATCAGATTTAGATGAAATTACTTTGCTTTCAGCTTTCTTTCTACTAACTGGCACCATAGACATTTCTTCAATAAGTTATTTGCTCAAAACCATATCTTTAATAAAAACTTATTCAACAAAAATACCCCTATTATATATAATATTAAAATTTTTAAAAAAATAAATAAATAAATATAAATGTTGAAAATTATTCTTACCAGTCTTTGACATGCTCTTCAACATAATTTTCAATTTAATCATTTACTTATTCACGTTTTTCCAAGAGATCTTGCAAACTATGTTCACCACAAATAGATCTCAAACAAGCATATGTTAATTCTATAAAGTTTATTAAAAATTATTTTAGCAACTAAAAAAGTATTTTCCATAAATTTAAACTAAAAACAATTATTGTTTGAAACTTATTGAAAAAAGTTTTGCATAAAAATCTATTATAAGCTAGTTAGCTACTAAATAATTACACTCAAGAGAGAATTTAATGTCGACAATCTTATATAGAGCTTTTTTAGGCTCAACAATTCTATAAAAAGCTACTGTATCTATATCTACTGTGACATTATCGTTTGTCATAACTGTTTGACGTTTAAGATCTAATACCTTTACATATTAATAAAATTCGTTTCATTTTACTAATTTTAATTTGATATTTAATTCTATGATAGTTAGTTATAAAATTTTCAATATATTTAAGCATTTTACTTTTGTTTTCATATCTACAATATAAACTTTTTCACATTCAGGGTTTACTTCATGAAGGCCAGGCTCTAAAACTTTTTAAAATCCTCCAAACTTCTCTAAAATACCTTTACTAGATGAAGGAACTGTTACAAAAGGTTTAGGGCAGCAGCAGCATGGGAATGGTAACCACATACCTAAGCATCCTTCAATTTTTCCGCAACAAGCTACACATGATTAATAGCATGTAAATTTATCTTAGGCAACAATATCATCTTCGTGATGACTAGAGCCATTTATTCTTTGCATCTCAGGCTATTCCATTTTACTAATGATATTCTATAATTTGTAAATATTTGAATACTTATATTGTATGTTCAATGTATTATTGTATTAATAATTGTTATAATAAATAATTTAATTTTTAAATCAGTTTGTTTTTGCAATCAATTCTTATTTATTTTGATTGATAAATGATCCTCAAATCCTTATTTATTGAAACAAGGCAAGACACAAAAAATCTGAAAAAAAACTTTCTCTAATTTTACTTTCATTCAAATACAATCAATAATATTTTCATTCAGTTTTGCTTTTATGTTATAAAAAGATTAAAATTCGAGCTCTTCACTTCTTTTTAATCAATCCACTCACCTTAAATTTCAGAATCTTATTTACTCAACAAATAATATCATTTTTCATTTATTTTTTCAAAAAATAATTCATTTTTTTTCTTCACAAAAGTTTAAACTGAAAAATTTAATTATTTAAAATGATTTGTAAATTTTTAGATAAATTTTTTAAATACTTTGGGTAATTTATTATTTTTAAATGTTTTAATTTTTATACAATTCTAATTTCTTTATGAATTTAACTCAAAGTTAATCTTCTATTTATGCTACTTTTCAATAATTTGAAAAATTAAAATTTTAAATAATGAAATCTAGAAAGAAGTTAACATAAAAATATTTTAAAGAAAATTATTTTTTCAATCTTTTTTCTTTAAAAAAAGGACAATTTTTAATATTTATTTTGATTTTAATTGCATTGAGTCTAGATGAAAAGGAATAAAAATGAAATATTAGTAAGTTTAATATAAAAAATAAATAATTAAATCAATCTAAAATTAAAATTTATTAATAGACTTATTTTTAAAAAATACTTTAAAGATTGACAAATAAAATTTATGCTTATATAAAATACATTTGTTTAAATTGTAAAAAAATAATTGCTTATTAAGTCTAATTTGATTAGTAAATTATATAATAATAAACTTATTGAGATAGGTAGTTCATAGATAGATATATTTTATGGGTTATGATGTATGATGAGATTAGATTAAAAATTTTATTATTGTAGTACCTGTTATTGTAATTAATATTTTTATATTTATTTTTTAATGTAAAATTTTTTAATAATTGGTAATGAGTGTGAGAATTAGTTAGTAGTTAGTTAGTTAGTTAATTGGTAGTATGAGTTATTATTTGAAATTTAATATATCTAGATAGTTATTTTTGCTTTTTTTAATTTAATTCATATTTTGTCTTTCATTAAATACATCGTTAGAAGTGGTTCAAAAGAATTTGGTAGATTCTTTGCTTAGATTAAGCAAGATTTATGAGCTTAAACTCTCATTTGGATATCAATTTTATGCTCTTATATTCTAAAAATGAACGGGCTAGAGAAAGATATATGACAAACATCTTAGCAAGTGTAGATCAAACCAGTCTAATATAAATCATTATTATCGAATTCAATATTGAACAGTTCTTTCATCCATCCAAATCTCCAAAAATCTCTATTATTTGAATATTAAATTATTTAGATATTTTAAGAAATTTTTTAAAAATTTAAATAATATTAAAAATTAGTTTATTTTAATTTTTTTGATATTTAAACTAAATTTAAAATTAGTTTTTTTAGTTTGTTATTTAGTAGTTTAATCTTTATTCACAATTAATTCATTTTAATTAAATTAACATTTTTAATTTTATAAATGTAATAAAAATTATTTTTATAAGTCAATAAATAAATGATCATTTTAATAAATAAACTTTTTTGCTTTTTATCAAAATATTATTTTTTTATTTAAAATATTTAGATAAATTTAGATGAATAAATAAATATATTACGGGAATTCTGAAGATTTGGTTAAAAAACCTTAATTCCAAAATTAAAGGTTAAGCTTGCCTTGCAAAGTATCTACAAAATTATCAATTATAAAATAGAGGCGTTCTATCCAAAATTCAGGAGCTACTTCAATTAAGCTTAATATTTTTTCTCTTAAAAGAAACCAATCAGAAAGTGACGATCTAAATACAATATTTCTAATCTGGTAATAATGACCAGGAAAAATTGTATATGGAAGATAGCTTAATTGCTCATAAGATGGAAATTCTGCGTCTAAATATATAAGCTGGTTATAGACAAGTTAAGAGATTCTCTTGATCTTAAAATTATTTTAAATAGCAGCATCTTTTTAAATAGATTAAGGCTAAGATAATGAATCAAGAGTTTGCTAATTTTGCTCTTGTATTTGTTTTAAAATCGAATCCCAAGAAATCAGCTCGCGTTTCTATTTTAATAAATTAAAAAATAAATTATCTGAATAAAAAGAAGATACAGTGCTTATTTATAAAAAAAGATACTATTTTAAACAGGAGTTTCTTTTACTTTTTGAAAATCAAAGTATTTACAAAATTTAATAAATTTTCAGAAATTTAGGATATTTATTTGTGATTTAAACTGAAAATAAATTTATTAAAAATTGGTTTACATATTAAAATTTATTTTTTAAAAAAAAATGATAGCATTGAAAATTTAAAAGTAAATTGGATATAAGAATTGGAAATGTTTTGTTTGAATTAAATTAATTAAAACTATTACATTTTTAGAATTAGGAGTTTCCTTATAATTTATGATTTTACTATCTTTGCGTATTTATTTTGAATTAGGGAATAACTCGCTTTATTTGATATTGTTTTTTTAGTAGAATTACTTTAAGGTTATAAGTATTTAATCCCAAATATCATGAGGGTTCAGCACAAGATCTTCATTAAGGGTAAATGCTAGATAAAATGCATCAAATAAAGAATTTTATGTAGGACCCTTCCACAATCCCCTCTCTCTCTTTGTGAAATCTTTTAGAATATTTTCCTTTTTTTAAATCTTTTTGCTAAGGTTTCCTTGAAAATCCACATTGTAGTCCCAAGAATCTATGAAATATTACTACATATATTGCTTGACATCGCTTGAGTCTATTGTATGTTAGTCTTTAGAATTACTTTATGGCGTTAAATAAGAAGGAATTGTAACTTTTTTTATACTTTACTAATCCTTTTCTAAAAAAGGCATATTTGATTTTTTGGAGAATTTAGACTAATTATTTGGTGTTATATTAGAAACAGGAATATTATTTATTTGTATCTTAATATAGTTTTTATAGGCTTGACCAGATATTGGAGTCGAATTTCCAATCTATGCTTCGATTTGTATTTAGTTTTGATCGATTCCTGAGCCCCTCTCTAGAGCTGTACCTACTTCAGTAGACATCTATTGTAAATCAATACTGCAAGGAGAAATTCCATTAGCGTCTCCTTTGTAAGCAATATTTTGTGTTTTTGAATGGATATATAGTTTGGCTGGTCTTGACCTGCTTTTAGGCTTTTTAGCTGAAGCACAAGAGTTACCCATAATTGTGTTTGTTTGTATGTTAGTAGTTATTTTAATTGTTAAGATTTTTGCTAAAATATTTATAAAATGAGACTTGCTAGATTGCTGATAGAAGTGCAATCTTACTTACTTAATATTATTAATTTATTATTTAAGCAAATATAAATAAATAATAGTTTTTGGTGAGTTGAATATATAATATAGATTCACTAAATTGTTGATACTTATTTATTATATTTTTTTTGACAATACTATCTGAAAGTATTTTATTGAAATGGTTGTAGTCCGCCCTTAGAAAATTATCTTTTCAGATCAAAAATAATTGTAGTAATTGAGATTTATCAAATATTTGAAAACAATAATAATTATTAAAATATTCTTAATCTTGTTGGTTATCTTTGAACTCTTCTTACATACAAAACCAAACAATCAATAAAACATCCGAATTAAACTAAAATCAAAAATTATCTTAAATTTTTAAAAATAAAAGCAAAAATTAATTCTGAACATAAACTGTAATTACTGTCATTCGTAAACTGATGTAAACTAAGAAAATACACTTATTAGTGCATAATATATCTTATCTATCAAGCTATAAGTACTCTTAACAAAGCACAATTTATTTGAAAGCCATATTTAGTAGTCTTTCGATTCATTTATAGTATGTATTTTTCAATCTAGTTTACAATTATTTTATTTTACAGAAAATATTTAATTTATTGTTTTTAAATAAAAAATCTATTTTAAAATTACAACTAATTTAAAATAATCTCATGAATAAGCATCATGAAAAATTATTAAAATAGTAAAGTAGTATTAAAATATAATTATTATTTTGCTAAATTATAAAGCAATTATGATAAGAGACTGGCTTTAAGAATTGATGTTTGATTTAACACTAATGAATTAATAATTAATTTTTATTCAAGTGTCTGAGATTCCTTAATTATTTTTAAATAAAATAGAATCTCATTATTGAATCTACGTATTATTTATTAATCTTTGAGAATCTTTAAAAAAATAGAAAATAAATCAACTGACTGACTGACTTATTGTCTCTTAAATAGTATTTAAACTTTTTAGAATCTTAAACAAGTAAAAAATGAATACAACACTTTACTGTATCAGCATAAAATGAATAAATTAATAACTTAAATTTGAAGATATGAAAGTGAAAAAAACTATAATATAAATATTTATTTTATTTTTTAAGTTCTATTACTTAATCAAAATTTTTACTTACTCCCTTAATATTTGTAAGCTTGAATAGTGCCTTTAACATATAGATTATTTCAAACTATTTAAAAAAAACAAACAAATATAATTTGAGAAATACAAATTTAGTAAGATGACAATCAATTGATAAATCATAATCACTTAATTATACTCATGGTTCTAGTATTTTGATTAACTTCTTAGGTAGCATATAATAAAATTACTTAAATTAGTATTAAATTATTAATTGTAAGTTCAACCTTTATATTTAACCCTTTAACATAAATTAAAAATTTTATTTAAATTTTTATATTTTAATTGACTTATTTTTATTTAAATCAGAATTTGTTATATTGATAAATTTTATAAATTATTAATTTTTGTGATTAAAATTAAATTTATTACTGTTTACATATCAATTAAGTTTATTTTTTAAATAATGAATTCATCCTAAGAAATACTGATACATTTAAAAATTAATTAATTTTTAGTATTTTAGCAAAATATTTGATAAAATAAAAATTAATTGCTTGATTTTTTTCATACCTTAATCTCCAGTTAATTTTATTAAATTAATTTATTATTATCATCAATTCAAGAAGCTTTAAAATTTAATCTTTCCTTTTTTAAAAAATATTTAATAAATTACTTGATTTTTTTAGTATCTTTCCCTCCTATGATTTTTAAAAAAATCAATTTCCTATCATCAAAAATTTATTATAAAAAGCATAGAAAAATGTATTTTTATTTCTTTTATTTAAAATTTAATTAAACTTATTTTTCATTACAAAATAAATAAATAAATCATATTTTTAATGAATAAGGCAGTCAAAATTTACATTTTTTTTTCTTTTATATTATTTATTTATTTATTTCTATTATATTATTTATTTATTTATTTCTATTATATTATATATTTATTTGTATTATTTTATTTATTATAAACACAAAAAAATAATAAGTCCATCTAAAGTTATTCATAAATAATCCTATTTCTTTGGTTGTATTGCATATTTTATGTTAAAAATAAGTTCTATATTTATTTAATTTTCATAATTTAATAAACTATTTGAAAATAATTTAAAGGTAATTAAAAAATGAATAGAAAATAATATCAATTTAATGTGCTTCTTATTAATTTCAATACTCTTATTTTTTATGATTAAAAATTAAATTTATTTATTCAAACTTTACTAAATTAAAAATTGTTTATTTTAAGTTTAAAATTAAATATTTTATAAATAATCATTTTTAGTAAAAAATTAAATTAAAAATAAATAATCTAAATTTTAGTATTTGATATTAATACTATATATTCACTAAATTTATTTTAGCTACTTGATACGATAAAGTATTTAATGAAGCTTTTGTAAAATAATCTATTTTCAAAAATATGCAGTAGTAAATTTAAAAAATGAGTTTTGATTAAATACTTTTATTCTTTTTGTATTAGATTATGATTTAAAATATTTTGAATGGCTATAAACTGGAACATTATATAAATTATTAAAAATATAAAATCAGCAAAACTTGACTTTTGCACATACTGAAAGTAACTTATAAATTTAATTATCACTTTTTGATATCATCATATATAGTTAATATTCTTAATTCAGCATTATTTCTGATTAAATCAATTATGGATTTTTTAAGTGAAGAGAATCTTAAGAAATATAAATTCGAAATATCATAATCAGATGATCAAAAAAAAAGTGGAGATAAAACATAGCCTTAATTTGGAAAAAGCAAAAGTAAGATTGGATTCAACCAAGTTAATTTTGATCCTATTTCTGGATATCAAACAAAAGATGATATGCTTTCTATTGAATAACTTGATAGTCTGGCTTTATTTATGAGAAATCATTCACTGAATAATAGCTAAAAATACCCTTTTTACAATAATTATGATGAAAGAAATATAGGGATTCATAAGGCTATTATATACAAAACGATTTTAGAGGGAAATAGATATAATTCTACAAATATTGGTATTGAATAAAATAGTTCAGATGGTGCATCAAGGATTTAACCAGAATCTTTCGAAGAACAGCTAAATAGAAAAATGAAATATATTTCGAAAACAAATATCTTATAAGATATTCCTAATTCCTTAGATATTATTGGTTCTACTAAATCATAAAAAGTCAAGACGTTCACTAATTTAGATTAAGATGGAGAGTTTGAATATGACTTGGATGAATAGGATTTAAGAGAATAAGATTAGTATATTTAAGAAAATGATGAAAACTATATATAAAGTTTAATAGATCCTTTTAATGAAGATGACTATGATTTAGCAAGGATTAATAACAAAATTTTTGATGATAATTGTTGGTACAAAAAAGACTTTCGCATGAATTAAATTAAAGATCCTCATTTATATAATGAAAAGAGATAGTATTATGATAATAAGAGAATAGTAAAGAGATAAAACAAAGAGCATCTGATCTACTTTATACAAACAGAAGTAGTTTTAAACAAATATGCTAATTTGATGCCTCATGCAGATAATGTTAAAGCAGTCTAGGAAATAATTAAAGATCAACTCACTTATAATTAAGATATCCTCCCAGGATATGTAATCAATACAATCTTTAAAATTGATGTAGAACGCTCTATTTTCAAACAAGAAGTACTTTAATTACAGCTGGAGGCATTTGGTTAAATCCATCTATAAAATAGTGAAGAAATTTTTATTTGTGGAGGAAAGGCTAACGGAATTGCTTAAAATACATGCATGTTAATTGATTTTACTCTCAAAAAGTTTATGATTAAAAGTAGATTACATTTTGCTAGGTACGATCATTTATTACTCCAGCTTGATGATTTTATTTATATAATTGGTGGGTAAGGATATCATGGTGAAAGCCTAACATAATGTGAAAAATATAACATTAAAAGCTAACAAATTTTTGAGATAGCCTCATTAGAACTATAAAAGAATTTTATCTGTGGAACTGTTTCTCAACTAAATAAATGCTTATTTGTAGCAGGTTCTCCTATAATAGTAGATAATTATATTTAAATTTAAAAGTTTGAACCTTATACAAACTTTTGGTCAGTTATAAATATCTAAGTAAATTACTTGACGCTTAAATAACCTAAATTTGTAAAATTAGCAGTTTATGATGAAAGTATGCAAAAGTCTATGCTCTACATTTTTTGTTAAGATATGAACAAATATGAAAATTATTGCCTTTCAGTAAACGATCTCACTACTGATGATACCAGATAAAGTAAAGAGAGTAAAGCGAAGCAAAGAATTCTAAGAAATTAGTAATAGTAATCAAATAGCTAATAAGCAAAATTAGACACTTTAGGTCTTTCAACTATTAATTCAGCAGATAGTCAAATAAACTTTTATTCTTCAATATAAAATGGTTAATTCAGATCTCCAAGATCTAATAAAAATAGTAATATTTTCATACAAGACTAAACTAATGATTAAGAGCAATAAACAAACAGCTAATTTTTTAAACTTAAGTAAACGAAATCTGTATCTATGATACCTTAGGTTAAGATACCAACACCAAGAATGAATCCTATGATTTATTTACCATAATTTAATGAATAAGTTAAGTATATTTATAAGAATCGTAAGCAATATCACGAGTAGCTCAAGTAAAAGCTCGAACATGAAAAAAGATAAATTCTAGGGTATTAGAATCTTGATACAGAAAATTCAAATGACACTTTGTAATTAAGTAAAAATTAAAGCAACACTTCAAAGCAAAATCCAACTATGGCTCCTTACAGAAGCCCATCTTAATTTTTAGGATAGTAACCTTCCCCTAGACAGCGATCTGCTTCTAAACTTTTGCTTACACCAAAAAATTAAGAAAATTTTACAAAATCTATTTTTTTTGACGAATAAAAATATTAGCAAAATTCTAATACAATTTTTGAAGATAGCCCTAAAAATAAAACTCCTAGAAGTAGAACTTCTAAAAATAATACACCTAAATATAGACCTCCTGAAGAATAGACAAATCCATATTATTATTTAACAAAATCGCAACAATAAAAAAGGATTCTGGAAGATTTAAAAAAAGAAAGATAAAAGTTACTATTAATTGAACAATAAAAACCTAAAAAATAAAAAGGACAAGTGGTCAATATAGAATAATAAAAATCAAATTTTAACAATTTAGAAATCCTTGCAATGAGAGATTACGAAGTTTATACTATAAATAAAACAAACCCATTACTTATTGAAAAATTTGATTTTATTACTTGGTAAAAAGAAGATATCCTTCTTAGATATTCTCCAATATTGTGATAAGTTTTATTTAAAATTCTTGCATAACCACTAATTATTACCTATAATTTTACAATAATTAACATTATATTAAAACTATTAATATACAAAAAAAATTACTTTTTATATTTTAGCTAATATTGACAACTTAATATACTTAAATTTAAATGTTGGTAAGCTAAAATCAACTCCTTTAAAGATGAGTTTTGATATCAATCATAAAGTTGTTAAATCTAGTTTAATAATTTAATTATTATAACTTTTCATCTAAAAATTTAGTAATTTTATTTTATCAATCTAAATATTTTATTATAAAAAATGTGTTTGAAGATTAAGCAATAACATGATTTATTTAAAATATAATATTTATATATATGGAATATCAAAATAAAATAATTTTTAAGAGAGTGGAATGTCCAACTCTTTTCTACTGGGGAATAGGCCTAAATTTATTGAATGATTGTGGTAAATTTTATATTTTTTTTAGACAAATTATTTTTTAATTTAATTTACAAATTTAAGATATAAAATTTAAAAATACTTCAACTTTTTGATTAATTTTATAAGGATTGATTTTCATATTAATTCCATTTTTCAGTAAGTTACTAAGTTTTCTAAGGGCTAACGAAATATTTTGACTTTTTTAATTTTAAAAGGAGGTCTATTGCATTCTATGGAAGCTTATTTTATTATTTTTATGAATTTTATAGGAGATTTAGATTTGTTTATGGATCATTTAGATTAGAGTTTTTAGAAATAAATCTAATTTCTCTATTTTCAATACCTGCTTATTAAGAATATTAATTTAATTTTTCAATCTTTTTTTACAATTCAAGATTTTTTAACTCTTTATCTAGTTTAAATAGTTCAAAAGGAGTGAGACGCTCTTATAATTTTTCTTTTTACATTATAGCTATCTAATCTTATAAGGAGGAGTTAATTTCTTTAATATATTTATTGAAATTCTTTTCTTTTTTTTCAATACATAAATCATATTTTTTATTCAAAATGCTATACAGCTTTGAAGACTATTTTTACTTTGAACAAAATATGTCATTAAGTTTATGCAAATCAAATTATTAGGAGATAATTTTTTAGTTCAAGTTACTGATTGAATTGCTAAATTACTTAGATTACTATTCTTGATATTATTTTTGTTTTTCTTTTTGATTTTAAAATTAATAAGACTAAGATAAGTTATTCTACTATTGCCTTTGTAAATCAATTTTTTTATGAGCATTTTAATTATTACTTGGACTTAAATCTGTAAAGTTTTATTAAACCTGTGAATTTCCTGACGGACTTTTACAATTTAGAGGACTGTTTATAGATTTGCTTAGTTTTCTCATTTAATTTTAGCTACTCTATGTTGAGGTTTTAGTTGAAAGAAATGAAATCGAGTTTTTATATTTATTTTAAACAATATTTTTTGAGTTTTTTTCTTTTACAAAATCATTTTAAGTTGGGTAAACTTAGTTTTCACTTATTAATAGCTTAAGCAATCCTTATGAGTTACTCATATTAGTTGACATTGATATATTTATAGGAGAGCTCTAAGATTCATTAGTATAAATCGGTTTTCTTAAAAAACTATCTCTATTCTCAAAATCAAGCTTTCCTATATTATTTTTGTCGAATTAAGGATATTAATCTTGATCTAAGCTAAGGCTCTATTTATGTTAAGGTTTTTGCATTGAAGACTATTGAATTTATTAAGAAATGTTATTATCTAGCTAAATACTTACTTTTTAACTCAGTTATTAATTTAGCATATTTTATTAAAATTATAAATCATTTGAACAAATCGATGAAGAAGATTAAGAACTGTATTGATCTTACCCTTCATTTTTAGTAGGACTGTGCATATTATCTCTTTAAATTTACTTTTAATGAGATGTAGATCTTTTTGTTTCCTCCTCTTCAATAGTTTTAATTTGATTGAAATCAAAATTAAAATTAGTTTTAGGAGTAGATTAATAATTAGGTGTAATAATTTTTAAATCTTAATCATTATCTAATGAATTTATATCTACTTCAGTGGCTATGCCTTGAAACGAATTTATGTAAGGTTAAAATTTTTTATTTTGTTCAAACTGATTAGATGTAAAATTCTTTTAAGTACTACTATGTACCTATAATTCTAAACTTGGGCGATTTACCAAATCTATTTTTGTTAGTTCTTTACCATTCTATTAATTATTTTAATTACTTGAAGAGCTATCTACCTAATTTTAGAGTTTAGAATTCATTTTATTATTTTTGCTTGCTTTATTTATCCCAAAAATCTCAGATAAGAAAGGAACAGATTTAAATTAACGAGAATTTCTGATACTATTTCTTTTTATATTATTTTAAGAAGCCTTTTCTTTAACTTTATTTAAATCTTCAAGAGAGTAAAGTGGCTAAATATTTTAAGATGATTTCTTATTCAAAATCTTCTCTTAATAATACTTTTCTAAATATATCTTATTGAGTTTCTTGAAAATAAAAATATCTTCTTTAGGCAACTCAATATTATGCATTTAGCTTTTATTTTGCATGTAATTTTCTTGCTATTTTAGCTTTAACTCCTTTTTTTTTTGTTATGAACTATAATAGTTAATTTATTATGGTTCTTCTTAATCATCGTAATCTATATCTTCCTATCCTTAATATTAATTTTCAACATTTGACAAAAGATTCTAATTTCCTCTTTTATCTTCAGTTAAATTTCTAAGCTGTGAACTGGGATCAATAAAATTTTCTTTCTTTTTATCGAAGTTATTGTTAACAGTTTAATTTAATTGCCAACTATTTTTGTTTTAAGAAGTATTGCTTCCATCATCAGAAAAAGAATTTTTCTTATGTTAATTATTAATTTATAAAAACTAATTCACTAAAGAGGCTTTAAGTTCATTAATAGTTAATGGAAGTGATTAAGTATTGTTATTAGTGAGCTCTTTGGTAGATATCTATTAAATATAAGGCTTAACTTCAGGTTCATTTTAATTATCTTTTTAAAAGAAATATTTTTCTTTAAATTTTTTAAATGAAATATCATCTTTGAGTATTCTAGGTTAGCTCTGAAATGTCTAGTATTGCTTAAGCTGATAAATTGAACTCAAGCTACCTTTAGAGTTTAATCTTTGATTTAAATCTAATCCAAAGTCTATGTTTTAAATACTTTATCGTCTATTAATATATTAGAGTTTCTATTGAGATGTTAATTTAGTTTTGGTTTAAGTGTTTGTCTTATGATTTTTCTCTTTAACATTGTGCTCAGTACTTTGCTTTTTTTCACTTAGTAAATCCTACAAAAACTAACTCTAAATACTCATCCTTTTAAAACCCTAAATTGTCTCTTTCACATTTTAAAGAAGCTCCTTTTATCTCTTCCTTTTCTCCATCATTAACTTTTTTTTCACTAATAATTGATAAAGAACAAAAAAAATTAATTGTAGAATAATTGATTGACTTATTTATTACTTCTCTTCATTTTAGTTTCTTCATCTTCAATTTTATCATTGTTTTATTTGTCATTTTCTTCTTCTTCTTTTTTTATTTTATTTTCTTTAATAATTTATTTCATGTCTTTTTCAAATTTTCTTAACTTCATTTTGTCTGTCCCGAATTTCAACATTTCATATTAATCATATTTTTTATTTTAATTATCTGAATTTTCTAGGTAAAAGTACCCTTTTGATTTAGCAAGGTGCTCAAATTTTTGCTTTTACATTTATGCCTTTTTTTCAAGTAAACTTTGGTATTTTTGTTTTTCGTTTTCATAATTTAGCTCTATTTAATCTAAGATAGCTGAATCAATACTGTCTTATCTTTTATTTTATTATTCTCTTTTGAAAAAGGAGCTATCTTTCTTTTTGGCAAATTAAGATTAATTTAAATATCCAATAGATGAAGATCTTGTTTTTTGGGACTCATCTGTCTTAGACTTTATTTTTTCATACCTGATATCGCTATAATTTCTTAGTCTTGTCTCAAATTACCTACCCTTATTTGTTACAAATTTAAGAATATATCTAAATTATGGTATCAAAAGGTTTAAGAGCCTTTAATAACGTTTTTTGTTCTGCTTAGAATAGTATTTGTTATAATATTGAAGAGTTCCTTCATGCATTTCAAATAATGCAATAAAATTCTCTTCTATATCATCTACAATCTATTATCTTTTATTTATTATACTCATGTAATCATTCAATATTTTTCTTTTAAGATGAACTTTGTCCCCTTTCTCTATAAAGAATTTCTCAACTTTATTTACAAACATATCATTACCATTGACTTTAGAATTTATATCCAAGTAATTATGGGCTTGGTATAAACTTGTAAGAAATTCATTGTGCCTACCCCCACATTAGTTAAATTAATCCTTAACTTCTCCAAAATATTTTAACAAATATCTGCAATTTATACTGACGTACTTGCTGATCTATAAAAAGGTTTCGTCTTTTGTTTCATCATACAACTCTTTTATATAGCTTTAAAAAAGTCCTTTTTTTCCTAAAAGCGACTTCATATTTTTTGATGTTTCACTGAAAAAGCTTAAGTCATTCTAGTGATCCATTTGCTATTTTAGTTAAATATTTCAATAATTAATATTTGTTTTTTAGCTATAAATTTATTTTGTTTAATTAATTAATTAATTAATTTGTGAGTTATTTAGTTAGTAGAATTAGGTACTTACTATCTCTACTGAAATTATTCAAAATTGTATAAATAACGTTAATTTTATTATTTATCATAAACAAAAACTATTAAACCAGTAAAATTCATAATTTAATTTTGATGATATTCTTAAAATTTTTAATTTCTAATTGAATCACAAGCAAATGTTTTAATGCTGGTTATAGAAATAAGTAAGTATATAATAAACAAAGAAATACAAATTTCTTAGATATTAATATTTCGAATCTTAAAATAAATATTTTTATAATAGTTTCACTCTTAAATATTGAAAAATTTGAGAGAGTTTTAATAACACTATTCTGCAATCTCATATTCATCTTTTTCAAGCACAGCTGATAACATTTAGCTAACTTCTCTAACAAAATATGGTTCATTTCTACCTTATATAAAAAATCCCTTTTGATATTTTTCTTTTTTTATAAATTGAGGCTCTTCTGAAGTAAGCAGAGAAAAACCATCATCAGAAGGCTTTATTTTACAATAAGGGGCATCTGTTTCAATCATAATTCTATCTAAAGGAATTCTTTTAACTACTTCATAGTCTTTTTTGTGCTTAAAAGTTAAAGCATTAATACTAATATAAAGACCTTCTTAGAGTAGCTCTTCTAACTCAGCTATACCACCTAATTAATTGATTTAGTAATTTTTTAAACATTTTTATTATCATTTGTGCTATTAAATTACCTGTATAAGAGTGAACTAATCCATTTGTAAATCTCTTTTTATTTTTTTGTAAAATATTCAAAAAATCCTCTCTTGAATTTCTACTATGTAGATATAATGGAAGTTAGTGCTTTTCAGATAGATTAAAGTGAGCTTCAAATACCTTCAGCTAAACATCTTTTTTAGAGCAAAACAATCTATCATAATCCAAACCGCATTCTCCCACAGCAACACATTTTTTACCATACTTCTATATAAGCCCATCTAACTAATTAAAGTAGTTATTAGTGTTTTAATCAGCTTCATTAGCTTTAGCAGGGTGTAGTCCTACTGTACAATAAAACTTATCACTCATTTAACTAATTTAATAGCATTCTTTGGCGTCTTTTAAATTAGAAGCGGAAAGTAAAAGTCTGTCACATCCACCTTCATTTGCTCTTTAAATAACATCCTTAACATCATTTTCATGAAATTTTTTACCTTTATAAAAACCTGCAAACTATGAACTGCCCAAGTTAGCAGCAACATCGAAGAATCTCAAATTTTTATTTTTTTAAGTTTAAACATTTTTTTATTAGTCTAGCTAATCAATATTCACCTTTTTTTCTTCTAAATCTTCATTCTTTTAGGCTTGAACCTTAGGAATGTATTGCACTTTACTTTTATTGGTTTATTGATAATGATTTTGTTAAGCTTCTTTACTTTATTAAATTTGCTATGGCTTGTTTTATTGATTTTTTGGTACGTAAATAGGCATATCCCACTCTGACATTTTTTAAGAGAGTATCTTTTAACTAAACTTATTATATGTTTTTTTGTTAATTATTTATAATTATATATTGTACAATTTGTTTTTGATCATCACACATTGATTTGATCAACAACCAATAGACACTTTTTACATTTTAAGCTAAATTTAAACTGAATTTAATTTTTAGAAAAGTGGTAAATAATAATTCTTCTATCCAATTTACAATAATCAAAAATATTAGTATCAGTGTAAGTAGTTATTAATTAATTTTTTCTGGAAAATAAATCTATTTATTTATTTAACAAATTTTTTTATTATTCATTTTTTATTTAGATTATTTTTTACCTTAATTCTTCATGATTATATTTAAAAGGAAATTTATTAATTTCATATGAAATAATTTAATATTTTAATGATTTTATTATAAAAATAAATCAAAATAGAATTAGTTTTCGTATTTTACTCAATTATTTTGGTATTATTTAAGATTCCAGAATAAATATAAGTAAATAAAAGCTAATTAATAACACACTTTTGCTTTAAATAATTAAAAAATTACTTATAATTTAATTTCTTTTATATCATTAAGAAATTTATTAGTTTTTCTAAATACATTTTTAACTTTATTTTTTTATGAAATAGTTAATAAATAAATGAAGTTTGAAAAAAAAATGTTTTATTATTAAACAATTTAAAAAATTTTGTTAAACAGTTTGAATTATTTATTTATTAATTTGCATTAACTATAAGAGAAAATAGATTAAAATAAAAAAATTTTAGTTTCATTTTTTTATTGAATTGTTTTTATAGTTTCTTAACATTTACTAGTAATCCTATATCTCAATTTCACAGTCTTTGAGTCTTCTTTCTAAGTTTTTTCTAACTTCTTTACTTAACTCTTACTCTTTACGAAGGTCTTATATAGTGCTATTTGCTAATTCTATTTGTTTTTTTAATGATTCGTTTTCTTAAACTTTTTAAGATTTTTTAGACTACTCTTCTTATAAAAGTTCTACTTTTTTTTAGAAATCAGACACCTTTTTTTCATATTCATCTTTAAGAGAAGTAACTTCTTGCTTATGAGATAGCTTAAGCTATTCAATCTAGTCTTCATAATCTTCTTAGATTTAGGCCTTTAATTCTGATTGAAGAGTATCCTTTTCTAGCTTTAGCTTCATTAGCTCTCTTTCCATGGTAGAATACTTTTCTACAATTTCTATATTTTTTTTGGTCTAAGCGAATTTGGATTTGAATTCTTCAATTACAGATTTCATTTCCCTAATTAATTCAATTATTCCTCCATTAACTCCACTGACTCCAACACTTTTTGATTTTTCATATTAATTTAGCTTGAATTATAGTATACTAAGTTCTTATTCTTTACTTTGAAGTTTTTCAAGATAATCTGAATTGTCTTATTCTCTGCTTTCTTAAAATTTTTTAATTTTTTCATTAAGTTATTACTTTTCGATTTTATATTTTTCATAATCCTTTCTTGAATCTTATATTTTTTTTAAGTCGCTTTAAAGTTATTTGATTTAATTTTCATACTCATTTTACTTCTCATAAAGTTCTTCTTTTTCTTTTTTAAGCTATTCAATTTCTTCATTCTAAAGAATCTACCTTCTCTGCTCAGTTGGAGTTGAGTCTTGCCCTATTGATTTATATTTATCTAATTCATCTTTTAACTTAGTATTTTCCCTTTCTTTCACTTCTAATTTTACTATCAATTCTTTTTTTTACGATTCAAGGTCTTATTTTTCTTATTCCCTAGAAGCAATTTTCTTTTTGAGATTTAAAATTTCTTCCTTAATTTAAAAAAAAAATAATTTTAAGTTTTCCAAAAGAAAATGTTATTCAATTAATTAATGATTTATAAAAGAATTTTAAAAAAATTTATTGTTAAATAAATGTTTTAAATTGAAATAATTTGTTAATCATTGCTTTGAATTACCTCATAATTGCTTTAGTTTTATTAGCTAGTTTAAGATGCATTCATATTTTAGCTTTAACCACTTTATGTAAGTTAAGGATTAGCATTACCATTCTACTAGCTTTTTTAAGCTATTTGTTGAAGGATATTCATTACTAAAGGCTAATGTAAGCGAGTAGCAAAATCGGCAATAAATTATGGTGTAAAACCTCCTTCAAGCTTAAGGGGATTAATTTAATTTGGTGTTAAGCAATATTTATACTTTTAACTTGCAAGAGGTCTATAATTCCAAGGTTCCATTTCAAAAATGTTTTTACCTTCGCTTTCAATTATAAACCATGGGTGCTTTTTTATTTCAGGAAGTGTTTTACGCTAATTAGGTTCTTTTTTACATAAATTATTAACTAAATCTTTAGCTAATTGAGGAAAGTCGTTTGGATAGTCAAGTTTAACTTTTAATATATTGTCTTCTAATATTTACCTTGCTTGGTTTTAATCAATGTTAGCATTCTCGACCTTTGGAGCAAATGGAGCTTTCCCTGTGATTAATTCAAAAATCAAAACACCGAGACTCCAGATATCTAACTTTTCATCGTGCCCTAATTCTAAAATCATTTCTGGGGCAAGATAATCAAGAGTTCCACAGTAAGTCATACGCAGACGATTTTTAAAGTTTGACCAACCAAAATCTACTAATTTAACTCTTCCGTTTTCATCTAAGATTAAATTTTCAGGTTTTATATCACGATGAATAATTGGAGGGTTTTAGCTATGTAAATATTCAACAGCAAGGATGATATCAGCCATATATCTTTTAACTGTGTTTTCATCAAATCTACCTTCTTTTGTTAGTTTTTACCAAAGTTAACCACCTGATGCATATTCAATCATTAAATAAATATAGGCATCTTCTTCAAAATGATTATATAGTTTTATTATATTAGGATGATCCAAGCTATACATAACTTTCACCTCTGTTTAGATTTGCTTTACCATACCTTACTTCAATATTTGCTATTTTTCCATTTATTTTAATGCAAAAATCTATCCTGTTTTTTATAGTTTTGTTTTGTAAACTTTGCCAAATGCTCCTTTGCCTAATCTATCCAAAACTTAAAAGTCTGAGGTTTTTAACTCACTTTCAAGTCGCCCTTATACTATAGGACTTAGTATAAGGATTCTATCTTTAACTTAATTTAACCCAATATTTTGCATTATTGATTCTTATCTTGTAATTATATATATAAGTATTGATTTTTTATTTTTTATATTTCAAAATACTATCAGACTACAGATTGAGTAGCAAACAACAGATATACCAAATCCTATATAATCCCTTATTCTATTTATATAATATGATTATATTCAATAACCAATCTAGTTTATTAGTGTTAAATTATTTTACTTATCAAGTTTAATTTAATAATTTTTAGAATTTAATTACTTTGCTTTTCTTAAATGAAATTTATATTAATAAAACAAAAATAAATATTTAAAATAATTAAGTTTTGCTTGCCAAATTATTTTTGATACGTAGGAAAATTATATTTTACCAGTCAATCAATCTGATAGAAAAATATTATTTCAATTTTGAAAAAACAAACATGCTGTGTGTGTGTTTGTGTGTTTAAAAAGATAAAATCTCAAAATCTATAAGAATAAAAGTTTATTTTGCTTTTAAAATTTAATGATCTTAATTTTGAATTAGATTTATTAAAATAATTATAAAGTCTTAGAATAAATGAATAATTTTCTAAGATTAATTTATTGAATACAAATTAAAATATGTTTTGATTTAGAAACATTAAAAATTAAAGCTAATTTTGGGACATGTGTTGTAAAAAATTAATATTTTAATTTGTTAAAAAGTATAAAAAGTAAAATAAAACTTGAATATTTCTTTTTTTTAAATTTTTGATTTATTTTCAATCTCCTAAAGCTTCTAAATACTTTAAAAAAGTATGAAATTTTTTATTTTATTTTTCACATATTTAAAACACAAAAAATGATAATGGAATTATATAATAGTAAATTAACACAATTAATTTCTTTAATTTATAAAAAATATATATAGAAAAATATAGAATCTACTTTTTATTTTATATCAATATATGTTAAATTCATGATTTAAATATCAAAATAATTCAATTTTTTCTAATCAATAAATAATTATTCAAAAATTATAAATAAAAGTAAAGTTTAATGTCAAAAGGTACAACCTGTCAAAAGGCTATCGTCAACTGGGAAGCTGCTAATCCTGGTAAAAATCCTTCTGAAGCAGAAGAAATCAAGCTAATTTTCTAAATTCCTCCTATTGAAAAGATGGACGGTCCCGTTTTAAACACTCTTACTAAATGCAAAAAGCTATCTTTATCTTCAAACTCTATCGATAAAATGATCTCTTTGAATATGCTCCGAAATTTAGAAATTTTGTCTCTGTCTCGTAATGTCATCAAAAAGATTAGTGGTTTAGAAGATATAGGAGGAACATTAAGGCAGTTATGGTTAAGTTATAATTTCATTGAAAAGTTAGATGGTTTAAATAATTGCAGTGTCCTCCAGACCTTATATATTGGAAATAATAGAATCAAAAATTGGGAAGAATTGGATAAGCTAAAAGATCTTCCTGAATTAGAAAATGTGCTTTTTTATGGTAACCCAATATATGAATAAGTAAAAGAAGATCCAAAGTTAATCGTCTTGAAAAAGTTGCCTACCTTAAAAAATGTTGATGGCTACATTATTGATGATTCTGTTCTCGAAAAGGTTAAATAAATTGCAGATATCCCTATTTCAGCTAAATAACTTTGATTTGTGTAACTATGGAAAGAAAAGCTTGATTATAAATATAATAAAATTAGTAAATAAATTTATGTTTTCCATCTATGCGATAAATTATGCTATGATTTGACGAAAATAATTTTTTTAATTTCAATATTAGAATTTTTTAACTTTTGTATATTTTAAAACACCAATTTATCAATCTATTGTAATTAACCAATTTTTTGAGTTTTCAATAGAATAATTAAAGAAGTTATACATTTATTTAACAGTATTTAATTAAAAGCAAATTATTAAAGATTTTCCATCAAAATAATGCAAATATTATCTACATTCAATTTTTAAGAATAAGTTTTATTTAATAAATTTCTAAAAATAACATTTATTTCAAAATCTTTATAAAAATGAATTTATTTCTATTTAAGATTACTATGAAAATAAAAAATAAATTTAATTAACAGTCTTTTAACTACTTAAAGATATCAAATACTATTAGAAATTCTTTAAATAATAAACTTTTCTTTCATTATATTTACAAGTCTCAATTAAATTAAAAGAAGTTTATTTTTATGCTAAAAAGATAGGATTTGTTCTAATGATAAATTAACAATCTTATTTATTATCATAAAAAACCAAATATCCATAAAAATAAATGATTCAAATTGCTTTTATTAAATGTATTTATAAAAAATTACTTTTAGAAAATTTTTAGTAAAATTTATTTTTGTGTAAGATAATTTTGAAAAAAATAAATTATTAGTCTTTTTAAACTCCAAAATCTCAAATAAAGAGAAAATTTTTAAAAAATAACTTTTCTATCATGATATTTATAAAGTATAATTAAATAGATTTTAAAATAAGAAATTAATTTTAAGCTGAAAATAGAAGATTGAATAGAACAATAAAATAAAATAAACTATGTTATTTATTATTACAAAATAATCAAAACACCATTATAATATTAAAAATTGTTTTGTTAAATCAAAAAATAAAATTGCTATTGAAAAAATAAACAATAGTTTGATATACTATTTAAGAGTAATTCTATTAAATTAAAAAATATTATCAAAATTTTAAAAATAAAAGAATTTAATTTTTTACTACAAGATTAAGATTGGTATTGAAAAATAATATTATTTAATCAATATATTTTTAGGATATTTTTAAAGATTTTTTTAGTTAAACCTAACATTTTTTCAAGACCTTATTATTTATTGATTTATATAAGTAAAAAATTAATATATTTTTTAATATTTATTTGGGTATTATGTTTATTTTGATTATTTATTTTTTATTTATTAATTAAAATAAATCGAATCAAAGAAGCTATGGAGTTAAATAAATTTTAAAACAAGGTATGATGACTGTATTATATTAATCAAGTAAATAGTTTTATTTTAATATCAATTATTATTAGAAAATTGACTCTCATTTTTAGTAATCGACTTAATAGATTTAACACTTTTTACACTTTTAGCAGGCTGAACTCTAAATACTTTTTAGGCATTATTAGGATAATTACTAGTTACATAAGAAACAACAGTTTAATTGTCGCCTTCTCCACCTGCCAAAGAAGGAACATAATTGAAATATCCTTTAGAAACAGAAGTATTTTTAAATTTAGTTTTGACAGATTTTACTGAAGGTGATATCATAGATTAATTTTTAATGTTTGTAGAAATGAAATTCTTTTTCTCTGTAGATCTTCTATTTAATTCCTACAAATAGCTGTAATTTGGTTTATAATTAAATCTACTTTCTTGAATTTGAGGTGGGATGTATTTTGGAAGAACTCCTTTTATAACATAAGACCTATATTTTTAGTTTTAAATACAAAAAAATTAATGAATGACTTTCTAATGTTTTAAAAAATCAGTTACCAATACATTTCATCTGTTTCTATAATAAGCTTTGCTTAACGAACTTTACCATACTCAAGAGGAGTAAATGTAATTATAAATTGTGTTGGGTTTTTACCTCCTGCTGGTTCTAATAAACCTGTCATAGGAGTTACTGAAAATTCAACATCTGATTCTTAAGTAAAGTGAGAATGGAAAGTTGCAAATGATTTAAATCTATTCATTATTTTAAAACTAACACTATCTTTTTCACCAATAGGTGCACTAAGAATGATAATATCATCTTCATTAGGAACAGTAGCCTCCAATGAGATTTTGAATCTAGTAAAAAAATAAATTATAATTTTTTATTAAAAAAATTTTTATAATTACTTCCAAAGCCCTCCGTTTTCTCTCAAAACTAAGAAATCGACTATGCACTTGAAAGGCTTGTAAGGTTTAAAGCTAACATCAAAAGACAAGAAATCGTCTGGACTATTTAGAGTATTTTTAGTTATTTTGATTTTTAAAGATCTATCTATTAGTTTCTTAAATTCTTCAGGAATATCTTTGATTTAGAATGTATATTTATCTTCTTTGTTGAACATATCTGAAATTCCAGGTAAATTAAGTGAGAATTATTAATTAGTCTGCACTCTACATTTTGTTTTGAAGTTTTGGATTACTCCACTGTTTAAAGACTCTGTGATTGCATGAATAGGGAATCTCCATTATATTTTGTCATTCATTGCGACTACAACATCACAATCATAAAATCTTTGATAACAACAAATAATAATTAGTTTAATTTCATTATTATTATAAAAAAGGAAATTTATATTTTACCTTATTTCTTTTGGAGTGAAACTAAATGGAATTTAATGTACAGTCAAAGGAGGAATAATCACATAATTTTCTTTTCCTCTCTTTAGCAATTTGATCACATCTAAAACTTTTACATCTTTAGTATCTATGAAAATACGAACCTAAGTTTTTAAAAAATGTTTAAAAGTTATTTATGTCAAATAATAAATTTAAACAATTTACTTAAACTGGGTCTTTGAAAGGATTCTTAAAATTTAAAACACTTGAATAGTCTTTGTTCAAGCCAATCGTGATGATTTTGGTGTCGAAATTTGTAGGAGGAAGACCTTAACCGAATAGAGTATAAACCCATTTTCCTATATTTTCTGTCTCAAAGATAACTTCAGAAGTTTATGGTTTATCTAACTAGCTTGGTCTGTATTTTATGTAAGCTGAGATTTAATCATAAGAAGGAATAACTATGTTTTCAGGATAAACTTCGAAGTTTTATGGGTTAGAAATCTTTACCTTAACCTTTACATCTTCATTAGAGGGATTTTCCAGAATTACTTCATGCTATTCTATCTTGCCTAACTCACATTTCAAAATCGGTAACCTGACTACACCTGAATCATCAGCTTGCAAATTGAGTTCGTACCAAATTTCTCCAAGTTTTTCACTTAAAAATGCAACAGAACCTAAAAATGATTGTAATTATAAAATTTAATGAAAGTTTTTAAATATTTATTTACCTTTTTATTTTCCAGGTTTTAGTGGCATATAAAACAATTCATACTTATACATTTATTTTGGATATACGTTAAAGAACTAATCACCGAGCAGTCCTTCACCTTCAAATACAACTTCGAACGTTACAACATCATCAGTTGGGTTCGACAAGTCTATATCAAATGCTAATGGTTTACGTATATTTGTGGCAAGATCAATAATCCTATCTGCAGGAGGACTTTCTGTATTTAAAAGTACTGTCCACCATATATAAGTTCCATCAGCTTTAGTAAAAGTAATAGAACCAGTGTATTACCCACTCATAACAGGATGAATTTATAGTATGTATGGTATTTTCTTTTTTGGAGGTACTGTAATAGAAGCTTAACCAGCAGCACCGAGGAGATCTGTCTCTACGATATAGGTTATAGGTTATTCTGTAGGATTATTGAGCATAATTTCTCTTTGAGTTGTAACTCTACTCTGAGAAGTTATAATAATATGATCAATCGCTAAAGGTTCTTCACCTATACCTTTTAAGCTGTAATCAAATTAATCTTAAGTCAATGGATTCTATATCTGTAATGTGGCTTCAACATTACATATCCATTCAGGGAAGAAACAAACTGGTATATTTCCAGTTGTTTTTCTTTTTACTATAAAATCTCTCAAAGACTGGGGACGTTCTTAACCATCTTTTGGCATTTAGTTTATGAAGAAGTATTTCTATTCATTATTTTAGACTAAATTTATCTTCAGTTACCAATCTTTTTCTGTGTTGTTAATTATTGGTATTTCTTGCATCACACATTCTCTTGCAGGAGCAGTCATTTCTAAGGTTGCCTAATACAATAAAAAAAATTAATTAAATAAATAAATCATTTACAAATCAAATATAAATATTTTTACTTTAACTGCTTTCGGAAGTGCTGTGACAACAACTTTGAACCTCCTAACATCAGTTTTTTATTAGTTTTTTATCACAATATTTGATATATAGTCTTTAAAGGGGTTTTTGAAGAAAAAGTTAAGTGGTAAATGGTTTGTTTCTGGTTCTGCTGGTACGTTAGATAAGCTAGTAGCTTGTTATGAATCCATATTATTTGAATCTAATGATTAAGATTAGTCTACTGAGACAACTTTATTCTTTTCAGTGTTGTTTGATTATTGAGATTTCTTTTCATCTTTCTCTTTATTATCCTTATTAACAGCATTTTTCTAACTTTTTAATTTATTATCATTTTTAGATTGAGCTTGGGCTTCTTAAGGCAAAGGTGTTGGTGCTGGAGGTGCTTTGTAATGAGGATTAAGGAGCTTGATTAATTTAGGAACGGTTATTGCATTAGCTGGAGGTTACTCTATTTCGACATCATATCCAAGTATGCGTGGTGATAGCATTTAATAAATCTTTTTAACAGTAAGCTAAGGTGTAGGAGGATTTATTGCCACCTTTTAGAATTTAGGTTTTTCTACAAGCCACTGCTCTAAATATTTTCTTGCATTTTTTAAATTTTCATTATTAAATGTCAAAGGAATATTCCAGCTAGTTAGATTGTCTACTATAACAGGGGAAATTTAAAGCTTATCATTAGGAATTTCTATGATTTCTTCAGGCATATCCACTCTTCCTCTTATTTCATGCTAAAATTCTCCCACTTTAGGATCATTAAATATTACATAACATTTTTGGTTTTCATATATTATAGGAATAAATGCCATTTATAAGTTAAAAGTAGCACCTCTTTTAAGTTTGACTCTTTCCGTTTTACAGAAAAAGCAAGGAAAATTAAGTTTTTCTACTTCTGGTAAAGCTAAAGGATCTTCCTCTTCAGACTATTTCTTTTTCCCTTTTTTATTGTTAGACATTTAAAATGTTTATGAGACTGTTTTTTTCTTTTTTGTTTCTTTTGGCTCTTCTTCTTTTTTTTCTTCAGGCTTTTTAATTTCATATTCATGCATAATCGAAACCTAACCATTAAAAATAAATAAATGTTTCAATTGCAAGTACATATTAACTAACTAATATTACCATAAAGTCACCATATTCATGGTTTAAAAATTTGTTTTATACTGCTATAGAAAATTCTTTGCATTCGTACATAGAACATTCAACATTCCATATTTATTAACTCACTCTGCCAGTAATTTAGCTCTTTAAATCAAATACAATAGCTGAAGCAATAGTAGTACTTTCTTTTTTATTTGTAAATGTAATTCTTCCTGTTTGTGTGTTTGATACTCTAGATGTAAATTTGATTTTATATTTATAAACACCTTTAGGTTCTACTCTAAAATTATCTTCTGATTCTAGTGAAAAATCTGGACTTCCTTCATATTTAACCCAGTAACTAATCGGCTTTTGTGTAGGATTCGTAATTTCAATCGTTTTAACAATCTTTTAATAGTAAATATTTAAAATAGATAATTTAATAATTAATTTGATTTATTTATTTATTTACATCTTCGCCTAAAATGCAGCTAAATATTAGTGGAGCTTATTTAGGGATATAGAAAGGGAGTGTTGAATAGAGCTAGATTAAAAATAATAAAATTTCTCTAGCATTAGGCCTAGCTAAATCAATAGGATTATATTGCGTTTATATTTTTAATTCTTAGAAAGCTGCTGCTAATTTCTCACAATTTTAATACACTTCTTCTTCGCTTGCACACTCCGGTTTCATAAAATTGAAAAGATTAGCACAGCTAGTTCCTACGTAATTCTAAAGTAAATAGGAAATGACATTGCCATCCTGCAAATCTGTTTCTAGATTCCTAATTCTTTTACCTGGATTTCCACTAATTAAATTTCCTAGAACTACATCGCTGCATAACTCAAGCCATCTAATTAAAATTCCTTCTTTATCAGAATATATATTTGATCCATTTATGTAAAAATCAGGTAAAGTTAATTTTTCTGGCAAAGCGTTAGGAATATTTTTGATAATTTTAGAATTAACTCTATTTTTAAAATATTAAAGATGTATTATTTATTTTTAAATTTGAAAGATAATTAATTACTTTGCTAGATAGTAGCATTTGATGATTTGATAAAAGAGATTGATCCAACAATCAAAATGAATATATTGATAAATTTTTGGATGAATTTTCAGATATTATGGAGCTACATGACTATTTTATTCTTTAGGTAGCTGCTTAATGTATGAGTGATAATCGTTATAGCTTAATAGATATTATGGTCTAATATGGTTTAGCAGAGCTCCTTCTGCCTTAAGGTATCTAATGATTTCATCATATTGTTTGAAGAGTAATATTGATTTCTCAGCTCTTTTCATTCCATTTTACAAATCACATTTTAAATTTGAAATGCTTTTACCACTACAAAAATTCACTAACTCAATGAGTTAATCACCATTATCGTCAACAATAGTTTCTGGAAAACTTTAAATTTAATTTGGTAGGACGTAATAGTTTAGCCATTATCTTATAAACTCTCTACTACTTTCAATCATATCTATTTTTAATTTTATAGTTTGAATCATCAATTAGTTTAAGAATAAATAAATACCTTTCGGGATTAAAGTATAGCCTTAGCCTGAAGGAATCGATATTCTAGTAGAAATTGTTTGGTTAGATAGGATGGAAGATCTTTTCTTTTAAATTTAATTGCTTGTTCCCTTAGATTGTATTTCAACACTTACATCATCTTCTCCATCGCTGTCCTTTTCTTCGAGAATTTACAAAGCAGATTTTTCGCTGTCTGATCTTATTGCATACCCTCCTTTATTTCTTTAAATGAAAGAAAAATTAGTAAATAAGCAGTTATCTGCTGTGCCTGAAACAGGAATGATGTATGAATTGCTATTATTGTCTTTAAATTCTATTTTAGTTGTAAATGAAATAGGCTTCTTTGAAGAGAATATTATTTCAACTTTCAACTTTGTATGAGTCATTCCCATTAGAATGCCATTTGGAAAATTACATTTGATGTCAATTTATCCCAATTCTTCTAAAATTTTATGTTTAATTTTTAAGTTGTCATATCCATCATTAATTATGTAGAATATGCATCTTGATTCTACATTTAGAGGCACGACCTTTAAAAATTATTAAAATTTTTTTTTTAATATTCAAAATAAATTATATATTTTACAGGCATTAAGACTTCTCTTCTATCGAAAAGAAGTTTAGGATAAGCTGCAACACCTTTAAGTGTGATGTAGCAGCATGGTTAATCAGCTGGAATATCTGGATCATCTATATATAGAGGTACAAGTTTTTCATAATTATTTGGATAGCTAGGATTAAAACTTGATTTTATTCTCAGAGTTTAACCAGGGTCAACTCTTCCCTGAGTAGGATGAATAGTAAATATTTTATCTTTTTCTAAAATTGAAGTATCCAGCCTCCAGCTTATTGATCTCTTTTCTGGGTTTGAAAGGATAATCTATTTTGTTATATTTTTAAAACATAAATAGAGAAAATCAAATGATTTCATACTTCAGAATTTATAGGAAATTAGTGCTCTATAGAAGTAATAATTTTTCTTGGGAATTCTACCACTTGAGGATCAACTAAAAACTTTGGTTTCATTCCTTTGCACGAAACTGATCTTGTGAGACTATCTATTTTTCCATATTTTTGGAGAGTAAATGGTATTTCAAATTCATAATCTCGTACAGCTTTTGGCTAAAATGTAAGTTTGAAACGCAAAGTCTGTTGAGGTTTAATTGTGATATTATAAAGCTTAGAAACTTTATTATGCATATCGTGTTTATCCTCATCTGATAATGTGGACATATCTTCATCATCCTAATCGTGTTTATCTTAGTTATCATCTGTGTAATCAATAGGCACTTATTTCAATATACTTTCTTCTAATTTATCTAAAGACACAATAGTTAAGCAGTCTATACCATCAGGGGCATCTGGGTTTTCATCTTCAGTCCTCAAATCAAGAACTAAATAGGCCTCGATTGCGCTTTCATTTACTAAATTCATTTCTTTCTCTCCTTGATTTCCTATATTAAAAAAATTACTTATAAACATATTTTAATAAATTTTGATAATATAAAAAATACCAAGCGCTGTTATTTTTCCAAAGTTAAATGCTGATTCACGAATATAAACTTTAGGTATGATAGTTTCTACAGAAAATGGTAATTTTAATATCTTTCCTCCTCTTATCAGTATTTTAATATCACTTTCAACTTTGCATTCTGTATTGCATAAATATTTCACCCCAACTTCCTATTTATTTATTGAAAAAATGAAACTTAGTATTAGATTTCCTTTCAAAATTTTAATTACAATAGATCCATCAGAGGGTATTCTACCTGATGTTTAGCTTGTGATTATAAGATTTTCAGGCAAATATTCTGTTAAAATTCGATAAATAGCTGCTATTCTTGATGTATTTTTAACAGTAAAGGACCTCACTTCTTCTTTGCAAACTAAGACTTAATTAAGCTCCATACTACTCTATTTAATTACACATTTAGCTTCGTTGACAACACCAACACATTTAAGTACTTAATTCATTCCGTTTGTTACATAAAGTAGTAATTTATCTTCTTCATACCTTGTACCTGTTTCTCTTGTGCTTGTTCCAGGGGAAGGCCTTTTTTATTATTTATTTAAATATTTTTAAAACTTGTTATGATTGATTACCTATATGTGATAGTGATAGGAATATTTCCTTTTGCTGGACAATCACCTTCTGAAGGGTAAATAGAAAAGATTTTTGAGGAAGTATCCCACTTAAAGTGACCTGGGGCATTACCATTATTCTCAACCAAAACAGTTTCTGATGTTTCCATTCCATTATTATTATCTTAAAATGCGAATTTTATTTATGTCTTGTTTAATTTTAAAGAGACTTAAGTAATTTTAGCTCTTATCTCAAATTCGTATTGATGTCTATAATTTATGGTATATTAGATCCTGGCTTTAAATTCTTCATCAACATCTATTTATTTTTTTCATATTTAAAATATCAGAAAAAACTCTTCAATTTTTTACCTTCAGAAAATAATACTATGGCAAATCTAGCTGTTTCACTTGATTTTAAGATTTAAGGTCTCTAAAAAGACTCTCTAAGTTCAGGTACATTTGTTTTGAGCTAAACTCTGATTGCATCTCTTAAATCATTTTTTACTGAAAAAGTCTTTTACACTCTTGAATTTACGTAGACCTCACCAAAATCAATGACTGTTGGCCCAGACTGTATGCATTTAAGCTCTTATCCAGTTAATTCTTTATGAACTCCTTTGACATCTTTGTGATCAACTGCTTTTTCTGGCAAGAGCCTATTACATGATAAAATTAATATTTAAATTTTATTCATCAAATGACATTCAAATAAATTTACTTTTTTATGATTGCATCCGGATTAGGATCAAACACTTTTTTAATTTAATCTTAAATAGGATCATAATCTCCAATGGGTTTTAAAACAAATAAAGGATCCTTTGAAGGAGGAAGATCAAGCATAGGAGGTTCTATTTTAGGATCCATCATACCAAGCTCAAATTCTAAATCAACTGGAGCACCAATCTTAGGATCTCCTCTTACAATTTAATCTTTATTGTCGACTGGCCCTATGCTAACTTCATCATCTGGCTAATCTACTAAACCTGTAAGTAAAAAATAAGTTAAAAAAAGAAACGAAGGTATATATTTATTTATTATTTTACCTTTGGCTTTTAACTTATCAAACATTTAGTGATATCTAAGATCAATTATTTTTTATTTTTCTTTTTAAATTCTAGATTATCTGCTTTATTCTAATACACCATCATATTTCTTTTTATTTTCTTTATCTTTTTGAATTTCTGCTAGCTTATTTATGTCAACATCTTTCTCTCCCTCTAAACCTTTAGGTAATTTAACCTCTGTAGACGCTTAAAAAGTTCTTTTTCCAACTCCCATTTTTTTATCATAAATATTTTTATTAATTGCTGCATCTAAATACTAATCTTTTGTTTAAAAGTCTTCTATTCCACACTCGGGTCCTCTTTCTTTTTTTCTAATGATTAAATTAACCATAATTAATTTGTTAAAAATATAAAAATGTACTTACTTCTTTTGGTCAAATTTTTATGACTACCCTGTAACTTTAAGAGGTATTTGATAAAGTCCGTTTAACAAAGAAAAAATAATATCTTTAGAAAACTACCCAACATTATTAGGTGTAAAGCTCACTTTTACAGTAGATCTTTAATTAGGTATTAAAGAGATTTGCATAGGATCTATATTAAAACAAGGAGTTCTTTCTACGACTACATCAATAGGTAGTTTAGAGTGTCTATTTTCTAAATCTAGCAAGCTCTCTCTATGATCATTTGCATTACATTCTCCAAATTTAAGAATTTATTTACTTAACTTTAGCAAAGGATAAGTGCCTTTAACTGTCAGCGAAACTACAATAGGCTCTTCTTTAGGATCATCATCCTTAAACTTAAAAAGTGCTGAATATTAATATTCTTAAGCCTTCATTTAGATATCATTAGTGCTTAGAGCATATTTTCTAGCCAATACTTAATGCTCAAAAGTAACAACAGAATTACAATTGAAAGCAAGTTGAACCTATTAATTTTTAATAATTTTTAAAACTAAAAAAATTTATATATATATAATTTTAAAATACATTTGAGTAAGGTTTTATTTCGCCTTAAGATGGGAATACTGACATTATTTGATCTGTTATTTCTTTTCCTTAATCTGCAGGAGTTTAAAGTGAAACAGTTTCATCCTAATAAATTTAAAATACATTTTTAATTCAAACTATCTTCTGTAAATATTTGATTTACATTTGGGTTGAAAATACCCAATTTCATTTAAACTTTAAATTTTTATGGTTTAGGACTATTATTATAGAGATATCCTATTTGCTGCTTCGATTATCCATAGTATATTTCGCCAAAGTCAAAGCTGCTAGTTTGTGCATTATTTTCATCTAAAATCATTTTGTTATAGTCCACACAAGTCGCACTTATATCTATATAACCTGAATTCTACTTACCATCAACTTATACTTCAATTTAACCTCTAAAGATTCCTGAATCCTTTTAGCTTCATAAAATTAAATACTTATTAATAAAAAAATGCCAAAGATGGTTTTTATAAAAAGTTAATCACACACATTCAAGTAACAAAGAATAAGCTGTAAGTAAATAATTGCATACTTGTAGGTTAGTTTTACTTGCTGAGATAGTTATGGCTATATGACAAACACAGAAGGCTCCATTTTAATGCTTTTAATGTGGTCAAAAATTAATCTTACTCTTCCTGGCATTTTACCTTTATTTTCAAAAACTAAAGTCCTTTAAACATCACGATGAATACGAACAAATCCCATATTTATAAAATCTTGATATATAATTGTCGGATGAGGTTTCTTTGCAAAAATAGGTACAACTATTTTTTATTTTTTCCCTTCATCTTCATATTCAATTTCAACCTCATCAGCAAAATCTTCTAAAACATTAGTTTCAAAATTTATGTATAATTTTCCACAAATACCAGCTGCAAGAGATTAAGAAGAATCGAAATCAACCCAGAATTTTTTAGTCTTAGGTTAATAAACTCTCACTTTCTTTGGAATTTTGCTTAAATTTTGAACATAAAGAATAGTTTAATAAGGCTAATTGATTTCTATGTTATCGAAGTATATTTCTGTTGGAGTTATTTCAAAGCATTGCTAATTTGTAATATTTTTAAGGGTTTTTACATTTAATTTAGATGCAGCTGTCGATGCAGTATTTGGACGAGCATTGCTCTAAGCAGAGCGAATATTACGAGATATATTTTTAGCATTTACCTTTGAATGATTTCCAAATATATCCATATTATCATCATCGCTGCTTAAATCATCATCTTTCATCCAATTATTATGCATTTATTGTTTTGTATTTTCTTTTTTAAATTAGCTTTTGCCAACCATTTTAGGATGAGCACTCATTAAGCCTGCCCTTTAGTTTTTAGCAGATTGTGCCCTGACCATTGCAACTTATGCAGATTACGCTCTTTAAGCTTCAGTTTTTATATTTAAAGTACTCATTTAACGTAACTGACTATTTAACTTTGATATTATTGCAATTGTATTGTTTCTAAATATGAAAAATCTACTCTATAAACAGCTAAAGTTAAAATTACTATACTCCTAATGAGTTTATGCCCTATTTTTATATTTTTATTAGAAATATAACTATATTTATAAAAGGCAATATTTTTAATTAAAAATTAAGTAAAAATTCAATTCTATTTTGAATAGTAATTGCAACAGCTCTTCTATAGATTATTAGCAAATTAATTATTATTCACTTATTTAAAATGTATATCTTTAAATCTAAAAAATAATATTTACCAGCTCACTGAAAGTAAATACTGAGATTTCAATTTGAAAATTTATTAAATTATTTATTTATTTAACTTCAAAATTAATAATTAGATTAATTATAAACATTATAAAATATATTTATTTTATTCGATATATTGTAATCACTAAAAAACTAACAATACATATGTAAATATATAAATTATAATCAATAAGACTTAAAAAAAATTAATCTTAAAAATAAACTTATTTTATTGATTTTGAAATTTAATATATTTCATAATATTTATAAAATTTTACTATTATTATTATTATTATTAAATAATTTTAAAATAAATTTATATCATGTAATTAATCCTTTAACATAATTAATTTTATTAGAAATAAAGTGCTTTTATCAAATATACTAATTAATTAATTTATCAGCACCTTTTGTTAAAATATTCTCATAAATATAGTCTTTTTTTATGATTGATTCTATAAAAGTTGTTAAGTAAATTTCTATTAGCATTTTAATTATCAGAAAAAAAATATTGTAAGATTCAACGAATTATTTTTTCATAAAGCAAAGTATAATTTACAATTTCAAGACTCACTTAAACCAAACATGAAAGGTGAATCAAAAATAATAGAAACATATATCACATCATAATGCTTTTAAAGCCTATCAAAAAGAAGAAGGGCTACTCCTATTAATATGAGAGTAAATGCAAATACTCCTTTTTTTACTGATTAGTATAAGTAGAATACAAACCAATAAAATTGTTAGAATTCATCTATTGAAGGATAAAGATCTAACAACTAAGATAAAAATATTGAAAACCAAAAGAATCTTACTAATCTTTTATAATTAGGTAGCAATTGTATACAATCATCTAGCAAATCGAACCACTAATTACAAAATGATTAAAACTCTTGACTCGATAACATGCTTTTCTTAAAAAGCCAAAAAAAACCCTTTTTTACCAAAAAAACATTGGCTAACTAATAAAGTTAGTCCTAAAATACATAAAATTAAATAAATAACAACCCTTAAAATAAAGTGGATGAGAACTTTAAAATTTACAACGAAAATGATTATATTAACCAAATTAAATTGTAAAATGATAAGTTTAAGACATTAAATCCATTAGAAATACAAGGTAGCAGTCACAAAGAAATTTGTTAGTAGAATTTAAATATTGACATTTAAAGGAAAAAAAATCCTTAAAAACTATTGTAACCTATTTAAACATTAGATCCATAAAGGAGTATAGAAAGGGCTAGCTTACATAGCAACAGTATTGCAGCAACTTCTTCAAGAAATGACCAAACTTTCTTATATTAAAATGGTAAAAAATTTAGAGGAGGATAAAAGCTTTAAAAGCTAAATGATATTAATTTTAATGATAAGGAGTTTACTCCTTGGGAACAAAAAAATACTGTTGATTTATTAGATGTTTGCTAAGAAGAAGATATTTTAACAAATTTTCATGGATAACATTTAGATAAAGAATTTAAAATAGGATATAATAAAAACCATCATCATAATTTTTACCTTAAAAGTTTGAAACTAAATAACCAAATCGATGAAGATAAGATCATAAAAAAGACTAATAATAGAGAATCATACTAAACTACTGTATTAAATTAAAACCGTAACAGATTAAATGATTCTCAAGATAGTAACAGTAATAGCACTGGTAGCAACAGCAACTTATTAAATTTTTCAAACCAGCTTAAATCAGTAGCAACTTATAAATAGCTAATAAATAACACTAATTCATAAGAGAGTAGTAAAATGGAGAATTACCTTTCTACCTCTTAATTAAATAATATTGATATTCAAGATATCTAAAATAAGAATGATATTATTAAATATGGTAGAATTTAAAACATTACTCCTAAAGGATAAAAAGGGAGATGTAAAAGTGTAGTAAAAGAGAGAACAGATAAGTCATCTTTAAACAACAATTCTTTTGCCAACAATTATCATTACCATAACTTAACAATAAATACAGATAACGTGTAAATAGAAAATCCTGGAATCAACACTTTATTTAGTAACCCTTTCCAAAAAAATAATGAATATGAACAATAATGCACAAACTTTGATATGTAAGACATAAGCACTAGATTATAAACTTTTGATGAATCAAATAGTAGATGTATAAAATCAAGAAAAAATAAGCACCTTAAAACTCTTTCAATAAATAGTTAAAATTTCTCGGAATAAGCTTATATTAAAGATTCTATATCTTCTTATTAAATGCTCAAGCAGAGTAGCTTAGGACGTTCACATACACCAAAGACCAATTAGAATAAAAGACTATCTAATAATTCAAGAAATATAACACTAAATGGTGATACACCTATTTCATTAAGGCCAATATATACTCCTGTTGGGACTAGTGGAGCAAGAGGAGAAAGAGGGCTGTAGGATCGAGGAAATACAAGCTTTATGAATAGTGTATTATAGGTATTTAGGTATCTTGAGATTTACAGCTAAGAAATTTTAAATTATGAAACTCAGGAAGGAGGAAATCCTCCTTTTATCTTTTTCTTAAAGAGTATATTCAAAGATTTAAGTGAAAACAGAGAACCAGTGAAATACACTTAGTTTATTAACTTCATATATACATCATCAAACTAAGTAAATACAACTTTTTATTTAATTTATTTATCTATTTAATTATTTATTTATCTAATTATTTAATTAATGTACAATTATTTTGATAAAAAAGTTCAAAAAAAATGAAACAGGAGATGTTGACAATTTCATTGAATACCTGATTTAAGAAACTCTAACCACTTTAATAAAATTTTAATAGAATAATAGTAATTAGTCTATTACTTGCTCAAAGAACCATTCTTCTAGCTAATAGCAAGCTTTAAACAAAAGTTCTAGTTATTTATAGACTGAATATGAAAATATGAAAATTGATTAAAGTACTAATTTTTTACAAAAACATTCTATAAATATCCTTAGTCGCCCTAAATAATCAAGGATGGGCAATTTCATTTCAAATCAAACTTAAGAAACTCAAATAGATACCTTAGATAACGATAATTTTGAAATATTTCAGTAAAGTGATTATTGTCTATTTGAAAGTTCAGAGTTTGGCATGAAGAAACTAAAAGGATCATAAAAGGAGGGATAGCTATAAAATTTAGGTAATTTAATTAATGCTACAATTAATTTCGATGTCAAATTGAGTTTAGAAGACAAAAAAGTCAAAGTATTTTTGCCTTGCTTACCTGAATTTAGGGAGATAGATAAACAAATTATTGATATTTATAACAAATTTGTTCAAAGTATAGAGCATTCAAACATACTAAATTTATCTTAGCTCTTTTTTGGAGTCTCAAAAGTAACATATTGCTGTTTGAATTGTCAAAGACTTGATGAATAATTAAATGATATAAATTTATTTAAGATAATTAAAATTTATGATGACTCAGAATATTCTTTGGGAGAAAGAGTAGTTTAAACTGGATTTTTCTAGTATCACGTTTGCAAAACCTGCAAAATAGAAACCAAATTTATCTAAAAGCTAGTTTATTACACTCTCCCAAAGTATTTTTTTATTTCAATACAAAAATAATCTAATTTTAAGTTACAATTTTGCTCAAATGGAATAAAACCTCCCTCAAGTTCATCGAGCTTGCCAAATAAAAAATAAGGAAAATGTTTATGTGATACACAAAATTTCTAAATAGAAACAATTTACAAGAGCTAAGTAAATTTACTTTAAAATTCTAATAAATTCAAAAAATTTTTCAAAAACAAAAGGTTTAATACTCTTTAAAAGGATAAATCTTAAACTAGTAGGGGTCTTCAAAGTTTTCGACTTTAATACAGCCATAGAACTAAGCTAAAGAAGAACCTATGATAAATCTATTTAGCGACTAGTATTTTAAATAAAGAAATAAATTTGCAAATGAAAATGTTAAAATTATGATTTATGAAAGAATTGACAATTGACTGAATTTAAAAACTGTAAATATATTTTAAACAATAAAAAATTAATTTAAAAAACTAATAAAGAGTTATTATAAATAAATATAATTTTTTAATTTATTTATTTATTTGTATCAAAGTGTTTAGATATCTTTTTTATTATTAAGACCATCTAATCTCCTTTTAACTCCTCTCTAAGTTTTTAAATAAAAAGAGAAGAAATAATTTATAAGTATAAATAAAGTAGTCACAACATCTTATTTTATGTAAATCGTTTAGGTTAAAAAGGAGTTTTGTTAAAATACAATATTTAATAAATAATAAAATATTTCAATTTATAAGAAGTATAAATCAGAATATGTAAAAGGTAGCATAGACTTTTTGAAGAAATTAAAAAAAATAAATGAAAAATTAATGCTAAATTTTAATTAAAAAACAAATAAAAATAGACTTGTTCGAGTAAAAGAAAGAAAGAATTTAATATCAAATAAAAAACATTAAATTAAATTTTATTTTTAAGTAAGACTTTTTATTCTTATTTACACTCTCAATTAAATCAGAAGAAAACTGATATAATTGAGAGAACATAGAAATTTAATAAGGAATAATTATTGTTGAGAGGAAAAACCATCAATTATTGATCTTTCTTAAAAGTTTGAATAAATTTTTAGAAGAATCAGAAAATGTAACAATTTTGCAAAATAAAATTAAAAAATCTTTATACTATTTTAATTACAAAAATATATTTTTGAGGTAGAAATCAAATTTTTAATTTTAAAACAATCAATCTTTTATTGAAATTAAAGATAAATAATAGAGAGGAGAAATCATCATTTAATAGGTCTTTTTTTAAATTTGAGAAGTTTTTTAAAAAAAAGATATAACTCTATAACTTTTAGAAATAAAATTAAAAAATAGCTATACTATTTTGATTATAAAGAATATATTTTTTATTTAACAAGCTAACCTATACCATTAAAGATAATTTTTTATTGGAATAGAAGCCTGATAACTATAGATTAGAAATTACCCTTACTTTTAATTAATTTATTCCATATTTTTTAAATTTTCAGATAATATATTAAAAGGAATATATGTATTTTATCTTATTGATTTGTGGTAAAATTGCCTCGAGAAAAATTTCAAAATTGAGTTTTACAGTTTAATAATATTATTAAAAGAAAGTTAAGCATAACCTAAATCTAGCTTTTTTGATCAGCGTTCTATTTAGATCTATACTTTTTTTTGTTTAAAAAATTGAAATTTATTTCTGGGGAAAAAAGATCAAGAAAAAAAACCAAAATCATCATTTAAAGAGCTTTTTTTGTTATCTCCCAAATTTTTTAAGAAATTTGTTTAAGATACGCAAGCTATTTTAACAAATAGAAATAATTATTATAGTCAACAGAAGATATTATCATTATTATTATTTAAAATAATTACACTATTTTAAAAATTTTTAAAAAAGAAGATATAGGTAAAATGACAGTTGCTGAATAAGAGAAATAGACAAAGCAAGAAAAGCAGTACGTAGCTGATAAGTCTACTCCAGTTCTTTGGGAATGTGTTGAAAAGAATCCTACTTAAAAACACCAAAAGGATCTCAATGTATACGAAGACTACCACTTTGAAAAAAGCAAAGAATACTTCCACATTATGCCTCATGAGGAACCTCATACTTTGAGAAGACGTGCTATCCTTGAAAAATACCCTTAAATAAAGAACTTATTTGTCAAAGACCCAATCAGCGCTTATATCACTGTCGCTATTGTTGTGTTTTAATTGATTAGTGCTTACTACATTTAACACGCAAGTTGGCCTGTATATCTAACATACATGTATGTTGTAGGAGCTACTCTCAATCATACCATGCAAGCTTTAGTTCATGATTTGACTCATCTTACAGCTTTTGATAGCGTGATTTTAAATCGTATATTTGCTTTCCTCTCTAATGTACCTACTTGCATTCCCTCAGCTATGACATTCCAACATTATCACCGTGAACATCATCTTGCTATGGGTGATCCAAAGCGTGATACTGATCTTCCAACTGATTGGGAAATCAGAACATTTAATCGCCCATGGAAGAAAATTATTTTCATTTCCTTACATCCTTTGTTCTACGCTGTCCGTCCATTTTACATTGCTCCTAAGGGTTTAGGACCTCTTGAAATTTTTAATTTAGTATTAATTATGAGCACTAACTTCAGTGTATATTATTTTATGGGACCTTTTGCCCTCCTTTATCTTGCTTTATCAGGATTTATAAGTATGGGATTACATCCTATGGCTATGCACACTATTGCAGAGCACTATGAATTTGTTAAGGGATAAGAAAGTTATGATTATATTGGTATCGCTAACTTCTTTAACCTCAATCTTGGTTATCACATTGAACATCACGATTTCCCCTAAGTTCCTTGGAGACTCCTCCCAAAGGTTAGAGCTATGGCTCCTGAATTTTATGAAAACATTCCCGTTCACACTAGCTATCTCAGAGTAGGACTTGCCTATCTCTTCGATGATGATTTGGGACCATTTGCTAGAATTGACACTTCTGAAACAAAATTGAAAAAGAAAGATTGAAATTACAAGGTATTATTTATTTAGATATAAAATCCTAACTTTAGTTAGAATTTGAGAACTAAATAAATAAATAGTTTGATAGTCTAATATTCCTTAAGAAAACTAAATTACCTTTAATTAATAAAATTTTAAAGCATTTATTGTAGTTTACCTATGAATATATATTTTTTTGAAGTGTTAAAACTTGCAATATTTGTGAATATAAAACCAGATCTTTTTATGAAAAATAATCTCAAAAAATACTAAAACTTAAATTTAAGCAATGTCAATAAATCGATAAATTGTAATGTTCTGTGAAAAATATAATTAAAATAGATCAATTTTATTTAAAAATATAATAAATGGCTTATTTTCAATATCCAAACTTTCAACTTTTTATGTGTGTCAGTCAGCCACATTTTATATTAAAATTTATTATTTGATAAAACTTATAAATTTAAAATAATAATTTTTAGTAATTGAAAATTATTTGACTAACCAAAAAATTTAAAATATTTAAGAATTAATTTAATGATAACACATATAAGAGCTTAAATTAAATTATACTTAGTAAAACTATTTATAATAAATTAAAATATATTCCTAATTTCTTTTTAAATTTATTTATATTTTTAAGAAATAATAAAAATATATTAGAAATAGTTATTACCTTAATTCATCAACTTTTACAGTGTTAAATAAAACATAATTTAATGTTTAAATTATATATATATTTTTAAGAACAAATCAAAATTTTAATTTTTTAAATTAATTAGAATTTAATGATTTAAATTATTATTTTTAATATATTAAAATATATTTTAAATTATCTACACAAATATTTCAGTTTTTTTAGTATTTAAAAATATTAAAATTGCAATTATTAATGTCATTTATGTTTATATATTGTTGATGGCTAATATATAATCAAGCATTAATAATTTTATAAAAATAATATACTCCAATATTTTATTCACTTAATTTTTTATCAAATAAATATTTCAATTTGTCAAAAATTGTAGAAACTATAAATTATTGTAAATTAACTAACATATTTAGTTTATTATAATAATGGATTAAATTTAAGATGATAAAAGTTTATCTAATAGTAGACTACATTAGTAGCTATCTAAGGCCAACTATTCTTTTAACACAAATGATTAGATTTTAATGTCAGAGAGCTAATCTCCTACAAAATTTCATCAAAAAAGAATAAATTTTTTAGAGTCTAATAGCAAATAAAATTTTATGGAGAATGGGATTGAATAAGCTTCTTCAGAAAAACTCCAAAAAGCCTACAAAGTACATTTTATATATGAAAAACTATAAGATCGTTTAAAACTGCGTAAAAGAGATGGAGATCTTAATTTCCGAAAAATGATGCACGAATTTAGGCAGCTGGATACATTTGTTGACACAAGACAAGAGATCTAATCTATGAATTTAGCTTTCTAAAAAGGATTTAAAAGTAGCTTAGAAGTTTTAAAAATTAGAGATAAAATATAGCAGCTTAATAAAGAACTGAAAGACACTTCAAGCAAATATCAAATGCAGTTTGGAGAATATGAAGTTATAGATGAATAAGCAGAACAGAATAATTTAGGTGGGGTCAAGGGAGCGAAATAAGCTAAAGAATTGTTGAGAAGGTCTAAAAAATATTTATAAACAAAATCAAAAAACATGAAAATATACGATAGCACTTAAGCAATAACTGAGTCTTTAAAGGATTATATTTAAAAACACACTCAAACCGTAAACCAAATAGAACTAAAAGATGATACTAACGAATTTTATTCTAATTTAGAATCAGTTTTTGAGCATTAGAAAAGATTAATATCCCTAAAGGAGTGTAATTAATAATAAATATATTTTATTGCAATTTCAACTATATAAAAATAATTAAACATTCATAAATTACAATTGTATTACAATTAATAAAATTTAAAATATAGAGCATGCTGAGCTTGAAAGAAAAAAGCAAGAAGAGAAAGAAAAACAATTGAGGGAACTAATAAAACTCTCTAAATATGATATTAATGGTGGGAACGAAAAAGCAGTACCAAATCAAGGATATTTTGATGAATATCACAAAAACACCCAAAAGACAATAAATAAAGCTTTGAAGGAGAGCCAAAGAATATATCGTTAAAAGCTGGGCCTTATTAGTTAAAAGGATAAGTTATTTTTAGATATTCAGGAAAACATTATTGATAAAAACCAAGAAAAGCAGCAACCAGAATAAAATGATTTAACAAGCCCAGTTTAAAATAAAAATAACTTCTTTAGTCAAACTATATCAGCAACAAAAGTCTAAAATATCTAAAATCAGCAATAAAAAGAATAAAAACTTCCCATTTTCTAATCAAGATCAAGCACAAACACTCCTTTAAAAACAAATTTTATTACTCAATAGCCTGATATTACATAAAGCTCGTTTAATAAGTTGAATCAAAGAAGGTACAATCAAAATGCAATGACAAGTTATAACTCTATGACTAGGCTAAACTAAAGTAGCATAAATAAGACTTACATTCCTAGCGGAGAAATTTAAGAGGAAAAAGTAGACTACGATGATTAATAAGAAGAACAAGAAAAAGCACAAAAATTAATTAACAATTTAGCAATAAGTCCTTCAATTTAAAATTCATACAAGAATATAAGCACACTCTCTACTGCAAGAGAGACTGAAAAAATAACTATACCATTGTTGCAGATAAACAATAACCAACAAAATTTAAACCATGCTAAGGGTTAAAGATAAGCTTAAACTTAAGAAAATTTTAAAGAAAAAGTTGCTAGAGATAAATTATCTGAATTTTCAAGATCTTCTCTTGTTAACACATCTCAGAATGCTTTGAGACATAGCAGAATTGATAGTTTTTTTGATAAAAATCCATTTAATTAAGTCAAATAGAAATTAAATAGCCGTATGAATAAAAATTCAATTGATAAAATAACTCTCTAATAAAAAAACTAAAGATATTCTTCATAAACTGAATAAACTCCAAATGCATTTACTAGTGATAGTGATCAGACACCCTTAAAAGGCAGGAAAAAAAGTTTGGGAGGTTTGACTGATGAAGTATCTAATTTAGTTAAAATAATGGCAGAGAGATCACCTAAATAAAGTGAAATTAAAAGACTGAGCAGCTTGTACACTCCTAAAAGTACAAGATTTACAATTGAAAAAAAGAATATATTTTTGTCAAATATTGAAAGCTAACAAGAGACTATAAAGCAATTTATAAGCACAATGAAAGAAGCAGAAGTTACATATAAAGAAGAAAAGCAGAAATTAATGTAACAGTTGTTGGAAGCTAAATAATAATATAAATCAACTTAAGAAAGATACGAAGATCCTAAAATTACAAGTATTAGAGAAGTAGAGTAAAATGTTGAGCATAAATTCAAAAATTTCCTTAGAAGAAATTATAAGCCAAAAACACTGTAAATAGCTAATTATTGATTACATTATTATAAATAAAATAAGTAGTTTATATTAATTTAAAACTATTTTTAGGCATATAAAAATAATAGCCTGTTCATTTTTGTTTTATATTATTATTTATTCATTTTCTTTTAGTATATTTTTACACTTATATATCAAAATTTCAATTTTTTTTTTAAATTAATTTTATTTATAAAAATTAAAAAATAATCAAATTAAAATTAAAAAAAATAATTCTTCAAAACAAATGGGCTTTGTTATTTATCAAATAAAAAAAATAAAATTTTAGTAAAAAATTGTTTATTTTTAAAATTATTTTCAATCTAAAAAATAAAGTGATAAAACATATCTAATTTTTTTGTTAAAAATGAATTAATTAATATCTTAACCATAAAATTTTTATATGTTAATTTTATCTTTAAAATAAAGTTAATTTGTTGTTTGTTGAAAATAAAATCTATCTTTACTACTTTTAAGTGATTAAACTCATAAAATATGTTTGAAAAAATTGTGTTTACTTAGAGAAGTATTCATATTTTATTAATAAACCAATATGATTGTATTTTAAGGATTTTTAATTTTATATTATCCATGGCTATCATATATATTAATTGACTTATTGGTTGGTGAATAGATAAATAGTTAGATGAAATGGATAGATAGATAGATGATATCTTAAAGAATAAATATTTATTGTTAAATTTTAAAATCAATAAATTTATAATAATAATAATAAGAAACTTTAGTTTTGGAATTGAAATTTTATTTATAAGCTATCTTATATGCAGAAGATGCATTTATAAAGATACATTATCGTTGATAAGTTATTAACAAGTCCTTCGTACTTCTATGAATACTAAAATCACCTAATAAAGCTTGTATTAGAGATTAATTTTAATAATGAAGATGAATATAGTATCATTAGTCATAGAAAGATCCTTTAATAATTTGTAAATGACATTTATTTGTTTCTGATAGCGACTTTGCTTGCATTCTTTAATAGAAATTGCAAGAAAAATATACCCCTACCATAAAACATTAGAATATGCTTGCTTATTGATTTCAATCAAAAGGCGAAACTCAAATTCTTAGGAGCAGTAATACCATAAGCTTCCTTATTTTTAGCAGCGTTATAATTCTTAAGTTGCTCCTTTGAGTATAACAATTGATCTTTTTTTTATTACTCTCTGTTATCCATTTAATATCTTCTAATACCAACGTCACAGCTTGATTACCAAGCTTAGTAAGTTTAAGGGCACTTGTGATGATTATCTTTTTATTAAAAAATAAAAGATGTCAGAAAATATACTTTATAGGTGCAATTATGTTTAAATATTGAAAATTTATTTAGGTTTTCGAGGTATTTTTTATATTTAAAATCTTTAATTTATTTTTGTTCTGCTTTTTCCTAAGAATTCGCATCCAATTAATTTAAAATAAATATTCTATGCCATTTTTGTGTTAAATCGCATTTTTATTAATATGAATGCGATTATTTGGATGATAGCTATTTGTATGCTTTAAAAGGATAAAGTTAAAAATATTTATCAACCATAGGCATCTCTAATTGAGTCTAAACATTCGAAATGGGTATTAGAAGCTTAAAAGCATCTCTTGTAATCATATTGTTAACCAGGTAATTTGGTCTAGCTAAGTAAAGCGTTTGAAAATTCCATTTTTACTTCTATTTAATATCTTTTCAATTGATTTGATTTTATTAAATAATTTGATTAAGCTAAAGATTATATTTTCTTAATAAAAATTTTCTCTTAACTTTTCATATTATTTGTATGTATTTAAGAGCATATTTTTTATTTTCTTTATTCATTCATATTAATAAATTAATTAATTGATCAAATACTTAGTTCATCTTTTTAGTTCTTATATCATGAATCCATTTTTTCAATCTTCTTTCATACATTTTTATTATGAATTAATCAACTCTATTGAAAAAACAAATAAATGAATGCATTCATTTATTCAATCATTTAAAATATTGTTTTTGCTTGTTTAATTGATGATATTTGCAAACAATCCTAATTCATTTTATCTTGTAATAAATATATAGCGATTAGCTTGCTTATTTTATGTTTTTGAAGATATCTTAAAACAAAATCACTAATAATTTTCATTAGTTCGCAAGCTATCTATATATTTATTTGCTTTATATTTTTCAAAAATCTATAAACTGTATTTCGCTGCTATTAAATATTATAATTTATTTTTGCTACACAATATTTTTAAAGCCAAAATAAACACTTCAACAAGAATAAGTTTTATCCAAAAAGATTTATTTATAATAGTTAAAAATGAAAATGGAAGAAGAGATCATAGACTAAGCAGATAAAAAAGCTCCTTTTATCCACTTAAAAAGTAAGCATTAAATAAATAATAATTTAATTGTAAGAATATCAATCAATTATTTAGAAAACATCGATTGGTCTACATAAAATTATATAGATGATTTGTTATAATAATTTAACTAAATTTAAGACTACTCTAAAGGAAGTAATGAAATGGAGATAAATGAAAATTCTAATAAAAGCGAAGGTAAAATTTATTAATTATTTCATTTTAATATTTATAAATTTTATAAAAAAAAGCAAAGAAATTTAAGACAATAAAAATTTTAGATATTTTAAACAAAGGAGATATACAAAACTGACCTAAAATGATATTCAATAGCAATTTTTAACTCATAAATAAAGAAAAATAAAATAAATATTAATTTAAAAAAAACATATAAATATTATTAATTATTTTCAATTAAATGTTACAAAATTTCAATATTATATTTCAAAAGTTTTATTCTACTTTTCTAATTTTGGTTTAAATTATATTTTTTATCAGATAAATTGGCATATTGTTTATAAACAATTTCTTATATAAATAATTGCATATTGTAAAATATTTTTTTATTTTTCTTAAGTTATTTTTAAAAAATTGTATTTCTAAAAAGCTGATGGCTTTTAAAAATTAAAATAAAATTACAAATTGATTAATTTATTTTGCATTTTGAATATTAAATCAATTACTTAATAAACTAAATTAGTAATTAAACTTTATAAAATTGATGATAGACGACTGATTAATTACACATTTAAGTAATATTTTAAGAAATAGAACTAACTAATTATTAATAATAAAATTAAACAATTTTTAGACAATTTTAAATAATTTATTTAATTATTTCTAATTAATGAAGTACTCTAATTTAAATTGATATGATTTTATTATCGAAATTTAGATTAAATTTATTTACAGTTGAAATAAATTTTAAATTGATTATCTATTTTTAAATTTCTTTTAGGTAAATGTTAATTTGAGAATATTATTAATTAATTTAAAACTTTGACAATAAGTAATTGACAGTATTAAATATTAAACATATCATAATTGTTACATGAGTTTGTTATTGATATACGTAATCTGATGCATTGTCAAATTTGAGATATAAAAACAGTTGAAAGTAATAAATAAATACATCAATTTTTTGATTAAAACAAATCTTGTCATTAATTTTGATTAAAAATAATATTAAAGTATAATACAAACTTAAATACTACATCTAAAAATAAGCTATAGTTTAAAATGGGAAATAATTTAGCAGTTTTATAAATAATGCCCAACAAGTTTAAGTGTACTTATTTATTTTTATATTTGCTGAATTAAAAATCAAATAAATTAATATCTAATGTTCTTACATTTGCATTATAAATAGCGGGTTCAGTAGTATTAATTACAGGAGCATCATAGGGAATAGGAAAGGAACTAGCATTAAGATATGCATCTAGATAATGCAGGTTGAATTATTTTATTAAATATTTTAGTTTGATGAAGTTGTTTATTATTTTAATTTAAATTTAGACTGCTTTTGTGTGCCAGAAATGTCGAATTATTGAAAAATGTAAATTAAAAAATTAAGAGATATAGTTTGAATTCACCAAAATAATTATTCTTAGGTGTAAAGCTTATGCAATCATTTAGGAGGTAAAGCTGAGATATGCTAAATGGATGTTTCTAATGAAGAGGATTGCAAGTAATAGATTGAATTATATAAATAAAAAAGTTATGCATGAATAATAAAAGTATATTTTCTACTTTCTTAAAAGATTCAAATTATAAACAAAGATGAGCGAGATATTCATTCAAATCTTTAGAATAAAAGCTAGAATTTTCTAAAAATGCTAAATAATTAAAGATATAAAAAAATAGAATTAAATTATATAAAAATTTATGCTTAGCTAGCTAATTTCATAGCTAACTGTTTTGTTTTACATTTTAAAAATAGGAGAATGATCTAAGAATGTATTAAGCATTTTTCAAAAATCGATATCTTAGTAATTTAAAATAAATTAAAATAAAGCAATTTGAGATTGAATATTAATTATTATTTTTAGGTTTTAAATGCTGGTGTTAATGCTCATAGTAAATTTGTGGAACTCCCAGATTTAAGTTCTTTTAAGAAAGTAATGGAAACCAACTTTTATGGATGTGTTTATCCTACAAAGTAATTAAATATTAATTGTTTACTTAAAATTATTAAAAACCAATCTATCTTCTTTATAAAAATCTAGGTATGCTTTACCATATTTATAAAAAACTAAAGGTCAAATACTTGTTTTATCTTCTCTTTCCGGTGAGATTGGACTTCCTTTCCGTACTGCATATTGTAGCAGCAAATTCGCTGTAACTGGCTTCTTTGAATCTTTGAGAATAGAACTAGAAAATAAAGATATAGCAATTACTATAGTTTGTCCTCCATCAGTAATTAATTATTTTTAATGAGTTATTATGCATGTAATTTTATATTTTTTTTATCATGGATTTTCTAAGGTAAAAACTAATATGAGAGATCATGATCTCTTGCAAAAATATAAAACAGAAGAAATGAATGAAACTGACAATAGAATGAGTGTTGAATAATGTGCTGATACTATCATTCTTGCAGCTGATAAAAGAGCAAGAAAAGTAATTTTTATTTATTTATTTAAAAAAGTTAATTAAGAAGTATGAAAATAGGTATTCTTCCCACGTTAAGCTTACCTTGCTGCATATATTAGACCATTCTTCCCAGATTATGTTGATAATAAATTAAAGAAATTTGCTAAACTATGAAGATTAACAAATATAAGTTGATGAGCAAAGTTAAAAGATAAATTTTATTTAAAAGTTTATTGCTTGTATTGTCCATATCTTTATGTTTATGCATTTTAAATTGAGTTTTCAAAAATAAATTTATAAATATTTATTTATTTTAAATTAAAAGCTAAAATTCAAAAAAAAAAAAAGTTAATTTTGAAAAAGCTAAAATAAAATAAAAATCAACAAGATAACAAACACATCAATTATTTGAATGAAAGAAGAAGTTAAAAGTAATTCAAATAGAATTAAAAATTTATAAAATAAAAATTTATTAAATACTAATTAATTATTTTGTATAATTGTATGGATATAGATAGAGATAGTATTTATTTATTTCTTTCTCAAAATGAAAACAACTTAATTAAAAAAATTGTGACCGTTTAACATTATTAATAATTGACTATTTTTCCATTAGAAATTGAAATTTGGCTAAAATCGATTAATTTTTAGATCAAATAAATAAATAATATTTTGCCAAAAATCATTATAAATTTTGTAAACACAACTTTTGAAGAATTAAAAATACTTAAAAGGGGGAATAAAGAAAAATATTATGAACAATTAGTCATTTTAAAATATTTCATAGCAGCATAATCTATCTTCTTTAAATAACAAAACTTATTTTGAGTACTCTTTCAATAAGTTGAGGGAAAAATAAGGCTTTTCGCAAAAAGGTATTTTAATAAATAATTATTGTTAAAAATTTGTATCTTAATAAATAAATATTTTACTATGAAACTATTTATTTATCTTTCGAAATATTTTATAAATATTTAGATGAGTTTATGTATGCCTAAAAGCAGCTAAATTTAAATCTAGGGAATTATTTATATGAGTACTAAAAATAAAAATTGTATGAATCATGGATAACCAGTGATAAGATATAATAGTTACCTCAAGAAAGGAGAGATAAAAAAGCTGGAAAGTACCAATAAAACGAGAGTTATAATAGGCAACAATCTGTAAAGAGCCTTAAAAAATCAATAGCTAAAAGCGCATCCTGTAAATAAATAAATAAATTTGAACATTTTGTATTTGTTATTTTGTAATAAAAATATAGATCCATAATATATTGAGTAAATAAATGGTATTTATGAAGGAGATTTAGATATGAATTATAAAAAGGAAGGACTAGGAATATTTATTGAAGATCAAGGTGAGATGTATATTGGTAAAAAAATAACTTAATTTTAAAAATAAAATTGTAAAATTTAATTCATTTAAAAAATTTTTAGGTGAATGGTCTAACGATTAAATGCACGGTGAAGGCATTTTGCACTTCCGTTTCGGTGGTTATTTATATGGGAGGTTTAAATAGAATAAGGTTCATGGCATTGCAATATTAAATATTCCATTAAAAAACCAATTATTTATTGGTTATTGGAAACAATCTACTTTGAATGGTGTTTGCTTTGAACTTAATTTAAATTCTAGATAGTGGTCTCTCTCTATTTATGAAAATGGAGAGCTAAAGGAAAAATAGCAAACCGAAGCTTTAGAAATGAATTCATCTGGAATGGGTAAATAAATTTACACAATTTATTTAACAGATTTCTTAAATATAATTTTTAAAAAGTTTACCCTAAGATTATGGACCCTTATGAAGATATAAAATTTTGGATGAGTAGATAGTCAAACAAGCAATATTTCTTAGAAAGAAATATTAATACTTAGTAAAAGCACATTAAATACATAAACATCGATAAAGGAATGGAGTAGGAAGCATTTTTTTAAACAATTTTTTAATTACAAATTAATTATAAAGTTATATAGGATTCATTGAAGAAAACAATATCCCAGAGGGATTGGGTCTTGTTAAATGTGAAAAAGGGTTTATTTATGGATAATTTTGTGTAAAAATATTTCTTGAATTTTTCAATTAAAATAATAAATAACTTTTTTTATTAAAAAGAATGGCATTTTAGAAGGCTATGGAAGGATGGTGCTTGATAACGGAGATATTTACGATGGCTATTACAGGAAGGGACAATTGAATGGGCAAGGATACTATTTTAATTTTGAAAAAAAGATTTTCATGCATGCTATTTTTGAGGATAACATACCAAAGATCTATGAAACAGAGAATAAATATCGTGCTGACTTAATAAGTATGCTTGCTTTTTTAATATAAATATGAAGTCAAAAATAAAATTATTTTTTACTTTAGAAAAAGAAAGATCTGAGCAGCATAAGTCTCATAGGAAATTTTATGCGAAAGAGCAGCATTTAGAAAAACTTGTTTTTAAAATATTAAAAAACTATGAAGATTTTTATGGAAAGGGTTAATTATAGTTTGAAAGTGATATAAATAACATGTATTTGTAAAATAGAATAAATAACAGTTTTACAACAAGAAACTTTATGGATAATAATATTTCTCAATCTCCAAACGTGTAATTTACCTAGATTGCTTCTCCTACTAGTCAAAGAAGTTTAGATATTACTACAGAAAAATTAGCTGAATCTTTATAACCTTCATAAATTCCTCAAATTTCTCAAACTATTTAACAGTAAAATGTTATTAATAATTAATCTCTAAATTAGGTAGCAGCATAAAATCAATAAAATAACCCAAATAATAAAATAATCAATAATTAAAGTTAGCAACCAACAAGCTAATTAGCATAACCTTAGATTAACTAAACATAAAATTAACAAAAAAGTATATCCTTAAATAATTCTAACAGCATTTAAGGAAATTTAAATAATTAAAATTTATTATCAAACAATCAAAATAATACAAGTGGAATTATTTAAAACTAGCAAACAGCATCATTTTCTTAATAATAAATATAATAACAATAGTAGTTAAATTAATAGCAGTAGTAATTAAATTTATAGCAGTTATAGCAGCAATAATAGCTAAATCAATAATAATTGCAGTTATAAAATCAATAGCAGTAATAAGTTAACATGTAGCAGTAATAGTAGCAAAACTAAGTTTAATAGATTACTTTAATCTAAAATGAATCTGGCGTTTAATTATCATAATAATCTTTCTCTGAAAATGTTGTTGATTCACCAGTTAAGATGGAAAATAAAAATGAAGTAAAGTCTAACTTGATAGCAGGTAGCGTGATTTAAGGTATCAGATAGACTGCTAAACCTTAGAAAAGAGAGTCAAAGTACATTGAACCCCCTAGTATTAAAAAACCTCAAGAATTGCAATATAATGCTTCTTAGGAGTAATATGAAAGGTTTTAAAAAATGTAAGAAACAAGAAAGTAGTATACTGCTCAGCATTAATATTAAAATGAAACAGAGTTCAGTTTAGAAGTGGACCCTTCCAAAGATTTATTTTCATTTAAAAAAATTAATACAAGCTATATGGAGAGAAGTTAGAAAAGAAGAATATTTGAGGATAACCCTCGTTATCAAAAAGAAGTATTTTAATAGTCTCGTTCTATGACTCCTCATAAAGAATTATTGAGAGATGATTCTGCTAGGAGTACTTTAAGTTAGTAAAGATATAGAAAAAATGAGTATATGAAAGACATAAATACTCAATAGAAAAATAGGAACTAGCAAACCATGTAAAAGGGTATAGTTATAACTCATGACGAAGAATAAAAAGTATGGGAAAACGATTTTATAGGAAACAAGGAAGAAAATATTGATAATAATGTTGAGCATTTTTGTATTTTAATAAGAGACCAATAAAAGAATGATAAAAAACAACAAAATTCTCAACAAAATTAACAATATTAAGGAAATGATTTTAATAACTAAAATGTAAGGCGTTAAAAAATATTTTAAAATAATGCTTCATAGAAATTTGTTGACGATGATTTCTAGTAAGAGAATATTTCATCTAGAAACATGATGAGCTCCAAGATAATAGATTAAAAGCTTCAATAAAAATTATAGTAAAATAAAGAAAATGGAAAGAAACTTCAAGAAATAGAATATGATAATAATAATAGTAATAACAATATTAATATTTATTAAGATTAACTTGATATGTCAGACCAAGAAAATAAATAATACTTAGAAAAATATGTGTTTTCCTTGGTTGAAAAATTTACTCAAGAAAATAATTAAAATTCAAAGCTAAAGCCTATTGAACATCAAAACTTTGAGAAATCGAGAAATGAAAGTAAATATTTTAAAAATGAATTTAGGCTTAAAGAATAAGATAGTATTATCAAATCTAGTAATACTCCTTCAAAAGATTAAAAACAAAATAAAAAAAAGATTTTTGATAAAATACAAGAAATCCACCTAGAAAAAAGCAATATTAAAAGTTTATAACAAGAGAATCAATCAGTAAGAAGAGATGATGATACCTTTGATTATGCAGATGGACCAAATCTATCTTAAGGCTTACAAAACTCTCTAAGGGATGTATAAAACTTTTAATAAAGCTATCTTAGAAAAAGCCAAATTCAAAATTTAAAACCTAATACATAAAGAAGTTAATATGAAAATAATTCATAGTTTTTAGCTACTGATAGATAAGATTTTCAATAAAATTCATAGTAATCAACTGGTTACCCTTACAAATCTTAATAATTTTTTTACAATATGTCACCATAAACTAATAACGATTTCTAATGAAAAGCTTATTTTGCCAAATAAAATTTCAACTAATCAATAAATAAATAAATTAACATCATGAAACTCTAAAATTAAAAAAATAATATTTCCTAAATTTACTCATTTAAGAATAAAATTTATTTTGTTTTTTCTATTTTTATTTTAATTAGTCAAATTATATTTTTCATTTAAATAAATTTGTTTATAAAATCTACAATTATAAATGTATTTTTAGCTCACAATTGTAAGTAATTGTTATATTTTGTTAAAACAGCTTTATGAAACGATAAAAAGCCAGATATTCACTTAAATAAATAAAAAAAATCATGATTACTTTTTTTATTATTTGAAAGTCAACAAGTAATCTAAGCATACAATCTTGCATTTAAATAAACTTAATTATTCTAAAATAGCAAGTTAATTAAATTTGTATTGAATTTAGTTTTGTAAATAAGCTTTTATATAAATTGTTTATTTTTGTATAAAGTCAATCATAAAATGAGTTCAACATCAATCAATGCAAATAGATAGTCAAACTCACCGATTTCATCTAGTAGGATGATTTCTTAGAATGATTTAAAATAGAAATAACTTATAGGGTTAGGCAAAAAAGATGATTTTAGAAAATAATCAATATTTTCATTAAATTAAAACACTGACGCATCTGGTTCTCCTAAAATGATGGGCTATTAAAATGTCCAGAAAGATTAAGCAGTATAAATTTTGAATGAGACATCATAAAATATGTTATCTGAAAAGGATTGGAATGATTTTAAAGAATTAACTGATTCTGAAAACACTGCTTTGAGTTTACTAAATGAAATTATTAACAAAGGAACTAATACCTTATATAACAAATATCTAGATTAAAAAATGAGCTAACATATCTTCAACTCTATTATATATTTGTCTGAGCTTTCATGGTAGTAAGAGAGGTTAGTTCATGATTTAGATTTTGACTTGAAAGAATAAGACATTTATTTTAATTATCCTAAAGGATTACATCAATAAAAATTTTAAGACTTTTTAATAGAAGATGAGGAACCTGATCCACCAAATAGAGAAAATAGAAGAAACTTCAATGTTGAAATTGAAAAAAAGTAAATAATCGTAGATGAATTAGATGATTCTTTAAGTATTGCTCGAAAGGATATCATAAATAAATTAATAGAATAAAGTTCTCCTTCGAATTCAAAGAAAGGAAATAAAAAAAGAAATAAAAGCAAAAATAATTAAAAAAACGATACAAGTTTTATATCACAATAATAATAATCTCCAAATTAATCATAATTTGTATTCTCAAACATCAAAGAAACTTAATCTATTTAAGTTGGAGAAGAGGAATAATTAGGTTTGGATGAGGAGTAGATTAATTAAAAATATAACTTTCCTCTCTTTTAGGATCATAATCCTCAGATTATTTTTTTAAGTTAATTAGAAGAGGTAGATAGGGTTGAAGAACAACTTAGGTTGCTCAAAGAAAGGGAAATAGAGCTTCAAAAATAAAAAGAAGAATTTGAAGCACTTAGACTTAAAGAATAAAAAGAACAACAAATAAGGCTGAGAAATGTTTAAAAAGGTGAAAACAATAAAAAATAAATAGCCTATGATTTTAATGGGTAAATTTTAGGCATTTAACCCCTTAAAACTGATAAGCTTCCAAACTCTACAGTAGTCATTAACCATAATATATCTAAGGGAGAAGTGCAAGTGATTGATTATAACTCACAACAAACTGCAATTCAAAAATAGCTTAAAAAGAAGAATAAATAAAGTATAGATTAAGATGACACAATGTCAATAGACTAGTTAACTAATCAACAAACCCCCTCAATGAGAAATTAATCTTTTAGATCGAAAGACAACATATTAGCTAATGCTAAATCTTTATAAAAAGGCTAAACAACCTAAATACAAACAGTAAATGCTTCTATAAAGAACAAAAAAGAAAATCACTATCCTTAAAGTAAAGATGCAGTATTTTTCTAGCAGCAAGAGCTATTCGAAGCATTTAAAGCAAATAAGGGTGTCACTCTCATAGAAGGAGGAAGAGTTAAAAAAGGTCCAAATTTTAACACCTAAGCTAATTCAATTGATATTTCAAAATTAGTAGATAAAGATTATGTTAGAAATATCAATCTAACCAAGAATGATTATAATAAATTAGTAGGAGGCTTGAATACAAGTTTAGAAAGTGAAATAGGTCATAATTTAAGTAGACTTAGTAGTAAGCACTCAATTCATTCATAGTCGATGGTAAATTTGAAGAATAAATCAGATTTATTTGATTTAAGAATGCCTCTTAACATGAGTCCTAAATTAATAAGCCCTTAAAATAGCTCATAAAACTAAAATAAAATATAATTTTAAAAGAAAATGTTAACTGATTCTGTCAATCAAAATGAAGATTTCGATTAAAACATGTCAAAGTCACTGATAGGTAATTAAAGTGCAAATGATATGTCTAAAAATAATTTGAATATAAGCAATATTAGCAAGAAGAAACACTATTTTAGCAGCTAGAAAAAATTGCAACCTATTGACACAAGTAAAATAAGTGTGCAATCTATGGAAATTTTACAGACTCTTGCTTTAGACGATCATGAATATGTTTTAAAAGTTCTAAATTAAAATCCTGCTAATTTAATGTCAAATAAATTCAAACAAAACTTTAGCGACTTTTACAATAAAAGTCCAAAAAATTAAAAACAAGATAATAGCCAATTATCTTAGAGTGGTTTACAAGAAATGCATAGCTCGAGGTCCTTGATAAATGAGGTTTCATTAAATAAATAAAATTAAAATTTGTATACAGAGCCTTTTCTAAATAATATCAGTGAAATTTAAAGTATAAAAAATAAAAAGTCTAAAATCTAATAATAACAAATAAATAGAAAAAACAATCAATCAGAAGTTATAGCCCCATTGTAAAGACCAACTGATGAATATAATAGAGCAATCATATCAGGAGCTATAGAATGGGGAGCTCCTATTATGGATTCTTCAAGAAACCATTATTAGTTTACCCCTAATTTTAAGGCTGACGATATTTATAAGTAGAAGCATACTCTAGGAAGTCATGGTAAATTCCCAAGAGAGAGAATTATGAAAAAGACATTTAAAGAAATGAGTCATAATCATTTAAGTCCACCAGAAATAGGGAGCACTATGGGGCATGGTGCCGGACAAGGTTTCCACCCAGATAAATTAGTTACAGTTAAACAATTTATATAAGAACTAAATGATAACTAAAACAATTAAAGCAATAAGATTAAAACTGAAGTAAAAAATAAACTTAATTCATGATTTATTTACTTATTTTGTAATTCTAATTACAAAAAAAATTCTATATATAAATTATCAGGTATTTGAGCTAATTTCATTTTATTGATTCATATATATATGTAAATTTAAAAAAATAATTAAATAAAAAATTCTCCAATTTTCTAATATATACTTGTTGTAAATATAACTATTTATATAGAGAATCTTTCATTTGAATTACAATCTAGGCAAAATTTTTTAGACTTCGTTTTTAGTAATTTTAGAATATTTAAGCTATAAAATAGACAATAAAAAAATAGAAGTTTATTTTTGATGATTTACGATAAGGTCCCTCTCTATTTAATAATACTCATAACAATAATAATAATCTTAATTTTAATAAACTTTCTATTTGAAAACAACGTACATAAAATTAGATAGTGTACTTTTTTCTTATCAGGAGCTAATCAATAATCTTACTATTTAAAATATTAGAAAAAATTGTACTTTTATAAAGTATTCATTTTGATATTAAAATTTATCATAATTAATTTAATAAATTACAAATTAACAAAATATAAAGTTAAAAAAAGTGAATAAATGCAGTATATTACAGAGCCAATTTATAACGCCTATTGCTATGTCTGGAATTACTTTTATAGTGTTCCTCAAGACTATGACTGTGATCCTACGGAAGCATAGAAGAAATTAGATGTGTTAATTATGGAAATATAAACTCAAATTTAGATAAAGAAGTAAAGGAATTAATCTGACTTAAACGAGTTGAAGTTAAACTTTTCTAAGCATATTCACAGTGAACATTATTAAGAATAAATAAGAACAGATTTTTGCAGAAAAATATCCAATAAAAATGATGATATTAATATGCTTAATGCTATAAATGAATAGATTGAAAAATTGAAACAATTTAAAACTTAGCTAATTACTCTTAGGAAAGATTAAGAATACTTAAAATAAATAATGCCAACTATTGAAAATTTAGTTTTTGCTGCTTCTTATGATGGGACTCTTTAAATAAAGCTTGTAAAATTTACAGACTTCTTACAATACCTATGGGGTAAAGAGTATACAATTCCTGAAGAAAACAATTTAGTTGAAAAAGATTTTAAGTAAATAATGACTAAAATTTCTACAGATGAAGATTACGAAAAGACTTGTTTAGAGTTCTCAAGTTAATCATTGGTTCATCCTCAGCTTATATATCGTTGCAATCCTGAAAGATCAGTGATTTATTCATAGCAATCAAATGTTAACTAAATTTCAATTTAAAATCAAGGAATATAAATGAGAGCCGAATTAAATTGATAACAAACAAATAAACAAACACTTATTAAAAAAGACAAAATTAGACAGACATAAATAAAACTAAAATAAAAAAAACTAATAAAAATCAACAACTTTTCAATTACTTTCAACTAAATTAAATAATTTATTAACATTAATTAATATATTTATATAAATTAATATGTTTTTTCATTTCATATTTATTAATTCATTCATATTCTTTGAGATGTCAGATTTCTCTCCATAAAAATTCAATTTTTGATATATTTTTTAACAAAAATAATAATATGTGTTAACGTATCAAGAAACTATTTATTTTATTTTATTGTAGGAATATTTCTATTTCTCGCTGAAATTTTTTAAAGAAGATTTGTAAATATTTTTAAAATTTGTATGTAAATCCCTATTAAAAGCAATATATTTTGATTTGACCTTGATTAGTGGTATTTTAGAGTTTAGAAGCAAATATTTATTAAGTTATATTTAGAAAAATCAAATTTCTTCCAAATAACTTCAAGCTTTAAAAGAATACTCTTAGAAATTAATCTAATATAACACATGTGAAGAAATCAAGAAAAGATAGAAATAGTAATATAATGATAATATTTATATTTCTCATTTAATATATTTAAAAGTTTTTTATGTTTTTCAATAATTATTTTTTAAAAGCAAAACTTTACTAACAAATTCTAAAATAACTTAATAAATAAATAAAATATTATTTATTTAAAGTATATTAATATTTTTTAATTTTTAATTTAATATATTTTATTTCAGACTAATAAATAAGTAAAAAATAATTTTACAAAATTCATGTCATGTTAATTTAGTCTAGTTTATAAATAACAGTTAGATCTATTAATTATGCAAACGATAAATATTTTGAATTAGTTTTCAAAAATTTAATTAAGGGAATTAAAAAAGAATATATTTTTTATAATTTATAAAATATGGCTGATATTAAAGAAAAGAGTTAAGTTGTAAATAATAAAGTAAAAGAGACTGAAAGTCAATAAGACTAAGAGGCAGATGAGTTTTTATCAATTAAATAGTATCACCCTCTTAATATTCTTTTAGAGGAAATGAAGTTGGCTAATCTAAAAAAAAGGATATCGTGTGTTAGATAAATACCTTCAATCAGTATTGCTTTAGGTCCTGAAAAAACGAGAGCTCTTTTAATTCCATTTTTGAGTTAGTTAATGGTCGAAGAAGAAGAAATGTAGAAAGAAGTTTTGAATTTGATCCCATCTTTAGTCAATTTAGTTGGAGGAACTTATAGTTCTCACATATTAATGGATATCATTTTTGATTGTTTATATAAATATGATGAAGGTTAAGTAAAAGAGACTGCTTTAAACAGTTTAAAAGACCTTTTTAGGAAAATAGATTTAAGATACTTTGAGAAATTACTTATGGATTTCATTAATAGAAGTACTCATTTCAAATATTTACACAAAACAAGAAAATCTTTTATTATTTAATATTACATTTGTTAATTCATATTAGAAGATAATATGAAATAAAATACTATCAGTTCCATTCAAATTTATTCAAAATTAATGTATATAAATAGTTTTGGAAAATGATCATTTTAGAGCAAAAGAAATAGCAATTGTGTTGATGCCAGAAATATTTATTGCTTTAAATGAGGAATATTAATTAGAAATAATAGAAATATTTAGTAAGATGAGTTCTGATAGCACTCCTATGGTTAGAAAAACGGTAGCTATGAAATTAAAAGATTTTGCTAAGCTTATTCCTCCAGCCCCTGAGTCTTAATTGCTGTAAATTTTTGATAAACTTCTTTAAGATGAAAATGATTACGTGCGTATACCATTGGTTGAGTCACTTATTCCTTTTAGTCAGGTTTGTATAGAAAAGTCTGAAGCTGAGTTTATAGATATTCTTAAAAAAATTATAAATGATAAAAGTGTTAAAGTGAGAGGCAGCATAGTGGACTTCGTGGAAGACATAAAGAAGAGCTTTAGTTAAAATATTTTTGATGAGATTATTGTGCCTACATATCTCTCTTTTTTAAATACGGATGCAGAAAATGACTTAAAAAATAGAAGTTTGTAAAATATAGTCAACTTGTACAACCACATTCCTCAATTTTCTAAGCTGTTTTTGCCAAAGCTCAAAGATTTGACAAAAGATAAAAGCTTATTAGTTAAGTAAAATTAATTGTATATAGTACTTGTGCATTTTATAATATTATAATTAGATAAAATTTAGGAGAGGCGATAATAAATTTACTTACAGAAGGGAATAAAGAGCAGTTAATTGGAATTGAAGAAGTGTTTTCTGACTTGCTAGATGATTGTGATAATGAAACCAAATTCAAATTGTTTAAAAAAATAAAAGATTTTGGCTAATTGCAAAAAAACTTAAGTGTTAATATTATAAGAAAGATATTGAATTCATTAGAAACAATTGCTCAAAATAAAAAATGGAGAATAAGAAGCTCCTCGTTAAGCACTATTTCTAGGCTGATATAGGAGGCTAAATTAACAGAAGATTAATTTGACTAAGATTTTATTACGATGATTAAAAATAGTTTGAATGATTCTACTGCTGAAATTAGATTAGAAGCTGCTAAAACAGTTGGAAGTCTAGCTAATAATTTCTCACCAAAGTTTACTCAAAGTAAGATCTTACCAGAATTCATGGATATTTGGAATAATAAAAGTTATCTCACCAGAATAGGTGCTCCATTTTGCATAAAATTTAGTGTGCAATATTTAGAAGAACCTTACATATAAAAAGAAATAAAAGAATACATTAAAATAGGCTTTTAAGATAAAGTTCCTAATATTAAAATTGTTTGCCTAGAAATTATAGAAATTATTTTTTTAAAATTCTCTGCAGAAACGAGAAATTCTTATAAACAGCTGCTCGAAAAGGCAGCAAAAGATGAAGACACTGAAGTGAGAGATCGTTCTAAAAAGCTTATTAAATTATTGCAAGATCTTAAAGAAAAATGAATGATATCTTATAGAAATTAATTAATTAAGGATTTTCTCCAAATAATATTTAAATAAAAACTTATCAATTAACCAATTTAAAAAAAAATTCAAATTATTCAATTAAAAATCATTTTAAATTCTAACTAAATCAATTATATAAAAAAAATGTGTAAATTGTATTTATAGTCTAAATTATTATTAATATTAAATTCCAGAATATCCAGTAGAATGAATGCAAGAAATGATTTTTTTAAAAATCAATTTAGAATTTAATGATAAAATAAATTTATATACATAAAGCTACGATTCAAAAAGATTTACATTGAATTCAAAATAAATATGCTAGTTTTTGTTTGCTTATTTGCATATTTATTTATAACTATTTACATACAAATTATTATTGTTTTAGGAAATAATTTAAAAAAGATATAACAGATCAAATATAATACTTTGTTTATTTATAAATTCTTATCCTTTTGCAACTTATATTTAATAATCAAATTTAAAGTCTTCTACCAGTAATAAGCTAACAAAATTTTAAATATAAATTATACATGAAGCAACAAGGTAAGACAATAAAAGAACCTATTAAGCAGCTCCCATAAGAGTCAGCTGATGCTAAAAAGAAATAATAATAAAGCAACAGTAACAATGTTTAGTAGGAAAAGATTGCAGTCAAAGAATAAAATCAATTATAGGGATAGAGTAGTAAATAAAATGCAAAAGATTAAAAAATATAGCTAGCTCCTTTAAACCCATAAGTTTAAAATAAGAAATTAGAGAGCTCAATGCTCAATGAATCAAAGTTATAAATGTCAAGATCAATGCAAAATTTAAGCAATAGGACACTTAATAATAAAACTATTAGATATCTTTCAAATTTAGATCCAATTGAAATTCTTCCATCAGAAATCATTTTTAAAGATATTCAAGTTAATTAGACTTATGAAATATAAGTTTTTGTTCGTAATCTTACAAAAACTACAAGAAGGATTAGAGTATTTTAGCCTTAATCAACTAAATTTAGAATAGACTATGGCGTTATTGGTGGAATAGCTGCAGGTTTAGCAATTAAGCTTACAGTTTCATTTGAAACTTCGGTTTTAGAAGATGTGCATGATTATATGAAAATTGTTTCAGATAATGGTTATGAAAAAGATATTCCACTTCACGCATATGTTTCTAGTGGCTAAGTTATTTTTGAACCATTTATAAATTTAGGTAATAATTATTGATAAAATTTAAAACATAATTCAGTTTTTAACTTTAAAATACCATTTTTTATTCAGTGTACTACATAAAGATCAAAAGTAAGTTGCAAATAAATGAATAGATTAAAGAAAAATAATATTTAATGCAATTAAAATGAAAAATCATATTCAAAATATCTATGTTGCTCATTCAACCAATATATGATCTAAAATAAGATTTTATTTATCAAAGTCTTTTATTTATGCTTATTTATAAATTAGGTTTTATCAAGTTGGGAAAAGAAAAAAGAGAGGAGATTCTCTTTAAAAATGAAGGAAATGCTCCTGCTAAAATTGATTTAAAAACTTCTGATGTGAATGAAATTTAATTTGAAACACCCTCTTTTACTATAAAGCCAGGGTAAGAATATAGTGCTGCATTTAAATACACTCCAAAGGACGCAGGTATTTACAGAGGAGTTATTGAGATAGTTACAGATGCACAATGTCTGCAAAAACATATAGATATAAATGCAACTTCAGTAGATTTTACTAGATTTATTATTGATGAAAATGGTAGTTAAGTATCGTAATTTGATTTTGGAACTTTTTATTATGGTCAAAAAAAAGCGATTGTCGGATATTTAGTCAACAACACTCCTAAAAAGTATAGATTTAAAACTAGATTTAGATTTGGGTTACTTTACTCGTTAGATGATATGACTAATGTTTAGCCACCCAATATAGTTGGTAGAGAGTAAACTGAAAAAATTATGTATTGTGAGCCTTCTGAAGGAATAATAGACAGTTATTCTTAGGTAAAGAATATTTTATTGAAAATAATTAAAAAATAAATTTGTTTTATTCAAGGTTGAATTAATGTTTAAATGCTAGTCATAAGTTGATTATTAAAATTTGTTATGGGCTTAAAAATATTGTCTTGAAAAGGATGAACTAACTCCTAAAATTTAAGACTAATTTTATTCTGCTATTTTTGAATTTGATGGTGAATAATAAGAACCTTTAATACTCCATTTATCTGGTAGAGGTATTTGCCCGATGGTGAAATTCTCAAAAACTTTATTATAATTTGGAGAATGTTTAGTTAACGATTACAGAGATATTATTCTAGTCGTAAAATATTAATTAAAAATTATTTAACAATAAAATTATTATTTTGTTTACAAATTAAGCTTGAAAATAGAAACAAAGATTTACCAATAGATATTAATATTTAAAATACACCTGGATTTCAGTTTGAACCAAAAAAGTTTACAATTTAAGAAGGAGGATAAGTTCCGATAACTGTAAGATTTTAGCCAAAGAGTGTTGGAAAGTTTAACCAAAATATGATCATTAAACTTGTTGAAAATGCCTATGATGTCAAAGTTAAACTTTATGGAGATTCGACCGAAATAGGTCTAAGGCATAACTAATAAAGAGGACCAGAAAGTTTGCCTGAAGATTTCTTTATGGAAAGCAAAATTATAGATGAAGAATCAATACAATTTAACTCAATTAAAAAGGTAAACAAATAACATTTATTTTTCTAAATTTATTACTTGAATAAATATAATATAAATTTTCTTTAAATATCAAGAAATTTGATTAATCAAGCATTTCATCTTATCCTAAATACCTTGAATCTATTCTTGATACAACTTAAATAGCTAAAATAGAAGAATTCAAAAAGAGTTTTGATAATAGACAAAAGTATAACAATGAGTTAAAAGAGCAAAGACAGCAAAGATTGAAAAAAGAAAAAGACTAAAAAGTTTAAGAAAAGTTTTAATAAATTAAAGAAAAACTTAGATTATTGGGATATGACGATGGTGATAGTAAGGAAAACGATGAAGATGATGAAAACAAAAAACCAATAGGCAATAATCCATTTAAAGATGCACCTATTGATTATGAGTATGAAGTTGGTATGGTAGACTCTAAAGTAGAACCTCCTTCATTAAGTTTACCTGAGTAACTATTAATTACCTAATTATTATATTAAAATCAATTTATTCATTTTTATTTGGATTTATAGAGCAAAAGAATCATTGTTTGTTACTAAACCTATTGATGACTATGAACCATTTAAGTAAGATGACATCAAAAATTTTGAACCAGACCCTAATATACCTGTTAAAAAGAAATTTTCTAGTGAACCTAAAAACCATTCTGAAATAAGAGATGTCAACACAGTTTTAGATGGGTTTTAATTACAAAAGGTTTTTGCTGGGCCTATTTATATTGAATTTGGAAACGTTTATGTTAATTCAGAGATGGTCAAAACCTTTAGAGTTAGGAACGACTTGAGGGCTGCTATATCTGTTAGATTATTTACTGATCGCTAGGAATTGAAAAAAACTTATTAAAAAGCATAAATCATTCCAAGTGGACAAACAGCTGGTTTTGAAATCGTTTTAAATTCTCGAAACCTAGGCCCATTACGTAGCAACATTAAGTATTTCATAAACGAAAAGCATTCGTTTGAATTCTAAATTGTGGCAAACATAGAGCTTGTTAAGATTGAAATATCTAAACCTTTGCTTAAAATGAGTTTTGGAGAAGATAATATAGAAATGAGCACTAAAGAAACTATTAAATTAGTTAATAATGGAAATGCTCCAGGTAAGTTCAAGTGGCATACAAATAACTCTAAGATATTCACTATTACTCCAGAAGAATCTATTGTTTATCCTTAGAAGCCAGTTGAATGTACTATTGTTTATAAGCCATCTTCTGTTCAACAAATAGCAAATACTTCCTCAACTGGTGCAAGCTTTTTGCAGTCTACGAATCAAACATCTGTCTAGGCAATAACAAGAACCGAAGAAGAAAAGTTAATTCTGAAAGTAACAGATGGTATTGAGTAACAGCTTAAATGCATAGGATCGTATACTGAAGCAAAATGTTCTCTCAAATAATAGTCTTTAGATCTAAAAGTAAACAATTATATTTAAGTTGCTCTGTAAAAACTAATTTTTTAATTCTAACTAGGAAATATGTGTGGCTTAACTGATAGAAAGAACCTTTGAAATAAAAAATAACAACAGATAACCAGCTGTATTTTGTATAGAGGAATCAAAATTACCTGAAGGAGTTATTATTTCTTAAATGAAAGGTAAAATTGGGAGTGATGACACAAAGGTTTTGAATTTAAAGTTTAGCTCTAAGAAAGAGTGCAATATTAAGGGTGATATTGTAATTTTAATTAGAGGAGGAAAGACTCTGAAGTTGCCTTTTTCTGTTTCAACTATTATCCCAGATATTCAAATCAACTAGGATAAATTTGATTTTGGAAACATAACTACTTTAGGTAAATTAATTAATTAATTGCCACTTTCGTTATTTATAATTATTAATTTGCGTCTCTTTAGGTAACCCTGGATAGCTTGAGATGCATCTAACCAATAATTCTTCGATTACTGCGGAGTTAGTTTTAGATTTGAGATACGATGAGGAAAAAGATGGTATGGATGAAGAAAAAGATGGACTTGATTGCCTCGATGTCGCATGTTTAGAATAAGCAGATGAGAGTATTTTACACTCTATAGCTGATCATGAAGAAGAACAATAATAAATTGATTCAAAATCAAAATAAAATGCTAACTAACATATTAACAATAACAATAATGCTGATGATGAATTTGATTAAGAGAATTTAGATGTGTCAGAGTAATCTGAGGACGAAGAAGAAGAAACCAAGCTGTGCAAATATTATTCTTTAACAATATAACCAGGATAAACCCTTCATTTCCAACTAAAATTCTCACCTAAAAGTTTCAAGTAAATAAAAAAAATATATTTTGACTAAAAGAAGTTTATTATTAACAAATAATTAAAGGTAATATAAGTTTTTGTTTCCAATTTAGCTAAGAGGATATGGCCTGATTGATGGCTTAAAAAGATTTATCTTTTGCCGTGGTTTGAAGCCTAAGTTTTTAATTGATCCCTAAGTCTTAGATTTCGGTAAAAAGATTATCACAGCTCCTGATAAACAATCAATAGGAAAGTAGTCTATTCTTTCATTCTCAAACCCTGACAAAAATTCTGTTTCTTGGTATGTTGATACAAACGTATTAGGTAATGACCGTATATTTGATATTCGTCCTGATCAAGGTGAAGTAGGACCTGGAGAATCGAAGAATATCTCAGTATTTTTTAATCCGTTTGAACCAGGTGTTTATGAAAAATAGATCCCATTGTTTGTTAAAGACCCTGATATGAAGATTAACAGTTCTTACATCGATATTACATTGAAAGGAGAAGGTGCCTTCCCTAAGTTGCTTTTTGACAGAAAAGAAGTATAAATATTTTTTTTATAGCTAGTCTGAAAATAGTTAATAAATTTATTTAAAATTTGCATTAGATTATTTTACCAGTAGTTCCTTTAGGTGTTGAAGCAAAGTGCGTTTTTAGAATTATCAATAGTGGATATGAAAATCTTAACTTGAAATATAAAATAGTGGATGATATTTCTAAACTTAATATTGATCTAGCCTTTCCTGAAGGTAAGAATCTTGGTATTACTAAAAATAAAATTAAAGTAGAAGCCACATTTTCCAGTAAAAAACCAATATCATTTACCACTCGAATTGAGTTTTATGATGATGCAGAAAGAAGCTATGATATATAAATTTCAGGCACTACAGATAATTCTCTTTTTACAAACTACTCCTATTTCTAGAGATGTGCTGGAGAGTTTAAAATTGATTTAGAGCATGACAGATCTCCATTAAAGCTTGAAGTAGATGAAGATGATTTGGATTCAATAGATGGACTCTCAGATGGTAGGGTTGGCAAAGCTGCAGCTAAAAAAAAGGTAACAGGAGGAGCTTAAAGCGTCGTTTCAGCAAAGACCCTCTCATCTTATGGCTCTTCTAAATCGACTAAATCATTGCTAGGATATTCTCCTATTCCAACATAGTATTTAGAATAAAATGTAGAATTTTTATGCAGATGGCTTAACTTTTATGTCTTAACATAAACCATTTAAAATTTTCCTAATTCTATAATTGAAAGTAATGGGGCTTAAGTGTTTGATATTCTTACTTATCTATCTGGCAAGACGGCATTTAATTTCAAGGCTAACATAGACTTTTCAGCTAAGAGACTTGAAAAAGTAAATTTCATTCGAAAAAGCTTATTTAAATTGGATTGATTGATTAAAATTTAGGTTGAAAAATTGTATAAGCAGTATGATGAGTTAATTCGCACATTAAAAATCGAAGGGGCTTTATTGAATCATATAAGACCAGAATATTTATTTAGTTATAACGATTATCTCTTTTATTTAAAGACACTCCCAGAAAAAAAGTAATAAAACTTAACACCTTCTGCGCTAAAAATGCCTGCTTTAAGGTTTTAATACTAGTCAATAGAGGCTTGGACAAGTTTAATTTATTAGATGATCAAAATTTATTATTTATCAAGAATTAATCCGAAAACATTTAAATCTGTTCCTGGTCTTCCACCAGAGAAAGCATAAATACCAGAATATATAGAAGGTAGTAATTTCATAAGTAGTTCTGAGGCTCTCTTGCTGAATTGGTTTGAAATCCATAATGAAATCATTCATCCTATACAAAAGAGAAGAATACGTAATTTTGATGAGGATTTTTAAGATGCAAATCTGTATGCTTCTGTAATTCAATCATACGTTGGAAAATCTTGCTACAAATATTTTAATACAATGAAATCGAGTTGTTCAAGTGATATAGAAATCAATTACAATGCCGAAAAGCTTATTTAAGGATTAACAGTAACTTATTGAAATAATTTTTTCTTTAACTTTATTAATAAAAATGGTTTTAAAAATTTAAATATCTTTTTTTAAAACAGGAAATAGGTATGCAAACACATCTTAATGTTAAAGACATAGTAAAACCATCGATGAGAGAAACTCTATTGTTTTGTATTTAGCTATTTTTCTCTCTTCCCCACTACATTCCCAAAGGATAACCAATAATCTTTTAATGTGTGCTTGGTGAAGAAGTAGTAAAAAATATTGAGTTGCAAAATCCAACAAACAAGCCAATAAGTTATTGGGTCTAATTAGAACCTCAAGGAGGTGATTTTTCTCTTGAAAGCGATGATAATTTTGTTATTGAACCTAAGTAAACATTTAAATTTAAAGTTAAATTTACCAGTAGAATATCTGAATCTGTGACAGGCCGTATTAGATTTACTAACAAAAAAGAAAGTAACGTAAGTGCTGCTGCACTTGTTTTTGAATTAAAATCTTAAGTGATTGGAAGAATATCTGAAATAAATTGGACTGTTAATGCATAGCTTTATGAAACAGTTGAAAAGTAGATTTAAGTTACTAATAAATTCCCAAGTGAGTCAGGAGAATTTATGATTATCATCACACAAGAAAGATTCAAAAATGCTGAAGAAATGAAAAAAAAGCGTACTAATAAAAAATCTTTGACTGCTCAAGGTGATTAGTAATCACTATCAAATATTAATGATAACACAGCTCTTGCTCCTTCTAAAAAGCAAGAAAACGAAATATTTCCCTCTTTCTTTTGCTAAAAAGCTTCTATTCGCTTAAAAAAGGGTTAGACAACAACTATAACAATAATTTTTATTCCTTTAGTCATGGAAACACAAAAATGTTTTATTATTTTTAAAGACCCTAATGTAGGTAAAAAAAATATTTTTTAATAATAAAATTATTTAAATATTTTAATTTAAAATTATAAAAGGTGAATTTTAGCATGAAATGATTGGAACAGTTGAAATGCCATCGCTTTTACCAGATATTATTCGCTTTCCCTTAACAGGATATCCAACAATTTTTGTAGACGAGAATTCATAATAAGAAGTTGAAATACCTTTTGCAAATGACCCTATGTTAAAAGCTAGAAAGTAAGTAGAACAATTAATAGTTGAGAAGAATAGAGATAAATATATGAGGGGAGATAAAACTTAGGTTATAAGACCTGAGAAATTGAATTTCCCTGGTGGAAATCCTGATAGTGTATAATATGAAATAGAAATGAATCCTCCAAATTCATTTATCTCAATTAAAAGCTAATTTGTTGTCATAAATCCATTCAGATTCACCAAGAGTAAATAGGAAAAATAAGAAAGAGTATTTATTTATTTGTTTATTTTATTTTATTTTAAATATTCATTTTATTACAAATAAATAAGAATACTGGAGAGTCTAAGAAGGCGAACTAAAATCACACTGAAGAATCAGGAAATGTTTTGTAAGCTAACTAAACAGGATAAGCGTTTGCAAGCTAAGGAGTTAATAAATATCCCTTTTAATTCCTTTTCAAATAGCCTGTAAAAGACTATAAGTTCAATTTGACTTTTAAGAATGCTTAAAAAACTGATATTCGTAGATATAGATGCGAAATTACTGTTTTCCCAAAACCCATAAAGGCAACATTAGAGTTTAGAGTTCCTGCAAGGCACAGCACAACATAAGAGATTCCAATTATAAATAATACAGAGAGAGATTGGAATATAAAAGTAATTATGAATATTATTTTTAAGATCATATTTCATTTTAATCTTTTAAAAAAGGTAAATTTAATTTAAGATGCCAAAAATGCACTACTATTTACTGCTCCCTCTCATATTTTGAAAGACTTTTTCGTTAAGAAGAAAAGTACAGGTGTTTATCCTATAACCTTTTCTCCTAATTGGCTCGTTTAAGCAGAATCTAAGCTAAGCTTATTCAACCCTCTCACTAATGATTAATTTGAATATGACCTTAAAGGATTTGGTGAAGAACCTGTAGCAGAAGACCACATAGTTATCAGTTGTAAAGCTAAGTAGCCAACAACTAAAGAAATCGAAATTCGTAATCCGTATACAGATAAGGAAATAGTTTATAGAGTAGAAACAGATCTTATAAATGCATCAGGACCTTCTTCTCTGGCTATAAAACCTGGAAAAAGGGCAAAATATGTCCTTACTTTGTAAATAGTTTTTTGTTTACATTTAAGCAAAAATTAATAACTTTAATATGTAGGAATCCCATATTAAGTGGATAATACACTGGATCAATAACATTTTATGAAAATGACGAAAAATATTTATGGTACACTGTACTCTTGAATACAGAAAGCCCAAAACCAGATAAATGTATTGAGATGAGCACATAAGTGAGGTAGGCTGTCACATTTAGTATTGAAATAAAAAATCCATTAAGCTAAGATGCAACTTTTGAAGTTATGATTAATGGTGAAGGATTAATAGGTAATTATTTAAAAAAATGAACATTTTTCAATTAATTTAGCAGGATAGAAAAATAATTTTTGGATATTTATAATAATTAGGTGATACATTATTTAACTTACCTGCAAAGTCAGAGGGAAATTATGAGCTTATTTATTCTCCTCTCGTAGTTGGGCGATAAAGAGGTTCAATAGCTTTCATAAATGAGTTGCTTGGAGAAATTTGGTATGAGTTAAGTTTAACATGTGAAGACTAGCCACCAGTTAGAATGAATGTGTTAAGATGCGAACTTGGAAAAGTAGAAGCGCATTAAATATTTTTAGAAAATCCCTCTGAAAAGGAAGTTAAAGCAACAACAAAGGTTTCAAATCCAACTAACTTTGATGTAATACCAGACAACATAATTTTAAAACCTCTTTCGAAGACACCTATACAAATTAGATATATGCCTTCAAATCTTGAAGTAAATATTGATTTATTAAATAAGTATTTTATTCATTATATTCTAAATAAAAAATAAGGTTACAGAATAGGGAGAAGTTACAATTTCAACACAAGAAATTGGAAAATGGAAATTTTTAACTTTTGGAATAGGTATACCTCCAACTAAATTTGAGCCTAGATTGATTTCAGTAGGCCTTAATAAAGATTTTTCTACAACAATTCACTTCAAAAATCCATTTAAAGAGAATATAAATGTAACAATCACGTTAGAAGCTACTGTATTGATTTTATTTTTTAATTTAAGTATCTCTATAACTGAAATCTTATTATTTGTGTAAACAAAATTAGGGTGAAAATAAAGAAGTCTTCAAATTACTTACAAAAACTAAGAAAAATGAAGGAGAAAAATCAGTTATGCAGGTTCCTGGAATGAATGTCATTTAAATTCCATTTTCGTTTGTCCCTAGAGAAATAAATTGCTATTATTGTGAAATTGTAGTTTAAATGAATGAAAAAATTGAATGGAGATATCCTATTAAAGGTGTTACAGAGAGCGTAGTAAACTAAGTTATTTACCACCTAAAGACTTAATGTAGATCAACAGTTGAAGAAGAAATGAAAATTTAACTACCTGGAGTAATCAATTTTTATTTTTTAATTAATTTAATTTGCCAGCAGACTAATTTTTTTAATTTAATTTGCCAGCGGACTAATTTTTTTAATTTAATTTGGTAGAATATATTTGTTTACTTATTTATCTAAATAAATTGAGCATTTTGTATTTTTAACTGGTTATAAATGCAAATTTTTTTTTTACCTTAATTTATCAAAAACAACTTTGAATTTTGTATTTTTTGACATTTTGTTATTTTTTTTATTCTTTTAAAAAATATGTAAACCAGCTATAATAGCTTAATCTTTTATTACTTACTTCAACAATTTCTAATACTACTTTTAATATAAAAAAGATAATGTCCTTTATTACAAATGAAGATAAGTTTGAGTTTGAACTTGATGGCATTTCTGACGAATTCAACACTTTGATTAGATAGAGTTTACAAATAAAGACTGTTAAAAATTACTTGACATCTTCAAATGATCATCTTGAGTTCCAAGCTAAATTTTCACCCTTAAAGCCTTTCAAATAAACAATTGATTTTAATATATTAAGACAAGCTGGTGGGCGCTGGAAGTAATTAAAATTTAACATTTTATAATTAAAATTTTCTTATAAATTTAATTTTAATAGGTTTAAAATAACTCTTGAAGCTACTGAACCAAAAGAAGATGATATTATAATAATTAGTTCGCCACTTCATAAAACAACAAGTGTTACTTTTAAACTAACAAATAAGTCCAAGAGTTTTACTCCTTTTACTGCTTCATTTACTCCAGATAGTGATGCTGAATTTACTGTTATGCCCAGGTCTGGGAATTTAGAATCTTACGGTAGAGAAGGAACTACATTTATAGTATCTTTTACTCCTATTGAATATGGAAAGACAAGACAGGGTAAGCTCATAATACAGACAGATGAAATGATGTGGTAAGTTTTTTTATTTTTTCTCTATTTGTTTGGCTATTACTTTTTTTTTATAATAAAATGATGAAAATCTTATCTAAAATTCATCTATTTATTTGATATAAAATAACCAAAAAATTTGCTAATTAACTTATTTAAATTGATAGGAGTTATTTAGTTAAGGGAACTCTACCAAAATATAATCCTCCATAAATAGAATAAAGCATGATAGATAATAAACTTGATATAGATTTAATCTCTAAATCAGTGCATAATAATCATTCTAAAAACTTTATGGCTGAAAATGTCATAAAAATGAAAAATTCTTAAGTAGAGTCAAATATGAAATAACTTTAGAAACACAATAGTTCACTTTCTCTTTAGCTCAGAAGCAAAAAATTCTGATATTGATATTGACATGATAATTACTAATTTTAATATTCTAAGTAAAAATATTTTTCAAACAAAAAACAAATTATAAAAAATTTAACTAAATTTTTTTTAATTAATTAATAAATCAATCCAATTATTATATTTAAACTTTATTTTATGTCACTGTCAAATTGTTTAAAATATATCTCTTTATTTTGTGTAAATTCACTTCTAACTTTTAGTATAATTTTTGGTTATGCGCTTTATTTTATGCATTGATTCATTATGTTTAAAGGGTGAATATTTTATTCAATTATTCATATTCTATTCACTCTTTCTCAATTATTTAAAATGAATATTCAATCATTTATTTAACTTTTTATTTTGTATAAAGATAATTTTTTTAATATTTACATTTAATCTATATTAATCTTTATGAAGCATCCATATTAAAACATTATTTTAATTATTAACTAAATTGATCTAGAAAAATTTTAATATATTAAAAATACATAAAAAATAGCAAAGTTAACTTTTTCCAATATATTTTTAAAAATAAAATTTTTTTTAGAGTAGAAAATAATAAATAAATTAATAAAAGAATTAATTTTAAATTCTATATGTATGGTTCAAGAATAATATTTATAAATTTATTTGAAATAAAATGCATCCAAAATTAATTAAAAAGGATAATAATTAATGTTTAGAAACAAAGAAATTCAAGGCAAAAGTTGACTTTTATTTAATCTATTTATTATTTGTATATAAAAGATATATTTTAATATGAAGTTTCTAATATCAAATAAACAAAAAAAAATATTTAGAAGAAACTAACTCAATATTTGACAAATGTGAAAAAATTAAAAAACTGAAAACATTTTATATTTTATAATTAAATTTTGAGAATTTAATTATTTTTAGAATTCACAAATAATTTTTTTTAGCTAAAAATACCATTAAGTATGTTGGTCATATTTTTTATTTGCCTTAATTATCACTTAAAGAAAAGGGGAAATTACAAATAATTATATAATTATTATATTTTCTATTTAAAAAATTATACTGACATACTATTTTATCTCTTTATTTATAAAAGAAAATATATTTATTTATTTGTTTATAAATATTCAATAACAACCACTATAACAAAATAAAATGAATAAGAAAATTTTAAGCAAGAAAAATTAGTAAGAAAATGCATTTATTAAAAAATTAATTTCAAATGAAGGAAAATATGGTGGCGTGTGAAGAAAATAGAACTCTGATATAGAAAGAGAAAAATTAAAATCTAAAGACAGGGAAGCAGACAGAAGATAGGCATACATATATACTTATGTAATTACAGACAAAAATTGCTTGAAGCTAAGAAAGAAATTATATTAATGAAAAATAAGGATGAATATTTTTTGAAAACAGAAAACATAATTTTAAAAACTCCTGGAATAATTAGTTTGAATAAGAGAGTCAATAACGAAAAACAGAAAAGGGAAAAAACTCCTTGCGCATTCAATTATTAAAAGAATAAGTATATAAGAAGAATATTTACACGTTTTTGCAACATACTTTGAAAATGATTAGTAAAACTAGCGGAAAAGGTTTTAATTTTATTTTAGATTAGACACTTTACACCTTATAAACTGAATAAAATAACCAAATATTTCTATTAAAACTAAAAATTTACGCCATATTTTTCCATTTTCAAAAAAATAATTTAATGATTCCCGCAATAATAATAAATTTTTTAAAAAGCCCGGATAAATGAAATTATAATATCTATTTTATGGAAAAAACTTTTTATTTGATATATAGAATTTTTTTGACATTTTAAAAATTGTTTTTTAAATTGTTTAGGACCATGGAGCTTTGATGAAGATAACAAGCTCCTTGATTGGGTGAAAGCAAATGGACCTCAAAAATGGTCACTTTGCTCTGAAACTATTCCTGGTAGAAGCGGAAAGTAATGCAGAGAGAGATGGTTTAACAATCTCAACCCTAACGTAAAGAAAGGTAACTGGACTGCTGAAGAAGATGACATGATATTCTAAGGTTATTTGCAACATGGATCTTCTTGGAGCAGGATAGCAAAAAATTTAGAAGGTAAAAATTTAAGCATTACTAATGAATTAATTTAATTAATATTTGCTTCGCTAAATATTAACAAATGTTAGACTCAATTAAATGATAGACTTCTATTAATTAATTAATTAAAATCAATACAATTTTCTCAAGATTATTAATTCATTTTTTGATTACACATACTATAGTAGCAAAACTAAATTTACGAATTTACTTTTTTTCTTTCTTTCTTCCTTTATTTTTATGAATTCATTTCTATGATTATTTATTTTCTCTCTAATTTTTTCTTTTCCCTGATTTTTTTAATTACTTTTTTAATAAAGTGAATTTTATCATACAGAAATATTAATTCATTCATTCATCTATATATTATACATATATTAATTCATTCATTAATTAGCTTCATTTATTTATCATTTTATCTTACTTAAGCTTATTGCTGCTAACTTTTACTTATTTTTTTACAAATAAAAATATTTGTATAATAAAAATATTTAAATAAATAAAATAGCTATTATTTCATTAGCTTAACTTTTTTTATTTTCATTTTTACAACTCATTTTCATTTTCGATTAATTTATTTTATTTTTTAAATTAAATAAATATCGAATAAAATATATTTAAAATAATATTTAATTTGAAGAAATAATAATTAAAAAAAAAATTATTTTATTTTAATTTCAAATAGTTAATATTTTTTAATTTTTACATACAGGAAGAACTGAAAATTCAGTTAAGAATCGCTTTTATAGTACAGTTAGAAAGCTACTCAGTGATTCAGAGAAGAATGGTGGCAAAGGCAGTGAGTAGTAAATTAGAAACATCATCCAAATGAGCCTTGGGAAGAAAGTAGGTGGAGGAATGCCATCTCTTGAAAATGAAAATGATTAAAATAGTGACAATAGCTAATGCGAAAGTGAAGAAGATAAAAGCCATAATGATGCTATGAGCAGCTCTAAAAATAACTAGAGCAGTGAAGTTAATACTCATAAAGAAGCTGAGGCTGAAGAAGCTAAAAAAGAAGAAATATCTTCCAAATCTTAAAATTTGGAAGGTTAAACAAATAAAAAATAAAGTAAATAAGCTCCTCAAAGTAGTAGTAGTAATAATAATAATGATATGGAATTAGAGGAACCAAAACCAGAAACCAAAAAGAATGGCAACGAAGCTTAAAATAACGAAAGTGAAAAGTTAAAATAAAATACTCAATCTCTTGCTGATGATCTTAATTAAGAAGGTGAAGGTCATGAAGATGAAACTAGTTCACATGCTATTTCTTCATCATAGTAATTAGGTTTATCTGGAATGACAAAACGTAAGTATAATAGAAAAAGACACCAAGATGAATATTCAGAGTCAAACTTGCTTTATCGTTTACTGAAGAGCAACGACGTTACTATTAAGAATACAAAGTGCCTCCAAGATTACTCTGTATTTTATCGTAAGTACAAGCAAAATAAGTACATGATGAAGAAGAAAAAGAAAGAAGATGATGCCAAGAAATAGAATGAAAATGGGGATGAGGAACATACTTCTAGCTCAATGTAAGAAACAAATTAATAAGACTATAATGAGGAAGATGAAGATGACGACAACTCTCATCTTTAGTTTTAAGATTTAACATCAGCTAAAATTAAGAAAGCGCTTAAAAGCAAACTGGGCATGAAGGGTTGCTTTGATGATAAACAAAAAATTAGCTCTTCAAAAGACTCGAGTCACAAAAATAGATAAGACAGTGAAAATGATTTAGATGAGATTAACCATTAGTTACTACTATTGAAATAGGCCAAGCTTTAACAATAAGATAAGCTTAAGAAAAAGCTTAAAGCAAATAATTAATCAAAAGTTGAAGATCTAAACTAAATAAGTACCAAAATCAAAAACGCTAAAATTTAATCCAAAACAAAGAAAGGGCATCATAGTGACGAAGATGAAGACTCTAATTTAGATCATATTCATACAAGTAGCATTAAGGAAGAGCCTGAAGAGGATAACGATGACGATAATTCAGCTTAGCTATCAGGAGCCAATAAATATGATGATAAACTTTTTAATAGTAATCTTCCAAGCGAAAACTAGTTAGATGATGTTGGCGATTTAGAGTCTTAATTGCTCAAATTTTTCCAAAAAAGTATGGGCTAATTCTTCAAGAAGTTTATGAAGCAGAATAAGGGTAGTGGCAAGGTAACACTATAAAATTATTTTAACTTTTATTTTTTATTTTAGATCACTTTCGCTTCTTTTTTTTTCTAAAAAGAGCTATTTTTTACAAAATAAGTTTTTTTTTTTTAAATATTAATCAAGATTTCTTTTTAAGTATTAATTTTTACAAAACGATAATCTTACAGATACTAAATTAATTATTTCACATGATTTTGGCATAGTTGATATTATTGATTAATAATATTAAATTTTGTTTCGTTTTTTTAAATTATTATGAATTGATTGATATTTCAAATATTTTTAACAAATAATTCCTATATATTATTTAATTATTTTTTTAATTCAACTTCGATATAAAAATCTTTCCCTTTTAATAATTTAGGAAACCGATAAAAAAACAAATAATAAAAAAGAATTAAAGAAGTAATTATCTCAATAACAGTAATAATAACAACAACAATTATTGTAATTGTAAGTGTAAGAGTAAATTCAAAAACAACTAGAATAATTAAATAACTAAAATTCTAAATAATCTAAAAATATTAATAACTAATAAGTAATTTAAAGAACAAATACAATTATTTAGAACCCTCCCATTAAAAATTAATCAAAGAAAAATGGTAGTAGTTAAATTCCAGCTAAAGATAGTAACATTAATGATAATGGAATCCAAAATTTAATCTAAAAGTAAATACAAGAAATGCAATTAGTAAAGTAAGAGGAAAATTAAGAAAATAATGACCAAAAGTAAAAATAAGAAAATAACAAGACAGGTTTTAAATAGAATAATAATTCTAATTCTTAATAAATGATGACTAAAAGCACTATAAATAATTAAAAATCTTCTTTTTAACTGAATAAAAATTAAAACACTCCAACTGCTCGTAATGGGTACACCAATTAGATAGGTAGTTCTTCTAGTCTTTTTAGCTAACCAAATAATAATAATAATAATAATAATTACAATTTGAACAACAATAATGGAGGATTTGGAAGTCTTTTAAGCTCTCATAGCTTATAAATGCAACAACAAAATTAAAATAATTAATAACTTACAGCTAGCTAAAATTTAAGCATTTAGAATATCAAGAATTTGCTAAACTAAAATATGCTTGGAAATCAAAATTCTTTAAATGTCAATGGTGATTAGGGAGTTGATTAAAAGATGATATTCTTACTTAATTAGCTTAATACTCTAGAATCAATGTTAACTAACACAAAAAAAGAATTAGTGAAATTAGAGGCAAGCCTAATGAACTAAAGGGGTTCAGATTAACAAATGGGAATAAACTAAAATAGAGGCGGTTATGCGAGTAATAATATGTAAGGCAGTAGCAATAATTTATATGCATCGAATGGATTTTATAATATGCAAGGAGGAATACCACCAACTGCCAATGTGTTAAAAACTTTACCTTCGTTTGGATCGAGAGCTATTTTCGAAAAAAGTGATGTAGATGCTCCTTCTTTTAACAAACGCAAGAATTCTAAAGACAATACTTCTTAGTTTTCAGATTTTGATAAATTTATTAATAATAACAATTGAAATTTAAACAGTTTTTTTAAAATAATTCTATAACAATGTATACACACATATATACATGCTTAAATAAATTAATTGATAAAGAGATAAATACAGTTATTGCAAAAAATAAAATTAATAATAAACTTCCTGAAAATAAAATTAATAATAACTAATCCAACCCATCTTGGGTCTTATATACATAAATTTATTGTTTACAAACTTATATATTATATTTTAGTATAAATTTTCTTAGAGTTTTGGTTGATGTTGATAGAAAAATATTATTTAACGTATTTTTTTGAGTTAAATACTCCTAAGTAAATAATTTCTTTTGGTAAAAATTAATTAACAAACTAAAGCTGTTAAAATTTTTTAAATTAACAATTTCGACTATTAATTTCAAGAAAATGGCTTGCATTATTTATCACAGGTTGGTTCTTTTTTGATTGATTCTGTTTTAATTTCCACGTTTCTTCCTCAAGATTATTTACAATCAAATCTTATCTTTTCTGATCTAAATTTATTTTAGAATGAGGCTAATAGCCCTCTTAACAATTCTAAAAACTAGCTAGCCTCTCAACTTAAAAGAATCAGAAATTAAAAATAAAGGTAGATGCAGAATTTTTCTTCAAGATCAAAATTAGAATAAATTCTGTTTGCAATTAATTGAATTTTTTTGAAAGAAATCTTGTGGATTTCGTGTTAATTTGAATCATTCTCAATTTTAAAGTTTATGGTGAAAAATTGAAATTCTTTTTATTTAACATAGTAAACGTAAAAATTTAATGAAAAGTCTTTTGATTCATGCGTTTACTAATTTTGTTGTTTAATAAGATTAATCAAAGGAGCAAAAAAAAATCACACTGCAAAAAATATTATTAATGACTTTAGGGCTTCTGTAAAAATATTGCATATTTGTTGAAACATTATTTTTTCTGAATAATTTTACAAAAAATTTATTACAAAAATTAGAAGTCACTATCAAGCAATTAATAATGTCTACTAAATTATACTTTTTTATTGTCTAAAAGTTAAGAACAGCCTAATAAATAGAGATTTTTAGTAATTAAGATACAAAATTTAAAAGAATCTTTAAAAATTAACTTTATACATTATTAGCCATAAATAAAAATATTATTTTTGGTGTTGAGAAACTGTGTATTCTAACTCAATTAGATAAAAATACTTATTTAAATTATTCTTTTTATTTTTATAATTCTGCATTTAACATCATCATTATACAAGTTATCAAAATATGCCATTCAATAGCAAGGCTTTTTCGAAAAATGTATTATTTTTTAATATTTTCGAATATGGTATGCATATCATCATTAAGTGTAATATATTTTTGAAGTATTTTAAGTTAAAATTTATTAAACTAAAGAATTTACAAGTATTTTTTTTAAAAAGAATTCTATTTCATTAGAGAAGAAAAATATGTAAACTGATTTTCTTCAATTTGGTTTTTATTAAAAATTGTATTATAGGATTGGATGATTATTTATCAAAAGAGTTTTTTTACTACTTTAAAAATTATGTTTGATTCATTTCAATAAAACTATGAATAAAAATTAACGAGTAGCTAACAGATAAGTGGATCCTCAATTAATGGGAATTATTTGTAATTTTTATATTTAGGAATATAAATTTAATTTTTAGGGAAATTATTTTTCAATTTAATTTATATTTTTTTCTTTGAGGAAGTAAATTTTTAAGAAATTTCCTTCTTTTTGGAAAATAGATTAAATTTATACTTTTGATTTGTTTAATAATTAAATAATTATTCAAATAACTGCAATTGAGGTAATTGTTGATATTCCTTTTCTGCTTAATTTTTTTAGTAATTAGAAATTAATTTTAGTTATTTGTCGAACCTTTATAATCTCATTTATTAAATAGCAAATTATTATTTATAGTATTTATTACTTGTCAATACTTAAAAATCTTTCAGTATTATTAGCAGCTTTTATCAATTAATATTTTTTAATATTTTTAATATTACATCTAATTTAAATTTGATATTTTAGTCATAGTAGACGGCAACTTTTTCAACTAATTAGTAATATTAAAATTCATATTCTATTCCCTATATATTTCTATCATTTATAAATTTAATTGTTTCCAAATATTATAGGATTTACTAAGCTTTAGAGTAATAAAAGTTTTAAGTCAGGTAATTTCAATATAAAATACACCAAAATGTAAGATTATATCTCAGTGAAAGAATTGTGATATACTCTAAATATCAAAAGAAAAGTTTGTGATTATTTACATTTTTAAAAGAAAAAAGAAAAAAAATTAAATTTTCAATTCACGCCTGTACACAAATTTGAGGCGTATTACATAGAGATAATTAAAATTTACAGAAGCTTTACTAATGTTTCAATCAAAATCTAAAACAAAAATTTAACATAAAAATGTATGAATATCATTTTAATTTGTAAACAAAAACCAAAAATTCATAACTATATATTTGCTTTAATATTCAACTCATATTGTAAGAGTTAAAAAATAAATTAAATAGGCAATATAAATTTTTTGTAATATAATACAAAATTACGTTATAAAACTAATAAACTTACCCGATGATTATAAAATAGAGGAATTAACTCAATTCAAATAGAATGTAAAAATAATTAAAAAAAGTACTACAAAAATTTACTTTATTATTTGATTTAAAAAGTTAATAATTCTTTAAAATTTTATCCAGTAGTGAGTTGAACATTAATTATTAGAATTCAGCATATAGTGTAAAATAGAGACTATATTAGATTATTTCCTTTATTAAATCCTTCCTTAACTAGCTATGAAATCAAATATAAATATTAATTTTAAAAAATATCTCTTTAAAAAAAAAATCAACCTGCTTCTCAACTATAATTTAAATATTGTATTTAAAATAAAAACAACTCAACTTCAATAAATAAAGTAAATACCTAATGAACAAATACCAAAAGGCTAATATCAACTCTCCAAATTTTATAAAAAATACATCTTCTTTATTGAAAAAGATGAATGATCTCAATCAAAGGGCTTAACCATGTATTATGATCGTTGATGATTAACAAATAAATATTTTGGCTTTAAAATTAATATTAAAGCGTATTGGAATAGAAGAAAACAATATTATACAAGCAAACAGCGGCTAAGAAGCTTTGTAATTGCTTGAAGATAACAAAAACATAAAAATTATCTTTATGGACATTGAGATGCCCGTCATCAATGGCTTTTAAGCTACTCAACTCATTAAGAACCGTAAATAAAAGTAATCTGTTAAAGAGCAATAATAAATTATCAATATTATTGCTTATACAAGTCTCAATGACGATGAAACAATATTAAAATGCAAAGACGCTGGGATGGATTATTATTTAGAAAAACCATGTAGTCTAAATTCAGTTTCTAGTGTTATCTAAAATTATTACTTTATATGATAGCACCTTTTTAAATATTAGAATAAAGGTACTGATTGCCTATATTATAAATAAAATAAACTCAACCAAGTCTTTTATTTATTAAAAATAATACTTAACCAGCACCATAATGAAAACAAAATACTTAAAATTGCAATAAAAATCAATAGTTAATAAAAATTCTTTCTATTGATTTTAATAATTAATTAACAAATTAAAATAAATACTCTATAATAAAAACTCTATCCAAAATAATAATTAAATAACCACTCATCTCTCATGCCATCTTAATCTTTTATTTAAATTACTCTTATATTAGAATTTACTTTTGTAAATGTTTCAATTTTTATACATAAAATATGTACGAACCTTATTACTTTAAATCAAAAATCATCAAAAAAATGAATCTTTATTATTTGTTTCTACAAACATTAAAAATCTTTGAAGTCTGTCTGTCTATTATTTTAAAGTTTTCTTTTTAAATTTATTGGTTTCTTTTGTTTTGATGTGGAATAATTTATCGAAATTTATTAAGATTACAAATTCACTCATAGAAAATGATTAAATGGTTATCAATAATATATTTACTGTATTTATTTAAGAATTTCTTTATTTAGGAATAAACCAATAAATACAATTGGATTAGATAGAGATAATTTTATTTTATTAAGGATTAAATTATGCCTAACTAAATCATTTTTTCATTAGCAAAAAAATAGAAAGTTAATATTTATTAAAAAATTTTTGTAAGATTTTACTTGAATATATTACTTAGCTAATATAGAAAAAAAAAGTCCAATATGATATTTTAAATGTATTTGATCAATTAATACTTGACTAAAAAAGATGTATTTCTTATTTATTTAATAATTTATTTTTTATTCTTTTCTAAAAATAATGTTTTGATCAGTAAATCTGAAAAATACTTAAAAATCAATAATTCTTAAAATAGAAAAAATTTTAACAAGATTGTATCATTTTATCAATAATATGCATAATCCAAATATTTGTTAACTCAAGTTTTGTAGGACTTTTTTTGAATTTTTAATCGATCTTTATGAATCTTATAGAAAAAGAACTTATTTTCTATCACAAGTTAAGTTATTTTAATTTATTTATAATTTTATTTTAATGAAAAAAAATTTGTATTTTATTATATCTCACATAATTAATTAATTAAACAATAAAAGATTATGTAAACTGTAAGTTTTAGATGAAAATATTTATAATAATTTTTGCATTTTGAGTTTTTTACTTACTTTTAAAATATTTAATTTCTTATCACAATCAAAATTAAAAAAATTAATATTAAATAATATTGTGAATTTAAGAAACTTTTTTGATGAATCATTTTTTATTCTTAATATGATCCTTAATGTATCAATTGATTGATTGATTTATAAAATTTTTAATCAATATTTTATTTAGTACAATTCATCACTAATTTATTTATAGCTATATTTTATAAAATAATAAGTTTTAGAGTTAATTAAAATAGAATCAACAAACAAACAAATAAGCAACCAACCAATCAATCAATAGTTAATTATATTAGTTTAGGATAGGATATAAATGGAGGAAAGGTCTTTTAAAGTATAGAGCTTTTTCAAGAATCTAGTTTTATTTTTTTTTGTAACTACGAATCAGCTTGTTTGTAAACAATTAATAAAGTTTTTATATGAGTATTTGATTGTCTTTTTGTACAAAAAATGCTTCATCAAAGCAAAATTAATTACTTAAATAAGTAAAAAAATCATATTTATCTTTTGTTTATTTAAAAATAGATTATTTTTGGGTTATGACACCAGATAAAGAATAAAGTGATAGATGGAATACGGCATAAAAAGTTTTAGTTTGGATAGAAATAGCCATTTAACTTTGTATATAACTACTTATTTTTTATTAACTATACAGATATACCCCAGATGAAATTATGCATCTAATAGGAATTGAACGTAGCTTTAAGGAAGAAGGTGAAGATTATATGATATAGCTTCCAGAAGAAGTATTGGATAAAAAATTTAGGCTATTATTTATTTTATTAACACTAGCTTTAGCTGTAACACATGGCTATGCAAATTTAAAAGTGGAAAATTCTGTTAACTAAAATCATTATTAACTTTTTGTCTATTCGATAATTTGTATCTGTAACTGGTATGAAGCCAAAATGTATTTAGGCAAATTTGATATAATAATAGGGAGTTTAGGATATTTGCTAAGTGCTCTTATAGATGTTGGCAATAAAACTCGACAAGAGATTTTCTTTATCTTTATTTCTTATGGCTTCTTTTTTTTAATTTACTTCTATATCTTCTTATTCTAGTAGTATGGAATCACACTATAAAATGAATAACCAAACAATGCTTAATATTTATAAAAAACACCTTTAGACCCAAAAATAACAATTCTCAATAGTTAAGACGATGAAGCATAAAATAGGAATCTAATTAACCAAGAGTAACTTGATAGACAAGGTTAGTCTTAATCAATAAAAAAAGTTACTATTTTTTAATTTCCTTTCTCTCAATCTATCAATTTAAATAGTGTTAACACAAAAAAAATATCTCAGTTTACATTTGATCCATTTTAATATAACAATACTAGAAAAACTGTATAAAATGGACTTAATACTCTGAATGAGAATATCTTGGACAATAAGATATCTAAAATATTAAACTCTTTTAATTAAAACTCATAACCTAATAAAATTTAATCCTTCCAAGACAGTATAAATTAGCACTTACAATTTTATTAGGGTATGATAGATAAGTTAGATTCTGCTATATTTGTAATAGGAGGTCCTAATAAAGTTTTTGAATCGCTTAATAAAAAGGCTTAAGTGTTTTTTTAGCCGTATTTCTTATAAAAAGGTATTGAAGATTCATTAGATTACAAAAGTATTTTTGATTTAATTAATCTTAAAGATTTCAGTAAAAGCTGCTATAGCTATTTAGAAACGTTAGGCATCTCTAAGATACAAATTCCATGTCCTGATTCGCCTATGGACACTTTCTAAAAGAAAGGAACACTTGCTAGTTTCTAATTTTAATAAAACTAGGGCATATCAAATCATTCTCAGTTTTAAAAGTAAAACTCACCCTTTTTGAGTCGTTAAGCTGTAAGTTAAAAAAGCTAATTCAACTTCAATTACAAAACTTAATAATCAACTCTAAGTTAAGATTAAAATATAAATAATGAGGAATTCTTAAATAAATTAACCTTGCAAGACTCAAAGAGATTGAAAAAAATGTATACCTTTACTGAAGTAAGTTTGCTAAGTCTTTTGTAGAAGTTATTAGAGAATAAATAAAAAGTTTGCATGTAGCATGAATATATTGAAATCATTGAGTTCACTACTGTTAAAGAATTAGAAGAAATTTTAAGATTTGTTCAAATCAAAATATATGGATTCAAATCAAACGGTGATGACTTTTTATTTATATAATTTGTAAAAAATCAAGAAAGAGAAGAAATGATGAGATAAACAATTCATAAGGACATTCAGTACAATACATTTAAAACACTTTCACATGAATTAGGAACAAGCATTAACTTTATGCTTCTACTATTAGATTGTATTTATTTAATTTTTATTCATACGAAACAATTTATTTATTTATTTTACTTTTTATTTTTAAAATAGCTGCAATAGTTGACAAGTCTATTTCATAAAAATGCAAAGAAGATTACATATTTGTAAATAAATAAATAAATAGATTTTTTTATTTTGAAATTTTAATTATTTTAATTTTAATTTATCAACTGTTAAAAACAAATTAGAACTTATATAACAACTCGTAGATGCTAAATTGCATCATATAAGACATTAGAGATTATCATAATCATTTAAATGGAGGTCTGAAAGTTTAAATTAAATCTACATAACTAAAGTCATTGATAATAAATACATGTTTGATATTTTCATAAATGATCAAAATGAAAGAAATTGATTTAGAGTTTCTGATTAGTTCAGATGTGCCTTAAATAGTTTTCACAGATAAATAAAAAATACAATAAATTCTTATACATTTAATACATAACGCTATTAAATTTTCTAAATAAAATGCTTCTATCTGTGTCTCTGTTAGCTTGATCTAAGATGAATTAACAAAACAAAAAATAGTATGTATAAATGTAGCAGACATTGGCGTAGGTAAAATATTTCAAATAAAAATAATTTCTATAAAAAATATAACATTTATATATAGGAATGGATGAGGAAGAATAGTTGAAATTAAGATAGTTACTTGACAATATTTATTAATCATAAAAAGTATCAAAACATTCTTCTGGTTTCGGATTTGGTTTAACAATAAGTAATATTCTGGCAAAAAAGCTTTATTCAACTCACAACTCTTTCTATGAAGGAAATGCATAAGCCAGTTATATATAAAAAGAAGAATATCAACCAGGAATACATTTTACATCTAAAAAAAATGTAGGATCAGAATTTCGTTTTTACATTAATGCAACTGATAGCGAAAAGTTAGTTGAAAATTCAATCAGTAGTGCAGAAAAAAATATTCTCAAATCCAAGACTTAAAAGTTTAGGGTAATTAAAATATAATGAAATAATCGATTTATAAAAGAAATTTTAATTACTTATTTTTTTTTATATTAAAGATTAATGAATATGAATATTTTGAGCATGAAGATGATATTGAAATTTCTAAAAAAGAATACGCATAATAAAATGTAGAAGTTAAAGTAGCTGATCATTTGAGTGAAATAGATGCTACTTTTTCTGTCTAAAGAAGCCTCCGTCCATTATCAAAAAAAATAACATAAGTATTTGAAAAAATCTAGAATACTAACAATTAAAAATAAATAGAAAAATCTAAATTTGGAATAGGATTTGATCCTTTATTACTTAAAAGTAATCAATTATTTACAGTTTAGTATCAGTAAAGATTTATTAAAAAAATAAATTTGATGCAGCTTCTGTTTTCAAAAAAGCTGCTTTATTTTTCAATTATAATAAATCAAAATTAATACAATTACCTAGTATTACTGATACACATGAATTTATGAATTCAAAATCAATCTTAATTTATTTTTATCTATCTAATAAGTAGAGACAAATACTATCTAGCAAGATAACTAAACAGATACTAACAATAATAAACTTACAGTTGGCCGTAAAGGTCAGAAGAAAATAACTTTGTCTTACTTGATTAATTCATAATTTAGTAAGAAATCAATTACATTTAATCAGAATGACGATGTTGAAGAGGATGTATAAGTGGGAGTAATGCCAGTTTTCACTAAAAATGTTTAGACAATAAGTTAATGCTATAAGATTTTAATAGTAGATGATGAGATGATGAACATATTTGGTCTAAAAATGATGTTTAAGATATTGGGTGTTGATTAAGGACTCCTACTTTAGGCTAACAATGGAGAAGAGGCATTAAATATATTCAAATAAAATATACTAAATGAAAATAAATAATCTTAAATAAAATTAATAGTTATGGATATTAATATGCCAATAATGGATGGTATTCAAGCAACAATAGAAATTAACAATTTTATGAATTAACTAAAGGGATAAAACACCGATTTTTTAGAGACTAACATTGTAGCGTGCTCTAGCTATGACGACTATGATACAAAATAAGAATGCATGAATGCAGGCATGATTTCCTATATTTCGAAACCCTGTAACAAAGAGTAATTAACTCATATAATCTAAAAATATTACCTCAAATGAGAAATAGATAGATTGACAAAAATAAATTATTTCGCTTTTTCTAAATTATACAAATTCGAAAGAAAGCTTTTTTATAAAGTAAATATTTAAAATTAGTAACAAAAATTTGAAGCATAGAAAAAGAATAAATTTTCTTTTGATTATAATTTATTTTACAGTATTAATAAGCTTGAATTATATTTAGTAATAGTTCAATAAGAACCAAAAATGTCAAATATAATCAAAGCTTTTTTTTTAATATTTTTTATAAATTATGGATTTGAAAACAGTATTCGTATATCCGTTTTATAAAAATAGTGTGTATAAAAAAATTCTATATTCCAATAAATTGTTACAACGCTTTTTAAAAAACTCTTAGCCTATTACTTAAAATGATAAAATACTACATAAATACTAAGTTTTTATGCGAATTACAGATGATGATTAAATAAACAAAGCAATTTAAAAGCTTGAATTTCAAGTATAAACAATATATTAAGCGAATCTGAATAAATTTATTATATTTACTTTCAAATGAATAAATATACACCTATTAAATTGTATGTTTTATTTTCATTATTGTAAAAATTTAATTAATTTAAATGGTAAAATATCTATTCAAATCTCATTAAAATAATTAAATAAATTATCAAAAATTTAAAATCAGAGTGTCAAAAATCATAAAACAAACCATATCAAATTAATAATTATAAAAGCAATTTTTAAAAGATATGGAAGGAATATCTAAAGAGGAGCTTCGTATCCAATACGATAGTCTAGAAAATAAACCTCAAATGGGTTTTCAAATTCTACTTTCAAATATTTACTTTCTTCTAACCAAAGGCATAGTCACGAACTAAATAATAGGATCAAGTGGCAATTCATTTATGCTTAAGTGCAACTAAAAGACACCAAATGGTATTATTATTTTAACTGTCAGGGCTATTATGGTTAACAGCTATAGTACTCTTTCAAATGCTGTTGAGTTATATGAGAATTAGGTAGATATAAAATATGTATCAGAATATATTTAAGTTTATGACTCCTTCTGCTACAATAAAAATGATGAAGTAATGAATTACGTGAGAAGAGGATTTTATCGCTACACAATTGATGAAATGTACAAGCTGAATTCATCATTCAAAGGCTAAGGTGTTTTAAACCGCTTTGACCTTATTTAAAAATGGATAGACTAATTGATAGAAGCATTATCTTTGCTACATGAAAGAGGACTCTATCACGGTGGTGTTAAGGCATCTAATATCTTTGTAGATGAAAATAGCAATTAAATACGTATTATTGACTATGGATTTTACTCATCTCATGTAAATTTGATGAATTAAAATTACTCTAAAGATGTGTACACTCCATTAGTCTTTAATGAGCTTGCAAATTCATTCGATTAGAAGAGGTTTAATGATATTTATGCTTTAATTATTTTAATCTATCAAATGGCTTTTGGCTTTGATAACTCCCATTACTAGATAAAATAGCTTTAAAAAGGAATAACATTTAACGATGAGGATGATGGAAGAGATCACGAATCAGATGATACTTACGAATTTAAGTTAAGGATAATTAAGCTTGTTAATAAAATAGTTTGTAAAGCAGCTCTAGGAACAGAAGAATAACGCAAAAAGATTACCTTATTCTATGTCTCAGATGTGCTTTAATAAAAAAGAAATGTAGAATCTTTCTAAAATTCTCCTAAACACATAGCTGAAACTCTATAAGTATTTGATAATGGTTAAAAAGTGGTTATTTCAAGTGAAAGAGTTTTAGCTGCTGCATAACCATAATAATAAAATTATGATGGCGACTCTAAGACAGATTATACCCAAGAAGAGCTCTATCTATAAGAAATGATTTATTAATAACAAAAGTAGCATGAATAAGAACAAAAATAAATATAGTAGTAAATTTATTCGAATGAAAATTTAACTTTATAACAAAAAATAGACGTTTACAAAAAGTTAGACTATGAAAAATATTAACACAGTAGCTCTTAAAATAGTACATCTAATATCCTAAGTCCAGAGAAAAATTAAGCAGTAATAAGCCCTCTATTTTAAGTAAATTAGAGTCATCAGCTTATGAGTGAAATTTAAGAATAATAAGTTAAAATCGAAAATTATGAAAAGGAAAAATAATATATCAATCCAGTCGAATAAGAATAAAAACTTGATTAAATTTTGTAAATGCATAGATAAGAAAAAGATTTGATAATTAATTAACAAAATTCTGATTAAATAAATTCTACAGCACTGGACAAATAAAATTCTAATTTGGTTCAAGGCTTCCTTTAAGATAATAAAATCATAAAATCATGTTTTGATTTTAATTCTCCAATAAATACATAACCTACTTCAATTTCTTAACATATACGCACATACTCGAGTGCTGTTTATGATCACGCACCTAATTCTGCTCAAATTGTTGAAAATCCAGAAAAAATTTAAGTTACACAAGAAACCAAACCTGATGAAATAGATACTTAATAGAATAAAATTTTAGAAGAAAAATATGAAGATTTTTGGGTGATAGATTTATCTCATAAAAATAGTGTATAAAGAGGAGCAGATTATCATCCTAGTAAGTACTAAGAATAAATTAAATAAGCTTAATTAAAATAGTAACAAAATGAAATTGAAGACATTTACACTCAAGTAAATTAGAGATCAAATCAAAAAATGACAATATAATAAACTTTACTTAAATAAATTGAATAATTTGATAAATAATAATAATAATAATAGTAATAACAACCAGAAAAAACAATTTAATAAACAGCATTTTAACAAGATTCTCATAAGGATATTTCTACCAGTTAAAATTGTGAAATCAAGACACCATACATGAGTACTGAATAAATCTTATCTAACTCCTAAGAAAACTAAATAATCAGATTTCCAAATGGAGCTATTCAGTATGAAGGTTAGATATAAAGTGGATAGAAAAATGGCTATGGAGTACTCTACAACTGTAATGGCACAAAAATGTATGAAGGAAGCTTTAAAGATGATTTCTATCATGGTTTTGGAATGGAATATTATGAAAATGGTTAAATTCTTCATTAAGGAAATTTTGAAAAAGGATTATTAAATGGATTTGCTAAAACCTTCTACAAGAATGGAAGCCTATGTTACGAAGGAGATTATGTTGAAGGCATATGCCATGGAAATGGCACAAAGTACGATGAGAGCTCATCAAACTTCTAACAAGGTTAATACTAAAATGGAAAGATGATAGGAGTTCACAAGAAGTACCAATAAAATGGCTAAATAATATTTGAAACTAATTTTAAAAATAATAAAAGAGATGGAAAATCTATTGAGTATCATTAATAAGGTGGTATTAGCTTTGAGGGAACATATAAAAACGGTAAGAAAATGAATGGTATTGAATATGACCATGATGGAAATAAAATACATGAAGGTGATTATGAATAATACGAATTTTGATTTCAAAAAATCTATTTCCCTATTTATTTCAAAAGAGATTTATAATATTTCTTCATTAAACTTTAAGAATTAATATAAATTTCTATATATATATCTATCTATTTGTATCTTAAGACTCTTTAAATTATTTTCAAGCAAAAATTATTTTTATCACAAGAAAGTATTTATTTTACTTTATAATCTAATACTAGATTCCTTAAAAATAAATTTTAAACTATTTTAAAACATATTCATTTAAACATTCCTTGAAAGAATTTATATTAAAAATTTTTCTTTTGCAGATAAATAAATTTTTTTTTTATGATAAGTATTAATTTTTGTATTTTTTGTCTAATCACTACCAATTAAAATTCTTTTTCAAAGACCTATCTTCTTATTTTTATTTTCCAGAAAAACAATTTATTAACAATATACTTCAGACTTTATTTTGTTACAATCTTAACTTTAAGAGCACTTGTTGCTATAATTGTTAGCAGATTTTTTAAAAAAGCAATAAAAAAGTATTTATATAAAACCTTGACAATATTGGCACCTCTATAATTTGAGTATAAATTTTGGTCAGAGGGTGGTCACTTTAGATAGTTTTTACTTTCAGTTTCTCATAACTTAGTCGTTTACTCAAAATTCATTTTATCTAAATAAAAGCTTCATAATAAAAAATAATAGGTTTTTTATAATAAAATCCTTGTTTTAAACTATTTCTATTTGGTGATAGTTAAATTTGAAAATTGTCAGTAAAATATTATGAAATAAATTCAAAAGGAATTATATTAATAGTTAATTAAATAAAGTTTGTTGTTAATAGAAGTAATTTTGATTAAGCTATATTATAAATGAGTTAAGGAAATGTTGATGATCCTGCTCTAATAGAAAGCACGCCTGTAAGAACAGTGAGAAATTTGAAAAATAGATAATCTCTCACAAGCATCAAAGGAGATGGTGAAAGTGAAGATAGCTATGATAATGTAAAATTAAGCTTAGAATTAAAGAAATTACATTTTAAATTAATTAACAAACTAAATCCAAACAGACAAGCGAATATTAAGAGTTAGGGTAAAGCTAAACTCAGTAATCTAGAGGTATTAAAAACCAAAAAAACATGGAAGAATATATTAAAAAGGTAGAATAATTTTCTAACGAAATGAAACCAAGTTTCTAGAGAAAATTTTAGCATACATCTGCAACCACAATTCAAATGAAAAGATTTTAAAGTCAAGAAGATAATAAAGTTACTTCTAGAACATCGATGCACGATACTTCTTCCCTTTAAAAAAAATAAGTAGAAGGAAATGGCAGCACTCTTTATGAATTAAATTCAGAAAACACTGTTCCCGTAAAAAATGAGAAAAGAAGTAGTGGTGCTACTGCTTTTGCTGTACCTGTTTCTTCTTATTTAAAAAATAATAGCTAACCAACATAATAACTACCATATGGATCGTAAATAACAAGTGTTGAACAATCTTAGATATATTTGTAGCCTCTTAATGATAAAACCAATAATTTGTAATAAGCTGACCGCAAATCTTTCAGAAGGAACAAGATGAAAGTAGGAACATTGAATGATGCAAATATGGGCTATGGAACATTATAAGAAGAAAATGGACTCTAAGAACTAAATCAAAAAAGCTAATACGTCAATATTGATATGGAATATGCTATTTAATTTGTAATGACCAAAAGCAAAACTATTAGAGAAAAAATTGAAGATGAAAATATCTCTCTAGATTCGATCAACAAAGCTGTGTTGTAAAGCAGAGCGTTTAAAATTCACTATAATATGTTTTTGTAGAAATAAGTTGGACTGAAAATATTAAATCCAGAATTTAAAAACGTTAGTAAAAAGATGTTTGAAAAACTAGAGAAATTTTTTATAAGTTAGCTAGAAAAGGAGAAAGAAAATAAAGAGTTGCAAAAAAATTATAAGACTTAATCATAAAATGTCTAAAATCTACTTTAAAGTAGAATGTAATAGCTAATGGAAGAGATGAATAACCCAAACAAAATTATTCTCTCTAATTGATTGAGTGACTTTTTTAACAAACTAATTCAAACTAAATAAATTAATAAGTTTTATAATATTCAATTTAAATTAACAGCAATAACTATTCAAAATCTCTCAAAGAATAATTCGGTATCAATATTAGATTATTTTGTAAATATTTACTTTGAATTAAATTGTATGCAATACAAAATATTACGTCAAACATAACTGCAAAATCATTAATATTTATGTTTTGGTTATTTTTCTCGTTTTAGGTAAAATATTATAAACATTTTTTATAAAAAAGATTTATAGTGCAATAGTAAATATAATTTGTGTAAATTCAATGGTTTTTAGAAAATATGATGTTATATGTTTTGTACTTAATACAAAGTAAGCAGAAAAACATGTAAAATAAAAGCAATAAATAAAGTATTTAAACTATTAACATGAAAAATGTGTATTGTGTTGTGTTACAAATTTTTAATTACAAATAATTAATTTTTATTGATTTCTATGAAAAAAAAAATGTTAAAAAGCTTTCGCAATTTAGAGTTTTTAAAAAATTAATATCCAGAATTTTATTAAAAAATAAGGTTCATTGAAAAATAATAAATAATAATAGAATAAATATATCTACTTAAAAAAAAATACTTAAACTTTAATTTTATAATTCTAAAAATTTGCAAATATGACACGTTTATTTCGCACTATTCTTTCATTTAAGCTAATTTATTGCATATTTTCTCAGATCGTATTATTTTTTTAGAATTTAACTTATTTAAATAATTTATTAGAATTTTTATATATAATAACCTAAAATTATTACTTAATGATTGCTTTTGTTCTGTATATATATATCCCTTTCACAACTAACTAGTTGATCCTACATTTTATTATTTGTCTACAAATTTAAAACTTAAGTTTTTTTATATAATGCATAGAGAAAAATATTTAACTATGTTAAAAATATTTCTGTATAAGAATTAGAAATTTAAAATCAATCAATCAGTTGTATTTTAATTACAATAAGAGGAAAATAATCGTAGGACATCTATCCATATATATCTTACAATAGTTAAAAAAATAACAAAAAAAAGGAATTTGAATGCACTGAAACAAGGCTGAATCGATTTTATTAAATATTCAATAAGTGCTTGGAGAATTAACAAATTTGTCACATAATTATTATTATTTTTAGCTAAGAGGATTATTTTATTATATTTACAAATAAATAATTGTACTCACTATTACTATTAAAGATTAAAATTTTAGAAATAAATCTAGTTGATAGAAAAAGACAAACAACTTAATTGGTTTTAAAACAATTTAGCTTTTGAATTGCTATTGTAATAAAAATATTTATACATTTAAAAATTTTTAACTTTTATTTTAAATTTATTCAATAAAATTAGAATAACCTCAGTCTAGCTCTGAATCAAATGTATTAGGATTCAAAAATATTCTTTAACAATCTATTACAATATCTATCATAATCTTTAATATTAAATAGAAGCCAACCTAAAAAGATTATAAAATATGTGTGTAAAATTTTTAAATAATTCAATTTAAAAATGCAAAATAAAATATTAATTTTAGTTTATTTATCTACAAATACTTTAATGCATTTTTATGAAATTTTTTGTGATTTTTGTGGAAAATTAGATTGAATTTTACATAAGGAATTTACTAATACGCTCAAAACTTGAAATTTTAAGAGAGAGTATATCCAAATTTTATATCGTAATTTATGGTGTATCGCAACTTGTATTTGGGGAGAAAGTGCTTTAAAAGAAAAAGAAAGTAAAATATTTAAAGATAAAAAAGAAAAAATAATGACAATCACATAGATAAATAAATAATCAATATTTATTTTTAAATGGAAACAGTCAGTCAGTCAAGCAATTTAAAAAAAGGCTGTTAAGGTGTATATTTTATTTTAATTAGAATGGAAATTTTCAGCTGAAAAAAAGATGAATGAATTTAACTAACATTTAATTTTGCATGTTTTTTCTTTGTATTTTCTTTCTTCTATTCTTTGTTTATCTTGCCTTCTTTTGCTTTTTTGCTTCATTCATAACTCAAAAAAATCAAAAAATTTACTACCACCTAAATAAGAAGTAAACAAACAAATTTCTTGTATTATTAGTTAGAGTTTTTTTTATTTGAGCATATAAATAAATAAACAAACAAACAAGTTAGGTGGGAATAATAATGATACATAGTAATAAATATTGATAGCAAAGGAAATAAGTCTTTGATTATGCTGCTTAAGCTTTATTGATTGATTGAATAAGAAAAGTAAGATTTAATGTAATTTTGAATACATATATTAATTTAATAATAAATAAAAACACAATTAAAACAAAAAAAAATCAAAGATTTATAATTTCGAATATATAATTGCATATAAGTTTATATATATTTTTCATTAAAAATAATATAAATCTAAACAAACAAACTAATAAATAAATAAATTAAACAACCTTTTAATGATAGAAACTGAAAGTTAAGAAAATTCAGAATTGCTTCCAAGTAAACCTCGATAGCGGTCACCGCTATAAATACCTTCCACTTCAGACTCTTCTCCTTAGATTTAGCAGATCGCTGCTAAATAATCAAATACATAATCTGCTAAAGACTAATAAGAAAAAATTCTTTAAGAATAAATATAATTTTCTGATTTCTAAAATGCCACTCCTTCAAATGATTCCTTGTATCAAATTTAATAATAATTAAGTAAAATCAATAGCTCAAAGTCTGCTTGTGCTGCTATTAAGGCAGCTGTTGATTTTGTATAGCATAACTAATTTTGCAAGCGCCACTCTATTGCTTTGTCACCAAGTTTAAGTTAGAAATCTAATAATCGCTCGTCTATTACAAATCAGATGAATGCCACAAATAACTCCAACGCTTAGGCTGGAGGAGAAATAGACTCTTCAATAGATACATTTTAAAATAGAAATAAGTTAAAACACTAAATATCTAAGGTAGATAATAACCAAAAAAAGCAATTATAAAATAATAATTTAGATCATTCAAAATAAAATAAAGTAATGAATTAAAATAACACATCTGTTCCTTTGTGCGGCTCTCTCACATAAGTCGAAAATAACGACCACTCAAGTGACTACTTATCTAGTGCAGAATCTGACTCTAGTGAAAGTAGCAGTGAAGAGTATATACACCAATGTTAAAAGAAATTATTAGGATTAAATCGAAGTAAAAACACCAGCTCTGACAGTACTAATGCAAGTAGCAGCCACAATTAGTAGTTCTAAACTATATCCTAACAATAGCAGTATCCTCTCCAATTTGTTTGTGTTGAGTTAAACTGCACAGAAGAATTTAAATACTGTTGCGTTAAATGCTTGAGCTCAGGTGGTCACGAAAATCATTAAGCAATCTGCGTGAAGACAATTAATTAATAAATTTAATCGCAGCTTAAGATGAATAAGTTGAGCTCGGTAAAACAAAAAATAGACTAGCTATTTGATAACCTAGAAGAAAAGCTCAAATAGTGTAGACATATCTTGAATAATTAATTTAATGAAGCTTAGTCTAATTTGTAGTAAGAAGCAGAGAGTGCTTTGAATCCTAAAGCTAGTCTCGAATAAAAAGTTTAAATTTGGAAAGCTTATTATTAATCAGAATAGGCAATAATTATGGAACACTTAAATTTCATATTAGAAAAGAGTGATCTATTTTTCAACTAAATTGGATCTAGGATAGTCAACTTAAATCCTAAATAGCTTTTGCATATCAAGTAGAATACTAAATATGACATCCTTTTCTAGCAATAATTAAAGTCAATAGAACAAGAGCTTTAAAAAGCTGAATCAAATTTAAGTTCTAGAGCTAAGCAAGCTTTAGCTGCCTTACCACAATTTAACTTTTAGAGCGAAGAATTAGAAAATAGCTCAGCTGTCTCCATTAAAAAATTTGAATATCCTGAAAGAATAGAATTTTGCTAAGTTGATAAAAAAGGTGAACAAAATGGTCGTTGTCTCATATTTTGGAAAGATGGAGCTTACAGAGTGGGCTACCATCGCGGAGGTTATTCCTAAGGTATCTGCAGAATGGTATGGGAAAACGGTAACGTTTATTAAGGCGAATACGTCAATGACTGCAAATAAGGATAAGGCTTTTTCATAAAATATTCTGATAATACTACATATTTTGGTTCTTTTGAATAGGACGCCAAAAACGGATATGGTATTGAGTATTACCCAAATAATACTTAATATGTAGGTGAATTTAAAAATTGGAAGACTCATGGCATTGGTAAACTAATATAAACAGATAGTAAAAAAGTAATCTATGAAGGCAAATGGAAAAATGGTAAGTTTGTCGACCATGTTAGTTCTCTCTGAATAATAAATGAAGAAGAAGTGGCCAGCTCTTAAGCGTTTTGAGGAAATAAATATATTGAGAGAGAAGAGAATCAATAATTTTTAAATTAAAGGAGTACAAACTAGAAAAGCATTTAATGATTAGTAAAAGAATTTTTTAAGTTATTGAAAAAAGATAAAATCATAAAATTAGTTTTTTTTAATAAAAACAGCAACAACAACAATAATAATAACAACAAGATTAATAAAGTAAAATAACTCTGCTTATTTTAAATTTGATAAAAATCAATTTATAGCAATAATATTTATTTAATAACAAAAAATACTTACTTACGAAATAGCTTTAAAAAACTATTTATTTTATGCTCAGCAAGTAAATGGCATAATTAGAAACAAGTAAACAACAAATGATGAAAAGAAATAAAACATAAAAAATAAATTCATTATATTAAATAAAAGATAAACTTTTTTAGTTTATTTTACTAATTATAAATAAATTAATATATATAAATCAACTAATCTTAAAATTATTTATACTATATTTTATACTTCTTAAGCTAGCACATAGGGAAAAAATAATAATAATCAACTAATAACCAGCTAACCATTCAAGTTAAAGTGCATTTTTTCTAATCTTTATTTTTTTCCATTCCAGTGCTTAAGAAGATTCGAGAAAAACGGCTATTTTTGATAGGTTTTTCTTTAATTCTTCAATCCTACAAGATAATGCTTCTCTGTTTATATTGAGTTTTTCTGTATATTATATTATGTGGGATTTACTGCCCTATTTATACTATATATTAACTATTTATCTTATTTAACTTTAAACTATTAACTTATATTAATCTTCTTTTTTTAGGCTTTCATGCAAAACAATACATCCCCTTCATCCCTCCCTGCTTGCATGCATACATACATAATATGCTACACTAGTATATACTTACCTTCAATAGATAATAATGGGAAATCAGCGAAGAAGTATACTTCAAGCATTGTCATTCATACATTAATAGTATAAATTAAAACTTATCTTTAATCTTATTTCAATATTACATTTAAGAATACAAACATAAAATGATATAATTAATATATATTTAATACTCTATACAATATAAATATAAGGGATAATACGGATATAATGGTAAAGTAAATAGAATTCAATTATTTCTAATAATAGAATGGTACTATTTTATTTCTCAAAGTCTATTGCAACATAGATCAAAGAGAATTTTATTTTTATTAATTAATTACTCATTTTTTTTGAATCTTTTTTTGGTAATGTATTAATATTACCAGTAAAAATTATAAGTAAGTAATCAAATCATAGGTAAGGTAAATAAGTAACTAAATAAGATTAAAATATTATTTTAGCTTGAACAATAAATAGTCTATTACAACAAATAGATCAAGCTTACTTATTTTTTTCAATATTTCTTAACAATGTAATTCATAAGATTCTAAGTAAATATAATCTAAGTATTATTTTATTAATTATTGTTTGATCAATGTAAAATTGGGTTGGGGAAATATTTTGGTGGATTTTATTTATTATATGAGTTTGTGTTAATTGATTTGTTTGTCTGCTCTTCTACTATTTTTTTTTGTTTACTTAATTATGTGGTAATAACTTTTTTATTGAACGTGATTTTTTAGGTTATACAATGTAAATATTATATACAAGATAATAAAATAGATAGTTTGGGTAAATAATTTAATGAATCAATTCTTAAATTAGAACTATGAGATTGTTAATCTGATAGTATTTGGTTAATGGAAGCGATAGATCAATAGCATCATTTCTTGATCCCTCACTTAATATCCATTCTTAATTAAAAAAGCCTTAAAATCTGAATAAGTTACGATTTCTTTGTTTCCATTCGATATTTATAGAAACAGCTCATATTAAAATTCTTTATACTTCTATTTAATTTCTTTAAAACTAATCTAAGCTCTTAAGGTTTCTTTAATAATATTTCTAATTATTTTTTTTGTCTCTTCTGATATTTCTTATGATTTTGAAGTTACTGTCAGGTTTTAAGTCCCTAAAAGTACTTCTAGTATATCTTCCTTTCTAATTATTGGAGAGGAATCCTCTTAAAGATTATCAACTTCATCAGTAACTTAAAATATCATTCTTAAATCAAAACTACTATAATTTGTTCCTAAAATTTTATTAAGTCTGTTTCTATAGCCCTCTATACATTCTCCTCTTTAATAACCAGTGTCGTTTTAGCTATTAGCACCATATTCATATAAAGGTAGGATGTGATCTAATTCAGTTATTTTCCTACTTAATCCTGATTTTAATTGCAAGAGAGACCTTTCTATATTGAGTTGATAATACAATGAATCTGCAAATTCTTCTATAATTTTTTCTTCTATTTAGGGGAATTGATAGTTGGTCTCAATTTCTTTTTATTTTATCTCTAATTAACTCACATTATTATCTATCATAGAGCCTTATTAAGAGATGCTTTAATCATTTTAAATGTTATTTGGAGAATCCTATTAATTATTTTAAATTTCTTCAATTTATTGATGACAAATATTTTTATCATTTTTGAAATTCATATCAGTTTCTATACTATTTTTAGTATTTTTACAATCTATTTAGTCATTATTTAAAATTTATTATTAAGTGTTGTTTATTTCTGCATCATTTCCATTTTTAGTCTCTTCATTCTAAAAATTTTAAATTAATTTTGAGCTATTTTATGATAAATATTAACTGTGCAAGCTTATTAGCTTTTGATGTGAAATTTCCAAATCTGCTATCTGATCTACCTTTTCTTAGTCATTAAAGTTTTTGATAATTTAATTTTTGTTATTTATGTCATTTTAAGAAAGGTAGGATGAATTATTTTCATTTACTTTTAATATTTACTATTGATTTTTACGTATCTATTCTATTGGGGATCTAGATATTACAGGATTGTTTATCTAATTCTATTTAGTAAATTCTTGATTTTAGCTATTATGGATATTGTTATAATCTATGCTTCCTTAAGTTTAAACAGAAGAAAGGTTTGTGTTGAATGTGAAAGTCTCTGCTATTTTACAAATATTTTTTTTGTGATAAAATGAAGTTTTAGTATTTGGGTCAGAAGGAGGTGTCGGTAGCTGGTTATTACTCCTACTTGATTAAGGAACATATTCACTTTGTTTGAGATCAATCTTTTAGAAATCTTATTCTTCTTTTTAAGTTTATTTATGTTGTTCTTGTAATCTTTATGAATTTTCTTTTTATTCATTTAAACTTCTATCGCTTGGCTGATAATTATTAAAAATCTATATAGCATCTTTTTAATCAGTTTGTTGATTGCTTTAGTAGTTATTTGTAATAGGCGTAACTAATCCTGATAAAGAGAGTTACAGTAAATCAGAACAATTCAAGGAAGTATCTACATTTTAATTTATTTTATTTGCATTGAATGCTTTTATGAGAGATTCGCCCTTCTAATTATTAGATTGTGGTACTGAATTTTCTTTTATAAAATAAGCACTTTTTGAGGTTTTATCTTCATCATTTAAAATCTGCTTTTGTTTGTATTTTGCTTAGCATTAAATCTAAATTTATTTGACTTATTCATCAACAAATTTCTTTACATCTTCTAAATTCTATACTGGAACTTGCTTTAAAGTTTCTGATTACTTCATAACATTTATTTCTTTAGCTAAAGCTTAATTTAGCTTGCTTTAAATTGACGAGTTGTGGTTATCGCATATTATTTTTGATTAAGTCATTTTAGCATGTGATATAGGTATCCTATCTTATTTATATACCTCATTATATTCAATAACAACAGAGCTATTATTAGAAAATGTGTTTACTTGCTTAACAGCAATATTTTCTTTTTCTTCAATATGTTTTGTTTACTAATCTACATTTTAGGGCTTTTAATTATTATGATAATTGTTCTCACCTCCTCTATCAATATTTTCATTTTCTTTGTTTTGATTCTGTTTTTCAGCTGAATTCAAAACTTCCACAGATTATATATGGATAGAATTGCTTAAAATTTATCTTCTAGCTTGATGAGCATTAATAATGGCTTTAAAAACAGGATTTCCTTCATTTTCTTACCTTTTGTAACTATTTACATTTTTCTTCATTGTATTGCTTTGATATTAGTCATGATCAATCTAATTATCATTTTGATTTTGGAATTTTTTATCTTAATCATTTTTAATTATGCCTTTATGTTATTATGTATGCAAATTATGGTGATTAATATTTGTTTTTAGTACTCTTATATTTTAATGTGGAGTTTAGCTTTAAACATTATTTATATTTAAAGAAGTATTAATGCTATTATTAGTATTTTAAGAAGGGTTAGCATTGCTTTATCCGTATTATTTCATTTAATGTTATACATAGCTTTACAAAGGCTATTTGTAAACTGGTGATTAAACTTTATCATAATTTAGCTTTGTTGGGTAAAGTAAATTCTAATCTCCTTTTATTGATAGAGAATAACTTCTTGGTTTTTATAAGAAGGCGTCATTATTAAGAGAAGTATTTAAGCTTATATTGTTTTATTCAATAGTATTATTACCTAAAATAATACCATTCGATAATCTTTCTTAATAATTTTATACTGTTTCCAATTCTTTTGTATTTACTGGTACACTAAGTCTTTAAATAGCATATGATCTTTGGCTTACAGTGGGTGTCTAATTATATAGCAAAGATAAATCTGTAGAATTTTATGTTTAGTTAATGAAGCTATTATTGGAAGGAGTAATTATTTTATTATTGATTTAGTAGCTATTATTGAGTTGAAATTAAGGATCAGACTATGGGTAAGAACTACCATCAATAGAGTTCCTTTTTTTCATTAAATTAGTGTTTATTTATTTTAATTCTCTATACTTTGCTGCTATTTTTGCAATCTACTATTTTTCATTTTCACTATATTTACCGTTTGATGAGGATACAATATTGTATTTTAAAAGCGAAGCCCCATATTGTGGTTACTAATTAGTTGGATTAAGCTATTGTTAACTGTATTATAGAGGTATCTATTCTATCTAATTAGGATAACTTGCATAAGAGAGTGGATAATTATTAGTATTACTATTACCGTTCTAACTTTATAAGTAAATTTGATTTTTTTCTTATATTTATTATTGTATAGAGGTGTAATAGGGTTTGCTTTTTAAGTAAGGATCATATTTTTAGTCATTCTGCTAAATCTAATACATCTAAACTTATTTTTATGGTTAAATAGGTTATTACTAATGATATTATAACTATTATGGAGGAATAGGGTTTCTATATTAATATAAAGAGGTATCTAAAGACTTTCTATGTTCTTCATTCATGCTGTATTGGCTTTGTCTTCTCCTAGGTATGGAGATATTCCTATAAGTATTAGGTTAAATTAAATTTATTCCATCCATTTATTAGACTTATTATTGCGTTAATTGTCCAACATTAAGTGTGATGGGAATATACGACATTCTGTAAATAATTCCTATTAGTGTGCTTCTTTATAGCTACGATGCCGGCTTGAACTCTTAGTTAATATTTACAATCCAATTTTCTATTAAATTTGTTTTTAAATTTATATATTTTATTAAAAAACTGATAAATTTTATAAAAATTTGTTAACTCTTAACTTTTCTAACAACTCTCTATAATTTCTAAGAAAGTATTTAACAGCTAAATTCATTTCTTAATTTGAGTGGTTTTTTTTGGAATGATATAAATACAATTAAAAATGAAGATAAATTATTTTTTTAAAAAGCTTGATAAAGAGGGAAGAAATAAAATAAAATAATTTATTTGATTCTAATAAAAGCTTTATTTTAATTAATTATATTAAAAATAATAATTTATATTGAGAAAAGAAAGAAACTTTTTTATAAGCAAAACAACTCTTAAACAAGAAATTACTGCTAATTTTAATAATTTATTTTTAAGAATAAAATTTTATTACATTTTTAAAAATTATGAATTTTATTTTAATTCATTTTCATAAAATAATTAAAATTTTTTTTGTCAATTTTCTACAAAAATTCATTTTAATATTAAAGGTATTTTTTTGCCTTTTTATAAATATTATCAAAGAGAATTCAATCATTTTTACTTTGAAATTGATCTAAAAAAAATATTTTAATTCTACATTTAATTATTGCTTCACGCTTAATAAATATATAAAACTAAATATTAATTAATTAATTAATTTATTTTATTTTATAATTAATTGTTTTTCTTTCAAGCTTCGTTGTTTGAAAGCTTGTCAATCAAATATTTTTATTCAGACTCTACTTTCTATATTGATTCAAGTTCAGTTGAATATCTTTCTAATTCAGCCTTTTTTTCATTAAGCAGGTTGTTTAAATCCATCATTTTTTTCTTTCTATTTTCTGCCTCACTCTCTACTTTATTTCTTTCGCCAATAGCTCTTAATTTTTACTATTCTATCTTTTTTGCATAATTTTCTAAAGTTTCAATAATTTAAGCAATCACTTCATCTAAATTCAAAACTTTTTTGATAAATTCCATTGATTCATTTTTCAATTAATCGGTTTCCTTATATTTATCTTGTTCCAAAACACGAATTTTGTTTTCTTCGTCAAATGTAATAGAAATTTTATCAGCCATTTTTAAATCAAATATTATTTTTCTTCTTGTTCTATCTCTTATTGCTTGGTCTTTATCTTTTTTTAATAACTAAACTTTTTAAATTAATTAATTAAATAATTTATTTGGGTTTTTTTGTGCTTGATAGCAATTTTTTAGGTTATAAATTATTAAAAAAAGATGTTTTAAAATTAATACTTTTTTGAATTTTTAAATGCATTTTCAAGATTTGTAAATAAATACTTCTGATTGAATTAGCTTTCTTCATTTGTTTTATTTAATGACATATTTTTCTATATTCATAATTTAGATTTATTTGAATAAGGTTTTAATATTAAAAAGTAGCATTTATTAGTCATTAATTATTATAATAGATTTTAATTAACTTTATGAGCTTTAGAAAATTTTTTTAATTTGCAAAAGAATATGTTTCATTCCTAAGAAATTGATTTAAAGATAATTTCTGAAATAAAGATGTTTGAATTTATTCAAAAATATTGATAGTAAGAATCTATAAGGAAATAAATTAATTAATTACTAAGATATAATTTTTTTGTTTCTATTTTATATAAAAATGCTTATCAAAATAAATAATTAAATAGTATATTATTTAATTTATTAATTAACTTTCAAAGAAAGCAAAGCCATTATAAATAAAAATAGACATATTGATAGTTCAAAATGCACGGAAAGAGAAAGAAAGATGTGAGACCTCTAACAGAAGAAGAGAGAAAGAAAACAGAAGAACAAGGAGAAAAAATTATTGGCTTGATTAACGAATTCTTAAGTATCCGCCATGGAAAGAAACCTGTCAATAACCCAGGAGAATATTGTGATTTAGTTGCTACAATGTGTCCTGATCTTCCTACAATTTATAACTACAAGCGTGAAGTTTTAATCAAATAATTTAAAGAAACTAAAAACCCAAAGGATTAATATAAAGCATTGATGAATGAACTATAACTTGTAACAGGATTACTCAAAAAATCACCTAAAAGTTATTCGTTATGGTCATACAGATAATGGCTCGTCCTCTAATGCAGAGAACTTGAAAGACTCTATAATAAGCTAAAAGCAGCAAAAGAAGCTTAATTAAAAAAACTTTTAGAAGAGCAATAGCAAGATGGATAACAAATTTAAAAAGAAGATTTATTAAAGTAATAAGAAGCTGAGGAACCTATTCCCCAAGTCGTTGAACTAGAATTAAAGCTTTGCAATAAAATGTTAGACATGGATGAAAGAAATTTCCATTGCTGGAATTACAGAAATTGGCTTATAAACGACGTTGAAAAGAATAGTTTGAATTACATAGAACGTGAAATCACTTATACTTAATAGAAATACGAAAATAACTTTTCTAACTTTTCAGCACTCCACTTCCGCTCTAAAAATTTAATCAAAAAGTATGATTAAGATCTTGAGTCTCTTTACAAATCTGTTTCTACTTCTCCTGAAGAAGAACAAAAAAATTTAAAATCTAGGATACGTGAGTTGACCTAATTTAAAATACCTCTATAAAACATCAAAGACGAACTTGAGCTCATCAAAAATGCTATTTTTATTTAACCTAATGAATAAGGTGTTTGGCTTTATCATAAATGGTTAGTAAGTCTGCTAGTACCTTTCCGCTTTATTTCTGTTAATCCAGTGAATAAAGAAAACACTACACTTCAAATTACTTGCTCTTCAAAGATCATCAGTAATAATTTAGCATCAACTATATAGCTTTATGATCAAACTGGAAGTCCTGTCAACAATTTCACAATTGAGGAAGTAAGAAATTAAGTTGGTCAAGTCTTTAATATCAAAGCTGATAAATAAATATAGAAAGTAGTAGTTTCTTAGCCTTAAAATATATAAATGTAAGTTATAGACTACTAAATTTCAAAAAGAAACTTAATTTCTTCTGAATTTGTATTGCAAGAATGCAAATAAAAATATAAATTACAAAAATTAGATGACCAGGATTATCAATTTAGCGAAGTAGCCTATCAAATTCTTTTAGAAGAATAATAATTTGTTGATGAAGTTATAGAAAATGAAAAATAAAGCAAATTTGCACATTTCCATAAGCTTTACTTAATTCAAGTTAAATAAGGACTTGATTTGATTTTTAAAACTGACCAACATCATCTAAGCTTAGAATCTACTTAAAACATAATAAAAGTCATTGAGAGTTTGAACTCTATTGCTAAAAAGCAAACAAACTACCTAAAAAATTTAGAGAGTCAATATTAATCTCTTTTATCACTTTAACAAACTCTTGAAAAGCAGAGCAGTGGCTAATAAATAGAAAAAATATCTCTTCCATCTTCCCCTACTTACGAAATCGATCTTTTCCTTCCTTATCACTCTCTATTATAATAATGAGTGAAAAATAAATTTATAATTTAATCAATTAGATAAAAAATTATACACGTTTGAGTGATAAAATTTTTATTGAACAAAATTTTAAACACAAAGAAGTAAGTCTCTAATATTTGCAAATATTCTTTTAAAGAATCTCTATCTATATGTAAAATATTACATATAATTATTTATGTGCATGTTAACTTTTAATATAATAATTTTTTAGAATAAAATTAATATATGGTTAATTTACATTTTAAAGTAAAATATTAACAAATAATGATTGACTGATATCACATAAATTGGCATCAAAAAGGAGTTAAATGCTTGATACATTTAGTTATCTATGTCGTCATTAGAAAATTTATTTTTTCCTGTACCTAAAATACTTATAAAAAATAAGTTAATCACAAACTAGTTGAATTTGCATTAAAATCATCAAATTATTTGTTTTATTTTGATTAATATCAATAATAATTAATTAAAAAAATTAAAATTTGATTTTTTATTGATGAGTAAAAAATAGAATAAAGATAGTGGAGGTGGTTGCTGTGGCGGCAGTAGCAGCTCAAACAATTCAGTATAAAAGCCATTAAATACAAAAAAAAAAGAAATTAAGGTAGTATTATTAGGTGACCCTAATGTAGGAAAAAGTTCTATTGCGTTGAGATATTGCAAGCATTAATTTAGTGAAACATATGAGCTCACAATAGGAGGTGTTTATAATTTAAAAGAGACTACATTATCTAACGGATAAAAAGTTGCAATTCACCTTTGGGATACTGGTGGTGAAGAAAAATTTAGGTAAAATTTATTTTGCTTTCCAAATTATTAATAACAAACAGACACACACAGTAAAATGAAATAACAGAATAAAATGTTATATTGCTGAAAATTTATTACAAATTTAATTTAAGAAAGTAAAAAATATAAAATAAATTTAAATAGATCAATGACCCAGTTATATTATAATGACGCTTAAGCAGCTATTTTAGTTTATGATGTCTAAAATGCATAAACATTTTAAAGTTTAGAGTATTGGTTAAAAGAATTAGAAAATAAAGTTTCTAATTAAGGAATGATATTGTGTATAGCTGGAAATAAATGTGATGTGGATGAAGATTTGAGAGCTGTAACCTACGATTAAGGAGCTTAATTTTGTAAAAATAATAATAATATAATATTTGCTGAAACATCAGCAAAAACAAATTAAGGAATTGATGACCTCTTTAATGAATTGTTAGAAAAGATATAAAATAAACTATGAGAAACGAAAATAAGATATATATCACTTAAGGATAAGTATATTTACTTTAAAATGGAATAAAGCAAATTGAACTTATTTATGTTAAAGATATTATATAATAAATAACTTGCATATACATTTTATATATATAATCATTGGTAAAACTTCTAAATCTGATTGATGGATGCCAGTAAAGAGTTTTCAAAAAACAATTTAATTTATGTTTAATCAACTCAAAATTAAAAACTCAATAAAACAAACACTTTTTTTAATAAATAAATAAATAAAAAATGGTATTATAAAGTAAATTTATTTATTTTAATAAGTTAGGTTGCTAAAATTTTGGCTAATAATTTAGCCTTTCTAATAGGTTTAAATCTAATTAACTTTATATTTATCTAAATGATTTAGTGTTTCTTGATTTATTAATTTATTCTATTATAATTATGATGATAATATAGCTAATCATCAACCAAGCTATTTATTTTTTCTTTTCAGTGAAAATTCTTTAAATTTATCAAAATATTTTGGAAAAAATATATTTTAAAAATAATAAATTAATTTTTAACTTTCAAGAAAAGAAAAATTCAAACCTAAGTTTGTGATCACCTTAATAACATTTTGGAAATTTAAATAAGGTAAAAAAATTGTTTTTTAGTAAATTAATATGAATGAGATAAAGTGCTTTTGAGAAAAGTAGAGTGGGAATTACTTTATAGTATTATATAAAATATTAAAATCTGTAATTATTTCAGTTATAAAATAGCTTATTAATTAAATACTTTTTTAGAAAGCTATTTATCAAATTAATCAAAATGAAGCAATTTAAAAACAATAAAAGTACAATTTATTATTTAATGTTTAATTATTATATTTTAGTGAACAATACAATTTGAAATGGATTATATTATGCACACATTAAATTAAATTAAATTTAAAAGCACATCTTTTCATTTAATTTTGTCAAATTATTTCTAAGCCTATAATTTTTTTTTTTCAATCTTAAAATGGCTTTAATAATTTTCCCATAAATAATATTAATTATGATGGCTCATGAATGAGAGCATATACGAATGGTTTATCACAAGTCATAACTATTTCTTCTAACTGTTTAGGCATTCTTGATTTTGTTCTCATAACAACAGTAGTTGCAGCTGCAGCTTCAGTTCCAAATTCATCAATTTCAATTTTACCTATATGTGCAACTTGAGAAAGCATAATATAATTTTACTATTAAATATCTCTAAAATCTGCTTTTATTGTGAAGCACTCTTTGAGACCTAGAGCCTATAGAGCTGAATTTAAGTTATTTTATTCTCCATTTATTTTAAATTTAGGGAGAGTCAAATTAACTTTAGTTTCAACACTATTATTCAAAGCTTCAGTAAATGAAGAAAATGTAAAAAATTTCTCAAAATCTAGAATATTTTGATTGGTTGGTAAAAATATTACTAATTAATAATCTTTATTTTTATAAGGAATGGAAATAAATTGATAGTTTTCACTTTCATAATAATTAAATTTATGGGACATGTTCATCATTTTTACTAACTTTGATTTATTGTCATTAGTATAAAATTTTTGTTTTTTTGTCTGTAGTTCTTCAAACTACTTTTTCCAACTATCCTTAAAATAAATTGCATTGATCAAGATCATTTTAGTTTCTTCATTAAATAAATCTTAAGTTAATATATTTTGTATTTTATTATTAGTTAAATCACTGATTTACTTGTTGATTTTAGCAATAATTGCATTGTTGTTTTATTTAAAATCAACAGTTTCAATTGAACAATTCTCTATTTAAGAAATAAACTTTTAGTATTCTTATTAAATATCTTAAATTCCTAATAAGATATTGTTTGCAATTTTAATATTATTTTTATTTATTAGGATTTGTTATGCATTATGGATTATGTCTAATAACTAGCTTTTAGATTGAAACTTTAACACATTTTAAAACTCTTAAAGAGTTTTATCATTTGAACCATAGGCAATTAATGCTAGCGAAATATAAATGGAGGTAGGAGAGAATATTAAATTTTATTAGCTAGATAGTTATTGATTCAAACTAAAAGCAAATTCACCAATTTAATCACAAAGTTAATTTTCTTTTTACATTTTTATTTTTTTACTTCTTATTTTTTTTTTTTAAATTATTAATTTTTATTTTAGATGTCATGAAAGACATTTAATATAAAAATACCTAATCTCATCAGAATTTATTTATTTATTAATTTTTTGTCTCCATGAATTCTTCAAATCTAATATTAAATAATTTATTATTTCCTATAACAATCTAACTTACAAATTTAATTTGTAAATTCAAATACTTTTTTAGTGTAATGACATTAAGCAGCGTCTATTTTAGAAACTAGCTAAAAATTCGTCTACATTAAAAATGTATGATAAATTTAATTTGGCAATTCAATTTATTAATAATCTTTTAATTTTCAAAAGTTATTTATTAATCTCATAAATCTTTTTTTTTTAAATCTTGAAAATAATCATTTTTTCTCAAAATTTTAAATTATTTTACCAAAGTTAAAAATAATTGACATAGCTATTTAACTTTTTTTTTTTACTATAACACTAAATTCTAAATGTAAAATATTGGATGAGCCAAATACTAATTAATAGTATTCTTCCTTCATTTATCACCTCATTTTCATATTTCTATAACTAAACTAATAAAGTTTTTATTATCTTTTTGTATTTAATATAAATTTATTCAAGATTAAAATTTTCAAAGCTTTTTAAATATAGAAAAGTGCATTTTTTTGATAGATTTTATCAGTTATTTTGTTTTTAAAAACAAAAATCTTCATATATTATAAATTCTAAAATAAAAATTATCAAAGAATTTAAAACAACAAAAAAAATTAGAAAGATGCTAATAATTGAAAATTCAACATATCTTAATTTTATTGATCAAAAATTTGCTACAATAAGTCAAGAAAATTTTTATTATGATACCAGAAATATCAGAATAATTATAAAAAATTAGGCTTAAACATAGATTCTTCCTCATGATTTTGGAGTGGGGTTAGTTAGCCAGTGTTAAAATTTAGAAGAGTTATCTATTTAAATCAACGAAAACTAAGAGAAATAAGCCTAATTTTTTATGGAAGAATTCTCAAATATGTGCTAACACTTATCCAGCTTGAAGGTTTTAAAAATGTTTATTGGGAAAAATAATAAAATTAATAGCAGTCAGATATGTGAATCTATATGCAATTACTTTTAGTATTTAAAATCGCTTTAATGTCTCGAGTTAGTTGTAATGGATTCTTTAAATAAATAAAACTGTTTTCATCTGTTTAAAAATTTTAAAAATTTTTAAAGTTTATAAAGATTAACTTTAAAATTTATAGAATAATCTGAAATTATGCAAGGAATAGCATATATGGGTGAAGCTTTAAAATATTTAACTGAGCTCAAACAGCTTCAAATTCATATAGGGAAAAAAAATTGTATCAATGCTTCTGGCATAAAGCACTTGCAAGAAGGTATTTCTCATATGGAAAAACTAAATGAGCTAGAATTAATTATAGATGATAATGATATTAGATAGGATGGAGCAATTTATCTTAGCTAAAGTTTGGGTAAGCTAATCAATTTAGTTACTCTAAAATTATGCATTGGGTCTTCTAATAAAATAGAATCATAAGGAGCTATCAGCCTTGGTTAAGCGATAAGAAATCTATCAAATTTAAAATCCTTAACAATTTAAATTAAAGATAGAAATTACATTAACTAAGATGGAGCATAAGGCATTTCAGAAGGAATAGGAAGACTTCACTTACTAGAAAATTTAGAAATTTCAATTAGTGTTGCTAATAATATTTTAACACAAGGAGCTATTTCAATTGGAGACTCTTTTAAAAGCTTAAGAAATCTTAAAAGAGTATAAATTGCTATCAATTCTAATTTGATTGGTTAAGAAGGTTTAGAAGGTATAATCTAAGGTTTTAGATATTTGCCTAACCTATAGGATTTATCACTTATATTACATTACAATCACATTTCTAAAGCAAATATTGGATAGTCCTTTTAAAATTTACAGTAGAACCTTAAATTCTTAAAGCTCTTTATTTATTAAAATAATATTAAATAAGAAGGAGCTACAAAATTAGGAGAAGGTTTAAAAAATTTAGTAAATTTAGAATGCTTAGAGCTTATGATAAGTACTTCAAATAATATTGATTCGATAGGAGCATCTAAAATAGGTGAAGCAATTTAAGCTTTAACAAAACTGAAAAAGTTATCTCTTTAAATAGGGATAGGTAATAATATAGGTATAGAAGGATCTATTGCTATAGGGAAGGCACTTAAGTAACTATATAGCCTATAAGAATTAAAACTTCACATAGAAGTAGATAATAATATTGGAAAAGAGGGTGCTTAAGGGTTATCTCAAGGATTGGCAAATTTATAAAACTTATAAATTCTTGATTTGCAAATTAGAGAGAATAATAATATAGAAAAGGAAGGATCATCTGAAATAGGTTTAAGTCTAAGTTAACTTTTAAATATCAATAAAATGTAGCTAGATTTATCTTTAGAAGACCTTTACAATATTAGTCTATGTTTTAATAATTTATAAAGTTTATTATAATTAACGATAATACCCGACTTAGGTTTGAATAAAAATAAAATTCAAGACTCTGTCCCATTCATTACTAATTAAATAGCAAAAGCTAAAAGTTTAAAATATCTTACCTTTAAAAATTCTAAGCTCTTCCTTCCTAAGATACAAAAAAAAATTCTCAAGTTAGTTACTTTGAATTGAAATAAAAATTTATGAGCAAAGTGAATAAAAATTTTTATCTATCAGCAATTAGGAAGGTCAATAGCAAATTTTTACATAAAATCAAATAAATTCTAATAAAAATTTAATATTAAAATCATCTGAAAAATATGTAGCATGCATAGACTTTTAGTTATCATATTTTATTTTTTGTTAAATATTAAATTGTATGACTGAAAATTATATAATAAAACTATTTGTAGTGTGAAAAATAGAAATTTAGAAATAATTTATGAGTAAAGGTAAAAAAGAATAAAAAACTAATTTTTGCCGATTTTCTACCAGCAAATTAATAAATTCTTGAAAAAAAAGCATTGAGATATTTATTTTGCTAACCTAGATTAAAAAACCCTATCATTATTATTCTCACATGTTAAAAATTACTTTAATTTAATTTTGATTAAATCTAAAAATTTTAATGAAATTAGTTTAAATAATTTTTAAAGGAGAAAAAAAAAGCAGGTCCCACTGGGATTCGAACCCAGGTCAAGGGATTTAAAGTCCCCAGTACTAACCACTATACTATGGAACCGGACATGCTTTTATTGAAAAGATTGAAGGTGGAAAATATCTTGCTTAATTTGAAAAAATAATGATAATACAAAATTTGAAATATAATAAAATAATTATAAAATATAAAATAGAAATATTTATTATAATAAATAAAATTAAGTTAATATTTAATGTATTTTGTGTTTTTTGAAAATATTTAACTGTAAAATTGATCGTTCGTTCGTTTAATCCTCAAAATATTCAAATCAATAAAATTAATAAAAATCTAAATTATTAACAAACAAGCAAATAATTAATTAATTTGGTGATACAAATTATTAGTTTATTAATATATCATTAATAAATTTATTATTTTCAATTTTGAATAGAGTCATTTAAAATAAATTAGAAGTTTATTTTTATTACAATAGTAGAAAATAAATAAATAATTGTAAATAATTTTAAGGATATAGCAATAATTGATATTAACTTTTAGCTGAAATGGGACAAACACTGAAATATTGTTCATCTGTACCTAATGATAGAGATGGGAGAGTAATTGATTAAATGCATTTTGATTTGATGATTAAATCATTTGGTTTAGACATTAATTATTTTTAATCAAAATAAATAAAAAGGAAGCTATGCTAAATGTTTACCCTAATATTGATGTTAGACAAAAGCTAAATAATGATTCAAGCAGATTTTCATAGATTTATAGTACTAAATTAGAAAACGATCAAATATAATTTATATTATCGCTAAAGCCATATAGTTATAATGAAACAGAAGAAGTCATTAAAGTAGATCTAAAAATTAAAAAAGATTTATTTTCATTGTTTTTGGATAGAACTTATGAGTGGAATTTGGAAGAGTATGTTGTAAAAGATTTTAATGATGGGAATAAAATCATAGCAAGAGCTTAAGATAAGAGAACTAATGAGAGATTTACTCTTTAGACTATACCTTTTGATGATTACGAAGACTATGAATTCAAGGCAGCTCTTTACTAAATCTATATTTAAAGAAACTTGTAAACTGTTAGTAATGGTTTACCTCATCCTAATATTATTTAAGTAAATGCTAGTTTTTATTTAATTGGTTTTAGATAAATTAAATAAAAAAGATCAAGAAATTTAAGCTTTTTTGCTTACTTATTTTTGCAAAATTCATACTAAAAATATATATAAAATAGATTTAAATTATAATTTATAATAGATAAAGGACGCATATATCATAGAAAGCAAAGAAAAAACAAAAAAGGCGAGATCTTTAATTATTGTCATGGAGTATTTTGATTCTAATTTGCATGACATTATCTAATTCAGAAAAAAGCATAAATGGGAGTTTAGTACAAAAGAGTTATGCTCTTTTTTGAGAGATATATCAAGTGCATTAGCAACTATCCTTCGATAAGGAGTATCCCATAGAGATATAAGACCTACAAATATATGGTATGTAGCATAGGAAAAATCATATAAAATAGGTGGGTTCTAAGAGGCAAGATTTGATGAAAAAATGAAGTATTTTATTTTTTTATATTCTAAAATAAAGAAAATTTAGCAGATAGTAAATTAAGCAAATTATTAAAAAGGCATATATGTATGAGAAATTAAGGAGTTAGACATGAAGATGGAGAGGGATACAATACAGTTCGTGGTGTGCCCTAATTTGCAGCTCCAGAAATATTAAATTTAATGCATATGAATGCCAATTAAAAAGTTTTAAATTACAATCCTTTTAGTCAAGATATATATAGCTTAGGTTTAACATTGATTTTAATGAAAAATTTGTATGATGAAGTTGATTTTGATACACTTCTTAGCAAGGTAAATTTAGAAAAATTGAAAAATGTTTGTTGAAATCAATTTTTTTCATAAATTTAGGTTAAATAATCAGGGTCTGCAAATATCAACATTGATTTAGGAAGTATGGAATTAAATTAGCTTGTTGATTAAATGGTGAACAAATATCCTTAGAGAAGAATAAATGCAATCTAATTAGAATAGTATAGTTAGAGGGTTTATCCTATTGAGGATTACCCTAAAATTAATGAAAATAACCTTATTATAAGTTTAAACTACAAACATAAAAAGATTTCTGAACAAGAGTAACAAACATATATAGTTTACTTTGAATTAAATTTATAGATTGAAAATTATATGAATAGGTATTTGTTAAATTAAGAGCTGTTGGCAAAAGAGTATTTCAATATGCTTGATTTTGATTAGTGGATATATAAATATGATGAAATCATCAGCTCACATGAAGCATAAGGATCTAACTTAGCAAAAGCTGAAACACTATAAAAAATTGGAGAGGGATATTTGATTTTAAATGATGTTTATAGAGGTAAATTAATTAATAATTATTTTTTAATTTATAACGATTAAAACTAAATAATTCAAAAGCTAAAGATTATTTTATGAAGGCTTCTGTGATATTTAATGAAGAAGGACATGAGTGTAGAAAAAGGAGTTAATTAGAAGGAGCAATCAGATATTATGAGATAGCTATTGAATGCGTTAGAAAAGGTAATAATGGGGAGGATACCTCAGAGCTGGCACTGCTGCTAGAAAATATAGGAAACATATATAAAATGAAGGGTGATTTTCCTAAAGCAAGAGCATTTTAAGAGGAAGCACTTTAAATAATTTTGATATAAGTTGGCGAAAAGAGTGTTGAGGCTGCTAGGCTGTATAATAATTTAGGTAATCTTTATGCTAGCTTAGGACTTTATAAAAAAGCTGATAAGAGACTTAAAAAAGCATTGAAAATAGTTGATAATTTATATGTTTCAGCAGAAGAGCAAGCATAACTTAAGGCTCTTTGTTTATGCTCACTCGGAGAAATACACAGACTCAGAGGAAATTTAGGTATTATTGAAATTTAATATGAAAAAGTTTTTATTTTTTATTTGGCTTTATAAAGAAAACTCGTTAGAATTTTTAGAAGAAGCCCTTGAAATTAGAGAACAAGTTTTCGGATCAGGTCATATAGAATTAGCTTCTAATTGCGAAAATTTAGGAAATGTTTATTTTGATTTAGGAGATTTTCATAAGGCTAAGAAGTTCTATGAGAGAGCACTAGTAATTAAGAAGAGCTCACTTCCAAAAGATTCACCTGAAATAGCACTAACTTTAAATAATTTAGGAAATGTATGTAAGAGCTAGAAAGAAATTGAAAAGGCTAAAAAATGTTATGAAGAATGCTTGTAAATTTTATATACAAAGTTTGGATAAGAAACTGATAATCCTACAGTTGCCACGTCTTTAGGAAATCTAGGCTTAGTATATAAAGAATTAGGTAGCTTAGTTGCTGCATAAAGCAATCTCTAAAAGTGCTTAGAAATATTAGCTAAATCAGTTGGTGAAGACCACCCTGATTTTATATTCTTTTAAAAGCATTTATACAGATTAAACTAAAGAATTAACAACTCTCAGTATGCTAGCTCTGCTTACTAATCAAATTATTGAGAATAAAATTTTGAAATTTTAACAAATTTTTATACAACAAGAAACTAATATAGAGTCTTTTATTCACTATTTATATTTATATTATTTCATTTATAAGTTTTAATTATTTTCTAAAATAAAATATATTATTTCTTCTATAAAATCACTTAACAATTCTGCTTTTTATTCTAAATTTTCATAAGCTTTAATTACAAATTTTAATTGTTATCCTAAAAAAATAAATTCTAACACAGATATCAATTTATATTTTATTTGTGGTAAAAATTATTTTCTACTTGAAGTAGTAGTTATTCACTTATTGTTTCAATTTTTATCCAGAAAAATTGATAATTTTCAATTCATTTAAAATCCATTTTTTATTTATAATTTTATTATCGAAGCAATAAAAATAATTGGATATTTAAAAAGGTTTATTATTCATTTTATAAATAAAATGTAAGCTTTTGATGATTTTTATTTTGTTTTTGTAAGTGACATATATTACATATTTCAATAAAGTTAAGTTAGTGGCTCACTTTTAATAGCAAGTTTTTAGAGATAGTAATTTATTAAAAAATCAACTTTTAATAAAAAATAAATAAAAATAGGTAATATTAAATTTTTAAATAGAAAACTTTATAGTTTTATTAAATATAAAAATAGTCAATAAAAATGAAATCATTAGCAAAAAAAATATTCTGCTGGTATTTTAGTTTTGTGTAAGACCTTTTTGAATTGGTTTTTGGTATAAAGATTTTTAGGATATTCTATTATGTAGTTAATCAGATTTTAAGATTCTTAAAATTTGCGTTTATATCATTCCATATAGTAATAATTATTTATTACTTTATGTATCCGCAACATGTTTACAAATAGTTGTTATTTCATAAAAATGAATTAAACAACTATTTTAGCTACTTTTTAGAAAATTCTACAACTTAATAGCTATGCTATCAATGGAGGCTATACAAGAGTGCTCTGATTGAATAGGAGGAGACTTTAAATATTTTAGAATCAAGAGTTAAAAAGGAAGAGAAGCAATTAGAAATATATGTTTAACAAAGTCTGAAATAAGTAAACATTGAAAATGATTAGAATTAAAAAGAAAGGAACTCATCTGAAAACAATAAAATAGAAAGTGATGATATAACTTTGAATATCTTAAATTACTAAAACAATATAAAGAAGTATAAAAGTGAGTATGATGAATATAAATCAAAATTAGTTGGATACAACGAATAGAAGAAAAAGGAAATGATGTGGCAGAATTGGATAGAAATGGATTTAATTTGTAATCTACATGCAAACTAGAATACAGCAGCAGATTTCTCACCATCTAAAAGAAATACTGAAACAAGTAGTATTTTGTTAGAGTTACAAATTTTGAATCTTAGTTAATACCCATTGAAGGTGATTCCCTTAAATATAGTTTTGATAGATAAGTTTAATTAGAAAATACCTTTAAAGAAAGATATTATTATTTAGTAAGATCATTAGGCTAGGAAATCATATTGGGAAAAGGTTCTTTCTGCAATACTCTAAAAGTGCTTTCATATACTAGGAATAGATATAGAAGAAGATGTTTTTGAAATTAGACAGCAGATAGATGCTTTTAAAAAGGAATCAGGCATTGGAAGCGACATATCTGGAATCTTAATATCATTAGAAAATCCTAATAACTAATATTTAATACAGCAAGCAAGAATTGAAATAATACCTTCTTTGTAGGGATTAAAATATTTAATTTTCCACTACTTTTATGCAACATTTGTAGGATTATTCACTGTAATTATAATCTATTTATACGTTATTACAGGGTTAATGTAGTGCTGCTGCAATCTTCGTGGAAAAAAGAATAAAAATGAATGAAACTTTATTACATTTATTATTATTTATTCAATGTAAATTTTCTATTTAACAAAAAGTGTATTTTAATTTTAAAGTAATTAGCCAATGGATGGTATGTTGGTTGATTGATTTGTTGATAGTTATTTTTTATTTATTGATTTACTTACTTACTTTTATTTCAATTAATTTATAAAAGTAAGCACTTTAATTGAGTGCTAAAATTAAAAAAAATGACATTATAAAGATTTGCATTTATCCATTAAAATAGATGATTTCTCAAAATAAAAAATTGGTTCAAGCAACTTTTATAAACGTGTTGATAAGTAAATGTAATAATTATTTATTTGTCGTACTTTAATTACTTTTTTAATCTTTAGATAAGCAAAGAAAGAATTTATCAATTTTATTTAGAGATATTTAATTACTTTTTTAAAATAAAAATTTATCAAAAATATAATAACAAACATATAGTTTTAAAAAGTTTAATTAAGGTAAAAAAATAAATAAATAGTATACTAAACAAACATGGCTGACACTAGCTCAATAGTTTCCGATAATAAATTTTTAGAAATTTATTCAAACAAGTACATTCTCACTACCAACCTATCTAAGGATTAAGTAGTCATGTAGAATTTTCAAAACAATTCATATTTTTATCACAATTTTTGCTCATTGAATTAATGAAAATATTAATCTGTAATCATAGAATTCTTAATATTGTTTTAATTATTTTCAAAAGCGACTTAGCCACATCAGAACTCAAAAAAGAGACAAGAGGATCAAGTGGTTCATAAACTTTAGTTTCAGTAATAGTTTATTTTTTAAGATTTTTTCTAAGGCTCCATTGATCATTTAACTTGGAAAAAGCTACTACAACAGATAACGAATTTCAATTAAAATGAATGATTTGAGAGTTAACTAAATCATGAATATAAATATTTTACTTTGACTTAAATAAATAGAAAGTAGGACTTAAAGCTATTTATGGTATTTGCTAATTAGAGCACTCTAATTATTTGATTGCTGTTACTTAGTCTTTCACCATAGGATCACTTTACAATAAAAATATTCAACAATTAAAGGAAATTTAATTTTACCCTATCAACCCTTAAAGAGAGTAATGAATTACATCAACTTTGCAAATTTTAAAATATATTAATCTAAAAAATAATACATAGAATAAACCCAGCTGATTAAAAATACATAGACATGATGCAATCAATTTTTTAAACAAAAATGTTTTACTTTTCTGATGAATATGATCTCACTAACTCCTTCTAGAGATTCATCAAAAATAAAGTTGACAAGAACAACTACAATCCTAATTTCTGTTACAACGAATGCTACCTCCATGATTTCATTAAAAACGGATGTCAAGAATGGATTTCTCCTTTTATCTCTGGTTATGTTAAGATCGACTATTGCTAATTAGATGTAATTATATTATTTATAAATTTATCAAATTTTAATTGTATTTAATCAAATGTTACTTTTTATTAGGATACTGTTGTCAATTTCATTCTTATAAGCAGAAGAGATAAGAGAAGAGCTGGTATGAGATTTATTTCAAGAGGTACTGATTTAGATGGTAATCCTACAAATATGGCTGAAACTGAATAAATTATTGTTTTAACTAAGGTAAAAAATATTTTAAATAGATAAATATAAAGAAATTTTTTTTTTTTACTTAGGGATAATACAACAATATTTATAGTTTTGTTTAAACAAGAGGATCAATGCCATTCTTGTGGAACTAAAAACCTAATTTGAAATGGGCTCCTAGGGGTGCTCCAATCGGTGAAGAGGCCGAAAATATTGAATTTTGCAGAAAACACTTTGCAGATTAAGAAAAACTATATTCTAGATAGGTTTTAGTTAATTTAATAGACAAAAAAGGCAATACTTAGCTTAAGTTAGGCCAATACTTCTAAAAAATGGTAGAAGCCCTTAAAGATAAAAATTTAAAATACATTTGGTTTGATTTCCATCACGAATGTAGAAAAATGAAGTATGAAAACCTCTAAAAATTATTAGATATGTTCAAGGAAGACCTTGATGATATTGGATATTTTGAATTTTAATACACTAAAGATAAAGTAAATTATATTTAAAATTTAAAGGTAGCTTTTAAAATTATAATAATTATAAATATAAGATTGAGACTCCTAGCATTAAAAAGCTTTAAAAAGGTACAGTAAGAACTAATTGCATGGATTGCTTAGATAGAACAAATGTCGTCTAATCAGTAATAGCTAGAAAAGTTTTACATCAAATTCTTTACACTGCAGGTGTAACAAGCAAGACAGCTGTAAAATTAATTTAAATTAAAAAAATGAAAATAAAGCTGTTTTTAAATTTAAATAGTCAACAGCTTTAGAAAAGTTGCCTGAAAAATTGGAAGATATTTTCAGAGCAAACTGGACTAGAAACGCAGATGTAATCAGTATTTTATACACAGGTACTGGAGCTTTAAAAACTGATTTTACAAGGTAAATTAATAAATTTAAAAAAGGAATTTTAATTAAAATATTTAAAAATAGAACTGGTAAGAGAACAAAATAAGGTGCAATCAATGATGGTATTAATTCAGTATAAAGATATTTCTATGGTAATTTCTTCGATGGGCATAAATAGGTAATTATCATAAAAATTAAAGAAATTATTTTTTTTTATTTTTTAAATTTGATAAATCAGGATTGCATTGACCTTTTGTTAGGAAAAATTAGACCAAGAGAAACTAAGATTAAATAAGGAATTAATCCTATGTTATTCTTAGTAGGTTTCCTTCTTCTAGGGCCATTTATTTTAAAACCTTAATTAGATAAAATTTTAGTTGGTGAAAATGCAGAAGCTGGATTCGTTACATCATTATGTGGATTTGTTTCTCTTGTTGCATCCCTTCTTATTTTAGCTAAAGGAGCCGTTTCATTTAATTAATTCTTTGTTTAAAAACCAACACTCCCATAATGAAAACTAAATTAAATTACATTAGCTAATTAAAAAATAGAATAATTGTCAAACTATAATAATAAGTAAGTAAGTAATTAATATATATGGCTATCTACATAATTAAATAATTTTCAAAATAAAATATTTATATAGCTCAATGTTTTATGTTTCTTTTCCATCACAATCACTTCACTTTTTCTATTCACATTATTTTTAAAAAAAAATTTAAATCTTAATTAAAAATAAGATAAATAAATATTTGCAGCATTTAAATTAACTTCAAGATTTTTAAGTAAATAAATTAAATATAAATAAGATTAAATTGAGTTAAATAAAAATAATTTTAAGATCAATTAAAATTTTTTAATAAAATTTTATTTAAAATATTTAATTCTATTTTTGTAAAAAATATTATAAATCACTTTTATTGTTTATTTTTCAATAATAAAATACAATTTATCATTTTTTTAAAGTAATAAAATACTATTTATGATTTTTTTGTTTTTAGTTGTTATTTTAAAGATGATAATTAGAAATTTATATTAGCTTATTTTAATTTTATAAATAACTTTACAGCTTCTATTTATTAAATGATAAATTAAATAACTAATGCAATTTTCTTTTTGAGAATGAGGAAACAAAAATTTTATAATGATAAGTTTTTTTAAGATAAATAAAATTAAATAAATTTATTTTGATATAAATTAATTTAAAAATTTTAAATATTTTTTTAATAACTAAATTATTTTATAAATTGTTTATTTTTCAGATAAGAATGCAAGAGGAATCAGTGCTTTATTCAAAGTTCTGTTTTTTTTAAAGAGGTAAATTATTAATTTCTTTATGCTTTTTATTATTTTTATGATTCTATATATAATTTTATAGCTTTTTATTTAAAAAATATTTATAAACTTTCATTTTTAAGATAAATTTACTTTTTTAGAATCAACTAGCAAAGATATTAGAAAAATATCATTTTCTTTTAGTTTTTTAAGTATTTTTTCTAAGATTTATATTTCTGAGTGAGTTTAAATAGAATTTATAACAAAAGATATGTGAGTGTTTACTTACTAAGGATCATTTTTTTTAATAAATTCAATTATTTGATTAGAATAATCGTTGATATATTTATCTGATTTATCTGATTTACTAAGCTTTGATAAAGAAAAAGGAATAGTGTTTGGAAAAGGTTATGCATCGGGAGTTGTAATTCTACAGTCAATTAAATTAAAAGTAATATTTTCCCCTTTTTTATTTTCAATACTTTCTATTATTTCTTAAGAATATAAAGGAATCATATCTTCAACCAAATTTAAGTTCAACATATTTTAAATGTCTTCAATGCTTAAAACTAATAATAAAAAATATAAATTAAATTTTAATTTATTTTTAAAATTTTATTTACTTGAATGATCATTGAAGCCAATGTTGTCTATAAAATGTTCAAATGATTTTGGTGTATTATTTTTTATTTAATCAGCCCTTTAAGTTAGTTATTATATTTTAAATTTAAAAATAATTTACAATTAATTAATTAGTTTACTTCAAAAAAAGTTTCTACACACATTCTTTCGTTTCTAAATTTTTTATCTTTTTGTTAAAAAATATAATAACGCTGTCTTAATCCTCTTCATACTTATTCCAAATTTCCTATTAAAATTTAAGTTACTATTTTTGTGAAAATGGTACTCTAATTTTACTTCTTCTTGAGTCAGAATAAGCCCTATGGCTAAATAAAAAATATAGTTGCAATTACTCCTCTTTAAATATTCATCATAGATCAAATAAACTAAGTCTAAGCGAGTGCCTCTTTTGTTTTATTACAAATAAAATAAATAAAATTTCTCTTTGATGAGTTAATCTCACTAAGAAAACATAGTTAGAATCCACTAAGTAACAGTGGCAGATAAGTCTATATCAAGTTCTACTAGCAACTTTGATAACTTCTAAGAGTGATATTTCAGTAAAATCTTACAAAGAGCTATAGAGCAATTTGCATGTGGAAGAGATTTTCCTCTATCAGAAATCTATATTTATATATATAATAGAAGAACTTTTAAATCTATTTTATATTTTAAAAGATTACTCTTGCTTTGAGCACTTCAGGGAAATATTTATTCATAAAAGCATTAAAATAAGCATAGCATTTTGGTAATTTAAAGGTAGGACTTCTTAATAATAAAAAAGGAGCTATTATCTAATATGATAAAATATAAAATTATAAATACTACAGAAATACTTATAATTATAAAAGAAAAAATTACGTCAAGCATGCCTTGTTAATAGTTAACTTAATTGCTTATGCAGTAGAATGTTGCAATTAATTATAGATTTTACTATGTTTTTTCTTTTTTAAAATATTCTTCTGAATTTCTTGTCCTATTCAAGTCTCTTTATAAAACTCTATATTTAAAAACTAGAATTATTGATTTTATAAAAAAGAATTCCATTTCAAAGTTCTTTTGCAGTAAATTTATTTATACATTGCAACAAGTAAATAAATATTTTTGCAATAGGTCTTTTATAATGTTTTTTGAATTAATATAAATGCTTTAATTTTACTATTAATCTGGGAAATCTAGATTTCTGTCCCATTTTTTAAATTTTATTACTTCTATTTGAGTATTCTCATCGTACAAATATTTCTAATTTACGAATTTTTAATGTTTCAATTAAGCAATATGACAATGATGATAATTATATTTACTTTCCAATCTAAAAGTTGTTTTTCGCTTTAACTCTATTGAGTTTCTTAAGATTAAAAACTCGATTTCGATGAATTATCTTTGCTATAATTTGTATTATTTTAAGAGTCTTCCATTTTTACTATGAAATCAAATTTCTTAATATGAAAACTGAGTTGAGTTATTTTTTTATAAACTTCAAAAATTATCCAAATTATTAAATTTTCGATCTATATTTTAGATAAGCAATAACATATCAAAATACAATTTTTTGATCAATAAACAACACTAAAGACCAAAAACTTAACACAGAATATTCAAAAATATTGAATAACAAATTAAATTTTTTTGTAATCACAAATACACTTAAAAATTCTTTTGACTTATTGAATTTTTGTTGATTTAGGTTACTTATGAATATTAATTAATAAAATTTTATCTCATTTTTAATTAATAGTAAGCAAAGCTGATATTTTTTTTAATTTTACAAACTAAACCATTTTTTTAATTTTTTTGGAAAATTATATTAAATTTATAAATCAGCAAATAATGGAGATAAAGTAATTAATTACTAATTTTTATTAACTATTTTAATAAATTTAATTTAATTATCACTATTTATAACTAATTATTTATAAACCAAAGATTTTATAAATTTAATTTTATATTCTTCTTTAATTAATATTTATTTGTAAGAATCATTAAGCTTAATAACAAAATATATATAAAGGCACTTTGTTTTTAAAATTAACTAAAGAGCAAACATTTAATATTTATAAAATAATAAATAATTTTGAAAAATTATGCTATGCAGCAATACAGAAATATTCTAAAGGTATAGTTATTAAATTGATTTTTTAAATTTTACTTAAGTTATTTACAAAAAAAAATAAATATATTATGGTAAACACAAAAAGATAATTAATAAGAACTATTCTATGATTCCTGATCTTAAATAAACTCTTTCTAAGATTATGAGACATAGTATATAAGAAAATAGCAATCGTTTAAAACCACAAGAAATAGAAAACGAATTTAAAATGCTGTCAGATAAAATTGTAAAAATATACTTTGATGTATACGGAGGAAATATTGATGAATAAAAATATATCTATGATCAACGCAAGTATGGCGATATTTACTAATATAAACCTCTAATATCTTTAAAATAATTTTACTAAAACACAGCTATTTAGGAAGATAAATATTATAAAATATATACACTAATAATGAAATATCATTTTTTTAGCAATTTTAACTAATACTTCTACATAAATAAAAAAAAAATAGAATCTTCTATAATTAACTAAGAACTACAAAAAGAAGCTTAACAAATTGATTGTCCTTTTAAAATACCTATTATTTAAGGAAAATATATAAAATGAACTTAAATAATAAATTTTATGATTTGTTTTTGTTGTACTTTTATGAGTTCATTTACAAGAGAATTAAAACAATATAGCAAATAGCAAGAAATATTTTTGGATTTTGTTACATTTTAAAAAAGAAATTATTAAACTAACTGTTTTTAATAAAAAACATTGAATTTTTAATTAAATTATATGAAATTAATATAATTAATTATTGTTTTGTGACGTAGAATAAATATTATGAATGTAATATATATATTTATACATGCATTTATCATTCATTATTTTTGTTAAAATTTTTCATTTTTAATTAATTTTATAAAATAGTAATTATTTTTTAAGTAATCTTTTCACTTAAATTAAAAACTTCTATCAAATAAGTTATCCATAATACATTCCAAATTTAAGCTTTAACAAAACATATATTATGGATAACACTTATATAAACACAGAGAGGTCTAAATATTTAGATGTACCTTCTATTGAGTACTCAATAAGCGCTATGATTAGTTAGAGGAACAGAAATAATACAGAAAAATCCTTAAATTGTATTTAGGATGATTAGTAGAATTAAAGTAATAGCAATTAGTAAGGATTAACATATAGCTTAGGATAATAGGTGGAAAAAATAAAAGATAATTAATTATAGAAAGAGTTTATTTTTTATGATTATAAGTTACCATTTAAAAAAATTGATAGCGAGAGTGAGTAAGAAAGGAATTTTAATGATAGTGTAATCTCAGATAAACTTGAGCCTATGATTATTAGCTTATCTTAGAAAAAATCTGATATGTCTAGCCCAATAAGAAGCCCTCTAATCTTAGAAGATTCTGCAAAAAAGAAAGATAAAATAAAGAAAAAAAACAAATACTTTGCTGATTTAATTGAAAACAGTACAATTACCTAATCAGCAAAGAAAGAAAAAGAAAAGCAACAAGAAAATATGAAAACATTTTTTGAACAAGAAAATGATTACCTAAAAAATGTTTATGGAAAGTATTATGAATAGAGTAAATTTTAAAGCATAATTCCTTTTAATTTATTCGAGAAGCTGCAATAAAAATAAGTATAGTTAATTAATATTTAACTTGTTTGATTCAATTAATTTATAATTTGGATGAAATTTCTACTAAAATAATTTTATTCTTTTTAAAACACAAGAATTAGGATAAATAAGAGATGAATAAGGAAGGATAAAATATCACTCAGAGTCAAATGAACGTCTTAGAGACTTCAAGGGAAAGATCTACCACTTTACCTATTGCTAGATAGATAGACTCATAATAATATAGCTAGTTTAGAAGATAGAGTGTTCTTTAAAAAAGCCGCCTCTTTACATTTTGTTAAAATATAAATAACAGAACAATAGAAAAAGATTCTTTGTTTCATGAAAATAGAAGCATCAATCTTGACAAGAATAATGAAATTAAAGATGAAAAAGCTAGAAAGCAAGATAAAAAAGGCTAAGGAATTTTAACTTTGCTGAGAATAAGAAGCTAAAATTAAAACTAAAAATAAATAAATGAAGATATCAGAAGAGAATTCCAAAAAAAAGTTGGAATTTTTACAAAAATTAATAGATTTCTATACAATTTATAGCTCAAATCTGGGTTAAAAAATCCAAAATGGTTAAATGATTATATATTAAATGTTATTGGTGATCTCTCTTTTTCAAAGCTTGAAAATGCATATTAAGTAAAAACTTTTTAGCATTTAGCTTCTATTAAACCAAACAAAACATAATTGAGAAAATAAATGACTGTCACAGATAAATTTAGGATCAAGATTTTTAACTTCCAGAAGCAATATTCTAGCATTATTCAAAAACTACCAATTATAGATCCTTCTAGCATCACAAAATAGCTATGGGATATATTTATTATATTTTATATATTGCTTGCTGTAGTAATAGTTCCTATTGATAGATTTATTCTCTTTTACACTCAGACACCTTCTTTAATTGTTTAGTTCAGGACTGCAATTTACAGTTTTTTTACAATAGTCGCAGCTGTAGATATTTTGTCCTAATTTTGCATTGGGATATACCATCAAGGAGAGGTCATTCTGAATAGGAAAATAATTGCATAATCATACTTAAGAGGATAGTTTATTTTGGACATAATAACATTCACAGTTATATTATTAAGTAAAATTTTCTATTTTGATAGATTTTTATATCTTTTAAGAGAATGAAATAAGATAAAAATTTTTTGTAATCATATATTTTTTAAATTAACTATTTATTGTAGGATTTTTTGTAAATGATACTCAAATTTATAATTGCTTGATATTTCTAAAATTGTATAAGCTAGAGAAAATACTTCAACAGTAGTATGAGTTTCAGATCATACGATTCAATAAAGGTCATTTTGTTCAACTAGTATAAATCTTTCTAACTGATATATTTATAATTCATTTGATTGTTTCTCTCTTTATTTATATTGGATTTTCTGAAAGTTCAAAAGGATGGGTTTCCTGCTTGCAACTCTAAAGTTCTGACTGGTTTAACATGTAATATATTTCATAAAAATGCCTTTTGATTTATTAATAGAGTTATTTTATAATTAATATAGTTATACTTAAACATTTTATAGTATTTTAATGGTTCATTTAGCCTAGGGATAAAATATAATAAAGCCAGTAAATGTACATATTTTAGCAGCATATTTTACATTTTTTTAATTTATTATTTTTTAAAAGAATTTTGAGTTTTGGTTTTTGTCCATCTCTACTGTTCTCTTAATTTCTTCTTTGCTAAGATCAATAAAAAAGCTATAAAAAGTTCTGAGTGACTATAAAAAAAAGGACAAAGAAGCATTAAAATAAATGAGATTAATTAACATATACTTAAGAGATAAAAACATAGGCTAAAGGCTTAAAATTAAAATTGTCAAATACCTTTAATTTTAAATGAACTAAAGATAATAAATTCCAATTTAATAAGAGCACTAAATTCTTTAGCTATTAAGTTAAGAACTTAGAGAGTAAATATTAGTTGAAACCAATCTCTAAATAATTTAAAGAAGTACTATCTTGGCAAATTTTTCTCTTTCTACTTAGAAAAAAGCAAGTACCTACCTTGAATTAAGGACAATTCACGAAAATGAAACTATATTTGAAGAAGGTGATTATTCTGAAAATCCTTATTATTATTTTTTAAAATAAGGGGAAATTGAATTTTTTGTTGAAAGTGTTAAAGGAAGCTAATAGATTCTTAGGCTTTAAACTTTACAAAAAGGTAAAATTTTTTCATTATTTTTTTCATAAATAAACCTTTAAAAATAAAAATGAATAAATAATTATTATTTTTTGAAAGTAAAAATGAATAAATAATTATTTTTTTTTGAAGAATATCTTTATATCATTTCTTTTAATAGATAATTGGTTTGGAGAAATGTCATTTCTAACGCAAAAAGAGAGAATAGTAGGCGCTATAGCTAAATAAAAATGTGAAGTGTATACTTTATCAAGATAAGATTTCTTATGTTTATTGCAGGAGTAGAGTCGTGATTACATTAAGTTTAGTTTATTAGAAGAAAAATTAAGAATGAATGAGACACACATACTTAAAATGAAGTGCTGGTCTTGTGAAAGTATAGAACATACAATAAAGAATTGTCCATTAATTCATTTTGTACCAGATATCGAAAAAGTAATTCTTTGCTTAGCTAAAAATAATAATTTGATAAAATCTTTAAATAAAAAAAGGTAATTTTGAAAGAAAAATTTAGTCTACCTCAAAAAAGGAAAAATGATTTTGAAAGATACCGGTACTTAAAGCAAAGCTCGGTTAAATTGCAAAAATTAGCTGAATAATAATTAAAGAAATTTAAAAAGAAAAATATGTCCTTAATTATAGAAGCTAAAAAAAAAATGACCTCAAATAAGAAAAAAAAAATTAAAAAAGATACTATATTTTCTGAAACTAACATTTTGAAGGCAGAGAGTTTAAGACTTTAGCTTGCCTAAATAGGCAACAAAAAATAAGGTTTAAATGTTCCAAGTGATGAAATAAATAAATAAATTGGTGCTAAGTTGGTTGACTCCCTTTCAGATATACTAAGTATTGACAAAAAAAATGATAATATAAATTACATAAATTCTGCTTTCACAGAAGTTTCTAGCAGGAATGTGAATGAAACATTGAAATTACAATCTTAAAGGGATAGGAATATTTCAGAAAATAGTAAATAAGGATCTAAGACGAGATTTAGTCCACAGCTATAAGTAAGCAATCAAAAACTTATTTTAAAGTCCGTAAATAATTATGGTTAGAATTAAAATATTCATAACTCTGAAGAAGATAAGCAAGCTTAAGAATCAATATCTTAATTATGTGTTTTATCTCCTCAAAAGGCTTAAAGTAATAATAACCAAAACACATTACATTATTTTTCTTAAAATTCATTACAAGCTAATTTACAAGCGAATGTTGTTAATCCAAACATTAATTCACTGAATTATATTAGTACTAATGGAGGGGGTGGCACTCCTCATCAATTAAATTTTATAAATTATGGTAATCATGGATTTGGTTCTTAAATTTAGTAAATTACATAAACTCCTCAATTTTCTTCATAAATTCCAACTATGAATTTAAATTCTTCAAATGCAAGTTTAAATACATTGTAATAGTAAGGAATGAAATCAAATACCTTTTTTAACAGCTTAACTTCAGTTTAGAAATAAAATAGTTATGCTGCTCCTAGTCCAAGTAATAATAAGAGCATAAGTATAATAAAAACTTAGAGCTATAACAGAGGAGCAAATAAAGCAGCAGCAATATAATCTCAGCAAATATCTGATTTATAAATTTTAAATGAAGAAATCCTTTTAGATTTTAATACGGCTTAAAATCATTATACTGAATAAAATGCAGAAGATGCTAGTCATAACAAAAGTCCAAAAGAAGCTTCTATAAGTCCAATAAATGAATCTGATCCCAACGAAGAGCACGATTCCCGTATATTCATAGAAAACTAAAAAAAAAAGCAAATAAAAAAAGACAATAGTTTTGGAGTTTACTCAATATTCAGCAGGAAAAAATTTTTCGAAGAAGACTAAAAATATTAACAATCCCGAAAATAGTCTATTTTTAAGTAAGCAAGTAAATAAAATAACTATACCGATAATGATGAATCCAAAGTAGATAACAATTGAATAAATTGTTTTTTTCATTTTTTAAATAAATTTTAATTATTTTCAATTTAATCAAACATATTTTCTTTTAAATGTAAAATTAATAAATCTTATAATAAAGCAATAAGAATTTCTGTTAATTATTATTATAGAGGTAAATTACTAAAAAATTATCCTTAAATTATAATTTTAATCAAGAAGTTTATTTTTAATAGCAAGCTAAGAATAGATAAAGTTAAATATTATTTAATTTAATATCAAATTTATAAATATGTTAATATATTTTATTATTTATTTTCTTTTTATTTTACTTCTATTCACTAAAAATTTCTCTTTTAATAAATTTAATCATTTGCTTTGATAAAATTAAAATTAGCAAAAAGTATTTATTTATAAATAAAAAATATTTATTTCTTTTTTGTAAGCTAATTTAAAAAATAATAAAATATTTACTTGTTCTGATTAAAAAAATAAGTTTATTTACTTTTTTTAAATTAAATATTTAAACAAAAATAAATAAATAATTATTGATTGATTGTAAAATAATAGTAAATTATTATGTATTTATAATAAGAAAAACTTCAAATAATGATATCAGTATCTTTTATTTTTGAAATTATCTTAATTGATAATAGTCACTATTGTACTATTGTGGCTAAAACGTAGAAAAAAGCTTGATAATATTTGCGCAAGTTTTAGATATCTTTTCTAAAATGATCATTAAAAATTAAAAGAAAAAAAGAATAAATTTAATATATTTTTAAAATAAAAAGTAATAATTGTTTGATTAATAATAAAGATTAAAAGCAAAACTAAAAAATGAGCCAATTAATTCAAAATACTGAAAAGGAATTCTAGGAATTGACTAAAAAAAGTACTTTTTTGGAAAAATAGCTTCATTTTATATAAATAAATATCTTATTTAAATAAAAAAGTGGAAACTGCATACTCATCTTAAACTCAAGATGTTTAAAAGAACTTATTAAATGACTTGATTGAAATTAGAAAAGCTCTCTATACAGATTTAAGCAATTTTTAGGGTGTAATTATTTACAAATGAACATAATATAATAGATACATTTTCTAATGCTAATTTTAGACTTAAAAATAATAAAATAATTTAAAAAAGGAAAATTTAGATGAAGAAAATAAGAAATTAAGAGAAGAAAATGCAAGATTAAATTACAGAATTGAAATATTAACTAAAAGTCTCAGAGAAGTTTTAAACAACAATGTATTGAAATATGCTTTTATTATACTTATTTATTTTATAATCTATTTTAAATGTTAAAAAATATTCTTAATATATAGAAAGTTAAGGAACTCGAAAAAGAAAACGAAAAATTGTAATACAACGTTAATCATCTTAGAAATATTGTCAGAGAAAAAGTTCTTAACAATTGAAAAAATAGTATAAAAAGAGAATATAGCTAACAAAAATATTTAAATATTAAAAATAATTGCAAATTTATCTTTGTTAAACGATCTATGTGTTGAAATAAAATACATATTAATCTATCAAAATTTAAATAATACTTTAATTAATTGATTATTTATTTTTCTTAGAAGTTTTTAAGATTAGTCATATTTCTAAACAAACAAACAAGCAAATTAAACTATTAAAAAATATTTCAAAAGTTTATATTTTGCTTGATCTAATTATACTTAAATTCAACGAAATCAATTAGAATTTGATTAATTTATTTAATTCTCAGATTTGATTATAAAAACATATCAATCATATTAGGGCAAGAATATTGTCTTTTTTTATATATAAAATTTAGACTCTAGCTACTACTGCTCCTTAGAAAAGAAATTTGATTTATTTATTCTTAGAATATCCAGAATAAATAAGTAAAAATAATAAATTTAAATTTATTAAAAAAATAATAACTTTAAAGATTTATTAAAAATATTTATTTTTAATTAGTAAAAATTAGTCAAATTTTCTTTAACTGAAATAAATTTAACTTTTCTATTGAAATTTGAATTAATTTAAAATATTTTTTTTATGAATATTACATTTTTTTTATCAATTTTTTATTTTAGATAAGATGGTAATAAATAAGAAATATACTTTAATAAGAGAAATTTAATTTAATCTTTGTTGAAATAAATACTTTTTTAACTATTTTTAAAAGGGGTATAATATCCTTTTAATTTATTAAATTAGATATTACTATTAAATAAAAGAATATGATTAATCTTCCAGAGAACATTTTTTGCTTGGTTTCCTTTACAAGAGTTATAGCTTGCTCTGTGCAGCCTATTTATTTCATGAAATTAGGTCTTGTTCCTTATTTATTAGATAGTTTTATTCATTTAATAATTGCAAAATACACTCATGATATTTATTTATACTTTGCACAGAAATTCTAGTAATTAGATCTACTCAATATTGTTTCATCAGTATTAGGGAAAACTTGGAGAATATCTTTAGGAATAACAGTCTTTTTAAAATTAAATGGACTTATTATGGTTTATATTACGCAGTTAATGTATCATGTTCAAAGTATATCTGATTATATCAATGCTAACGAATACTTTACATAAACGATGAATGTAGTTATCTTTATTTTATTAATTGCTAGTTTTAATTTAGACTTACGCTTTTTTATTAAACTTCAATGGATTAATGCTATTGCTCAGGTTTGTATAATAGCTTCAATAATAACTATAGCCATCAAGAACCCTAATAATAACATTTTCAATAATATTTTTGGATAGCCTTCGTGGAATGACTTTTCTTCATTCTACGTAAATAATAATTTTACCTATCACAATTTAATTTATGCTCTACCTTTCTTAAAATTAGATTTAAACAGTAAAAAAATAGTTAATAAATAAATTCTCAAGATTACTAATTTGACAAACTTTATATAGTATTTTATATTTGGAGTATCAGGATACATTGCTTTAGATCCATCTGAATTAAATAGCTAACGCTAAAGCTATATATTCTTTGAATACTATAATAAGCAAAACATTATGACCTTCATTCTCCATATTTCTTTTTTATATATGTCGATATGGGGTTGCGGCTTTCACTTTATTAATTTAAAAATTTACTTTCTGGATTTCCTAATCAATGATAATAATAAATCTATTAAATAATCTGACTTGAACAAATTCAAAAAATTACTCTTTGTTGCGTATTGCCTAATGTCTCTTGGTTTTTTTTATACAACTGAATTTTAGCTACAACCATACTCTTACATAGTTGCTAACATCTGCTATTTATTTATTTTAATTGTATTGCCTTATAATCTTACTTATCATCCAAAACTTTTGAGTAACAAGCAAATTCATAAACTAAATTATAAAAATATAGAAAGATTTTAATAAATAATACAAAGTGATATAAATTAAAATGAAATCTCTTGTCGTTTAAACTAACTTAATAAAAATATATAATATGAACATCAATATTTCTTTAAAATTTCTAATATTAATGAGTCAATGCTAAGCAAAATTTCTGAAAATGAAGAATAACTGGAAGCACAATTAATTTAATAAATAAATATCCATAACTCTAATTAAATACCAATATAACAATTCTAAATAATTTAAAAAAGCGCAGCTTTATAAAAAAGAAATAAGATTAAATAAGTGATATTTAGATTTATAGTTTTTTTATCATATATAATGGCAATTTTATAATTTATTTTCTTTTTTTATGTGGATGTATTTGATTGATAATATAGGCAACATTAAAATATTTTTTTTAAGTTTTAAAATTACTTTTATTTTAATATTTTATTGATAAATAATTTCATATTAAATTAAAACTAAATACTAAAAGCTTTCAAAATAATTTATTAAATTAATCATTTTTTCAAAGCAAGTGAAACATAAAAATTAAAAATTATTTTAAAATATTGTTAATCAAATTTAAATTAACAAAGATTTTATAAATTTTATAAACTTTAACTTCAAATAAAAACCCATTCCCTTCCACTTTTGAATCTTTAATTTTAATTAATTTAACTACTAAAAGAATAAATTTCAAAAAATATCTATTGGTATCTTAATTATGGATGAACTAAAGTATTTTAAAATATTAATTTAACAGTAATTAAATTTTTTGATTCAGATTATTTAAAAATAAATTATTTTTCTGATTTAGTTAATTAATTATTAATATCTTGTTACTTCTTATCATTTCAATATTTTAATAAATTTAATTAAATCTGATTTATAAAATATTTTTAAAAATGAATTTTTTTAAAATATGCTTAATTTGGTGGGATAATTTTAAAAATTAAAAATAAAATTTTTTATTTGTTTGAAAGATATTTATAAATTTACAAAATTTAAACTTGCTTAATAACTTTAAAATATAAGTAACTTAGTATAAGTGATAAATATCTAAAGTTACCATATTTATATATTAAAAATTTATTATATATAGATGTTAAAGAGTTATAATAAATGAAAAGATTTAATTTGTTACATAAAAATAAGATGAATTTTTTTTCACCATTTAATTAATAATATGTGGATTACTTATGTTAAATACTCTTTGAAACAAAAAGGGATAATATTTTCACCATGAATTTTATTTTTTTCTAAATATTCTTAACAACTACTTATTTCGATTAATCTAATTAGCTAAAAGACCATCAAAATTTGAAGATAGCAAATTCGTATTGTATCAAAAGTAAATTAAGCTGGTATTAAACAAATAAGGAGAATAAATATATAATATTACTAAAAGATAACTTTTTTAGATTATAAACAATATAAAATGTAATACAAGAATGAAATGGATGATCTATTGATTTATCAGCTAGAATAATATAAACTCAAAGATATTTTAAAACAAGACTTTGAAGTTTCATGTAAAGTAAATAATACGATCTAATAAATAGTAGAAACATGCAAAGAATAATGTCTTTAACTATTGGAAAAGAGAAAAAATGAATACGATTAATATATTTAAGAATAATAATAATAAGAATTGGTTAATCAGCCTGGGTAAATTCCTGCACAGTATTAAGGAGTTGCATAATACGAAGACGATGAGTCTTAGGAATTAAAAAAAGCTATATATAACATTGATCATCATAAGATGTGGTGCTCCTTTGATGAAATTGATTAGAATGAGTTGGAATTTCCTTCATATATGATTCCTCTATATAAAAAAGTCATTTTTTTACTAATTTTAGATTTAACTCTTATTACACTGATATGTCTATTTATGCCTAAATTTAGCATGAATATATTTAATGATAAAGTTACTACTAATATTAAAATTTAATTTATTATTTATTGGATTAGCACAATCATATTTTTAGCATCTGTTGTGTATTTATTTTCATCTATAAAACTAATAAGGCTAAGGATAGTTATAGGTACATCTGTAATTAATATTTTATGGCATCTACTATTAATTATTATAAATTATTCAAATTAATCTGATAGGTAGAGATTGTTTCCTTCTGCCAGCGATGCTTTTTACTTTATAGAATTTTTCGTGAATATAATTCTGTTTGTAGCTTTATTAATATTTGGTGCAAGGATAAATGCGATTGTATTAGGATAAAATGATGAACAAGAGTAGGAGCTTGTATAAATTAACAACTAGATAGCAAATGATGAAGAGGAGTTTTAAAATATTCATAATTAAAGAGAGCAGCCTTTGCATCAAAGTGAGGCATATGCAAGGAGTTAAATAATAAAAAGTTCAAGGTTGCCGAATATTAACAATATAAACAGTAAATTTGTAAATAATAATATCTAATCTAACTAATCTGTAAAAATGTATGATGAAAATTAAAGAGATATCAATCAAAATAGACACCATTATCTGAATGATACTCTTAGTAAATTAAATGAAACCAAGTAAATTAATTAAGAAGATACTATTTATGTAAACTAGAATGATATTGCTTACTCTTAAATGAATTTCACAAATGTGGATAAACCCGAAGTTACTGAGGTAAACAAATATTTTCTTTTATAGAATTATAATTTATAATATTTATTTCATGATAAATAGGCTAACTAAAAAAATGGGAATTAGATATTTACTTTAAACAATTAATTTTTAACTGAAGAAAATCCTCATTTGACTATTTGTAATATAGGCGATAATAAAATTAAAAAATTCCATAAACCAAATCAAGTTTATCCATTAAAAGATGAAGATTATAAAAAAAAATAAGAAATCGATACAGTCAAATAGAATGATAAAGTAAATGAATCTGCATATGGAATGAGCTATACTAATTAAGAGACTTAAGAAAAGTCTATCAGCAGAGTTACCAGCAGCAAAAATATAGCTTTAGCAAATTAAACTAAGACTCTTTATAAAAAAGATATCTCTTAAAATACACTTACCACAAAAAGTACTTAAAATAACTTACTTGATACTACAGCAGACAGATCACTGAATCTTACAAGCAAGCAGCTGCTTTAAATATCAAAAATAAATTAAACTTTTCAGACAAATAAGAGCAATTTAAACAATATGTTCTTAAAACATTAATATGATATGAATTATTGGGGGTCTTAATTTTGTGAATATTCACCTGCTATAAAAACGAGGAGAACTATTGATAAGTACAAAATGGAAATACCTCCTTCTCTAGAAGACCATAAAATGAGTGTAATTGAAAGTTAGAGACAACTGCAGATTAAAAAGCAAGAAGAAGAGAGAATAAAAAGGATGAATATAGCTGAATAAGAACTTTAAAATTAGATTTAATAGCTTTAGTAAAATTAAGATGAATTAAAAAAGAAATACGAGTAAGATTTAGCTAACAAGCTAAGAGAGAAAGAAGAAAATGAGTAAAAGCTTAAAGAAGAATTAAATAGTTTAATATTAGAAAGTGAGAGGAAAGAGAGAGAAGCCAAAGAAAGAGAAGAATAAGAGAGGCTTAGATAGATTTAAGAGTAAAAAGAAAGAGAATAGAAAAATAAAGAAATTGAAGAATAAGAAAAAAATAAGAAAATAAGTGAAGCTAGTAGCAAGAAGAATATAGCACAGTTAATTGATCCTAATTCAACAATTTAAGAAGAGGAAGAATAGAATAATAGCAGTCTAATTAATAACTCAAGCTAATAAAATTAAAATAATAATATTGAGTAATCTCCTAGTCTTTAGAGGGATAACCCCAATGGTCAATCGAAAAGTAAGAAATAATTTAAAGTTGCTAGCACTTTGAAAATCAATCCATCAATTATCGAAGAGGAAGAAGGTTCAGAAAGAGAATAAAATTTTATAGTTTTTGATGATGACTATAAAGACAAAGACACAGATAGATATATTGACATAAATACATTTGTAAAGTAAGGCATAGGAGCTCCTAATAGTGGATCTTTATCTTAATTTCCTTTAAGTGTTTTAAAAGAACCTGACTATAACAGCTAAGCAGTAAGTATTGACGAAGATGAAAATCACCTCAATGAATTAATCAAACTTTAAGAACTTTCAACAAAAGAAAAAAATTTAGCCGAATCGAAGCTAATTAGCTCTTCATAAAAGAATGAATTAAACGAAAAAGAAAATAAATATTCTGAAAAAAAGAAAAACGAAAGTATAAATACAGCAGCAACAACAACAACAACTCAAAGTAATTCAAATGCAACGCAAGGTAACAGAAATTAAAGTTCAAAAGAAGAGTAAGAAATGAAATTTGATAAGTATGCGACTTTACAATAAAAGGATAATGACAGATACAAATCTACGAAATTTGAAGAAGGAAATAACACAATTGATATCACATAAGGAATTGCTGGTGCTGATAATGATGATGATTTAGATGATCCATAAGTCATTAAAAAAAATAATTTCAATTTAAGCAAGTTAAATCAAACTGTAAATAGCTTTTATGTATCTAAATCCAATACATAATCAGATTTTTTCCATAATGTTGGTAGTAATTCCAAAAAATAATAAACTTAGACACTCAATGAAACAAGAAAGAGTGAAAATTTGTAATAAAGTAGACCAAATACCTCAAATAATCAAGTCCCAATTCTACAATTAAATAATTTTAACAGAGGAGCTAATAATAATAGTATTATGCCCAATCCTACTACATACTAGTCAATTGCCAACAAATAAAATGCACTTTAAAATTTAGATAGTCATAGAGAAATTTAAAGATAAAATTTAATCAGATAAGCTGAAAATTATTTAAATAATAACAATAATTACAGTGGTTCAACCACACCTATTTAGCAAAATGAAAAGGGTTCAAGTAGAATGGAGCTAATAGGATAAGATGATTATTAGAATTCACCTGATCCAACATAAAGAGAGTCTAATCCTTTTAGAATATTATAAGACTATAGAATGAGAATAATAGGAGTAAATGATTTTGATGAAGACATATTGAAATCAATTTCTCATCCAGAAACATTATCAAGAGATTATTCAAAGAGTGAATACTAAAAAATGAAATAAATATTTACAAGAGGACAATCTAATTCTAGACTTTAAACACATCCTTTAAAGCAACATGGAAATAACAACGTTTCTCAATAAAAGCTTGACAGCAATCAAAATGTCATCCTTTGAGAGTAATACATATATTTTGGTATATAATTTGCTAATACATTAAAAAAATAAACTATTTTTGAATATTACTAAATAAAACTAATTAAATTAAATAATGTAAATTAAACTAACTAATTCAAATATAAAGTATTATTTATCTATTTATATTTCTATCTAAAAATAAACCTTATAACATATTTAGACTGTATATATATAGTTCATATTTTATTTAAAAGCTAAAATTACTAACTTAAAAAAATGTTTTATTCAAATTAAAATAAATACTTATTTATCATCTATTAAAGTGTACTCTAAGCACAAATTTAATTATTTAGGAATTATTACTAATTGATTAAAAATGAAATAAATTAAAATATTTTAATAATTAATTATGTTTCTCTCAATTTTTTTAAAAATAAATTTCTCATTTTATCCCGTTAATTCTAAAAATTGTTTTATTCTATATTATCTTCTATCTAATCATTTAACTTCTTACTGATACTATTTTAAGTAGTCAACCTAGATATAAATTAATTCATATTTAACTAATTTTTTATGATTTTCTAATTTTGTATTGGATTGCTTTTTAATTAAATTAACTAATTTATTTGATTTCATTAAAATAAATTTAGAAAAATAATTTAAAAAAATAATTTAAAATTGATTGCTTTATAAAAGATGCACAAACACATACATTTGAAGTAAAAAACAATTTTGAACCATCTTTTTTTTTTTTTATGAATACTTCTTTTGTTTGGATGCTAAGAGTATATTTGCAAAGAAAACGATTAGATTATTGTTTAATAGATCTTAGAAATATTAAACAAAATAAGGCTTGAGAGATACCAATTGACTAATATAATAAATAATGAGCTGCAGCTGCTACTGTAATAAAGAAGAAAAAGAAAGAAAGATATAAAAAAAATTATATTGATTTTGGAAATTAAAAATCAAAAGGAAAACATTAAATAAAATTAATAAAGAAAAGCAATAAGAAGTATCTTGCAAAGATGTTGAGCAAAGGATTTAAATAATTGTTCGGTTTAACAAAAGCCACTAATTTTTATAACAAAAATTTTTTCTCAAGATTAGCCGCACACAGAAAAAATGACGATAATTCAGATTCAGTTCCTTTTGAATTTACCCCTGAAAACTACAAAGAAATTGAAAAGATTCTTGCAAAATATCCCTTAAAGCAAAAGCGTTCTGCTGTCATGCCCCTCCTTTATTTAGTTTAAGAATAAAATAATAACTGGGTTCCTTTATCTGCAATGAAAAAGATTGCTAAATTATTAGAAATGCCAGAAATTGATGTTTATGAAGTTGCTACTTTCTATACCATGTATAACAGAGAACCTGTAGGTAAATTCCACTTATAAATCTGTGGTACCACTCCTTGTTAATTATGTGGATCTCGTGAAATTACTAAAGCTATTGAAGAATATACTCAAACCAAGCTTGGTCACACATCAGCTGATGGTAAATGGACTCTTGAAGAAGTTGAATGTTTAGGTAATATCATCATTAAAATATATTAATATGCAATCAAAATGTTTTTTTAAATATTAGCAATATATTAAATTCATATTATAAATAACAATTTAAAAAACTCTACATAACAGCTTTTACAGCATATAAAAATAGGGATAGTTAATCAGCAAAAATACAATATTAATTGATTGATTTTAATGTTATTAGCAATTTAAAATATCTGCATTTGATGTTATAAAAATATTTATTTTCAATAATTTCTAATACCGATTGAATGTAAATAGCTTAGCCTACTAAATATAAATAAAAAGCAATTAATTTACTATAAAATAAATAAATAAATATAAATGAAAAAATAAAAAATGTTAAAAATGATATCTTAGAATATAATTTTGCATTTTTAAAATTTAATTTTTGTTATATAGATTATTTATTAAAAATTATTAGGTGCTTGCTCTAATGCTCCTATGATTTAAGTTAATAACAAATGGGTATATGAAGATTTAACTACTGAAAATGTTGTAAAACTATTAAAGGATTTGGAAAGTGGCACAGACAAAAAGGGACCTCAAAATCACCGTAACTAAGTTGAAGGTCCTCTTGGCAGATCAACCCTCAAAGAAAAAGATTTCTTATCTGGCGAAATCCGTTTCTCTCGTGATTTTGCTAAGGCCAAGTAAGATTGGGTTGCTCAAAAAGAACAAGAAAGAATTGAAGCTGAAAAAAAGAAGGCTGCTACTGCTGCCGCTGCCGCTGCTGCTAAAAAGTGATAGATAATTAATATCTTTAAAAAGCAAATTCATCCATTGAGAAATCATATGTGCAAGGTTATTCAATTAAAATATTATTAAAATTTTAAGAGCTTGTATAATTTATGTAATTTCTCTAATATTGTAAAATTAGGCTTTTAATCATTTACAAATCAACAATCTGATCAAATCTTTCTTTTAAAAATAGCTAGATTTTTGAAATAAAATTATATAAACAATTTTAGAAACTAAACAATACTCATTTCTATAAGCAATTTAATTGCTCTAATATATTTTTAATTAGTTAAATATAAGCAAAGTTGATCATCACTATGACTAGATGCAAATGTTAAACATATTATTTTATATTAAAGTGAGTATTTCATACAAGTTTAAGCAAGAAATGTAAATATAATTAAGTTTTTTTATTTAGGAAGAAGTACTGTTATTTATAATCAGTATGAGTTAATAAAAATTATTTTAAATTACTATTATTATAAATAATCTTAGATATTTATTAATCAGTTATAATGCTGATATAATTATAATTTTTTAATTGTTAATGAACTGTTTAAATTTTTAATATTGTTTAAACAAATTTTTTTATTAATAATTATGAAGGAATTTCAATTTTTAACAATTTTAATTATATGTGTTTTGTAGTAGATAAATTAGAAAATCAGAATATCAATAAATTTCGTTATAATTATATTTGATAATCAATTAAATTAATAAAATAAAAAATTAGCAACAAAGTTATAAATAAAAATAATATTTTGAAAATTATAGTTAAAAAATTATTTTTTAATCAACTTCTTTGAATAAATAAAAAATAATTAATATTTTTGAAAGTTAGAATAGTTATTTTTATTATGGTTAAGTAAGTTTTTAGAATATATTAAATTTAGTTTGAAACACAACAAGTAAAATTAATTTTTTGTTATTTTTAAATTTTAATTAAATAAATAATTTGACCAGCAAAAATATTTTTATAATAATACATTCAAATTTTTTTAAAATTTTTATCTAGATTTTACTCAACAAATATTCTAAATTGAAAATATAACTTTTGAAAAATATTTATTAATTGTTTTGAATTGTATTGTTATTTATTTTTTATTACTAAAATAAATTTTTGTTTAAATATGGTATCGTATTTTAGTAACTATAGAAATTAAAAATTGACATCATAAAGATTTATTTTTGAGAATTTCAAAAAATTTAATTCCAGTCTTACAGTTTTATTATGGATATTTAAATTCTATTAAATAAATTAGATTTTCTGAAGATTAAAACAAATATTTTGCTTGGCATATTGAAATAAAATGAAAACTATCATTTAAAATTTACTTATTATTTAATTATTTCTAATTTCTATCTTTAAATAAGATATAAAAAATTAGATTGCATCTTGTTAAAAAAATAGATTTTTGACAATATATGTATAATTCAAAATTTCAAATCGTGGAGATTTTTAGTTCAATAAAGAATATCAATTTTTTTTAATAAAATTAAATAGGAATTTTATTGAGAATAAATCGAGAAAAATGCAAAATACATGAAGTTTCATTAAAAAATTAGTGTTTTTATGAATGAAAAATTTAAAATTTCACATTTTTTTTCTCTTAATGGGATTATTGATGTGGATCAAGCTTTAGCATAGATAGATGATCTGATTCTTTTACTAGTTTTAAATTGCTTAGATATTTTATAAATGATAATAAAAACATTAAAAAAGTGAAATAAAAATTATTATAAATCAAGTTAAGAAAAACAGAAAAGATACTGAAAAAAATAATTAAGTGCAATACACATATATTAGCTTCAGAATTTAGAAATGTCAAATAATCCTAACTCATTAAGAGGATCTTTCCTCAATAATAATGGACAAAAAACCACATAGATTCCTACTTCAACTTTTAGCGTTCCATCTTCATAGCCTATAGGTTCTAACCCAATTTCGACTTATACTACCTATTAGCCAATAACTACTACAAGTTATATGGGTACTACTACTAACCCATCTATATATTCATCATATTCATCTACTACTACACCAGGATTTACAACAGCAAATCCAGTACCATCAAGCTACTTAAGCAGTTTTGGTACTGCAACAGGTACAGCAACAGCAGGTCTTACAACTTCAAGTTTATCACAATAGCAAACAACAACTACATATACCAATTTAGCTACTTAATTTTAGATTCCTCAAAGTTAGATAACTCCTGTTTAAGGAACAAATACAGCTACTACCATCACCACCACAACAACTGGATACAGCGTTCCTGCAACACAAACTTTATCATATGATTCAGCATATATTTAAGAAATTTTAAACAGAAGCAAATAATCAGGTAATTTTTATCTTTTTATATTTCTAAAGTTGATTGAAAAAATGTTTTATCTTTATAATAGTATCTGACGGATAATAAAAAATGTAGGATTTGGCAAATAGCACTACTACAAATCAAGTTTAATTAGTACCTGGATCAGGTTTAACAACTTCTTAAAATAATGAAAACTTATAAACAAGCTCTATAACTTCAAGCAATTTGTATAGCTCTAACATAGCAAATCCTATCTACACAAATAATTTAACAACTTCAACAAATTATGATAAATTTTCTCCTGTAAAGCAATCAACAACCTTTACAACAGCATCTTAGGTTGCTCCTGGTATAAGTAAGCAAAAAAATAATATTAATTCTAAAAATAATTTTCCATTTACAAAATTAAGATTACAGAGTTGAAGTGAAGGCTTAAATGAAATACTTAAGCCATGTCAAAGAAGAGATGCTTCAAAAATAATAAGAATATCAAAAGGATATTTCAGGATTATTAACTGGAATGAAGAGAGAAATGGAGGCAGAGTTCGAAAAAACATTAGATCACGTTCATAACTCCTAGAATGAAAGCAACCAAAAATCTTTAGTTCTTCAAAAAGAAGTTGAAACTTTAACTGAGAAGTTATTCATGTCTACCCAAATAAATGATGTTCAACAAGTTAAAATAAAAAATTTAGAATAGGCATTAGACAAAGTTAATGAAGAAAATATTAAGCTTTAATCTTCCAATTTAGATTTAGATTAAGTAAAAACAGAATTATCGGTAATAAAAACTGAAAATGAAGCTCTTCGTTAGTCATAAACTTCTGGATCAGAATCTTTAACTCAAGAAATAAAATTACTTGAGCAATAATACTTATAAGAAAAAGATAAGAACCATCACTTGGTTGCTGCTCATTCTGAAGAGATTTTGAAATTAAATCATCACATTAGTGAACTAGAGGATTAAATAGTTCATATTTAAAAGGAATTAAATGAAAAATCTATTCAAGTTCAACAACTTCAAAAAGAAAAGGAAATTATTCTTGTTGAAAAAAATACTATATCTTAATCTTTAGTTGAGAAGGAAACAATCATTGAAAAAGTAAATATTTTTTTATTAAAAAGTTATAAAATACAAATTTAAAAATAGGAAAAGAAAGAAATTGTCCACATTTCATCAGTAAATGAATCAGAAGTTCATAGTTTAAGAGAATAAATCTCTAAGTTATAATCAGAAATTAGATTGAATTCTGAAGGTTAGCAAAATGATTTCACTGCTTTAATTGAAGCTTTAAAGAGAGATATTGAAGAAAAGGATCAATAATTAAAATAATTAAGAGAGTTTGTTATGGAAGTTTAACATGCTGGCTAAATTAAGGTGTTAGAAAGGGAATAATAACTACTTGAAAAAGATAAAATTATTGAGTCTCAAAAAGAAGAGTTGATGCTCCTTTCATCAAAACTTGAATAGGTTATTAGAGAAAAGACTTTTACTGTTTCAGGGGAAATCGGACATGTTACAGAAAGCGTAAGAATAGATGTAAAGTCCCAAAATAAAGAGAGACAGGAAACAGAAGTCAAACAATAAGTCTAGGAAATTCCAATTGAAGGAGAGGAAGAAGAAGAAGCAGGAGTAGAAGAAGTTGAATTTGATATGGAAGTAAAGTAGGCAAAGGAAACCAGATAAGAAGGAGATAAACAAGGTTTCTTTGATTAAGCTTCTTCTCTATCAAAGGAATTAATGGAAAATAAATAAGTTTAAGATAACTTGCTTAAAGAAAAAGACGGTTTAAGTAAAAAAGTAACTGAACTTAATGTTAAATATCTTGATGCAGAAAAATAAAATAACGAAAAGATTGCTTAATACTAAAAACAAGAAGCTGAACTAAAGCAATAAATATAAAAATTGCAACAAAACGTTGATGAATTGACAAAATAGGTAAAAATAAATTATTTTTTTATATTTATTTTTTAAATAAATTGATTTTTAATGAAAAGATCCAATCACAAAAGGAACAATTACAATAAGATGCAGATGCTAAATTAGTTAATGAAACAAACAAAATTAAATAAGGACACTAAGCTAAGGTAATCTATCTCAATGCTGAAATAGCAGCATTAAAGGAAAAGCTAAATGAAGAAAAAACTTAAAGCGAATAACGTGTTAGCTAAGTTTTATAATCTCAAAATAGCAGCAGTTCTGAATTAATAACCAAGCATGAATTAAGAGTTACCGAATTGCAAAACAACTTCAATTTACAAAGAAATGATTTAGAAACTAAAATCGTTGATCTTTAACATTAATTAGCTGCTTTAGAATAAAAATTACGTGATGAAAAAAGCAATCATGAAGCATTAATCAATTAGAATATTGCTTCTAATAAAAGTTCTTTAGATGAGTAGGCTCGTGGTTATGAACTCAAGTTAGCTGAATAGTAAAAATCTTACGAATTAAAAATTACTGAAATAAATAGCAAACATTAATAAGCTTCTTAAGAAGTCGAGATTAACTACAAGAAATAGATCACAGAATTGTAGGCTTAGTCTTAATTAAACTTAAAATTATTCGAAGAGCGTGAAACAACAACCAAGCAACTTGAACAAAATCACTCACAAGCTATTTAGAATATTAAAGATACTCATTTATCGGAAATAAATAATCTTAAAAATTAATTCTCAGCTGATTAAGCTAAACTTTAACAAGAAAATAAAGCAGTTATTACCTAATTAAAAGCTTAAATATAAAACTTAGAAATCTAAATCAATGAATTAAACCAAAACCATAGCATTTAAATTTAAAATTTAAACAAAGATCACCAAGCAAAACTTACATAGGTTGAAGTTTAATACAAGTAGACAATATCAACCATAGAAGAAAGCCATAAGACTTACATTTCTAGCATCTAAGAAAACCACAAAAAGGAAATATCTTTGGCTGAAGAAGCATCAAAGAAATAGCTAAACGCAAGCGAATAATAAAAATTAGAAACAATTGAAAACTAATATAAACAAAGAATAAACAATTTAGAAAGTGAACATAAGCTTCAAATTGAATAGTTAGAAAAGTAGCACACCTAAAAAGTTAGCAATTTAGAAAAAGACTTCTAGTCAAAGATTGATGAAACTATAAAATCTTACAATATTAAAATTTAAGAAATAGAAAAGAATTATTCCTAAAAAATAGCAATAGTAATTAGTGAAAAAGAAGAGTTATCTGCTTAAAATAGCGCTGCCTCCAAGGGATAATAAGATAAGGAAGCTTAACTCTAAAAAGAAATAAGTGAATTAAAGTTAAAAATAGAAACCTTAGTCAATAATCACCAAAAAGAAATTATCAAACAAGAAGAGAAATATAATTTGTTGAGATAGACTGTTCAATAAATATCCTAAAACTCACAAAATGTATCTGTAACAAGTAATATTCAAAGCAGTTCAAGTAGCTCTACTGTTAACAATGGCGATTACCTTGTTCTCTAACATGATTACAATCAACTCATTGAAGTTAATAAAGAAAACCTTAAAAAAATTTAAGAAGAGAGAAGATTGTATGGTATTCTTTAGGATGACTACATCAAGCTAGAATAATAATTCACTACTCTAAAGAACGAAAAGAAGAATTCTGATAAAAAATCCAAGACAGCTGAATCAAATACCGCTGCTACAACTACTTCAGGAGCCTCTTAACTGAAAAATAAGGCCTACTTTGAAGTTGATTAAAGAGTTTCAAAGGAATTAGAGCTTACTGTATTGAAATTAAAAGAAGAAAATGCTATTATTCGTGATTAACTTAAGAAGGAATATGAAGATAAAATTTATTCATTAGAAAAGTAGGCAATCGAATACGAAAAGAAAATGATTGAATTAGAATAAGTCAAAGTTGAATTGAAAGCAATGAAAGATGAGAAGGAAGAAGCTGATTGGGAAAAAGCAAGAAAGAATAATGGTAACAAAGGTGCTTCTAAAGAAGAATAAGCCAAGAAAACTGGATTAGAAAAAGAAAAAGAAGAGTTACAAAAAGTTCTTGAAAAGAAGAATGAAGAAATTAGAAAATTAAAGAACGACTACAAAAAATTGGAAAAACAACTTAAGAACCTTCAAGCTAAATCACCTCAAGTTACACCTGCTCCTGCTACAGTTGAGTCTTAACCAACTTTAAACACAGAAGAGGCTGAAACCAAAAAGGGCAAAAAGAAAGGATACAAGATTGATGATGACTTACAAAAGATTTTCAAGCTCTCTGATATAATTTATCAAATTAACCAGATTTGATTTCAATACATTTAAAACATAATTTTTATTTAAATAATTGCATTTTTATGTAAAAAATAATTGTCAAATAAATTGTTTTAAAAGTTCATCTTGATTAATTTTAAAAAATATTTTTAGATATTTTTTCATATCTTTTAATTATATTAAACTAAAGCATATTTTTTAAATTTTTATTAGCTTTTACTTATTTAAATATGCAATTATTAAATAAGCTCAAATTCTTACTATAACTAATTTTTGCAAATTATAAAAAATAGTAATAAATTAATTACTGAAGCAAAAAAAGAACAACTCAAATTAATATGAAATAGCTTTAATATTTTCTGTTTTTATTTCTGTAATTTGCACACATTTCTCGATCTTATGATAGTTAATGTTCTGTAAAGTATTGCTTATAATGTGATAATATTGGGTAATGCATTAAATGTGAAAAAAATTATTATTATTCTGCTGTAAGAAGTTCATGCGTTTCTTTATGTTAAGATTATTTTTATGTTCCTGAAACATAAATGTGCACTTACATCTGCGGAAGGAATTATAAGGAAGATATCTAAACATAAACATGCGAAAGTTTGTTTAAATGCAATCTCCCTTAACAATACGGATAAAATTTTATGGAAGGTCAAATTATTTAAAAGATAGATTATATAGAAGATTTAGATGTTCTAGTAGGATTGTTTTAGTAATCTTAATATTTACACGTATGGAATGTATAAACTAAAAATTTAATTCTAAAAGTTAATTTATATATAGGCTAGATAGTTAACTATGAAATAGTCCAAGATACTTATACTGATATTGCAAGCTCTAGTGATGATGCTTTAAATTAAACTGATGAGAGTCCTAAAAAATAGCAAATTCAATAAACTAATGTTTTAAAATAATTTCTTATAGCATTAAATTTTTAAGGGGATGTAGTTGTTGTCGACCTAAATACTTTTTAGATAATTTATTAAGATAAATTTGATGTAGGCAATTATACTATAGCTGACAATAATAGTATACTTTTAGCTAAAAATTTACAAAATATTAATCTAGTTATTGTATCATAAAACGGTAGATAAATTTAAAAATAGTAGCTAAAAGGTTTGAAATTGTCAAATTATATAAATTTTTAAAGCAGAGTAATTATGATTAGTAGTGACATAAATACAGATAATTCTATCATATTTACTGAATAATCTATATACTTTATACAAAACGTTTGGGATGATAATAACCTCACATAGATAACTAATTGTTAAATCTACGCAAACGCTATGAAAGTGAATACATTCAGCTACTATTATTAATTAGGGAATTAAAATCAATAATCTTTAATATTTGCAATTTCTATGAAGCAAACAGCAAATTTTCTTTAAATTTATTCAGATTAAAAATGTATCCAATACACACAATTTGAAAGTGATATTATTTCTATTTTTATACAAAAAACTAATGGCAAAATATTTTTAACAACACAAAAATAAATAATTATTTTAGTAAAAGACAGTGATATTTAAACATATTAAGTTATTTAAAATTTCTTGCTCTCAAATGACTCTACTATAACTGCTATTGTAAGTTAAATTGAATTAATGTATTAGCAGTTTATAATTATAAATAAATCTAATAATTAAATGGATCTCTACTATATCGATTAATAAGAAAACAAGGTCTCACTATTTTAATCAAACGTATTTTAATCCTCAAATGGATATCAAAAGATATATTTCTATTTCAAGAAAAAATCAAATAATTAGAAAAATGCAAATAAAATATAGTACCCAAATGGAATAATCTTGTTTAACTCAACAATATTTTATTCTAGTTTTAATTAATCATCCAAATAATATGTTAATTATGGGAATACTATTAACTACTAACTAAAAAAAGTACTACCCGAATCTAATATAACATCTATTCTATACTTAGAATAGAAGTAATGGGTTGTTACTTGCTTATAAAATCTTAGTATGTATTTTTGGACATTAACAAATAATGGTGCAGAATTAGTATGTTATATTAGTACTCCTGTTCCATGTTTATTTATGAAGGTTAATACTTAAGAATCACACTTATTTGCAGCAAATAATGACAATTAAGATTATCATTTTTTTGTCGTTTAACTTACTAACTTCAATATTGAATTTCATAAAATTTAAAAATCAGTAAATCTAATATCATTTGACATCCTATATTAAGGTTTCCAAAATATTTAAAATTAGAAATTTCATTATTAAGAGTTTTTCATATTTTTATAAAGTAATAAAATAACAGTTATGACTTATGATTATCTTGATACTAATTTGATAAATCTTAACGAATTTGAGTTAATAAATGCTTTTTATTAAAGTATAATAGCTAACAACACTTTGTTAATATGCTAAAATTAGATATTGCAAACAATACAGTTGTTAAACAATTAAACTGTGTAATTTGCATTAAATTAAAGTTTATCATTCTAATCACCTTTAATCAGCTGTAATTATAATTCTTAATATGGTAAGATATCTGTATCTAGCTAACAGTCATAAGTATATATAATTTCTCAAAATTTAACGATTGAATATATGTTTAGGTTAAAATTAGATTAAACTTCTCAAAAATGCCTATTTAGATCAAGCTCTTCTCTTGTGTGCAAACTTTATAGCCCAAAGGAATCAATGCAATATTAACTAGTATTAATTCAATTTAAAGAAAATATACTCTACATTCTCTATTAATATATCTAAGTTTTAGATATTCTACTAGTAGATAATTAGCCATTTAGTGATTATGATGATATATTTTAAGTGTACTTTACTAAAGCTCTGCCTTAAGCATCTTCGCTTAACTCATTAAGAGTAAAAATTGACGAAGATTCTAATTTTACATATAGTTACTTCACTTCTCAATATGTATTTGATTAGATATGTGTGACTTAATACTATCTTTAAAATGAATACAGATAAATCTATGGATGCTAAAATGGATTCACAGGAGACATATTCTTTTAACAATAAAAAGACTACCCTGCAAAAAAACTGATTAGCATTAAAAATTCTAAAAATAGTGTTTTGCTTCAAAGTTTATTCAAATTGATAATTTATGGAGATAACTCTCTTGAAATATTTGATTACAAAAACTTTTAATCCTTGCTTATTTTTGAATTTTAAGAAGATGAACATATAATCTAACTACTCGAAATAGGTTATCCTTTTGAATATATAGTGATTCTCACGTCTAAAATGTTATATTTTGTTGAATAGAATGATAAAAGTAAGTTTTTTTATATTAATTCTTAGACAAGCAATCTAATAAATAAAATTTAGAAATAATTTTAAAAGATTTTTAAGTTAAGTAAAAAATGTTGGGTTTTTATTAAAAGTCTAATCTTTTATTTTGAAAATTTTCATAATTTTTATAGGTTATTTTCAGAAAATTACTTAAAATAAATATAGTTTTATATTAAATTAACTAAAAGGTTTAAAAATATTTAAGAGTATCTAACAAAATGAAAATTGGCGTTAAATAATCTACTGCTAAGAGGAGTAGCTAATGCTTTTATCAGGCAAAGATTTGAGTTTAATAGATTTTAAAAACGTACAATTAAATGTTTAGATAATCATTTAAGCTCAAAATGGTATATTACACTATTGCCAAGCAATAGATAAGAAGATTGCCTACTGTCTACAAGAAGAAAAAGGCTAATATTTAAGATAAAAATTATATTAATTATCTTTTGAGGATTTAAGTGTTTTTGGAGACTAAATCTTTTCAATTAAAAATTTTAAGCAAATAAAAATAATAGAAGATTCAATTTATGCAGTAGAAGGAGATGAAGTTATATTGTTATCCATATCTTATAGTGAAATTTTTTTTTCTTTAAAATTTGATTTGCCAATCGAAGAGTATTATATAATTGATAAAAACATAGCAGTTGTTTTTACCAAAAAGAGTAAATTTATCTAAAATTCAATATCAAATAATAATAGTTAATTTAAATTATAAAGATTTTTACATTTTGGACATCTAAAAGAATACCTACATTCAAACCTAGAATTTGGCTGGTTCCTATATGGGTTCATATTTAATTGACTTAATATATGAACAAAATGTTGCTCTTATTATTATTTACACAGATAACATATCTAATGGATTGGCTTAAGTTATTAACGTATACACTGGTAAATAAATCAAATTAAATTTTTAATTTAACTAATTAATTTTTGTTTTGAAATAGGATAGGATTTAGGGTATTTTTAATAAAGTATTTAAGACACCTATATCACAGATATTTAGTTTGATAAAATATCTTATCTTCTTTTCATCAAGCTTTCAAATGGAATTGTATAATAATTTAATCTTAAATTATCTTGGTTTTAAGAAACAACATATTTTCACCCGATTATGAATGATTAATCAATGAATTAAGTCAAACTATAAAAAAATATGATCGTTGATAGTAATTTCAATCGGATAATACTTATATTTGATACATTTTTTTTAACTTTTGAGATTGATTTGAATAGTTCTAGGCCTAGCTCCTACACTTAAACTCCATTTAAGTACTATCAACAATTAATTGAATAAGATTTAAGCAGTTCATAATTATATAAAAATGAATTTTATTTAGATAGTAATAATGTAATTTGGATGTATAAAGATGATGATTTGATTGATTTTTTGCACTTCAAAGATGAGGTCAAGCACATTGAATACTTATCTAGTCGTTAAGGAAGTAAAATAATAAAACCTTCAAATTTTACTCTTTGCTTATTTACAGAACAATAAATTTATTTTGTTAACGATCAAAGTGAAATTGACCAATATTCATTATCTTTTCATACTAAATATATACTTAAAATTAATGGGGTAATATATGCATTAAACAATAATAACTGTTTATTGATTCTCTCAAAAGATCTAGTTGCTACTTATTTTTAAATAAATGCTGTAAGAATAGAGTATATTATTTACATAGAAGAAATAGATAGCATTCTATTTGAAGATATGAGTAGTAAAATTATTCTTTACAATATATAAAAAAATACTTAAGTATATACAAATTATGATTCACTATAAGCAAAATGTTTAAATATTAGTTTTAATTAAAAGTAAATATATTGCTTATCAACAAAAAAGTAGCTTATTATATTCAACTATTCAAAGGAAGAACATAAATTTTTAGATAAATTTGGTATTATTTACTAATTGAGTGATAATGACATTGAATCAGAGTTTAAAATTAACAGATTAAGTTTTGTTGAATATGATTTTTTGAATAACAAAGTATTTTTAGCTTTTGTGAATTCAAAATTGATTAATGTTTTTTAATTAGATATCAAATATGATTAAGACAAATATATTTAAAGTTTTTCATTAAATAAAATTAATTATATTCTAGCTCCTCACTCTAACTCAAAAAATATTCACTTTGTTGGAAATTATTTATTGCTCTAAACATTAAATCAGCTGATATTATTAGACAGATAGACTTATAACTATTACGACTCTTTTAAAGTATCTATTAGATATAATTAAATACTTTAAGTAATTTTCATAGATAATAAATTGTACAATTGCATAGTTTTTAACACAATGAATAAAATATACATTGGGATTATAGGACAGAAATATAACAAATTTAATCTTATCTATCAATAATAGCTTGAAAACTCTAGAATACTTGATTACACAGTTTAAGAAGTCTAGTAAAAAAATGGTCTCTATGTAAATTTAATATATGAAACTAATAGCATGGTTTATAAAAATTCTTTTTTTGTTTACGACACTATAACTTACACATCTCACTATTGCTATATTGATATAAATATGAAAGATAATATTTTTAAAATAGCCAAACAAGTCTAGAGCATAATCTATAATCAAATAAACAAAACCTTTTTTAATGTTTAAATGAGTGATACATTTAAATTCTATAATCTAATTAATAAGTAATAAAAAGATAGTAATTTAATATTAACATAATTAGATTCTGATTAATAAAACAAAACTTCTAGATTTGAAAATTTAAAATAAGTTAGCAATAAAATAACATTTTCGATGGAATAGCTCTACAATATAAAAGTTTAACAATATATGCTTTTATAATTAACATTGATTTTGAAGGATTTTTAAAATTACAAGAGAGGTCCAAAAAATTAAATCAAATAATTTGTCAAGATAAAAGATGTCAACTTTATTGGCTAATATAGTGTTACTCATAAATCTTTTATAATAAATCAATCTTAGCTAAATTTCGAATTTTTCGAAAGCATCTAAATCGAAAACTTAGAAATAAAAAATATAATTTTGGATTAATATAACCAATTGACACCTTCCTTTGTTAAGTTTAAAAATAATAAAATTATTAATATTAGAAATTTAAAGATATAAAATTGTATACTTAAAAAAGGTATTTAAAGTTTAATCTCGTTTATTGATAATAATTAAATTATTATTTAAAATATGCAGCTGTTAAATAATACCATAGAGTTAGAAAGCAATAATTAAAATACTGCACTTATTTATATTTAGTAGCATTTCTTCTTAGATATCAAGTAATCCTAAATATCTTTTAATAAAGGAATCAAATTTTCAAATAAGACAATTGATAAATAATTTGTAATACTAAATATTGAAGGAGCTAACAGCTTTTATTTAACTGACACAATTATTTCTGATAATTCTGAATTGATAATTATTCTATATAAGAGTTAATATGTTTATGGTGATATTTTATATAAGATGAAAAATGACAATATAATCTTAAGAAGATGTTAATTCGAGTTTAATTAAATGTCTTTATTTGACTAATCTCTCATCTAAATTGAAAGTAATTCTGCTTATTTTGATGAATTATTGTTCAACAATAATACATGCATCAAATGCACACAAGGAAGTATTCTTTTGAGTTAAGAGAGCTCAATTATAGGTATTGATAAATCTAATTTTACAAACAATATTTCAGAAAAAGGTGGATCTATTTACTTTTCTCTTGAAGGAGGAAAAGCATTTATAAATTAAACGTTGTTTGAAAATAATACTGCGATTTATAGTGGAGGTGCCATTTATCTTTATGTAACAAATGTATAATTTTATCAAACTACATTTATAGGAAACAAAGCTTTGATTGGAGGAGCAATCAAGTAAGAAAATCTTTATAATGAAGATTTTGTTTCTTATTTAAGATAAAAAAATAATTTTGAATAAAATTTTACATTTCTAAATAACCAGGCACTTGTCTTTGGGAGTAATATTGGACTTTTTCCAGCTATCTTCGAATTAAATCTTTTACTGCTGACATCAAGTGAAGAAACTATTCTTGATTAGAGAAAACAGACATTTAAAGAAATTTCTGATAGTGATCTTTTAGCTTTAGATAGTGGATCTTTTGTAAAAGTTTAACTGCTTTTCAAAGATTTATCTGAATAAATTATTGATTTCTATCCTCCAAATATCTCTAACTTATAGCTTTAGCTCTTAGATTAAAAAGTAAAGTCTTTAGATACAAAAATAGAATTAAATGATGAATAAAATAATTTATTCTTGGATGGAGGCCTTTATGTCAATTTAATAAAAGATTTCAATAAAGTTGATAAAAAAGTATAGTTTGAGCTAATATAATTTTCAGGGAATTACAACTCATGCTCAACATTTACCATCAGGACTGAATTATTTACAGATATTTTCTAAAAGTAGCTTGATTTAAATAACACAATCACTAAAAAGGTTTGTTTTAAGACTTGCTCAGAAGGAGACATTCCCATTCTACTCCCAAGTGGGAAAATAAAATGCAGTAAATGTTAGCAAGGATTCTACAACTTAGAAGACTATTCTCAATAAATTGATAATAATTTTATTTAGCACCTTAAATCTAACCCACTTAAATGTAAGCTTTGTCCTGAAGGAGCAAAATCATGTTAAGCAAACTAAATTATTTTAAAAAACAGTAAGAATTAAAAATATATTTTATTTATTAATAATAATTATTTCAATAATTAAAAAAGATTATTGGAGAGATGATGAATATTTAGACACCATAGTTGAGTGCAACAATAGATAAATTATGGATTACTATCCGTGCCAAGCTGAGAATCCTAATTCAAAAAATTATTGTGTTGAAGGACATATTGGTCCTCTTTGTGAAAGCTGTGATGTCCTGGGCTAGACTTGGGGAGTTCCTTATACTAGAAATAGCAACTAATCTTGTTAGAAGTGTGGATCTGAGTTTATAATAATTTTCTATTTGATTACAATAATAATTCTATTTAATATATATCTATATTTCTCTCTAAAAGCATTTTTAACAACATATTAATTAAATTCTATTTACTATTATACGAGAATACTCAAGTTATTTCCTATCTCGAACAGCTAATACAATAATATTGCAGCTTCTCTCATCAAATGTTTTAGTAATTATTTGCAGATTTCAATAATATTCGATGAAACAAGTTATGAACTAAACTTCTATCAGTAAATTAAAAGCTGGCTAGGTAAATTCTTTAATTCAAATTAAGCAAATGAAATAATTTTTTTTATTAAAAAACCTAGGCTCAACAAGTAATTCTATTTAAACAGAAATGGATTGCTTAATAAAATACTTAAATTTTAGCAATGATATTTTGCATATTAAAATAATGGCAACAATAATATTCCCTGTAGCTTGCTGCTTAGCTTAGATAATTTTATTTTGTCTTATAACATTTAAAAACCTCAAATAAATGAAACACTTCATGAAAACAATTTTCATAGTTATTCTTAATTTCTTCTTGCCATCATTCCTGAGGTAAATTTTTACAATAAATAAAAATAATAATCTCACTTTTAATTAATAGTTTATTGACTTAATCAATAAGCTGCATATAAATAGGGAAAAAATATTACTTGTTAGCAGACTTGTCTATAGAATGTCAAATGTCTGGGTCTATTTACATTATAGTAAATTATATAGTCAAGCCTATATTAGCATTACTTCTGTTTCATCCTTTTATAATATTTTGGATACTCAGAAGAGTTAAGAACAAATTAGATTATGTTATTACAAAATATAAATACGGATATTATTTTCTCGACTACAAAGATGAATATTATTATTGGGAAATTATAAGACTTTATTTTAAGTTGTTTATTGTCATTATTTATAACTTACTAAAAACTAATGACAATACATACTTAATTAGAAAAACTATTTCATTTAGTTTAATCTAAATTTATGTTTACTTTTTAGGAAAATACCAAATTTTCAGAAAGTCTTTTATATAGAAGATAGACTACTAAGTAGGTTAATTTTGCTCACTGGTTTTACTGATTGAAATAGTTAATAAATTCTTAAACAAGGATGGAATCAGACTAGTAGCATACCTTATATAATTAATTTTTGGTCTATACTGCATTATAAGAATTTTGAATTTAAAAATATAATAACTAAACAGATAAAATTCTCCAAAAATTATTTCTTTTTTAGAGTCTATAATCCCAAATAAAATATTTAATTGGTGGTTTAAGCATTTGAATAGTAATTTATATAGGACTTTAATTCTATGGAGAGTGATTTATAATAATAAAAAAGCAATTGTTTACAATAATATCACTTCCTTGGATAAAATTACAAAAATATGTGCATCTACTTAAAAATCTATAAGTAATTTTTATCATATTTAAATAATATTTAATTAATTAAATTTTATAATTTAAAATAGGAGGGACAGGCATTTATTCTAATAATGATACTTATAATTATATATTTTCTTAAAAAAATATATTATCATAAAACTAGGTTTTTAGAAATAGTTTTAGAAATTCAGATTAAAATTTAGATTTAAGCCATAAAAATAATGAAAATAATTAATAGAAAAACAAATTTAAAGTGAATAGAAAAAATTTTCAAAAAAAGAAAACTGAAGTTCCTGTTAAAAGATTGTATAGAGATTAATAATTAAAGCTAACAAAAGCTTAATCTCAAAGAGAAATAAAAATACAAGGAAATTTATGAATGAAATATTTTTCTGCTTGGATAAATCAATATGTTAAATTTTCTTTTTTTTTAAACTAAATAAACTTGGATTATATTTTAATTTAAAAATAATTCGAGAAGTATGTTTGTGTTACACTTAATTGGTATTAAATGAATCTATATATGATGATGTTAAAGGCTTTATTCATTAGTAGAATTAATAACTTAAAAATTTTAAAGATTTTTTTGTATTTTTAAACAAGATAAATACAATTTAATTAATTTTATATAAAAGAATATGATAACTTATTTTTTAAAAATATTGTTCTTCTATACCACATTTATAATCTTAGTAAAATAATTTTAATGCTAAGAAATATCATGTGGTAAATTTTGCGATTAGTGCGATTAGGATGGGTGTATTTCATGTGATAAAAACTCATTATTAGATGATGAGACTTTTCAGTGTTATGAATAATGTTCCTATGGATTTTATTATGATTTTGACAGTGAGACATGTACAGATATTTGCCCCTTGAATACAATTGCTAATGAGGATAGCATAACTTGCGAAAAAGTAGGTCCATGTTTATAATAAGGTGTATTTGGGGATAATTTATTGTTTGATTAAGCAATTCATTTTATATATTTTATTCCTTAATAGAACTTCATTATTGGAGCTTATAATTCAGAAAATGCTATTAGGATTTGGGATTTGGAAACAAAAAGTTTGTATTTAAAACTCTAAGTTTTTAATGAAACTATCTCAAATTTTATAGTAGTAGATTAAATTTAGATACAAAATGATACAAAATAAACTTCTTACATTGATTCTTATCTAATTATATGGAGTTAATCTTCAGAACTAGTAGTCTTTGAACTAAAAACTTTTAGTAAAATAATAATAGTTCATTTTAAAGAAACTTGCTATTCATTTTCTAAAGAGACTTAAATTTTTACAAGCATGATAAGCTAGAATATTTTGTATTTAGTTTTATACGACTCAATACAAGGATATGTAAGATTACTGAAAGCTTAAGATGGAGAAATCGATTTAATAACTGAGATTGTACTTGAAAGTACACTAATAAAACTATATAAAGAAAATTAAGAAAGTAAATTCTTTGTTATTCTATAAGATACTATCTATGATATCAGCTTTACAGATAATCAAACCACGAAACAGTAGTACTAGCTCTGTAATAACAAATAAAACTTTACACATATACATACAATTAAATTTAAATAATATTCTCTCGATTAGCTATCAGATTCTATTTAATTGCTATTTTTAGTTGATAAATCAGAACCTGTTACATTATACATCTACTCTAATAATGAATGCCTATAATAACTTATTTTTACAGAAAAAATCTAAGAAACTTTTTTACTGGAGCAAAACTCTATAAGTGATATCACAATTTTAGTGGTAAATTTTTAGAGCATTAACACACTAAAAAGTACTTGGAATTAATAAAAAAAATAAATCGAATTTTTTATTGAAAATCAATAAAAATTAAAAAATAATGTTTCATAAGCCTTTTTCAAGTATAATTTAATAATATTAATTTTAACAGATGGTACTTTTATGATATACAAAATTGATTTAACAAGCGAAAAGATATTAATTCAAATGGATAATTTAGGATAAAATTAAATTCAAATTGATTTGAAATAAAAAATTGACTTTTTTGTTAGTAATTTAAATATTGGCTAGTATATTTTAATTAATTATGGAAAGAAACTTGCCTATTAATATTTTAATGTTAACTTTAGCATCAATTAGGCTTATTTGCAATTACAAGAAGAAATTGTTAACTATAGAAAAAACTAAATTATGAAAAATTAGGTTTTAAATGATTTAGTAAAATACAATTAAGAATATTTCTCAGATATTATTGCATGTTATGATGCCTATATTCTAGTTAAAAGATAATACTTTTAACAATATAATTACTATCGAATAACATTACAGGAATAACAACTGTGTAAATTTATTAAAATCTAATCAAAATAATCATTAATGATTGTAGTATCTCAAAGTGCTGACTTATTAATCAGCTCTTTTATAATCTATGAACTACCTAGTTATAAATTTGTATAGTCATTTCAAATGTAAGAATAAATAATTTACAGTCAAATAGCTATCATAGACAAGTTTGTAATATTTTATAATTCAAATGATATACAAATTTATACATTATAGATTACTCAATCAAATAATATCACTAACATTTAATTTACTAAATTCTAATTAATCAGTCAAAAATTTGTACTAAAAGTTTTTTACGAGATTTAAAACCAAAATTTGATCATAGCAAGTTAAAACTAAATACAACAATACTAGCTTGATACATAACAGAAAAACTTTATGTTACTAAAATAGGTAAATTATACTTAAATCCAATCAATGTAACACAATTAAAAGTATGACACTATTACTATTTCTATAATTTTAGAACAATAACCATCTAAAATACTTTTCTTCAGTGGGAAAGATTTAAGTTTAATATCTTCTTTTTGGTTTTATGAAAGTTATTTTTGTACACAAAGTTTATTTTATAATGAATTTTTTGTAATATGCTCTTCTTAATCTACATCTTCAACTGCTGATTCATCTTATTTATTATTAATAGATATAAGAAAAAAGTTAGTAAAGGTACTCATTACCATTGATAAAAATTAAGTATATTTAATGAATTTATTATAAAGTCCTTTTTAATAGTATTCAGAATACTTCACAATAACTTACTATACAAAACAAAATAAAATCATATCTTTTATAGATTTATTAGTGCAGTCTCCTGATTCTAGCACCATAAATAGTTAAGGTTAATTATAAACTTATTAAACATCTTATTACTAGTTAGAAAGTGAATGTAATTAAATTGTCATGAACAAAAAAGATAACAGTATTCTAGTAGGCTGTGAAAATGCTAAAATATTTTTTAAAAAGCCAGTTGATAATACTGAACCTAAATTTCAGTAAAGTTAAAAAGGCTAAATACTCAATAATTTCATGACATTTTCTGAATCAGATATTTTAGTTTGGTTTAATAAAATCTACGTTGAATTCTATACTTTTTCTAGCTTAGAATATCTTGGAAATTATCAAATTGAGTAGCCTGATGAGTTTTTGATTGATTTTTTTTAATTTACTTAGATTAAGCAATTTGTAGTGTGCACTGTTAAAAGAATATTAGTTTTCAATATAACAAATAAAAGTAAATAGTTAATTTTTCTAAATTTTTTATTTACTTTTTTTTAAAAAAAAAAGATATCACAATTGCTTCTTAGAGTTCTCAATTTGAGGATATCAGAGGGTGGATTGGTTTAGGCAATTTACAGTTAATAGTAGGATATGGAAGTAATGTATTCTAATTAAATCTGTCTGATAATTTTTCTCAAAAACTTATTTATTAATAACTTGATTCAAACAAAAAATATGATTGCAAGAAAGATAAAAACTCAAATATTATGGTTTGTGCGATTTATTCTTCTTAACTTAAATCTGATTAGTAAATACAGCTTCTTAAATATGATTTTACATTAAAAAAAGAGATTTTTAAAATCTAAGAAGTATCAGTATAAATTTATTGTGGAGTAATTATTGATTATAATAACGGTAATATAATTCTTTATGGTGACTAAGTTAATATCTTTGATTCTCTGGGAAATATTTTAATTAAATAGTCATTTAATCCTAAAGTGATCAAAGTTATGTTCTCCTTAGAAAAGTTGATATTTTTCAATGAAATATGTAAATTAATAATTTTAGACATTTAATTAGGTGTGGGTTTGATGTATCGATATATAGTATTGATTAATTTTTAAGAAATATCTAAATCAATCAATATTAGCAAAAATGAGCTAAAATTATTTTTTTTTGCAATATTTTTGTTCATTTTTTGAATATTATTATACTGTAAATGCTCATTAATTAAGGCATTCCCTAAGCATCTTTTTTGCCCAAAAAAATGCCTATTCAAATTTTTTTCTGTGAACAATAAAAAGTGCCTTAATTAGTTGATTTTTTTCTGCCTTAAACAAAATATTTTTAAAAATAAATATCGATCATTCAATTTAAATAGAAAAAATTAGAGATAATCATTATCATTATTAATTCAACCTACTGTTAATAAATTTTTTTTTTTTAAACACACCATAATCGAAAAAATAAAAAATTTAAGAAAAAAATGTCTTAATTAATGAGCATTTACAGTAATTGGAAAAATTACCTTTTTTTGCTCACAAAAAATTTTTAGAAATTTTTTATTGAAATTCTCTATTTCATATTTTAAATAAATTAATAATATTAGTTTTCAATTATTTTAATTTTTATTGAAAATTTTTTTTAAAATATCGAAAAAAAAAAATCAATATGATATTTATTTTACTTCAATTTATCGATTTCGACCAACGAAAATCATTAGTATCATCACAACATTAATTGTTAAAACTTATTTTTAAATAATTAAGCTTTTTCTATCTTTAGAAGAGATTAACCAGAAAAATTGGCAGATGGTAAATTTTTAGGCTCCCTTCTTGGATCAATAGTTATGGAAAATAAATAACAGTTCTGTATTTACACAACAAATATTGCTTACGAATTATTTTACATTATTGATTTAAGTTCTGGTATTAATAATTAAATAAGACATTTCTGATTTTTATTTTTCTTTATATTAGGAATAAAGGTAGGAACATAAGATATAAATATAGAAAAGCAGCTTATTTAAGATATGAAGTATGATGAGAATTCTTATTCTTTAATAATTGCTTTTTAATCTAATCAAATCTATCGCTTTTCTGTTGAATAAGGAATCAAAGTTGTTTAGACTTATTTTCATCCTTCTTTTTTAAAAAGCAACTTATAAATTAATACAAAGATTTATTTAGACTTAAGATATGGAAAGCTAGTTATTGGGTTTAACTACTTACTAGCGATATTCGAGTATAATTAAAGTTTTGAAACTTTTAAAGAAATTAGACTTGTTTAAAGTCAAGATTATGCTCCAGATAATAAAAATTAGTAGCTTTCACTTTCTTCTAGTTTCCCTTCTGCATATTTTTTGGGACACGCAGGTTAAATTTGGAAAATAGAAAAAAATTTTACCCAACTGAGTAACTTATTTAAATACTCTTAACTTTTAATACAAAAAATAGAAGTAAGCAACCAAAGTCTATAAATAAATAGTGTTATTTTATTACTATTTTGCTAATCAAATATCTTATTTGTAGATGAATCAGGGAACATTAAATTAGATCTGTAGTTAAAATACATTGAGAGTTTTTAAATAGAGATTCCATAACAAACAGAATCTAATAATATCTTTCTATTTGTTATTGATGAAATAAATTAAGTAAGAGTACTTTAAGTAATTTCATTTAGAATTTAAACTTACTTTTAGTAACAATTAAACTGTAACTAATTTTAATATCATATCTATGAACCAACAATTAGCTCAACTATATTTTTAGTATGTGATTTTAACATTATATTTTATATTAATTTAAATGATGAAAACCTTGTTGTACAAAAAATAGCTTTACCCAGTTAAATAATTCATATCAAATAGTAAGAATCATTATTATATTGCTGCTTAAAAAAAGGAGGAGTATTTATTTTCTAAAAGTTAAAACAATCAATTGAATTTGTACAGATTTAAATACTTTAAACAGAATCAAATATTAATAACGAACAGAATCTTTAATCTCCATAAAATATAAAACTATTCCAAATTCCATATTATAAGTTAAATCCATAAAATAGATTATTCTTCATATGTTTACCAAATTATAAAACTACTGAAATTTATTAATTTAATGTAAATATTAGATAAGATAACTAAACATTAATTATTCCTCCATTGAAAAAACTGCTAATGGCTAGTTAGAATATTATTGATATATCTGTTGACCAGAGATTTATCTATTTAGTTACAGCATGTTAAATTAATTTGCATGACTTATTTAATTTTTCACTACTAAACTATTTTAACGTGAATTGTAAGCTTCAGTTTAGCTATTTTAATCTTTTGAGTTATGAAATATTTGCTGTAATATATTCTAATCGAACTCAAATATTTTAAGTTAACTAATATGACTATAAGTTTATAACTCTTGTAGATAAAACTTCAAATGATATTAGAATACTTGATCTTTTTTTTCATAAATATCAGTAAGGGATCTATAAAAATTCTGTAGAAAAGTATATCCTTTACACTGTTATAGATGATAAATATAACATAATGCTTGAAGGTTAATATATTTCTTAAAACTTATACTTTTAAGTAAGTAATTAAATCAAAAGTTTTACTAAATGCACAAAAGTTTTTGAAATAAAAAACAATTACTATAACTTTTTGAATTAGCTAAATACAATCTAATCTTATCAAAATTAAAACAACAGAATTATTTTGGTTAACTTAGGCTAGGGACCATCTCCTTACATTTACTTCTTGTTGTAATTTAATCGCAAAGAAATAACCATTTTCGGTACTTAATAAACAGTAATAACTCTAGAAAATCTTACAAAAACAAATGATGAGATTACTCCAAACATACTGATCAATAACTCCATCTTGCTTATTCGCTCAGATTAATAAAATATCTGCTTCAACTAAAACATTTAAAAATTATCACTTAAAAATTTAAGAGTAGTTGGAGAAAGCAAAACTAATGATTATGGCTAAATATTAGATTATACTTAAATAGAAAATTCATAAATTTAATATTTCTATTAACAATATATAATCATACAAAATTGTACAATTTCAAGTATCAAGATATCAAATATGTAGTCATTGTTTTTTATAAAAAATGCCTACAATGTTATAATTAAGCGTTTGATAATCGATAATTGCATTTTAGATGAAATCTCTGTACTTATACAAATTTAAGATGCTGATTATGTTCAAATTGAAAACTTAACCATTACAAATAACTAATTCTTTAACATTTCAAGTATTTTTCATTTTGAAAATATAAATAATTTGTTATTTAAAAAAATAACAATAATTAACAATTATCCTTACTCATAAAAACCCTTCCTATAACAATCATAATATTTAACAAATTCTTATGTATTTTATTTTATTTCTACTCATTACCTCAAAATTACTAATATGATTGCTTAATCTAATGTTTAATTAGCAATAGTTTACTCTTAAAATTTTATTGAAAAGCTTAATGAAATTTAGTTTCAATAAGATGATGAAATATTATTTAATAACTTAGTACTAGAAGGAAATTTATATACTAGCACAAGGGCAGATTTTTCTTTTGTTTAAATTAAAGGATCCCTAATTTCGTTTGAGTCTTCAAGAATTTAATCTAATCAGTGCAATTAGTGTAACGGCACGATAAGCTTATATAATTTCATAAATATCAATATATAGCAATCTTCTTTTATTTCAAATATAGCTTTAAATGGTGGAGCATTCTTTATTAAAGATACTAGTTTAACATATGGGCTAAATATCTCATCATCTAAATTTACTTCTAATGTAGCTCACTTAAGTGGTGGAGCTATATACTTAATTAATTCTAATATTATTGATATTATACTTACTAAATTTAGTTCAAATAGAGCTTTAATAGGAGGCGCTATTCGCTAAATCGGTGCTTATTCAGATTTGCTTTTTAAGAAATAAGATTTACTCAAAAGCAACTTTGTGATATTTAAAGATAACAAAGGATTGTCATATGGAAATGATATTTGTGCATATCCATCAAAAGTGTTGACTCACATAAAAATAAATAATTTGTATGATATAAAATAATGCAATAACAAAAGTATATACTTTGGTAATGAAATTTAAGATGTAAAGCTAAGAAGTGGCATTTCCATTGATGTCAAAGTTTATTTCCAAGATTAACAGTAATAAATTTTAAAAATAAACTATGAAAATTTATCTGAATAAGAAATATAATTGCTCGATTAAGAATATTAAAACACTATTATCTATTTAAAGTAAGACATAAATGATCAAAATGGTTATAAAATAGATGGTGGTACAATTATTTCAGCACTATAATCATATAATTTTAAAACACAGTCTTTTGACTTTACAAATTTAATCTTTACTGGTACACTTTAAAAATGTTTTAAGTTATAAATACAATCTCTCTTAATAAATTAAGATTTTTTATCCTTTTTAGAAATTGGATCTTACGATGGTGCTTTTACTATTTGTTTTGATATTTGCAAGTAAGGATAAATACCTATTCTCACATCAATAAATGAGATAGTATGTCGTGTTTGTGAAGAAGGTAGCTATTCTTTGTATTAAATGCCAATCTAGTATACATTTGAAAGTATATAAAAGGAAGATTTTAAATGCTAAAAGTGCCCATAAGGATCTCTTTCTTGCTAAGCAAATGAAATTTTATTATTGGATGGTAACTTTTTTTATAGCATCAATTTTATCAAAAATATTCATAACATAATATATTTAGGATATTGGAGAAGCGATGACCAATCTGACAAAATTTACACTTGCAATTACTTATATAATAACTGTGTTGGACAATCATAACACTCAAAGAATTATTGTGCTGAAGGATATTTGGGTCCATTATGTTCAAGTTGCGATATTTTTGGAGAAGTATGGGAAAGTAGATATATTTTACTTCATGATTTGACATGCAAAGAATGTTAAAAACCTTATATTTAAATCATTTTAATTATCATATTTGTAATTACTTTATTGATAATTTGCTTTCTCATACTGCGATTAATTAAACAAGGCATATAAAAAAACTCAATTTGCTAGTATCTGAGACATATGAAATTACTACCACTCTCTCACACTTAAATAATTTAAAGATTTTCAATCATAAAATGCTTAATAAATTTTCTGTAAATCTCAATTATATGCAACTTAAAGGATGGAATATTGCCTCTCAATGTTATAGAGTTATTTAGAAATCCCCTTCTATTCTTAATTTACAAATTTGATTGTTTTTACCCAAAAGATTACCAGCCAATAATAGTGGAATTAAGAGTTTACATGATAGCAATTTTCTCAATTTTTTTTTTGGTAATGATGTTAACCTTTCATAAGGAATCACGAAAAAGTTTAAACTCTAAAAAAATTCATCCATTTATTTACTAGATTCTAAACTTTATTATTTATTTGTTTTCGCCTTAGATTATTAAGTAAATTATTTTATTTATTTATTTATTTAATTTATTAATTATTTAATAAAAATTTATAAATTTAATTTTATAAACTTTTAGATATCTAATAGAGAGTATAACTTGTTTTGAGGTTGGAGATGAAGAATATTTAGTGGTATATTCATTGTAGAAATGCTATGTAAATGGTACTGGCTATGGTTTATTTGTAAACATAGTTGTTATACCATCATTAGTTTTGATATTTCTTTAACCTTTGATTATTTTCTATAAAATTAGAAAGTAAAAACATATTTTAGACTATCTTTTAGTTAAGTATAAATATGGCTTTCATTATATAGAGTATAACTCAAAATATTATTGGTGGGATTTGCTAAGAAGTTACTTCAAATTTGTAATAATACTTGCAACATCTATCATTTACTAACAGGATGATTTTTAATATTTCTTTCTTCTGATTTTGGCAACTATCTATTTGAATTTTTAAAGCAAAAGGAAAATCTTTGTGAATAACTATATTTAGAAATTAGAAACTATATCATATACCATATTAATTTTATAATTTTCAATACAATACATTTAAAGAATCTACACATCTTACATATTCATTCTAAATCAAATATTCTTTATGATTTATCTTGTCTTTATTCTGGTCTGCCTCACAATAATATTAGTGAATATAGAGATAAAATGTTTTTTAAAGTAAAAAGTTAAAATATGGATTTTAATCTATACAGTATTAAACAAATTCTTATCACATAAATACTTATCACTGATATTCATAAATAAACCTAGATACATAAAAAGCGGTCTAAAACCTCTTCTAACATGGAAATACTTACTAAGATAGAGATCAGTTATCATTTAAAGCAAAATAGATTATCTAAAATGTTCTAAAGATAAATAGCTGAGTAATTTTAGGAAAAATATTTATATTTTAATTCAAACTTATTAAATTTTATCCATAAAAATATTTAATTAATTTATATTAAAAAAGAACAAAATATAAGCAACTTGCAGGTAATATAGTAAAAATAAGAACGAACAAATACTAATAGATCAAATGATAATATTTTTATAAGAAAAAAGAAAGCACTATCTAATTCTATTAATTTAGAATCCTAATTTTAAAGCCATCAAGACTGGAAGCACTCTATAAATAGTTCATAAATTTCTGAGCACAACTTTGACTTAAACAAGCTAAAAATTTAAGCTGTTTTCTCTTAAAATAATTCATTTTAACATAGTATATTTTGTCCATCGTCTAAAATTTAATAAAAAAATTTAGTAGATGATGAGTTAAGTAACTTCGATATCTAATCTGAAAAATCTTAAAAGCATCAAATTAATTTATGAAATAAACTAAAATTTAAGAGTTTATTTTATTTACATATTTATAGTTTGCTGATATAAATATAAACATTACTGTTATAAGCTGCATTTTTATAGATAATACAAACTTTGGTACACTAAAAATAATATTCAGTTTAATTGTTTACGTACTCCATTAAATATTAAAAACTTTACAAATTGATTTACTTCATCATGTTTTTATTTTTATATTATATTTTTAAAATTTATTTCAAAAATTTTTTTAAAAATTAATTTAATATATTAGATAACAAAGCACCTAACCTACCTAATTTTATCTAAAATTTTGAGAAGCCTTAATTTTTCAAATTTTGAAAAATAGTAAGTCAAATATAATTTCATCAAAAAATCTTTATTTGAATATACATTAAATATATAATAATCTTATTAATATTAATTAAGGTTCATTCAAAATAATTTTTTTGAAATTGTATGCACCTTAATTAGAGTCAGGAAGTAATTAATTTTGATGCTATAAAAGTTTTTTATTCATTTAAAAAATTTCATAAGATTAATTAATATTCTATTTTAAATTTAATATTTACTTAAGTTAAATTAAACAAACAATAAAATAAATATTCATTCATTATTTAAATATTAAAAAAATGATATATTTTCAAAAATTTATTATTTTTATTATTTGTTTTTTTGGATTAAGATTAAATTAATTTATTTTGTTTCATTATTAACTTGAAAACAAAAAATAATTTTGTAACAATATTTATATATTTACTAAATTAATAAATCATTCTTATATCATCTAATTTTTGTTGTATATTTATTATTATTATGCATGATTTGTATCGAAATAGTTATTACTAATTTATTATTACTAGCTACTACTTATTATATTTGATTATTGATTTTACAAGCAATTGTTTTAAATATATAACTTGAAGATATCACCATTTGTTTAATTTTATAGCTCAGATATAGTATTTCTTGCATTATAAAAAGAAATAGGCATATTTTTAGCTCTTGTAGGTGAGTTTTCTAAACATTTTTTCTCACTTATTAAGCTATGTTCTAGGAGTTCATTATATAAACCTTCTGCTTTTTGTGAAATTTCTTAATTTTAATGGTTAGTAAATTACTCAATTAATGTAAATAATCCGATTTCTTAAATCTACTTCATGTATTTTCTAAATTATTAATTACTAGTAAACAAGGTAATTTACTTAAAAAGAGAGCAAAAACCTTAAATAACTACTACCATCAAATCAATATCTGAATTAAATTTAGTAAATAGCATTTCTATAAAATTTAATAAACTTTTTTTATCTATTAAGGTTATAATTGTTTCTGCTGTTGCGCTACTAACTAAGTTTCCTAAAAAGAAGCCTAACTCTTTCTTTACTTTAAAAGAAGAATCATCCATTAAACTCCTCATTAATGGCTTGTAGATTTTCTCTTCAAGAATTGAATCTTAAACACCCTAATCTGGAATGCAAGAAATATTAGAAAGAATAAAAGCTGCTGTTTGTCTGTGTGATTCTTTACCAGATTCGATTACTTTAATAATTGAAATTAATACTCCGTTGTCAACTAATTTTTTAATATATTCATCACAACATTCACTTACAATTGTATTAAGTAAAGTGAGAGATGAACCTATTAACGATTTATTATTATAAATTAACCATGCTAACGTATTATAATCATCCTCTGTGCAAACAGAGATATTTGAAGAATCATATAATATTAAATGATTTAAGCATTCTATGACATATTTTTTTTTAGAATCAGTGTCTGTTATTCTCAATAACAACAACAATAAAGGTGTCAATTAATATGTCTATTTGTTTGTAAAATAAATTAATTTTTAACATTTCTTCAATTCAATAATATCAAAGAGAATCTAAACAATCCTCAAAATAAAACAATAAATGAAAGAAAAAATCAATTAGTTACTTCTTCCCTTTGCACTTCAGGAATATACCTAATGAAATTCCAAATAAAAAATAAGAGTGAATCATTAAATCTTTCAATATCTTATTCTGTACTTTCTTCTATAACACTTAATACTGCAGTCACTATATCTCTATCAACTAACTCAGAACAAAAAAATGATCCAAATTTTGAATCTCCTGCAAGATTACCCATAGTGTGGAAAAGCTATTTTTATATTCAAAAGTATTTAATATTAACTTACAAAAATAAAAGTAAGTATCCATACATTATCAATAATTTTTGACGATTTTGAGTATTGAAGAGCCTCGATAAAGTGATTAAATATATTTTTCTCTACCATTTCATTTAAATTCTATTTATTTATTATGCATGAAAGCTATGCTAGAATGTAATAACTATAAATCTAAAGGTCTTCGTATTGTAAATACTTCTAAGATGTGTATACTGAGCAGAATATATGTAAATTAGACTAAATCATTAAATTTAAAACGGATGTCACTTCAACCATTACTTCTTTTTTACAATAATGATCTATCCACTCATAAAGCTATTTCATTATATCTTAGCATTATATAATATCTTTCATTTTATGAGAATCCTATAACTGTTGCATTACCTTATTCAACTCCCCTGATATTTCTAAGATGTTTGGTATTTCATTTGCTCTATTGTCTTTTTAAGTCATATCCTCCATACCATGGTTGTTTACTTGATCTTAATATAATTAATTATTTTATGAATATTATTCTTAATTTTCATCATCCTAAGCTTAGTAACCATTATTTTCAAATAACTTGCTATATGACTAATGTATATTCTTCAAACGCTTTGATTAAAGTTCTTATTAAACTTTCTTTCTTCTAATTTCTACTCTAAACTCATTCTTTTTATGTGATATAACATTTTTAATCTAACTTTCTTCTTCTTCGTAATAATCCATATCTATATTGCAATTTTTAATAATTAATCAAATTTTTTTTTAATTTAAAAATATTATTTGTTATTAGTTAAAATCTAAACATAATATGATTGATTTTGGCGCTTTTAATTTAATATTTTTCGTAGGAGTTTGTAAGAATTTTGTTTTTATATTAAAAATTGCGCAAAATAATAAAAATTATTAACTAATAATTCATAAAGATTGTAGCAAGATATTTATTTTCATGGGTTGACATTTTTAAACTTTAAATTTTATAATTCATATTTTTATAGTTTATAAAATATTATTAAGAAATACTGTAATTAAAATTATTCGAGCCTTGAAAATATTGATAAATACTAAATTATAATTTTAAATAAAAAATTTCAAAATTTTTTAACAATTTATTTAAGCTTTTACTTAAATTAAATTAGAAACAGAGGTCTGTAAAATTATTTGTTTTAATAAAAAATAAAATCTATTCAAATTAAAATAAATAATTTTTACTTATATAAAATCTAGTTACAACATATTCAACAAACTATTTAAATATTAACTTAGTAATTTTGTATTAGATAACCATTAAGTGATGGTAAATAATAGATAAAACAGAATTAAAAGTGATTTTGGATAATTACTTAAACCTTAATTTATAAGTCAATTTAAAATATACTAATATAATAAAAAATATTAATTTTTTTTGAAATTCACAACTTTGAATTTTCCTCTGATTGGAAAGTTTCTTTCCCATTTAATGAGTGCTTTGAGGAAGCAGGAGCTAACTATGGTGTTTTTTTAAACAAAGTATTTCTTAATTTCTAACCTATACTTTTGGTGGGAGGCCTATTTAATTTTTCTGAAACTAAACCTGGTGAGCTATCCTAATCGTTTTACACACTGTTGCTTTTACTATCTGATTTAATACACACTCCTTTAATTTATTCCATCATTTTAGATTCATTGTCTCTAAAATCTTCCATTACCTTTTTCATTTCTGATTGTTTTATAATAGACAAATTATCAAAATCTAGCTATGTTATAATTGTCTAACCAATTGTCAAGAATTTAAATATTGTTAAAATCAAAGAGAAAACACTTGAAGTAAATGATAATATAGCCTTTTGAAATAATAAAATTACATTAATTTATTTATTAATTTAAGCATTAACAAAATTCAAATAAAATGCAAGTAGAAATTTGAAGATTTTACTGTTAAATCTAAAGATTTAATGGCTTGAGAGAAGAAAACAATTTGAACAAAAAGCTATGGAATATGCTCAAATATGGCTTCTTAAATGACTCTAATCATTCTATTATTCACAGCCTTGCCTTGCAGAGTAGGGAATATTAGTTTAGTATACCAATTTGATGGAATTACAGTTGTGTTACAAGGTGAGATTACATCCAATAAATCTGCAATTGCATTAAAATTTCCGAAGCTAGCCACCCAATAATAGCTTAATTTTAAAATAATTGATTAATACAATTTTTTTTAAATTTCTAATTTAATTAATAATTTACTGATTTATATTATTGTGCTAACTGCTTAAAGATTGCTTTTGAGTTTTAAACAAATAAATTTTGTAAAATAGTGAAATTTATGTGACAACTAAAATAATCGCCCATACTGTAAGCAAATCAAACCTACTATGTTATTCTAGTACTACTAAAAAGCAAAAATTTGTGTATGTATTTAATCTATTTTGCTGACTGAATAATAACTGAAGAATGTAGAGTAAATTTTTATACCCGAATATTTAAATATTCATCAATTTCGTTTTTAGAGTATCAACAAATTTTGTTGGGCAATCAGGTTAACCACCCAATCTAATTCCTGGCACAAGATGGTTTGTTTATTTTATAACTATTGATACAAGATAAATTTCGTATATCATAGTTATAATAGCAAATATAGAATATATAATATGAGATTTCCAAGAAACTCCTCTACCAATTTTATCAAGTAAATCATCATATGCAGTTAGAGGATAAGGACCAAAATAGCAAATCAGCATGTAAAGAATAAAGAAAATAACAAGAATAACTTTTAGGTAATTATGTTCCTCTAAATACTCATTTAAAACAATAGTATTTTCATCGAATTCAAAGTAGCTATTTGAAACAAAAATAAAATATCAACAAAAACATTAACAAAAGGCTTTAAATGAAATATATGTTTTTATCAAAACTAAATACAACATTTTAAAGGTAAAATTACTTAAATTTGAAATGTATATTTTTATCAAAACTAAATATAACATTTTAATGGCAAAGTTGTTTCTAAATAACATTTTTTTTTTTGAAAAAAGTGATAAATTTTAAAAATATAGTTTTTATCAAAATAACTTATGAAATGGTAAAGTTACTAACTTATTCCTAAAATAGTATTATTAGCTTTTCTTTAAATTAAAAAAAAAAGTCTAATGCTAGTTTTCTGTATATGAAAATTTAATTTTAAAATAAATTAAAATTGAAATTAACTTATAAATTAGTTAAATGTATATTTTCTAATTAAAATTTATTAAAATAAAAACTGTAAAATTTATCAAACTAGTTAGTAAAATTATAAAATCTAGTTATTTAAAAAATTTTTTATTTTTTGCTATTAATAATTATTTTATTAATTTACGTGTCCAATGAAACTAGAGCATTTATTATTTTCCATATGATTTTATTGACCATGCTGCCTATAGAAGATCTAGATGGAGGTTTATGAGATTCAAATATTCTTTCTCTAGCAGAATAAGCTAGACTTACATTAATAAATGTTAAAAATTAGTAATCCATTTCGCATGCCATGAAGTATGGGTTTTGATAACAGGTTGAGTAAATAGATTTCAAAGCACTAATTGAAAGATTTCTCACTTTTAAAGTAGAAGCTGGCATGCATCTAAGCCTTTCTAATAGCAATTCTTCATCATAATTCTAAAGATTTTATGAATCAAAAAAGTAAGGGCACAAAACACTTAAAGGAGCTCTTTTTTTCTATTTTATTAAATATATTTTATTTACATTTGTCATATTATTTGAATATATTTACAAAAAGTTTATTGAAAATAGCTTTCTGCCCGTATGACATGTCAAGACCAAAATTAGATTTTCTACTTAATGTTGGTGATTTTCTTGATGGATTCTGATTCTACATTTAAATAGGTAGCTTAATTGAAGAGTCTATTTATCCTATAATATTAGGTAGTTGAGCGCTCTTTTTAAGGGGTGATGTCTATTTTAATTAAGGACTGTCAGACTATTTGCATTCATCCTCTATTGGTTTTAGCTTAGGTGTATTATTTATTGAATTTGCAGTCTAAAAAGTTGGCAAATTCTAAGATAAAGCATCTTGAATTAAATCTTTATCTTCATTAGTTAATGAAAGAGTTGGAGTTGTTTATATTTTTTGGAAAAAGTTATCAGCTTTATTAGCAAATGTTTAAGTAAATTTAACAAAAAATTCATTTATATTTTCACCTGGGTAAATTGAACAGCACTCTACTAAGAAGCAATATAGAGGATAGTCAAAGTATAAGTTAGAAATATTTCCAAATATTTCTTCTAAATTTACTTCATTCATTTTATAAGGATTAAAAGCCAAAGGATTTGTTATACTAAACAAAGGGAAATTTCTATAGTCAAAATCGAAATCAAGAATAAGCTCTTCTTTGCCAATACTTAGCAATTTTCTTATGTCGTTCAAAGAAGAGTATAATTCTGTCTTCTTTTGGTAATCGTTTTCAGGTATACCTCCTTAAAATTTCATTACAGAGTGCCATGGGCGAACCATAATTTTTACTTCTTCGCTTTTATCTGATGCCCAAAAATTTTTGATGTAAGACTCTTCTTACTTTTCAACCATAATTTATCCATTTTCAATACAGCTAACAACACCCTTTTTTAAAAATGATTGAATTTTATAAAACTAATTCAAAATCCAATAAAATCTTTGAATTAAAATAAAAAATTGATTGAATAAACAAAAATAAATCATGTTTTTTAATTCGCTTTTACCTTTAAAAGATGTATAAGGAAATATGATGGTATGATAAATGTCTATGAGCTTTTGTCTGAGTAAGCTAAATTAAAAAAAATATTAGAAAAATGAAAATAAATTAGCTATTAATAAATTAATTATTTACCTATTGTTTATAGATAGTTAAATTGCTTTTTTTATTGCTATTTTTTAGGTTAGTTATTTATTGCTTGGCTTGCGCTAGCAAAGTTAGTTCCTTTTTCTTTTTCAAATAGCGTAAATGTTCTTGTCATATTGCTTTCCATCTAAAAATTGTCTTCATTAATTAACTCTGAAAAGGCAAGGAAAAAGGCACTCTCGTGAACAAAGTTTTCATTTGAGCGGACTAAAATGTGCTTGATTGTTCTAAATACCTTCTTTTCATTTAATATAATGCTCAAGAGATTATACCAGCTTTCTTAACGATTTCTTCTGTGATCACTAAAAATAATATTTTCAAGGTAAAGAATGCTTTCTTGTACATCAGCGAAGCCTTTGGCTATACCATCAATATACTCGAATTCATTATAATCTTCTTTTGAAAGTTTAATTTCTCTATCTATTCCAATTGCCCTGATTCTTGGCTGAAACTCAAATATCAGAGGAATAAGTTTGCTCCACACTAATCCACTTATCTATTATAAATTAATAAATTGACTTTAATATATATTTAGTTTATATATTATCATACTTTATTGCCACTCAAATATATTTCTTCAAGAAAGTTACTCTTAATATTTAGATTACTCAGATCTATGAATGTTTGCAAAAGATTTTTAGATGAGATTCTTGTTTTAATACAATTTTCAAGATGAATCACTTTTAGCTGAGCAAAAACTGAATTGCCCAAAGATAAGATAGATTTTAGTAATGATATTTTATATCTTTCCTTCTTTACATCATAGTAATAGAGAGTAGCACTACTAGAATTAGATATTTTTAGTTTTTGTATTGTTGATTTTACTAGCATAGTACTGAGCTTATTTGTAATTTGAGTAATTTATTTATCTTCAAAATCACAATCTGATAAATCCAGATCATGCAATCCATTAACACTTAGAACTTCAAAAATAAATTATTCCCATGCATTTTGTTATTTGAAATGGTTGCCCTTGTAATTTAATCCTAAAAAAAATAAATCAATATAAATAAGTAAATAGAAAATATTTTTATTTTACTTGTTAGGTTAATTTATTTGTTTTGTAATCTTTATTCTTTTAATACATCTGCCAAAGCTAATGTTTTGTTCCCGTCCATAGCACAAAAAGAAAGATCTAAATCTTCAAGTACCTTTCCAAATGTATTAAATAAAGCTGAAAAAAACACACTCCAACCATCGTAGTGTAAAGATGAATTTTTAGAAAGATTTAATTCAGCTAAATTAGGTTAAGTTTATGACTAAGATAGCTTATTAAATGCTTGGGAGATGCATTTTATAGAAGCGTTATTTAGAAGACACTCAGAAAGATTCAAATGCTAAATCTGAGAATTTTCTAAAAATACTAAAATTAAAGAAAACCATGCTCCAGGTTATATTCTCTGGTTCATGCTTAAATCTAGCTTTTCTAAAGATGTTGTCTTATTTTCCTTAATACCTGAACAAATTTATTCTATTACTTACTCACATAAGGAACAATTTCTTAAACTGAGATATTTTAATTGAGTTGCTTTCAATTTTAAAAGCAATTTTAAACTTTATCCTGTATTTACTTTATCTCCTTTTAGCATAGGATTATCTGCAATTGAGAAATTCTCTAAATTTTTGACGTGACTAACTATCTATGTTACAACTGCATTTAAACTACTACCTGTTAATCCTACATTTTCTAAGTACACTCCAGTAATTGTGCTAGAAAAAGTGAAAAATCCTTTTAAAATATTATTCCATTAAATATCAGAAATATCAGTATTTTTTGATAGTTTTATGGTTAAATCATGAATTTGACAGTCTATTTTATTTAATTAAACATTTTGCTTAGATAAATTTTAAAATAAAATGATTACTGTTTGCTCCTAAATTTTTTTAATTTAATTCAAGCCATATTGTTTATACTTTTTCAGGATATTTTATGTAGACTTCTAAATGTTTAATTTTGTTAAAAGACAGAAGAATATCTATTTTTTACAATAAATTAAAAATTATTTAAATATTTATTTTTTAATAAACTAAAATTTTTTTAATTTTTACTTTTAAGGATATCAACACAACCAATCTAACTGCTGGCACACTAATCTCCTAACACAAACTTTTGCAAAATTTTTTAGGAAGTGTTGCAATCTAAGTCAAATCCACCTCTCAATTTGACTTTTTAAGTAATCTCTTTCCTGTTATTTCTAAAAATTTGCATATTTTAATCTAAATTCTTTTTATATTCAATATTTTAAATGGAGATGTTATTGCAAAAATATAACAAGAAATTGTTTTTTAATTAAACAAGCATTTTTCTAGAAACTAAATTATTTAAAAAAGTAATATCATTTAGCCCATAAATACTTTTTTCAATCGGGTCTTATAAAGTCTTTTGGTTAGCTTACTTAAGACCTTTAAGAAGGCATTCAGCTATCTAATCATTTATTTTGTTATCATTTAAGTTTATCTCTATCAAGTTAATCTACTTTTAGCTCAGCAACCTAAAAATGATATTTTACCAAATTTATCCTGCTTATTTATCTTCAGAAAGCATATGGTTTCCTTTCATTATAAATTTGCTTAACTTCATCATGGGTATGCTTTAATTTTTAACTTCCACTTAAGCCTCCTCCAAAGCTTCAAGGATATCTATTAATTAATATTTAATGATTAAAAAAATAAATTTAATTAACATAAAAATCTGTTTTTTTCTTAAAAAATTTTTATTTTTATAACATTTTTCCTATTAAAAATATTTATTTACATGATATTTTTTATTTGTTTAACTAGTTATATGAAACATCAATTTTTTCTAAAGAATGACTGAAATTTAACATCAGAGATTTAATTAACATTTTCCAAGACTTTTCGCTTAAAGAAGGATTATGTGATAAATTTATGGATTTCAGACAATAAATATTTTTTGAGTGATTAGTAACTTCATAAAATAGCTTTTCTGAAATTTTTTGAGCCACTGAATTTGATGTAATTACCTATGATAACTCTAAGCATTAACAATTAATAATCAGCTCATATATTATAATAGATAAATCATTTGTTTACTCTTCATTATTAGGGATAAAATAACTACCAGAAAGGTTTAATACTTTTAATTATTCTAATCTTTTTTGCTTTTTAGTGATGAAGAGATAAAGACTATCTAAATGTTAACTTATATCTCCTAAATCTTACATATGGACTTCTTCCACATCCTTAAGATAATCAAAAACACACTAGAAAAATTTATTTAGCTTTCCTGAAATTAAAAATAATTAATAAATAAAAAAATAATAATAATAAAAAAAGTAAAAACCTATTGCTAAAGGATTTCCAGATATGTTAATATATCTAAGGGAAGTTTAAATATTTGCAGAACTCTTCATCCTATTTATTATTATACTCAAACCTTGAGAAGTCAATTATGTTTAGGATATATCTAAATGTCTTATCTTTGTGAAGTTAAAAACAGAATCAAATAAGTGATAAATTAAAGTTTAGTTTTTCTTATGATATACCTTATTACTAACATTTATTTCCTAAGAATCCTCAACAGCATATTTGAGAATAGTACTTGATCTTGCAGTTGTTTATTTAAGAGGATGTATTTCTTTTAAATGTATTTTTGAATGCTATAATGAAACAAGCCCATTATTATTTGAAGAAATTCCAAATTAAAAATGGCCTTAAATGGTGCTTATATGTAAGTTTTAATTATTTTGTAAATTTTATTAATCATAAATAAGATTTGTGTTAGAAAGATTTGTTTTTGAGAAATCTAAATATTTTAACCCAATCAATTTGCATTTGTCTTTTGCTTTAATAAACTCAAACATAAATTCTTCTGCACTGCTGATATCAAAACTACTTTCACTCAAATTTAAATTAGTTATCGACGGCTGTGAGAAAAATATTCTGAAAATTTTTTGCCATTAGCAGTAGCCGCTCTTTAATTTAAGTCCACTTAAGTCAAGATTTAAAATTTTTGTATTTGTGCTTTCATAATTTTGATTTAAAGTTTTTATTCTGGGAATAAAATAATTTTATTAAAATCTTATTGTATCTAAAAGTGGAAATATTTTATATAATGTTTAATAAAATTCTTCGAACTCTATTGAATACTTTCCTATCCTACTAAGGCCAAACTTTTTCAGATGAAATAGAGGAGTACCAATTCTTTCAAGTTCTTAAGTTGCTATTTTAAGAGCTCTTTCCATTTCTTCTAAATAAACTTTAAAATAAAAAACCATATTAATTTTTGAAAAGAAAAGAAAAAAAATTTTTACAATGTTCAAACTCTACATTTTCAAGCATAAACTCTTCTAAAGTATTTCCAAATAGAACAAAGAATTCAATCAAAAATTTTTTGAAATCAATAGGTTAAATATCTTCTAAGTTGCTTATGTTCTTCAATTAAAAGGATTTTAGGTATGGAGACACTAATAAAGGATTAGAAAAATCTAAATATCTGTTAATATTCTGTTTTTTTCCAATTTCTTCTAACTAATTTCTGCAATTTACTAAACCAGCTATCAAACCAAGTAGAGCATCTTGCTAGAGTGTGGTTCCTTAAAAATCTATGGTAAATTCATGAACAAAAAATGCAATGCTTACTATTGATTTGAGATTTTTATTTTTAAAAATACTTGACTAAGAGCCAAATAACTTAAATTCTAAAAATGTTTTGTTTAACTAAATCAGCTTATCATTAAGCTTATTTTTCTTTCCTATTTCATTTTTTTGAAGTAGCTTAGACTCTAACATATCTAGAACTTATTGATTATTCTTTAAATAAACTACTTATACGCTCTTACTATTGCATATAACTTCAGCCAGTAAATTTATGATTTCAGGATCAGCTCCTAAGAAACTCACTTAAGATAAATCTAATTTTTAACAGAAATCTGTATACTGTATTCTGAAAAGCATATCAAGCATTAAATCATCAAGCTCATCATTGTAGCTTTCAAAGAGATACTTTAAATATTAAAAATTGATGAAGTAAAGTTAAAAAAATTAAGCTTAAATAATATTATTATTTTTTAAATATTATTTGTTATTTCAGAATATTCTGATATTATTTAAAAATTAAAGAGAAAAAAGTAAGTCTTACGTCGTCATTAAAGATTAATGAGTAGTTTCTAGGATACAGGTTGAAAGGAAATAACTTGAAATAAGGGCGAGAAGATAAATAAGTGACTGATGAAAATAATGGCAAACACACTGCATTTTCCCTTTTTTCCCAGGCTATTTCAATTTATTTTCTAAAAATTTTCATAATCTCATTGTAAGATGATGAATTTGTTGCTTGGGGGTTTTTCTGTATAATTAACTCTTCTAAATTTACTAAATCAGAGATATGAAGATGATTCTTATCTAAAAAGAGCAATTATAAATCATTCTCATTTAATTGGTTTTCTATAAATTTTATTGAACGAAGTTCATCAGAAAACCATAAAATTATATTTCTAATTAAAATTAGGGAATCTTAATTGATAATTGTGTTAATAAAATTAATTTCTTATAAAGTGGTAACTTCTCTTAAATTTTCAAAAATTGATTTTAGAGAGTTTTTACGTAAATTAGCTATATTTGTAAACACCAAGCAGCGCAAAGATTCTGCCTTTTAAGCTAAGTGCCTTTTAATGTAAAAAAAGGCTTTTTTATCCTAAAATGCAAGCTAATTTATTATCATGACTTATCCATCACACTGTATACAGTATTCCATCTTTTTTACAACTTCGAATTCTTTTTAAATATCATCAAGAGTTTTCTTATACATTACTCTCGAACGATTTATTTTTTTTGTATCTGCATTTTACAAAACATTTTACAAATTTAAAAGCATGTTTATTTTGCTATCATGCTATTTTTTTTTTTTTGAACTAGAACTTTAATTCTATAAATCTTTTTCAGTTTCTAACAAATCTAAAGAAATTTCCTACAATTTAGGGAAGTCTCCGACGTAAAGATCATCTTATAAAAATATCATATAAAGTGCTTCGATACGTGATTTATTTGTTACCTTGCATTCCTTTATAGATATTGTTTTGAGAGAGAAGCGCTAAGCTCTGAGAAACTCCTTTAGAACATAGTCTTTAAACTGATAGCCCTCTAACTTAATGAAATCTTAATGTATGACTTTTTTATAACATTTCATCCCATCTATTTTCCTCAACTAATCAGAAAAAACCTAAAATTCGGGGCTAACATCTAGTTCCAATTATTATTCTTATTGCAAATATGTTTCTCTATGGTTCACTGACAAAATATTTGATTCAGAACTCTCTTCTCTAAATATATTCTACCTTAATGGTTATAATTCACATTTTACCTTAAAGTGGTGAGTTAGACCTTATTTATTAGCCTCTTCTTATTCTTCGTTTTTATTATCTGTTTTTCTAGATGATTTCATAATTTCATCATTAGTTTCATTTTTATTCCCATCTTAAGTTAATCTCTTCCTTGTTTACTCTGAGCCATTTGTCAATGAAGTGTTATCAAATGCTAATACGGGGTATTCTTTTTCTTAACTGTTATGCATTTTCATCAACCTAAAATTATATGCACTATTTTTGATCTAATCATAATCACTTTTTTCATCTATTGTTTCTAAAAATAATTGCTACCCATTCATCTTCTACTATGAAAACATAGGACCTCTGAAATAAGTAGGACTTAGATTATCACCTTTATTATCTTCACATAAGTTATCTTCCTCTGTTTCATTCTTTACCGTGTGAATACTTTTACTTGAATACATTTAGATGTTATCCTATGTTTTTGTCCTTTTTTATTTTGCTGAAATTTGAGCAAGAATACTCATTTTATTAATATGAAATTAAGCCTTATTTCTACCTGGCAACCTATATTTAAATTACTTATTTTCTTATATTTTATTTTTACTTTCTATGAGAATTGATGAATTAATATAATTATATAATAAATGTTAGTTATGAGATATTGCTATTTCGTTAAATTATTTTGCTCTATTATGTTTTACTACTTTATTTGAATTAATCAACTCATCTATTTTGATGAGGTTTTTTCATAACTTAGATAAGTGTATTGTATTAGCAAAAGACATAAAAAGCTATTTTTTTTTTTGATTATTTTGTTTTTATTTACATAAATATGTTGTTGTTTAAATAAATAAGGACTAATAACATTACTTCTTACTGAACTAAAAAAACAGAATTTTAGTAAATTTTAATAAACAAATTAATGTGTTTGGAAAATAAAAGAAAACTTTTTATTTTTTGAGGTTTAAAGCAAGGTTCCATTATTATATAATTAATTTACTTTTAAAAAATAGCGATAAAAGGAAATTATAATCAATAAACTTAATTGGGTTTTAATAAACTTTTTATTTATCATAAATTTTCTTGCAAAAATAAACTCAAAATAAATAAAATAATATTTAATATTATTAATCTAAATTAGATTCTTAGGACCACATCAAATTTACAAAATATTAACCTAATTTGCTATTTTTGATAAAACTGAAAATAAAAATGAAAATTAATAAAAAATATAATTTTAATAGTAAATTCACACTTTTTGATAATTTATTAAAGAATTTTTATTTCAATTAATTAATTAATAAATTTATTTTATTTTTTATTAAATAAACAATAAAATAATACTAATATGTAAATTCAATAAAATAAAATAATTTATAATAAAGCATAAAATTAAATTATAAAAATAAAAAGCAAGAGAAATTATAATCAGTGCATTTAAAAAATCAAGGCTGAGCTTGCAAATTTTTTACCTTTGAAGCTTATTAATGAAATTGCCAAAAAGAGCCTTTTTTTTCTCCCTTGACCCTAAAATGCATTAATTTTAAATTCTCTATACCATATTTAGATCAATAAAGAAATAATAATTATTATTTATTATTTGCTAATTTTAGTAAATTTGTTACTTTTAATTTAGAAATTTTAATTGATAAGTTATATTTAATAATAAATAATTTAGATATGAGCATATGTGACACAATTATTTCATAATTTACCATTTTTATTTTAACAATGATTGATGAAATTAAAAAACTTTACATAAAATAAAGTAATAAACTTTAAATTGGCAATTGTTTTAATTGAAATATGTTATTTGTTTATTACATTAAAATTGAAATATATTGTATTATTAATAATTTTTATGTATGTATAAAATCTAGTAGAAGACTAGCTCAACGAAGTAATATTAAAAACTATAACAAATATCTAAATAAAAATGTTTTGTATCAAAAAATAATATTTTTTATTTTAAATAGTTTATTTATTGATTTGTGTAAAGCAAATAAATATTTTAATATTTAGATTTGTTATATATAAATTAAATATAGGGTATTTTCAAAATTTCATTGTCAGAATACTAGCTGCTAGCTCAACGTTACCTCCTGCAGCCTTTAAAGCATTTATTGCTTGTTCTCTTGTTGCTCCTAAGTTGATTAATTTTCCTATGTCATCCTCTCTAAATCCTACAGTACCACCAATAATTTACGATGAGCTACTAGACTATCTTTACATACTTAAAGGAGGCTACTCTTGATTTCTTTTTTATTCTTCATCAAATAAGGCTTATTCTTATTCAATAGAAACTACTTTTTTAATATCTTTTTCATGTAAGAAAGGGACTTTAAGTTCTGAGTCTCCTAGCCAAAAATTAAGAGTGTTATCTCTTAAATTAACATTGCACTATTCACAAAATAATTAAAATGAGTTAATGAAATATACATTTAAAAAAATACTTAAAATCTTCTTAAATTATCTAAACCTAAAAGGAAATCTAAATTAATCGATTCAAGGATAGTGAAAGAACATTCAAATCTCTATTTATTTTGATTAAAAATTTTATATGACTTCTTTGGATTATATTTTTTATTACTTTATCTAATATCTAAATTGCGTATTTATGAATACGGCCAAGAATTTTTCCAGTTCCAACACCACTTGCCATACCAGAAAATCTTTTATCAACTAATCTCATAAGTCTTTTTATTATTTATTATTATAACCTTTGGTTAAATAAAAATTATTGAATACCCACATCTCTCTGCACATGCTTTTGACATAATAGTACTTTCAGCACCTGTATCAACGAAGGCCTAGATTGGATGATCATTAATTACACAATCAATATAAAGCATTGTAATTTTTCCAAAAACTTCAGGAATATATTCCTAAGCCATTTCTCTATTTAAATAATTATATCAAATTAAAATCTAAACAAATAAAATAAATAATACAAATTTTCATCAATAACTCTTTAGTTGATAATTTCTTCTATCTTCTTTTAATTATCAGGGTTGAAAGGATCTTTTTCAAGCTCATCCTATTTATTGATATATAATTTATATTTAAATATGAAGGTTTTGATTAATTATAGAATCTTACAAGTTCCTACTATTCTTTCATTCTCTTTTGAATTCTTTCTTGCTCCTTGATATAAATATTTAAATATTCAATTTTATGTATTTTATTATAAAATATTTTACAGTTTTTTACAAAAATTAAGCCAATTCATCATCAGTTCCGCTTTGAAGAAGCTGTGCTAGTTTAGGATTTTAATTTTTTAAATTCTGTAAAATAAAAGGCTATTGCTTAATTTAATTCTTAAAATCTCTAGCTTATTATAAATATTTTTAGTGAATAGATTGATTAAGTGTGCTGCCAAATAAATTTGATAGAGCATTTGCAATATTTGTTGCATTATTTGTGAACTATTGATTGTTTATTTAATTGTTGTTAAATCCCATCATCTATTATTATCTACCAAATTAGCTATTTTAAAGTTAAAAAAATGTTAATATTGACTTTATGAATAACTGAGTACTTTTGTTTGGTGCTTAATCTAATCATATCGTTGTCGCCACAATATTCTCTAATCAAATTATTATTATTCATAAGCTAATTATTAGCAAACAATTCCTGAATTGCAACTGGAATTCCAAACTTTTTTATTATTACACCATCAAAAAATTAGAATATTAAATTAAAATACTATCAATTCTAATTTAATACCTCAATTTATAACACTTCTTTAATATCTATAACTCTTGAGTCGGCTTCAAATTCGATTTCCTTAAATTAATCGTCCTCAGTTATAATTGTTATTTTCATTTAAGAATGGCTTTAATTTTTACTTTGCTTTTTGAAATATTCAAATTTTTTTTATGCTTATTTTTTTAATTAAATTTTATTAAGATTTTATTAAATATTAATAAGTCAAATAAATAGACATATAATCGAGTTTAATATTAAAAATCTTTAAAAAAAAAAGAACAGTTAATATCTGATCTCGTTTCTTTAATGTTAATCAAATGGAAAACATATATTAATCAGTAATAATAAATATTAATAAATTTTGTTTATTATTTAAAATACTTCAAATATTTTCTAACTAATATTTATTATTTCTACTTATATTAAGAAGACTTCTACTTTGAAATAAGCAAACAAAGCGTTTATTAATATTATTTTACTTAAACAACATTTTCAAAATTTATTAATTTCAATAAAAAATATGACTAAAATTATACAACTTAAAAAATTAATTTTATAATTATTCGCAGCCAATAATTTAAGTTAGTTGGTAACACTACAAAAATGGTGGTGAAAAAAACATGTAAAATAAAATTTAGACAAAGAATTTTAGAACTAATTTGTTAATTTTAGATTATTTTATTTTCAATTGTTATTGTCTCCATGATCATGTCCAGAAACACTTTGTGTTCCAATCTTTGCTTAATCTGCACAATTATCATTTATACAATTATAGAAAGGCAAAGCACTTTTCAAGTTTTAATTTTCATTAATATTAAGTTTAAAGCAATCTATTATATTTAGTCCATTTTAAGAAGGAGGACATTTTTTGAGCAGTTAAAAACAGTTATCATCACCACTGCAATCTTAAATGAAATTTCTACAGTTTTTCAACAAACAAAATTGAAGCTATAGCTATGGAGAATCAGGTAAAGTAGGAGGACCGCTTCTCTATCCACCTTAATGCTAAAAGTGACCTTAACGATCTGAATTCTAGTTCATTTACCCAAATGAAACGGCTAAAAATAAGCAAATTAATATAATGTTTTTCATGATTTTCATTATTTATTTCTTTTTTTGTAGTTAATAATTTTTATTGTTTTTTAAAATTTTCAAACAAAAAAGCTGACTTTAGACTAATGTCTTATGGCTTAATATTCATTCAATAATTCTGGCTAATTATTGATTCATCAAAACAAATAATTAAAATTAAGTAGCAAAATCTCATGAAAACTTAATTAAAATAAATTCAAGTAAAGCATCTTCTGAAAAATGTTCTGTTATTTTATAATAATTGAAGCTAAGCTATATATAGGTATGCAAAGTGTGAAGCATACTTTTTTTTTCAAAAAAACTATGGAAAAGAAAAAATTTTAATTAGTATTTATTTATTTATTTTACAGTCGATCAAAATTGTCTTTTAAATCTATAAATTAAGAGACAATTAGACTTAAATATTGGATAAATTTATTAATTTTATTCTATATAATCAAAATAAAAATACACTCCAAGATATTTTATAAAAACCTATATTTTGTGAGAAAAAGTTCAACAAATTTATTTTCCTAATTATTTTATTATCAAGAATTAATTGAATTATAAATAACAATAAAAAAAGGATAAATAACAAAGGGATAAAGAGTTTTGTTTATAAAAGATTCTATGAAAGAATTAAACATTATACTTTTATATTAAATTTTTGTATTTTGATTTTAATTTAAATTAGAATAGATTAATTTAGTCACCTATGAAATATTTTCATTTAAAATTCTTTAATTTATATAAATATAAAGTTCTATATATGCATATTTTTTTTACATCCAATTAAAATAAGTTTTTTTTATTATTCATTTGTTATGTTCAATTATCAGAGTTTTCATCATGACATTAGGTGATTTAGTTAGCATAAAGACTGTTTGATTATTATAGACATTCAATAACAGAGATGTCGTCTTTAGATTCACAATCATTGAGTAATCTGTAACAAACTCTATCTTAGATGCAAGTGTTCAATTGTACAGAGCAAAATCTCTAAATGATGTCAAGCTAGTTAAGATTTTTAGCTTTTTCATTATGGCATTTAGTGATTTCTTAAGCATAAAAGCTATTGCATTATTGTAGGCAATCAACAATGGTGATGTCATTCTGATTTTAGCATTTTGATATAGCTTAAGAACAAGCCTTGTTGTTAGTACAATTTTTCAATTATTCAGAGCAGTATTTCTTAATAATCTCTAGCTATCCAACATTTTTGGTTTAAATAAAGGAGGCACAGGCGAAGACAACAATAGCAACAAGGATTATATTTTATTTTTTCATTTTTTCTTTTTCTTTTTTACTAATTTGTTATTTTTGATTTGTTTTTAGAATTATATTATTCAATACTAGCTAATGATACTTATAATTAATTGCTAAAGAGTCAAAGAACTATTGAATAATTGTGTTGATAAATTGGATGCTACATTACTTATGAAAGAATATTTCTCATAATAATAACAAAAGTCAATGCAAATATATAAAATTTATAAAAAACTTGAAATAAAGTAGTGATTACTATTTTTAATTAATAATGTCATTAAGTCTTAAAAATTTTATTTTTGTAAATAATTAGTAGAAGAAATAATCAATCAATCAAACTTAATTTATTAATTAGAAATAAAATTTGAAATTATGAAGACAGATTTGATGATACAGCAATTCGAGAAGTAAAAGAAAAAGTCTGAATTATGCGAAAAGTATTTTTAGAATATAAGAGAGAGATTAATATATAGTTCGGAACTCACAAAATATGAAATCAAGCACAGAGAGATGATTGTTATTTAAAAGTCTTTTTTTTAGGAATGGAGGATTGATGAAATAGGAACACTTTCTGGCCGTTGTGTCGGAGAGTTTTCAGAGATCAAAAAAGATTTAGAAGAAGAAGGAAAACAAGGAAGTGAAGAAGCATAAGAGATTTTGGATGAGTTTATCAAAACATTAAAATGTAAGACAATAAGTAGCAATAAGACTAAAAACGAAATGGAAGATATCATAGAGACATTTGATTAAGAAGGAGAGTTTGAAATTACAGAAGCTTTTTCTGAATAGGAAAGACATATGTATTTTGAAATAAAAGAATTGTTACAGAAAGATATTTACAGCACTATTTTACAGTATCATGAGAATCTGTAGGCAGAATTTTTAATACTTTTAGAAAAGTAAATAATATCAAACGACACAGATGTAGAGCAAGTAATTTTTTAAATCTATGAATTTAACTGATAAATTTAAATTGAGTATTTGTTGTTTGTTGAGGAAATTAGAATGAAAATATTAAAAGCACTAAAAAAATTTTGAATGAACTTGATTAAAAATAATTTTTAAGAAAAATAAAAAATTATTTGGAAATAATTAATATAAATTGAGCTTGTTGATAAAAGCACTAAAAATTAATGAATTATCTATCAACAATACTTTATTTAAATTAATAAAAATACAGGTGTTTTAAATTTATTTAAAACCAATCTTGAAATACAAAGTCCACAAAAGAAACTCCTTGGAAATGGAAACTCTTATCTCATACCTCTTTAGCATTATACCTTAAGAGAATTTTGTAATAGAATCAGATTAAATCATCGATCCTCGAGAGCACATACCGTTTTTGACTTAGATTTTTGAAGAGAATAACATTAATGAAATTTAACTTTTAAGAACTAAAGATATTAAGCTTTTTTGGGATGATATTTAGAAACAGTTTAATGTTTCAGTGGACTATAATGTAAAACAAAAGCAACCTCTTCCAATTTAAAAAGGAGAAATAGCACATAATGTGAAAGCCAGTTTTGAAGAATACTTATTTGATTTGAATAACTCTTAAAATAAAAACATTAACTGCTTTTAGAATTTATTACAAAGTGGACTTAAAGTAGAGCTCCAACAAGGAGAGGCATTCGATCCTGAAAAAATATAGCTTCAAATAAACCCTATTATTAAAGAAACAGCAAACTATCTAAATCTAAGTAAAATCTCAGAATAATCAATTAGAGTGCTAAAGAAAAATAATCCAAACTAGATACTAGCAATACTCTTTATCAATCACAAGTAAATAATCTTAATTTAATAAATTTTCTTCTTTACTAATAATCATGATTTCAAATATTTTTATTTAAAAAAATATATTTGAAGCTAAGTACATTTATTTATTTATTTGGTTTATAATTTATTTTTATTATGAAATATTTTTTATTAAAATTATGATGCAATTTACTAAAATAAACAGGCAGATATTTTAATAAGTTTTATTTCGAAAATTTTGTTATTTTATAGTTTCATTTATTTTTTCAATTTCACCTTTCTTTTAATCAATGAAGCTTCAATGTTTTAACTTAGAAATAAATAAATATATTAAACCAATTTATTTTCTATTTGTTTTTTTTAAACTTGTTTGATTAAAATCATATTTTAAATTTTTTCTAAAAATTATTTTTTTTTGCTTTTTAAACAAGTTTTATTTTTATTTAGAAAGAAATTATCTCTTAAAGCTCTTAAAGACATATTTGAAATAAAAAAAAAACATCAGGTAAAACATGATCATCAAATACTTTAGCTAAAAGTTTATTATAAAAAATAGAATTTAAATGTCTGTGTTTTGGATGTCGAAGAAAGTGATTTAGATTTTATAAATTAGATTAAAATACAGTAGTATGACAAGGAAATGGAATTCTACTACTGTGATTATTCTGTCTAAATTTAGTTAGTTAGCATTTTCCCTTAAGAATATTATCCTGCTATTATGATTATTGATGGACACAACCAAATTATAGCAAAGGAGCAATTTTACTGCAAAAATTGGTAATCAAACATAAAAAATGATAATGATTTAATTAAGTAAGCAAAAGGACTAAGTCTAACATAGAAAAACAATGAAGGAAACTAAAGCGTTTATGATTAAATTTATAAATAAATTAAAGAAAAATTTTTGAAGGATCCTAAAAAAAAGGTTACTCTGTTTAACTGTGGAATGAATTTGAAACAATTAGGTTACCCCGTTTCCTTAGAGCTTTGCATTTCAAATTAGCATATTTTAGATTGGGAAGGTACATTCAAACAAAAGATATACAATTAGCCTTACATTTAGCATAATATAAGTTAATAGCATATTCAATATATTTAACCTGTCCTTGATCTCATATTTACTCATGCACCATAAGAGAAATTTATAAAGAGAGTTTGTGATTATGAGTTGAAAAGAGGTTCTGTTTGCAAAATTTGCAATCATGCTTTCGTTCCTGAGAAAGAAGAAAATCAATACTTTTCATTTAATAAAAACGAATACTACTGTGAAAAATGCTTCAACAATGAATCCAATAAGCATTTCTTCTTCAAAAATATTGTTTTCATTCATTTTCAAGCTGTTATGCAAAACTTTAATTCAGATTAGTTTGGTTTGAATAATTAACCCGAATTGATAGACCCTCCCTTAAACGATTAAAAAAGCATAGCTTAATTTGAATAATCATAAGAAGATACTCACGAAAAAATTGAATGTATTGGATGCGATTAAGTAATTTAGGGCAGAAGATGGATATGCCTTTCTTGTGATAGAAGTAGGGAAAGCGATTAATTTAAGAATTAGATAAATTTGTGTGAATTCTGCTAAAATTTAATGAAACAAAAGAGAAAAGAAGAAAGGATTTCAGAAAAAATGTTTAAACATTCAGATAAGCTTCTAAAAATAGAGTCTCAATACCATGAATGTCACCATATTACATTAGGTGTTAGCTTTTTTTATGGAAAGAATGTTTTCTGAAATAAAATATCAATAAATAAACATATAATACTTATATTTTTTTTTAATTTACTTTTGGAAATTAATAAATAATTCTATAAATAAATAAATATTCTATGATAATAAAATAAATTTTAATTAATTTCATTTTAATTTATTATTTTTAAAAAGTTTTTTTTCTCTTAGATATACTATGAAAAATTTAATTTTAAATATTACAACTGATTAATTTTTTGTTAAATATCTATCTAATTAGTTAATTAATTAATTCACTAAATTAAATGATTTATAATAAATAACTCAATAATATAATATTGTTTAGAAAGTTGTTTCAATATAAATAAATCATCAATCAACTTAAAAAGTAAAGATTTTATCATTAAGAACGTAAATTTACTAATGGCATCTAACTAGATTTAACAAGAAAAGAAAGGCTAAAAAAAGGAAAGAACATAGGCATAAGCAGTAATTGAATTAATTAAAAGCACATTTTATTTATAATGATAAACTCATTATCATTTAGATGATAATTTGATAGTTTTGGTATAAAATTTATTAAATATTAGAAAGTTGAACTTTTTGCAGAAGTAGAAAAAGCTAAAGCACTCTTAATAGAAGGTGAAAATGAAGTAATTATAAATTAGCTAAAATGTATAATTATTTATATTATTAATTATAATTTAGTAAGCAATTGAAGATGCTTAAAGGGCTATTATAGACTTGAAAGAAGTAAATATTTTACAAAATATGCTAATCTTTAAACTTATTTTTAAAGGATTTAGGAGGTGAAAACTCTGTATTGCTTTTACCAGGGTATTTTATTCTTGCTGAGGCTTACATAGGTAGGCTTTTTTAATTTAAACATAATAAAATGTAATTTTATTTCATGTATTTTTGTAGCTGAAGGAAAGCTTAAGAAAGCAGAAGAATTTCTAATTGCTGCTTATTGGAACTTTTCAAAGTATAATAAAAAGCTTGAAAAAAGAGATGAGCAATTTGGATAAGATGATAAGCGTAGAGATGATGTTGAAATTATTAATGAAGAGTAAACATTTATTAATTGATTGATTGTTTAATAAAAATACTTTTTTATTGAAGTGAAGCTGTACACTATAGGGCAACTCTTCATAAAACTTTTTCAAAGCTATTTTTAGGATAAAAGGAATATGTGAAAGCTTTAGATGAACTCAAAAGTGGTGTAAATATTTTTTCTTATTTCTCAAAAATAGAATTATAAAATGAAATTTTATAATAAAAAGATTTATATGGATAGCATGAAGTATGGTCCTGAGCATATAATTACTAGTATTAACTATTTTTCTATGGGAAATATATTTTTGCAAAAAAAGCAAATAGCTGAAGGAGAAGCTTTTTATGGAAAGGTATAATTAATTCTTTTGCTAAATAAGTTTTAATTTTAAAATAAATAATTATTACAACAGACTGCTGAAATTTGGTACAATTATTTCAAGGTATATTTCAAAAGAGTAGATCTAGCTGAAGGAAATAATGAAGCTTAAAATCCAGGTAAGTTACATACTAATATAATTAAGATCATTATATTTTAAATAAATAATAGATGATATGCTTGTAAAGGAAGCCTGTGACATTTTGCAGACCATACAAAGTAGATTTAAAAATGATATATAAAAAATATTTAATAAGAACATAAAAATAGTTTATTTTGAAGAAAGATACTAGGATGAGGAGAGAAAAGCTGTATTTGTACCTTTACTAAACTCATATAGAGCCCTTGCATTAATTTTTAGATATGCTGACCAAGAAGATAGATATAAAAGATACATTAATAATGCATACTAAGAGTGTTTAAGAGTAAAAGGTCCTAACCATAAGAAGACCAAAAAATTATTAGAAATGCTTGACATGACAAAAGAATATTAAGATTGATTGGTTGATTTTAAAATTAAAAATAATTAATTAATTTATATGAAACAGAAAATAAACATTATACAAAATAATAAATAAATAAATGAGAACGAACTTACTAAATAATAATTATTATAATTTATTAATATAAAACTAATTTTTATGTTTTTTTTTCTTCAAGTTTGTATGTAAAATTAATTTTTACTTAATAAAGAGAATATCATTCATTCATTGGTTAGCCTTATGAAAATATGTTGGTACCCTATGACCCACAAAATATTTCTAAAATTTTTAGCCATAACTTTCTTGCACTAGTGGAGTGTTTTAAGAAACAAGCAAATTTCTGATTTAATTTAAATTTTTATTTATTTTTGAATCCTCTTCTATTTTTTATTCTATTGACTTTTTTCGGTCTTTTTAAAAAACTTTTATGGGATTGAAAGCTTAGTAATTTTAATTAATCATTAAGTTCTTGCTCTTTTTAACCAATGCGCTATTATAGTTCTAGGCAATATCTGAAATAGAGTTTAGTATTTGGGCAGAGCTATTTGATTAGTTCATCTTGCTTTATTGGAATTTAGGAGATATTTCAAGATTAGCTTTCTATCTAATATTTAAAGGAGATGATTCCATATAACTATTTTATGTGTGCAATATTTCTTTTCTTGGTGTCTGGTTATTTGAGTTATTTACAACTTAATAGCTAGCTGATTTTCCAATCATGTTATTATTTTCAAAGCGTTTATACCCATTCTTATTGTACCTCTAAATTTTATAATATGACAAGTCTTTTTCGACAAATCTATCTTCTCTATATGGATCATCGTATGATTTTTGAATTTCTTACTTTATCTTAGGTAACATAAAATCAGATTTTTTTAAAGTAGATATTTTTTAAATATTCATTCCTTTTGAAGAATTCCTCTACAAGGTATTTAATCCATCTAGAGACCCCTAAAAAATATTACCCGAACTATTTGATGTATTTAAAATCATTTCTTTTCTTTAAATTTGAAATGATAGATTTTCTAAAAAGAATTATTAATTTTTTTTATGATGATTTATATATAAAATTCACTCTTATTAAATTTGATAAAAAACAGTTTTTGGTGTTAGATTTAAATTGCTTTTAATAATAAAATTGATTGAATTGTGTTTTTCAACATTTTACTGATTATATTAAGCGCAATTAAAAAATGATTGGCTTTTATGGTTTTTTATTGAGTGTATTTAAATTATTTAATTATTTAATCTAATATTTTTTTTTCTTACAAACACTTGTTCTGTTATTTTATCAAAAATGAATTATCTTTTATTTTAAAATTTTATTAAGTTAAATATTTTTTAAAAATATCTAATTAAGTTAATTTATAAAATAAAATAATTCGTGAATAATAAAAAATACTTAATATGAATAAAAATTTAGCAAAGGAAAAAATAAGTTTGTAAATAAATAATTATTATACAAGATTTGTCATTTACTTAAACATAAAAAATTAGAAATCTGAAATTTAATTACTGAAAGCAATTTTTTAATGCAGCTAGGGTTATTTTAATAAAGTTCTAGATTTTTTCCAAAATTATCTAATTAAAGATAGACTAGTGCTACTATAACCAAAGAATATTTAACCAAATTTATAAGAATGTTCTTTTATACTTTTTAAAGTATAAACAATACTAAATATAATAATAATAAACTAAAATACAATTACAATTACAAAAAAAATCTTAATATAAAGAAGTAAATTAAAAAAAAATGAAGTTTTTAACATAAGAAGAAGTGACAAAACTCTATTCCCTTATATAATTAGAACCTTTAAAGGAAAATTAATGCAAATTATAGTTTCTGTAAACAGCTATAGCAAAATATTAAGAGCATATTCCATTTTAGAATATATTTCTTTTATCGACTCCAGTTGACCAAAGAAGACCTTTAACTTTTGATGAAATTAAAAACTTAGTTTTAAGTGGCCAAGGAGGATTTTGTCAAGTAATGAATGTCTTTTTTAATAGTTTCTTATAAACTCTAGGGTACGAATCATATATATTAAATAGCTCATATGCTAAAATACCTGATAACCATGTAGTAATATTGGTTAAAAATGTACTAAATTAAGGTGATTCGTATTTAGTTGACGTTGGATCTGGATATTTTTAATACGCTATTGATTTAAATTTCGAAGATAAAAGCCCTGTATACAATTTTCTTTACACTAAGTGCTTCCTGTAATGGGATTAAAATAAAAAAGATATAATTTTATATCATATAAATAGAAATGATGAATCTAATCATATCTATTCATTTAATTTGACACCTATTAAAGAATTTCACAATCTTTCATTCCAAAATCATATTTACACAAATCCTAATGTTACTCCGTTTCATAATATTTTGAGGATTTTAAGGTTCCCTTAAAGTGGAGCCATTTGTATAGTTGATAAAGCTCTATTAAAAGAAAATGATCAGCATAGATTAAAACCTGAAATTAGTTAATTTATTGATGACGAAGAATATTTAAACACAGTTAAGTAACATTTCAAAAATTTAGATCTTAATTAATGCTAAATAGCATATAATTCGTTATTCAAAAACATCTGAGCTAACAAAAACATATCTAAATTAATTAATATTTATTTATGTTTTTTTTGTGAAAATTTAAATTAAAATATTTTTGTTTTATAAATAGATTTTGCATTAAATTTCATTTCTTAGGTTTTATTTAATCATAAATTACCAACTGTTAAGAATTTACTTTAACAAACAATATTTCCTAGCAGCTAGTTATTTTATAAGTTATCAAAGTTACTAAATTTGTCTGTATTATTTTTTTTTGGTTCTATCATTCATTTTATTATTGATAGATGATAGCTATATTCTACAAAAAATAAGCTTATATCAAAAATTATCTCATTAAGATTTTGTATAATTTAATTATTTTTACTTGAATAATTTTTGAGGTTAACAGAATTAAAAAAATGATGCAATTAGCAGACTTGGATATAGAACAAAAGATTGGTGAGAGTTCAAAAGTTTTAAAATAGTTTGAAGATGATATCAACCTGAAGTTGATTAAAATGGCAAAAGAAGCTAATGGTAAAAATGCATCAATCAATAAAGTAATATTAAAATAAAAATATATTATAGAGGCATTGCAAATATAAGAACAAGAAGCTAAATTTAAACTTTAAGAAATGTAGTAAGAGGTAGGTAACTTTTTAGCAGATTTGATAGATATAGTTAACAATAAAATAAGCTTAATAGATAGGATTCTATACAGACATATTTAGTGAAGCAAGCAAGTAATTAGGAAGTTGAAAAAGATCCTGAAGTAACTTCCTATTAGATTAAAATTACAAATAAGATGAAGAAAATTATATTTTAAATAGTATATGAGGTATAAAAAGAAGTTAGATAATTTACTCAGCGAGTTTCAAACTATATCGTAAGATGAAAGATAAAGCGAATTAATGAATTTATAGCACACTTAAACGTTTTAAAATGTCACAACAGACAAATAAATATATGAATAATTATCATCATAAGCAAATTAGCATCATAATCATACATAAAATCCTTTAAGTTTACGCGATAGGTAATACAGTTTTAATAAATCAATAATATCAACAACGTAAAGAAATAATTACGAAGATCTTTAGGGTTGGAATGCAAACGATAACTAAAAACTTTGCAGTGCAATTTGCAGCAGTAACGATCTTAGCTAAAATTAGTTATAAATTCCCTCAGGAATAGGAAATAAATTTCAAAAAACAAGTAAGTTTAGTTAAAAGCAAAAGAGCGTACTTTAAAATGAAACATTAAATGATGATTAAAGATAAAATACATAAACAAACATGAAATTATATATAGCTTTTCCTGATGATCAAATTTCAAATCCAGAATACCTAAACTATGATTTGAAAACCAGGTTCAAAATGTAATTATATAGAGTAGCAGAATGCTTTTTAGTTATTATTATAGTTGTCATTATCTTTATGATTTACTAGTTTTATATTAAATGAATTTAAATTATACTTAAATGTTTTTAATTGTACTTTCTTATATTTATTATAAACAAAACAAAATCTATTCGAATAGACTAGCATAGTTCTAAAATTAATTACTCTTGAACTGAAGTATTTCTTTAAAGATGTAGCTTTAGTTTGAAATTTATATTTATTTATTTATGAAAGTTTTTAAAAAGCATATTTAAGAAAAAATTGAAATAGTATTTTAAAGATTTTTTTATTTAAATTTTGATATTATCAAATATTTATTTAAAATTAGTAATTATCAAATCAAGCTTTAATTTTTTTCAACAAATTTAATGTTAAAAGCTCTGTAGAGTAAAATTCACTCAGTTTAAAATTTAAGTTGTTTGAATTAATTATGTTAATATGTAAATATAAGAGTATATATGGGAAGCTTAATAGATTATATTTTCATAATTTTTAATTAAATATTAAATCAAAATAAATAGATTATTGAAAATAAAATGGATCCAAAATTTGAAATATAGCTCAGAGCTTAAGAGTAAGATTTATAGGAATAAAATTTCTTCAATTTGGATATAAATGATCAATAGAAAATTAAGGAAGGGATGGTAAAGGTTATTGCTTCTGCATATATTAGGTTTAAAATGGCTTTTAGAGCTTGTTGCTGGAAAGGGTACAGCGATAATGATATCTATATTTAATAGAATTTACAAAAAGGCATCGCTGAACACTAAAATAAAGTAAAAAGAATAAAAAAAAAGGTATAGAATTTTTTTCAGTCTGAGATGTCTATTGAGCCTCACTAATTTGTGGTTTAAATACTTAAAAACAGAGATTAAGTTTATTCAGGTGGTATTTTCTAACATGTAAACTCATATGTGCAAATAAACGAATCTATAAAAGATGAAAAAACAAAATATCTCTACAGAGATGTTGAAAATATAGGTTTGAAAAAATCTGACCAAGTAAATCACTAAGAGAGTTAGCAAGCTAAGCAATTAAAAGGTTAGCTTACTTTTTTGGAAAAAAAAAAATTAATTTGTTTTTATTTAATCAAAAAAAAGAAAATTAGAAAAAAATTCTTTAATCAATAAGTTCTACTTACATTACTAAATACACAGAATTACTTCTCAAATGCATAATTAAAGACATCCAGTATTATTATGGGTATAATTTTCGGGTTCTCAAAATTTTTTAAATCGAATTTGCTAAAAACTCTGACTTCAGAATTCCTCATATTTGGTGGAGCGCATTTTAAGATAGATATAGGATGCTAATTGAATTTAAGAGAAATGAACATGAAAAAAAAAAAAAATTTAAACTAAATGTTTTTAAGAACAATTATTTTCTCTGTCCTATTTGCATTCAGTATAACTGTATGATCCACAAAAGCTGTAACGATATCCACTATCTTAAAAATGATAATTGGACACCACTCTTTGATAAAAACATTCCAAAACACTAATTGCATATTGATAAAATCAAAGATTTTTTAACAATGTATAATGGAACTAATTATGCACATAAATTTATGTGTAAAGATCATGAATTTTGTTTTAGGAATCAACTGAATAAAAATAAATAAGATTTGATTTCAGTATAATAGCATAAATTTAATTGCCTGAATAAAAGGTGGATAAACATGCTTCTTTACTTTGCAGATTGCTTTACATTTTAAAATCCTTGCTTTTTGACTATCATCATTAACATGAGCACTTCTAATGATGTAATTATTATTTTTATACCACTTATATTTATTAATTAAGTGAATATTTTTCAATTAGGATCTCAAATTTTAGTGTAAGGATATTTATCAGTACTTAAAAAGTGTTAGACCTCAATATTACAGCTTAGAAAGAATACAAAATGAGATAAATGCCTTTATTTAATCTAGAGAAAAGGAGTATTTAAAATTGTTAAGCAAAGACTCAGAAAATATTTTGGATGACAAATATATTTAAAAACACTTCTATCATATCCCTGACTAGAAATAAGAAATATTGAATTAATTGAAAGAGTTAAGCGAGATGCTCAAATGCAATTACACTCCTTGCTTTCATACAGGTGTGTGTGATGGAGAAAATGGATGCCGTTGCTATAGAAATAGAGATCTTATTGAAAAAATGTAAAAGAGAATTGATAAGTTAAAACATATTTAAAAGAAAGAAAAAAAGCACACAAAGAAGGTATTAGAGCTTTCTTTTGACAATAATTCTATAGATAGTAATGAAGAAGATGATGATGAGGAATCTAGTGATCTTTAATATATGACTTATTAAGAGATTATTAGCAAATTTTTGCATGAATGTGAAAGATTTTGTGGATGCCCTAATTACTGTAGATCAAAAAATAAGTAAAAATTTTTTAAATATTTGAAATAAAATACTTAAATTCATTCTTAGGAAATTAGGTTGTAATTGCTTAAATGATATGACATGCCAAACTGATAAAAATTGCTAATGCAGAAGTAAATTGAGAGAGTGCGACCCAGAAGTTTGTAGATGCTTCTGTAATAGGAATGCAAGAACAATATAAAAATTTGGACTCAATATTGATTACTGCACTAATTCTTAAGCCCTTTATAACTGTAAACCGCGAGTGCTTCTTGGTAAAAGTCTTGTTTGTGAAGGTCTGGGTCTTTTTGCTGGATAGGATTTTAAAAAGAACTAGTATATTGGATGCTATATAGGAGAGATCATAAATGAAAAATAAGGAACAGAAAGACAAGAAGTCTAACAGTAACTATTATTTATTAAAAATAAATAAATAATTTTAATTTTATTTATTATTTACTAGGCCTTAAGGGATTAGTTATTTATTTATGCTTAATAAGGAGACAGATGTGGACAGTTTTAGATATGGAAATAAAATGAGATATGTAAATCATAATTGTGGTAGTATGGCGAATTGCAAAGTTGATGTCATTTATAACAGAGGCATCAATATAGTTAGATTCAGTGCTAAGGAAGATATTTAAAAAGGACAAGAAATATATTTCGATTATAATAGAAATTATCAAATTGAATGGATGAAATATTTTAACGAGTACTATGATAAGTTTGAATAAGAAGAAAAGAAATAGCAAGTCTAAAAAAAAATAATATCTAAATTTATAAAGAACTGAGTGACTGATAGACTGACAAGTATTAGGAATTCAATTAATCAAAACACAGAAAAAACAAGAAAAAAATAGCTATTACGATTTTTAAAAACTATAAAAAATAATCAATCTAATAATTTATAAACCAAATTAGAATTTATCAAAATGTAACCATAAAAAAATAAAAAATTTTATGTAAAAAAAATTATTATTTTATAAAAAATAAATTTAAACAGAGCATATATTTGTTAAAAATAATTATTTTATAAAAACTTAATTTGAACAGAGCATATATTTGTTAGAAATAATTTCAATTTAAGATATTTTTTTAAATTAAAAATTGTTTGAAAAAAAAATAAAAATTAGATACTACTTTAAGTCATATTAACAATTGCACAGAAAGTAAATAAATAAATAAATAAATAAATAAATAAATAAATAAATAAATAAATCTAAAATTAATTAAATAATTTAGTTAGTAATAAATTAAGTTTAGAAACACATTAAATTAATAAAGTACAATTGACTGCATTGAAAGCTATTTTTTTAATTTAAATATTTTTTTCATTAATCTTTGATAAACAATATTGGATATCCATTAAAATTATTTGCCAAACAATATGTGTCCCCTTTTTTTATTAGTTAATCTTCACTTATTTTGAAAATATAGATTGATTATTCAGCACAGCTTTCTTTAATTTCTTTTATTTAAAATTCGTTACTTAAAAAGACTGAATGGTAAAATTTAGTCTAGCTATATTGAGGTAAATTTTGTTATTGATTGAACTAATAAACCTTTGCATCTGGAGATAGTTTTTATATGTATTTTTAGATTTCTTAATCTAGCTTATTTAAATCTTATTTTTATAATTCTTACTTATTTTTTTAAAAAAATTGCTTAATTTCTGCTTAGCGTTTGCTTTCCATTTTTTCATTATTTTCACCTGATGATTGATGCTAAATCTTATTTATTTCGTTTGTTTAAAAATAATTACTTAAATTATTATCTTTTTTTGGTTAATTGCTTTAGCCTTATAATAAATTATTGTCAAATTAAAATTTTTAATTTGTTGCTATATTTTAAAATTAATTTACTTAAAATTAAGAACCTGAATTATTTTAATTTGTGTCATAATTTTGTTAATTTGTTTAGTTATAGCTTTGATCAAATTTTTAAATAGCTTAAAATTTTTGATCACTTGCATTTTAATTCATATTATTACATAGAATCATCTCTCTTTATTCTCTTTAGAGCTATTCTTGACTATTTTTTCGAGGCATTTTATTATACTTTCTTCTTTAATTTTTCTACTCTGCTTCTTCAAAGTCTTATTATTATATAAAATTATTTTTTATTTATGCATTAAAACCTTAATTTATTTAAACTTCCCTATTATTAATTTCTAATAAACTTTATTCGTTATTTATAAATTGGCTTTATATATCAGAAGTATCATTATTATTATTTTTATTATCATTATTATTATTATTATTATTATCTATCTGGCTATTTTTTTTATATATCTGGTTATTATAGTTATCTTTTTGACTATTTAATGGGTATTATTAGCATTTTTCTGGTTATTTTTGATAACTTTATGGTAATTGTGGAGTTAATTTTTATTGCTGTGGAGTTCTTTATCCACCATCATTATTTTATACACATTATTATTATTATTATTATTAAAATAGATTAAATATTACTTATTCTTATTGCTATTACATATTTTATTGCTAAAGTTATTAGGAATTTTTTTTTTGAATATTATTAAGAGATGGATCTGAAAGAATGTTAATATTTTTTTTTTTGAGAGGTTTTAATTAATTGTTTGTATTCTCTAAGTATCTTCCCTTTCCATTCTTGAAAGCATCAAAATTCATTTATCTTTCTTTCATCTAATTTTATATTTTGCTCAACGCTTTATTATATTTCTTCTAAAATGGCATATTTTCAAAGCCTAGCTAAATATTTTTTATCTTTTTCTATAAATCCTGTTTTTCTAAATTTATATTAATTTTTTCAAAATTATTATTATTATTCAACTCAAAGTCTTATTTTTAAATGACAACTTCAATAATATGATTTTTGTTTTATTCAATAATTTCATTTAAAAATGCAAGATGATTTATATTAGTTAGAAACAAAACAACAAAATTTTTATCAGTTTTTTCTTTAACAAAATAATTTATTTTTGGTAGATCATTTATTTCTTGGCTGGAAGATATGCACCAAAATACTTTTTTACTAAAATATTCCCATATATTTTTGTAATATTAAGAAAATTAGTCATCATAATTCATAGTAAAACCTTGTTTATGTCTTATTGTTTGGATATAAATCTAGTTTATTTCGTATATAATTTTTGGATCATATTTTTTCTTATTAAGGATGTCTATTCTCATAAAAGCTAAATATTTTCTGTACTTTTGGTCTTAATATTCTTTTGAGTTAATATCTGTTGTAAGACTGAGAGTGTATATTTTGACAAGTTTACTTTATAGAATATATTCAAAAGCCTCCTTAAACTATGAACCATTTTACCCATAAATTATAAAATAAAATTATCTATTATCACTTTAAGTAAAATCTTTAATTCTAAAGTTAATATCAAAAGCAAAGTTAACTTTAAATTATTAGCATAACTCTGTTTACAATTTTGTACTGTTTCTTAGCTGCAGATATTAATTTCTGGGTAAATAAAACAAAAATTAGTATAAGGTTTCATAAATTGATTGAATATGCTCTTTTATCTTTTATATTTCACTTGGGTTTTTATTTTTCACTTCTAAATATAATTTATGTACATTTTATATTTCCTTATTAGGCTTTAATATTTTAAATCTTTTATCTACATTAATAGCAAAATAGCTATTTAGCACTAAAGCATCATAATAAGATTTCACATTTATTTCGATTTTATTGCTTTAAAATTCCTCATTAACTTTAGGATTTTTGAATATTAAAGATTCATCATTTGAATCATTTTAAAGTTCTGCTGTTTCATCATAAATTTTCGATTCTATTTTATAAATTATAAACTAAAATATAATCATTTTACCAAATCATTTAAAATTTACGCAGCAGCGCTTGTTCATTAATAGAGTCATCATCTTATTCGTTCCCTTCGGATGATACTAGTTCTTAATCTTCTTCTTCTTCATATTCAGATTCGCTCTCATTATCTGTAGTTATACTGCTATCATTTGCATAAGGAGTACTTATTTTTGATTATTTTCTTTCAATGTCATCTAAAATTGCTTTTATTTACTAATAAATTTCTTCAGTGTTGCATATAAATTAGCACTCTATGTTTTCTTTAACAGCATTTTACTAAAATTTCTAAAATTTTTTTAAAACCTCAAGAGCTGTTAAACTACTATCTATGCTTATAACTCTTCCCACCATAGTACTTTATTTTTAAAAAGCTACTTTTAATTTTAAATTTGATTACTTAATTAATTTCTAATATCTAATTTTTTTACAAAATGCTGAGACTCCAAACCAATATTAAACTGTATATTTTGATACCTATATACATACATATATTAGAAAATAATACACTTTTTTTAAAAGTATTTTATATCAGCAAAAAAATTAAAAATTAAAAAAATGTAATGAAATTAATAAGGAAATATTAAAATTTTATTTATTTTTAGCATTTAAAATAAATTATCTAAGATTAAATTTTATAAAAATCAAATTAAATAGATTTATCTTAAAATATTTATTTTTTAATTGAAGTAATTATCTATCTATTTTAAAGGATTCTTCTGTTCTAAAATTTAAAAAAAAGTAATTGTATTGAACAAATATTTATTCCTTTTCATGTTTTATAAAACCATTTAATCAAATAAAGATTTAATAGAATTTTCTATTTTGTAAAATAAAAATATCAATTTAAGAAATAAAAAGTATTTTATTAATTTAAAAACTATTTATTACTTTTTATTTTTAATAGATACAAATAAATATATATATATTTTTTAATTAATTAATAACAGGAAAACTTTGAAATATTTAGCAATAAACACAGTTCATATCATCTTTGTATTTTTATTAATATTTGATGACTGCTTTTATAGAGTATCCTTATGCATTGGTTTTTTATAATAAATATCGTCTTTGTTTTTAATTATTGCATAAAATCTAGACTCCAAAGGTATTACTCCTTAAAATAGTTTTTCTACTTTTCTTTTTTAGTAGTTATTTAAAGATAAAACATTGTATAAAGGAGTATGCTCAATTTTACGGCTGTTGATTTCTTTAGCCCTTTTATTTCTTTCATCATCAATAACTATTTTTTTATTTAGTTATGTATTGATTTTTATTGATTAGAGTTGTTGTTTATATAAAAATAATACCTTTTTAATATTCTGGCATGTTCTTCCATATAGCATCCATATAATTTTCATCATTAGGATTTTTTTAAGTTGCTTCAACATTACCCTTCTATTTTATAATTTCATCTATTTTTATTTTTCTGTAATTGTTCATCATATAAAGTCTAAGAGGGTATTTAATTCCATTTTCCTTTTCAAAAAAAATTGATGTTTAGAATTTATTTTTATTTTTTAAATATTGATTTTACTTCTCTTATTTCATTACTTAGCTTTCTTCTCTGTTTAAGCTTTATATCCTACTAGTTAACTATTTTTTATATTCTATTTGAGTCTATTGTTTTATCCTCTAGCAAATCAGAAGCCTCAGCATAATTGATAATTGAAGACATGTTCAGGCTTTAATTATTTAGTGGATTTAGCTTTATATTATTTCTTTATTAGTTGGCTTATTTAATTTACTCAGCTATTTTTTACTAACTGCTTCTCTAATTTGAAGAGAAAAATCTTTACTTTTTATGTTCTTTCCTATTTTTATTAGAATAAAAATCCTCTTAAATACAAATGAAATAATTTTATGCTAAATAAATATTTTGAAAGTGAGATAAAAAGTATATTTTTTTATTTCAATATAAAATTACTTAAATTTAAAGTAAGCATTTTCTAAGTCATCTAGAAGTACTTTCCTTTAATCTTTAGTAATTTGATTAGGTTTAGGCAATAAAAATAAGCTCTCTCTTACTCTTCTGCTACTGCTTTGGTTTTAATTAAGAGCTTTATAATTACTAACATTTGGAGATTCAAGAAACTCCATCTCATTTTCAGGATTATTTTGGCTCATTTACTCATTTATATAGTAACTATTATGATATGTTTATTCGCTATTTTAGATATTTTAAGTATTTAATTTTGTTAAATCTAAAGAAAGTATTTTCTTTCTTTCTTAAGGCGTTAAAGCTTGTATATTAATATTCTTTTTTTCATTTTTATAAGTTGATTATATAGAGGGAAGACCTTAATTTTATTGTATCATGTATTATTATAAATTTTATAGTTTTGAGACATCTTTTATATTTTGTGTTTGACTAATATTTTATTCTCTAAGGCATTTTGGCAAGTATTTATTTACAGGATCATATTCCTCAGGAACAAAATAATCATTCTAACTACTACTATTAAAGTCATAAGATCTATTTACTTTTTTAAGTTATTCTTTGTCTTAAGCTTTCATCAAATTAGCGCTATGCCTCTCGATAAATGTAGGTTAACCTGTTTCTAATTTGATAAAATAAAATATTAAGCTTATTTTACAGTTGTTAAAATAATTAGCAATATTATGAAGACCATTTAACAATAAAAAAGGATTTAATTTTTAATAAATGACTAACTTTTCCAAAACTATGTATTGCCAGCATTATTTTTTGATGATTCCAGTTAGTTCTAAGATATCATACATCAAACTCTAGAAAAAAGTAGAGCTTATAAATATTTAGTGATAAAATAATTTTGAAGATTGATAATAATCAAAGCAAATTTTAAGATAGCTGCCTCTATTTTAATTTTCTAAAAGAAAAATAAATTATGTTTGTTTGAATGAATGAATAAATAATAAACCAATGAATAATTTTTAACAAGATATTTAATAATGTTGTAATTTTTCAGCAATTGGATGGTTAAAACTAAAATTTATAAAGTATTTCTATATTAAGTATAATTCAATTTTTAGCAAGCAAAATAAATAAGTAAAAACATTTGTATAAATTAAAAAATAAATTTATAAATTATTTAAGGATAAAGTTTTTTTATTTTATCGTAATATCTCAGAATTATTTTTAATTACATCCCATTTTATGCATTTGACTATTTTTTAATTTGTCTATTATATAATATAATTAATAGTAAGATTGATTATAATTCAACACTTTTTAGATTATCATAAATAATAATACTTATTTATTAAATTATAAGAATTATTTATTTGCTTTCTTTATAAATTAATTAATTCAAAAATTTACTGATTTTCAAAATAATAATTTATATTAAAAAAAATTCTAACAAAACAAGATTTTTTATAAGCAGAAAGCTGTATAAAAAACAATAACATACACAACTTTGCAAATAAATAAAAATGTCTTCTCTTATGGAAAAAATAAGACATCGTTAAAATTAAAGGGCCAACAATAATATGCATACTAATGGGTTTGATTATCAAAATTAGTAATTAATTAACTAAGGATTTTGTGATCCAAAAGCTAATTATAAAGCTTTAACTAAATCTGAGGGAAATGTATAAATGGCTATCTAAATTCTTATGTAGAAGCAGCAAGATAAAAAACAAAAAGAGGACTTAAAATAAAAAAGAAATAATTTAATGGGAAGCTACTTTTAAGAAAAGAAAGACTTAAAAATAGCGTAAAAACTTTAAAAATATAAAATTGCACTTTAATTACTTCAACCAGCAATCTAAGAAAACAACTTAGGACCGAAAATTCAGCATTTTTGCTCTCTTGGATATGACAATCAAGCTAAAGTAGCTAAAATCTTATTAAAATATAATGGTGATTTGAATGAAACACTTAAACATATTGAAAAAAAATCTTTTTGGAATAAAAATAAATTTAAATTACCCTAGGAATCAGAATCGATTATAAATATTAATCAATCTAATTAACCTTAAAGCAATCCTAACCCTTAGCAATATTTTCCTCCTCAGCATTAATAGCCTACCTATTAAAATCCTTAATATTATCCTCCTCAATATTAATAGTAAAATGCTCCAAATTAATAAATTCTATCAAATATGACCTCTTCATATTAATAATAGTAATAATAATAGTTTAATTTTAACTATCCTACATAAAGTTAAATTTAGTAACAGTAAACAAATGATCAAAAAAATAATTATCCTAATTTGCTTCAACTATATTATCCTCAAAGCTCATAAGCTACTCCTAATTAATTGAGCTAATCGTAAGCTGCTTAGTCAAATTAAAACTAAATGAGCTAATTGTAGATGTAATAAAATTAAATTAACTCTTAAAGTGCTTGCTAGTAAGTAGATTCTGATGCTATGAGGCAAATGATATTTTCTAAATAAGATGAAATTAATTAGAGTTTACAAAAATAAACTCAAAATTAAGATAAAAATATTTAAATAAAAGATGAAGATGTTGAAATTTATATCTAAAAAAATTAATTTTTAATATAATAAGGATTCAAATAAGCATAAAAGAATATTAAAGCTTTAATTTAATGTAATGGAAACGAACATTAAGCTCTTAAAATTCTTCAACAACAAATGGTAAATAAATAATAAAACAAATTATAGAAAAAACAAATTAATAAAAATAATAATCAAAATTTTAATAGCTCCTCAAGCTCATCAGACTCTGATTGATATGAAAATATAAATTATATATGTATTTAATTCAAAATTTATATTTAAACATATTTAAAAATAAATATATTTTTTTATTAAGATAATTATAATAAACTTATGTGAGAAAAGAAAAACTATTTAAAAAAATACTTATACTCTAAATAAATAATTTTATTTCTTCTTAAACTTTGAAATTGGTTAAATCACAATCATTTATTTAATTTATGAAATCTGAAATTATATTAACTATTTAAATCAAGGTTATATTTTATACAAAGAATAATTTATGTTAGTTTGATTTTTATTCAATTCCAATAAGAATTTTTCTATTTCTTTCTAGCTTGAAAATAACTTTAAAAATTATTTTCTTGTGATTTTCATTAAAGAAAAAAAAATTAATTGAGTAATTTTTTGATAAATTATTATTTGAATTTTAAATATTTTAAACAATAAAATTTTTAATAAAAAATAATAATTTTAATGTTTTCACAAATCAAACAAATAATATTTGAATTCATTATTTAAATCTTAGAATAATTTAAAATTAATACATAAAATTGATTTTAATTATTAAGAATAAATTCTATTATAAATAAAATCTTTAATAAAATGTTTTTATAATTTATAAGGAAACTATTTGTTTAAGATTGACCATAATAATTATGATAAATGATGATAATTAATTATTAAACAAAATTCTAACTATTAGCTTAAAATTCAAGATATTAAAAATTAGCTAAAATTTATTATAATTAATTAATATCTTTCTGATGGTATTATAAATTAAATTTGAAATTAGCGCAAAAAAAATAAATAAATAAAAAATAAACAATTATTAGCAAGAGTTTATAAAATACTAATTTTTATGATTTCTCCTAGTGAGAGTTAAAAGACGTAGTAGTAAATACTACCAAATTTTGGCTTTTGCTAAGATAAATAAATATTTTAACACGATTTAAATGAAAATAATATTAATTAGTAACATTAGAAAATATTATCTAAAATTGAAGAGAAACCTAACATTAAATAAAACAAACATATATTAGAAAGAATGCATGATGAGCAAAGCCATGATGAAGAGCATGAACTCAGAGGTTATGAGTGGATATAGTCAACAAATGAAGAGGATTTTTAAATAATGAAAAATGTTTGTTATTTAGAATAATTTTTAGATATGTATGATGATCTCGAAGAAGAAGATTTTCTTCATCTTGATATACCATAGTTTATGCAATATTTAGAAAATTCAGAAAGTGAATCTGAGAGCATTTAATCAGATGAAGAAGAAATGGAAGATTAATTTGAAGATAATGACCTAATTTAAAATGTAAACACTCATAGATATAGTGAATCTAGACTATTAAACACAAATTTAAAAAATGAATGTAATAAGATTATTAAAAATAAATAAAGCATTTTAAGACCAATTTATTAATGCATTAATTAGAAGGAGTTAAGAAAACAGATGAATTTCAAAAGTTCGATTAACCAGCAAATAATGCTGAATCTACTATGAATGCTGAAGCTGTAGTTAAAAACAATAAAATCATTACAAATATGAAGAATAAAGGAAAAAATTAAATGAGCTAGAATAGCATAGATTCCCAAAGAGAAGATGACATTTACTCTTAAATTAATCAAAAAGGTAAGGCAAAAAGATACTAAAGCTCTCTAGCTCTACTTGCTTAAGAACAGTTTATTAGAATTTCAAAATATGGAGATATTGCATTAACATCTAACATTGCTAGAAAGAATCCTAAATCTGACGATTTTTATGATCAGGAAGATTCATTTATAGATGATGATTAGGTAGATACAGAATTAAAATAGCTTGCTATATGTGAAGCTGATTATGATGACTTTTTTATGGTAGAAGGTAATTTGTTTTTCTTATAAACAACAAACATTTATTATAAATATAATACTTTGAAATATTTAAAATCAATTATGAAATAGGTGGATTGTAAGATTTAGTTAAAAGTAGTGAGTTTAGAGAAAGACTTAAGGATATTTAAGAGTATAGAGATACTAAAAAAATAGAGAATCATCTCAAAACAGATAAAAAGGAAAAGCAACCAAATCCGAAAATAAAAATAAGCTCTGAAAATAGTAAAAACTTAAGTTTTAATGAAAAAAAATAATAAGGTCTTAATCTTCTAATGGACGCTGAGGATGAGGAAGATGATAAATAAATTAAAAAAAAGAAAAAAAATGCAGCTAAAAATAAAAAATAATTCGATTTACTCCATCTTAAATAACCCACATTTTAAGAAGAAATGCTTTAAAATGCTTAAAATACAAAAATTTAACCTGCTAAAACTTAACCAAATGAAAAGTTAACAAAAAATTATAAGAAATAGAATCAAAAAAGCACAAAGGACAGTTGTGAATAAATTTCAAATAATGAAATTGATTTAAAAAGCAAAGATATGGCTTAACAAGACACAAAAGCTAAAGCTGAAGGTGATAATACTAATAAAATTATTTGCTTATAAAATATAAATAATATTCACTAATAAAATTAATAAGCTGCTTATGATCAATAAATATCTCGTAAAAGAACAAAAAAATCCTCCAATCCCATTCCTGAAATCCCTGAAAAAATTGAAATAAGTAAATAATAAAGGAAAAAAAAGAGTACTTAGAAACCAAAGCAATCAGGAAATTAAGACGAAGATGAATTAGCTAAAGCAGTTATAGTAATTGATGATACTGATGAGGAATAATAAATTTAAAATTAAAAAAGAAATTCAACAACTATTGATAAATCTTAAGAAGTTAATTAAATATAATAAAAATAAAATATTGGATTTGCAGAAAACTAATCTACACCAGGAAAATTATAATAATAACTAAGCAATAGCAAACCAATAATTTAGATTAATGTTAGCTCATCAAAAAAATTAAATGAAAACTCAAACAATCAACCTCAACCAAAAGATAGGATCAGACTTGTTAAAGCATTAAAAATTAAACATACTTACTCTGATACAAGAGATACTGAAAATTATATAAAAACAAGAAGTTAGAGAAACGAATCTAAATCAGCTTCTCAATAAGACATTGATTCAGTAAGTGAAATGCTTCCTTCTACTAAAAATAATAAAACAGAGTAATATAAAAAAAATAATTAAAAATCGTTATAAAATTTAGAAAGTAACTCCATTTAATCATTATAAGACATGCAAATAAATAAAAAAAGAAATGCTAATTCTGTAGACCAAAAATAAATTTCTTATCTTAAAGATATCAAATAATCTGAAGAAATTTCATAATCAAAGGTAGCAAAAAGATCATTATCTTTAGTGAATAGTAAAGTATTTCTAGAAGAGCAACCATTAGAATTTAAAAGCAAAATTGATGAACAATAAAGCTAAAAATTAAAAAGAAAGATAATTAACCCTAAAAAAAAAGATTAATTAGATTCTGTTGACAATAAAAAAGAAAGCAGAAATAGTGGTAATTATAATAAAGACTAGTAAAAAACTGAAAATAATAATAATAATAGCACTAATGAAAATGATTCTATGATTAATAAATTGAAATAAAATTTAGATCAAGCAGAATAGAAAGTACAGAAAAGCAATAAAAGTAAAAAAGATAAAGATAAAAGCTAAGAAGCAGATGTTATGGTAAAATATTTATATTTTTAAGAATTTTATAATGATTTATGATAATAAACAATAAAGGTATTGTAAAAAAATATTACAAAAACTGATAAGAGAAAAAGAGACAAAGATATAGCTGAGGAGGCAAACATAATAGCTTAAAAAAGTGATAAAAGAATAAAAGAGTGAGTGAATTACTATCATTATTTAGAAATATTATTTTAAATAGAAAAAACCAAGTTAAGCTTTATAATAAAAATAAGATTAACTCTTATTTATCATAATAACAATCAAAACATAAAATGATTAAGATAAATATAAAATAAATAAATAAAAATTTTCAATTATTATGTTTTTCAATTAATAAAATAACATCAAAATTAGAAAATTAGAATTTTTCATAATAAACTTAAAATAAAGGATGTCATAAAATTTTGTTTAATTTAATTTAAAAGATGTATGTATGTTGTTAGTTAGTTAGTAAATTAATTAGTTAAATAAGTAATCATGTTTTTTTTGAATAAACAAATTCAAAGATTTGTTTGCTTTCTTTGTAATATTTATGTAAACAAGAGAATGTAATTAGTTGGAAAACGCCTTTTAAATATTTTTATTTTAATTTCGATTTTTGGTAAAAACATTTAACAAAAATAATTTTTTAATTTCTTATTAAGATAAATAATCCAATAGTTTATATCAAGTAAATACACATAAAACTAATTCTATATTATTATTTATTTAATTTTGTTTTCATCAAATAATCCCTTCAATCATTCATTCATTGATTTATTTTTTTTAATTTTCAATAAATTACTTATAATGATTTTATATTATTTCGGTTAAGGAATTGTCTTTAATTAAAAAATTTAGTTTGTGATCTCCATCTTTGTATGATATAAATTTTATCCCTTTAACTTTTTCTAAAATTTCTAGAGAGTTTTTGTAAGGGATTGTTGAGTCTTTCTCTCCATGTAATAGCAAAATGTTATGGCCTAAATTATTTTCATTTATTTTATTTAATACATCATCAATAGTAATGTCAAGTTCTCCAGCCAATCTTAGAAATCTGATGAGTGCTGGTGCAATCAAAATTATTGGTCCCTTCCAATATCCATAAGCTAGTAACAAAAGACCAATTGCTCCTCCCCAGCTCTCTCCAAATATGACATCTGGTTGATCTTTTAGAATTGCGTCTGCTTATATTTTTAGACAGTTTTTTAAACACTCTGATCCAGATTTTGATATTTTAAACAAATTTCTAAATAAACATCTTGGAAAACTGTTTGTATAAAATATGTTCCATCTAGATACTTTCATGCCAGGAGTTGAACACTATATAAAACGTTTTTCTAAATATGGTTATTTCTCTTTTATTAAATCTCCTTCTAACCCATGCAAAAACTGTACCTTCAGCTATATTTTGTCTTTTATCTCTTCATCTTTTCTTTTAAATATCTTAAATACAGAAGTAATCATTTAATATAATTCAGCAAAATATATTAGAAATGAGAAATATCCAATTAATATTTTATTAAATTATTTAATTTTAAACTCTGCATTTGTAAAAAGTTATTTAAACATAAAATATTAAATAAAAAATAATTTATTTTGATTGTCATTACAATAATTCCTGATTAAAATTTTAAAATGGTAGAAATAGAAAAGCAAAATATATTTTTTTATATTCTTTTATTTTTGTGTTATTTTAGATGTAAAAATTGCTGATGAATATTGTTCTTTAAATGAATATTTTCTATATCTAATAATAAAATCTTTATGTTAGTGATAATTATTGATATAAACATATACTAAAATTGCTTATATAAAATATATGTGAATATTAAATTATAAAAAAAGATTATAAAATAAAAGACATGCTCTATCTTATTAAACTGAACTAATTTATTTACTAATAAACTAAAAAATAAAAATTAAATTTTTATAGAAATAGATATTAATTAAATCAAATCTAACATATAAATTGGAATAAAATATTTTTGCTTTAATAAAGTTTTTTTCAATTATTTTTATATATTCAAATTAATTTCTATATATATTTTGATGTAGTCAATTGATTATGTATTTTTTTCTTATTTTTAATATAATATAAATAAAAATTCCTATATCTTCATTACTATGAGTTAAATAATAATATTTTAGCAATAAAATTTCTGAAATAAAATATATGACCATATTAAATGTTAAAAAAAGATTATGAAATGGAAGACATAATTTAATATAATGAACTAATTTATTTTACTAATAAACTAAAAACCAAAAACTCACTTTTTCTATAAAATACAAATTAAAACAGTCTAATATCTAAAATATAAATTGAAAAATATTAAAAATTTTTCAATTATTTTTATTACATTAAATTAATAATATCTGTTTTTATTTTGATGCAAATAATTGATTATGTATTTTGTTATTTTATGAATTTGTATATTATTTTAAATAGTGATTTCTATATCTTTGATGATAGCGAATAGTGTGATGATATTTTGTAATATTTATTAAACAAAATATATATTAATATTAAAATGTAAAGAAAAAAATTATAAAAAGAAGAGTATCTTTCTTATTCAACTGAATTTATTTATTTTACTAATTAACAAAAAACGATAAACACATTTAATAAAATAAACTAAAACAAACAGTCAAATAAATATCTAAATTATAAATTGGAATAAAATTTTATGCTTTTAAATAATATTTTTATAAGATAAATATAATAGATTTTGATTCATAATCTCTTAAATTTTGAATCAATTAAATACATTGAATTTTTTATATTATGGTAAAATTTTTTTGAGAGAAGTATGGTAGGGGTTGGTTATCTTAATTAATGAGGATTGATAGTATATTTTAAATAACGCTGTCTAATTATTTATTTTTATGAATGAATGATATATAATTTTATCTTAAAAATTTCTTAAATGAAATAAATCAAAAAAGATGAGATATCTCTTTATCTTATTCAACTGAATTAGTTTATTTTACTAATTAACTAAAAACGAAAAACACATTTTATAAATAATTAAATATTTAAAATATAAATTAGCATTAAGTATAACTACTTAAACTTTTATTTTTTTAATTATTTTTTAAGATTAAAAAATGATAAAAATTAAAATGAATTTCGATATTAAATATAAAGAATTCAAAATTAATTTTTATTAATTGCTTCATTTAAATTATTTTTAGTATGAAAGAAACAAAAATATCTTTTGTAATAAATCAGTTCATTGTTTTTTTTAAATAAAACGAACAATAATTTTTTTTAATATTTGCATTTCATCGATTAGATTTCATAAACATTTATATATATTTTTATTTCTCTGCTAAAATTTCGCTATTTGCTACAGAATACAAAATATTAAATCTTCAATTAAGATTTAGATTTGAAAAAATATATTTTTTACATATTAAATTTGTTTTTCACTAAAAACTAAATTTAATGTTTATAAATTAATCCTAATTTATTGAATGTTATTTTAAACTTTATATTTTTGAAATTTTAACTTTTGGAATAAGCAAATATAAAATATTTAATTAAAATAAATATATTTTTACATATAGAATAAGAACAAGACAAATTTTTGGGTAGGCATATCTATCTTTTATAGTTTTTTGCATATTTATAATTTGCTAAAATTTAATGAATATAAAAAATTAAAACCTTTTGATTAAAAAACTGTTTTTAAATTATAAAATATTCTTTTTTACATTTAAATGAAATATTAACCAAAAACATTTTATTTGATTTTTAGTATAAATTCAATATTTAATATATTTTTACCGTTTTAATTACTTACTTTATATATTATTGAACGCACTTTTTTAAAAACGCTTATTTATATTGATTAAAACGAAAAGAAAAAATATTGATTAAAACAAAGAAAATTCAAAGAAAAATTAATATTTAATTCATATTAATAATTAATAAGAAATATAATTGCTTTAAATAATATTCAAACTATATTAACAATAAAATGAGATTAGTTTCATTGCTGCTAATTGCATTGCTTTTAACAAGCGCATTTAATGTTGCATCAAGGTAATATAACCTATTTTTAATATGCATAAGTTAACATTTTTATTTATTTTTATTATAGTAAATCTCTCAGAAGATAAGATATAATACTTGCAGAGAGAGATGATGAAGGTAGTGATTAAGTTTCTGAAGGAGGTGAAGAAGGTGGCGATTCTGGTGCTACTGAAGGTGGAGATTCTGGTGCTACTGAAGGTGGTGATTCTGGTGCTACTGAAGGTGGTGATTCTGGTGCTACTGAAGGAGGTGATTAAGTTTCCGAAGGAGGTGAAGAAGGTGATGATTCTGGTGCTACTGAAAATGGTGATTCTAATGTTACTGAAGGTGGTGATGATTAAACTGATGGTGATGATGATTAAACTGATGGTGAAGTTTATGATCCAGAAGTCGCTGAGGAAGCAGAAGCTGAAGAAGAAGCTGCTGAGGAAGCTGCTTAGGAAGATGAAAAAGAATAAGAAGAAGAAAATACTGATTCTTCTGATGAAGGTGATGATTCTGATTCTGCTGAAGAAGGAGGTGATGACTAAACCTCTGAAGGTGGTGAAAATAATGAAGAAGCCAACGGAGACGATTAAACTTCTGAAGGAGGTGAAGAAGGAGGTGATTCTGATTCTTCTGATGAAGGTGATGATTCTGATTCTTCTGAAGAAGGAGGTGATGACTAAACCTCAGAAGGTGGTGAAGACTTAACCGCAGAAAACGCTACTGAAGAAACCAATGGAGACGATTAAGTTTCTGAAGGTGGTGAAGAAGGAGGTGATTCAGGTTCTTCCGAAGAAGGTGATTCTCATCATTCTGAAGGTGGTGACTCTGGTTCTTCTGAAAATGAAAATGGAGGTGATGGTTAAGTCTCTGAAGGAGGTGAATAAACTGAAACTCTTGTAGGTGAAGATTCTAAAGCCACTGCAAAAACTGCTTTTGGTGAAGATGTTACTGCTGCTGAAGCTTAAACCGCTGATACTGTAGCAACTACCTCAAGTGGTGCTCCTGCTGAAAATGTTGCCACTGAATAATTATAAGAATAACAAGATTTAGCTAATCCCGCTGGCGCTGCCACTTAATAAAGCTAATCTGCAGAAGAATAAGGTGGTTTTTTGACAGGATCATAAGCAACAGAAGAAGCAGTTGGAGATAGTAATTAAATTTTTTAGTTAAAATAATTTTTTTATTAAATTTTTTTTTTAAATTATTAGTTTTAGAAGCCTCAAAGAAGTTCATATAAACCAAGGTTTCTGAAAAACTTGCTAAGCACTTCTGATGAAACAAAATTCAAGAAATATTACTAAATTAAAATATTTTTTAATTTAATTAATCCATTCATTTACAGTGTTTATATTGAATAAAATTTCTAACTTACAAAAGCTCATTTTATTGTGAATAAATAAATACTTTTCTTTCTTTATTTTATTATTTTAAGATAAATAATTAATTTATTATTTTTTCTAAATACTAAAAAATAAAACGATTTATTTAATCATTTAATTAAATATACAATTTGATTAGATTTAATAAAATATAATATGATACAGATATTTGAACAATTTAAAAATCATTCATACATACATACATAGTTAGTTTTATACTTTAAATTTTTTATTTGAATTAATTATTTTCTTTTTATTTTTAATAAATATCGAAAGTCATACTTAAAATTGAAATATTTTAGATAGTTTAAACTTTCTGTTGAATATATTTTTTTGTATGCATACAAGATACTCGTAAAAAATCCTTATTTTAAAGTATCCCCTCTTTCTATTTTTAAATATATTTAAATGCACTCTTTATGTCTATATTTCTTTGTTTGTTTAATGAAAAAGATATTAAAAGATTAGTACATTTATATGAATGTAAGTTGAAGCTATAAAATCAAAAAAGATTATGATTAAAAGTATTCAAAACTATGAATTGCTTAAATTAATTATTTTGTTGTGTGTCATTTAAAAATCTAAAGGCATTTCTTAATAAAAGAATTATAGAATTGATGATAAATGCATTTCACTTAAATATTTTTTACAAACAAAAAGCTATTGGTTGTTTATTAAATTAATATAAAGTATAAAAATCTAATAAAACAAACTCTGAATTATTTATTATATCAGAAATTTGATTAGATCTTAAAAGGGATGATGAAATTTTAAACGATAGCTATCTAGTTAGTCTTATTAATTGGAATATCGACAGCTATGAATCCAGATAGCTGTGATATGTTCACCAACATGTCTTGTACTTTAAGTATTACTTCTGCAGTCAATAACTGCAAAGAAAGCAAGGATATCTCAAAGTGTTACAGTGAATTTTAAGCTTAAAAAGAGTGCATTAACTGCACATGCAATATATTCCCAAGATATTGCTCAGTAAAATCTGGAGAGATAGATGAAAATGGAAGCACAAATCCATTTTCTAAAGTAAAAACTAGCAAAGAAGACACACACTATATTGATATTCAAAAAATTCTTCTCACTGCTATTTAATGTGATCCAAATCTATTCTAAACTTGCCAGACAAAGATTAAATACATTTCAGGTATTAAATTTAGTTTATTTAATAACTTATCTGAATTTAAATAAAACTATTTTTATTTTGAATATCTTTTTTTGGCTTTTAATATTAAATTCTTAATATTTTATAGGTGAATGTTTAATGTCGAATGATAGCAAGCCACTAATTTCCTGTATTTAAGATAAGGTTAAAGATACTGAATGCAACACTTGTGTTTGCAAAGTCCTACCTTAGTTCTGTGACAAGGAGCAATTAGACAAAGCTGAAAAAGAAAAGAATTCAAAGTCAGCACCATCAAATGGTACTCCTAATATTGGAGATGTTCTCCTTGGTGGATTATTTTAATCTGGTTTGAACTCTGATAAATTAAAAGATATGTTATCGAATGGTTCTGTTAAAGATAATGTTACTAACTTACTTTAGGATCAAGGAATCTAAAATAAAGTCAAGGAACTTCTGAAAAATCAATAAATTACTGATTAACTAAAAAACCTTATTCAATAAAATCCTGAATAAGTTTCTAAAGTAGCATAAAACTTAGCAGACAATAAGCAAACATCGAAAATAGTTTAGGAATTAGCTGAGTCTTAAATTCAAAAAGAAAAAGAAAAGCAAGAATAGGAGAAAAAGAAGCAAGAAGAAGAAGAGTAGCAAAAGATGAAGAAGGAATGCACAAAAAGTCTAAAAAGCAAATGCTAAATAGAATTCTTCAAGCTTTTAAAGAAATGTCCTCCCACTCAAAGTGGTCATTTAGCCTGTATTTACACTTAATTAAGTGGAAATGAATGCGAAGCCTGCATTTGCTCATTTATTAAAAATGCATGCAAGTGATTTGATTTTATAAGCATAATTTCAATAGAATAAAATAAATACTAAAATATAAAATATTTATTATTAGCACAATTTAAATTTATGAATAAAAAATATATATCATATTGATTGATTGAATGAATTTATTTCAAAAAATATTTTTTAATTTCATCTGATTAAAACATTTTATAATACATTTTTTATTTTTAAATTTTAATTTTAAATTTATTTTAATCTGTCTGGTAACTCCTTTAATTTAAATACTTACAATAAAATATATTCAAAAAGCTTAATTGTAAGAATCTTTGGTATTAGGTTGCATAAATTAATTTTTCTATGATATTTACAAAAAAGGTAGGAGACTAATAAGAAAATAAATTATTTTTTTATTTTTCAGACATAAATATATCGTTGTTTTTTTTAAATATCCAAAAATTATGAATTTTTATCTCCCCTTTAATTATTTAAACTTGTTTGAATAAATTGGAGGAAAAAATGATTAATTTAATCATTTTAGAAAATTAAAAAATGAAATAATTTTATCAATTTCAAATTGAATATAAAAGTTAAAAACAAAGATAATGTTTATTTTTATTGATAAATAAGTCATTAAATACTATTGTTCAAGTAAAGATATAAAACTAATTAATTTTAAACTTGTACTATCTTATCTCAATTCTCTTATTTATTAAGATAAGAGAGCATATAAGGATTATCTAAAACAGATTCAATAGAAAGTATGCTTATAATTCTTTTTGTTTGAATCATTTCATCCTTAACTTAGTAATAGAATTAGGCAAATCCAAAATAGAAAATGAATACCATCATTATTAATTAATAAATCAGCAATGACTTAAAAATAAATTTCATTTCATTAATAAAACTATTTACTCTGTCTAACAAAAAATCTTTTAGAATTTCAATTGATTTCGTTATTATATCAAAAAATTAATCAAGCTCAATTAAGTTATTTGAGTTTTCCCATGAATAAAACAATTTAGTAAACTGATTAATGTCAGTGATATTATACAAAGGGCTAATATCAAAGTAAACTTGAAAGAACTCCTTAATAGAAATTTACAACCCCTTTGATAGAATTCCGCTTCTTACTTATTAGCATTTAGATATATCGAATTAATTTTTAGAACTTACGTATTAAGGGTATTACTAAACTGTATTGCATAAATCATCAGTTATTATTTTATAAAAGAAATCTTCATATAATTAATTTTAATATCTTTTTGAACTTTGAGATAGCTGTATAGCAGAATAAAAAGAGTTCAAGGATTAACTTTGTTATGAACTTAAAAGTGATAGCCTCTAACTGAAATATATAGTATTATATAACTTAGAATTTTTAGAGCTAATTAGAAATTCTGCATTAGAAATAGTTTGTATACTAACACATGTAGCTTTCACATTATAGAAGTTTTCTAATTCAAAATTAAATAAAATTTTATTAAATAAATAAGTAAATTTAAAAGGAGAGTTTCTTTTGACACAAATTTTAAATTTATAAAATAATTTTTAAATAAAAATTGAAACTTTTTTTTGTTAAAATTATTTAATTGATAAAAAATTTCCCCTTTAAAAACTTTAAAATAATAATTTACATATTAATTAAATCAGTATATTTGCTTCATTGTAGAAATCGGCTATATAAACATAGCTGATGACTGGCTGAATAATCATAAGTAAAATAGCTATTATTATGTAGAAGATATGCTTTATATTAAATTTTTTAATTTCAGAATAAGAAGATATGGCTTTGCGTTTCTTATATATTGGAAGTTAAAAATATTTGATTTTAGTTTAAGTTTTATGAGAGAGAATAGAAATTTGAATAGGTTAAACCATATCGTTTAGAGATTGACTTGATAAAGTACAAAATAATTTGAGTAATTCTTCATTTTTAACTTATATATGATAGTAAAGAGGAATGGTGAGAAACCCAAGCAAAATAATAACCACAATAATAAAAATCATTATAAATAGAGCTTGGCTTTAAATAGAATCAGTGATTGATGTGACAGATTGTGATATCAAAGTCTGAATTTAAGTTACTTATGTATTAAAGCTAGGAAAATTATCTAAAGATATTGTCTAAAAGAATAGATTGCTTACCATATTTTAATTTGTTTAAAAATATGAGTTCATAAATATAATGAAGTAAAGAATTGGTGCTTTTAATTATTACTTATTGGCAGTTATATTCAAATAAGGATTTTTCAGGACGCTGATATCTTTGCTGATAACAACATTCATATTATTATTTATAGTGTATAAAAAATAATTTTAATCTACATTATCAGCATTTATAAAATTTATAAGAGAGTTTTTATAATCTAAGCGAGTTGAAGCTTATCTGTCAATTAAAGTTTGCTCATATGATGGGTTTGCTTCTAGTGATTGAAAATAATTAGAGTCGTACATAATTTTTAGATAAGAATCAGATATTATTTTAGAATATAAAAATCTAATAGATAAAGGCCATGGTAGATACTAGAAGTTAAGGTAAGCTGTATTGAATTAATTATCATTCTATAAGTATTGATAAAGAATCAGAGCAGAAAAGGAGAATAAAGCAGCAAATCCAAACACCATCAGAATATTTAACTAATTATTCCTCTTCACAGAATGAATCATTCTAAATATATTTTTCTTTACTTCTTGATTTAGACTTTGACTGGTATTTATAGAACTAGTGGCATTTAGACGAGATTTTTACATTTCGAACTCTCTTTAATTTTCTTCTTCTCTAGCTATACTGTCACTTAGCTATTCAGAAGTTATTTCTTCAGCCTACAATACTTACTTATGAGAGAAAAATGTTTATCCATGATTAAGAGTTTATTTTTTTGATTTATTTCTTTCAAATTTTGTAGTATTGTAGTATCTTTCCAATGAAAATTAAAGAGTTCCATTTTTATCATTAGCTTATTATATGCTATTTGTATTCAAATTTTATTCTCTATCCTGAAAAGATTATCTTTAAGTATTCAATTGTATTTTACTTGATGTCTTTCTAAAATATTTAGCTTAGTTTTCTTATTATAATTATAATTTAGCCTACTTTATTCTCTCTTTTAACAACTAGCAAAAATTAAAGGCTTTAGGGTTATTTGATTCCTCATTTAACGAAGCCTTGTAAGAGCTTTTTTAATTAATACTCTTTTAATAATCAGTTGACTTTTCTCCGTCATATTCTTTTGTATCTATTTCCTTATTTTAGGTGACGATGTTATCTTGGGCATTTAGGAGATTTTTCTAGCCTTTTTAAGTATCTTTCCTAGCTTAACTTAAATTATCTGGTACATTTTTAGCTTCTAATTATTTAGAATCATAGTATTCATTCAAAATATTATTTATAGACTATTAGTGATGTAGAAGTTTTGATCTTCGACTTTATTGCTTAACGTTTAAAATATTATTTTCATTTATTTAGTTTTTAGTATTGAATGAGTTATTAGCTTAAATGTTTTGATTATTTATTAGATTTTCGGTAAATATATTCTGCTCTTTAGAAAGCTGTGAGTCATCTTTTAACTTACTTAAATTAAGATAATTCTAATCAACTTTAGATGTATCAGATATTTATTTTTTATATAGAAGTTTGTTTTCGCTCTATGGTTAATGAGGAGAAACAAGTGTAGTAAACAAACTATTATTTGATAAAGGCGATATTAAATTCTAAGGATAATTATTCATATTATTTGTGTTAAAACTGTCTAAATTATCAACTTTATAATTTAAGTTAGGATAGTAAATGTTGGTTAATTCATTATAATTTTTTTATTCAACCTCTTAACTTTATTCCTACAATTTAGTAACTTGATTATATGAAATTCCTTATAAATAAGATTCTTAAACAAGGGCCATTTTTGAAGCCTCTCCATCATTCATATTTATTTCATTTTGGACGAATTCTTTTTATCCAAAACTACTTTGGTGGTGGAAAATCTAGTTGTAATTATTATTATTATTATTATTATTTTACCTATAATACTTATCTGCATAATTTTCCTAAACAGAAATACTCTAATTATCTTCTTCTGATATATTTAAATCTTAATATTTTATTAATTTTAATATTTCAATTTCTATTAATGTAATTTTTATAAATTCATTTTATTATTATTTTTAAATTCAGTAAAAATTTTAATTAAATAAGTTAAAAATAAAAACTTGGTTTTTTAGAGAAAAATTTTGAAATTAATAACAAATTGTAGTAAATAAATAAATAAATTTTACTGCTTTCATGACTGTCTTAAGCATTTTAAAGATTTTAAAGTTCAATTAACTAATCAATTATTTCTAAGTCATTAGTTATATCTATGTTTATATTAAGCAATGTATGTAGCTGATTCTTAAAATTTTATAAACTTTCCTTTTAGCTCTAATAGTTTGTAATTTTTTTGAAAGTATGCAATTCTAAAATATTAAATTAGGCTTTAGAGAAGTTATTTAATATAAATTTAAGTTTTACAGAGTACAAATCGTAAAATTCTACACTGAGACTTTCAACATATTTTTGCAAATTTTAAATATCTAACTTTTAAGTTAAGCTGAAGCGTTTTAAACCTTTTTGTATCGCCTACTCCTTTGGAATAAAAGCTATTGTTTGAACTGTTTAATTAACAGTTTCTAGATATTTGTGATTTACTTACTGTTTTTCTAAGTAATTTAAAAGAGGAATAACCCTATTTAAGTGTATTTTGTGTACTTCGCTTTAAGAAAAAACTTTACGAAATATTTTATTAAATAGAATTTATGATAAACACTGAATTTAAAAGCGTTAACATGACATAAGAATGTAATAATAGTCGTTCTAAATTTTTTAAATAAAGGCAGTTAATCCACAGTCTTCAAGATTAATATAGTCTGGTCTAAATTTTAAGCAGATAGGCACTGCCCATCCTTTTTCATTTTATGCAATCTAAAGCTTAAAGTAGTTAATAGTGGAATTTTCAGGATTTCGAACATAATTTTTAAGGATTTCGTCATGAGCTCTTTATAAATATTTTGGTATAATTATGCTTATATTTTTCTTTAAAGATTCTTAGCAGGAGTAACCAAACATATTTTCAAACTTATTTTAAACTTTTCTGATTGCTCCAATATCATTTATCAATGAAATAAAAACCACACAAGTATCTCTATTAAAAACATTAGCATCTGTATTCAGACCATCAAAATTAAATTATTTATTTTTTTTAAACACCATTCTTTTCTTTTATCCAAACCCTAAATAATTAATAAAATTTTCAATGTAAAATTATAACTTTTAGCTGTTTTAGTTTATTTTGTTTAGAGTTAGCAAGTCTAAATGGAGAGATTCTTTCTACTAAATAATTTTTAAAGCTAACTCTCTTAGCATTGTTAAGTTTACATGATCTTAAAATAGCAGCAATAAGAATTATTGCTTCTGCTGTAGAGTATTATAGTATTTTTCCTCTGTTTTATTGAGCAGTTCATCAAATTTAATTCCAACCATATAATCTGTTATTTCAATTTTATCATCATGAATTGCTCTTTTATATTGATCTTCTAAGCTAATTTACTCTTCCTATTATTTTTGGTTCTTTTTTTAAGTTTAACTTATTTTGCTTGCTAGTTTGTTAGATTATTCAGCTTATTTGAATAAATTTGCTGCTCTTTAAAATATGTTAACAAATATTGCAGTCTCTCGAAAAGAAAGCTTCATTAGTTTTTTAAGCCTAATAATTTCACTGAAGCTAATAAGCTTATTCTAATATATTTCAATCAAAAAATTGAGGTATGTGAAGCAAAGTAAGTTCGGAATTTTCTTGCTTTTACTCAAACTTTCTTAAATAAAATTGCCAAACATTTATCTGACATATTTTATTAAATATTTTTATCTGAGGTCTTTTGATAATACCATATCTTAAAACTATTTGACATCTAAAGGCTATTTAATAAAATGATAAATGTTGAAATAAGATTTTGAAATATTTTTAATTTTATTTTTCTCAGAAAATTATAATGCTAGCATAATGATTTGAAGTAAATAAAAATAAATTTTAAAAACATTTTCTTCAAAAAATGTAAATTTGATATTTGCATTAATACTTATAAATGAAACAGGTTATGTTCAGATTAATTTTATTATCAATTCAAATTGACAAATTTCTTCTCTTGAAATTAATTAATTTTGATACTTTAATTTATTTATTTATTTACTTATTTTTGCCACATTACTAAATATTTGAATTTCATAAATTTGAGACCAGTAAAATGTATTTAAAAATAATTCTATCATACTTCCTTACTGCAAAAGCACTCAGGATATTCTTCGCATAAAGTATTATGATCGATTGTTATATATTCGAGTATCATAGAGGATTTGCTTTCAGTATAATTAGAATAATCAAGCTTAACATTTTTTATTATTAGCCTTAAATAAAAATCTAAGTCATCTGGATTATCTACTTATTCTTTTGAACTAAAGAGCCTCTAAAATAAACTATACTATCTAATATTAATAAATGTAGCTATTTTATAAGATATTGGTATTAGAATTATAATATGCACATTAATTTGGACATAACTTGGGTCAAAAAGTGAAATATATACAATAACTGTTAATAATAAATGATAGATCTGTATTGTAAGATCTAAATTTCTTATTGTTATATCCTCATAGCTTCTTTTAGAAGTAGAAGTTAACACTTTAAAAAAGCAGAATATCAAAGATAGAAGAAGCATAATCTTTGAATTCTAAATGTACCTTAATGCAAAGCATACTAAACATTCAAGAAATAAATAAACTGTAATAATCTTAGTAGAAAATCTATTCGATAAGCTGTCTGAAAATATTATGCTATAGCTTTAATCATGAATTCTAAACACCAAACCTTTCATATTAATTTTTTTAAAATAGTAAAATAATAAATTTATTTTAAAAACAATAGCTTTTTATATGATTTTGTTTATTTAATCTTATAAAATTTAAAAAAGTGAACTAAAGGAAAGTATTATTTAGCTTTAAAAACGCTATTTTGTAAGAAATTCAGTCACATTTTTTTACTCTATACTTGATATTTTAAGTAAAGGTAGAATATAAAATTTAAGAGAAAATAATGAATGAATTAAAAGAAAAATTATTTAAATTACTTGTAATCAGTATAGTAATTAATCCAATAATAGCAACAATGTTGTTTTTATACATTTGGTCAAAAGTAAAATATAGCATTGGAATGAATAAAGCATAAGAAAATAGCTAGGAGACTAACTTTAGATACTATTTACTGAAGCTAACAGTTATTTCAAGCATGCGGTATTAGTAAAATAGGAAATCATTAAATAAAGATACAAAAACTAATCCTGTAATTCCAATGCTGATATATAATATAGTTTAAGAATATGATTTATCTAAGAATACTGAATAGTCTGATATTTAGAATTCTTTTAAATCCTTATTTGCAAGCTTTTCTGTTAAGTCTTATGATATCATTAACTAAATGTGAAAAAAAAACCTAATCAATAACAGAGCACATCCTATTAATAATGGCCTATTCTTAGTATTAATCACTAAAAATAATTACTAGGAGTAGTACTACCAAATGCTTTCTTAAATAGCTTTGAGTAAATTCATATCGCCTATATTCTAAAGTGCTTATTATTGCTTTTTGTGCTATGTTAACTATTTAGGTGAGAATTATGATTTTTTATTAAATATTGAATATTTGCTAGAAAAATTATTGAATAATAAATTTTTAAATCAAAAAAAGTAATATTTTATCTCTACCAGTAAAGTATTAGTAAATTTTTGAATGAAAAAGCTTGTTTGAATTTTTTCTCTTGATGTATTAATAATTCTAATACAAGCAAGCTTAAAAAGCATAAAAATAAAATTTGTAAGTTGTTTTTGAAATTAAATTTTACTTATTTTCAATATCTTACAAATACATCATATTAATTTCCAACATTTTAGCAAATAAACTATATATTTTTATTCTAATCCATCCATGAATGTTGTGAATTAAATTATAAATAAAATTAATTTTTTTCTTCTCTAAAAAATCTTATTCTGTTAATTTTTACCATCAAATTAAGTTTGTTTATTTTTTTCTATTTTATTTCATTTCTTTTATAAAACAAAATTAAATAAAACAATCTTTACTTGCTTAGTTTTTTCTATTTTTTTTCTTTACTTTTATAAAATAATCTTTACTTTATGATTTACAAATTTCTTATTTCTCTTTATGTTTCTTAATATTTGGTGTTTAAAAAAACTCATATTTTTTTATTTTTAAATTAATTGATAGATGAAATTTAATAAAAGAAATTATTGATACTTATTTTTAAAAAATTTTTAATACGAATATATAAAATAAGATTTTCTTTTTAATTTTCAAAAACTTTTTAAGCCAAATATCAACTTTCTTATTTGCTTAAATATGAAAGTATGTAAGGATTATCAAGGATTACTTCTATTGAAAGGATACTTAGCATTCTCTTTGTTTAGATCATTTCAAGCTTTACTTGCTCATAGAATTTTATAAACCCAAAATAAAATATTATAATCATCATGATAAGTTAATAGATTAGAAGTGATTTTAGAACACTTTTCATCTAATTTAAAAAACTATTTACTCTCTCTAACAGGAAATCTTTTAATATTTCCATTGAAGTAGTAATTATATCAAAGAACTGATCTAGCTCTACCAAATTGTTAGAATCTTCCCATGAATAAAAAGACTGTGTATATGATTAATAATCAGTAATATTGTACATAGGACCAATAAAAGCATAAGTTTCGAATAAATTTTTTAAAGAAATCTATAAACCTTTTGTTAGTATTCCACTTTTAATAGATTTGCAAGTTGAAATATCAAACTAATTTTAAGATTTCACATATTAAGGATTATTTTATATTGTGTCACATATATTATCAGTAATCAAAGGATAAAAAAAATTATTATATTAATCATTTTCAAATCTTATTGAACTTTGAGATTATTGTATTGCTTGGTAAAAAGAATTAATATTATCTGTTTACTAACTAATAAGGGATTATATTCTCCCAGTATAATAAACTGTGTTATATATTTAATACTTTTAAGATTTTATCAAAATCATTGAGTTTGATATTGCTTATAAACTAGTACAATAAGCTTTCGTAGTGTAAAAGTTTTCTTTTTAAATAATAAATAATAATAAAATTATTATATTAAAATTAAAGTATGTAAAAAATTATATCAAAATTAAAAAAATTATATCTAAATTAAAATAAATAACTAGCTAGGGCTTGGTTTGCAAAATTATTGAAATAAATATTAAATAATTAATGAAATTAAAATAATATTTTATTCCAAAATTTTTCACAAATTTTATAATCAAGCCCCCAATAAAAGCAAAATATAAATTTTGAATGTTAAAGGCTTACGTATCAAACTAATAAGGACATTTGCTTCATTATAAAAGCTGTTGACATATAAAAAACTTATAACTGGTTAGATGGCCATAAGAAATATTCCAATTATAATATAAATGATGTATTTTATATTAATCTTAGGAATTTCACTGCACGAAGAAATAGCTCTTCGCTTTTTATATATCGGAAGTTAAAAATATTTTATTTTAGTTTAGGTTTTATGTGACATTATGGATATTTATATTGGTTAGATCATATCGTTAAGAGATTAACTAGATATAGTAGCAAATAATTTTAATAATTCTTCATTTTTAATTTAAACATGATAATAAAGAGGTATGATTGCTAATCCTAAAATACAAATAACGATAATAACTAAAATCATAATTAAAAGAGCTTGATTTCTGATTGTGTTTGTAATATCAGTAACAGATAAAGATAGCAATGTCTAAAGCTTAGTAACTTAAGTATTAAAAACAGAGAAATTATCAAGTTAAACTGTTTAAGTATAAATTTAGTCTTGATCTATCGTCATTCTATATAAATTGCCTTACATAAAAGCCATAAAATATAGAACAGGAAAAGTAGCTTACAATTTTTATGATGTTATATTTAAATATGGCTTTTCTAATATTAATGGATCCTTACTTATTAACACTGGAATTTAAGTAGTTGTAATATAAGTAAAATAATTTTAATTTACATTGTCAGCATTAACAAAATCCAAATAAGATTATTTGTATAGATAAAAAATTTTTTTTTATCTTGCTTAAACAACTTGCTCATATTATGGCTGGCTCTAAAAGGATTAGAAATATTAGCTCCAAAACATTTCTTTTATTACCTAATCAGCTAATACTTTCGAATATAAGAATCTCACGGATAAGGGCCAAGGAAGATAGTTAAAATTTAGCAATGCTGTGTCAAATTAAGAGCTATTTTGAAAATATTAGTAAAGTATAAGGGTCGAAAATGAAGACAATGCGATAAAACTAAACACTAGTAATATAAAAAGAGAATAATTTTTTTTCTCAGAATTAACCATTTTAAATATGCTTTTCTTTTATTCTTAATTTTAACTTTAATTAGTGTTTACAGAACTAGCACCTAGTACACGTGATCTTTGCATTTCTAATTCTCTTTATATTTCTTCTTGTTTTGCTATTGAATCGCTCAATTATTCTGAAGTCAAGTCGTTAGCATTTAATACTTGTTTATGGGAATGCTAGCTTTTTGGTTTTGATATTTTTTTGGTTTTAGTTTTTTCTAATTAATGACTTGAATAGTATTTTTCAAGGCTAAGTTAATTCATTCTAGTTCTTGTTCCAATTAAGTTTGAACTCATAGCACCATTACTATCATCAAAGACAGATTCTCTCCCTTAACCTATTAAAACTGATAAACGCTATGAAGATAAAATTGCATTTGACTAAATTTATGTTTATTATTTTGAACTTTTTCTTGTAAAAATGGTTTGGTTTTATTGTTCTATTTACATTTTTGCTTGTCTTATGCGCTCTTTGAGCATCTAACAAAGATTAAAATTATTTGTACTATTCCCATTTTATTTTGCTGAAGATATAGAAGAATTTTTTTGCAAAATACTTTTCTAATCCTAAGTAGATTTGTCTAATTCTTATTCATCTTCATCTTCCTCTTTGATTTAATTAGAACTTTTATCATCTGTGATTTATTACATTTATGTTTAATCTTTTTTATTATAGCTAATTAAATTGTTTAAAATTTTATTTTTACTTTAAGCTTTATCTCCAATTACTTCCTTTTATTTTATATCATAATATTCATTAAGGATACTTGTCACAGAAGCTTAATGCTCAAATGACATTTACCTTAACTGCTGTTATTTCTATGTTATGTTATTATTATTACTATTAATGTTATTATTATTATTACCGATGCTTTCCTATGATATGTATTATTCAGTAGCTATCTACTTGATGACAGAAGTTTACTCTTAATTAGTCTTCTGTTCTACAAAAATTTCTTATTTTTAAGGTATGATATTCTTTTGAAATGAAAATTTATCTTGCGCCTGTTTAGGTGATATTAATCTATTTTCACTTTGTAAGCTTAAAGGGTTATAGAAAGTTGTTTATAGTGGATTGTTAGACAAAGGAGATAAAAGAACTTAATTATTAGTTTGATTAATGTTGTTAAAACTACTCAAGTTATCTATTTTTAAGTCTTATTGTTAGTCATAAATATTAGTGCTATCTTATGCATTTTTATTTTCTACTTCTTATAAATGTTCATCATATTTAAAATAGGGCTATTAGTTTATTCCTTATAAATTTGAATCTGGATGGTATCCCAATTTTGAAAAATCTTCCTCATTTGTGAATAAATCTTTTTAAATATCCTCTCTATGTGCTTACAAAGGTAGGGAAATTACCTAATTTGATTCATTGCTACCTTAAAAAAATTGATGTTCTTATTATTTTTCTTTTAACTCATCTGCTTAGCTTTCATCTTCCTCTTCAGAAATACTAAATTCTTTAAAAAATATATTAAATATATAAATTGTTTTCAAATTAAATTAATTTACACTAAACACTTTTTTAATAAAATTATAGGGTTTATAATTCCATAAACTGGTCAATGATATCTAGGTCACTTTTAATATTTAAATCGATATTCATTAATGTTTTTAGCTGATTCTTAAAAGTGATTAAGCCTTCTTTTTGAGCCTGATAGCTTGTAATTTTTTTGAATTTGTGCAGCTCAACAACGTTAAATTAAATTTTTTTATAATTATTATAGTAAAATTTAAGTTTAACAGAGTATAAATCATAATATTCAATTGTTAGATTTTCAACATACTTCTATAAATCAGCTAAATCTAATTTTTCATATAAATGAAAACGCTTAAAGCCTTTTTGTATTATTTCTAGTTTAGGAAGAAAAGCTACTGTTTATACAGCTTCATTAATTAAATCAAGGTCTATTTGCTTGACCTACTACTTCTCAAAATAATTTAATAAAGGTATTACCCTATTCAAATAAATTTTATATACTTCGTTTTATGAATACAATTTACCAAATATTTTGGTAAATAAAATTTGAGACAAACATTAGATTTTGAAATATCCGCAAGACAAAAGAATGTAACTATATTCGTTTTAAACTTTTTAAATAAAAGCTGTTAATCCACAGTCTTCCAAATTAATGTAATCTGGTCTAAATTTTAAAGAAATAGGTACTGCCCATCCTCCTTCGCTTTAAGCTATTTGGAGTTTGAAATTGTTGATTTAAAAATTTTCAGGGTTTTGCAAATAATTTGACAAGACTTTATCATGGACTTTTTAAATGTATTTTGGAATAATAATATTTATATTTGATTTAATTGATTTAGAGCTAGAGTATCCGAAAATATTTTCAAACTTATTCTAAACCTTTCTTATAGTACCAACTTCGTTAACAAGTGTAATAAATACAACACAAGTGTCTTTACTAAAGATATTAACATCAGTTTTTAGACCTTCCAGTGTGAACTATCTGTCTTTTTTAAAGATTTGTCTCTTTTTTTATCCAAATCCTAATGTATTAACAAAATTTTCTATATAGAACTGGAGTTTTTAACTGTTTTAATTGATTTTATGAAGCATCAAAAATTTTTTAAGCAATTATTTTCTTGAATGAATAAGATTTTATGCCTTAAGTTTTAAAACCTCTAAATCTATGTGATCTTAAAAGAGCAACTAAAGTAAAGATTGCTTTTCTTGAATAGTAGCATAATATTATTCTTCTGCTTAATTGACTAACTCGTCAAAATTGATACCAATTATATAATTAGTTACACTAATTTTTTCATCAAAAGTAGCTCCTTTTTTTTCAGCCTAGTCTTCGTTAAGTTTCTATTCTTCAAAATATTTCCAATTTTCCTTTTAATTTTACTTTTTTTTATAAACCAAAGTGCTAGAGATATCAATTTACGTGAATTTATTTACTGCTTTTTAAAAAATAAAATTAAATAAAGCAACCTCTCTTTCAGACAAATTCATTAGCATTTTTAGTTTAATGATTTCGCTAAAGCAAAGGACTTTACTTTGCGAGATTTCAATTAAAAAATTTAAGTATGAAAAAGCTATAAGATTATTTATCTTTTTAGTTTTAACAATTCCCTCCTAAATACATTTGTTATACATCTATCTCACATACTTATTTATATATTTAAGTCTAAGCTACTTTTCTAATCGCATATCCTCATATTGTCTAATATCTTTAGGCTATATCATTACAAATTTAAATAATATAATTTTAATATAGTAACAGCAAATTTAATTAATAAAAATATATACCTCTTTATTACAAAAACAGTCTGGATAATCTTCACAATAAATATTATGATGTTATGTTATATATTCCAAAATAATAGATTAAGAGTTTTCGCAGTAATCTTTGTATTCTAATTTAAGGACTTTCATTAATACTCTTAAGTAGAAATCTATATCTGTAGGATCTAACAGCAACAATTACTTTTTAAAACTGTAACGAGTAAGATTATGTTAATATTTATCAATTAAATAGGCTATTTTCAGCGATATAGGTATTATTAGTATCATAATTAAAGTAATTGGAATATTAGAGTATTGTAAAATAGATATATACAAGAATAAAGTTAACAAAAAATGATATATTGATAAAAACTAATGGAAGGTTCTTATTTTTCTATTTTCATAGCTGCGAGTAGAAACAGAAATTAAAATTTTAAAAACAGACAGTAAAATTGAAATCAAAAGCATAATTTTTGGCTTGCTTATATATCTTAGAGATATGCATACACATGATTCTATAATTATATTAAGGAGCATAATTTTTGGCGATAGCCTATTTGCTAAGCTATCAATAGATTGAATGCTGTAATCTTAATCATGAATGCTGACGAAAATACCTGCAATATTTAAAAAATTATGATGCGACAAATTAATATAAAATTAAGAAATAAACTAAATAAATTCAAATGAATTATACTTATTTGCTTTTTTGCTAAACTAATTTGAATTTAACATAAAAATATTTTAATGAATGTTTTATTCTAATTTTTTTTAACATTTTCTACTTAAAAAACTGATTAAAATAAGTTATTTAGGAGCTATTTAAAATAATTAATTTATTTCATCTTTTTTTGTAAGCAAATTTCAGATTTAAAAAAATATAAAAAAAAAAATGTGTGTAACCTATTATTATAGTAGATATTATGCCATAAATAGCTGCTAAGTTATTTTGATATGCTTAATCTATGCCAAAATATAGAAGAGGTATATATAGTATATGATTGAATATCTGAAAAATCATCCCCAAATATCTCCTGCTAAAACTAGAAGTTAGCTATAATAAATGAAATTAGCAAAATATGAAATCATTAAACAAAGCTATAAAGACTAAAGCCGTTATTACAATACCAATATACAATATAACCTAAGAGTAAGATTTATCAAAAAAAATAGAATAATCTCCTATTTCATTCAGATTTGCATCAAAGCTAATTATTTCGTTCATCAAATTTTAAGAGAGCATTAGTTGTATATGAAAAAAAAACCTAATAAAAAGCAAAATATGTCCAAAAAAAACAGGTCTTCCATTCATTTTTACCACAAAAATAATCTGCTTTTAGTAATAATCCTAAATTTAATTTCTTATTTTCAGCAACAAATTCATTTTAAATAATGGAAAATTTAGTTTTTAAGTGTTTATCTTTTGTTAATTTATATTTTACTATTTGCTAGATTCCTTAAGTATTGTATTTCTAAAAATTGAAATTTATTTTGTTTTTTCAAAGGTAATTAATTATCTTTAAAAAAGTAACAATAAATCATTCAGTTTTTAAAAGTAAAATATTTGTGTAAATTTATAACATAACGCAAAGAATTTAAAAATCATCAAAGGGAAAACACCATTCAAAAAGGCATATCTGTGTATCTATAGAATTAAAATAATAAATGCATATTTTTAAGAAAAAATCCCTCTACTTTTAGATAGAAACAACATTTTTAAATCAATTAAATTCAGGAATATTTTAAAAGTTGAATTCTTTGAATGTTAGTATAATAATAAAAATAATCTATTTTTACTCAAAAATTATCGATAATTAAGAATAAAAATAATCTATTTTTACTCAAAAATTATCGATAATTAAGAATAAAAATAGAACGATTGAGTTTTATTAAACTATTAATTAATGCAAAGAAATATTTACATTTCTAATCTAATCTTTTGGTATAATTAGGATTTTATATATCATCATTTAATGATATTTATAATATAATAATACTTTTTTTTATAATACTTAATGAATCTAATCATATTACCTAATAGCTTAATTTCTAAAGTTACAAAACTAACAAAATCATATAATAAATTTAAATAATATTTTATAATCATCAATTAATTCAAAAAAAAAAATTTAATTTTAAAAGAATTATTATTAGTGATTGTAATGCAATAAGCTAAAATCCAATATTTTTAATAAAAACTCATTATTTCATTTTCTTTTAGAAAAATATTGAAAATATTCATTTTCTTTAAATATTCTTATTAAAAAAATCAAAATTATTTAAATTTTAGCAAAGTAATTAAAAATCTTTTGATTTAAAATATTTTTCAATGAATGCAATATAATTTATGGTAACTAATAGTGAGATCTCCTTTAAAGATCAAACAAGAAAAGAAAATGAATTATAAATTAAATGCTATTATATTTTTAAAAACTTGCATTTATTTTTTATTACATAATTCTTAAAGTATAAATGAAAAGAAAAAATGGAAATTCACAATTAAATTTATTTAATAAGTTTAATATAATTTAAGGGCAATACCCAAAAAAGTGCTTTACTGGTTCATAAAATTTGAATAAAGATATTGAGATTTTTATTTATTGTTAAATATTTATAATTATTTTTTTAACTTAAAAATTTAATTTTTTTATATAAATGTAATTAATGTAAATAATATGATTTATTAATAGAAAGAATTAATATGTTTCAATCAGCTTTCAAATTTATTTAGGTATGAGAGAATATAAGGATTGTCTAAGATAGTTTCTATTGAAAGGATGCTCAGCATTCTTTTTGTTTAGATCATTTCATTCTTCACTTGCTTATAAAACTCAACAAATCCTAAATAAAATATTATAATCATCATGATAAGCTGGTAGATTAATAGATAATTTAGAACGTATTTCATTTAATCTACAAAATTGTTCACTCTATCCATGAGAAAATCTTTTAATATTTCTATTGAACTAGTAATCATCTCAAAGAATTCATCTAACTCAACCAAGTTGTTGGAGTTTTCCCATGAATAAAAGGAGTCTATAAATTATTATGTATTATTAATCTTGTATATAGGACCAAGAAAGGCATAAGTTTCAAATAAATTTTTGAGAGATAGTTGTAAGCCTTTGTTTAGAATTCCACTTTTAATAGTTTTACACTTTTATAGGTCAAATTTATTTTAGCTTTTTACATGTTAAGGATATTTTTCAATTATGTCACATACATTCTCAGTAATAAAAGGGTAAAAAAAATTATTGTATTAATCATTTTCAAATCTTATTGAGGCTTGAGATTATTGAATTGCTTATTAAAAAGAAGTAAGATAGGTGCTTGTTTAATTTATCAGTGATTATACTCTACCAACATAATAAATTGAGTTATAAATTTAATATGTTTGGGATTTGATGACAAGATTAGAGTTTGAAATCGCTGATAAGCTTGTGCAAAAAGCTTTGGTTGTATAAAAATTTTCTATTTATTAAAAAAATAATATAAATCAGTAACAAAATTGAAAAGGTAATTTTCAAATAAAAGTATCAAAAAAAGATTTACGTATCAAAGTTATAAGAACTTTAGCTTCGTTGTAAAAATTGTTGATATAGATAAAACTGGCAACAGGCTGAACAACCATAAAAACTATCCCTAATATAATATAGACGATGTATCTTTTATTAATTTTTTAAATTTCTGAGCAAGAAGATATTGCTCTTCTTTTTTTGTAAATAGGAAGTTAGAAATATTTAATTTTAGTTTAAGCTTTATGAGAGGATAGAGATATTTAAATGGGCTGAAGCATAGAATTGAGAGATTAGTTAGAAATAGTTGAGAATAATTTTAATAATTCTTCATTTTTTATTTAGATATGATAATAAATAGGGAGAGTAGTAAAACCTAATACACATGTAACAACAATCACTACTATCATTATTATAAGTGCTTCATCTCTTATAGAATTAGTTATATCAACTACTGATTAGGATATCAAAGTTTGAATTTAGGTTACATAAGTGTTAAAGGTGGAAAAATTATCAAGCTATAATATTTGACAATAAAACCCACCCTCGTTAATAGTCATCCTGTATAACTAATGAATCATAAACTACATAAAATAAAGGACGGGAAACTATACTTTAAATTTTTAGGATGTAATATTCAAATATTTTTGTGGTAGAGTGATGGGATCGTAACTGATATAAATCGGCATCAAAGTATCAGTAGCGTTGGTGAAATAATTTTAACCTACATTCTTAGTATCCATAAAATCTAGAAGCAAGTTTTTATATTACTAAACTCCATCTGATTATCTATCAAGAATATTTTTGTAGTAAGTAGGTTGCGCTTTAAATGTTTAAAAGAAATTACTATCATACATCTCTTTTACTACTTCATCAGCAAAAACTTTAGAGTAAAAATATCTTATTGACATCGGCCAAGGAAGGTATTTGAAATCTACTATTGCTTAGTTGTATTGGCTGCTATTTTATAATTGCTGCAATAAAATAAGTGCAGAGAAAGAAGATAGCGCTACAAATCCAAACATCACTAATACAAAAAGAGAATAGTTTTTTTTATCAGAATTTACCATTCTGTAGATACTCTTTTTCTATTCTTAATTTTAACTTTAACTGGTATTGATGGAACTAGCTGCTAAGATACGAGATCTTTACTGCTCGACATCTCTTTGAATTTCTTTCTCTTTAGCTACTGAATCACTTAGCTCTTCTGAAGTTAAATCATCAGCTTTCAGTACTTATTTATGAGACAGCTAGCTTTTTGAAATCGTTGTATCTTTTTTTGTTCTTGTTCTTTCCATTTAATTACTTGAATGCAATTTTTCAAAACTAATTTGTTTTTTTCTGCTATTTGTTGTAATTTAATGAGAACTAGTGACTCCATTACTGTCATTAACAATAGGTTCTTTACCTTAAATTAAAGCCGATAATCGTAGCTACGAATTAATACTATTGGGAAGATCAGTAACCAGCTTGCTATTTATTTTTGTTGCTTTGAATAAATTCTGCTACTCTAATTAGTATCTTACTTATTTAATTCGTTCTTTTAACAATTAACATAGACTAAAATCAACATGATTAATATTTTCACATTAACTAAATATAGATTTTTAATTCAATTGCAAACTTTTCTAATCTTATTCGGATCTGGCTATTTCCATCTCTTCTTCATCTTCTTCTTTTATTTAATGAGAACTTTTGTCATCAGCTGATAATTAAAATTAAAGTTGTTCCTTTATCTTAGAACTAAACGAATTATTTGTTATTCTTTTCTTTAGCAAACTTTTTACTTAGAGAGTTTCTTTTTACTTAATATCGTAAAACTCCTTTAGAATATTTGCCACATGTATTTAGTGCTTTAATTATGATTTTTGGGTATTTTTTTATTACTATTATGTTGTAATATTTGTATTGCTTCCAGAAGATATGTGTTGATCGCTTAACATTATTTAAGTAGATGAATTAGAATTTTTTACATTTACTTTTAGGATTTAAGCTTTGTCTTCTATCTATTTTTATGAAAATAATTTATGTTCACTCTATGAATTATGAGGAGTAAGCATAGAAGTAAATAAAGCATGGCTTGATAAAGGTGATAGAGGCCCATAAATATTATTATTATTATTATTGATATTGCTAAAACTACCAAAATTTTCCATCAAATGTTAATCACAAATATTTGTGGTTTCATTACAATTTTTATGATCACTATCTTTTAATAGCTCTTCCTTTTTAGCTAGCAACAATTAAGTACCTCCAATTAAATGAGAAGTTTCTTATTTTGCATGATCTTCTTCACTTGTAAATAACTCTTTTTAAATATGTTCTCTTTGAGAAAATAATGGCTATGACAAATCTTATATTCCAAACTAGATTTACTAGTCATTAAATTAGTGCAATTAAGCCTATTTTTCTTACTTTTCATAGCTACTTCCTTCTTCTTCAAATAAACTGATTTCTATAATTAAAAAAAGTCAATTTCAAATAAAAAGTTTAAATAATTTACATTCTGAGCTGCTTTGTTAGAGATATAAATTTTGAAGTTCTATAAATTAGTCTATGATTTCAAAATCATTTTATAAATCATATTCAATATTCAATAAAGTTTAAAGTTAGTTTTTAAAGTTTAATAAACCTTCTTTTTGAGCCTGATAACTTGTCATTTTTTTAAATGTATGAAGTTCAACAATATCGTATTAAATTTTTTAAAAATTATTGTTGTAAAAGCAGAGCTTTACAGTATACAAATCAAAATACTCAACAGTGAGACTTTGAACATAGCTCTATAAATCAGCAATATCAAGCTTTTAAGATAAATTAAAAGACTTAAATCCTTTTTATATGATTTCTGGTTTTGGAAGGAAAGCTATTGTTTACACTGCTTCATTAACAAAATCAATATCGGCTTGCTTAAATTGGTGAGTCTCAAAATAGTTTAATATTGGTATTACTCTATTTAAGTAAATATTATAAACATCGCCTTAAGAAAATAATTTTCCAAATATTTTGCTATATAAAATTTGAGAGAGACATTGGATTTTGAAATTCCCGCATGACAAAAGAATATAACTATATTCATTTTATATTTTTTAAATAAAGGCTGTCAACCCACAGTCTTCCAAGTTTATGTAATCTGGTCTAAATTTTAAAGATATTGGTACTGCCCATCCTCCTTCATTTTAGGCTATTTAGAGCTTGAAGTTGTTAATCTAAACATTTTCAGGATTTTTTAAATAATTTGATAATACCTTGTCATGAACTTTTTAAATATATTTTGGTATAATTATATTTATATTTTTTTTAATTGATTTTGAGCTAGAATATCCGAAAATATTTTCAAACTTATTTTAAACTTTTTTGATAGCACCAATTTCATTAACTAATGTAATAAATACCACACAAGTGTCTTTATTAAATATATTAAAATCAATTTTTAGATTTTCATTTTAGAATTATTTCTTTTTTTTAAAGATTTATTTTTTCTTTTATCCAAATCCTAAGTTATTTATAAAATTTTCAAAGTAAAATTGGAGCTTTTAGCTGTTTTGATTGATTTCGTTCAAGACTAAAAGCTAATGAAATAGGGATTCTCTCAACCTCATTAGGTTTTAAGCTTTTATCTTTAATTCATGTAAATCTATATGATCTTAAAAGAGCAGCAACAGTAAAGATTGCTTTTCTTGAATAGTAGTATAATACTGCTCTTCTGCTTAATTTACTAACTCATCAAAATTGATACCTACAATAAAGTTTGTTACACTAATCTTTTCATCAAAAGAAGCTCTGCTTTATTAAATATCTTCTTCATTAAGTTTTTAATCCTCAAAGTATTTCCAAACATCTTTTTAATTTTATTTTTTTTTATTTATTAAAGTACAAGAGATGTCTATTTATTTAAATTTATTTATAGCTTTCTGGAAAATGTAATTAAATAAAGCAATCTCTCTTTAAGATAAACTCATAAGTTTTTTTAGTTTGATGATTTCGCTAAAGCAAAGCACTTTACTTTAAGACATTTCAATTAAAAAGTTTAAGTATGAAAAAACAATATGATTAGTTATCGTTTTATTCTTAATTATTTCCTCGTATATACATTTATAATACATTTATCTGACATATCTATTCATAAATTTTTATCTGAGTTACTTTTCTAGTGTCATATCTTGAAATTGTCTTATGTCTTAAGGCTATATATCAAAATTAATTAAAAAATTGCATATTATGAATTAGATTTTATTATAGTTTATAAAAATGTTAAATTGAAGAAAATTATTTTAAAAATAAATTTAGAAAATTTACTGTTTTTTAAGTAAACATTTTTTTATAAGAAATAAATAAATACCTCTGTGTTACAAAAACAATCTGGGGAGTCTTCGCAAAAGGTGCAATGATCTGATGTAATATATTCTAAAACTATGGATTATTTATTGTCAATGTAATCTTTGTATTCTAATTTGATAACTTTCATCATAACTCTTAAATAAAAATCTAGATTAGTTGGATGAGCAATTATTTATTGCTTTTCCAAAGTAAAGTTATATAAATTATGCTGATAGTTATCAATTAAATTTGTGATTTTAATTGATATTGGTATTATAATAACTGCAACTAAAGTGATTGGGAAATAAGAATTTTAAAGCAAGGATATATAGACAAATAAACTTATTATGAAATGGTAAATTGATAAAATCTAATTAAAATATCTTATGTTTCTATTTTCATAACCACTTATTGAAATAGATGTTAATACCTTCAAAGTAGAAAGCAATATAGAAAATAAAAGCATAAGTTTAGGGTTATCTATTTATCTCAAAGCTATGCATGCACATGATTCTACAACAATAGAAAATAAAGAAATTTTAGTTGATTCTCGATTAGCTAAGCTATCGTATGATATTATGCTGTAATCTAAGTCATGAATACTGATAAAAATGCCTAATTTTTTTTAATTAAATTGAGAAATTTAAATAACCAAATAAATATCTTGAATAAATTGATTAAAACAAAATTTAGGCTAATATTTTTGGCGTTTTTTTTTAATTATAGAAATATAATTAATTGAATCATCATCTGTTTCCAAAAATTATTTTTAAAAAATTTTTAATGAATTTTTCTTTACTGTTTACTGGAAATTTTTATTAATTTCAACAAACCATTTTTTTAATTTTTTCTCTTAAAAAAATATCAAGATTTAAAAAATGTTTATTTTTTATTTACCTATTAAAAGAGTGGCAAAAATAAGATAAAGACCGACTAGATTACTTTAATGTACCTAATCGACTGAAAAGTAAAAGAGTGGGATGTAAAGGGCATAGTTAAATATTGAACAAAAGAATCCTAAATATATTCTAAAGACATTTGGGTATGACTCAGACTATTTGTACTAGCAAAAAATAAAATCACTCATTAATGCTATCAAAGCTAATCCTGTGATTATTATTCCAATATACATAAGAGACTTAGAATAAGAAACATCATAAAGTATTGAATATCTGCCAGTTTAATTGAGATTTATGTCTTTCTTATCTAATTCATTCATAACTTCTTGAGAAAACATCAACTAAATATGGAAAACAAATCTAATGAAAAGTAGAGTTTTCCCTAATAAAACTGGCCTTGCATATTGATTTATAACTGAAAAAATATTTTCTTCGTAGTAGGCTTTAATTTTACTTTTAATTTTGATGAAATAATTCATTGATATTTAATTAAATTAGAAATCTGTTTTTCTTTCTATATGAATTTGTTTAGATTTTAAGATATTATTAATTATTATTCAATTATTTTAAGAGTTCATTTTATAGAATAATAAAGGAATTATTTCAAGGGTATCTTATAAGATACTTTTATCATTAAACAATACTTTTCTGTTATCAATCTTTTACTTTTTTCCCTTAAAATATAAATCAAAATACACAGTTAACGTAAAACCTCATAGCTATATACAAAAATACAAAATCATATATTCTAATTAAATAAGTTAATATAGAAAACAAGATATAAAATCAAATAACTATTATATATATTTTTTTGTAAAAACTATACTTGATAACATAATTATTAATTTAATTTAAAATTCAGAAATTGCGGAAGTGACCACATAATTTTTTTGATAATATATGAAATAAATTATAAATCTAAGTAGAATAATTTTTAAATAGTAAAACACTTGTTTTTTTTGTTAAAGATTAAAGTTGAAATGCCTAATTAGAAAAAAAAAAATCCATATCATTACAAAAAATATTGTAAGCAATACAAATAAATAATGTAGACTTTCAAACTTTATTAAATGTATTAATTTCAAATAAATTTAAGTAAATATTCACGAATTGACTTTATCATACACATCTTATTCATCTTAAATAATTATCACATTTAACTAATTTTTATTTTAAATTTATCTAAAATGAATATTTGGATCTGAATTATTTTATTTTATTAAAAGATTAACGTTGAAATACCTATTAGAAAAAACAAATTCATTCAAATACAAAAAAAAAGTGTAGACTTGCAATTTTTTTTTAATGAAAAAATATAAGATAAATTTAAGTACATATCGACAAATAGACTTTACTATGACATATTATTGATCTTATATAATTATTTTATTTAGGTTTTATCTAAAATGAATATTTTGATCTGTGATTTATTTTGTTAAAAGATTAACTTTGAAATATCTTATTAGAAAAAAAATCCATGCAATCAAAAATATTGTAAGCAATAAAAAAAGAAATGTAGACTTGCAATTTTTTATTAATATAAAATAAATTTAAGTGAACATTCACAAATTGACTTTACTCTACACATATTATTCATCTTAAATAATTATCTCATTTAACTAGTTTTTATTTTAAATTTATCTAAAGTGAATATTTGGATCTGAATTATTTTATTTCCTTTTGGGAGTAAAACTTTCAATATTATCTGACCCTTAACCATGGTAGAACTCGTCTTAAGAATCTATTGAATAATCAATATTTTATTAATTGATTTCAACTTAAATGTGATCATTCAAATTTTCTTTTTAGTTACTACTTCTTTTAAATTTTTTTTGCATTTTACTTTTGTGATCATCTTTCAAGGAGTTTATTTTTATTTTGCTGTTTTGAGAGTAATCTTGTTTATCAAACGAAGAGTATCTTTACATTTAAATATTGGGGCTATTATTTTTGAGATTAATTATCTAAAAAGGATTATTTTCATTAAATTGTTCTTAACTATTAATTATATTTTGATCATCTTGAACTGATGAATCCTAGAATTAAAGATGATCAAATTAAACATTTTAATTTTCCTATAATATTTTAATTTATTCATCAATGTAACTGTCTTAGTTTAATTACATTTTATTCTATGAATAAATCTTTTCAAGTAGCTATCTCAAATTTAGTACAGTTTATTCCGATATCTGCAATTATAATAAAAGCTATTGCTTCTCTTGGAGGATTACTATTTTTTAAATAATTTGATATATATTATATAGAAAATAAAGTTAATTACTATTGCATTTATTTTAATATATTTAAGTGTCCTGCTGGCAGTTTATTAGTTAGTTTTTTAATGACTAAATTTCTTTCTCATAAGACTATTTTTGAGATGAAATACTTTCTTAGCATTCTTTTTTTTTTAAGTTAAACAATTAGATTTTTCTCAAGTATAATTCTTGCCAAGTGAAAGATATTTTTTGTATTTTTATTATATTTCTAGAAATTTAATTAAATTCCGCGGTACCAAGATTTAAAATAAAATCAGCTAAATCAAGATAAATTTGATGATATTGAAATCATTGAATGAAAAACTAAACAGAAAATTAATTAAATGTAAAATAAAATAAAAAAATTTTGGGATTTTATTTAAAGAAAATACCATTTATAACATTTTGCTATTTGTCTAACTTCTATTGTAAGTCTTTGACTTCTTTTTCTAAGTCATCTTTTTAAACTTACAAGTCTATATTTAAAAAATTTTTAGTTTGAATTTATTTATTTTTAAGTAAAAAAATAAAATAAAATTTAACCTGTGAATTCGCTATCTTTTTATTTCATTATATTCAAAGTTTAAGAGCATTCAATATCTATCGATTAAACAGTATTATCTAAAGCATAATATTTTTTAAGTGGGGATTTAGAATAACTATTTCGAATAGATTCAAAGACAACTTTTTGTTTTGTGGAAGTTGGAGATTTAAATGATTTTGGATTGGGAGAAAAACTAGAAACCTATTAAATTTCGCTTACTTATGTAACTAAAGAATTTTTCAAGTTTTAAGGATGAGAATTAAGAGTTGTATTTTTTTAATTTGATAAACTAATAATTGGTGAAATGCTATTTATTTTATCAACATACGAATTAATCTTTTATTTCAAAGCTATTTAAAATATTTAAAAAATATTTTATTTTTGTTTAATTTTAATTTAAAAAATAAATTAACTAAATTTTATTTTAGATAAATTTCAAATTTTGATAATTTTTATTAAAATCATAAATTTTTTGCAATTTTTTGCTTTTATTAAATTAACAAATAATAAATATCATTTAAAAATTACATTTATTTTCTTCAATTACTTTTTTTGCTAATTCATTCAACTAAGTATTATTTTACATAAGCCTTAAAATCATTTCTTTAGAATTTTCTATCAAATTTTAATCTGTTTCGAGTTCCTCATTTTTATTTTAATCTTGAAGATTTATCATTATTAATTTTAATTTTATTGATAAGTAAAATTACTTTTTGATGGCAACAAATCCCTTTTACTTGGAGACATGACACAATTAATTTACAAAACTGTTTCAGGAACTTTAATACCAGTTTAACTCAAATAATTTTTCAAGTTTAAATACATATTTTCTATCTGTTAAATAATTTATTTAAAAATAAGATATTTACAAGAATATATTTTATTTTATTTTACGGATTTCTTTTGCTATTTGCATGTATTTAATTCACTTTATACCTGTTAAAGCTTTCCTTCTAGAGATTCATCATTTAGTTTGTATTTAAATTTACTCGCTAAATTCTAATCTATGTAGTTTTTAACATATATTCAAAAAATATTTTACTTTAATTATATATTTTATTACCAGCAATTTCCCTAAAGTTTACTTAGAACTTCTCGTAATCTAAATTTGAAAATATTTTATCAGCTATAAAATTACAAATTTCAATTTGATCTTTCAATTTTTCAGTATAGTTTTCTAATTTATAAATGTATTAGCGCCTTTTTTCTAAATCTTCTTCGTTTTCTAAAAAAGAATTGTTATTTTTAACATTTACTAAAATTGCCTCTCTCTCCTTTACTACTTTTTAAAAGTTAGCCTCAGATTTGTCTTTACTTAGACTCTCCATTAGCAATTATATTCTTATCTTTATTTAGCTAGGTAAATCACACCAATAAGATACCGTTTTTTCAAAATTGCTAAGATGCTAACTTATTTTAGAATACTTGCTTGCAATAAAAACAAATCCTTTGGCTATATTTGATATTTTCGATTTGAGTGAATCAATATTTAGCATATCAAGATGAATTTTTTCATCTTAACCTTCGATTTACTTCAGCAATTGTTGAAGAGATTAATTGAGAGTCAATAGCTCACTTTATTAAACTTCCTAATTATCTATTTAGCAACTATTGCATAATGGTTCTAGATATCCCTACTCTTTAACTAATTTTATTAGTTGATTTTGATTTTAGATATCTTTTTATATTCTACTATTCTGTTATTAATAGCTACTCATTTTATCAAAAAAAAAAATAAAAATAATAATAATGTTAAAAATCAATATTTAGAAATTAAATTGTTTGTTGTAAGTAAATATTTGTTTTTTGAGATATCGTTAAATTTTATTAGATTTATTCTCCTCCAGTCAAATATATATATTAATATATATTATCCTAAACGTGCTTTTGAATTTTTATTTTTAAAATAAAAATAAAGCTTCTTAAATAATAAATGGATTTGAAATTTCAAGTCAATAAATTACATTTATTAAATAATATTTTATTATAGATCTAAATAAATTGGAATTTTATTAATTTTTATTATTTTTTTATTTGCTTAATTTCGATTAATAATTTAGTAACCTAAAAACTAATTTTTTGAAATTAATTCGAAATTTTTTTAGGAAAAAATGTTTTAAAAGTATTGTTAAGTGTTTAATTTATTGATTAATTAATAAACTTTGTTGATATATCCTTTACATAATATGTTATTAAATTCAAGAATATTTTATCTATATTAATGGTATAGGTTAATCTATTTTTGTCTCTTTCATAAAAAATCTATTAGCAGTTTTCGAATAATTTATGATAATAGGCCTTTTAAAAGTAGTAAGATAAAGTAAATTTGAAAGAAGACATCCTCTCATTTAATTAGTATTTTTAATACCACTTGAAAAGTAAATAAATCATGTTAAAGGCAATTAGTTAATTAGTTAGTAAGTAAATCAAAAAATAATCTTATTATTTTTAGTAATTTAGGTACTGAAAAACTCTAAATATTCTTTTTAGGAAGACATTAATTTATTTACAAGCAAACTAAATATTTTATTATAAAATGAATGATAGACTTAAGGAATTGAAAAATGTAACCTTTTAAATAAATATTTAGATTGCTCGCAAAAGCATTTTTTGATAAAATTTTATGCTTTTATATTTCTAATCAAATAAAACAAAATTTTATTTTATAGTTTAGGTAACATGATGGAGGATAAGCGAACAATAATCCAAGCAAAGTTATGAAGTAAAGTGTAGACTTAGAAAGCCAACTCAGTGATTAGTCTATGAACCTTGTCCCAAAATATTTTTAAGATGATATATAGAATTCAAGAAACTTAATTGAAAAAATTAAAGCTAATACCACATAGTTAGAAGAACTTAAAGATGAATACTCTTAAGCTACCAGATCAGCTAAAGAAAAAGGTAATTATTACATTAAAAATGCTATTTATTCTCAAATAGTTAACAAAAAGATAAATAAGAAGTTTATTTGATAGTTGTTGATTTCATTTAATATAAAATTAGAATTAAGCGAATTGATTGACATGAATTTGACTGATAATACAAAGTATGTAAATTAACTGAAGGGTATATTAGATAGAATTGGTTTAGATGTCAAGCAAGCAAAAGAAGATAAGGATGTAAAAAATATATTATATGTTCATAATAATATATTTTTATTATTATTTATGAAATATTAAAGAGACAAGGTGATGCATAAAAGAAATAAAATCTATATAATTAAATCGTATAAGCTTCGCAATAAACCTTACTTGAATCTTAAAAAGCTTAAGATGCTGCTAAAATAGCTTTGAAAAATAAAACATCTAGATAAATAAGATTAATTTCTCCTGATATGACTGATGAGTAAATTGAAGAGATAGCTGAAGATCCAAACGTAAGATTTAAATTTTGATAGATTGTTTTCTTATTATAATTATTTTTTACTAGAGGGCTTAATAAATATTTTAATAAAAAATGTTTAACAGTGCTAGCATTCAACTTTAAAATGCAGTATCTGACGTATAAGATAAATATAAGGACATCCTTAAATTGCAAAGAGTAAATTCTAAATTTTAAAAAATATTTTTAAAATCAAATTAATTTTTAATGAAGAGTATTATGGAGTTGCACAAAATGATGCAAGATCTAGCTATGTTAGTCGCATATTAAGGAGAAGTTATAGACAATATAGAAGTTTTAGTTGAGTAAACTGTGAAAAATGTTGGTAAAGCAAATAAAGCTCTTACAAAAGCTAAAGAGCATCATTAATCTGCTAAAAAAGTAAATATTATTTAATAAAAAAATTTTTATTAAATATTTTTTAATATTTAGAAAATGTGCATTTTATTAGTTATAGTTGCTGTCGTTTTAGCCATTATCTTAGGAACTACTTTAAAATGAGTGAAAATATTAATTACATTTCATTATAAATATAAAAAATTATTAAAGCTTAAAAAAACATTAATAAATTTAAATCTATTTATCAAGCAAGTATATTATATATATTCTTATATAAAAATGGGTATTTATTCAAAAATTTATTCTTAAATTATTATTTAATTAATTAATTCTTTCTTTCTTTTTAATTTAGGCATTTTTATTAAAAAATAAAAAAAATCCGAACTCCCGGGTTCGAACCGGGGACCACCGGATGACTACAAACTTTACAGTCCGATGCTCTTCCAACTGAGCTAAGTTCGGTTCGGTGAATGTTCTGTTTTTAATTGCAATATTTTTTTAATTTATGATTAATATTACAAATATAGCATATGTTTTTTAACAAAAAAAAAAATCCGAACTCCCGGGTTCGAACCGGGGACCACCGGATGACTACAAACTTTACAGTCCGATGCTCTTCCAACTGAGCTAAGTTCGGTTCGGTGAAAATTTTAATTATAATTAGAATATTTGATTAACTATTCAAAATAAAAATTATTAAAATAATATCAAGATACGAAAAGATAAATAATTCAATTACACAAAGTTGAAATTGAACAAATAAAAAATCCAACCAAAATTCAATGAGCAAAAAGCTTTAAAGTTAAAAGAAATTTTAATTGCTATATTTATTTACATGAAAATTTATTGAGGAATTAAAATTAAATATATTCTAAGATTTATCAATTAAGCAATCTATTACTTATTTAAAATTGATTTTTTTATCAATTTATCATCTGAAAATAATCATAAAAATTTATTTATTTATTACTTTGTTGTAATTATAAAAAACATTATTCTTGAATTATTTTTTTTTGAAGATATTAAAAAATAAATTACAAAAAAGCAAAAATTATGAAATCAGAAAATAAAAATAGTGAATGTTTATTAGAAATTGAGAACGTTTAGCAGTAAATACATTTAAAAGTTTAATTAGGACAAACATTCATTTATATTTTAGAATTCCATAGCTGTCTCCAAAGGAGTTATTTAACAATCAGTACAAAGAAATAAGGGTTTAAATGTAGAATTTAACATGTACGAATATTTAAGAAAGCGGCTTTTACCAAATCACAAACTTTCTAAAAAAGATTAGTCCAAATAAATTGGAGGTTCTCTTAATTAATTTGGAATGGTATATATTATATAATTGAAATATACTTTAACTAAATAATAATATAAACTTTTCCATAAGATTCATTTTTTAATAATCACAAGTTCTGAAGGACTAGCTGAAAAGCTTCGCTATACTTTCGAAGAAATATTTGAGTTGAGAAAAGCCGTAATTAATTACTTAAAAATACAAACTATATGAATTTAGAAAATATATTTTTGATTTAGTTATCACCTTTGATGAAAAAATTAAAAGTTTTTTAGCTTAATTTGAACAACTGGGGCTATTAAAATTTAGGGCTGATGCCAGATAGCTGCTTTCCTCGTTTTTTTACAGATATTTACTAATAAATGGAAATGATGGAAGAATTAACTATCAATTTAAAAAGGTAAAATTTTCAAAATAATATCTAATATATACTCAATCATTTTAAATACATCAACAAATAAATAAAAGCATAGACCACAACAATTCTACAACTAAAATAACCTTGTTCTCAATTATAGAAAATATAAAATTTGACAAGTTAAGAAAGCTAAGCATTGACATTGAACATCCAATTAACATATTTGCATAAAATAGATTTTAAGTAATTGATTAATAATTAGTATATTTTTCTTTGATAGCAAAAAAATACTAATTGAATATGAAAAGCCTTCCTAATTTGAAGCAATGTTTTAGAAGATAGTAGAAAAAGGCAAGAGTTTGCAATCTTTAAAATTAAATGTAAACAGGTAAGTTGTATTACTGAGTATATTCATTTACTTTTAAATTTTTTGTCATTAAAATTAAAATAGATTTAATTTGAGTATGAGATCGTTTCAAATCCTAATAGAAGGTCTAAAAAATTTTGAAAATTTAGAAGAAATTGGACTTTATTTGTTATAGTAAATCTAATTAATTTGATTATTAATCAGCAAAAAATTATTTCTAAAACAAAAAAGAAAGAATGAAATAGAAAATGAAGAGATCATTGAGTCATACACTGAGCTGATTAAAATAATTTTTAATTTACCAAAAATAAAGTTTATAGAACTTCAGCATGGCCTACATAGTATTGAGCAAATAAATATCTAATTCATCTAAAATTTGACAAACTTACTAGATTAAAAAACCTTATCAATGAAAATAGTTTCATTTAAGCTAAAAATAGCTTCTGCAAATTACTCCCAATCAGATATTTATCTAAAATTTTTAATAAAATATGGTCGAATTTTTGGCAGAGGCCATGAAGAATTTCCTTTTGTGATGTAACAAGTTATTATTTACAAAATATTTTACTTATTTTATATTAATTAAAAAGGAGAATGGGTGATAAATAACATTCAATTTTTCAAAAGGCATATTATTTTGGAGTAGCTTCCAGAATTTAGACTATCTGTATGATAAATTAGATTTAAAAATATTTAAGTAAATTTAGATCAGATATTATTTATGACATACATGACAAATGCTTTTGATTTAACAATATAAACAATTTGTTTTTAAATTATTTAAATAAAAATTATTTTTATTAAGAAGCTTTTCGATTATATTCTCTTTCTTTTAATCAATGAAAATTTAGTAAAGATTTTTAAGAGATATTTATTTCTTCTATTAAGCAATTCTTTATATATTTTTTTAAATGAATGAAAGTCAAGTAAAGATTTTAAGAGGTATTTCTATAAAGCTAGCGTTTACCAGTTTATATGAATAAAGAAGTTAAAAAAAGATTGAAACCATTTAGTTTTTACTATTTTTTAAATTAAATATTTATTTTTTAATAAAAATATTAAAAAAACATTCAAAAATTAAATAAGCAAATAAATACATATTTACAGTTTACACATTTTATTGCTAACTTAAAGAGGTATTTATCTTTATTAATCAAGCACTACTAGTTTATAATTTTTACTTTCAAAATTAATAAAGTAAAAGCAAATTGAAATAATTTTAACAGTTTTTAAAAAATATATTTAATACAAAAAATAAAAATCAAATAAAATAAATTTAAGTTATTTTAATAAATCTATTTTCTAAAAAATTTATTTTATGAATTATTATGATTAAGCAAATAAATACATATTTACAGTTTACACTTTTTTTACTTTCAACGAATTAAATAAAGTAAAGAAAGAAAGAGTCATTTACTACCAGTTTATTATTTTTGATTACAAAATTAATAAAGTAGTAATAAATTGAAACCATTTTAAAAGTTTTTTAAAATTATCATTAATAAATATAAAATAGAACACTTAAAAATTAAAGAAAATTTAAGCTATTTTAATAAATCTACTTTTTCATAAAATTTATTTTTTGAACTAAAACGTATTTTTATTCATATTTTTGGTGATATATAAACAATTTTTATTTGATATTCAAGCTTAAAAACACTTATTACTTAAAATTTTTGATTTTTCTAAATAAGGATTCTAATGTTTGCAAAAAAATATTTAAAAAGCAAAAATAGGAAAATAGATGAATTCAAAAAACTTTTGTAAAATTTAAAGCATTATCAAAATAAAATTGTGTTAATCTACTTTAAAAATAATTGAGAACCCAATAAATTTTAAACGATAATTTAATTGCTAACTGTTGATTTCTTTTAAGAATATTTTAATATTTTTTTAATACTAAATTTTCAATTTAAAAATTTTTATGAAAAGTGTACTAAAAAAATGTCAAAAAGAAAATAAAATTTATTTTTAGAAGAAGATTGTATGAGGCTAGACTAGAGTAGGATATACAATTAATAAGTAGGTTTTTAGTTCGATTATAATTTGGAATAATGAAAATTTAATCAGTTTACTTGATTAATTTTATATTAAATTTAATTTACTTGAAAGAAATTTTAAGGTAATAAGCTCTTTTTTTAGCAGAAATAATTAAAAACAAAGGATATTATAAGTCCAAAATTCAAGTTAATTTACTGATTATTTTTTTTGATAATTAATTAAATATTTTATGATTAAAGGCTTGAAATAAATATATAAGTATAGATAGAGGTTTTTCAATACCAAAAGGTAGAGTTTTAAACAAAAGCACATAAATTCAGCCTACTCAATTTTACTTCAACTAAAGCAACATAGATATAGATTAAAAAGAAACCACACTTGATCAGACGAAAAGTAGAAATATTGCTGATAGTTCTAGTCTATCTATATATTTTAAATGATAATCTAATAAGATCATGAAAAATTGCTACTTAATAAGTGGCTATTATGCTTTAAATCTAAAAATATTGAAATGTCTTATTAACTTTAAAGGAAAAAGTATTTCCCTGCTAAGATTAGTTATTTGATTATTCTATAATTACTAATTCAAAGTCTAGCGCTCATTTATGCCATTATTTATCATTAAGGCTAAGCTAGGCTAAATTATCTTATTTTTTTTTTCATTGCTATAGACATCATTAATTTGAAATTAATGGCTAAGTGCTTCGATAAAATACTTATTATTGTATAGTTAAAATCTTTTTTAAGTCTTATCTTCGCTGTTGAAGTATTCTATGTCCAGCAAGAATTAAATATACCCTCATGCTATTTCTTGATCTATTTTCTTGGATATATATCCATTTGCGGTAAGTCGCACTTATGGTACAATCAGATATTAATTATAATAGTATTGCTAGTTTATTTCTACGCTAGAACAGATTAAATATTATAAATAGGAAATATATTGATATATATTCTATTTTAAGTCATAAAAATCTATTTTGAGGAAAAAGATTAGCGCCTTTAGTACTATGACTTATTTAGAGAGAATAAAATTAATGAAAATTTTCAAAACCTAATAAAAAATATTATTCCTTGTGGCTTATTTGTATGCTCTAAGCCTAGTTAGTAAAAATAAATAGTTAAAAATATAATTGATCAAGAGGAAGTGTAAACTAAAGATTAAGTTTAATCTTAATTTAATGATCTGTAAGTTAAATTTGTAAATCGCTAATGTATGCAAGATTTGGATATAGCAGATGGTCAACACACAATAACGAAAATAGAATAATTCAAAAATATCAACAAATACAAAACAATATCGAATGCCCCATTAGTTGATAAAAATTAAACAAATAAAACAAAAATAGCTAATTTAAATTCAATTGATCAAAAAAAAGATTTCACATTAAACTAAGTCATTTATGACTATTTAAATACTAATATCAATGACTACATCAAGAGTATAGAAATGAAAAATAAGCCTGAATAAACATTCTTGAATGTTCCTTATGAAAATGGTTTTTATGAGACAAAGTAAATTAATTTAAATTTCATTTTATTTTTTTAAAAATATAATTCTTTGAATAAAATATGAATTATTTCATATTCATTTAAATATAAAAAATGTTTTTAAGAACAATATTTCAATGAAAATATAATAAAGAATAATTTTTATTGATTATTTTAAATCTAAGATATGAATTATTTCAATACAAAATTATTATTCAATCTTTGAAATATAAAGAAAATGTTTTTAAGGACAAAATTTAAATGAAAATAAAATAAAACATAATTTTTTTTATTGAATATTTTAAATCTAAGATATGAATTATTTCAATACAAAATTATTATTATCAATCTTTTAAATACAAAGAAAATGTTTTTAAGGACAATATTTAAATGAAAATAAAATAAAACATAATTTTTTTTATAGAATAGTTTAAATCTAAAATATGAAATTATCTCATTCAATATTTTAAATACAAAATAGAAAATGTTTTTTAGGATAATATTTAAATGAAAATAAAATTATTTGAAGTTAATTTTTATGGTTTAATTCATAATAGTAAATTTTTTTAAAATTAGGTTTTTTGATATAAAACTTGTTAATTGTTAATGGGATAATACAGAAGCCTGCCTGTGTGTATTGATAAACTTGAGTTAAAAAGTTTTAAATGAAAGATAAAATTAGCTTGAAGAATATTAAAAGAGAATGATGTCAACAATAACACACAATTTAAAGACACCTTTAAATGGAATTATTCTACTATTGTAGAGTCTAATTTAACAAAAAGATCAAATTCCAGAAGAATTATATTACTAAATTATTGATATATATACTAATAGTGAGCTCCTGCTTTGTATGATAAATGATGTAATTGATTATTCGAAAATATAATCAGACAGCTTTAAGTTGGTCACACAAAAATTTAACATCAGTAAGCTCCTTTATGAAATCAAAGACATGTATGCTACATAACTCGAGAAAAAATAGCTTTAACTCATATTAGACTATGAAAATTTAAAAGATTTTACATTTAACACTGATTATGAGAGACTAAAATAAATTCTTGTTAATTTGACTGGAAACGCGCTAAAATTTACTTTTGAAGGCTATATTAAGATTGTTATCAAAGAATCTAACTTAGACTCAAATATTGTAGAAATACAAGTCACAGATACAGGAAACGGAATTTCTAAACACATAAAATAGAGTCTACTCCAAAAAAAAATTACTGATAACCACAAACATAAATTAGATAAACAATCAGGTAGGCAGGAGATTATTTTATTCAAAAAAATTAACTTTGTTAAACAATTTTTTATTAAAATTAGGTTCGGGCATAGGATTAAACATTTGCTAATAATTAGTTGAAAAGTTAGGTCCACATTCAAAGCTATTTATTTAATCAGTAGAAAAATAAGGCACTAAAATTTCATTTTATCTTTATAAAAATTTTAATCGGAATCGATTGGCTTCTCAGCAAAATCATGTGCAAAAATCCAAACAAAAGAGATTTAGTCTTAAACCTTAAAACTTTTCTATGAATACATTCAAGTCTGATATATATTCTTATGAAGATAATCAAAACTCTAACAACTTTATTAAAATAAATGATAAACTTTAAAGCAATTCAAACTATGAAAAGAAGAGAGGTAAAAAAGAGACTTTGGCTATTCTTGGAATCAATAATCCGATTAACAATCAACAAATGTCTACAACTGATAATTTAATTTCTTAATTTGGATTTTAGATACCTTCACAAGATTAAATAAGATAATAAAAATAATCTATTATTAAATAGCTTATTGATGAGAAGCAAAAGAAGGATTTTCTCAGAGAAAGCTTCGAGTCATACTAGCTTCATGAAAATGATGAGTTTAACTAGATAAATAGCAAAAATATCAATTTGTTAAATTAAGAAGATTTCATAAAGCATAAATTATCGGTTGATATTTAAAATTTGAGAAAAGCAAGCGTTGGAAGGTAGAAAAGCACCTCAAAATTATCAGAAAAGAAATCCATCAGCAAAACTAATTCTGAAAACAGGAGATCTTAGAGATAAACGATATCGAAATCATTTATATTGGAAAGTGTTGGAGAAATTGAAGAATTCACACTAGAGTTAAAGCATAATTTCAATGTGAACAAACCAAGAAATAAAGTAAACAGTATTTATAATCTGTTCTCTAATACTAATGTATTAGGTAAATTAGATTATTAGCTTTAGGATAAAAAGTAAGCATCATATCTATGCTAAGATGAAACTTCAAATAATTATTTATTGATTCAAAATATGGAATAAATCAAATCAGAACAAAATACTCTGATTAACAACCATCAAAGTAGCTTGTAATCTCCGCTTTCACAAAATTTTAAGTTCTTAAGCATAACAGAATAGCCACTTCTAACCAATATTGAAAGTCCTTCAAACCAGTATTTTGCTTCAAACTTTGCGTAATAGTAGTAAATTAAATATTAAAAGTCTAAATTTGATTAATTTAATTAGAAAAACTCAGAAGATAATGTTTCTAGTGATATTGATGATTTAAAAAATAGTAGTTCTTAAAAGTCTAAAGATTAGCAATTCTAAATAACCTAATACATAAATGAAAATCAGAGCTAATATAAAGATAATCAATCTAATTAAAAAAGATAAATTGAAAATCACTAAAATGTTTCAAAATTAATTTATTAGGAGCTTCCAAATTCAGAAGAAACAAATAAACACTAATAAAATTCTTAATATGTAAATAATAATAAGACACAATAAAGTGTTAATAATAATCAGACACAACATAGCAGAAGCTCGAGTTCTTAAATGAATTTAAGTTAAATTAATGTCAAAGAAAAAGATGCAAAATTTAATACTCAAAATGATGAAACAAACGATTAACATAACCCCAAAAACTATGAAAAATATATTTTTAAAAGCCATAGAAATAATTTGAATTTTTAAAGTGAAAAATAATTTTAATTTAAAAAATTTATACTTCAAAATGATCAATTTAAATCTAATGATTCCTCGAATACTTACAACAACGAAACATACGATGCAGAATAAAACTTTAACTATTAAGACTTTGATAATTAAAAAAACTAGAATAAATAGTAAAATGATGTTTCTGGCTTCAAAAATCTATTCTAGAAATAATACTCGATAAATTTATTGTAATAAGTGCCTTCTAAAAGTGACTGTAAACTGCATAGAACTATGTCTGAAAAGTAAAAATATTCAGAAGAGCATTCAAATAACTAAATAATTCAGAAAAGCCTAATTCAAAGTTATAGAGAATTATAAAAGCATGATCAAATTGTGCTGTAAATTAATAAACCAATTAATAGTAATTTCAATGAAGTGAATTAAAAATATCAATCACTAAACATAGCAAACATCACTAGAGATCATGAATAGTATATTAAATAAGCTTTAGAAGGAAAAAAAATACTTATTGTAGATGATACAATGTTCAATGTTATTGCTTTGAAAGCTCTTCTAATGAATATAACAAAAAATTCAATAGTCATTGAAGAAGCTTTCAATGGTAGATAGGCTATGCAAAAAGTACTGCAAAGCTAAGAATTATTTGATTTAATATTTATGGATGTGAATATGCCTGTTATGGATGGATTATAAGCCACAGAAAATATCAAACAAATTGACCGTAATAATAAAATAATTATAGTTACTGCATTTTCAGATGAAACAAATAGATCTGAATGCATAAGTATAGGTGCTGATGGATTTTTAACAAAACCAGTAAAAATTAAAGATTTAGCTACTCAAATATAAAGTGTTTTTAAATTGTACAACAAATATTGAATTAAACAAAATAATTAAATTCTTAATTATAAAAAGTGAGTTAATTTTGCTTAAACTTTCTTGATAACTAATTATTATATATTAAAATTAATTAACTACTAAATTATTAAACAGCATATAACAAAAACAAATATGTAAAATTTTATATTATTAACTTGTAAATTATTTAATAAACAAATAAATCATTTCTTCTAGATAAAATTAACTTTTATTCATTTTTCTTTTAATTATTTATTTCATAAAAATAACTTTAATTATTCAACATAGTTCAGCTAAATTACAATTATTTTTACTTTGAAGTATTTTTAAAGTAGAAAAAGCAAAATATTAAATCTTGACTTTTAATTTGAATGTTTGATATAACTATTTGATTTTTAAAAGTTTAAATTATTTTATTATTTATATAAAATATCTAAAAAAATTTAATCTTTGCAAAAAAAAAAAATCTAATTCCAACATTTAAAATATTAAATTTATGTTTATCATTTTTTTTATGACTACTTTGTAAATAAATTAATAAAGAATGTTGATTTTTCAAATAGCAAATTTATTATTTAATTGTTAAATTAATCTTGAAGAAATTAATATTTTTAACATTCTTTAATTAAGTTTTCAGTGGAAAAGTTCAGTTAATCCAACATATAATTAAATTTAAAGGAAATTTTTAGATCATCATTTAAATTTTGATTTTTATAAATTTTAAAATAAATTTTTATAAATTCATTAATCTCTGATAAACTAGTTAAAAGAATGATAGAAAAAATATAAATTATTTATATCTAAGAAAAATAATTTTAATTAATTCATTTATATTTTGAATATAAAATAAATATTTTTTTGTATCATTTAAGATGTAATTTTTAAAGGCTAAAACATATAAATAAATAATTGGATTATTTAATTATATATTTTTTTGTAGATAAATTACTATATCTATAAAATTACTTTTAAATAAATAAACACTATTATAAAAATGAATGCTTTCATTCAGTCAGTCAGAGTACTAGAAATGATTTTAGATTATTTTTGCTACAGAACTATAAACAGATTCACTTTTATGGCTCTATAATTCTTAAAGCATTCCAGACAAATTGTATTTCTCTAATGAACTAAGGATGACATTCTCACCATCAGCTGTAAAAATTTAAGCAAATGAATGCAATAAATAGTCAATTCCTTCCAAAAGACCTAGGATTAATCTTGTATCTTATGTATTCATAGACCTGATATATTTTCCCATAAAATCACTTGAAATAATTTTTTTCATTTAATTATGATTTCCTCCCTTAAAAACTTATATTGCCACATACAGAATTTCTCTTTTTACCTAAGTATTAAAAAATTAAAATAAAGTATTGTTATTATAAAATATTTGCTTACATCACTGCTTTAATAATCAAAAGTATCTAAAAATAATTTATATATTGGATGGTCCATGACATATTCTATGTATTTTGAATTAGTGCAAATATTACTGACTGACCAAGCTATTTCTGCTTTAAATATATGACTATCTCTATAATATTCATATAAGAGTTTAAAGGCATCTAAGATATTTTAATTAAGCAGATCTTCACAGAACTCATCAGGTCCAGCGATTACGTTAAATATAAATCTAGATATTATTTAAACAACAATAATATCAAATTTTGAGCAATTATTCATAATAAATAAGAATCTTTCTATCAAATTGACATTTTTTATTTTTTGCAGCTAATAGAAATAACTAATAAGTGCATCTTAAGTGTTTACAGAATCTAAAATATTAAGAACAAGATTTCTTGTTGTTTTAACGTCCTATGATTCATAAAACTTTTCATCACAAGCTAAATCGAAACTTATTTCTATAAGCTTTTTAAACTATTTGATATAAGTATTTGAGTTAAAAATTAATTTAACATAAATATTAAAAACAAACAAATTACATCTTTTGTGCATATTTTGCTCTTAAATTTTCCTTAATTTTTTTCTAGAAAAACAGATATTAGCCATATGTAATCTTTGATTCCTTCATAGTATAATTATCCATAATTATCTGTATTAAGCTTATCGAGAGAATGAATTTAGAATAAAATATCAATTAAATTTTGCTCATATAGCATTTCTTTTAATTTCTTGTTTCCTGAAATTAAGTTTCCTGTCATAAACAATCCCTTTTAAATTATTAAATGAATAAACTTCAGTTTATTTAATCGTTTATTACATATTCTATTATAGTAGATTCGTTTGATACAAGTGAATTTAGCACAACATTGACTACTCTGTTATTGATATAACTTTAAAGAATTTAGTTATCTGCATAGAAGAGAGATCCTAATAAGTTATATACATTGCTTTGTAAATAAATAAATTCTTTAAAAATTTCTTCTTCTAAAATAGGTAGTATCACATCAATAGTGCCAAGTTTTAATGTCTACTCAATAAGGTATTAGTCGTTAGATTTTATATCTATGACAGTTTCTATAATATATGTACAATAATCATTCATTTGTTCAATGAGCTATTCGTTTAACTCAATTCTAGCCTGCTATAATGATGCTTGAATAGAATTTAATAATTGCTAAACATATAACATTCTATCCTAAAGCAAAAAAAAAGTAAATATTTTAACTGTTGATTGAATAAACAAGTGAGTACTTCTTAATTGTTGAAAGTAGTCCTATGCACAAATTCTTTATTAATTGCTAAAATTGGTTTACTTCTCGACTTAGCTAATAATTCATTCATTTTCTTTTTTCTAATTTCTACTCTATAGTTTTCTTTCTTTTTAGAAATGATATCCCTATAATCATATTCTTCTTGTTCGTGCTACTGTTCGTTCTAATCATTTTATTCGCTTTGATAGCTTGTTAATTTATCAATTTATTCCATTTTATAATTTTATAATTTTTTTTTTTTTTTTTGAATTATTAAAAATAATAATCAATATTAATCTTTTTGGCGCAATTTAAATAAATTATACTAAATAAATATCTAAATCTTGCTTCAATTTAATCAGAATTAAAAATTTTTACTTTTTTACTATTTTTGATATTATTTTCCAATCAAAAAAAAAACAAGTCATTCATAAAATTTTATGTTTGTTTAAACTAAATTAAAATAATTTTGCTTCAAAAATACACTGCAAAATAAAAAAATCTTGAACTATTTTTAATTGAAAATTTAATAGAAAGAATATTTTTAAATTAAACATTATTTATACTTAAATTTCACTAAAAATTCAATAGAATAATTTTTTTTAAGGGAAATAGAAAATGCATCATCAAATATTTTTAAATATTATTTATTTATTATAAAATAAAGTTTTTAACTATTAAAATTTTAATCTTATATTCTTCAATTGTTCTTTTTAGAGCCTGGTTAGCAAATTTCTCTCACACTCTTATCGATAGATTCAGCAAATGCTTCCAATCCAAACTTTTCGATAGCCCTCTTTCTGCCGTTTTGTCCCATCTCAGCTGCTTTAGAGGGATTCTTAGCAATCCAATCCATTTTTTTTGACCAATCGGATGGATTACTTTATAAAAGAAATCCTGTTTCACCATCAACAACACTCTCCTTTGGGCCACCACTATTGCAAGCAAGTACAGGACGCTTCATATACATGCATTCAACAGGAACTATTCCGAAATGCTCGTTTTCTGGTGTATATAATACTGCTTGAGCAGTTTATAATAATTAAGTTCTTTCTTTGTTTGAGATACTAAATTTAAATACAACTTTGTCTTCCACATTTAATTCTTTAGCAAGAGACAATAACTCCTTATGGTGTTCAACATTTTCAGCTATTCTTTCATCATATCCTCCAGCAATTATAAGCTTAAATTGATTATTAGAAGCTGACTCCTTGACAAATTATGCAAATGCTTAAATAGCTAAGTTAATATTTTTCTTACGTTCATAACGGTTGAGTGACAAGAAAAATGGGCTTGCCTTTGAATCTACTGGTGCTGATTATTTTATAGTATCATCGAAGCTTGAAAAGTCTATTGCAGGATATAATATTTCAGGATTATTATATTTACTAAGATATTTGAATGATCTCTAGTAAACTTCACGTGTAAAATTACTATTAACTAAAATTTTGTTAGCAAATAATAAGCTGAATTCTTCTATGTAGTCTAAAAAAAATCTATATATCTTTTTCAAAATAGATCTTCTTTCAACACAGAGCAACTTGTCAGGATAATGACAGTAAAAAAGGCATTTTCTATTGAAAAGACGAAGTAGAGGAACTGCAGGACTTACCTGATTTATTTATTTATTTATATTTTTAAAAGAATTATATTAACAAAATATTTGAAATATAATAAACAAAATGTTTGTTTAAATTATTCAAATGAATGTTTCATGTCTAATTTTATATCAAATAGATAGCATTTTTAATTATTTATTATATTGTTTCAACTTATTTAATATTTTTTCAATACTAATCTCTGACTTAATAAATCCATATTTAACAAAATGTATTTTTACCTAATCTACAATGACTACATCAAATTTAAACCCAAAGCAAATCAAATATAAAGTACAAAAAATGACTCTAATAGTAGCACAGAGAGCCCAAAGTTTACCAAATATTGTTTAAGGTACTATGGCTCCTCTCACTTCGACGGGTATAGTTCCATCTATTGTTGCTTAAAAGCAGTGCTTAGGATCATGATATGGAGTGTAGATAATTACATTATGCCCTTACTTTTTAAGAGCAACAGCCATATTAACTATTAATTATTCAGCTCCTCCTATACCTAAATCAGGATGAATAAATCCTATTCTCAACTAAGATTTACTTTCTGACATTTTCTCAAAAACCTTAAAAGAATTTTTTCGAAATAAAATTTTTTTCTGTTGAAATAAATAATTTACTAAAATTAAATATATAGAAAGCTTTTAGATACTATTGATAAATAACTAAAATCAAATTAAATATCATAAAGCTTTCTACATAATATCTATTTGATATTCATAAAAAATTGACATCAAAAAGTAACAAACAAAAGTAAATATCCTTATATCAAAAGATTTTAATTTTTTAAAACATTTTACAAAAACTCTTTTAAAAATTAAATTATTTATTTATTTATTTATTTTCATAACAATATTAAGTAATTAAGATTGATATAAAGGAATACTACAATTTACTTAAAAAAATATTAAAATGAAAATATATTCATATTCAATATATATCATATCAGATAACACACATAATTAGTTAATTATTTATTTATTTATATGTAGGTTAGTAAAACTATATTAAATTAAGTTTGTTTTATCAAATAGATTGATAGTTGAATAGAATCTAATCAAAAATAGCAAGACTCTAAAAAAATTCTTCTTGAGAGATGCCATATTTTTCATATTAATATAAATATGCTTTTTCTCTATACATTTAATGAGCTCTATTGGAAATAGTTTAAAGTGGCTCTACACAAAATTACGAATTAGAAATCATCGATATACTCTTTTCATTGTTATTGAATTGATGTGAATCTTTATAGTACCTATAATTTACCCTCTAATTCTTATAAATTAAGGGCTCTGCAAACATTTCAAACTTTTATTTTTAAACATCTATCCCTCTCCCAATTAGTATATTTCCTAAACTCCTAATACCAGAATCTATCTTTTTACTCCAATTAATATTACTTTCCATACTATTACTTATTTACATTTAAAATATCCTTTTTTCTAAAGCAGACCACTAATCATTTTAAAAACTTTTACTAGCATCAGGCATTTGTGGAACATTTCTTATACTCAAAATTTTATATCTTGGATCTGTTAGTAACAAATCATAAATATCATTAAAATATCTAAAGTTATTTTGGAGGCTAGAAAAGTAATTAACTTGTTATTACTAACCAGATGAGTTTTTTTGAGACTCTGGTAGTACAGGAAAGAGTACAGAAGAAAGCTGATGAGCAATAACCTATTACACACAAAAAAATATTTACCAAAATATTCTAAATTTTAATGATATTTATTATTACTCTATTCATTTCATTTAAAGAAGGTCTTTTAAGATTGAGCAGCTTATTGCATATTTCTTCAATCTTATCATTCTCAACTAAAATAATCCCATCTGTATTTTAATATAAGCTTGTTATTGTAAGGACACAATTATAACTTTAGAGTATAACTTCTCCTGTCAAATGTGGAGCAACACATACATTCATTTTATTTAACTCAGGGTATTCATCATTTATCATTTCAAGTATAAACGACCCTAATCCACTTCCAGTACCTCCAGCCAAAGATTATAATAAAAATATTCCTTCACAAAAGTCAATTTATTCTAGCAATTTTTAAAAAGTTTATAGAATTTTATCTCTACATTTTAATCCATGTACATTATAACCATAAGCCCAATTATTACCAGAACCTTCCTACTATGTAAAACAATTTGTAGGATCAAATTCCCAAACATCATTTTAATGAGAATTCAAACAAGATTATACAACCTTAAAATTAAAAAGCAAATTTAGTCTAATATAAATTCTTTTTAAAAAATAAATTCAATCATATTTTTGAGTCGAAATGTGTTTATAAAAAATGTATAATGTAATAAATAATATTTTGTTATTTTTAAATTGTTTATATTTTTTTAGCAAGGGATTTTAATGCTTTTGATTATAAGAAAAAGATGATATTTACCTTAGGTTCCATATCAATTAAAAGTGATTTAGCATAATTTTTAACACCTGATTTTTCTTCTTTCTAGTAAAAAAATGTGTCTAAAAGTGTTGCTTATGCAGCAGGAGATGAATTTTAGCATTCATTTATTAGGAAATCATAAAAAGAATTACCAAGTTAATTGCCACACTATCCTAATTGTACACATACTATCGACATTATACAAAATAATTAAAGTTAAAAAATTAAAAATTGTATCTTATTTTTAATTTTAAATGTTAATTTTTAAAAATTAAATACGCTCTTTTTTTGTTAAAATAATAGATTTACTTACTTTTAGTGCAATAATATAATTTCAAAAAGTATTTTTTTAAATTAATTCTAAAATGTAAAATAAATACATATTTTATTTTTATTATTATCTTACAATATAAAATATTAAATTAATCTAGTTAATAATAGATCATATTTTATTTACTTTTTTCATTAAAATATATTAGTTTCTGATAATTATTACTGTTTTATTTATTTGTATAATTAATTTAAATTGAGTAAGAAATACTTAACAATAAAATAATTTGAAAAATATTTTGTCAACGTATAATAATTTATCTAAAAAATTATTATTAAATCATATTACTTGTATCCATTTTTAAGGAAATCATAATTCTTAAATTAAATTAAGTGTCTAATCTATTTACTAACCTGCCTAATTTAATAATTAGAAGTTTTTTTTTTCTTTAGGTTTAAATTATTTTTTGTATTTAAACTAGTCTTTACAATTGCTAATTTTTTGAATTTTTATGTGCCATTAAAAATATTTTAATTTTATAAATTAAATTTACACATTATAGATTCAGTGATTTCTTTAATCTATTTAAAAATACAAAATGCTAGTTATTATTAAATTAAAAAATTTAATTGAAAGCTATTAAAATAGTGACTCATAATTTCACCTTATAAGATAAATTATGTCTTTTGAGTTAGAAAATTTAATTTTAATTTCAATTTTATTAAATAATGAAGAATTTTGTTTTCTTTAGTTCTTTATTTATAAGCTTTAGTACTTCAGGCTTGATGTTTATTTCCTAATCGTATCAACTAAAAAGGTATGCTAAATTGTATTTATAAAAAAATATTGAATTTTATATCTAAATTCTTTTTTAAAGATTTGAAAACCACTTAAAAAATGAAGTGTTGAGTGACATCAGTAAATTTAAACTAGTTTAAAAATAAATATAAATTAAATTTAATTATTATAGTTTCAGTAATTTTTTTAATGTATTTAAAAATATAAAATGCTAGTTATTATTAAATTAAAAAAATTAATTGAAAGTTACCAAAATAATTATTTATAATGATACTTCATAAAATAACTTAGGTCTTTTGAGTCAGAAAATTTAATTCTAATATCAATTTTATAAAATAGTGAGAATTTTCTATTCTTTTATTTATTTATTAAAAAGCTTTAGTACGTCAGGCTTGATGCTTATTTCCTAGTCGATTCAACTAGACAGGCATGCAAGTTGTTTTTATAAAAAAAAATGAATTTTATATTTAAATTCTATTTTTTTAAGGATTTGAAAAACACTAAAAAAATGTAGTGCTGAGAAATATTAGAAATCGTAAACTATTTTAAGAATAAATATAAAATGAATTTTATCATTGATTTATTTTATTGAATAAGATGGTGTATTTCTTTAGAATTTTCATGATATATTAAAATTTACAATAACTAATTATAAATATCTAGTTTAAATAATTGTTGAAGAATTTAGAGAAGAAGGAAGGATAATCAGAAAATTTAATAAATGCCTGAGTTATTCTGACAATCACACAAATTTAATTGTTAATATATATATTTATGTAAATCAATCAGTTTAAATAAAAGCCTTTTTCTTTACAAATCTCCTTCTAATTTCAACCAAACAAACATATTTTTGTAAATTTCAAATTATTTTATTAAAAATTCAAAACCTTGTTTGGAGCTGCTTGATGTATGACGAACCTTCACTGTACAAGTTTATAGATGTTACAGCAGTCATGTCTGTATTTAAATTTATTTGTTTATTAATTCATCACTTATATAAGAAAGTATATATTTATATAAATCTTGTTATTTTTTCAGTGATTATTATAGATAATGTCATAAATAATAGTTTTTGTGAGCTAAATTTACATTTTTATTCTTTGTAATTGAAAAAAAAACTTTTAAAAACCAAATTAATATTTCATGAAAACATTTGTTAGAGAAAAGCGAATTAAAAAGAGCTTATATTTATTTCTAATATATAATTCATATTTAAATTTTTAACATTTTATTTTGAACCTTTGGATTTATTTATTCATCTGTGAATAGAACAAAATTTAGGAGTAATGTTTTTTTTGTGAGATAGAGAAAACGAGAGATTTGCATCAAATTTTTTTAAAAAATAATAATTGACAATTTCAATCAGGTATGTATAAGAAGAATAAATTCATCTAATAATTTATGAATATAAAAAATAAAAAGTAAGAGTTTGCTTGATTGCTTGCTTGATTAATCAACTAGAAGAGGTGAGAAAGAAGAAAAGAAACAAGTAGTTTGATTAATAATTTATATTGACAGACAGATAGATATATAGATAAATAGATAGATAGATTGTTCATATCAAAAAAAAAAAAAAATTGAATATTAAATCATATTCAGCAATTAATTTGAGAGAGTAGTTTAAAAGTGAAATTAATTGTCTAATTCTTAAATATTGACTGAGTTGACTAATACTACAAATGCATATATTAATCAAAGTCAATCGAGAAAATAAAATCAAAAAGTATTAATTAATTTATAAAAGCACACAAAAAAAGCAACTTAGAACTGCTTTCAACTTCATAATCAGAATAAAAGATAAATAAGTAAAAAGAAAGAAAAAAAACTAATTAATTAAAAAGAAGACTACTTTATAAATATATATATATATAAATCATTAGCATAATATCAAATATGAACAATAATGAAGATCTGAATAATTAAGCAAAGAGGGGAAGAGGACGCCCCAAAGGATCAAAGAATAAACCTAAACTCGGACAAGAAATTTAAGTTTAGAGGAGATAACAGTATGTTTTTTATTGATTGAATTAAACAACCTTTATATATGCTTAATATCTGCTGTTATCAGCATGTTTGCATCTATGAAAAAAATTTAGCAAATTGGTAGCAGCAGTAGCTTATCATAGGTTGATAAATGAATGAATTTATATTTACATTTTTTTTAAATATTTCAAAATAAATCAGGTCTTCATCTATTAAAAAAATTCCTCCTAAGATCTCTAAAAAAACTAATAAGAAATAATTAGACACTTACTTTATCATTAAACCAAAAACTGGAGGAAAGTGCTACTATTAAACTGAAATAATGGTTGATTATACTCCTTATAAAGAGTAAGCAAATACCCTTCTATGATACTAATTATGTCGTTTTACCTCCTTCTCTCTCTTTCAGATGTAGCTTTTTCTTCATCCAATGCTAATTATGGTTGGTAGCTTAGCCAAACCAGCTTCTTGATAATCAAAAACAAAAAACCTAATTTTACTACCAAGAAAATTCAAAAGGGTAATTAGAGTAAATTTAAAAAGAGAAAGAAAGAAATAAATAAATAAAGAGTGAATAAGTTAGTGATAGAGCAAGAGACCGATAGACATACAGAGAGAGAATGAGAGGAAGAACTACAAATATTTATATATAAAACACATTTTCGATTCTAATATTATATTTTTATTAATAACTGCAGACATGAATGTTAAGAAAAGGTGAGTATAGTGCCAAGACTTAACACAGATAATAAACCTCATATTCCTGGCTTTATTATGGATATGGATAGGGTAAATCTATAATTAATATCCTTTATTATCTAATATTTTAATTAACCCCCCCTTCTCACTGATTTTACTTTCCTTAAACTAGCATATTACACAAAATCATTCTCATTATTTCTTCTTAATAATTTTCTCAAGAGTTCATTTCTCTACCTAAATTTATATTTCTAATTAGTCTAATTCTTAAAATTGCTCCCTGAATAGTAGCGAGTGATTTCTAAATTAAATTGATTGATTTGCATGCGTGTTTAGCTTGCTTTATCTATCTATTTCAAACCAAATTTTCACAAAAATATAATTTAAGTGATTAAATTGCATCTTACATTTACATATTTCAAAATGAAAAACGCACATCATTAACCATTTATTCATAGTTTGGTTGAAACTAAGCAGCTGCTTACAAATATGTATGTATTAATCTCAAATCTAAATCAAATGCTAATTATTTAGATCTTTATCTAAATGATTAGTTGGCACAAATTAGAATATTATCCATAAACATTTTTAAAATGAAACTTAGAAGCTAATTATCTTTAAGAGTCATTATAGCTAGTTGATTTAACTAAGAATAGAGCTAAATAAATTATTCCAAAATTAATAAAATGAATGCTGAACACAAATATAAATATGCAGCCTTTATTCGCTTTTTGAAATTTTCTCCATGATTAATTTGCTAATAAATGGATGGATGAGTGAGCGAGCGAGTGATTGAATTTATAAAGCTTGTTTTAATATAAAATTCTTACATAGTAGAACAATTACTTAATAATAAAAACCTATATTTGACAAGATAAATATGAATTTTCAATTAGATCTAGGAAGAAAAAATGAGAGAAATGAAATATTTTAGCATAATATGTGGAAGTTTAAATTAATTGGGTCGTTATTTTTTGGTTATTTCTGAACTCTTTCTGGCACAATTTATATTTTTTCAAAAAAAAAAATCAAAAACAAACAAACAAACTCTATTTGTTCAAATAAAGAAGGAGATAAAGATTTTGTCCAAACAAAAAATATATTAATAAAAAAAATACAATAAATAACATATTTTAATTCTAAAATTAGGGTTATTATGAGAAGCATGATTAACGCTACAAGGAAGACCATGAAGCCAAAATATCTGATTACACCAAAGCAAAAAGCAGACTAGTAAATTTGTTATATTTTTCACTTATTTTAGAATTTTATGCAATACACTGATTTTGTTTGGTAGCTTTATAAATAATTTAGCCTGATACAAAACCAAGCGCAAATAAATGGAAAAAAAAAAAAAATTGAATTTGATAACTTGATCATGAATTTAGATCAAAAGGGTTTATTTTATAAATCGATTGATTGATTGATTAATTTATTTATTATTTAATTGATTTACTTGATTTTCACTAATTAATTTGGAAGAGTATTTAATTTTAATTGAGAGGTAAAATCAGCAATAACAAACAAATAAATAAATAAATAGATAAAGAAGAACGTGCTTTTAATTTTGTTTTTCTTATCTTAATTTTATATAATTATAATTGCATTAAATAGCAGGCATATACACATACACACACACACAAAAACACAATTAATTAAATAAATTAGTAAATAAAAAAGCAAATAAACAAAGAATCAAACATATACACACAAACAAATTCATTCTTTTTTTTATCTATTTTCTTAATTAATTTACAAATAAATAAAGAATAGCGCTATTCATATATTTGATTATTTCTCTCTCTGCCTTTCTTTTTGATGATTTTTTCTTCTTTCAAAATAATTAATTAATATTTTGAAATAAATTAATTAAGTACCACCAAACTTAATTTTTCTTTTTCTTTTTATTTTTCCCTTCATCAATCATCTAATCATAACTCTTACACATAATTGATCATTTAATTTGTTTATTCATTATAATTTTCTTTTACTTTTTCTTCTACTCTTTTATTATCATCATCATTCTTGTTTGTTTGCTTGTGCATAAGATTTTCCACTGATTGATTGATTGATAACAGAGAAAGAAATTAATAATTATCATTTCTTATTTTTTAGCTTTCTTTATTTACTCTATTCATCGCGCCCCACCTACTTACTTTATAAACTCTTTCAAAATTCAAAGAATTTTAATTTACTTCTGTACTCGCTCACTCGTTCGCAAGTACCAAACACGCATCAGTGCATTTCCTAATTTATATATTAGCTTCCTCTTTAAATCTATTCTTTATTAATTCATTTTTTTCATTTATAATCAGTATCTTCCAAAACCTGGCAAAAGACATAATTACTGCTGTGTCTGCAAGCAATCATATGATGACTATCTTGATGTAATATTTTATTATATTTTTATTTTGCAATTATTTTATATTAACTTCAACTGTAAATAAAAAAAATTTTTAAACTGCTATTAATCTTAATTCTGTTGTTTACAACTAATTCTCAAGCAATTAAATCTATAAAATCAACGAAAGCAAGCAAGCTAAATTTTTTAATATCATAAAAGATCATTTAAATTGTTGAGTAAAAAAGCTAAATGATAAAAAACTATTATATTTAAATATCTAGCAAGCATCAAATTTAAATAATTTGTTTTACAAAGCTTCAAAGGAAGTTGGCTTAAGCAGATAAACTCAAAAAATAACTAAAATAGACATATGTTCGTTCCTAAAAAATCTATATTATCAAAAAAATACACAACTTTTTTTGAAAAAACGAAAAGAGTAATAAAGATAAATTAATAAACATCAGAGATTGAAAAAATAATAACATTAATTAAAATGAAAAGCTCAAAATATGTGAATGAAGAAAAAGCGAACAATTGATAATTTTCTAGTGATCAAAAATATTTTAAATGCCTTGATATACAATCAAAAACAAAATACATTAATAAATCAATCAGCCAATCTATTTATAAATAAATTAATTAAAAATTTGAAAAAAGCAAAATAATAAATTTAAATATTATTGTAAACCTTTTAAAATTAATTAAATCAAAAATAGCAGTTTGAAAATCATATTATGATTAGAAAATAAATTTTAGCATAACTTAATTTAAGCCTTTTTTTAATATAAACAATAAATAGCACGTCTAGTCTAATAGTCACAAGAAAGCTTACAACAATAACGAATTCACAACATATATCATGAATATAAGCAAGTAGTACGAGCATAACCATAGAAACATCAATAAAGCTTAAGAGTTACCTGATTAATAAACTGATACTCTTACTCAAGATGAGGATGACCTCTAATTGATTGGATTCACTGATTCATCCACTTAAAAGTTTGGGTAAAAAATCATTTATTTATCTATTTATATTCTTTTTGATTCAAAAATAAACAAACAAAATTAACCAGCCAGCAATCATGCAAGAAAAATTTGAATACTTCCTTAAAAATTATAATATTTCTTATCTTTTTTTAAAATATTCTAGAAATAAAATCAATGAAAAACAAAACAAAGGAAGTCCTAATCAATATATTAATGGAAATGCCTATTAAAACTAAACTCTGATAAAAAAAGCTTAATCATAAATCAACACAAATGATATGAAAGGTCATACTTATATTTAAAAATCAGTAAGTATGATTGCCAAAACTGGACCTATTATTGAAAACAATTTCGAAAGAATGGGTGGATAATATCCTAATCATTCTACATAGGCTGCTTGCTTAGGTTTGAGTACCAAAACTTCAAGCACAAACTTCTATGCCTAAATGCAGATGAGCACTAACTAAGCAACCTTCCACTAGGTTCCAACTTTCCCCACTAGTGATGAAAATTTAGTTATTTAGGAAGTTATACCTAATTTAAGCAATAACAATAGTCACAACAACAGCTTAAATAACATGAGTAACAACAACAATAACACCAACAACCACCAAATTATTAAGAATTCATTCATAAAGCAAAAAATAATACCTGCTCACACTACTGTTAACAACAACCTTTAAGCTCCTGGCTATATTCTAAATATGAAGAGAAAGGCTGAAAACTACCCTCAATATAACGATACCTTGGAAGCAACACGTAAGTAGTAATTTTAACCAAAAATAATTGATCTCACCGAAGATGGAAATGATTCATAAAAACACTCAGCACCTCTTATCGCCACTTAAAATCAAACATAAAACCGCATGCCTTCAGCCAACAGCCAAATGATGTATTATCCCTTTGTCGTTTGCAACGATTGAGAATCTAAGAAGTTGAAAAAGGTGCAGAAGAGTGACAAGATAAACAAATCTCTTATTTTAATATATTGATTAACATACTTACATAATAAATAAATAAATACATTCACACTTAAATAAAATGATTAACAGATAGATAGACAGACAGACCTAAGTTTAACATTAACCAAAAAATAAAAATAAATAAATAAAACTACAAACCAATTAACATATTCTCCTAATATAAATACTATAAAGTTTCTTTTGACTTTTTACTCTTTTCTACTTCCTCTTTTTCATGAAAACTCATCCACCCACCCACCCACCCATCCAACCAACAAACCAACTATCGATAAATCCTTTCATTCTCATATTAGAAAGGAAAAGATATAATTAAATAAACAAAAAAGCAACAAACAAATAAACATTTATATTTATCATAAATCCACTAATAAATATAATAAATAATATATATAAAATAATAATTACCTTAATATTTCTTATATTTATTAATAATATAATTAATTTTAAAAAGATTTAATACCATCTTTCTCTTATTCATTCTCTCTCATCTCAATGAGAACAGAATGACTGAGCAGGTGAGGTGGCTCATATTTAGTGTTTAATAATCTTCTTGTTTATTCAATTCATTATATCTTCTCCTCATAATTAATTAAAATAAATACAGTTTCATTCAATTACAAAGATCTCATCAAACAATCATAAGGTCTCTTTCTATTTGTCATTTTATTTCATTTTATAAAATTTTAAAAATATATATTACTAATTTTTTATTTGTTTGTATCTTTTTTTTATCATCATCCATAAAGATTACACTAATATATTAGTTTTTATTTTACAAATTTAAAAATATCCAAGAAATGATTTTATTTTTTGAAAGAAAAAATGTTTAAAATAAAACCTATTAACTAATAAAGCAATTTTAAGAATATATTTACTAATAAAAAATTTATTCTCTTTTTATTTTCAGATAATAATAATGTAAAATGAACAAACCCTTAGATTAATTATGATATAAATTTAAATACCATAACATATTTAAAAAGTTTTTTAGAATTTAAAAAATTTTTAAGACAAAAATTCATTTATTTTAAGAATATAGTTTTTATAAAAATAATAAAGAAAGGGGAAAAAAATTAATATGTGTTAGAATATTTATTGATCTAATTATTAGTGGATCGAAAGATAAATTATAAAGATTCAAAAAAAATATAATAAAAAAGTCTTACTAATATTTTTTAAAAATGTAAAAAAATACTCTGCAAGATTTATCAAGGTCTTTAATAAATGATAATATTTTTATCTCGGAAAAGATAAATACAAATAATAATAACTCCAATATCTAATATTACAGTGGTTATAACCAAGAAAAAGGCGATGAAATATGCATTAAGCAATTATTTGAGATAACTATTATGGAAAATAGAGAATTGAAAGTTTAATTTGAAAAAGAATAGAAATAGTTTGAAAAAGATTTGCCATGCTTTTTATAAAAAAACTATGAATATATGGAATCAAATAACGAAGAATATTACTTGATATCCAGTCCACTTTTTGAGACTATTAAGTAATAAGTACCTATGTTAGAGAGAGCAGCAAAAGGAATTTTTCTTTAATTAATAGAAGCTTTTTTTGAGCTGCATTCTATGAACTTTAATCATTATGCGTAATTAATTATTTCTTTCTAAATTATATTTTTAAAAATGAGGCTATTAATTTTACTTGTATACAAATTCTATTATTAATGGATTTATTTTTTATAAAAATAGAATATGCTTGGAGAATATAGGATATAATAACAACAATAGCAAGATTTAACTTCAAAGATTTGGCTTTGAGTCGCATTATATTTTTAGAGATCAGCCCTATTAAGAAGAAAATATGTTCCTATCACCTTAATATGCAAACTAAATATATAAAAATTAAAGGTATAGTTCATAATCTTAAGATATGTTTAATCTTGGAGCTATTATGCAAGCTATTCTATTAGGTATTCCTAAAAATGAGCGACTCAATCTAAAACTATCAGATCAGCTAAAAGAGCTACTTGAAAGTATGACACATCCTATTGAAGAAAATAGAATGAAATGGGAAAATTTATTAGATCATGCTTATTTTTAATTGGGATAATCTTAGCCTTATGAAATAAATAGAATTCAAGGCAATTACAATCAAAAAGATATAAAAGATTTCTATCTTCAAAAATAATTGAATGTATCTGATAGCTATTAAAGGATTTATCCATCTCAACCAAATATCTAATAGAATCAAAATAGATTTGAATAATAGAACCATTCTCCTGTAGGTATCTTATAAAGCGAAGATGTTTAAACAGTAGACTTTCTAACAGACAGATCTTAAGCCGAAATATCTTTTATAAGTATTGCTAATTAGGTTATGGATGAGCATTTCTAGTAATAACCTTTTTCTATTTAATAAATTAAAACTAAGAAAAAGAACGATGAGAGCTTGGAGGCTAAAAAATAATAGAGATTATCTTTTCAGTTGAAGTAAGGACAAATGATTAATGAATACTTGTCCCTACATTAAAATATTAATTAGAATGTTCAAAATTGTGATATCAATAACAGTGAGGGTATTATGATTTTCTAATAAGGTATTTTTGATGTATAAGCTTAAAATATTTAACAAAAATAATTAGATAATACTCAATAAATTTAGGGGTTTAAACTGCCTCTTAATAATAATCTTTAAGAAAATAATTAAATTAATAAACAAAATGTTAGAAATAATTTTAAAACTGAGTAGCAGTATGATTTTAGATAAAATGAAATAAATGATTTGAAAAATCAAGATAAAATAAGTGAAGGTGAAAGCTTTAAGACTTAAAGTTAATAAACACTTTTTAATTTTTCAAATAAAAAGCTTATTCCATATAAAAATCCAACAGCAGATAATCTAGAAAATAATAAAGTCATAACAAACAATTCAAAAAATGCAGGAGAGTAAAATTAAAGATTCAATACGTATTAAAATAATAATAGTAATAAAGATAGTAATAATTTTTTTTAAATTAGAGAAAATTTTATTTAAGAACGATAAAATTAATAATCCCCCATTAATAATAATATAAACTCAGTAGAATGTAAATAATTAGAAAATCCCTATTAGATTAATGTAAATAATAATCTAAACACGTAAGATATTAATAACAATAAAAAAGAACCAATTGTTGAAGATATTTAAAATAAATTAAATTCAAATAATCAATTATAGTAACCAGAAAGTATAAATAAAAGCCTAGGAAATAAAAAAATAGTAAATAGCATTTCAGCCTCAAACTAAGAGAATGAAATTAGTATTTCTGAATCTAGACAGGAGTATGAAAAGAATTAAAAACTGATGAATTAATTAACTGAGTATTTTATGAGAGAAAGAAATAAATACTCTTTGATTTTAGAAACTTGTTTGCTCATTTATTAGCAGCCAAAGGAATTTTTTACTAAAAAAAATTGCTTTGAGAATTTAATAAACTATGCATAGCTACTTAACTCTTTAAGATTAAATTATGATCTACTTTCTTAATTGATAGATCTCAAATTCTAGCAAAATGAATTTACCCCAAAGTTACTAGGCCTTTATAAATCAACCGTTTAATATTAGAATATATATAAACTGCTTTTCGATGATGCCGTTCTTATTGAAACTTGGTTTTTAGCTGCTGTTTTTGATCTTAATGATTTTAAAACTCTTTAAATGAATTCAAGATTGGTAGTTTCACGTTTTTATTTGGAAATATGTAGTAATTTATTTCAGTTTGTGTCAAAAGAGTCAGTCTAGATTTTAACACAAATATTTGAGGCTCAGCAACCAGCGAATTAAATTGGAGAAATAAATTAAAAATGGTATTAAATATTTAATTTCTTTTTTTAATTTACTTCTAAAATTAATTTTTCATAATAAATAATAATAAACATATTTTAAAATATTTTTATACACTCTTATAAATAAATAGGAAATTAAGTAAAACAAACATAGAAAAAATCAATAATTTAAGAAAAAGTTTAACATTTAACTTTGATTAAAATATTGCAATATAACTATTAGATTTACAAATTTTGCATATTAAAACTGGACTTGAATAAAAGAACAGTAATATTTCTCTCTATGATGTTACTTCTTATAAAATTTTGTATTTCTTACTCTACATCAAAAAGCATTTTAATACTTAGTATGTCCCTTAAAGAATAAAATTAGTGAATGTAGAATAGAATGGTGATTTTGATTATGGAAAATTTTTTGACAAGATTAATGCTATGACAGACTATGTTGAGATTAAAAAGCTTATTTCTGAAGCAGTTAAGGAGTAAGATTAAAAATGAAAAAAAAATGTATATTTAAATTGTTTTACTATTAATACAATTTTATATTTTTCGTAAATCAATCTACAATAAAATTGTATATTATTAAATGTTGTTTAGTAAGCAAATTAAAAAATTTTTTAATCATATTTTTAAAATTTAAATTATTGAAAATTATTATGAATAAATTAAAAAAATAATTTCTTTAAATTTTTTGAAATAGTCTCAGATTTATAAAAGAAATAATAATAATTCATGATGAAAGGAGAAAAATTATATAATATTATTAGAAATGATGTTATTTATACTTTTATTCTTAATTTTGAGTGGCTCTTAGCAAATATGTGTTTGTAAACTTTTAAAATAACCAAAAGTTAAATATAACTATTGGAATTTGATGGGCAAACATAGTCAAGCGAAAGAGCAAAAAGCTGGCTAAAAAAAGATGAAGTATTTTAAACAAAACAAAAGAAAGAAAGAAAGAAAAAAATTAATCAATAAATAAATAAAGTGTCATCGAAAATACAAATGCATGTCAACTTAAAGAAATGGTGCATAGATTCTCAGCAATAAGCAGATATAATAATATTATAAAAATATTGAATTATATTACTCCCAAATTAATAAATGACTCATTTCAATTCAGATTTATCATTCATTGATTCGCAAACATTGAATGAATGCAAACAAAAAAACTAATTAAAATAACTAAGAATGATTTTTTTTCTTACTAATAATCGCAATAGATAACAAAAAAAGAAAAAATTATTTAGTATATTTAATTGAAAAATATCTATAAATATTGAGTATTAAAATTTTAGAAAATGAAGAAATTTACAAACTCTTTACTATTATTAATTTTACTCCTAAGCTTTGAGGTGACTAGATAAGATTGTGCATTTACAGTTGATCCAGATGGTAAGCCTCAAGTTGCTAAAGATAAGGATGCAAAGCCACAAATTCATAAATATTCTGCACCATTTATTTGTGATAAAATATACACAGGTGCTACCTGTTGCAATGATTACTAAGTATATTCATTTTCATTATTTATTTTGATTAATATAAAATGATTCTTTACTAAAAACTTTTTTTATCTAAAATATTTTAGAATAACTAAATGGCTTCTAACTTCTTACAGGTAACATATTTTATTTACATATATATTTTATGAATTGTCATTCCAAATAATTATTCTTCATTCTTAATATTTCTAAATAAATATTTAAAAGATTGATGCTACTTTTGGTTCAATTGGTAATGGATGTGATAACTGTGCATCTAACTTAAAGAGATTCTGGTGTACTTATACATGTGACCCAAATTAATCTGATTTCGTTGTGATTGGACCCAAACCTATTGTTGTTCCTAATCCTATTGATGAAGGTGCAACTACTCTCACAGTTCAAGATGTTAGTATCCTCGTTGATTCATAAACAGTATGCGATGTATGGTCAAGCTGGTAAAAAAATGAATATTTAAATAATAATTTGCTTAGCAAAAAGATAAAAATTTTAATTTTGCCATTTATTTTAAATTAAAACGAGATATACATTTTTAACAAATTGGTAATTAGTTCTAATAGCAATCCAATAAATAAATAAATTAATGACGTAGCTTATATCATTTTGAAAAAATAGAAAAAATGAACAAATCTAACCATTTTATGTTACAAACAAAGAAACAATTTCCTCAATTTATTAGTTGTATCCTTTTTCATTAGATTGTATTAATTGTTCTTTATTTAATTAGTAACTTGACTCCTTATGCCACTTAAGTCTCAGCTATGAAAACCCCAGCTGGTTTCTTGTCTTTCTAGGGAGCTAACGCCGTTACTTAAGCTGCACAATCAATCAGAGTTAACTATACCAGTGATGCTTCTAAGAACCCTTTAACTCTTCACAATATAACTAAATGTAATGCTCCTCAACCAAAAGTAAACAAAGACCCTGCTAAAGCTTAACCATGGTATCCTGATGCTTGGGGTTTCAATATTTCTTAAAATTGCTCTTGTAATAACTGCGCTGATGCTTGCACATTAGCTGTATTCACTCCTTTACCAGTTATGCAAGTAAATAATTTTTATTTTTTAACCAATATTTTATGAGCAAATAAAAATAAAAGGGTTTTGATTACTTAGTAGTTGGATTATTTTACGGCTTTTTACTTGTTTTCACTATTGGTTGCTGGTTCTTTAGAAGAAGAAGATAAATGAAGAAAGATTAAGAAAGTTAACAACAATTAGAATAATAAGAGCAATAAGAATAATAATATGAACCTTTACATGCAGAAGGTGCCTAAGAAAATCAATAAAATGAGTGAATAAGTGAGTGACAGAAAAAGCAACAATAAAAGTGAACTTTGAAATTCATATTTAGAATGCTATTTACATAAATGATAGGTAGATAATAAAACATTTTAACAAATTATAATCAATAACGATTAATCTAGCAAAATTATTATAAACGTTATTTATATAAATTCTAGTGTAATAATTTTTAAATACATAAATAAATGTAAAACTTCAAAGCAGCAAATAAATCTAAATTATTTATTTCTTCTGAATTGTTTATTTTAAAGAATGAAATCACTTCAGTTTTATTTGTTATCATTTTTTTTTTCATTTTTAAATTAATTTTTTTTCTGATTTTAATAGAAATAGTTTTAAAAAATAATTTAATCTAAAATTTAAAGATAAAAAATTCATCAAAATTAATTAAAAAATAAAAAATATTTCAAAGTGAATAATGGAAATACAAAAATTTTTAAAAATAAACATAAAATTAAAAATTAATGAAAAAAAAATAAAATAAAATTGAGTGACTGATAAATTTCAACTTTTTTCCTCCAACCCCCCCATTAAATTTTTTATGATTAAATTAGTTTTATTACTGTCAAAGTCGAACATAAAAATAAATACAAGATAAAATAATTTATTTAATAATGATCATATCAAATCATATCTTTATGACTAAAATATCTCTTAAATTTTCTGATGTTCCATATAATGTAAAGAGTTTTTTTGAATCTCTTTAAGAGCTCAATTCGAAAATATAAGAAAATGAGGCATACATTGTGAAGGATTTTGGAGCTTAAATTTACGAATAAGAGGTTGTCAAACTTGAAACACCTTTTCCAAAGTATGGGATAGTATTGTAAACTTCATAGATCTTTTTTAATGTTTAGTTATGAGTAAATTTAATTTTCCCATTTATTTCTAAGTTCCCAGAATCAGATGTTGTACCAAATCCTTCAAATTGATCGCCATTAAATTATATTTAGCCCTGCAGCTCAAACAATTAATTAGTATCTCTCTTGATTGTAAATCCAACAAAATTTTGAAGTTAATTTGACTAAATTATGCCATTTATTAATGAAATTTCATTTTAGTTACTATTGATATCATAATAACAATAAGCAGAAGCATCATCTGCTAATATTTTTTAATTATAAAGTAATGATGTAAATAGAAGAGAAGGTTGGTCAAATATTTAATCCTCTTATTCTTATAGCTATGCGATTTCTGAAGCCAAAAGAACTTTTAATTTCTTTTCCTCTGAAAATTTACATTTATTTAAAAAATTTGAGATGCTATGAAATACTCTAAATTTAGAAAGCTCTCCTTTCTCCAAACTTATAAAGCTAAATAATGCATCAAATGCATCATACCTTATGTTTTCTTCTTCCATCAATGCAAGCTAAGAAAGGCAATACACACCTTTGATGTAGCTATCCTTCAGAAAATTCATTAACTTACAATAAATTTAAAAATTTTTGTGCATATTTAAAGCCACAAGTGAAAATATTTCATTTACTAATTTAAGACCCTTTATCATATCAGACCTTGCAAAAACAACAGAAGGACAATTTTAATTACGATAATGTTTAAGAGTTTATTTGAAGACATTGAACTCCTTTATAAAATATTAAGCTAAGGTCATCCAATAAGTTCTTTAACTAATAAGGTTGGACTTCTACTTTTACAACTCTTTCGATTTTTAACTTTTCAAAACTACTTGATTTTACTTATTTATTAGATTTTAGCTCTAAATTTATAACATTTCTTATGCTTTTTATTCGAATAATTATTGATTATTTTCGTTTAGATCAACAAAAGGATGACCTAAAAGTTCTCTACAAATATTTTTCCAAACTTAGTCATTTCGAGATAAGTAATAAAACCTCTTGCACACTTTGCTCATTTTCAATAAAACAGAAACAAGATCTGAACTAACAAACTCAAGAATTTTTATTAAGATATGCTGATTTAAACAAAAAAATGATGACTTAGTCTTCAAATCTTAAATTCCCTTAATAATAAATAAAAACTATGTAATTAATTAGTTATTTAAATTAATTAAATTTTGATCAGAAACAATTTTTTTTTAAATTATACATTTTTTTCAAATTCACTTGGATCTTCAAGTTGATATTTCTTAGCTAGATATCTTCTTCTTTCTTCTTTTAACTGCTATTAGTGATCCCTTCTCTTTTCTTCAAATTCTTTCAGTCCTTACCCTAAATGTTCAAGTTTATTTTACACATCTATTACTTTGTTGTTATAACTCGTTAATTATTTATCAGTCTCTAAAAACCATTTAGGCAAATGACTTTATCTAGCTTGAGCTCTTTGCTTAATTTTTTCGAAATCAAAATCGAAATCATCATCTTCTTCTTCTTCCTGATTACTTGTATCTTCGCTCCCAACATTTTGCTTATCTATATTTTAGCTCTCTTACACTTCTTCTTATTTAACTTATTACTCTAGATTGATTTAAAGAAAATTCTAGTCATTTTATTTTACTCATAATATAAATGAATTCAAATAAAAGTATTAATTAAGAATAATACTTTAACTGGATTTATATTCTAGTTAATTGCTTTCATCCTTATTTAACATAATACCGAGAGGTTAAAGATTAACTTCTTTCGATTGAATTTAAAGCTACTAATAATTACTATCAACAATATCCATTTTAAATTATGTTTTATTTAAATTTTTTAAATATGATTTTTAAGAATTTAAAAACAATTAGAAATTAGTAGAATAAATAATGAATATGATTTGCTTGCGAGTTTAAAAATTATTAAGTAAATTAAAATATGGTAAATTTCTTTGAACCTTCTTAGAATAAAAATAAAAAAAAAAGTTGAAATTGTAAATCACAAATAAATTAAAAAACTATTTAATTATCTTAAATATTTAAAGAAAAACACATTTGTTTTAAAATTAAATATGTGAGTTATTTAAGGTTACATTTTTCAAAAAAAATGTTCTAAATAACAGCCAAAATAATTTTAATCAGTTTTAAATTTAATTTAAATTTATTAAAAAAGCAAGACAAATTAATCATTAATTGAACCAATCTATAATTTTTGTTGTATTAATTTTGTTTAAAATATTTTTTCTTCTATTTCTAAAGTATATTTTATTATTTAATTTATTTTTACAAAACATTTTTAATAATAATAATATTTTAAATTAATTTATCTAAGATGTGTCTAATTAAATATAAAATATATTCTAAAATAAATACCTTAGTTATTTAGATACTAAAAATATTAAATTTAAATAAAAAATTTATTATATTTATATTAGTCCGAAAAAAATTAAAAATGATAAAAAAGATAAAAATGAAAATTAAAAAATAAATAGGGCAATAATGAAAAAAAATGTATCTAAAACAATATTAAATATCTTTATCATAAATTATAAAATGCTAAAATTAATTGAAATTAGAATAAAATTAAATAGAAATTTAAATTTATTTGAAAATTCATATTTGCTTGTCTCTAGTTTCAAAAAAAAACAGTTTAATAGATATAATTATAGCAAAGCAATTCAAACACTTTTATTTTGAGCTAAAATAATTAAATCAATCACCAAATAAATAAATAATTGATATTAATAGTTTGTGTTAAATTATTTTCTCCAGTAACTTTAAAAATTAATTTCTATTTCTTGCTCGTTTGAAATAAATAATAGTCTAGACAGTTAATTTCTTTAAAATTTAATATTTTCTTAGCTATGGGTAAATAAAATACTTTCAAAAAATGACTTTCTAATTTATTTATTTTTTCATGAATGAATTAATGAATCCAATTTTTTTTTATATGCTATCTATCTATCCGCTTTTAATTATTTGTAATTTTGTTTGCTTGTCATTTAACTTTGTTTGCTAAGATAGGCTCTCATTATTTTCTTCTGATATTAATGAATCCGATTGTGAGATAGATTACTTTAAATTTATGCCTATCACACACTAAATTTTATGTAATTTAAATACAGAAGTTTAATTTTCTAAAAAAAATTCCTAAAAAAGCATTATTAGACACTAGCTTATCAGCTACAAAAAAAATCAAAAAACATTAACCTCTTAAACCAAACTAGTTAACGACATTACTAAAAAGCGTTCAACAATAAAAAATAAATTTAGAAATAGTTAAAATATACCCTTCACACTTAAGAAAGACATTATTAATTAGCCAATTAAAAAATATTATTATTAGTTTAAGATGAGCAATTTTTAAAAGAATAGTGGTAACAACAATTATATGAATGGATATGCAAACGGTAACGGCAACTGGAATAACTAGAGAAATAACTAAAACAACAAGATGGCCTCAAACTAACCAAATTACAATAAAAGTAAAAATTTAAAATATTTTTTCTTATTCATTTTAAAGCTTATGATAAACACAAAAACCACTATTAAAAATTTTGTCTGTCTCTTTTAAAAGTAACATCTATCTATCTTTTCATATCCCTGCCATATTTAGATAACAACTTTGAAAGTGTTTATTTAGAAAGCAAGTTTAGCAAAGGAATTTTGTTTTGCTTCAAATATAATGGACTAGTAGATACTAAAATTTTTATAATTTAAAATAGACATTAACATGAATAACATGGAGAACAAACCAGTGAAGAGCAACAATATAAGCTATAATCAAAACGGCAATACAAATTCTTATAACTAAAAAAATTAAGGGTATTAAAATTAAGGTAGATATAATGGCAATAACAACTCAAATGGTGGATCTTACTATTAAAATAGTAACTACAACAACAATAGAAACAACTACAGCTAGCAGCAATATTATAATAATTATAATAATATGTCATATTAAATGTGGTAACAACCTAATTAATTGGGTAATATGGGATACAATAATATGATGGGATACCCTAATTTAGGAACAGACGTCAATATGTAAATGTGGGACATCAATTAAATCTAGTAAGCTAACATTTTAGATTTGAATTAGCAAAACTTCCCTTCTCTCACAAACCAATTTCCTCCACCTGTTTATATCTCTGAAAATGGTGTTTAAACTTAAAGCGATGCTATCGATTCAATTCCTGATAGCTCAGAGTTAGAGAGGTAGTTAATTGAGGAATAAATGAAAATTTAGAATTCAAATAAAACAACTCCTTTAGCAGATTAAGCAAATTAAATTACAGATGTGAATATGCTTTTCTCCCAAATGAATATGCTATAAAATGGTATAGAAAATGGTTAAGATTAAGATAGCTAAGTTATGGTTAGAACAAAATAAGGAGTCTACCTTATTGACTACAATATGAAAGGTCCTTTAGAAGATTCATACAAAATATCAAAATGGAATAGCTATTCATTCTTTATTCAAGACGGTCACTACATTATTGTAATAATATTTTCCTTTTTTTTTCTTCTCTCTCTTAACTTTTAAGGAGTTTTACATCTCAAATTTTTCGTATGACTTACTTAGTTAGAAAAGTTTTCATAAGCTTAAAAAAATATAAAAAATTGATAATTGAACAAATTCTCAAAAATAAATAGCTGCAAATAAATATTTGATTTGATTTGAAAGATTCTGATTTCTTTGATTTATATTTTAATAATTTTAGTAATTTCTACATCTTCAGCAAAATTTATTTCTACTTATCAATACATATTTACTCTCAATTAATTTTTCATTTTTATTTATAAAATAACAGTGTGCTGACCCATAAAACATTGGAGTTTTTAGTACAACCAAGAAGAAATTATTAGATCATAAAACCTATAATGATATTTAGGATTTACTACTTTCACCTCTCTAAAAGTATTTAGTATGCATAGAAAAACCAGATAATAATAGTGATGACATTAAATTATAAATATTAGATGCATTAAGTCTCTAAAAGGTAAATAGATCAATAATTTTAAATAAATTAAAAATATTTTAATGAATTTTAATTTAAAAGCAGTTAATTTAAAGTTTAAAATATCCACCCACAATTTAAGGCTTATTTTTAATTTAAAATAATAATAGCACAAAGAGTTTGATTATAACTTTTTCTCAAAAAGTAGAATGAATCTTTACATGTTTGATAAAAATGAAGATTAAATTTTTATCAGAGAAAAGAAAGAAATTAAAATTTACAACACAATTAATTTTGAGCTTTCAACTATTGTCAATGCAGAAAACTTCATTTATCAATATTTGTCACCTTCTTAGGATAAACAATAATTACTTTTACTCACTCCTGAATTTAGTAAGGGATACGAAATGATACCTGCTCAATTAAAATTGTTTGAAATAAATGATTTAACAAACCCCATTTTAGATCAATCTATTTCTAAAAGCTAAGAAGTAGTTCCAGTTTGGTCGCCAAACGGTAAGCATTTACTCTTGTGGTGCTCAACCATTAAAGATGAAACTGGAAACACTTATTATGGATAGCATACGCTCTACAGATATAAAGTAATATTATTTATTTATTTGCTTAACTTAAATCATATATTAAACTTAATCGACTAAACTTAATTTTTTTTGATAAAATTATTTATATTAGCCTGAATCTCAATCCATAGAACCTCTTAACTTTTACAAAGGTGTAATTCATGACATTTAATGGTAACCTAGCAGTGAACATTTCGTTGTTATCGGTGGAGGTATGCCCTCTCATTCAGTGCTATTTACTAAGGTAAATTTATAATAATAAAATTTCATCTTTAAAATTAAGAAATTTCAGATCTAAATATTATAAAAAAATAATTTCAAAATTATTAATAAATTAATGAAATCCAAAGATATTTTTTTATTAATTAATTTATAAAATGTTAACTTTTGTATTTTTAATAATATTAGGAAGGTGTTCCTATATTTGAATTTGGAAGACACCATATTAATAAAGTAAAATGGAATCCTTATTCTAAACTACTTTTCTTAGGTGGATTTGGTAATCTGGGAGGAGATATAGAAGTTTGGAATGTTAAAGATTTGAAAAAAATAGGATAATTTAAGGTAATCAAACAAAATATTTTAATTTGAGTTATAAAAAAATTTATATAATAGGCACATTGCACTGTAAGCTCTGCATGGAGTTACGATGGCACGAAAATTCTTTGTGGTGTGCTATATCCTAAGCTAAGAGTTTAAAATAATTTTAAAGTTTTTAACGTTTATGGCGAGTAATGTAAATTTTCTGACTTTTCAAACACTGATTTGTACGAAGTTTGCTGGCATCCTTATCCTTTCCCTGAAGAGAGAGATTTAGGAGAAAAAAAATCATCACAAAGTAATTAATTAGAATCTGAAAACTCTGGCACTGAAAATAAGAATGGAGAGTAGGAAAAACCTAAAAAAGGAATTTTGACTAAAAGAGGTACAAAAGCTATTAGCAATATTTTAATGTCTTAAAAATAATAATTTTATAAATAAAAAGGTAATTTAAGTTCTATGCTAAATGAAGCTAAAATCTCTAATCACGGTGGAAAAAAATTATAGCCAAATGAAACATTTGAGAGAGAAGAAGATAAAGAGATGGAATAAGTTAAACTGTCAACGACTTAAAAGAAATTAGATCAAGGAATTATGTTTTCAAGAAATAAAAACAAACTAGAATAGTAAAAGTAGCTTACTGAAGAAGAGGAGAAGGCAATTGAAAAAGAAAAGAAAGCACAAAACAAATAGAGGAAACCCCTATAATTTAAATAAAAAGAATCAAATTTTAACAATTTTGAAGCTAACTAATAAAACTAATAGATTTAACAAAATTAAGAGGACCAAAATAGTGGAAAAGGATCTTCAGGAGGCAGAACCTCTCCAGAAATAGATGATTTCTTCAATGAAACAGATGAAGTCAATGATTAAGATAAACTAAAATTGCAAGCAATCATTTAAAAGAACGAATTTTGAGAATCTTTTTAATTCAATTTTTATTAAATTTTATTTATTATATATTTATTGAATAATTAAAAAAATAAATTAAAAGTGTTTTTATATTTAACAAGTTATCAAATTCATCTATTTAAATAAAAAAATTATCCAGAGTTAGTTATTTATTTATTAATTTCTATTTTCAATTTCAATTTTAAATAAAATTTAGCAAACATAAAACTTACAATAAAAAAATTAAAGTTTATTTATAAATCAAATGTGTGTTTTGTTTTGTTTTGTTTGTGTTGGTGAGTGTGTTTTTTTTATTTTTATTGGAATTCTTTATTTAAATATTTTTCATTAAAAATTATTGAAGTTTTCCTAAGATTTAAAATATTTAATATTAGTTAGCTCGGGTAGCTCAGTTGGTTAGAGCGTGGGTCTAATAAACCCAAGGTCGAGGGTTCAAGCCCCTCCCGGAGCATTTTTATTTATTTTCTAAGTGTACTTTTTTTTTTTGTTATGCAAAAATAGAGAAATTTGATATTGTTCTGCTTAAATATATCATTCAGCTCGGGTAGCTCAGTTGGTTAGAGCGTGGGTCTAATAAACCCAAGGTCGAGGGTTCAAGCCCCTCCCGGAGCATTTTTTTTAATTTTTTTAAAAGAATTGTTAAGATTTTACTTTTTATTGGAATAAACAATTTATATTATTCTAAATAACTAAAAACTTAATAGGAGCTATATAAAATAAATTTGTATGACTTTATTGAATTAATTGATTGACTTATTTGTGTTGTTAAAATTAATTTCATTTTAAAATAAATTAAGGTTAACAAACAAACAAATAAAGTTGTGTTAATTAGTAGAAATAAAAAATTTAATAATTTATATTAACACAATAAGAACAAAGTAGAAATAAAATGAGTTTAAAAACTACTTATGAGGACTTGTATAATATTTTAAACTCTCAAGGCATTAATTAATTTAAAAGCAACTAATAGACAAAACTTAATATTAGCACAAATGAAAACAATCTGAGCACTTAAAACGAATCAGATTAAAACACTCAACAATAGTAGAATTACAGCAATAAGCTTTCAATACCTAATACAAATAAATTTAACAGAAATTCGTTTGGAATTGATGAAATATTTTATTCATATTAAAAGAGATTCTAAAATGTATTTTATTTGATAGAGCAAAAGCTAAATTTTTTAAAACACCAAGTTTTCTCATTTAGGTCTTTGCAAATCAAGGATGCTTTAAGGTAGAATAAAGAATAACAAAATAGCATGCATGAATAATCTAATATATAGTGTAACAGCACAAATCAAAACGGTGAATCCGAACAATTTAAGCTGTAGATAATTAGAAAAGAGATATGTAAAGAAAATTTAATAACAGAAAAGCAAGCGTTTGAATAAAATATTTTGACGAAATTGAAGGAATTTTATAACCATTTTGTCTTTTTGTGTAAATAAGATTTAGACATTATTGAAGTCGAATAGAAAGTCTTAAAAAAATATTTCTCTGTAAAGGCAGATTCTGAAAAATTGAAGATGATTGTAGTTAGCTTAACTAACTAAATTATTAGTGAGAATTTTTTAATTTACAATAATCTGCTTAAATACAAATTTCTCGTTGAGGCTAATGAGTTTTTATAAAAATAAATATTGTTTAGAAAAAAACTGCAGGAAATGATTGCTGATAAAAACCAGATCTTGAATTCTATAATTTTGTATTTAATTAACTTTTCTAGATCAGCTTTTTTATTTGAGAAGGAATAATCTGAAAAAATAATTGTTTAGAAGCTGCAGTACTACAAACAGCTAGAGTAATAAATCTAGCAAGTTGTTAAACAACAATCAATATCACAATCATAAAATATATTAGATTCTTAGACAAACTATATGGGTAATGCATAGAAAGCTTAACAATATTGTAATGCTTAACTAGATATATGTAACACTGAGAATAATGTATAAAATAATTTAGAATCTCAGCTAATAAATGATATTAATAGCGAATACTAAAAAGAAAAAAATAAGAAATAATGTAATAACAAATAAGCATAATAATAGGATAATAATATGGTTTAATCTTATCAATGCCAGTCACTTTCACCTAGAGTTCTTTAAAATAACTCTTAACGCCCATCCCTCTTTTTTAAGTAAATAAAAAATGAGAAAAACATTAGCGATAATTATGATTTATATTCGCTGGCAAATAATTCTGAAAATCAAAAGCAAAAATAAGATATGAGATGCAATTAAAACTTTTCAAATTTAAATGATTAACTATCAAAGATTTTCTTTGATGAAAATTAGAGTAACCAAAATTGCATGCTCTAGTAAGATAATTTAATGAAGTAGGGCAGAAGTTAAAGTCTGTACAATTAAAAGGCTTAATAAGAGCCGTTTAATAACTAAATTGAAGAAATATTTGATTAAAACATTTTAAACAATACCTATAAAAAACAATAAAATATAAAATTTTAAACTTAAAATTCAGGTCATGAGAATTTTTCATTGTCACCTATTTCTTCTAGTAGCAGGTCTTTTCTAAAGCTACCCAAACTTTAGCAACCTCTTTAAATTTTAAATTCTTTTGTAAAAAAAATAAATGATAATTCATAGAATGAGTCTCCTTAGACAATACATAATAATTTTAATAAAAGAGAAAGTTTAGTACATACTAATGAATCAGAATCTTTTATTGGTAATTAATAAACTAATTTGAGTGAAATTTAGACAAGCAAAAGTATTAATTTTGATAATTAGATTTATTATTAAAATGAACAAAGTAACCTTAAAGGTGGCAACCCTTCTAGCTCAAAGGATTTTAAAAGTAGTTTGCAGCATAAAGAGCTTTATTTTTCTAATCAGAGTTTTTAACAAACATAAGCTTCTTCCACACCTTCCATTTCAAAAAGCGAATACTTCTTTTCTATTTAAAGCTAATTAAAAAAAACAGATTTAATAAATAGCAAAGACTTTAGACGCTTAACATTTACAGCTTCTAACCACTATAAAAAAAAATGGAAAATTTAATAAAAGTGTAACTTTGACGATTACTCACAGTTAGATTGTTAATATCATCACCTCGCCTGTCAATAAATTTTAAATTCAATAGAAATTTTAAATGATAAAAAAATTTTTTTGGAAAAAATGTATACAAACTTGATAAAAACTAATTCTTACATTTCTTAATCAATAAAATCTTATCTCTAACAAATACCAAACAAAGTAAGAAAGAATTCTTATGCAAAATCAATTTAATCTTTTCAAAATATTAATGCTTCGTAACAAAATGCTACTAATGAGAGTAAATTAAATACTCCTGTTTAAGATTGTAGCATTATAATTAAAGTTAATTAAATGAACAATAAAGCATAAATAAATCAAAATAACTCAGACACTCCTTCAAGAGCAATATAAAATAAACCTTATTCCAATTTGCAAGTCATTTAAAAATCTTTTTCCAATTCTGTTATAAAAATGTAAGCAAACAGTGATTCTAACTCAAAATAAAATAAAATAAAAACAAATTAGGCCAAGCTTATTAACTTAGCTGTGGTAACGACCCCAAAAAGTAATTCTAGATAAAGGCAACCAGGTGTGTAAAACTGCCTAAGTTTAGTTAATTAAAGCGAAAGTCCTTTCTTCTCTAAAAGTTTTACCAAAAAATTAAATGAGGAAATTTTACAATAAAGCAACTTAAAAAAGTTCAGTGATGAAACGTTCTTAGAACAAAAAACTAACGAAAAATAATAATCGTTATTGATAACTAAAAGCAATTCAGTTTTACTTAAAAAACATTCAGACACTCTAATCTCTGAATCATAATCTGTTCATCAAACAAATTCACCAAATACCATAAAAAGTTTAAAAGATAAATTGATAAGAATTAAAACGATTTTTGATAAATAACCGCCACCTCCTCCTACTATATAACAAAAATAAAAACAATTTTAAAATTAGTAATTAAAAAACAATTAGGTATAGTAGCAACATATGTCAATTGATGATCTAATTGAGCCTTTAATCTTTAAATAAAATATATTTAACACTTAAGAATTGCCTCTACAATAAAATGATTAACATTTTAAAAAACGATAACAATCACCAAATAGCCTAATGAAGTCTGCTACAACTAATTCAATTGAGTAAATCAACTCATTTAGCAAGAATTCTCCCAATTAGAGAATTTAATTTATATTTTTAAAAGAGCCAAACAACAAATTGAATTAAGGCTAGAAAGAAGCTAGCTAAGATATAAGAGTCTAAGCCTAAAATGGATAGTCCTCAACTCCTAGAAACCTAAATAATAATATGATGAATTTCTATAGTAATGCAAATGCCAACAATAGTAGTTTAAAGCTTTAAAACTATAAAAGTAGTTTACAAAATTTATAAATTTCACCATATCCAGTTAAAAAGTAAAAAAATGAAATTTATAACAACCTTTAACCTAAAAACACTAAAAATGATTCATTAATAATTAGTAGACAGTTTTCAGAAAATAGTATTCAAAAAATGAGTGCTAAAAACTACTTAGATATTTCATACATACAAATGAATAGCTAAAATAATAACTTAAAAGATGATAACGAAGCATTCAAAGATTAGAAGTTTAACTAAAATTTTAGAAATAAGCTCTAGATTTTTAATAAAAAATTAAACAATTAAAATATTAAATGAGTGTTAAATATGTTAAATTACTAGTTATTTTTCTTATACTTAGCAAAATTATAAATTTAACTAAAAATTGTTAAATGATCTATTTTTTTATAATTTAATTTAAGAAATTATTAATTAATTAAATTACTGTAGTTATTCACAAAGTCTTTCATACCATAAAAATTAAGCTATTTCAAATTATTTGTTATAAGAATGTGAAGTTATTTCTTTAATTTTAGGAGATGGTTGACCTTAAAATATGGGGAATTATATTAATTAAAATTTCTAAAATATTTCTATGAATAAAATATAATTTTTAATCATTTATTTTGCTTGTAAAAAGTTACTTTTCACTTTTTATTAAATTTTCAAAATTTTTTTATGAATAAATTGAGACTTTTACTATTTATTCTACTTATAAGAGTTAGCTTTTTATATTATTAGAGAGCAAAATATAAATAACATGATTTTAATTTTGAATTTAAATATTTTAAAAAAATTAATTTATTACTTTTTTACTATTAAAAAATAAATTTGAAGGAGTTCAATACATTGAATAAAGAATAATAATTTTATATTAAATTTGTTGAAATTTGAGGTAATTTGATAAAAGCATTATTTTTTTTTTTCAAAGTTAATACCAATTCAAAATTTTTTGTAGAGAAGTAAGCAGAAAAATAAATGACTGAATTAAACACTCCTGAAAAAAATTATAACCTATTTAGTGAAATAATATTTGAAGGAGAAGATAAAATAAAGGCATTAGAACTACTTGTAAATAAAAGAAAAATATAAATATAAAATTTAGATCCATGTATGCCTCTTTCAGCATACATCAGCGAAGATTAAGTTCTTGAATATGTGAGTAAAATTTAATCAATTTAAAAGCTGATAATAATAATTTTTTCAAAAGATGAGCACTGGGAAAACCCTGATTAAGTCATGAAATAGGTGAATGATCATGTAGTAGTTTTTGATTATTCAAATGCCAAATCAAAAAACAAAAACATTAAGAATAAGGAGTATTTTAGTTTTTTTAAAATGAATTAATTTATGAGTAATTTATTTGAAATACAAAAATAAGTTAAAGTAAAGAAAGATATAATGTAATCTACAAAGAAGCAGAGAGGGAAATAAAAACTCAACCTTAAAGAGCTAAGAGTGGAATACCAAAGAGGAAAATAGTAAATGCGGAATAATAAAATTTGGCAAAGCGCTTTTGAAGAAAGTAAAAAAGTAAAACAAAAGATAGTTTTAAAAGAATGGATCGATCATCTAATTAATAATAATATCAAAACATTTTAAATGAAAAATTAAGTTATAAAATATAAATAGATTTATCTATAATAAAGTGTATGTAATTAGTTGCTTAGCTAAAAACTAACATTCTACCTATAAATTTAATTTTTATTTTGATTCATTATGCTTTTATAATAGTAGTAAGATAAAGAATATAAATTCATTACATACTTTATAAATTATTTATTTATTAATTCAATCATTTAACAAGTTCCTCTGACTTGTACACCTTCATTTAGAGTATGATCAAAATATCTACAGTTAGTTAGATTACACCACACATTGTAAATTATAATGGAGCACTTTTGTAGATAAAGTAAATTGTCTTACTAAAATCACCCAAAAACCACGATCCGATCAATCCATAGCTAATACCACTTGCATTTTGATTTTAATAATTTTTAATCATTTAAGGGAATCCAAGGGTAGCCTTTTATAAAAAAAAATATGAATTTCGATTTTTGTATGATTAATAATTAATAATTTATTTACTTCAATCATTGCACTGATCATTCCTATTATCTAAACAGCTGCATAATTATGGACAAACATAAGTGTTACGAGAGTGAAAAAAACTGTAAAAGTGATTACAGATTCAACTTTTATTATATTATTTAACAAATGCTTATCTCTACTAATAAAAATTAAATATATTTACCGTAAGATCTGATATCTTACCATCTCCAAAATTTATTCCAAAACTTAGCTGAGGCAAGTCCTCCATCTAATTAAGGTTAAGTTATTGATGTTTATCACAAATTTTTAAAATATAAATTAATACCTCTGTATTCAATAGACTTGTTTGCTTTATTCTAATTTGAAACTTTGATACACTATGCAAGCAAGATAAACTAATCATTTAAAAAATATGTTTTCTAGTTAATATTTGACAATAAAATTTTACTTAAGTAACAATCATAAGTAGTGATTAGAAGAGTAAAGGAGTTTCATATCTCTCTCCAAACCTATAGTAAATGAATTTATAAAGTAAAATATTAAATTTTGAATATTTATTTAGGTTTTTTTACCAAAATAAAACTCTCAAAATATTTGCAAATAGGAGGATAGCGCAAACATCTATACTAAAATTACCAATTGACTATTCTGTCTTAATTTTAGAATATTAAGAGTAATACCCATAAACAGGGCCAAATACCATCACTTAATTTTTAAAAACCAATTATAAATGATAGAACAATCTATATCATATTTACATATATCTACGAGTGAATCCATTTATTTATTTACTTATTTATTTCTTGTTTTACCTAATAAAAAAATTTGTATTTAATCTATCTAAATCTTTTTTATAAACAAAATTAATAACAAACACGTATTATTCCAGTCATAAAGATATTTACTTGCACTTTTACATTATTTTATAAATAAATAAAAAATATTTTATAATTTAGCATTTAACAGAAAATTTGTTTTAATATATTTTTTTGTTAATTTCCTTTAATATTTACAAAAAATTTTAGACAAATGAAGGTTTGCATTGACTTGAAAGAATTTTTTAGGATTTTATTTAATTAGAAAACAAAAAATCAAATTAAATTATTTTTTCAGATTTTATTTTTAATAAATATATTTTAATTAAATGAGATGTTTTTTTAAATATTTATTTTAAATAGATATATTTTTTTATATATTGGTAAATGAAAAATAGTTAAGCAAACATAAAAGCGAAATAAATACCAATCAATAAAACTTGCAAAAAGAAAAGTAAGTATCAATATAGTTCTATCTAAAATTAGTAACTTGAAATAATTTAATTATGATTATTTTTTTAGCTATTAAAAAATTGTAATTATAATTTTATCCAATAAAAAGAAGGATAGATAATTTCTAACTTTAGAATTATTTCCAAAATTTATATTATTATAAAAATAGATTAATAAAAAGTACTTTTCTGCTTTAATTAAAACAACTAGAAATCAATAAATTTTATCTAAATCAAAATTGGCCTCTAGAATATTGTTAAATGCTACTAATTAGAAAAAATAATTTAATTTTGGCCTAGAATATTAATTTAATCATAACAGTATGTATTTATGATAAATATTAATAGGTTTTACTATCTATCTCTTAAAGCCAAATATGTTAATCATAAAAAATGAAATAAAATTTATATGTTTTCCAATAATAACTTTTACTATTTATAATATTTTTAATGATGCTCTATCCAAATTCACTTATATAAATGTTATTTTTATGTTGAATAAACTGAAAATTGTGGATAATTTGCTTATTCTTTTGAATATTTTTTTTTCTGATAAGGCTAGTTAGATTTATATTCTTTAAAAAAAAGTAACCTGTTTCACTATTATTATTGATTTAATTTATATTAGCTTTCACAAAATTTATAAAAAGTCATGTATTGATTGACTAATGAAAATGAAAATGAACAGACTTATGAATATCTTAATATATTGGTGAAAATAAAGGCAAACGTAAAATCAATAAATTGTAAAATATAGATTGATTGATTGATAGATAGATTGAGTAGGCACTAATTGATAATCATATAAATATTTACTTTTTAATAAAATAAAGAAAATTAAGAGTCTTGTAAGGTAATTAATTAAATTTAAGTAATTGAAAAAAATGCAAGTACAAGATTAGCAGCTTAAAATTGAAAATTTAGCTCATGCATAGTAAGAATAAAACTCGAAATAAGTGTAATTCAATTAATAAAATTGGAATCCTCATCAATCTAGTGATATTGAAACGGCAAACACTACTTTGAAAAGCAATAACCTTAATAATGGATAGAATTCTCCTGGCGGAATGCAATTAGAGTCATCAACAAGCTAAGTAATTCCCTAAGATTTAACTTAATAGAAAAATGATTCTATTGAAATCGAATAAAACTCTTCGAAAGGTATACAAATAAGTGTAAGAGATAGTAAAAATGAATAATATTCGCCTAATAGGAGTATTTTGTTGTTAAAATAATCCTCTATTTTAAGTTCTTCTTAGTAAGCAAACTCTGGAAAACAAGTTTTGTAAGGAGAAGGGATGGAGACAAATTCTCCAACTAGAAGTATAAGATCATCTAAATCAAATCGTTCTAGCATTCTTACAATAAAACAAACTAATAGTAACAGATCATCGATGGAATAAGAATTGAAAACGGGAAATAGTCTGTATGAAAAAAAGAGAGCTAGATATTGCTATATTAAAAATTGGGAAGACAAGCGTATTTAAGTAACATCAATTTTTAATAATATTTATTGCAATATAAGCGAGAATCTTGTAAAGATTGCAAGTCAAAGTCATTAGTTTATAGATACCTTCCTTACATTTTTAAAAGAAACATAAATACAAATGGCTCAATTTGCTAAATCTCCTCTAACTCAGCTGGGATAAGCATATAGCTATTCTCCATAAATAAACAATGTGAGCTATTCCTCAATAAATAAGATTTTTAAATAAATTTCAAGTTTGGAAAGCACTGTAGGCTTAAATAGTCAACAGTTATCTGCTTACATAGATTAGAGCATTATTCGTCCCTACCTATTGTCAGATAAGAAAAACTTTACCTAAAAATTTGAAGCATTTCAAACTACTTTAAAAGAAAAACAATCAAGGTAAGCAAAATTTTTGTGATTTTTGTTAAATTTTATTTAATTGATGGATTAAGCAATTTTAATTATCAATTTATATTTTTAAATTTAATTCGATAATAATGTTGAGAGCTTTAAATGCTTAAAGCTATAAAATTTAAACAGTAAGAGAAAATTCAATTTTCTGGCTAACCAAATCTTCTTATTTAATTTAAAAATATATCTGACTGATGATTACCGCTGCTATTTTTTAAATATCCTTTGATATTTTTTGAAAATTGATTATAACCATCGAATAATATTTCTTTTATTAAAAATAGAATCCATAAATTAGCGAAAATAGCTGTGAGCACATACGATGAATTTACAAATAGCTTTAAGGAAATGAATTAACTATAGCTCAAAGGAAAAGATTCAAAAAAAGATTTTTACTATCAAGAACTCTTATACATGCATCATGCAAATGAACATTTTGAAAATTTAAGAGAATTTGGTCTTTATGTATTTAGATTTGTAGAAGAATTAGAATAGTTGTAACTAAACAGAATAAACAATATAAACTAAGCTCTTACACTTTATGTGTAAAAAAGGTCATAAATGATAGATGGAATAGAGAATTCGAATTATATACTTTAAATGTTAAATTAAGTGCAATCAGAAATGCAGAAAAACGTGATAAATATAGAATAGCTTTTATAACCCGAGTAAGCTAATTATATTAAAAAATGTTATTCTAAAGACGAAATAGATATGTAAATTTTGAAATAGTTTGCTATGGATTTCCAATTAAAAACACCAGGGGAAAAAAATCTTGTAATTAAAGAATTTACAGCCTAGCAGATAGAAAAAGAAAATAATCCAAAAAAGGAATGGAGAGATTGTTCTATTATTTTAACTGTAGACAACTATTTGATAATCTCCCCTGGGTTACTTGATTCATTTTCAAAGCCTAATTCCACAATATATTTACCACTTTCTAAAGCCATTTTTAATAAAGAATAAATGATCGTCACCATAGTTGAGACAACCAAAAAGCTCTTTTGGAAATCAAAAAAATCTTACAATTTTAAAATTTAACATGAATTCGATGCTAATGAAATAACTTCATTTTTATAAGATAACTCTCACGTATTCAATTAAAAAAGTAAAGAAGCAATAAATAGCCCTCCAGAAATAATTACCCTCTCAAACAACCAATAAAAATGATATTATTTAAAGTATTAATAACAGTTATCAATAAATAAGTATTATAAAAATAATGCTATGACATTATTAGTTAAATTAAAATAAAAAGGTATTTTAAAAAGTATACTATAATAACAGAAGTCAAATTTGACCTACCTAATAAAAATATAAAAAGAGGAAAATATCAATTTCCCATAATAATAAACCAATTAACAAATCCAAAATAAATTAAATAAATAAATAATTAACAGTAAAAATAAATCAAAAATAAAATTAATTTTTTCTCAATTGAAGCCAATATAAATAATTAAATAAATAAAAATGTAAATAATAAAAATTATTAAATTTATTGAAAAAAGTATTTTAAGTATATATATACGTCTGCCTTCATTATTAGTATTCTAAAAAACAAAAGAGATTTAAAAAAATATCAGGAAATTTCTAAATTGATACAAATAAACTATTTTTGATGGAAATTTATAATTTTTTAATTGTGCTAGATAAAAGTTGATATAAAAAATTAAATTGAATAATCAATTATTTTCATAAAAAAATGAAATATAATTTGGATAAATCGATTTTAAAAATTAATCTTTAATAATTGGAGTTAATTTTATATTTAACAAATTATTTTAAAATTTAAAATAACAACATATTATTAAAATCGGAATAATTAAAAATAATCTTGAAAGAAATCATTTCTTGTCAACAATATTATGTATTTCGATTTTTATTTAAATTATTGATACATAAATATTTGAAATCAAATAAATACTTGTTTAATCAGTTTGCAGTCAAATTATTTTTCAATTAAAAATAATTTTGGAAGAAATAAATGGTTGTCAAATATACAAATTTATTTGGATTTCTAATTATATGATTGATAATATATACATATTTGAACTCAAATGCTTGCTTACTTTATCAGTTTTAAGTCAAATTATTTATTTTTCAATTTTTCAATTTTGAGATTTTTTTATTAAATTTTTTGCAGATGACTTGTAATAAAAAATATATAAAAATCACATAATTTTGAAATTGCTGGCAAATCCTGTACGTTAAGCATATGGATTTTAATTTTTTAAGAATTTAGTATCCTCCTTAGTTTATAATAAACCTTTTGGCATAAATCCAGCCAATTCGTCTAAATATTCTCTAAGTAATCTTTCTTTTTCTAATCTAATTAGCTCGTCCTTATAGCTCTTTAACTCTTCGTTCTTTCTGGCTTCTTCTAATTCTCTTTCTCTTTCTTCTCTATACATTTCTAGTTTCTCTTGCCATAATCTTTCGACCTTTAAAAAAAATATTTAATATATCTTCATATTTTAATAATTATTTTACTTCTTTTTTATGATCAATTTCTTTCATTCTGCGTCTTTGAGCAGATAATTATTCTAGTTTTTCATCCTAGGCATACTTCTCCATCATCTTTTCTCTGAATTATTGTTCCATTCTTTTTTCTTCTGCAAGCTACCTTTCTTTATCGTATTTATGTTGTCTTTCAGCTTCTTAAAGTTCTTATTTAGTTCTTTTAAAATATTATATTGATTAATATTAAATTACTAAAAATCTTAATTTACCTTTCTCTCTTTTCTCTTTCTTCACGATCTTTTCTACGTTCCTAAGCTTCAAATTCTTCTTTGTATAACTCCATTCTAAGATCTTCGATTAATTCTTTTTCCTTTCTTCTTCTTTCTTCTTCAGCTTTAAGTCTTTCAAAAATGATGGCTTTTTGAGCTTCTAACTCTTCTCTTTTCTTTTTGATTTCTTATTGCATTTGTTCTTTTTGTTCAAAGAATTTCTTGTATTTAGCATTTTCAAGCTATTCATTAATCTTTTCTTAAGCTTTTCTTTCAGCTTTTTCTTAAAGAGCTTCAACCATATCTTGATAATTTCTCTTCTTTTTAAGCTTGTCTGATTCATAGGCCCTTTAAAATTAAGTATTTTTTTAGATATGTTCATTAAATAAAATATTTTATTTGAAAATTTTTTATGGTTTTCACTTCTTATACTTAGTCTATAGCTTAAATAAATCAGTAGACTATGTATTATCAGTAAAATAACCATATATCTATCATTCTTATAATATGATTTGTGTAAAGAATGAATTAATTTTAGTTACATTTTATCTTCATTAATGATATTTTATACTATAGCATTGACTTAATCCTTTTCTAATAAGTATTGTTGATGAGCTTCTTCAGCAGCTTGTCTCTTTTCAAGCATTTATTATTGTAAAACCTATGATTGTTTTGGAAAATAAATTAATCAGTGAATTGAAATTAATAGATAGAGCTTGTTTTCAGCAAAAGTTGCAAAAAGAAAAAGAGGAGATTATAAATTTGCTTTGTTATTTGATAATAAGTAAAAGCTTTTTCTAAAAATTTACAAATCTTCCTTGCATTCTTTGCTCGTTCAGAATTCTTTCCTTTTCAGCTTCGTAACGCTTTTCTTCTTCGCATTTTCTTAAAATATTTTCTTCAAGCTCTGCTTCTACTTTCTATTTATGATAAAAAATAATTTTTAAATGCACTTCATTTTATAATGTTGGCAGTTATACAAGATTCAAATGAGCTTATATATAAACTCATTATACATCTTAAGATTGCCTAATAAGTAAACACATTTAATTACCTTGGTTTAAAACTTTCTTAATTAATTTTCAGCAATTTAACGAGTTCTTTCTTTGTTAACTTAGGCCATTCTAATCTTTTCTTTTAACAATTTTAATTCTTCAGATTCTTCATAAATTTTTTAAATTTCTCTTTATTTGGCTTCATCATCAAGTTTTCTTCTTTAAAGCTCTCTAGCAAGAGCATCTTCGATTTCATGTCTTTAATAATGCTATTAATTGAAGTAAGTATCATTTGCAATAAATTAACGCTGAGTAACAGCGGGGTGTTGCTATGGCTTATAGCTAGTCTATGTTTATTTAGGATACATTTTATCTTTTTGTATTAACTTTTTAATAATTATTCCTTAATATTATAATGAATTATAATTAATTTCAAAAAAATTAATGACTTAAGAATTCAATTTATTTATTTATTTGTTTATTCATTTATTTGATTTTTTATCATCAATATGTATGCGTATAGATTGTTTTTTCTTCATACAAAATATTAATAAACATATAACACATTTATTTTTCTTTATTTCTTGTATCTAATGTTTGAAATTCTTGTAAATTGTTTAGACTATGAATTTATGCATCTATGTATGTATGTATAGTAGGCTAGAGACAAACAAAGTGAACAAAAATTTATAATTTTTTATTAGTTTATTAATATCAAAAACTGAAGGCATAATTTACCATATAAATAATATCCACTTATTTGTTTTTTTTCTTTTAAAGAAATAATTATTCAAAAATAACTCTTTATATTTATAATATTTTAAGCAGTTTCTTTTTATAGCATTATCTTTATTTAATTATTTTAATTAGTAAAATATTTTAAGTTAAAATTAAATACAAACTTAATATATAAATTATTGATTTATTGAGGTGCTCTTTAAAAATTAAATTATCTTATTAGCATATTTTTATAATTTTTGAAATAAAAAATTTTAAGATATATTTTTATCTTTCTTAATAATTATTTATTTATTGAAGATAATTTTTTTATTTCAACAAATTTTTTGATGATATGAAACAGTCTTTAAGAATATAGTATAAAAATATGTTAATTTAGAATTTTAATAAAAGAAATCTGAAATTACTTGAAGATAAAATATAAAATATTTAATTTAATAACTAAAAATGTAAAATGATTAAAAAAGAAATTAAATTCAAATTAATAAATTAATATTTTTCAATTTAATTTCGAATTTATTGATATTAAATTTAACTTAAATATTCGAAAGTAAAAATTGATTTAAATAACAATTCTATAATTTATTTAAATAGCCACAATTTTAGATAATTTTGTGAATAAACAATTTTTAAATTTGGATAATATATTTTTTTTTAAATATTAGAAATACAAATTTAAGATTAAGCTCTCTTTTATTGGATAAGTTTATGCTTTTTAGAAAATAATCTAGGGTGATAATTTTTAATAAAAATTTGGTTTCTAAATTATTTTAAAACGTAAAGATACTTTTAAAATTCTTTGAAAATTAGAATTTAAAGATCTTAAGTACCTAATTTACAGTTAAAATCAAAAACATACATTTAAAGTTTAAATATAATTTTAAAACAAAATGTTCTCTATATTTATAATGAATATTCATTTTATACCTTAATAAATAAATTTATTAGATTTTAATTATTTTTTTTGTGTCATTATTACAATTGTAGATTATTTATTATAAAAATATTTTTAAAAACTTTCTAAGAATATGTAAATTCATCAAATTAAATGAAGACTTTTTTTGAAAAAAAAATAAAAATTGTGTGTTTTTTTTATATTAAATATGAAAAGCCGAGTGGCGCAATGGTAGCGCAGCAGACTTCTAATCTGAAGGTTGTGGGTTCGAGTCCCACCTTGGTTGCCATTTTTTATCTTAAATTAAATTTATTTAAATAGAGCATAATCAATTTTAATGCATAAATTAAATTTCAGATTTAATTTACTGAAGTAATAAATTGTAAAAAAATTTCATTGATTGATTCAAAATTAACTTTCACCAGATAATAAAAATCTTTTAAATATTATCAAAAAACGAAATTATTTAAAATATTTTTTTTTAAATTTTTAAAAACTTAATAACTGAAAATCATATTTAAGATTTTTAGTAAATAAATAGTAAGATTAAAAATCTAAGGTTGTTTTTTTTCATCAAAAACTTCAAGTAAATTAATCTATTTTGATGTGTAACATAAACCCAGAATGTAATTTGAATAAAAGATATTTAAGAAATCCAAATTTTTTGAAGAAAATATAAATACTAATCAAACCATATAAAAAAAAATCTTTCATTATAAAATATCTAGATAAAAATTGAGAATTTGTTTATAAGCGATTATTAATCTTAATTGAAAATTTATAATTGCTGTGTAAATAGATAGATAAAAAATAATCCAAGTCTTTTTTAAATGTATTTTTATTTTTAGCTAATGTAATCTAGTCTAATGAAGAAGAGTAAATATCAAAATTTACCATCGCTATTTACTTGATTAATTAGCAAAACATAAAAATTCATACAGGAAATCTTTGTTGGGAAATTCTATTAAACTAAAGTAAATTGAAATATTAGCCTTGAAATTTTTACATAAAAATAAGTGATTAATAAACAAATTATTAATTTAATTTAACTTTTTAGAACTTAAAGTAATAACAAAATATTTAATAGATGAAAAGTAAATAGTCTAATGAGGACTAAGATGATGAATCTCATAAACAGTTATATTAAAAAATCAATAAATTTACTTTGCGGATTAATGATAGTGCTATTGAGCAATCATATTAAGCAAAGGAAAAAGAGCTTCTTAGACATTAAGTCTATTTAATAGCCTTGATTTTTCAGATAGGCTTCATATTAAATTTTATAACGCACATTATATAGGGTATGACTGCTATTGAATTTACTATTGATTTCTTAGTTAATTTAAGTCTTTTCTGCTTAATTCTTTGCAATAAAATTCAACGTCTGATTAGATTTCACCATTACGCTTTTTTAATTAACTAAGTAGTAATGGTTGCAGTAACATTTTACAATGTAATGTCTTAATAGAATTATGAATCTCAGGAATATAGCGCTGAGTTTCAATATTTCTATCTGGGTGCTATATTATATGGCCTAGTCCTAGGATATAGTTTTTTATATAGATTAGCTATTTTGATGATCACTACATTTCTCTATTTAGGACTTGCTCTATCAGATAGCAAAAATTAAAAGCCACTAATAGCTGTAATTATTTTAAGCAATTTGGTGCTTTACCTCAACAAAACTTATTAAGATGAAAAAGAAAAGCGATTGTTTTATATAGCAAATCAGAGAATTAGTTTTTGGAATAATATAATTTAGAATGTACTACCTATAAATATGATAGTTGTTAAGTATGACGAAGAATTCTCAAGAGTCAAACTTGAAACATCAAATTGTATGACATAAAAGAATTTAGGGATAATAGACGATGAAAGTTTACAAGATTTTTTAGAAAAAACGAAGTTAGAAGTTCAAACTAAAACTTCAAGCACACATAATAGCGAAAGTACGTTGCTTACTAACGGGAACAGTCCATACTATAATTCTAAAATTCAAACTAGTGGCTTATAGCAAATGCAAATATAAAGAACCCTTTCAAAGTATAAAGTTAAGTAATCTCAAAGCTTATCTTAACCAGATCCACATATCTTTCAAACTCCTACGTTGAAACCTTAGACAACATTTAACCAACAATAGCCTACTTAAACATTTAGATAGAGCTTGACAAATAGCCCTTAATAAAAATAGTAAGTAGTGCACAGTCAAGCAAAACAGCTTACTTTGAAGTAATTGGTCAAAGAAGAAATTTTGCTAAAAATCAAAAATCAAAAAAATTCTTAAAGCGAAGCAGAAAAAGATAGATTCAACTCTCAGCGTCATTCATTCATCAATTAAAATAATGATAATAGATACTAAACTTATAATGGAGAATATCAAAAATCAATAAACAGTGAAATACAAAAGTTTGGTTTGCGTATTTACACATTCACGATGATAGGATATTATGCGCTTATTTGTTTTGAGAATGAATCTTATAAAGAGAAATACTCGAATTCAAAAACAAAATTTAAAGTTCTCAAATATTTGTTCAGATGTACGATTACAAAAAGCATCAAAAAATTAATTACCTAAAATGAAATGATAGATTAATTTTTATCATCATTTGAATCATTCAAAAAGATTACATTTTAAAAAAGTTAATAACTTACACAAAAATAAAGTACCTTTAATACACCACACGAAAATTAAAACCAGCACACCCCAGCTTAAAAATAAAATTAATTTGAAACACAGCAATCATACCATAACAATACTACAAACTATGACATACCTTCACTTACTCATTTAAACAAAGACTTCAAAAATAATCTAAATACAAAAAACATTTTCATGTCTGAAAATAATTTTGATGATACTATTGCTTAAAACAATATAATTTAAAATGGTGATCATACTAAATCTGCTTTTAACATTGACAATATTAACAAGGATAAAAGCAACAACAGTAATAAGCTAAGCAATAGTATCATAGTGAAACCTTAAGAATTTTTAACACACTTGAAAGACTAAATATAGGAAATTCAACTAAATTTCTCGAATATAATGCACTTATTTGGATAAAAAAAAAGGACCGAATACATCATCAGTGAGATTTCTATTTAAGATTTTTTAAAAAGAATCTAATAAAAGTTTAAAAATTAATTTAAAAGATAAAAAATTAACTTTACACATACAGTAATAACATCATTTGATGAGCAAAAGGATTTAATTTTAAAGTAGGATGAAAGAAGATTGTTTTAAATAATCAACAATTTAATTTATAATGCTATCGAATATAATAATTATAACTTCACTTCTGATGATCACAGATTTATAAAAATAGAAGTTACTTCCACTCAATCAGAACCAAATCATTTGAATATTAAAATTACAAATTCCACTTAATTTCTCAGAGAAAACCAATTATAGCAAGAAAATTCTTTATTTTCAGAACCTAATTGCTTATACTTGAGTACAAGAAACGATTTAATGCTTAAGTTTTACAAAATTTACAATTAATTCAAAATTGGGTTGAGAACAACAAGAAAATTAGTAAAGTAAATTGGTCCTTTCGACGATTTAAAGTTGATGAGAACAAGTGAAGAATGTATAGTTTCTTTTACGATTTACAAAAATATTGAAATTCTAAAAAAAGATGTGCAAATTACTCTAGGCAGCAATCTTAAGAATTAAATACAGCACAATATAAATATATCAGCTAACAATTAAATTACTTTAGCCAATAATATTCTAAATTATTAGTCTCATTCAACTGAAAATCAATTTATATCAACTAAATAAACTTCTAAAATATTTAGCAACAATCGTAATGAAATTATATAGTTGGATAAAAATTTGCATTTAGGCGATAACTCATTGACTAGTCAAGATTATATTTAAGAATTAAGAAACCTCTCTGAATTTAATAGTGCTCTAGATTTCAATAATTTTAAAACCAAATAAAATTTATTTAACGAAGATAATCTAATCAATTTAAAAAAAATTCACTAAAGTGTATCTTGAAAATATTCTTGTAAATAACATTCAAATTTGTTATGTAACTCTACACCTTGAAAAATTTACTCTTTCTCACTTATAAATAAACTTAATCTCATATTATATATAAATATATATAAATCTTATGCTTTTATGTTAATAAATCATAAATCTAATTTATTAACTAACTTATCTATTCATTTCATTTCATTTGAATTAATTAGATTTTAATTTTATTTTTTTGATTAATAGATTAAATTAATTTGATTAAGAACAAGTTTTAAATTTTTGAAAAAACTTTTTTTATTAGTCTTTATTTATTAGAAAAACAAAACTATTTTATGAAAATATGAAATTAAATAAACAATTTTAGTTAGATTTTAGCAAAAAATAGTAAACTAAACATTTTTTAAATTATATTAAATTTTTTCTCTAACAAAGAGCTTTTCTCAATTCTCAAATAATGAAAAATATTAAAAGTGTTTAGATTTAGTTTAATTAAAAAAATATTTTGTAAATTAGTGGAAAACTACATAAACTCAATCTAATATATCTTTTAAGTCATTTAAATAGTTTTTACTTGTTAATAAAAAAATAAAATTGATAATTCTAGTTTTTTTTTATTGTTTTGATTATTATTTTATATTACAAAATATTTTATTCCAAATAATTTAAATTGTGTATATCATATATCTAATGATAAATTAGCTAATTAAATAAGTTATTGATTCACCTAACAAAGTATTATTTTTTATTTAAATAATTTAAAATTAAGTTTTTTAACGAATAATCTTTTGAAGATTTATTGTTTAGGTATTTTTTATTAATTAAATATTGGAATATTTTATCATAGTGTGAGCCTCCATAATACTTATTTGATTTTATTTTTTAAATTTGCAAACTTCATGGCTTAGGAATATTAGAAAAGAGATAAAATTAATGTTAAACTAAAAATTTAATAAAATATTTATTTTCTACAATATTAACTAACATATTTGCAAATAAATCTAAAATAAAGAGCTATTAATAAATTAATCATTTTTAGCTTTGAACAATTTTATTAATTTTTAAAAGTAAAATACTACATAGATACAAATATCCTTTCATTCATCCTCCATTGACTAAGTTATTCATTAATAATAGTCCATTTCTGTTTTAATCATTCTTTTTAAATTATTAAATCTATTTAACATTTCATCGTAACATTTAAAAGACTCATTCATGATATCTTTGGTACGTTTTTAAGCTTTTTCTAAACAAGTGTTGAACTCAAGATTAAAATCATCCATTTATTTGTTTACAAATTTATCAGCTTTTTCTATTCCTTGATGGCATTTATGAATACATTAATTAACTTAAGCAGTGCTTTTAAATATATCATCGTAACAGTGATTATACATGCATTTATGGATTTTATAATCAAAGGATAGATATTCTCTATTAATAAATCTCTTGAAGTCATCAAGCTTCTTATTATATTCTCTAATTATATCACCAGCGATCATCTTTTCTTAATCTGTTAGTATAAAGTCATCTTATTTATTGAACAAATTTTAAGTATGGCTTTCAGGATTTTTAATCCAGTACTCAAATTTCTAATGAGCTGAACTGAACTCTTTATCACGAACTTATTACTTTGTATCTTATTTGAATGACATTTCTTTTATTTGAACAGTTTTAAAGATTTAATAATTTAAAAAGTTTTAGTCAGATATTTTTTATTAAATTAAATGGATATTTGATTCTTTCTAGAAATCTACAATTATCTACAATTAATAAATAATAAATTTGGTTATAATTAAATAAAAATAAATGCATGACAAACTTATTCTATTTCTCAAAATTAAAATCTTATAAAATAAAATAAAACAAATAGTATCAGATATTTTTTAATACAAAGCTATTTGAGGTTTGTTGTTTTTGTTAATATTTCTGATTTAATAAAATAAAGTGGAATTCATTTTAAATAAATGAATTTATCTTTTGTATTTAATCTAATAATTTATGCAGTATTTAATAAATATATCTATTAACTCTATTATTTACCACATTATTTAAGAGGAATTTTCTATCTAAATTAATCTTAAATATCGAAGTAGGACTTTAAGCTATAAAATAAAATTAATGGATTAATTTTAAATAATAAATAATTTAAAAAATTAGTGATTAAATAAGAAATAGATCTAATGAGAATTATGAGGTAAATGTTAAAATTAATACAACTTCAATAAGTTAATTAAAATAATACAACTGTTTATTTAAATAGCATTAATGCTTAGAATTAAAATATTTAATTATAAAAGATTAAACATTAAAATATGTGTAACAAAACTAAATGATTAAAATACGTTTTACAAGCTTATATAGCTTAATATCTTAGAAAATATATACAATCTGATATATAAAAGAGAATGTATAAAGGATTTTATATTAAAAATATAAATAAAATGTAGTCAGATCATTAAAAAATATATAACTCATCCAATAAGCAAATCTAAATATATTTTAACTTAAACCAATGCTACTTGATAAGATGTCACACAATTTATTTTTATATTTAATGATTAATCTAAAATCATATTATCAAAGCACAATACTTTATTTATCCCTTAAATTTATAAATAGTAAACTTTAATGTTAAATAGAAACATTTAACTAAGATGTTTAATATACTTTTAAAATAATATTATATTTTTAAAAATATTAAATATGAAGTGATACTAGATACTTGCTTATGTTGTAATAAATATGAACCATTAGCTTAAAAATTTAATTATTTTAGCGATGCTATCTTTAAATTAAAAATGTCAATAAATATAATATTGTTAAGATTATAATAATAAATATATTTTTAAAAATGAGTAATACATAATTGATAGTAATCATGTTAATCTAATGATGACTTATAAGTATTAATAAATAAATAAATAAAATAAGAAGTAAATATCTTTTAATATTAGATGCAAAAATTATATTATTATAAATTCAATTAATTAATAGCATTTAATTTACAATCAAAAACATTTATATATTAATACATATTAAATTAAATATAAGAAATATATTTTATAGTAAATTTAGTTTTATTCATTAGATATTATTATCATTATTAATTAGTTTCATAGTATAATTAATAAGAGTTTCATCTTCAATATTTTAATCTTCCTTTATAGCTTATTAAATTAAATCTAATTATTCTTAATTAATTTCTTCGAGCATTTCATTTATAAATTATTGAGAAAGCTTATTTTACTAGATATAATGCTTTAATTGAATAACTTATAATTTTATTATTTTTCTTTGCCTTATCTTATTTCTCATTTCTTTTTCCTAAAGTGCCTAAAGTGATTATACCAAAGATTATTCCAAGTTTTAAATTTTCTTGTTAGTATTATCATATTACTCCTATCTGAGTAAATAAGTTTCTATGAAAAGCCTCTTTTCTAGAGAATCATTTGGATTTCCTGTGATATCCATTGCATTGTAAGCTCTTTAAATAATTTCAGACATATTATCAGGTACTTTTGTTTAGTATGAGCAATAGCAAAAAAAAGTTAGCCAATCTATTTTTTTTTATATATTATTTTCGTTTCTTTAAATTTATTTATATAATTAATTTTTTTCTTTTTATTAATTATTTTGTTCTCTCATCTGTTTTTCTTGTTTTTTGAAAGCATTTAAATTAATATATTTAAATTTCTAATAATTTTCTTCTACTTAATTATTTGTTTAAACAAATCTTTGTTCTGTGTCCAGCTCATAATATATTAGTTCTGGTGTGTTTTGATTATAAACATCGAACTTTGAAAGAATTATCATATAAGTATTTTTCATATTATAATGATAATCATGTACATCATTTATTAATAATTTTGATGAATAATATTGAGTCCTTGCTTTAAATTCTTTTTTATTTTACCCTTACATTTCTAAACCTACATTAATATTTTTTGCTGAACATAACACATCAACCATACATTTAATTAGTCTATTTTCTTTTTAATAAATTGGTTCATACTATTAAAAATTGGTTAATTGAAATTTATTATTCTAGTTATTTTCTAAATTTAGGAGGGTATTAATAAAATCATTGAGAAGTACTTGATCTGAAAAGAGAAACTTAAATGCTTAGTCTTCTTTTGGATCAGCAAAAAAATGTTTCTTTTTTGCCTTTTCTTTATAACTCATTTTTCTTTGTAATTTATAATTTATGATAATATATTTTTATTATTTCAAATACAATTAAACCCCACTCTTAAATTATAAAAAAGTCACTCTAATATTTGATATTCAAATTTATTTATCTGTTATTAACTTGTTTAGCTATCTTCCTATATCTATGCTTTTCATGATTTAACACAAAACAAAAAAAGTAATTAAAAAATACACAAAAACAAAAGATTTTTGTGATTAAATTAAAAGAATTAGATTATTTACTGTCTGAAAATATAAAAAGTAATAATTTTTTTTAGAAATTTAGAAAAAAAATTATAATAAATAAAAAATACACAAAGACAAAATATTTGTGTGAGTAAATTGAAAGAAATAGCTTATTTACTATTTTAAAATATAAAAAGTAAATATTTAGAAAAAAAATTTATTTTGTTAATCCTAAAATATAAGTTAAATTCAATTTAAATCTAAATTAATTTCCCTCTTTCTAATAAATAAAATATCTTTTTCTAAAAATTAATTTGTTTTTTTATTAAATTGAATTAAATATTCAAATCATCACTGAAATAAATAATTAAATTTCAATTATTGTACTTTTCTTTTTTAATAAAATGAAAAAAGTTTTACAAAAAAAGAGTAATTTTTTTAATTAGTAAATCTTAAAATATTTTAAGAAAGAACTTTTTAGATACAAATTTAAAGAATTTTTGATAAAAGAATATTTTACCTCATTATAAACTTAATATAATTAGCTTAAATTATTACAATAACTAACTCGTTATGAATAAAGTCATTTAATATTACAAAATGTTCATCGAACATGAAATTATTTAGTTTTTAGTTTTTAATTTTTTATAATTATAAATTTACTTTAAATATGCAGAAACTAAGATAAAAATTTAATTAAATACAACTAATTTATATCAATGAAAAAATCATATTAGTCATTCATTCATTCACTTACCTACTCAATCTATAGATCATTTGTTTCATATATTCAGTCTGAAGTTGTTTAACTTTATTAACTATTATTATTTATGAATAACAATTAAGGTTTAATATTAAAAAACAAAATCATTTGATAATTAAGAGAAAAAGCTAAGAAATAATAATAAATTATAAAAAAGATTGTAAATTAAGAAAGGAATTAATCAATCAATCATTCATTCATTTATTTATTTACATAAATACAACAAAAAAGTTAACTCGTTTGGAAAGAAAATATTTAGTAATAAATAAATAAAATAACGTTGTAAAGCAAGTGATGTAATAGCCGCCTCTTGGTTATACATGGGAAGGAATTATAGATTTTCTTTAAATTCATCAGAGCATAATGAAGGCTCGGGAAGATTAATTTGATTAAGAAAAGGCAAAGTTTAATGTATATAATTATTGGCAACAACATTACAAAATTTTGTTTAAATTTTTAGAAAAGAGAAATTCTAAAGATTAGAAAAATTATAATAAAGCAATAGAATATCATCTAACAAAATTTAAATAAAATTATAATAGGTAAGGATAATCTAGTTAGAATAAGAAGTAGGAAATTTAAAATTAATTAATGAAACAATGAGCTAACGAATTTCTGAGCTAGAAGTTAGACTTGGAATCGAAAATCCTCACTAAAAAATGTAAAAAAAAGCTTTAAAATTAGCTTTTAAAAATAAAAAATGGAATAAAATTGAAAGATATAGATTGAATATTTAATGATAAGGATTAATTTTTAAATTATATTAGAAATAGGTAGGCAGCATAGCATGCAAAGGAGGTAAAATAAAGAAATCACTAAAGAGTAAAAAGTGATCAAGTGTAAAATTTTGTCAAAATAAATGAAGATTTTTCAGTTAATAGTTCTATGCTTCAAAAGTAAGCGAAGGCTTCTGGATTGAGTTTTCATGTTGGAGGTGGGTCATCTTCAATGTCATTTTATCAGAATGGAAGTTAAGTAAACTAAGGATTGAGTTTAAGTAATACTTTCGATGGTATGACTAGCAAAAGTTTAGTGCACTAGTATGATATATTTTTAGATTATAAAATGAATAATATTATCTTCTCTTACAAAACATCAAATAAGCATTATAAAAAATTTCACATTAAAATTTGATATATTTGAGAACCTTCTAACTATTTTTAATGAATCAATAGTTATATAGTTCGTTCGTTTGTTTAAAAGCAGAATAGAATTTTAATTAAAAGTATTATAAACTTCTTACAAAAATAAATATTAGATTTGCTTAAATAAGTAATAACTTTTTAATGAACATTGATTAAGCTTTGGGTTTTTCTTAAACGGGTTTTGATTGAGAGGAGAAAATAATATTCCACATTAAAAAATAAATTAAAATATATAAATAAAGTTTATTTTGAACAATCTATTTTAATTTTTAGGTTTTTGCAAAAGGTTGCTTGTGACCAAGAAGATTCTTAAAGTATATTAAACAGTGATTAATTAGGTACAAAACAGCACCACTAATCATAATCTGCGAATAATTCTGTGAATAATGGAAACTCTATGATGATGTAGGGAGAATTTGATTAGAATGGAAAGTAAAAAAAATAAAAAAAATCAACTGGATCTCAAAAAAATACTTATATCTATAATTAGACAACAGTAAATTCGATTAACTCAAATAATTTTATCAATGCCTACAATAATTAGCAAATGTAGATCAATTAAACTCTTCAAAACAGCTTTATTTCTTCTAATAAGTAATAATAAACTCCATAACACAGCTAATCTTCTTCATCAAATATTGTAATCACTCCTTAATCTGCTAATAATGGATCTCATCAGTAGTAAGGCTCGATTAGACTTTAAGAAAATATGTCTAAATCAACTCCTCCCAACTAATCTTAATCATTAAATCTTCTTTAAATGTCTCAATAACTTTAACAGCAACCACAGTAATAACAGATAACTTAGACAAACAGTTAAATAATACAATAATCCTAAGATCTAACTAGTTCATAAAATTTGTCATAAAATAAATCAAAACTTAAAACAAATAATCTGCACATTAACACCAGCAACAACATGATTCCTAATTTTTTAAATAATTCAATTAGTTCTTCTAATTAAAATTATAATACGATAACAAAATCAATTCCTCTAAGTGCTAAAAATTCTAATACCTTTATGAATAGCACTAAGTCAATAATAACTACTAACGCTACATCTCCTCATACAATGAGTGACTCTTCTAATGAAAATCAAATGATTACAGGCAAAAAAATTTGGAATCCGAAATGCACTCTTCGTTCGCACTTGGACGGAGTACGTGGACTTTTCTTTACAGCTGTTGATCCCATACTAGTAACAGCAAGTGAAGTAAATATATAAATAAATATAATTTTACTGAATAAATTTCACATTTTTTATTAACTCGCTCATTAATAAATTTTTATTTAAAACTAGGATTGCTTAATAAAACTTTGGGATATTAGATAGTTTAAAGATAGCCACGAAAACTCTTTCTTACAACCTTATTACACAATTAGAGGCCACACTGGATAAATCTTTGCCTTAACAGGAAACCAATAATAAGTTGATTCTACTATCAACTACTAGTGTTACAATTTTATTTTCTCAGCAGGTATAGATGGTGTGATAAAAGCTTGGAATTTGCCATTACCAGAAGAAATCGATGCTTTGGGTCCATCCGAAGGTAAAAATGTTAGTGTAGGAGAATGGTAGGCTCATCATGAGACAATATGGGACTTAAATCATCACCCATTTTAACCAATATTGCTCAGCTCAGGAGCAGATGGTTACATCAAATTATGGAAGACATTCGTAACGGTTGATGGCACCAATTTAATTAGTTTATAATAGGGAGATTTGATTTCATACTTAACTTACAAGCCAGGCTAATTCTAAGACATTCCTACTTCAGTGTCTTGGGATCATTAAAGAAGTTAAATTCTAAGTGGTTGGGCTTAAAGCAATAACTTGGTTTGCTTTAATATCGAAAACAGCAAAATATCTTCTATTATTAAATATAATTAAGAAAATTAAAATTTATCAGCTTAAGTCAATAAGTAAATATAACAATAAATATACTAATTTAAATTAATCATATAAAATTTGTTATACATTAGAGTAATTTGTCATGAAGGTATTAACTGTGCAATATCTGGTCATGAAGATAGGCAAATAAGGTTCTTTGACCTTAAATCAAGTAAAATAAAGCACAATTCCATTCAAAAATATTAAAATTTTCACTTAAAAAAAAGATTCTTTGATAAAGAATTTGATAGGTCACACTGATGCAGTAACTGGGCTCTCTGTTCATCCTAATCAGTTTTACATGTCATCTGTTGGTCATGACGGAAGCATGAGAACATGGGATATTCGTAAATACTAATGCATTCATGATATACCTGTAAATAAATAAATAAAGCTACGTTCTTTTTATTTTATTAAAATTATTAAATTTACCAAAAAAAGGTGCATAAAAGAAAATACGATGAGTCTGCTCATACTGTGATGTACCATTAAAAGTAACCTCTAATAGCAACAGGTATTTTTTATTTGAAAATGTTTACATAAAAAAATAATTTTTTAATAAATAAATAATAAAGGCGGAGCAGATGGTTTAGTTAAAATTTTCCATTAACAAGACATGATTTGAGATAAAAAGTTATCAAAAATAGAATAATTAATCTAAAAAAAAGAAAAAACAAACAACTAAAAATAGTTTTAATCTTAAATAATTACTAAATATGTGATCAGAACTACTAACCTAACCTAACTACACCTCACATTACCAAAGCTAAATCTTATTGATTGCATCTTAAAAATATACAATCATAAATCTAATTGTGTCATTTAGTGTTATTTCCTACATCTGATACTAGAAGTAAATTAAAATTATTTAATTTTACATTTGCTTTTCATAAGAATAAAGGAAAAAAAACTAATTAATACAATTAGAGCTAAAGCTATAACTATGCTTACATAAATAAATAAAAACCTATATAAAAATACAACAAAAACTTTAATAATAATAATAATTTTGAAAGAAACAAACTTTACAATTTGTAAAGCTTTTACAATTTTTGGCTTCCTTTTTATATTTATCCATCTATCTGGCAATCAATGACTCAACTATCATTGAATTGTACATCAGTTTTTTGTTAAGAATAATCTTAATCAGCATCCTTTATAAATACAAATATATGATATAAATATATAAACTCATACACATGAAACCTAATTTTAGGATTAGGCTACAAAACATTCTTTATGAAAAATATATAAATTTATATATTTAGAATCGAAAGATTTGCAAAGAATTTCTGTGCCTATTTAATATAGCTATTAAATTAATCTTTATTTCTTGTAAATTTATTTGTTATACATACATATAATACGGAAATATTTATTTCATCAACCAGTCTACAAAATTTTAATTTTTTATCCTAAATAAATACCTTTTCCATTCATTTAATTAATTTGTGGTTAAATTATTCAAATAATTTATTTCATTTAATGAAGAATTAATTATATTTTTTTTAAAAAATAAATAAACAATTAGATTAAATTTAAATAGTATGAATTTTTTTCTTCTGACTATCTTTAAAATAAAAAATTATTTACTGAGTTAAAAATCAAATTTCTTTTATTTTATAGTTCTTTCATAAAATATTTATCTTTTAATTAATATTTTTAACTAAATATTAATTTTATTTAAAGAATATTGTGCATAATAAGTTCATTTATAATCCAGAAAAACTAATAATAAAAATTGATCATCTAAAATGAATAAATCCAAAATATTTTTAAAAATTAAACTGCTTTTAAACATGTAGCTATTTACATTATTCTAAATTTTATTACTTTGATATTTGTCATGATCAACTTGATCTTCTTTTTGGATTTATTATCTTAATCATTTTTAATTATGTCTTTATGTTATGTAAGCTAATAAAAAATGTAAATAAAAATGAATTATGTTTTTAATTTACTTTATTTTTACCTGTTTTTTACTAATAAAAATTTATTTTGAAAATAAATATTGATTAATTTAAATTTTTTTATTAATATTTAATAATACATTCTGTAAAAATCATTTTATAAAAATTATGCTTATAATTATAGAGATTTTTAGTTTAATTTTAGTGAAATAAAGAGCTTAAATTTCTTATTATTCTATTAAAAATTTTTATAAATATTTGCTATAAACAGTGATTTAGTTTTCTTAAAGAAAATTATAAAACTCTAAAAGAACAAAATAGATGATGATACTCAGCATAAATATATATTAATTTTAAAATAGTGAGGTTGATATTTGTTTTAAATTGTTTAATTTTGCTTAATAAGTTGCTTTGATATTTTTTTTCTATTGCAAAATAGTAATGTGTCTATCTATCATTTTATAAGATATTGAACTTGTCTTACACAAAAATAATTTAAATTCTTTAGATATCTTAAAGATAAATTTAAGATCAATATCAAAAATTTAATAATTAATTCTTATTATGCTTGAAGACACTTTTTATCAAAAAGATTAAACTTTCTAAGATTTTGATTTTTGTAATTCTATATTCGCTTAAATTAATTTGCATTTTCTTATTAAATATATTTATTTAATATATCGTAGGAAGAAACTAACTATTTTATTTTTAACTAAATTAGTAAAGTTCAAAGAAATTTCATAAGCATAATTATTTATATTAGTTTAGTAAATAGATTTTTATTAGATACTATGTCCTAGTAATCACAGAAAACATCTCAAGATTAGCAGAGAGATCTGCTCATTGATGAAGCACAAAAAGCACATAAATTAATTATTTAATCTGATTAAAAATTTAGAAAATAATTAGATATCAAAATATGCTATTTGATATCAAGAAATTGGTTTAATTAATGGTGCGAGTATGTAGGATACTTAGAGGTAATAGCAGATTTAGAACCTGAATCAGAAAAATTTGCTTTGATTAAGCCAAATAGATTGATAAATGAAGAGTTTATTTCATAGTAAGCTGATCAAACATTAAATATTTCATTATTCAAATTTGATGAAAAGATAGTATAAGAAAGCAAGTTCCTAAATATTCTTTTAAAGCAAGACTAAAATTTGAATACCTTCAAAATTGTAGATGAAGAAACTTGGAAGTTTTTCTCTTCAAGATACCCAGGAGGATTCGAGATTTCAAGACCTGTTTTCCATTATTAGCACAGAATCATCTAAAATGTTTAACTCCTGCAAGTAAGATTATTTAAAATTAAACTTAAAAAATAGCTTAGTTTGGATATAATTTTAGATTTAAAATAAGAATTGTTTTAAGCTAAAAACTATTTTATAAATAATAGCCTGAAATAGTGGTTTATAATGATGAGTTAGTGCAAAAGATAGGTTAGTTGAGTGATTTATAACTTAAAAATGGCTAAAACCCATTAAATTTTAAGAGATGCTAACTTCCTTCTTTCTACACTTTGAGTTAGTTAAAAGACTTAATGAAAAGATAGTTTAATGTTGATAAAGTTAGGGTTTGGAGATTCGATGCAAGTTAAAAAAAGGAAGAAATATAGCTCTAAACAGGTAAATAAGTTAAGTAAAAGCAGTACTAAATAAGAGCACGAGAGTTAGTAGAATAGCAGATTGGCGGACATCTAGTTTTGCAAGATATTATTAAGAATCACTATTGCTTAATTATTGAGTTACCAATCAGAGGTAACTTTTAACTCATTTAATCTAGCTAGTCATAGATAGCTAATGGTAAGTTTTAAGGAGTTTGTGAGTACTGCACTAAAATTTTAGAATTAAGTGTTAGATGTGTTTGTAAGTAAGTGGCTTACTGCAGCTAGAATTGTAAGTATAAAGATTAAGATTTTCACTCTCATACTTGTGATGTCGCAGCTGACTCAGAAAGTGATGAAGAGATGAATTCTCTTCCCTTAGAAATCTCGGGTAAAGCAGGCTTAAAAAATATTGGTAATACTTGCTACCTTGCTGCTGCTTTGCAAAATATCTATATAACTTCAGAGTTCTCTTAGAAATTTACAATGAATGAAATAAATTCAACACCAAATAAAAAATGCAAGCTGCTATAGAAATTTTCTAAGTTATTAAAAGAAATGACAATGCTGAACGAAGAATCAATAGAGCCTTGGAGCTTCAAAACACAATTAGGGCAAATTAATTAAATGGTAATTAGTTTTTTATTTTTATTTCTAACATTAGATTTTTTAACTTATAATAGTTTTCAGGAAATTATTAGCACGATGCAGCTGAGTTTATAACATGTTTATTTGATGCCATCAACGAAGAGTGTCAAAAAGACAACATTGAAGGTGCTAAATAAGATATTAATTTAAGTAAGCCTGATTAATTTTGGAGTTATTGTGTAAAATAAGGATATAATAAAGCACTAATTGAGAGCTTTTTGGGATTATACGAAAGTAGCATTGAATGTCCTGAGTGCTAAAATACTTCTTTAAGCTATGATCCTTTTACTATACTTTCTCTTCCTATAAAATAAAAGCCTATTGTAAAGCAAATTATGGTTAATTTAATAAAAGAAAATATAGCTCTTGATGTAATACATACTAAAACATCTTATACAACTGGTAAAACTACCATTCTTGATCTTATATTATTTGTTTGCCAAGAAAACTAAATTGAATATAAAAACAATATTGTTGTTTGCACTTATAATGGTGAGTCAATTTAGTAAGCATACATCAAATCAGAATAATTATAGAAGAATGTAGAAGATCTAGAGACGGAATTGGAAGGAAAAAACAAGTCGCTTCTTTTTTATGAAGTAAGCTACGATCTTTCTACTTTTGATCCTTTAAAACATAAATTGATTAAGATGGATTACTCAAGGATGGGTAAAACTTAAATTGGAATTATGCAAGTAGATGAGAAAACTACTTTTTCAGCACCTAGAGTAATCATAGTAGAGAGATAGTAAAATATGTCATCTATATACAAGCAAATATTTTCAGGTCTAAGCGAAATTTATCCTGAGGCTTACTAATTAGTTAAAGATTCATTCGCTGAATACAAAGAAATCTAATTAGAAACCGAACAAGACAATGAGCAGCAAAATACAAAATCAACTTCTCTAAATGATCTAGAAGAGTAGAGAAAGAAAGAGGATGCAAAATGGAATGGAGCATCCAATACCAAAGATTAAATTGATTAAAAACAATAAATCCAATAGCAAAATAATGGTTCAAGTAGCAACCAGAAATAATCACCTCCTAAATAGTAGTAGTAATAAATCCAACAAAATTAAATTAGTATCAATGATGGATGGGGCGACTTCGAAATACCAACAATCCTTCCAAAAAAATAAAATTAATAGTAAAAATCTACACAAAAATAGTAAACTAATTAAAAAAATGAACAACAACTAACTTAGCCAACTCAAAATTAATAGCTACCTAAATAACCTGAAAAAAAATAATAGCCACAAGCATTATAAGCTCAATAATCTTAAACCTCCTCACAAGCATTAACTTAAGCATCAAGTAATTCAATTTAATCAGCTTAAAGTACTGCTTCAAACGATGGAGGATGGGGCTGGGACTCTGAAATTTATGTAGCACCAAAAAAAGCAGCTCCTACACCTGTATAACAAAAACCTTAAGTATTACCTTCTGCTGCTAAATAGGTAAATCAATAATAAGGTAAGAGTGATGAAGATGACTTCACATAAGTTACTCAACATAAGAAAGGAAAAAACTCAAAGTAGAACAATAAAGAAGTTGTTTAAGAATAAAATACTTTAAGTAAAACTTAAAATTTGAATTAGTAAAATAATAGTAAAAATAACTAAAATAAAGCTTCAGAAAATTAAAAATAGAACAACAATAATAATGGAAATTTTGCAAACTAAAATGGTTAATCTAACTAAAAAACAATACTAAATGGATAATAATAAGCAAAGCCTTAATCAAAATAATAATAACAATAAAATATTGTGAATCCATTTGCAACTTGGGGCGATGAAGATTAACCCAGAAATATTACAGAACCTGAATAAGAGAAAAAGTCATTGACTTCTAGCAAATAATTAATTGAAAAATAATAATAACAATCTGAGATAAAAGTAGAAAACTAAAATTAATAAGAAGAATCTACATCCAATTAAAATTTAGCTGTAAACTAAAATAATAAACCAAATAAGAGTAAAACAGTAATTTAGAAAGAAGATTTTAGTGAACTCTTAACTAAGTTACCATTTAGTGTTAACATAAAGTCAAAAAAGAGTAGAATAGGAGGAGTATTTAAGTGTTACTTCTGTGGCAAATAAAATTGTTAAAATTGTACTTTGCCTTTTGAAAATCAAAGAACATTCTCTTAATTGTTATAAAATTACAGAGATCTACTTGAGCTTGAATTATTTTGGTAAAAAGAATAGCCACCAAAAACACTTTATAAGTCCATCATTGATTAAAACTAAGCAAACTCATAAGCCAAAAAGCAAAACTTACCTAATTTGTAATATTGTCTTGAAGAATTTTCATAAAAAGAGTAGCTTTCAAAAGAAAATGCATGGTATTGTTCTAAATGCTAAAAATAGCAACAAGCTTTCAAAAAATTAAGCATAAAATATGCCCCAAACAATTTGATTATTTAGATCAAAAGATTTAAAACAAATATCTAGGACGGATCAAAAGAAAAGAATTACTAGTAAGTAATATTCCCTGAATACGGTTTTTCCCTTTAAAGTTATGCAGACACTTAGGTATCTCCTTCAATACCATCAAGTAAATTTAATGGTGATATAGTTTATGATTTGTATGGCTTAATTATCCATGAAGGAACAACTGAAAATGGACATTATATTGCATAATGCAAATACGATAAAATATGGTATAGCTTTGATGATGATAATATATCAATTGTGGAATCAGAAAAAGTTTTAAATAATAAAAATGCTTATATTTTATTTTATAGATTAAGAAAATGAAACTTATGTATTAAAAATTAACAAATTAATCTTTAAAAATATAATTTATTTGTATGTATAAATTCTAATATTTCAATTAATAATATCATATCAATCGCTTTTATTCTATTTTTTCGTTTATCATAAACAAAAAATTAAATTTATTATTATGCTATCATAATATAAATAAATAATTTATGTAATAATTTTTATTTTATTTTATGCAGGATAAAAGGTTAAAAACAAATATTAGAAAAATACCAAATTATGTAATGAATATAGATAACCCATTTTATTTTAACCGATTAGTATTGTTTCATTTACATATCTGTAGTGTCTTGCTAATTTAAAAATTTTTGGAAATACTAGCTTTACATTAAATTTATCTAATTAGTAAAATAAAATAGTATATATTTTATACATACTCTCTTAAAAGAATATTAATTATTCTATTTAATAAAGTAAATTCAATATTTTAAAGTTTTATTTAAATCTTTTGAAGCTCATTTATGTTTATTAAATCAATCAAATAATAAGTTAAATTAAATCTAATCAAATTTAATAAAAAAATAAAATTACAATAATTAACTAATTAAATAAATAAATTAGTAGAAATATAGATAGATAATGTAATTTTTAATTTTAGTCCTTTAAATTTATAATAAATTTCAAATTATGAAATAAGAAATTTATGTCAGTGACTTTTATGATTATCATTTTGTTATAAAACTTATATTTCACTTAAGATGAAGTGGCCGAGCGGTCTAAGGCGGTAGATTAAGGCTCTATTCCGAAAGGGCGCGAGTTCGAATCTCGCCTTCATCAGATTTTTTTTTATTTTATTTTATTTTTTTAAATTTATATTAAAATGTTTGATATGAAGAAAATACCTATTTATTTAGAGAAATACAAGAAATATATTTTATAGAATAAAGATAGATAAATAAAAATAACATTTTATAAATTTTTATTCATAATTAGGACACTAGCCCTAATTATTTAGCTATTTATACTAATCTTTCTGTAATTGCAAATAAATCGCTCTGTTTACAAACTTTAAACATAAACTCTTGGTCGTTTTTTAAAATAAATCTAAATGTGTCGTTTGTTTATCTGATAATTAGTTTGATTTAATCCTTTTCCATATATCTTATGAATTCGCCATAGGGATGCACTTATGTTTATGCAGGACAATAAAAATATAAAATTCTATCAAATAAGTAAAGATCTCCTCTGACAGAGTGGTATTGCTCGATATTATCAATTACGAGATAGTTAATAATAAAATCGCACCTATAATCCTCAACAAAAGATTATTCTTAAAGAAGTCTTTCTAATCTGATATCTTTTTGCTTTGTTTGAGCAACATTAGTTGATGCTTTAGTTAAATTAATATCATTAAATAACGCATTATTAATAAAAAATTATTACAAATAAATGTAGGCTCAACAACTATTTGCTATCTTTTTTCTTTTACCTATTAAAACTACAATTAAGGTTACTAAATATAACTATATGGAGGCCTTGGATCAAGTGTTTAGCAGCAGCCCATTAAATAACAGAAATTATAAATACTTTTTATTTTTTTTGTAATAAAAACAGATACCTATTTATTAATTAATTTAATTATAAAAACCTATTTTCAATAATTCTAAATTAAAAAATTATGTGCTTGTTATTTATTTGTTTATTTTATGAAAAGATATTAAAAGGGTTAAATAAATAAAAATAATCTAAATAATATTTGCTTTTATGATAAATTAAATTCATTCAACTTAGCTTAGCAATAGTGCATTTATAATATAATCGAAATTAAAACTAAAAGTAATGAATAATACAATTTTAATTTTTTTTAAAATAAATTTTGTTAAACCAAACAAACAATGATCCAAAATTATATCATTTGTTTAAAAAAATTAAATGAGTCTTTAATTTTGCTAAATACTAATTATTATTTATATTAATTTTCCAATAATCCTAAATTAGATATTAAGTTTTTAATAAATCGATTAATCGAAAATTATTTTTATTATTTTATAATTAATTTTTGTAATAATAATAATATCAAATTTTTTATATATCTAAGCTCGATATACTATATCTAAAATATTGATATTAATCAATATACAAAAAATTAAATATCGAAAAGCTCTACTAATTATTTAATTTGGAAATCACATTACTATAAAATACAAATTTGTTTCAAAAGAAAAGTATAATTTAATTAAGAACGAATGAAATATCATACATAAATTTTAAGAAAATAATATGAAATATATATAATAAATCTTAATGCAACATTTGTCTAAATTGTATTTAATATATCATAAGTAATCCCCCATGTCAATAAAAGCTAAAAATTTTTAAGTTACTAAATATAAAGCATTTCTGATATTTTGTAGAAATATTCTTTAAATGTTCGATTGGAAAATCCTTACATTATTCAATCAATCTTTATAAGTATATTTCTGTTTGGTTTTTGCCTTTAAATTGAAAAAAGATATTTTTAATAAATAAATTAATTAATAAATTAAAACAAAAATTGATTTAAAGTAAAAGTTTTGAACTCTTAATAAAAAGAAATATAAAATCATGGAATATAGACTTTTAGGTAACACTGGTTTGAAGGTATCCGTAGTTAGCTTTGGAAACTGGCTTAACAGCGATAGACCTGATTGGTAACAACGTACCAATCTTCATGTTAAGAAAGCCTGGGACTTAGGTATTAACTATTTTGATACCGCTGAAGGTTATGGATAAGGTGAAGGTGAAAGACAAATGGGTATTGCTTTAAAGGAATTGAACGTTCCTCGTGAAGACTATGTTGTCTCTACTAAGATTTTCTGGGGCAAACCTACTGGATCTTTAAACAACCTTGGATTAAATAGAAAACATATTAAGCAAGGTATTAAGGCCTCCTTAGAGAGATTATAACTTTCTTACGTCGACGTTGTTTTCTGCCATCGTTTTGATCATGAAACTCCTCTTGAAGAAGTTGCTAGAGCTTTTACTGAATTAATTTAAGAAGGTCTTGTCCATTACTGGGGTACCTCTGAATGGTCTGCTGCTAACATTTTTGAAGCTAGAGAAATCTGTGAAGCTAAAAACTTGATTAAGCCTGTTGTTGAACAACCTCAATACAACATGTTTGTCAGAGAATCATTCGAAAAGGATTATGGTCGTCTCTTTGATATCTATAAATTAGGTTCTACTGTTTGGAGTCCTCTCTGTGGTGGTATCTTGACAGGAAAATACAACCAAGGTGGTATTCCATCAGGTGCTCGTTGGGACACTTTCAATGAAAATCCTTATTTAAAGAGAGTATGGGATTCATACTTTGCAGATGACAAAAAGGACAAGTTAGTAAAGATCCTTACAGGACTTGCTGAAATTGCTAAAGAATTAAATATTACCTAAGCCTAGCTTGCTATGGCCTGGGTTATTGCTAATAAGGATGTCTCTACTGCCATCACTGGTTGTTCTTCTCCTGAACAGTTAGAAGATGTTGTTAAATCAGTTCAAGTCTACAAGACCTTAACCCCTGAGATTTTTGCTAGAATTGAAGCTTTACTCAGTAACAGACCTGACCATGGTCTTAACTTTAAAACTTGGGTTCCCTTAAATCCTAGAAGATGATCAATTTAAAAATGTTTAAATTCGAAAATAATTTATTTGTAATAAGTTCATATTTTTATTAATCAATCAAGTATTCTATAAAATGAATTAATCTAAAAAAAACTCTAAATTATAAAAATTAAGGTGCAATTTATTGGCATTTAGTTTATAATGACTGCTTTCAAATTAATTGTTAATTTTATGGTATCTTCTTTTATTTTTTGTGATTTTTATTAATATATTTGTTTGCTTTCTAATCTCAATAACAGGACTTTAATATAAGAATTGAGTTGATATTTAATTATTTTAATAAGATACAATTAGCATCAATTATATCAAACTAAAGCATTAGCTAGCTCATTTCTTGTTTTTACAAACTAAAAATGTTTGATAGTTATTTTTGATGATGTTTTATTTAATATATATAAAATTTTATCTCTTAAAAACATTTTCAATAAAAAATTCAAATAATTTTCTAATTATCTTTTAGTAAAATATTAATTTATTTTAAAATGAAAAACCTTATTTATAAATAGACGCTACTACAAATAAATAAAATTCATAGTTAGACATTAATTATATAAATTTGCTATCATTTAATTTAATCGGTTGTTTTAATCTATTTTTATATTAGTAGATGTTATAAAATTTAAGGCTGAATTATTTGTTGTCTATTTGTTTGATTGCTTATAGATTTTAGCAAAGCAATTAGATATACTAAAAAAGTAATAACTCATAATAAAATTATAAGTAAAAAACAATTTTTAATCTTTTTAGAATATCCTATATATAATAAATACTTAAAAAACAAATAATATATGTATGGTCGGTCTTTTTTAAGTTTAACAATAGATAAGGCATTGGCGGAACAACGAAATATAATAAATTTTCTATTTTTAAGCGGTATATAGTATATTAATCAAAATTTCAAGATTAAAGCTTTTTTCATTTAAATTTTCATTTTGATTTAAAAAAAAATAATTAATTAATTTATTAAATAATTAAAATTTTTAGTAGGTATTTAAAGCAAATATCATCAAAAACAGAAAGAAAGAAAGCAAATAATAATTTAGAATTACTATTCTAAGCAGTAGCTTTTTATATAAAATGGACACAAATAGTTAGGGATTCAAATTTAACACTATGAACAGCAGCTAAGGCAACCAATAAAACAATGATTATGATGAAGATATTATTGTGGAAGAAGATACAAAACATTAGTTGTACTAATTTCGTGAAGAGCATAGTGTAGAAATCCGTCAAAGCAAACGTAAGCAAATATTGAAAAAAAATCGTGTACTACCTGTAGAGCATTAGCACAGTTTTAATAATCAAACTTTAGGAGATTTCCCTGATATTAATGCTATTCAGGGATAAACAATTGAAGAATTTTAAGCTTTTGTTAAATAATACTTACCTGTTAGCTTAGAGGCTGCTTCAGAATCATAGAGATGCGATAATGTTAAAGTTTTAGTTTCTGCAATAACAAGCAATTGTTCTCCACAGTTCTTTATATTTGCAACAAGCGAGCTTTACAACTACTTTTAGGATGAAATTCCAATTTTCAATATATTTATTGCTGATATTTATCGCTTTATCGATATAATCATTGCATCTGATTTTACTAAGAAGGCTAAGATTATCTTGAATGATTGGAGAACTGCTTTAGGTTTAGTTCCTGTATAGAATAATTCTTATTTTGTTCCTATTTTAAGGATAGACTAAAATCTCGCTAGAAGATATTTAATTGGTTGTTTAAATATTCTTTGTGGTATTTCAAGAGGTGGTGACAATCACTGCTCTATATTTGAAACTAATGACCTTTTACAAACACTTTTTGATATATTTGATGCCACAAAAACAGAAAGAGACATTACTGAAATTATGTTGTATACAATTGGTAACATTGCAGCAACTAGAAATTAATGGCGTATTTTTTTTATGCAGCGCGACTTTCACAATACTATACTTAATTATTTGAAGTATGCCCCTAAAAATCAAGAAAATATCCTTTTACACCGTCGTATTTGCTGGTGCCTGAGTAACTTTACTCGTGATTATGTTTCAGTACAGTAAAATAATGGGCAATCTTAAATTTTAGCTAACGGTTAAGTTGTTACAGAAATAGTTGACAATTCTTAATTCGATTTTTCACATATTAAGAATTTGACTGACACATTTATTGAATATTAAGATCCAGAAATCAGGACAGACATCTCTTGGACTTTTTAGCAGCTAGTGATTATTTTCTTCCCTAAGTTAAATGGTAACATAATCATGCCAGGAACTGCTGATGACTATAAAGCAAATAACAATATTAGCCAGTAGCAAAAACAGTATTACAAATCATAAGTAACAGAAAAAATTGGATTTTTAATCTAGAATGGAATTTGCGAATTTATTAATGAAGCCTTTAAATCTTCTGATATGACGATATTAGTACCTATACTAAGAATTATTAACAGAATCATGGCAGGATCTGCTCCAGTCTTAGAACTTTTCTTTAATAAATGTAATGACACTATAGTTCAGTGTACTACTAAGCATCTTTAAAATTAGGTCTAACTAATTAGGAAAGAAGTAGTTAAAACATTGCATTATATGTTTGCATGTGAATATGATGGTCATAAGGAGATATGGTTTAACAGATTTATGCAAATAGTTATGGTCAGATTCAACACAGAAGTGCTAAGCGTCAAAGAGGAGGTATATAAGTTGCTAAATACCATTATTGATAAAGTTAACCCAAACCACTTCGAATTTTTAACTTTGAATGGAGCAAACAGGTTCTGCATTTTCAGAGTAATGAGAAATTCTTTGAGTTCATATGAAACAAAACCTGAAGTTGTCATAACTATTTTAAGCATTTTGCTTAAAGTGTTAAGCTATTATAAGCTAGGAAACTCAAATTTAGAAAATCAAAAAATAAAAAGAATAATATAAATTATAGATTAAAACAATCTTCCTCAATTTGTTGAATAACTATAGGAGCATCAACAAAAAGGAATCTATGATTTTGCAATATAATTTATAGAATTATATAACAAGATTTAAGAAAACATTATTGACGAAGAACATAAAGAAATCAGCTCATAGCCCATAAGGCAAGATTATATTAGACAAAATAAATTTGATAATTAAAATTTTGAGAAATTACATGAAGAATAAAAGATTTGATTTCATTCATTCATACATACATAGATACGAATATAAAAGAAATTACAAATAAACAAATACTATATTATTAAATTAATTATTCTTTTGGTATTATTTGTACTATTTTGTTATTTTTATTCATTTTAAAATAATTTTCATATTTTAATTTTATTTATTAATCCAAATTAAAATCTTTGAATTTTTAGTTTAAATAAAATTTTTATAAATTAAATCTATAACAAAGAGAATAAATACACAATATATGAAAATCTTATTTTGTATCTATCTTAATTAATGTAATATAATTATCGAATATTTTTAAAGGGCTTTAAATAAAATGAATTAGTATTTATTATATTCTAAAATATAAAAATATTTAAGCCACTTTGTATGATCATTTATTTATTTATTTGTTTTAGTTTGATTACTTGTTTTTTTATTTATTTATGAATGATTTGAATTTAACTACAGTTTGGTTTGGCTTAAGTAATAAAATAAAATGGAAAGAAAAGATTATTATTACTCTGAACGTTCCTTTTATGAATAAATTCAATATGAAAAGAACTAAAAAAAAAAATAAAATGAAATCATCCAAAAAGAGCAGATCATTTTTCTAAATGAATTAGCAAATAAAAGAGAAGGGAAAGGGCAAAATATACTGAGGCGGAATTTATTAAATTAAAAAATAATAAAGACTTGAGAGGAGGTTTTATAAGGATTAAATTAAAGTAAAAGAAAAAAGAAGGAAAAAAAGATAAAAAAGATACAAATCATCATATAAAATGGTAAATAAATTGATTACTTTAAGTTTATCAAGATATTATTTTCATGGGTTAAAAATCTATTATAGAAATAATTTTATAATTACCTTTATAAGGTTAAGAGAATGATACTCAAGATAGCGAAATGAAAATGCAAAAAGAGTATCTGTTATTAAAGCAATAACATCATTCATTTTTATTTATTTCAACCCATCTGCTCTAAATCAAATCTAGCCCTTATTTAAATTTATTTTAACATTTCCTTCTTAAAAATAGGCTATTGACTTACATAAGCAAGGAAGAGTCGTCAAGAGATCTGTCGTTAGATAAACCAAGTCCACCAACGTTTATCACAAGCTCTTGATCAAGGTCAGTCAGATTGATTGCTTATCAAACTCTATTTAATTTGCTAGTTTAACAAAATTATTAAACCAATACATTCATTAAATGGTGTATATGAAATAAAATGAATAAATATCACTTTACATCTATCTGAAAAGCAATTTTACATTTGATACGAAAATTTGAAATAACTTGAAAATGGCTGTACAAATAAACTCCCATCTTATCATTCGTTGTTTTAGTAAAACAAACTCTCATAGCAGCATGTTATTTGCAAATAAAATATTCGCATTTATTTAGAGAGGGTAAGATTAGAAGTTGTGAGTATGGAAAGGCTTGAACAAAACATAAAATAAAATATTTAAGCTAGGATTTTTCTGAAGGGTTCTTGTAAAAAGCAATAAAAGGAACTAAAGGTGAAGAAGTAATAAAGCAAAGTGCTGAATATATATATATATATATATATATATTTACATAAGAAGTAGATTTAAAGTTGTAGATGCTTCTTATGAGGATAAAATTAAAAAGTATGAATAGAACAAGTGTAGTTTTTATCAGTAAATCAGCATATAAATTAGGAAAATAAACAATAAAATCTTCATTAAAATCATTTACAATCTCCCTCTTCGATAGATGCAATTAACTAAAACGATGCATAAAGATGAAATGGAATTTGTTTTTTGCTACGAGGCATTTTAAATTGTATTATTTCGAATAACGCTATAAAATTAAAGTGATAATTGATAAAAAATATTATTAATGGCAATACCAAAAGCAAAGTATTAAATTTTTATGTATAAAATTGAAAGATCTGTTAAAAAATAAGATTTTTCATTCATCCACATAAATACACACTTTTAATAAGTTATGTTAAACTAGCAAGCGAGCAAACAAGCTAAATTATTCACAAAAAATTTTTAGATATTTATTTTTATCTCAATTTATTTAAAAAAAATAGCTCTACAAGTTCCTCGTTAGAAGAACTGACTCTAAGTTCAACTAAAACATCTTGAAGAGATTATCCTCCTCCAGATTAAATAAGTTCCCTCTTTCTTTGAGCAGAATCGTCAAGAACCTCAACGAAACCAACAAGGAATAAGTTATTGTTAGCACCTCCACTGTTACCAACGACGAAAGACTTTTGACTGTCCCCAAGCTCACTGTCTGTGCTCTCAAGTTCACTGAAACCGCTAGAAAGAGAATTCTCGCTGCTGGTGGTAAGTGCCTCACTTTCGATCAACTCGCTCTTAAGGCTCCCACTGGTAATTAATTAATTTATTTATTTATTATTTTAATTCAACGAGAAGAAATAAACTGCTTGATAAATAAATAGCAACTCTTTGCTTTATTGAGCTTATCAAGAATTGATTTTTGAAAGATTTTAGGAATCAAAATAAAATGAATTTATTTTTTTTCAAATATAAATGAATTATTCTAAAATAAAAGGTACCAACTGCTTCCTCTTGAGAGCTCCCAAGAGCAGAGAAGCCTACAGACATTGGGGTAAGGCTCCCGGTCAAAGAGGTTCTCACTCTGCCCCCTACGTTAGATCCGAAGGCAGAAAGTTCGAAAGAGCTCACGGTCTTAAATGATCAAACTAATTTTATTTAAAATATGTTTTAACTATTAGTAATAAAGGAAAATGCACAAAAAAATGTAATAAGACTAATTATAAATAAAATTTAGGTTACATGTTTTTGTTATTGTATTTAAATTTTCAAATATAACTATTCTACAGCAATACCTCCCTAACTTCTTATTAAATCTAATATCCTGTAATCCCTTTTTAATTTTATAACACTAACAAATATGCATTTTCATGTCATTCTATTAATTTAATTGTTTGCTTATTTGTATGTTCTTTCAATAATTTCTTGTTTGAGATACTTCAAAAATAGTATAAAAATAATTAACAATTAATTTTAGGTTTTAATCAATTTCAGCTAATTATAATTGCTTTAATTTTTACCTAATAATTATGAAATTTATTTAAAGTACAATTTTGATATTTGTTTCTTTATTAAGTAATTTATTGAATGAATAAATGAATGAATCATTCTTTCAATATCAAAGATGAAATTTATTTATTTTTCGTTATGGGATTTCTCTAAATTATTTTTAATTTTTATAAATGTTTTTTTTATAATAAAAAGAAATGTTGCTTAGAATTTATTATCAATTTATATTTTTTGCTTAGTTTTTATTTAAATTTTAAAAATATAATAAATACTTAAAATAGATTAATTGATTGATTATTATAGTTCATCATTAATTTTCATTTTTAGAAGATTTTACTTTTTTGATAAAATTTTACATATCTTTTTTAAAAAGATTTTTCATATCACAGATAAAGCAAATTAAAACATTCTTTTTTTGATTAAATAGCCTTTAATTTTTATAAAATGATTTCAAAATTCGCAAAATCCATTTACAATTATGGGACAACATCAGTTATTTTTGGAAAAAATGCTAGAGATGAAATTATCAAAGGCATTCAAACTCTTAATAAAGCTACTTCTTCCACCTTAGGACCAAAAGTATATTTTTTTATAATAGTAGAAGATAGACCTATTAATTTAATTATAATTAATTCTTTTTCATATAGGGAAGGAATGTTTGCATAGAAAATGAATTAAGACTACCACGTATTACTAAAGATGGTGTGACTGTTGCAAAAAATGTTATGTTTGTAATTATTAATATGCATTAAATATTTTAAATTCTTCTTAATTTATTCAATCTAATCATACATTTTATGTAGAAAAGCAAACTATAAGAAATAGGAGCATCTCTCTTGAGAAAAGCTTCAGGATCAACTAATGTTCATGCTGGAGATGGAACCACAAGTACAATAATTATAGCTGAAGCAATCTTAAGGTATATAAATGTCTATTTTATTAGACACTTTTAATTATTTTTTTGATATTCCTCTGACTGAATTTGCATCGATACTAATTATAGAGAGAGAGAATTTGTAGTTTAATTAAGATAATTATAATATTATATTATTATATGATTCTAGATAATTCTCATTATTAAATTATCAAAAATATGATAAAATTATTTTTTTAACAGGGAGAGTAGCAGATTTTTAGAGTATAAAGCCAATCCAATTGAAATGAAAAAAGGCATGGATAAAGCAAGAAAGCACATAGTTGAGTTTTTAAATGAAATATCGATACCAATAGAAACAAAAGACCAGCTCTACAAAGTAGCTATGGTATCTACCAACTATGATAGTGAAATGTCTAGCTTAATATCTAATGCACTATGGGAGGTAGGTGTTGATGGCTTAATAGAAATTGAACCAGGAAACCAATTAAAAAATGAATTATTTGTAAACAGCTTAAGTATATTATAATAAAGCATTTATTTATATAATTTCTATTGTAAAGTTTGTTAATGGAGCTACATTAAATAGAGGCTTTGCATCAAGAGAATTCATAGTAAATAAATCTTAAAATAAGTAAGTAAACTACTATTTTTATAAAAAAATGCTAAATATAATTTAAAAACAGAGTTGAATAAAGCTATCCTTTAATTTTAGTTGCTAATTTTCCAATTTAGAAAATAAAAGAAGTTGTTCCTGCCCTTGAATTAGTAACGTTAAATAAAAATCTATTTTTAAACTAACACAATTAAATTTATTTAAGGCAAAGAAGCTAAACAAGCCACTTTTTATTATAGCAGAGGATATAAGCAATGAAGTTATTTCAAATCTAATTTTTAATTAATTGAAGGGTATAATTGAGGTAAAATAAATATATAAATAAATAAATTTATTTTCTGGTTATTTATAAAACTATTTTACCTAAATTATTAATTAAGTGCTGTGCTATTACTGTACCAGGAATGGGAGCTTTTTCTAAAAATATTCTTGAAGATATTTCTCTGTTGACTGGTGCTAAATTATTTGATTAGAATAACTATTCAGAATTTATAAATTTAAAAGAGAGAGATTTTGGTAAATATTTCTGCTAGAGTTTAATGACATTAAAATTTATTTATTAATAGGAAAGTGCTAAAAAATCTAATGCTCTGAATTAGAAACATTTTTTTCTGGAAGTTATGGAGATAAGAATCTAATTGATAAAAAAATTGAAGAGCTACAAATGTAGATGAAGGATTCAAGTGAAACTTCTAAAAAAATTTATAAAGACAGATTAGCTAGATTATCAGGAAAGATGGCAAAAATAATGTGTGGAGGAAATACTGAGTTTGATATATTTGAGAATAGAGACAGATTGGTTGATGGGTTAAATGCTGTTAAGAATGCTCTAAAGAGCGTATTTGTGTTATTTAACTAATTTTTAAAGTTTAAAATGTCTTTTATTTAATCATAAGGGTATTCTTCCTGGTGGTGGCATTTGTATGATAAGGGCATCATAGCTATTAGATTATGTTGAAGTAGATAACGAAGAACAGCAATATGGTATAGATATTCTTAAAAAAGCTCTTTTATAACCTACTATAACATTGTTGGAAAATGCTGGGAAAAATGGAAGAGTAGTGGTTGAAAAAATTAAAGAGCTTTCTTTAGAAGATCCATATGTAGGCTATGATGTAAACACAGGTAATTTTTAATTATCATCTAATAAAAAATAATTTTGCAAATGTAAAAACTTAACATAAATTTAGATGAGTACATAAATTTAACTGAAAGAGGTATCTTTGATTCATTGATTGTTGCAAAAACTACTATTGAAGATTCTATTAGTGTGGCATCTATGATTCTTACAACAGAAGTTGCAATTATTAAAGATTACACATATGAAGGTATAACTCAAAATTAATTAATTTTATTTAAGAATTAATTTACATTTTTAATTTTAAAAATAGCTCCTAAGTATAATACATACAGAAGAGAAATATTTTGATGCTAAAACTATATTTCAAAACGGCTTTTTCTATTTTGTCTGTTTATTATTGTTTGATATTAAAAGTGTATAAATAATATTATATATTTTGTAAGTAAAAACAGTAATAATTATTGAAATATTCATTTTAATCAGCTGCTAAACATAACCAAATAGAAGTTTATTTATACTTTTAACCTTAGAAATTAAATTAATTATTAGCAATATCTTAATTTTATTTTTAATTATTGCTTTGAATAAAATTAAACTCTTGCAAATATTTTAAACAAATAAGAGGATATTTTATTTGTTAAATAGATTGAACTTAAATGAATAAATTTTAATGAAACAAACTATTTACTTATTTAAAATATTTTTGTTTTATTTTATAAAAATCTTTAGATAATTTTTATAATAATATTAAAAAAAATTAAAATAAATATTGATGAAAATTGAAGATTTTGCAGATTGAAAATTTGATTTGAATTATTGAAATTGATAAAAAATCAAAGCTATTATGCGTTTTTATATTTATTTAAATCAGAGCTTTGATAAAACTTACTTGAAAAAGCTAAAAATTTTAAAATAAAATTCAAGATTTTTCTTTAAAAAATATTCTAAAAAGTTTAAGAAAGAAATTTTTAGAATTTTACAAAATTAAAAAAAAAATTTTATTTCATATTTATTTTCTTAAAAATAAATGCGAAAACCGTATAAAATTTAAAATGATTAATTATCCTTTAAAGTAAATATTTTGGATTTGCAAAATAGGTATATCAAAAATTATTTTGGTTTAAAATAAAATTGATTTTACACATATTACAAAGCAAAATACTCGAATGGGCGAACTATTCCAAAAAACTGTAAACTAAACGAAAAAAAAATCAATGAATTCAGTTTCAAAGATACATATGATTAGATTGGAGATATTTAATAGTTTAGTAAATAAAACTCAACCAAACATATTATCAAATTTGTAAATTAATATTGATTTATTTAATTAATTAATAAGCTCCTGATTGAAAATTGGCAAATTGATTTTTCAATAAATTAATAAAGCTCAATAACTAATAATTACATTCATTTATCAATAAAATAAGCTTTAGTTTAATCGCTTTAAATTTGTGAATTATATTATATTCTTTGAAATAATTTATTATTATTCATTACTAATTTCCTAAAGAAGAAATCTTAAATTAAATAGATATAGCAAAGTAAAGAAGCAGGTGCTGCTAAATACTTAAGCAAAATATATATTAGTCAACTCCGAAAAACAAGCAGTTAGGATTTCGACTTGATTTTAGTTAGATCCAATGAAAAATTTAAGCAAGTTTTAGCAAACAGAAGAAAAGATTTAGAAACCTAAAAGCATAGTAGATTTTATAAAAATACTGAAAGCAGCCAATAAAATCACATATGAAGAGGAAACAATTTTAATGGATTCTTCAGTTAGAGGTAATCCTACTTTTAATGTAATACACTAAGAGTTTGAAAGAGAGCAGGCTGAACATTTTAATGATGTGAAATATTTGCTGAAGTTTAAAAATTTTCTGAGTTCGATGCAAAACGCAAACAGAGATAAACAGTAAGAAACTCTTGAACCTAAAAATGAGAAGATCGAAGTATTAGTAAAGCCATTGGACTAATAATTAGAAGAAAAGGTTAAAAAAATAGAAAAAGGAAGTCCAATAAAAAGAAACAGTGGGGTTGCCCATATAAATCATCCTGCAAGTCTGAAAAATATTGATAATAATAAGAATACGCCATTGGCGATTAGTCAAGAGACTTAAAAAAACAGACAGTTTGGATAATTCTTCAAAGAAACTAACAATGATGATGATATAATAATAGCAGGATAGTATAACATAAAATGGAATAAAATTAGAGAGGATACTTAGCCTATTTCTTTGAATTTCCTTTTAAATTACTTAGCTCCTGATAAGTAAAAATACTTTTTAATTTTTATGCGAATAAAAATTAAGCCAATTTAAAACTTATCTATTCGCTTTCTTTCTGTTTTTTGACTGCGTTATTTATCTCCAAAAACCAGGGTATGGACAACCCTATTTATGAAGCATCTAATATACATTTTTTAGTTTTAAAAGCACACTATTTCTAGTGTCTTTACAAATAAGTAGTCAATTATTTTTTTGATGAAATATTTATTATGCTTATCTTAGTTTTCCATATCTCATTATAAATAGTGGTCTATTAAAAACTAGCATATTACCTCATAAATAAAAAACTAATGATTTTTAGCTTATTTAAAGATTTTTTAGAAAATAGAAGTATTCAGGATTTCATATAATTTAAACAAATACTTAATTTAAAATAGATCATTATTATATATTTTTTTTTCAATAAATTTATTTTAGAAAAAGAGATGAAGAACTGTAAAATGCAATAATACAATCTGTTACATCAAAATATAAAGAATTAAAGAAGAATATTTCAGAAATCAGCAGGTTTCTTATACTTCCATCTGCTTAAGACTTTAATTTGTATACGATAGTTTCCTTCATCAGATCTATCCTGAAAAACATGTTTAAAATCTGTGATTTTGAAGTTACAAGGATAGAAAACTCAAGCATTTCATTATTTAGATCTCATTCAATTACTATAGCTAGTGGAGTACGTTATTTAGCAGTTTTAAAATAAGCAAAACATATAATATAAAATAGGATATAAGAGAAACAGAGAGAGTAAAAAAAAATCTTCAAGTATTTGAGTAGGACAAACTTTATATTCTAGGAAATCAAGAAAGAGATCTAATAAATGACTGCATAATTGGTGAAATACCATAATATGTTTATTTTATGAAAAAAGCTGTCGAAGGAAAAATATTTTTGGTTTACTTTCTTTTAGATAGTGAATCGAAGCAAATAGCAGATTTTTTATTTGAGTAAATATTTATTTATTAAAATAACAAATAAAACTCTTTTTGTAATAGAAATGTTAATGGCTAAAAATTTTTGAGAGTATTCAGAGTAGTGTCTGATTTGATCATTAAGATTCTGACAGAAAAAATTTTAGATAAGTAATTTATTAATCTTTTCTTTAATTAAACAATTTTTGACATTTACTTTGAACTATAAATAAAATAGGTAGTCTTTCATACTTAAGCTTTTCTACATAGTAGAAGAATATTTAAAATTGCAAAAATACATCCTAGTTAATAAATTTTAGGACTCATTTAAAATATTGTTTGAAAATTCGCTCTATTTGCATGATAATTCAGTAATTTAAATTTAGAATATGGTTTTTCAATTAAGGTTTTGTAAATTAATAGGAATACGACAAAAAAAATTCAAATTATCCTAAAGATGATCATTTAATATTATAGCATGATTTAAGTATTATTGGGACAGAATTTAAATACTATACTTTTATAGATGGTATTTAAATAAATAGATCTCCTCATTACAAGCAATTTGAGAATGTAATATATTTCAAAATGCATTCATCATTTTTAATATTAATAAACAAAGTTTAATTGATTAAATAATGTTAAAAGGTAATGACATAGGTTTATCATAAACATAGACATGCTATTAGCAGATAACTTGAAAGGTACGCTGATTGGAAAATGGCATTAAGTTTTAATTAAGTTATATACTTAGAATTTAATAAATTAGGCTAACTTTGCTTCATAAATTAGCAACCATCTACAACTTTGAAGTAAATAATAATAAACATTTATAATTATTATATTAATTAATGAATGAATGATTTAATTATTTATTTATTTAATTTAATTTAAAATTTAATTAAAATAGAAAAAAACATAAAATTTAATTACCTGAAAATCAGCAAAATATTCATTACACAGACATATTCAAAGATAATGATAATTTATTGCAAAATATAAAAGAATGCTATATATAGAAATCGTACTACATCCATAAAGGTGATTACTCATCTGAAGATGTAGAAGAAAATTTACAATACTAAATTATAGCTCAACCAGGTGTAAAAAATAAAATTAAAATAGTAAAGATGAACTTAAAAGACATAGATTCAGAGGAAGAAATTCAATAAAAACAATACAAAATATAATCTCCAATTTTCAATTCTTGTCAAAAAACTTTTAACAATAAAATAAGGAACAAACTCACTTACTTTACTGCCAGCGAGTCTAAAAATGTAAATCTACTAATTATTTATTAATCAGAAATAATTATAATATGTTTATAATTTAGATAATTTTACAAGATAATGAAGCAAAGAATAGTACAGTTGTTGAATTTTTATCTTAGGTAGAATAAAAAAAAGTTAATGAAGAGTAGAAAGCTCTATATCTTAAAAAGCTTGCTTCTCCTAACATTTAGCAGATCAAAAGAAATATTAAATGTATTGCTGACATGTAATATAAACTTTAAAAGTACAATATTGTTAAAAATATGGTTTTTTTAATTAAATTTAGTGGCAACTAATAAGAAAAAGGAAACAACTATCTAAATAGGCTTGTTACAATCAGAAAAGTTACAGAAAAAGCCAGCTCAAAAAGTGAAATCCTACTTAAGCCAGAAGATTTTAAAATTGATGAATAAATAAACTTAGAATTAGAAAATTTTGGGATTGATATATGGAAATATGATGAAAATTAGAAGCTTAAAATTGCTTGGCTTATCATGGAGAAAAGAAATTATTTTAAAGAGTACGAAATACCAATTGAAGAATTCATTACTTTTTTATATAAATTAAGAGAAAAGTATAATAAGAGAGAAAATCCTTTTCATAATTTCGATCATGGAATTATGGTTATGCATGGTTGTTTTATGATAGGTTGCAGAACTAAGTAATTGATTAAAAAAATAGTTTATTCATTCATAAAAATAAATGGTTTGATCAGTTTCTAATTAATAATTATTTAAATAAAATAGTGCTAATAAATACCTTAATTCTATTTAAGAATTCAGTTTAGTATTCAGTGGTTTATGTCATGATGTTTCTCATCGTGGAAAAACAAATGCTTTTGAAGTAAATACTATGTCAAAATTAGCAATAAGATATCACGACTAGAGTGTTTTAGAATAGCATCATATTGCTCATACATTCAAAATTCTAAGACAAAGCAATGCAAATATTTTTAAAAATCTAACAATCCAGAAGGTATAATAAATTAGAAGATATGTCATCAATAATATCTTAGCCACTGATATGAGCAAGCATTTCGATTACTTAAAAGATTTCCAAAATGATTTTCTTCAAGAAGTTCACAAGAAAGAGTCAAATTAATTTGGTAATTTATTTTTAAGAAATATTCTTTTTATCTATTTTTTACTATTAAATAGAGGAAAAAGAAATTAATTTATTAACTGGCACAATTATTCATACTTCGGATTTCCATCATACAGCTTAAAAATTTGAACTTAGCAAATAATGGAGTGTTAAAGTTAACAAAGAGTTCAGCTAATAAGTACATTTTTTATTTTAAGTCTTTTTTGCAAATAATTTAATTATTTTATTAACATAAAAGTACATTGAAGAAGGAAAGTAAGGAGTGTAGCAAACATCTTACTTAAAAGATTTAGATAAAATGCATGTCTTGGCTAAAAATGAAGCTGGATTTATTAAAATGATTGTGAAACCTCTCTGGGAAACTATGAATAAATTTTTAAATGATTAACTAATAGAGCCAGTAAGTAATCTTGAAAACTCAATATTAGAATGGAATAAAATATATGAAAAGGCTCTAAAGGAAGAGGAAGAAAATTAAAAATAATAAGAAATTAACAAACTACTAGCTTAATCTCAATCCTCTCACCAAGCAGGATTAAATAATAAACTTAAAAATTTAATTTGAAATCTTCATTCATTTTTAATCTTCATACATAAATAAATAAATAAATATTTACTTAATTACCTACCTACCTACAATAAAAAAGAAAGTAAAAAAAATAATCACCTACCAAAAAAATAACTAAAAACATCATTTATCAATCTATCTATCAATTCTCTCTCATAATGTCACAATTTTGTCTATGAATCAATAAATCAATCTAATTATTTACATAAATACAGTATCAAATAAATAAATAAACAAATAATCAAACAAACAAACAAACTAACCAACTACCTCTTTAAATAAAATTTTTGTTTTTTCGTTTTAAATGTATAATATGTTGTCATTTTTCATTTTTATATCTTATTCAAACACACTTAATTTAATATTTCAAAAAGTATTTCATTACAAATTTAGCTACAATTTTTATCTAAAAAATTAAATTAATTTTTAATTTACAAAATTTACTCAAAATAATTTTTATTAAATATAATTTGAAGTAATTATTTAAAGATTATTATTTAATGATTATTCACTACATTTTTTTACGGGATTAAAACATATTTACCTTTAAATGATCTAAATAATCTAAAATTATTATGGTAAAAAATTTGTATAAAATTGCGATTGTTAAAAATGATAGGAAACTAGTTTTATTAAGTTTTCAATGAATGGATATTAATTAAGATGAAAATTATTTTTTAAAAGCTTATTAGAATATTATTGAAAAGGAAAATTGAATTTAGTTAGTTAGTTAGCTACATACAAATAAATTTTAAAGTAATAAATAAATCTATATATTTTTTATTAACTTTGATTTTTAATTTTAAAATTATTATAAAAGAGATTTATTGTTTTTTGATTGATTTTTTGAAAAGGTTTTTTAATATATTTTGATTATTTGTTAGTTTGTTTGTTTGTTTATTTAAGTAAAATTCAACTGATTAATTCTAAGTCCTCTTAATTATCATACATATCCCTATCAATTATTTTACCTGTATACTATTTATAGTTTATTGGAAGCTTACTCATTTAATTGGCTTTGTATTTTAAATTTTATTGGTTATCATATTGCCTTTATATGTTTTCTTTGCTACTTTGGTTATATATTTTACTGTGTTAATGATAATTTTTTCTTTAGCAATCATCTTAGCTTTCCTATATAATTATTTATTTTTCTTCTTCTTCTTCCTCTTCTTAGTTACTATTTCTAAAGGCTTAATAATTATTAGAGTAAGTCCTATTTATACCCTTAAAAGATTAATCTGGATTATAATAGCCATGCTCAATATCATCATTATTTTTAGAATGGCTTCTTGATCTGTTTTTACTTGATTTTTTGACTAAAGGTATATTTTAAATATCTTCAGAGCTCAAACACTATTTAGCTACCATATCACTTAGAATAAAATCAAGTCCTTAAGGAGAATCGACTTTAATATCAGCATAGTGCTATATACAAGATTTGAATATTTGAGCCATTCTTTCCATATTGTCTCCAGCCTTTATTAATCTATAATGAATTTAGAGATTATTCATAATCTTAGCTATTTTTTCTATTGTCAAGCCACAAGGACATCCATCCCTCCAAACAAATGATCTTTTAAGGAATCCTCCACTAATACCAGTATAAAGATCTCCATGAGGTGGGGCATCCGCAATATGAATTATATATTTCATAGAATTTTTTCTCCAGTTAATACCAGAAGTAGCTACATACAAACCATCCATAACAGCTTCAGGGGTATCTCCACCTCCTTCAGCGTCTTGTTATTATATAAATTGAATAGTTTTGAGTGGAGTAGTTAAATTGCTGATACGGTAGAGATAACTGCTTTCCTCTGGAGGATGGTCACGATAACAAACAAAGCCATACTTAATATCAATAATTTACTCAAAAGGTTTAGTCTTCTTGTAAATAGCAGCTATATAATCTATAGTAGCTTATAAATATTCACCCATTGAGCTAGTTGTATCACAACAAAATACAATATCTACTAGTTGCTTGCCATCTGAATCAATACAATAATCTTCTAAGTTAGATCCATGCTTCCTTAGGATTTCTTGGTTCTTATCACATTAATTATTCTATTCTACATCCATAGCTAATTCAGATTTTTTTGTTTTCACTACTGGAATACTTTCTCTTATATTAGTTGGCTTCTTAAAAATGAGAGGAACTTATTTAGTACACACTGTTTTCTTAGGTTTGTTATTTCCTCTAATTAAAAAGATACTTGAATTTTTAGGATTAAGTATTGAGTCATTCTCACTTTAAATATCCTCTCTTGACATTGAACAGCCTCTGCTAGATGCTGTAGTAGTATTGACTGTAGCGTTTCCTTACATATAGGAAGTATTAAAAAGGTTATTGCGTGAATCGTTATTTATATGATACTAAAAAGAAAAGTTTTTTTAATTATTAACTGAAGAATCTTTGTTAAAGGAATCGTCTCTAATTAACAGATTATTGTTGGGACGTCTATAACGAATAGTTTAAGTGGCATCTTCTTAATCAATAAACTCATTTTAAGAATTTTAACTTTGTCCTTCTTCTTCTTAATCAATTGTTTCATTTTTCTTGTCTTAATTTTTTGCCTTTTTGGCTTATTTTTTATTTGATTTGAGCTTGCTATTTGCCTCAACTCCTTCAATATCTACATTTTTTTTTATTTAGAATTCTCCAAATTACTTGCCTGAGCGAGTCAGTTTTTTGCATGTTTTTAATTTATTTTTCTCAGAGTTTTTTTATTAAGGGGTAGGAGACTTAGAAGAACACTTTTATTAGTTATTTTATTGACGAGCTCTTTTTCTTTTAGCAGAATCATTTAAACTATCAAAAGTCTTCTCAATATCATAAGATTAGCTATTGTTTTTTTACTCATCTTCTTTTATGTTCTTTTATTTTTTACTTTTTTCAGCTGACTTTTATAAATTAGTTTCATAACTTTTCACTTGCTTTTAAACTTTTTTCAAAATTTAAGCTGTCATAGAAGTTATGATGTCTTTCTTTTTCCCTGTGCTTGATGATCCCTTTTTAGAGCTAACCGAATGGTTTATTTTACTCTAAGCACTGACAGAACGAGTAACTTTTTGGGTAGTAGGAGATAATTACTTCTTAGGTGATTACTTTTTAATAGGTTTTTTTACACGATTAACTTAATTACTCTTAGATTTGCTTTTGCTTTTATCCTATCTATCTTTCATAGTACGCGCCATGTTATATTTAAAATAAATTTTCAAGAGGCTAAGTTTTTACCTTAGGATTTTATTTACTTAATAATAGAATTTATTCTATGTTTTTATTTAAAGCTTATATTTACTTTTGATTTGATTTTACTTTTTTTTTCTTTGAATTTTAATAATTTTTTTAGGATCACAATTTAGTAGAATGTATTAAAAACATTTGCATTCATAATCTAATACAACTTAATGAATTTTGATGATTGAAAAAAAATCAAAATTCTGCCAAAATTATTCAGAAGATCTCAGAATTATTAACGTTCTATCAGAATATAAATTCAATGCAAAATTTGCGCCATAATCTATATGCATTCAAAACTCATGCATTCAAATCAAATTAAATTTCATTAAAAAAATAGAAAAATAAGGCAATTAAATTTTTATTAATAATAATAACAAAGTTAAGAATCTCCCCCAAATAAAAATTCTCAACTAATACTTTATGATCAAATAAGCAACAGTAAAAAATAGGAAGTATCCGCTATAGCAAATACAAATTCAAATATTTTTGAACTTTTCCACATTAAATAAGAAATAGAATCCTGAAAAATAAAATATACAAATTTAGGCAATTTTAGAAGAAAAAAAAATTTATGATAGAAATAGATTAGTTTTAGAAGGAATTTCAATTAAAAAAGTGGACAATTACAAAAATTACAATCAAATGTAATTTGACATATACTTCTTGATTATTATGAATGTTTCAGCTTTTGAATATGAAATTCTGATTTTTACTTCTAAATTTTATAAAAATTGAATAAGTTTTTACTTAACAATAGAAATAGAAATATCTATTAATTATTAATCTTCAAATTTCTTTGTTATTTAAATGTAAAATATTTTACGTAATAAAGTTAGCATTTTTGGTTTTTAAAATTGTAATAATTTTACTAAAAGTTTTTTTTGAAAAATTATACCTAAATTTAATATATAAAAATTGATGAGTGTTTATATCCTACATATTTTATATTAATTTTACTTTCTATTTCTTTATATTTATATGAAACTCAAACTCATGAAAGCTGGCAGTTTTGCATACAAAATTTTTTTAACTTTATAAATATTCAAATTTAAAATTGCTTGAAACAAAAAAAGAGTTTATTGTTTCAAAAAGTTATTTAGTATAAAAAACAACTCATATTTAAAAGGTTAAAATATTTAAAAAATAAATAAGATTTATTTGTAAATCAAATAATCTAAATAAATGATTAAATATTAATTGATAATATATATTTTTTATCAAATATAGGAATTATTAAATAAATAGCAATCATTTTTTATTCAAAAAGAGTTTAATAAATTTGTAGATTCTTTTTAATGGTTTTCAAAAAAAAAATATGAGATATAAACATATAAATACATACTGCAAAAATGATGTCTTAAAAAAAATAGCTTTCTAGATCAAAAAATAAAGATTTTTCTGATATTGAAGGAGTTTCCTATTAATTGTTCAATAAGCTACATAGTCTTCAAAACTCCAATTTAATAATTCATAAATTGAATAGTGTATTTATATAAATTATAGCTATTCATAGAATAAAATATTTTTGTAAATTTTCAAATGAAAAATATATTTATTTTTGTAAAAACAAATTGAATAAAAGTGTAATAATATTTATTATATATAATAAGAGGGATCTTGCTTGTTAAACTTATTAGTAAGTAAGTAAATTAGTTAGTCAATTAATTAATTAGTATTGGAAAATTGTATTTTATTATTTATATAGATAGTTTTATATTTTATATAGATTATTTCATCCCTCATCTTAATCAGATGGCTGCAAACAAAAACTATTTATTCGAATTATTATTTACAAATTTGCTTTTAAAGTTATTGATGATGCCATTTTTATTTATTTATTTGTTTTGATTTGATTAGGGAGTCAAAGAATTAGCTTTTTAATTGTTTTGTTCATACTCTCCTTCCACCCACTTACCTTCTATCACTATTCCATTATTAGTTCGAAAAATTCCTTAGCCGTCTTTTAAGTCATTTTTCCACTCTCCTTCATATTCATCTCCATTACCTGGTTTTTATAAAATAAAATTAGTTTTTTTATTATGAAGTTTTGTAATAAGTTTAACTGTATAAATATTTTCCAAATCCATGCTTTTTAAAAGATTCAAATTATCCGATGTATCTATCTCCATTTTAAAAAGTAAGTTCTCCTTCAGCCATTTCGTCTTCTTTAAATTTTCCTTCAAAAACAAGAGCTGGTTAAGATTTACCTTCTGCATACTTGTAAATGCCTTTACCATGCTTCATTCCCATATAGAATTCACCTGAATAGACATCTCCATTCTAATAAGTAAAAGTACCTTAACCTTATGCTCTATCTTCTACCCATTATCCAGAATATTTTTCATTTGAATCTAAAAAGTAAAGATCACCTTAACCATGCTTCTTATTTTCTAGAAATTCCCCTTCGTATTTAATATTGTAATTGTATTAATATATTCCTAACCCACTTTTATCATTATCCTTCCAGTTTCCTTCATAATACTCATTAGAATCCTCACTAAAAATTATTCCATATCCGTTTTTTTTATCTTTCATCCAGTAACCATCATATTTCTTTCCATCATTATAGAAATAAACTCCTTTACCATTCTTTTAGCCTTCCTATAAGTTTCCTTCGTACCTTTTCATAAATAAACAAATAAAAATTATCTTCTATCACTTCATAACATATTTTTAAACAAACTCGCAATTTTACCATTGACTGAGGTTTTATTTTATAATTTAAATTAAAAAATAATTTTATTTGAAAAATCAAATTTTGAATTTATAGGAAGCATTTTGGTTAAGGCCAAAATTTTGATAGAAATTAAATGATTTTTACTAGTAAATAGTTTTAATAAATAATACAAATATAACTAAATAATAACCTATCCCCATTCGCGAAACAGTACTGCCCTTATCCATTGAATTTATCATTTTTCCACTCTCCATAGTAAATATCTCCGTTTGAATATTGATAAACTCCCTTTCCGTCTCTTTAATCACTTTTTAAATTTCCCTTGTACACAGATCCATCAATGTAGGACTTCACTCTAAAATTTTTTTTGCTATTTTTTGAAATATCATCCATAATCTTTTTATCAAAAGCATTTATAAGAGATTCTTTAAGTTAATTTAATCTCATTTAATTAGGCGTCACATTGCCTAGGTTTATAGATGTGTTATTGGTACTAGGCTCGTATTAAGATAAGCACTTATTTGTGCTAGTAGTTGGATTTAAATTTGAAAAGGTATTAAATTAACTACTTTAAGTGCAAACAGAAGTTATTTTGTTTTTGTTTTGTTATATAAACCCGATACCATCTATTGATTTCAATTATTCTTTTTGTATGACTATCAAATTAGTCGTAGTCTTTGATCTTTCCATTACAAATAGCTATAAACTAACTGTCTACAGTAATTTAAAAAATTAAGAATTTATCTTTATATAATGTTTTTATTTGAAATAATTGATATTTATTAAGAGTCTTATTATGAATGAATTGCGTAAATATTATTTATTATAAATTAAAAAATCAAATTCTTTATCTTTTATCGAATTTATTATTAATTAATTATTTCAAAATTAAATGAATGTCTGCAATTAAAACTATTAAAATATCTACATTTTTCAAATATAGACCTATTCATTTGACAAATTTTTTTAAAAAAATTTAATATTTGAATCACCTACAACTACTAATTAGCTTTATAACGTTCAAGCAACTCAAATGAATAAAAGCTTTCATTCATTTTAAAATTATTTTTTTTAATTTAGAAATTAAGTTTAATTATTTTCTCATCAAGCTTTACTTTTTTAAACATTTTTTTTAGTGCAAACTTTTTTATATTTAAAATAAATTTATATATCATTTATCCATCTTAAGTTAAAAAATGTTTTTGAATTTAATAGTACTTTGCAAAATTATGGAAACCTTTTCATAGAATGTTCAGATCATTTCTTTGAAAATTTAAAAATATGCCATCTTTTAATTTTATAAAGCTCAATAAGAGAACATTAAATATATAAGAATATATCAATATATCTTTTTAATTCGTAAAAACGATTTAATGCATCGTTTTTAAATGTGAAAAAATAGCATTAAAAAAATCAACTTGAATTATGTGCAAAAAAAAATTAATGATTTAGTCAATTCTATTAACTCCATCTTTTTCTCAATAATAATTTTTTTATAATCTTATTACTTATTCTCCTATTTATTTATAAAATTTAAAAATAAACGTTTTATTTTCAATATATAAAAATATCAAATTGTTCTAATTTAGATATTTATCAATTTTGTATAAATTAAATTAAGTATAAATTATTTATTATTTGCAAAATTTTCGATAAAGTATTTTTTATAAATCAAATAGCTTTATTCTAATTTAGTTTAAATATATGCAATTTCAAACATAAATAAATAAAATATATATTCAATCTTTTAACCAGTCAGTCACTGTTGAGCTAACTCTCTGTAAGCTAAAATGTGACTTACTTTCCTTTAAAATCCTTGTCTTTACTCTTCTTAAATTTATAATCTCTACTTTTTGTCATCCTATCTATGATTTTAGATATTTCTGTGAACTTCTTTTAAGTATCATACTCCTATTTTTAATTACTAGTATAAATTTTTGATAGCTAATTTAATATTTTACCATTATTTATTGAAATTTTTGCTGTCTTCTGATTTATTTTAAGTTTTCTTAATTTAAGCACTCTTCTTGAGATTATCTTACAGAATAGGATTTTTAATTTTTGTTTCTATCTTTCAGTACTCTCCTTTCGTATTATTGAGTAAATAATTATTTTTCTGTTATTACACTATTATTTGCTTATTTTTATTAAGCATTAGCACTATCATTTTAAATACTGCATATTGATTTATTTTCTAGTTAAAATTAATTGTCTTATCTGTTTTTTTATGGTTAAAATTTATTAGGAGAGTCCTCATTTGAGATATTATTTTTAACTGGCTAATTCTATTTTATTTCTAATGATTCTATTTTGTTATTTAATTTTGCACAATTTGTACTTTCTTCTTAAAAGCTTAATTATTTTATTTCTTTTAACTCTTGCAGATGTTTGCTTTCGTTAGTAGCTTAAGCAGATAAATTATGTTCTAACGTTTCGTTATTTTCATTTTTAATCTCATTTTCATTTTTCTCATTATTTAATGTTGTTATACTAGCATCGTTCTTTTAAAATTCGTATTACTTAGATTTTTTTGATTTTTTTTAAATATTTTTTTAACTTTAATCTAGAATATTTAATTGCTTTTTATCAGATTTAGAAATTTTTTTGTTTGGAGATGAGGTTTGCTAATTAATATCTGCATGTAGTTTTTCTTTTTTAGCATCTAGACTGTCAAGAAGTTTGTTTATATTATTGATTTGCTATAAAGGTGAAATCTACTAGTTTTTGGTAGATAGTTAATCTCCAAGATTAGCATCAGATATTCTTGAATAGATTTATCTTGGATTTTTTTACCTATGTTCAGACCTATATTACATTGAAGAGTGAACATTTTTTCTATCACTTTTATTCTATGGAATCTAATTTTACTATTGCTAAATCAATTTTTAAAACTCTTCCTTTTTCTTCTCAAGCAAAAATATTTGTTCCTTATTTATTTTGATTTTTTATTTTTCAATTTCTTTCTAAGCTTTAAATTCTAAAAAGTTGTTTGGATCTTCTGGCATATCTTTAGAGTTTATTTTCATGAAATTGTTTTTCTTTTCAATCTATATTATTTATTTTTAAAGACTATTTTTAATTGAGTAGTGCACTATATCACCATCGTAACTTAAACGTCTTATATCACCTTCAGATTTTTTTTATTTAGGTTAATATTCTTAAGAGATATTATTTTCATTAACTTGATTTTCTATATTTTTAAGTTATTTTTTAGATATTTTTTAGTCTATGCTCTTTTTTTTGCTTTCACTAGCACAAAATGTTCCTTTTGAAGCTTATTATTTACTTTCTATATTATAATCACCAATATATTCATGATATTTATTTTTAGGAGTTTCTTGTGTTTTTATTAACGAGTTTCTTTTGTTCATATTTACAAGTAATGTATCCTATTTTTTTAAATGTTCTATTCTTTTCGAATTCTCTTCTTAAGTCTCTTCATTATGGCTATTGTGTTCAATTATTGGTAAGTGAATAATCTAATTTGTAGTATGATTAATGTGTTTATTTTCTTAGCTATTGTATACTTTTTCTTCACTTTAATCTGTTTATCTGTCATCTTTCTAAATCAAAATTTCTTTCTTAAGAAGAACATCATCTTTATTTATAAATTTAAGTTTGTGTGTATTTTTTCTATTTTCAATATTCCTATTTTAAGCATCTCTCCTATTTGTCTTGAATATATTGTCTTCTTAGAATTCAGATGGATTTTTTGAGTTTATTGATGAAAAACTTCTAAGCTTTGAATAAATTTCAGATTTATTCAATTTTTAGCAATTTTCAGTAGACACTTAGTACTTTCTATTTTCCTATTGTTACTCATTCTAGTTTAGTGCTATTATAATTATTTTTAAAAAATTTATTAACGAATTTGTTGAATTAAAAAATTTTTAAATCCTTTCTTTACTTTTCATATCATCGTTTTCAGTTTGCATTTTAAAATTTTATCTAAGCTAAAAATATTCATTTTCAATACACACTTGATCAGCTTCTTAAGACACAATCGATGCGTTTGTTTAATAATTAAGCATTTGAGACATTCTATCAATTGTAGAGTTAGTTTTTGTATTTTGGGTATTATAGCTTTTGTTGGCACCTAAATTTATCCTTGAATTAGAAAGCTTAGATGAATTCACATTGTAAACTCTCAAATATTCTTTAATTTTGTTCATATTATTATGCTATAAATTATTTAAAGACCCTTCTAATGATTCATGCCTATAACTTTAGAACTCTTCTGATTATTTTGCATTAGTGAATTTTAATTTTTATGAATTAATAGCAAATTTTGGTTATTTATTCACTTGTTAGATTATCTTTTTATAAGTATTATATTCGTTGCTTATGCTTTTAAGTACAGAGGTGATATTATAACTTTCATAAGGTGAAATAATTCTTTTTTTATTCCTAGGAGAAGGTTGCTTAAAATAAAAATGCATTCTAAACTCTTCACTTTCTTTAACCTAATAATTTTTATTAATATTTTTAATGATCATGCTAAACAAAAATATAAACATTTAGATTTGGAAGCTTCTCATTCTTTGAGTATAATTCATAATTTTAACTATTTTCTATCGCGAATTACTCATTCAGTGTTTACTCAACATCCATAACTAGCAAAATAATTAAATAATGAAAATTTAGCTTTTTATCAATATTTATTTGAAATTCTATTTGAATTTATTGAAAATTAGACAGCTTACTATTAAAAATGATTTAATAATATAATATTTGATTACTTAGCTAATATATAGAATTTTTGATATTCTTAATTCATGGTAAACATACAAATTTAGCAAGTTAATTAACCAATTCAAAAATATCAACCAATAAATAATCTTTATAAATATATTTTTTAAAGCTATTTATCTTCATTTAGTTCATTTCATTAAATCTTAAAATTAATAAAACCTCCAATTTCACATTTTATTTAAAACAATTTCAACCTCAAATATTAAAAAACATTTTAAGTAAAAAAAATTTAACTAATCATTTTGTAAATTAACAAATTTTATCTTTTAAAATTAAAGTTTTTAAAAATAAACTGAATGAAGAAATTATATGAAAATTTTATGATTATCTTTTATAAAAAACAATTTAATTTTTTTAATTTATTAAATATTTTTAATTTTTTAGATTTATTTTGAATAATTTAAATAATAATTAATTTTAATTAAAAATTAGAATTATTTATTTTTTACAAATTTTATAATTGAACAAAAATATATCTTGAAAAATTATTACTTTTTTAATAATATTTAATGAAGAAATTGTAGTCAGAATGCTTAAATAATATTTTAAGTTTTTTATTTAGTCCAATCAATTATGATATTTAGATATTAATTTTTCTATTTATTCTTTTACCTTTAATAATCTGCAAAAACAATTTACTTTTCTTTATTAAATAATTAATTTTTATTTTTTGGAATTGTACACATAAAATATTTATTAGGCTATTTTTTAATAATGAATTACTTTAAAGTTAAATTTTTTATTTTTTTATTGGTTTTAAATAAAGCTTTTGAATTATTTATTTATTTATTTTTAGAATAGCTAGTTTATCTTTTTGAATTTTAATTTAAAAAATAAATATTTTTATTTATTTTTAGTTTTAGTGAAAATTATTTAAATATCTTTTTATATAAATGAGTGTTAGTTAGTTAGGATAGATTAATGAGGAACAAACATATAGAGATGATTTAGGTGTTTTGAAAAATATTTATTAATAATCATAAATAAACAAATCAAGTGAGAATGAGTGGAGATAATTAAACATTTGAATGCCGTTACGAGAAACTGATACAAATTACTCTAAAATAATTTAAGTGATTTGCTTTTATGATTCTTTAAACGAATATTATTAAGCATTTATTATGTTTGATAAATTTTTATCTATCTTTGATTTATGCTGTTGTGAGTATGATGAAAACTCAACGTCTTAACAAAAGCATGGAAATAAAAGAAAGAGCAGAAGTTGCAGCATAGAAGTTAAAGAAAGTAGAGTGACGTTCAGGAGTATTTAAGGGTCTTTCGAAGGTATCCTTAGTAGCAGGGATGGGATAGAGACCTTCTTCACCTTCTTCGAAAGAAGGAACGACTCTTTCAATATAAGCAGTGTTGATAGCATCTAAGTTAAATAATCTGAAAATCTTGCCCATGTAATCTAAGTCAACCCAGTTGTAAATACCTTCTTTATTCCAGTTTCTTCTTCTGGCTAATATGTCTTGTTGTTCACCTCTTCTGACGATACCAGTGATTTCAGTTAAAGTAACTTATTCAGTATCTTCAGGATTAGCAGGATCGGGGTTGAATCCTATATTTTTTAACGAAAATTTGCTTAAAATAGTTTTTTAATAAAAAATTATCATGATTTAAATGAATAAAATTTATTTATGTAGAAATTTGAAAAAGATCTCTATTCTAATAAAATTGCTGTATTTATTTATTTGTTTGTTTGTATCTTTTTTATTATCAAATAAATTCAAATTGAATCGCGATAACTAACTACGAATTGCTTATCTCACTCAGTCATATTTTATTAAGCTTTTTATTCTCTTTTTATTTTAGGATGTTTACTAAGAGAGTTAAACCCAGCAAATAATTTATATTAAGGTTGTGATATCATCTAAAAAATTGCTTTTATTTGTTTTTTTTTAAGCCATGCATGCTTTTTTGAACAAATTATTAAGATACTATTGATGATAGCAAGTAAATTAATTTCTTATACTATAAAGATAGTGGATATTTCTTAAACTGGTGATTCTATCGTATTTTAAAACATAATTGTCTAGAATTTCTATCATTAAATACATCACTATTATTTGCTTACTCAAACCTAATCTTATTAAATTCCTTTTTTTTGATTCCTAATAATTAACAATGCACATTTAATTCAATTAAATGAAGCTATCTTAATTTTATTAACTTTATTTGATATTTCTCCTCTTAAATAAAAAACTAATTATCCCTAATGCTGGTTTAACCTAAAATAAAATCTGCGATTACAAGAAATATGTTGCATATAACTAAATCCTTAAATATAAATTTATATTTGTTTGTTTGTTTACCAGTGAAAGTATCATTAACAAATAAGGTTGAATCGGTTGGTGCATCCTATAATATTCAAAAAAGATATTTAAAAAATGATTATTTTGATGCATTTCAAAGAGATTTAATTATATTTTAAAAAGTAGTAATTACCATAGGAGGACAAACTTCACCACCTAATTCAACGTCCTTCTTGTTTTCAACAGGAACCCAACCCAAGTTAACGAAGACAGAGTATTCAACAGGAAGTAAATCCTTTTATTTTAATCTGTGGTTAACTCTTTCAACAGCAGTAACGAAGGGAGCGAAGACCAAAAAACCTTCCTTACCGTCTCTTTTTCTTCTAACGAAGAATCTCTAGTCCTTGAAATATCCTCTCATTTTAACTAATTTGTATTCCCAATCATTAACATTATTTTCACGAACCCAGGGATAGACCTTAGCATCAAATCCATCAACATCGAAAGGTTGATCTTTAGCGATGTTTTCTTAAATTTATTGCCATCTAGCAGATAAATTGAGGTATTAATTATAGTGATAGAAAGCTCCGTACCCAGTTAAAGCACCGAGAGTTGCCAAAGCAACCTTACCGGTAACATTAGAACCTCTAGGTCTGAAAGCTGATAAAGTAGTTTACAACATTCTTGTACTAATTATCTTAAATATTTTTTTCTAAATATTCTTTAGCTTTTTTTATTTATTATGTCTTATATTATTTCCTTCTTTTTTTATTTTATTTTTTTTCCCTATCTTTTGTTTTGCATAATCAATCAATAAATCAATGCATTTTTATTTAATTTTTCCTTTCAATTCATTATACTTTTTCTTCTTCATTGCATGAATTCTTTCATTCATTTATCTAAGTATTAATTCAATATCATTCTAAACATCTTATTTTATTTGGTTAACCATTTTCCATCTTCCTTCATACATTTTTCAATTATTTAATTCACTTAAAGGCATCTATCTAAAAAGCAAAGCTATCCTTTCTATTAAATCATAGGTAATAAAAACCATCATAAATTAATATATAAATAAATAAATTATGTGATTAACTATATAAGTAGCAGGCTCTAGTATTCATCATCAACATATCTTTGTAAGCAAATTAATATCTTTTCAAAACTTTATTTTATCAATATCTGCTACAATGAAATTAATAATTTTATAAATTGCTGACTAAAACATATTTAAGTGTAAGAAAATATTTTATCAATTAAAAATCAATAAAGAGAAAATTATTCATAAAATATTCATTTGAAAAATCAATTTAAAATCACACTAAATATGAAACAATTATTTTGAATAAATGAAATTTATTTTTTTATTTTTTTAAATTATGAAACATAATATAAAAACTAAGAAATTAACTAATTAGCTAACTTAGTAAATTAGTAAGTAAGTAAATATAATTTGCAAATGCAACAAAAATATTATATAAAATAGTAATTAATCAGAATTTTATAAATTAATCTTATTAGAATTTAGATAATAATTCATTCATTAAATTTGTTAAATATAACTCTCAAATTATGCAAAGGTTCTGTTATTTTTATTGCTAATTTAATTAGGGTTATAAAACTACACTTTTTTTTAGCTAATAACTTGAGGAAATTTTGAGCCTTAATTTGTATACTCTTCAAATGATTGTACATGATTTTAAAATTAAAATAACTTTTCTTTTTTACTTGATCCATCTTCTATTGTGCTATTATATTTTGAATGACTTGCAGTGCTTGGTGTCTTTTATTCTAGTGTGTTTTATTTCTCGACTAAATAAGGCTTAACATTAAATAGTAATTAATTATTTTAAATGAGTATAGGAGATTAATTCTCATTTTTGTTTTGCTTTAATATCTGTATATGTTGTTATGGGCACTAATCAATTAACTATTTTTAATTTTATTTCAAATTTTCTTTATTTTTATCATTTTTACATTAGTTTTCTTTTAATATAGATTTTATAAATTGGTAGTTAGATTTTTGAGGCTATTAGTTTTCTAAAATTTAATTAGATGAAACATACTAGCTATAATGTCTTTTAGGCTGTATTATTTCTTGCTAATTATGCTGTATGTTTTAGAGAGAAGTATTGTTTTGGTCAACTGAATGATCTTTTCCTGCTTATTGGCATTACAATGATTTTATCATTTTTTCCTGATTATTTGTATTTAATAATTATATATCTGTCACTTAAATTTAAGCTTAAGTTGAAGTTTCCTACTAGGAAAGTGGTTTATATTTAGAAAGTTATATATGATTTCCAATCACTGGAATTTTTTAAGGCACATTTTGATCAAATATTTTTGGATATTTAGATTATTGACTTTTTTATTAATCTTCTAAGTTACTTTAATTGTTATTTTTATTTGATTATATGGTGTCAAGAGTGTGTCGTCTGAATTCAATAGAAATACTTTAAATTGAAAGATCTTTCTTAATTTATGGTACTTCTTTATTCTACTGCTTATTAGAAAGTCTCTCTAAAATTTCATTTTTATTTTCTTTAACACTCAATCCTTAAGCTTATTTATGCATTTCGCATTAAGTCTTAGCAGCTTAGAAAGTAAATTATTTTTATTCGCATTTTTCATTTTGTTATAAAACAACCTTTTTTTCTATTTTCCTGCTTGGAAGCTAGAGGAATTTCGGAATAGGGTGATCTTCATAAATGTTAAATTCATGAAAGTTGCAATCTTCTTTTTATTTTTAGCTTTCAACTTAAGATTAGGTAATTTGACCTTTCATTTCTTTTTATTCTTAAATTTGACATGACCTTTAGTTAAGGTTATCATCGATTTTCAACATATTAGCTTATTCTTCTTTATTGCCCTAACTTTCAAAGGCACTATATCTACTTTTTTGAAAATTAGTTCTTGTATTATTATCTATATTTTAACTAGATTAATTTAGTATAACAGGTTTTTAATTTGTCTTTGATACATCCAGGTTATTTTATTCAATAGGTTTAATAAAAATATTATTCAATTTTTAATAGCTTTTTTAATTCTTCTAGTCTTGGATTATTTCTTACAAGCCTTTTTAAATATTTTAGAAAGCATTTTACAACTATGATTTATTTTCTTTATTATCATTATCATCTCTTTTTCTCTCAAAGCTGGGTGTTTATCTATTACTTTGAGGATTAGAATTTTAACACACAGGTTATTCAATCAGTTTAAATACTGTTGGCTATAATGAGTGATGATAACCTTATATTTAGTGAGAAGAGTTTTTAGTCTATGAAAAATTAAACTAAGGTGAATAATTTATTTAACTTTAGTTGCCACAATCAATTTATTTAAAGGGAATCCTTTCATGTTTATTTGAATTGTTTATTTTTTCTATAACTCTTTCTGTATTCTTACCGATTACTTCTTCTACTACCCTGCTTTCCTCTATTTTCAGCTTTGAAAAAGTAAATTCTTAGAAAATTGGATTGATTTAATTATCTCCATTGTTATTCTAATTTCCTCCAAAACTGTGTTCTAAATTTACAATTTTGCTAAATTGATCACATTTAGATATGTTTTAAGAATTTTCAAGTGAGTTGCTGACTGATCTTCTACTTCTATATATATAATCTTCACCCATTTCAGTTTAATCGCATTAATCATTTTTATTTTAATTTACTTAGTAACTTTGATTTAGTTGATTCTTTTATATTAATCTTTACTAAATATTTTCAGTTACTTTGAATTAATTACTCTACTTGTTAGGTTAACTATCATTCACCTCAGATTAATGATTACTTTGGATAAAATATGGAGCAATTTGTTAAATATTTGAATTAGTCAATTCATTTGATTTAGATTAGTTAATATATATCTTATTCTAATTTTGCATGTTTTTAAACTCAAAATGAGATTAATTTTCAAATTTAATTTTCCATTTAAAGACATCTCTGACATCATTCACATCACTAGCAAAAATAAGAAAAGGTGTTAATTTTTCAAGTTCGTTGTCAGTTTCATCATTAGTGAAATCTTAAATTTGAATACCATTTTCTTAATGCAAGTTAAAGCAGGTGCTTAAATTCTTTAAAATATTTTTAAAAATTAGAACAAAAACCTTTTCTAAAAAATTACATCAATTATTATGACATCTTTCATGTTTCTATTCAAAAGAGCTAAATCTTTGATGTAGTAATCCCCTTTCTTTCTGCAACTATCTCTATATAGTCTGTAAGAAATAAAACTACCAGAAGGATCAAGTTGATTTATTATTACATCTGCATACTATTAATATATAAATATATTACTTTTTAACTTTAATTTAAAATTTTTATACTTCTTTTATGCTAGCTGTCCAGATAAACACTTCATAGTAATTTGCCATAATCCTCAAAAAATTCGATACATTTGGTCTAAATTTGACAAAAAATTCTTCTTTAGTAGTAGAGGTTTGTATCTTAATATTTATTTTAAAAATATTTAATTAATCAGTAAAGTAGAATAATTTACATTGAAATTTAAATCATATTTCTTTGGTTTCATTTATGAGCTATGAATAAGAGTTTCGTCTAAGTCTAGAATAAGAGTTTTTTTCATTTTATTCTATGGAGATTAAAATGGAACAATCAGTGTTTATATTTTTTTTTCTTATTACTACTATTGCTATCTTTGAGGGCTTAGACTAAGACTTGTAATCATAGTGTTGTTTTTCTAAAGGTATTCATTTTCATTGTGCTAAGCTATCTATTATTTAACAGGGCTGTTTCCTAAACTATTTAAATAATATTAAATTGGCACTATTTTTTTTAACTTTATTTACCTTTAACAAAGTTTTTTACCATCTATTTCTTATTTTGAAGTGCATACTCTAGGAGAAGTAGGATTAGAATAGCCTGGAAATTATAAAACTCTAATCATTCAAAAAAATATGTAGGTTTAAATCCTATAAATTTTAGAAAATATACTTTTATTATGGATTGACATTTTTATGTTCTTTGCAAGTTGTTGTGTTAGGAAGCCTATAAATAATTGGAATAGTTGGCTTAACGTTGTGAATATTCTATCTCAAAGCAAACTTTGTTTCAAAAATTCTCCTTTCATTATTGTTATTAGCTTAAGCAGAAGCGAGAGGATAAAAAATGGTGTTTCTATATAAATATAAGTAAGAGATTATTAAAATTTGCCTAAAAATGTTATTTTTACCTAGCTTTTACGTACTAGTTATTGTGGACTGGGCCTTGTTTATACGATGCCATAAACCTACTTTCAATCTGAATTAATTTCTATTTGAATGATTAGCTTGCTTTATTTTCTATTATTTTGTTTTAATAAATTATTATATTTTGCTTCCAATATTTTGAATGTTAATTACCAAGCAAATCTTATAGTTTAATATGCAATTTTTTAAATTCTAAAGTTCATTTAAAAAATAAACATCTCTATTTTACTTCATCCTCAAATTTAAATTAAACGTATATATAATAAATAATCAAAAAAATAAGTAAATCACTCAATAAATCATGTTCTGATTGATATTTTTAGTAAAACCAAGCTAGATAGATTGATAGATTCATTTAATTAGATTATCAAAAAATTTGAATCTGTGATTGATTGATTGATTAATTAATTAAGTAAGATACAGTAAATTTTTTAATTCAAAAAAATATTTATTAATAATTCAAAAAAAAAATATTCTAAAATAGACTTCAATAAATTAATGGAGTTTTTTTATAAAACTAATAAGTTAATTTACTCAAAAAAATTAATTTTAATTTTTACAGATAAATTGATAGATAGATTTTCTATAAATTATAAAATTAAATAATATAAATTCTTTCATTTCTTTTAGAAAAATGATGCAATGCTTTTTGTATTTTTAGCTGCTTCTAAATTCTTTTTATCTGTAGTTGAAGGCTTTGATGGTGTAACTTATTTAGACTTTTACTTTGCTAAGTCGTTAGTTTGCTAAAATTAATTTTCATTTTAATTATCGTAAAAATCATATTTAGGAGCTGGTTCTCTGGTTTTTTTAAAGCTTTAGAAATCATCAATTGAAATTTGTCTTGTTTCTAAAACTAATTGATTGAACAATTAAGTAGGCAAATAGCTAAAGACATATTCAATGCCAAAATACAGAGAATCACTAATTTTCTCTTTAGTAGATAATTTTTAAAATTAAAAGTATTGTTCGTTCTTTTCAAAAAGTTCCTGTGCTTTTGATATTTTTTGATCCAAATAAGATTTTAACTTTTAATTGTCTAAACGGAAGAAATCTAATTTTTCATCTGGATCATGTGATTAAAATTCGCATATTTTCTTTAGATTTCTGAATATTCTTTTATTAGACTAAAGAATCTACATTGATTCCTTCAAAGAATTATCATCTGCTTTAAATATCTCGTCTATTTGTTTAAAAAAGCCTTTCTTTTCATCATTTACAATACCACGAGATGCATTTAAAAAAGGAATAGCTAACAAGAGAGGATCTATTTAATTAAAATTTAGAAAAGATCCATTTGAGACAATATTTTAGCCAATAAACATTGATGTATCAGATTGTACTTCTGTAATTTCTAAAATAGTTTCTTTATCTTCAGTATGTGCTAAAAACTTTCTTTTAAATTTATCTACACTATTTGGGTTTGGTAATTCAAAATATTAAAATTTTGACATTTCCTTTTAAAAAACTTTTGAATTGCTCAATCCTAAAACGCATTTATGATGTTAATTGCTTTTCATTCTGATAAATCTTAAATATTTTGAATATAAATTAGAATTAATTGTGTGTTTTTTGCTTAGTAATTTATTAAAATTGCAAAAACTTATAAAAAAATCAAATAGTATATATATAAATCAATTTTACAAATATATTTAACAAATTAATTTCTTTTTCCCGCAAAATTAGTAGCACGACCGTAAACAAACAACCGCAAAATGCACTTTTTTTTGAAATTTTGTGATTTTATAATACTCAAAAAATAATTTATAAATAATTCAATAAATTATTTTTAAATTTTCAATAAATTAAGTTTAATTTGTAGGAAATGAATAATTAAACAAAAAAAGAATATAAAATAGCTAATAATAAATTTATTTATTTATTCTCTCATCATCAAAAGGAGAAAATTCAAGAATAATAATAAACAAATTCATTTCTCAAGCATTCAAATTTTATACTTTTGTTTAATTAATAACATCACAAAAATTATCTTCGTAATTTTATTTTATTTTTTCATATGAAAACAAATAAATTTCATATTTGTTTAATTATAAAATGCTTTTAAAAAATATTTTTTTTAGTAATTTTTTTAAATTATTTTTTTTAATTAATTGTTTATTGTTTTTAAGCTTAGAATTATGATTAAAAATTCATTTTTAATTATTTAGCTGTTAAAAATTTAATTTTTGTTAAATCTTTAATAATTAATAATTACCAAAGCTAGTCAGCTTTTTGTTTGTATAGAATATAAAACTAGAAATCTCTATTTTAAAATATTGTGTTAAAGAGAATTAAAATGTCTTTCAATCCAACTGAGATGCTGCAGAAAATAAGGTTGTAAAACCAAATCTAAAATAGTTCATAGTACAAAATATCTTTGAGTACTCAAGATGTTAATCATAGTTAAAGAAATAGCGTTGTTGGTAATTAATCTAATAAAGACACTAATTATATTCCTGCTAACCCAAATAGTGTATATTATCTGAATAAGCAAAACTAGAGATCTTAGAATGATAAAAATTAACAATAATAAAGAAGTTCTTTAAAATTATAAAACAACCAGCCTTCTGATAATTAAGTAAATAAAAGCAAAGCTAATATGCAAAATAGTTAGGATATGAATGATAATGAAAGGCTTAAGGTTTAAAAATATATATAAAAAATAAATGAAAATAACCTAGGAACCGGGCTTGACAGCGAATTAATTGAAAATTTAATTCTAAAAATATAAAAGCTTGAAAGTTAAGTAACTGATTTAACATCAAATTTAAATGAAGCAAATACTTCTGTTAATGATTTAAGAACAAAAAAAATGGAACTAGAAAATGAGGTACCTAATAAAAATTAAACCCAACCAACTTAATTTTGAAATTTATTTTTATTAAAAAGCTCAGCGAATAAATAGCTATATAGCTAGAGAAAAAATAAATGAATTAACAAGCTAATAACAATTAAGAATAAGCTGCTGCTACATTTGGAAGAGCAGAAGAAAGTAAACTGTTAAATTAACAAATGGAAATTTGTACTAAATTTAAATTATTAATTAATAAAAGGTGATTTAGATAAAAATGTTTTTAATTCTTCACAGAAATAAAGAAAATCAACAGATGTTTCTCATAAATTGGGGGCTTCTTTGTATGATGATTTTTAAATGCATGCTATATCAGAATAATTGAGTGAAGAAGATGATGATTAAAAAAGTAAATTAACATTTGCAAAGAAATAATTAACTGCAGAGGATTGTACAAAGGGCCTTGATGATGAAATAGTTCAGCTTAGATTAAGAAATCAGGTAAAAAATATTTTATTGATTTTTAATGGTAATTTTTAATTTTTAAATAGGCCAAAATGGAATCTATTTCAGATATTTTGAAAAAAAAAGGGAAATCTCCCTTAAAAGTAAATGAGTAGCAAGATTTATATATGAGAGAAGAAAATTAAAAGTCAATTTATAGCTAAAAATAATATTAAATTGACGATTAGTAGAGAAATACCTTACAGGCTAAGAATTTAAATTCGTAATTCTAACAAAGTGCTAAAGAAAATATATATTAGTAATCGAAAAGAAAGGATTAAGAGTAATCGAAATCTCCTCTTTCATAATCTTAAGTTTTAAATTAAAAGTAGAAATCTTTTCGGGTATCTTAAAGCTAGAACGAAGAAAATTTATAGTCTTCTTAAAAGTATCTAAATTAATAAAAAAAGGAAGATAGATAAAATACATCAACAACCCCGTCTAGACAATCAGAAAAGTACGTTGGTAGATTAAATTTAGATTTACTTTCGAATCTAATTAAAATGAACCCATGCTTGAATAGGCCTGTTCTTACAATCAAAATGGATGACACTCTCTTTAATTGACTAATTAAAATTTTTTTCATGGATAATTTAGTTAAATTTGTTATAAATCTTATCTTCTTGTTTTCTTTTGTAACAATTTTGATAGATTATTATAGTATATTCGGTGTTTGTATTAAATAATACCGGGAGTAATAAAATTTACAGAAGCTAAATTTTTATTTACACCCAAACGTAAATAAATAAATATTTATAAAAAAAAGAGTTTCATTTTATGAGTAATTTTGAAACAAAAAAATCACATGAAGAGTAGATATTTATGAGAAGGAGTTAAATAAGTATAAGATTGACTTCATTAAGAAAATATAAACTCATTCTTATTTGTTATTTTATTTGTAGATATATCACTCAAAAAAAAAGATATTATGAATTTATTTCATAAATTTATTTGATAGTTAAGTTGTACTTTCTAATAAATTCAAATAGACTCTATATGTATTTATGTACACATTAGGGGAAAAAAATTCATCTATAATATATCTGAAAAAAAATCAAAAAATTTTATTTTCAAATATAAATAACTAACTAACTAACTAACTATTTGATTGATTGATTAATAAATTAATTGATTAGTTTGAAAGATCAATTTAATATTTTAGAAAACTAACATTTGAATCAATAAATTTTAATTAAGATTATTGCAGAATAGTTAGTATATATAAATTAGATCAATTGTTTAACAATTATCTTATAATAATTTCAAATTCTAAAAAATTATAAAAATAAAAAGAAATTATCATTTCCTAAAAATGAAAGTTAAGTAAATTTTAGCTGTTGTCGGTATCCCCTTGTTACTCGTCCTCGTTCTCGGTGTTGCCATCTACGCTTCCCACGAATCTTCTGAAACTGTCTTATTCAAGAAGTCCCACAACTTCAGAGACAACAACGTTAAGATTAACATGTTCTCCCCCAAGAACACAAAGTGTATTGAAAAATGCAAATCCACTGAAGTCGGAGGGTAATAATTTATAAACTTAAACAATTTAAATAGCAAATTATATTGCAATCATAAATATATTTATATTCTTTATTTATAAAATAGTGTTAAGGGATACAACTGCGGTCAAAAGTATCAAGTTTGCTGTGTTGGTGAAGATAATTGCAAAAAGGGTTCCTGGTTCGATACTTGCAAGCAAAAAGTTACTGGTTTCTTCTGTGAAGACGAAGATGACAAAAAGATTTGAAGCTATTTCTCTTTAAAATAATTTTCTCATTAGAGGATTATAAATAAAAAGTTGAATGTTTATGTTTTTCTGTTACATATGATAGAAATTATTTCATACTACTAAAACCAATAAATAAATAATTGCTTCATATACTCACACTACTTTTTATTTACAAAACTCAAAATAAAAATAATGCATTAAAGTAAAGTTGAAATAAAAATAAATAATAAATAATTTATTTATTATTCATTGCATAGTTATCACCATACATATATACATATATACAAATAAAGAGAAAGTATATTCATCCTAATCTATACTCTCATCAATCAATCAATCAATCAATCATATATAATCTTTGTATTTAAGCTTTTATAATTTAGAAATATTCTATCTAATTTTAAAAAACCATTTTAAATTTTAAAATAAAAAATTTATTATTTTTTTAAATATTTAGAAATTATTTGAAAAAATATTTTTTTAATCAAAGATTTTAAAGTTAATTAATTTAAAATGAAAGTATTACTTTAAAATAATACATATAACAATAAAACAATTTTTTATACAATTCCATTAAAACTTATTGATTAATTTTTGCTTTAGCATTTTTTTAGTGAAAATATTATTTATTTGATATTCTACTTTAATTTTCAAACAATTGAGCTCAAATTTTCTCAATATAAAAACGGATCAAAAGCTTTCTGAGAAGAACACACTATAAAAACCGTTTTGAATAAGAAAAGAAAACATAATTGTTTTTTGTAATTTAATCTAAAGAAATACCAATATATTATCGTTTTGAAAAAAAATAAAAAACAAAAATGAATTTTAAATTATATTCTAAGTTAGTTCTTGCATTGTTTGTTCTCAATTGCGTCCTAGTCGTTGCTGAGACTGAATAAACTTCAGCTGTTTCTTTCCTTGAAACAAAGTTAGATTTTTCAGCTAGAGCTAAAGATCAATTTGCAAGTGATGCTTGTTAAACATAATGCAAAAAAATTGGAGGATCTCCTTGTGGTGTTCTTTCAAAGGCCTGTTGTAAAAGTTCTGACTATTGTAAGAGTAGTTGGGGATCAAAGTGGTGCACTGTTCCAGTTCATGCTTTTATTTGCTGATTAAATCAATAACTACTAGCATTAAATTTTTAAATTAAATATATCATCTTTAAAAACTCATGTTATGTATTAGTATGGCACTAAATTTTTTAGGATACAATCTTCGTTTAAAATTATTCATTCATTTTGCTGATAATTTTGCTACACTCCTTTCAATAATTAAGTATTTCATTAAAAAATGACATTAAAAAGATTAAATTTAATACATCAAAAATTTCATTTTTATCTTAAAAATATGAAGATAAAAATTAATCTTCATAATAGAGAACTTCCATAAATTTGGTAAAAATGAAATTCAATTATTGTTAATTTTAAAATTTTTTGAAATATTATATAATAATTTTTAAAAATGAGAATAAATTATTAAAAATAAATCAAATTATTTTATTATTTTTTTTAAATTCTATTCACAGTATATTTTGAGAAAAAGAATTAATTCATGATAATTTTTTAAATAAATAAAATACATAAATCAATTTTTGAGTGTAAAAATATTATGATTTATTATCTTAAAAAATTATTTCTAAATGAAATAATTACTTTGAATTTTGGTATTCAAATACATTTTAAAGACAAAAAATTTAAAAAGTAAATACAAAGTAAGTGATGCTTAATAAATTTATTTATGAATACTTAATTATTAAATAAATTCATAAAATCTATAAATAAAACAAATATTGTTCATAGCTTATTAAAAAAATTTAAAAAAATAATGTTTAAATATTAATTTTACTGATCAATTTAGATAGATAATTTAAAAAAATAAAATAAACTTACTTTTTAATAAAGGTTGTTTAAATACATATAAAATGTTACAATATTTAATAGTTAAAACTAAATTAATTAAGTAAATATAACATTTATTTAATTTAAAATAAATATTTTAGTAAGAAAATAAGTCAAAAAGTAAATAACAATTAAGTGATGCCTTAAAGAACTACTTGCATATTAAATAAATTAATTATATTTCTAAATAAAAAAAATACTCTATCATAAAGTAATAAATAAATAAATAACTAAAAATAATTTTTAATAATTTATTTTTACATTATTTTAATTCTTAAATATTCTAATATTTTCTATCTTTTTATATTTCATGCATGCTAGGTGATGGATTAAAATTGTTTAAAAAGAATATTTAATATTTTAAAATTATCTTTTTATTTAGATTAAATTTAATTTGAATTGCATATTTAAATAAGAAAGGAATTCAAAATCTGAATAGAAAGCTATTTAAGAATCAATCCATAAAGTATATTTTTAAAGATAGCAAATATTCTTTCATAACTTAACAAAATACATACAAAAAAATAATAATAATTTTAAAATAATAAATTTATGTATATTTATAATAAATTAAAAATATACTTTAAAAAAAGGTTCAATCAAAGATAGTAAAAAATATAAATTTTTAGTATTAGTTAGAATATTTAAAAATAGAACTACATTCATAAAACAAAAATAACTTTTATTTAATGTTTTTTTTTATAGCCTAAACATTTCTTTTTCAGTTTATGTCTTCTAACTTTTCTTAAATTCAGAATAAATCACTACTTATAGATAAATAAATTTTATTTAAAATATCTTTGATTGATATAAGTATTTTGAAGATTAATAATTTACTATTAATTGCATTTTTAATTTAAAGGTAGCTAGGCATAAATTTTGTTAATTTAGTTATAAAAATAACCACGCTTTAATTACAATTATTATCAATTTCAAATTTCGAAGAAATCAACCAAACAATATTTTAAAAATTGATAATTATGAATTATAAAAAAGTTACAATTTTAACTTCAGTAGTAATATTACTCCTTATAGCTATAGTTGGCATCATTAATTACAGCTAGGTCGGACAAGAAAATATGTTTTTCAAAAAAGAGCATAAATTTAATTAGGAAAATAAAGCATTTAACTAGTATAGAAGTTCCAGTCAATGTTTAGCGAAATGCACAAATGAAGGGTAAAAAATTATTTTTAGTTTTCAAATAAAATAAATATGATTTTTATACATACATAAGGGGATATAACTGTGGAGCAAGCTATGTAATATGTTGTAAAAATGAAGCTAGTTGTGTTGATAAGTGGGGTATGAAAGCCTGCAACATTAAAAAAAAATAATTCACATGCGACGAATGAGTACGTTTATAAAGTTTGCTTGCTAAATGAAAATAATACTGAAAGAAAGAAATAATAATTATATGTTAATTTTTCATTCTTTTATTACTTAGAAAGTAAACAATTTTTAAGTAAAAACTAAAATAAGTCAGTCCTTCATAACTTTTTATTATGATTGAACAATTATTAAATGTGCTGGTTCGTATAGTTTTTATTAATTAACTAATTTATATATCTTTCAATTATTTATAAATTTCATGTATAATTTATAATTTTTACTAAAATACCAATCCAAACAACATAATAATAAATAAATAAATCAATTTTAAATTATTTGGATGAATTTAAATATTGTTGAAATTAGCTTTTTTTCTCTCAAAATTAGCTTATAAATGATAAATAAGCGATTTGAGTTAATCAAACTTCATTCATTTTCCTTATCAAGATAAATCATCTTTGATTAAACATCTAAATATGTTACCATTTAAAATATAAACAATAGCTTTTTAACTGATAAGCAAAATGTATGATTATAAATAGGAAATAAATTGCTCAGCAAATTAATATATCAGACTGAAAAAAAGACACATAAATATATATTTAGAGACTTAAGTATTTATTAAAACTAGGTTATTTAATGTAACAAAATTTAAGGAATACACAAAAATTTATTAAAAATACAAAATTTTAGTGAACATTTCAGGGTGTAATTTTATAAGTACAAAAATATTCTATTAATTAATTAATTTATTCAGCACAAACAGAAAAAAAAATAGAATGGTGAATTTTCTCTTAATCTCAAATACCAATACCGAGAAAAAACTTAAAATTAATAAAATAGTTTTTCACTTGGCTTATTGTCCAATAAGTTAATTCTCACAAAATAAATTTTTGTTTAGAATAATTTGCTTCACTTAATATGCCGTAAGCCTATTATAATATCATGAAAAAATTTATAAAAATTTACTTGGTTAATGTTTTTACTTATTTATTTTGGATCAGTAGGAATAATATGAAACTAAAGAAATTCTCAAATTAATATTAATATATAAATAGATAGATAGATCTTAATCTACCAGGAATTTATTTGTCTTAAAAGCTTGGAGATATGTTTAAATATTACTTGCTTGAAATATATTACTAAATTTGGATTGTAGAATTTTATTTTAAAATACTCTATATTGTTATCATCTGTTAGTTAATTTTCATTAGATTGTAATAATCAATTACACAATCAGTTAACAAATAAAATTAATGATAAACAAATTTATAAAAAGGCTATCAGTATAATAATTAAATTAATTACATTAAATTTGCACATTTAAGTTAAAAACAAACATTTACTGAATTAAAAAATTTTCCAAATAGAACTAATAATTAATGGAGTTATATTCTATTCTTACTTCTATTCTCAAACTTGTAGCTTTTCTTATTTATAAATTTAAATAATTATCTAATTAAATTTGTTTATCATGTTTATTAAATGCTTTATATCAGTAGATCCTCTCAAAAAAATAAATAAATATTTAAATAAATAAATCAATAATAAATATCAAAAATAACCAACAAAAATGTTATCAAAACAATCAAAAATACTACTTACTTTAGGCCTTGTTCTCTTTGCTCTAATGAATAATGCTAATTGCTAAGTAGTACAAAGCTTCCTTGATAGAGATAACTTTTCTAAATACAGGAATTTAGAATTCCCAGCTAAGGATTAATTTTTAGGAACCTCCCCTCAAGGAGGCAGTCCACGTATTGTCATATTTAACCCTGATGTACAACCTTGGTGCAAGAAGGAATGTTTAGCATACAATGAAAATGGAAAATAAGGTTATCCTTGTGGAAGTACCAGAGTTAAAAGTTGCTGTAATGGAGAGTAAAACTGTGTCCAAAAAGGATAAGTCACATCATGTTAAGATAAAATTAAGGAATTTTTCTGCTATTTCTGAGACCTACCAGTATTCAATAATCATAAAAATTAAATAAATTATTGAAATTATTTTTATGTTTTTCCCTTTAAGTATGAATTAGTATAATTTAGTCAAAAAAAATTTTTTTAATTTGAAACTATAAAATTAAACATTAAATTTTTTGAATTGTTCAGTGATAAAATAATATTTTTTAATTAATTAATTCTTTCAAAATACCTTAAAACGAACCATAAAATTAGAATATTTTGTTTAAGAGATTTTTTCATTAAATTTTTCAATCATATACTTCTAGAATTTCATTCTGAAAATATCATTTTTAAGCTGTAGTGCTTCTTTCAATAAAAGCTAAATATATTTTTTTAATCAAATCTAAAAAATAAATCTAAATATATTTTTTTAATCAAATCTAAAAAAATAAATAAATATAATATATTTTTGTTGAAATTTTATGAAAAAAATTTTTTTAAATTTACTTTTTTAAATCTCAAATCAATTTTAAATAATTCCATACATCCTCAATCTTTATTATTAATATTTTTTCTTATTATTTAACAAAAAAAAAATTATTTATTCAGACAAAAAAATATAAAAAATTAAGATTAAATTAAATATTTTTTTAATTTTATATTTATTAATTAATGAGATTTTTAGAATATTTTAATATACAGGTTAGCATATGCTTATCAATTTATAATTTTCTACCAACATATATATTTCTGATAATACAGCTTTAAAATTAGTAATTTAATTGATTCAATTATACATACATAATTCATATAAAATTAGATTTTCTTGAATTATGGGATTTAAAAAACTAAAAATTTTGCTTATTAAATTTAAAAAATGAAGAGAGAAATTGATTGATACGAATAATCTTTAATTTATAAATTAACTGTGGAAATAAATACATATTTATTACAAATGTTTATATATAACTTTTACATAATTAAATAATTTGTTATTGATATATTCTAATACTTTCTTTCTTCTTTTCCAACCAAATCTAATTTCGTTACTAAATAAATAAATAAAAATTTCAACAACATCCTTTTTTTTTGGGTTTTTCAGTCTCTGTTTTAGGGATGAGATGTTCTTTATTAGATGATTGATTATTAATTGAGTTATCGTTTATTTTATTTTTTATAGAGTATTTATGAGTAGGTGTTGGTTGACTAGATTCTTATTAATCGATTTATTATTAGAGCTCTCTTGCTTTGTTATTATCAATAGACAAGCTTCTTGTGCTTGATCTAATGCCGTTTTTTAATTCATGCTTATCCTTTATAAATCTATTATATACCTCAGTAGCAACATACTCGAAAGACTAAATTTAATAAAATAAAAATTTTCACTTACATTTATAATTATAAAATTGTAATGCACTTACTTTTTTAATATTATAATCATTCTTTGCTGAAGTAAAGAAGTGATAGGCTAAGTTATACTCTTAAATTAAATCTTATATTTCCCTTTCTTTTACCTTAACTTCGCTAAAATTTTATTGAGAATGTTGTTAATTAATTTAACTATTTATTTCCAATTATAAATAAATTTACTCCTATTCTTCATCTTTTTTATTTCCAATCAAAACTATGATAACATCATTGTGAGAGTTTTCTTTAATTTCATTTATCCAAATTTTCAAACCTTCAAAAGATTTTCTCCTGTAAAATAAAAGAAATAATTTATTATTCAATTAAATGAATAATTTCTTACACTTTAGTATCATAAACAAGTAAGACAGCTGCAGAGTTTCTATAAAAAGATTTAACAATAGATCTGAAAGACTCCTATCCTGCCTATTTTAATAAATTTAAGTTTTGAATAAAGTATTACTTTATAAATTAATTTAAAAAGCTATTTATATCACTTACAGTATCCCATATTTAAAGTGTTATTTTAGAGCTTTCCTCTTAATTATCGCTTTCAATAGTAACATCTTTGCTTTCGAATTCAAGACCGATAGTGGCATTATAAGTATCTTAAAACTCGTTTTATGTAAAGCGCTTTAATATGCTTGATTTTCCTACAGCTTTTTTGTTATATGGATAAAAAAAATTAATTTACTTCTTAAAATCTTTAACAAACTTGATAAAAAAGCACTTACATGCATCACCGACGATGATTGTTTTAATCAAAAAACCAATATTTTAATTATTCATTTCTGACTGTGTGAGCATTTTATCTATGTTGAGTCCTTACTTTCTTTGTTTGTATGTTTGCTTATAATCAATCAATAAAGATATGTATTTAAAGGGTATTTTGAATTTTTAATTTTTTTTTAATTTTGCAAAATTACTAACTAATTTGCTTGATAAACAATTAATCAATTAATTAATTTATAATTTAACCAAATAATTTATCATCTAAACTATTACTCATATTTCTAAAAATTCTTTTACGCTAGCTAATTTCTCTTATTTTTGATAAGCGAATGCTGATCTTCTAAAAAAGGATATAATTTTTTCATCAACTATTTTAACCTTTACTTTTATTTTCTTATTTTGTAATCAAGACTACCATTAATTATTCTTTTCATTTGCTATGACATCATCATCATTTACTTTTTTACACTATCATATGTTTTTATTTTATCTATATTTTCATATTTATAGGATGAGTAACTTACCTATTGATCAACTATTTTAATATCACCTTATGCATGCCAAGATTTAAGAGTTTCTCTCCCCTCAAATTATTATAAATTTCAAGATCAACAAATATTTCAGATTTAAGTTAAGCCCAAAAATAAATTTTTTTTTTATCAAATAATTAATAGTTGCTGTAAAAAATTCCTTTTTTTTTCCTAAAAAGTATTTTCAACGTAACAAAAATGACTTTAAAATAAATATTTAAAACAATAATCAAACAAAATAACAAAGAATAATTACTTTTAATTATTTGCTCTTATAAATAAAATTTTTAAAAAAACTTATAAAACTAGCTTAAAATTCTGTCTTCTTTGATTATTTTAAATTTCCTAAATTTAATTGGAATATTAATAATATAAGATTAATAAAAATAAAAACATATTTGAAATAAGCTTAATAATAAGAGTATGTAAAAATATTTGAATTAAGCTTAATGATAAAAGTATATAATCAATACAATCAAGACAATTCTTATATAATCTTTATAATCAAGACAATCTTATTTAATAAAAATAAAAGCATATTAGAAATAAGTCTAATAATAAGAGTATGTATAATCATTGCAATCAAGACCATCCATAAATAATCATTACTATCAAAATCAATCTTATTAAATTAAAATAAAAGCATATTTGAAATTAACTTAATTATAAGAGCATGTATAATCATTATAATCAAGATCAATTTTTTAATTTAATTAACATATACAACTTAAAAAAGCTAATTTATTATAACTCAGACTGAACATTTAATGATAAGTATATTAAACCAATTCATTATCATTTATATAAATTTATGTGGACATCAAAAAACTGTTACAATCAAGTTGAATTTAAAGAACAAAAATTAAAAGTTTTATTTAATTAATCATAGATATAAAATATTAAAAAATGAAATGATAAGTAGAACAAACATAAATTAAATAAAGTAATTAAAGGTTTTATTTAATAGGACTTTAGATGTAAAACAATATTATTTGATATACAAAAAAATGTTTACAGTACAACTTGGCTAGTTTTGGAACTGTTTAATTATATTATTAGTATATTTTCGAAAGGATTTCATTTATTTAACGTAGTGTATAAAGTTATAAAACTAAAAATAATGAAAAGAATTCCACCTAACAGAGCCATTGTTTTTTCAGAGAATTACTTTGCTAAAACTTATCCTCCAATGAGGGCAAGTAGAATACAGAATATTTATCCTACAACTGTTCCTAAGAAGACAAATACAAAGTCATATGAGGCGCTGATTGCAATTGTTGAAATTTATGATTTGTCTCCCCATTCTCCAAAGAAATTAGAAACAAAAGTTTGCATAGCTATTACATAACCGGGAGCAGCTATTCCTTTAATTTATTTTTTCTTTTTTTTCTTTTCATTTTCTTAAGAGTTTGCTTAGTTATTTTGTTATTTATCTGAAGTGGATTTTTCTTTCAAATCATTATTCTAATCTGTCTCTGTTTTAGGTTTCGTCACTATTTTAGATAACCTTTTTTCAAGCTCTTCTACTTCTTCTTCTGCTTCGTCATCTTCATCATCTACAGTATCAGTGTAAACCTCATAAAGCATTTTAAGACCAAATATTAAGAATAGTGCACTAGATATAAACTTAACATATACTAAAGGTATAAAATACTCAGTGAGAGAACCAAGAAGACAAGATATTAAAGTCATTATAAGCATGGACCCAACACTTCCAACGAATACCCAAAATCTATTATATTTAGAAGAAAGTATTGCTGTCATTATAAATGTCTTGTCTCCTATTTCAGAAACTGAAGTAGAAATAAATGAACCAATAAAAGATCCATGACTTTAGAGGATTTAGTCATCATTAAAAGAATTTAATAAAGATTTTTCAGATGAGTTTCCCTTCTCATTATTAGGCTCCTTTGTATTAATTGAGGATAAGAGCAAAAAACTTATTATTAAAATATACAAAACTTTCATTCTTTTAATTTTTTTATTTGTGAAAATGATTTAAATAATTAAATTGTATTATTAATTAATTTTACTTTAAATTTTAAATAAATTGCTCTACTTTTAAAGTAAAATGTATCCAGAATTTTTATTTCTTTATGTAAAGTTTTACAATAAAATTAAAAATAAAGTGAGAGATATTGAATTCTTATAAAAATTTAAATAATTTTATAATATTTTTTATTAATCTATAAATAGATTTTTTAAAAGCATGACTAGTTCAATAAAATACAATAGTTTTTGCATATTAAAATAGTGTTTATATGCTATCTAAATTGCCATTTTTAATATAAAAAAATAAAAAAATAAAAATAAATCATTAATGTTTTTATTTTTTAAGATGACTAAGTTAAATTTGTTTTAATTTTAATTTTAAAAATATTTAAATCAATTAAAATTATTTTTATTTTTTGAATTAATTATTTATTATTGTTTTAATTAAAATAAGTTAATTTTTCTATTAAGTTATTAATAAATATTATTTATGAATATTTTTAAATGATGATTATAAGAAGTTTTAAATATACAACTATAACTATATATAAATAAACCTATAAAGTTAAAAATTTCCCTAAATTTTATATAAATAAGCTATAACTTCAAAATTGCATTTTCTGATAAAAAAATTTTATTTTTGTTATTTATTGAGTTTGTTTTTTTAAATAAAAATCATATATTTTAATGTAGAAAAAAAATATAATTTTAGTTAATGAAAAAGGTTTGTTGTATTTAACATTTAATTCTAACGTTATAAATGAATGTAAACGAATGCTCAAGTATTTATATTTGGAATAATAAATGTATTATTAAGAAATACAAATAATGTTAACTTAAACTAAATAGTAAAAATTTTCTATTAAATTTAGAGTATTAGGTGAATCAATAAAAGAAAGTAATTAAATAATATCGATTGTCCTAATTATATTTGATATCAAGAAATAAATAATTTGATATTGATATCCAAAATAAGCCTATTTCATTGAATTATTGATAAAAATTAGAAATAAATGAGCAATTTTTCATGCTCAACTGATAAATCTTAAAATATTATTTAAAGACTTTTTGATTGCGCTTAAGAAAAATATTTTCAAGAATTCAAATCTATACTAAAAGAATTCCCTTATTTAGACATAGTTTCAGCCTTTAAGGATGACGAAACTCCTTCTTGTACAAATTTTTCTTTGAATTATTAGAAAATGGATTTTATTTAATTCAACAACATTTGAGTTATTTTTAACAAATTATTAAAAGTTTTGATTATGATGGTTACTTATAAAAACATGGAATTGGTCAAGTTTATATTAAATTACGTTCAGACCTAAGTGAATCAGGGATTAAATTCTTATGATAAAAATACTCTTTAAAAATATATAAATATGGGTGATAGATATGGATTTACTGCTCTTCATGTGGCATGTTTTAACGGTGATTTAGTACCAAATTATGATATTTTTAGAAAATTTATAATAAGTGCTTAAGAATAATAATAAAAACTATTTTTTGTAATTCAAATTTTAGATAATGGTGGAATATCTAATTGAAAAAGGAGCTGATATGTATGCAAAAAATTAGTCGGGTATAATATTTTTAAACATTATTATGTCAAACACTATTAAAAAGTTATTGAAAATTTTATTTAAAACTAAAATAAATGATCAGGATTGAATGTGATGCACTCAGCAGCCTAAGGAGATAGTCCTTTAATTTTAGTAATTAGATTTTCTTATATATTTTACACTTTAGATTCATGATATTCTTGCTATAATATCAAGATTCATTTTGTTTTTGTGAGCAAAATTGAAAATATTATTTTTAGTATTATTTTAAATAGCTTGGCTTTGATATTGAAGAGTTAGATGATGAAGAAAAAACTCCATTATATTGGGCTGTATTTTCTGAGTAAAATCACAAATTAAAATAGAATATATTTTTTATTTTAATGGCAGTTCAAAATAATAAATTAAAAAAACAATAAATAGCTCTGAATATGCATGCTAGTTTTTGATATCATGGGGAGCTGATGTAAACAAATAGGATATAATAGAAAGACAATCTCCTCTCCACATTGTAACTGATACTAGAATAGCTAGAAGATTACTTATAGCCGGAGCAGAAAAGAATATTATGGATAAAAGAGGAAATTTACCTTATGAACTCGCTGAGCAGAAAGAATATTATAGATTGGCTTAAATGCTAGTAAAACATTCATACATAAATAAATATTATTTCTTTTACATACAAAAATGCAAAAATATAATTTAAAATTTTAATTTGTTTTCAGAATTAATGATTTACTCACTGTAAATTCTTTTGTAAATTACATCCTAAGTTTTTTTTTAATTAAAATTTATGTAATTTTTTAAAATAGAAAGATGAATTCTCAATTTAAGAGTTTTGTAATTTACGTCTTCCGCTCTCACCTCCACGTTAAAAAAGGCGAATGATTTTAATCTTTTCCTTTCTAATATTTAGCATAGTTCTGGGAAATCTTTTCTTTGTGCTTCCATGTAAAATATTTAATAGCATAAATTAAAAACGACAAGCAAATAAAATGAATTAATTTCTATCTTTAAAAGTTCTTGAAGAAGACAAAGATCCTATGTGTATAGCTTTCTACTGCCTTTCTTTTTTAAATATAATTCTTCTGTGCATAGTTAGTCACAAAAATCCTGGATATTTTAAAAAATAGAAGGATAGAAAAGATATGCTGGAGCTTTTCAAAAAGTGTCAATACGACTACTCTATTCTTTGTTCTGAATGCAATGTATTTATATTTTTATTTATTCAAATTTTTAATTTTAAAAAATTCGAATAAAATAATAAAATTAATAGCTGGTCAGACCTGAAAGATCTAAACATTGCTATTTTTGCTAGAGGTGTGTAAAAGTTTATGATCATCATTGTCCTTGGGTTAATAACTGCATTGGAGCAGACAATTACTTGATATTTTTTACTTTTTTATTCTTTTTGTGGGTATTTGTCATTTATCTGATTATCCTGAACTCTTTTGCTCTATCGCATAAGCATGCCAATTAAAACTCTCAATATGCTTTTGTTGGCCAATTTAAGAGTGAAAACTTTTAATAAATTTCTGAACTACTCTTAATGATTTTCTCAATATATTCCTTGACTATACTAGGGATTTTTGTAATTCCTATTAGGTAAATTTAAACCTTGAGAAAATTATGGTTTAAAAATAAAAATATTTTTATAAAAAAAGCATTTTGTTGTTTATTCAAATCCAAAATATTTGCTACGGATAGACATAACTTGAGAGATATTCAAAATAATAAACTAAATTAACTCATTCAGAGTCTACTAAAATAGAAAAGGTAATATAAAGATCTTATATATCTAAATCTAACAATTGTATTAACTTAAAACAGGAAATGGAAGATTCCTTTAAATTAGCATAAACACATTTTGGTGAAGATGAAAGTCAAAATGGTCAAAGTTTTCTTAGCAGCCAAAGTAGATTAGATTAAATTGTAAAGGCTGGTAGTAAGAGAAGTATGTTGCAGAATTGTGCTGACATGTTAGTTAATAACTCTAAAAACCCAAAATATGAAGAGAATAGTGTTTTATGAGAACCTAAACAGGACTAAAAATTGGTACTTTATAATAATTCAACAATCAGTTGAAGAGTAAATAAGGTATTTATAACAAAATTATTAAATTAATTAACAACTAATAACTTTCAAATATCAACAAATAAAATTAATAAATTATAATATAACAACAAAATATATATTAATTCTAAAATATGTCTAATTAAAATTCTTATTTATATAGTAAGTACATCTCTTTCTCGTACATCTATCTATTATCTACTTTGTAAAAAAATCAATTTAACTAATAAACTTATTTTCATCTAAATAGAAATTAATTTCTTCATTTAAATTATTCATATATCCTAAAATTTCTTAAACTGATTGGGAATATTTATTTCTATTTAATTTTGATTGTTAAATGTGAGGGACTGAAAATTTACATTAGGATAAGGAATCCTCAAATAACCAGAGCTTTATAGAAGCCAATATAAATTAGATTAAATTGTAAAGAATGACAAGCAAGGCAGCCAAAAATGATCTATATCTAGATAGGCTTAATAAATTGTTTTTTTTGAAATAATTCAATAGCCATTTGAAGTTAAGTGTATATAAATCATTTATTACAAAATTATTAAAATAATTTGACAGCATAACTTTCAAATGGCATTCAAATAAATTAGATAATTCAATTATGTTAATAAAATTTATATTAATTCTAAAATATTTCTAAAACAAAATATTCATTTGATGTCATAGAAATTTAAATTTTTTAATTTTTGTAAATAAAAAACTACATTTTACAAATTAAAAATAAATTTCAAAATTAAAATCTTTGTAATATCCTAAAGTATCATAAATAGATTCAACATATATACTTTTAACTATTCTAAAAATATATGAGGAATTGATATTTTTAATTACAGAGCGTCTTAAATGGTAGTATTTTTAGAATATAACATTTTATAGCTTAAATAAAATTAAGTTTCAAAAATTCTGGATTTAATCTTTATTATAACACATAAATATCTTTTTTGAATAAAACACACCATAATACTACTTTTTTCAAACCTCAGATCAATTATATTAATTTTTTTCAATTATTATCCAAATATTGTAAATAATTAGCATCACAAAGCAATACTAAGTCAAAAGTTATAAATGTAGAATTTATTATCTTTAACTTTTTTGAAGTGCAAAAAAGTATTAAATTTAATTCTCATCAATAATATAGGGACATTACTCACTTTGAGAATAGAAATTTGTTGTAAAATGATAACAATTATAGCGGGTCTTCATAAAATGTAATTTAACTCTCCAGCATTTCACTCATAAGTTAATGAAATTTTATTAAATTGTAAAGCTGAAAAGAAAAACTCAAATGAGGCCTATGAGTGCTCAAGTCACAAGTAATAAAAACTATTAGCAAAATCAGTAAACACAAAATGAAAACAACTAACTAAATGAAAAGCATAAAGAGAATCATAAGTAATTTTACTATTATTAGTGGTTTGAATTATTGAATAAAATGCATTTTAACTTAAAAAAAAGAAATATTCGAAATAATCTTAATATTGAGCCAAAATAGTTTTTTCTACCATCCGATAAATAGTTTATTCAAAAGGTTCCATAACATCCTTAGTCTGCAAAAAGCTACAAATCTGTTGCAGGATAATAACACTTGCAACAGTAAAACTTCTTCTAAAATAATAATGAAGAAGCTAATACTCTTCCTTTATCAAACACCTAAGCTTAGTCAAATAAATTTTTTTTTGCAAACAAAACTTTACATAATGCTAAATCTTCATAAACTATTGGGTTTTCTAATACGTTGATGAACATTATTGATATCGATAGTACTAAATCTATGAAAAAACTGATGCCAAAAAATATCAAAAAGGCGAAAGTAAATAAAACTCAACATTCTACTTATTAAATATAATAAATAAATTGATGATTAATTAATTTTTATAATTTAAAAAATGCTTTTTTTAAAATTTTGATATTTTAATGAATATAAATATTAGGAGGTTTTATATGAAGGCACACTAATTGTTAAAGAGAAATGCAATAAATTAGAAAATGAAAATACGAAACTTAAAACTTAAATAATTTAGCTTTAAAAGCAAAATAATAAATAATAAAAATTACTTTATGAGATTGAATAATCTTAAAATAGTGGGTAAACTACCCTCTTGTCACAACCAGCAGCAGATGTAATAAAAATTTCCAAGATTTATGGGGATAAAATGTTTTATTATTAAAATTATTTAGAATTTACTGATAATGACCCTAAAAAAAGAGCAAAAGATTTTAAAAGACGAAATAAATTAAAAAGAAGCTGAAATATAAAGTTTGAAAAGGTCAGTTCGCTAAACTAGAATTGAAGAGCTAGAGATATAATTGAAATGCTATATAGAAGAAACACTTAGATTGAAGGCTAAGATAGATTTGATGCAGAGAGAGAAACAAAGGAGTGATTAGTAATCCAGAATTAAAATTTTTTTTCTAAATTAAGAAGCCTTTTTATATCTATTATATATATTTTTTATTTAATTCTATAAAATTCTTATCAGCATTATTACTAATGAAATTTTATTATCGAAAGGCATCATGAGACATCTTACTAAAAAGAAGGGAAAGTATTTTTATTAAATCAAATTGTGGACAAATTAAAATAAGAAAATTATGAGCTCGCTGCTCAGCTCATTTAGTCTTAATAACGATGCTAGGAGTTGGAAGTATTATTTTTAAAATTATTTTTAATTCTGCTGTTAATACTTTGCATAAGATTATATTTTATGATGATATTTTTGGATTGTGATTTTTCAAGGAAATCGTTTACATTAGGATTGGTATATAAGAATAAATTGAATGGTAAAGGGGAATAAATACTTACTGTATTTCTTGTGTTTGAGAGCAAGCAAATAGATTAATATAAATTTGTGAACACAAATAAAATTTTACTTAATTTACTTTGCTAATGAGATAAATTAAAGCCCCACATAGCTAAGATAATAAATCAAATAGCTAATTTATTAATTATTTATTATTTTTTTTTCTGCGCTAAGAAATATCCCTTTTTTCCTGAATAAAATTAAAGCATAAAAGCTATCAATAAGTTATTAAAAAATTATAAATTTAATTCCATTAATTACCTCAAAATAATGGATCAGTAGCTTTAATTTTCGGTTCATATATAAATATAATTTTTTTTAGCATTGGGCTTAAAATATATAACAAAAAGAAACTAATTCATTCAAATTCTTAGTAAGACTAGCTCAGCATTCATTGTTTTATTTTTAATCCCTTAAATTATTTTACAAATTTTCATAATACTTTTCTATACTCTTCCAATTAACTTTTTTTACTTTACAATTTGCATTAATTTTTCAGATGCAGTGAAAAAAATTAAAGGGAAGATATGCTGATTAGACAGAGAATATAAAAAAAATCTCTAGACCTAAATAATAATTGTATTGATCCAGTTTTAATTCTTTTAATAGTGCTTAAATTTGATTCCCTACTAGTTAATAAATTTTAGCAGTCAAATTTTTGTGACATCAAACTATATTTAAAAAACCCTAATAAAGGGAGGAAAAATATCTTGATTAGGAAGTCTTTTTATAAGTCAATAATCAAAAATTTTGTGGCTCTTTTTCCCCTTTTATTGCTTTTGTTCAAAAAATAACTTAAATGCTAACTTTCAACTTTATGTGGAAATTTATTAATAGCCAATCTATAATTTTAATTATCAATGACTGCCTTTATTTCTGATTTATGTTTTAAAGTTCTAATGAATTATTAAGATTATCTTAGTTATGTTTAATGATCTTTATATAAAACATAAAGGTTAGAGATGAAATAGATGAGAAGATTTATAAGCGATCCAGTTAAATCTAAAAATTATAATAATAAATATAAATACAAGAAACTTTAATTACAGAATAACAAAACAAAACAAAAATTTTAGAAGAAGAGCTCTCAAAAGCCAAACTCTAAATCCAGCATTATAAAATCCTCGAACAAGACTATTAAACTAGGTACTTACTTTTTATTTCATTAAATATTTATGTGTGCCTCCCCATAATGTATCTGCATAAGTCTTGGAAAAAGCAAAAGAAATTTTAGATTCAAAAATTTATTAAAACAATACTTTTTAAAAATCAAAAAAGACTTATAACTGAATAACAACTACTGAAGAAAATGGAACACTAAGAATTACACAACTAAGATCTCGAAGCTAAGTTAGCCGCCCTTGAACTTGAGTATCAAGTAAGCACATTTAGATTGTCAATATTAAACATTATATAAATTAGAAAATAAGTACTGGACATAATAATAATAATATACTTTGCCTACAAAATTTCTACTTTTATAACTTATAATTATATTATAAATATAGGAAAATCAAAAGAAGCATTAATAAGAGAAATAGCAATTGTAGATTGAGCGTGACAACTACTAGGAGCAAGCCTAAAATGGTAAATATAAAAATCCTGGAGAGAGAATAGTAGAAAAACAAACAAAGAACTACTAAAATTACTAATACCCTAGTAGTTTATCCCACATTGAAGAAGATGAAGATATGTTCTTGAGAACTAAGAATGGATATGTTCGTACTCTTCAAGAAATTAATAGAGAAAAAGAAATTTATGAACGTCAAAATGCTAAAAAGAGATCCTATAAAACAGTAGCTCCAGTTTCTACAGATCAAATTTCTGAAGTATGCAAGACTATCAACAACAAGCTCTCCTTAAAGAAGATCTCAATAGATACACTTGTTAACGAAGTAATTATTGAATATTTATTACAAAGCCACAAAAAATAATTCACAAATTTCACAATAGTAAATATTTATGAGTAATTTAAAAAAAAAAATAGTACATTTTCAAGGAGCCAATAAAGTCAAAGGGAAAGATCTCAATTGAAAATCTTTACAATATCTTTACTGAGTAAATAAATTAATTTTTACTTAAAAATAATTTATTTTAAAATTTCTATTAATTATCATAGAGAGCCTTTTGGATTAAACGAAAAAGATGCTGAAAATTTAGCTCGTTATTTAATAGAAGACAACCAAGAAGAAATGATTCAGTTCAGAAAAACTATGGAAGCAGAAAATTTATTAGTAAAAAGTAGAGTAAGGTTTGTCATTGGTAAAGTTAAAATTTTCACCCATGAAGAAGAAGAAAAGTTATTTTAGGAAATAGTTGAGGTAATTAATTAATTAAATTATTAAATTATTTGTTAATTCTTATCAAAAACTGATAAAATCTTGGTTTAAATCAAATTTCTTATAATAAAATATAGAAAGTTAAAAAGTATGGAGATGGTCTCTATTACTAGCTCACTCTTAATGGAGATGTTAAGAAAACTCTTAAAGTTACTAAAGATTAAGTTATTAGAGCTATGCAATACATCGATATGGAATTGAACAAGAATTAAAGCGAATATTACTTCTTAAAGCTTTTTGAAAAAACACAAGACCCTAACAAGTTCAACCTTGATGACTGCACCAAGATTTTTGTTCATTGAAAGCCTAATCTTAAACTATTTTTAAGTTAAAATGCAATATTAGTTAGGTGAATAAAAAAAATAAAATTCTCCAAATACCTTTTACAATACGAAAAATTGTTCTATATTATTAGTTGAAAGCCACTACTACTAAATTTAATAACCCAACTACAAATAAATAAATAAAAATATAAAAATAATCAACATACATACCATTTAAAAGACAAATGTTTTTCCTAAAATTATTATAAATCTAAATTTATTAATTTGTATTTTGAATATTATTTATCTTTATAATTTACAATAACCATATAAGTAAATAAATTTATATTCTTAATCATAAAATTTATATACTTTGGAACAATTTTAATTAATCAATATATTTTTATTTAATTTTGTTATTCAAGAAAAAAATTTTCATCAAAAATAACTGGAAATTGTCTTAACTTGTAATTTTATACTATTAATATGGTGTTAAGGTAGTTATTAAAAATAAAATAAAGATTTTTAACAAAACGATATAAGATATAAAAAATAATCTAAAATAAAATTACTCTTCAAATTACTTAAACTGATTTATATTTTTAAAATTATTAGAAAACTCAATATCAAAAACCTATGTTTTTAAAATAATAATTTTCCAAATTAAATCATAAATTATTTTTCTTATTCATACAAAATTAATGTTTTAATTTGTGTTGTTGAAAAGTTTTTTTAATAGATGCAATAATTAATTTCTATTTCTATTTTATTTTTTTCCTAAATTCTCTTTTGGTTAAATTTTCATTAAATACAATTAAATCTTTAAAATACAAAAATATATTTTGGCTTGATTAAAATTAAGTTAAGTTTCTAACTAAAAATTAGTCATGATTTTATTTTATTATTTATAAACATTTTATAATAAAGAAATAACATTTTAACAAAGATACAAAATTTAATGATAAAATAAGTAAAGAATATTATTTAATCAATCGTCGCTGTTGTATTCGTATCTCTCTATTGTACTTTCATCAGATTTATGTCCTATATAAATAGAACTTTAAGCATATTGGTTTTCATTTTAATTAAATTCTTAGTTTTATGTTTATCTTACGACACTGAGGTCCTAGAAGCTTTACTGTAAATAAGTAAAAATTTAAAAAATAAAAAGTTATATTAAAAGTAAAGATAGAAAATGTATAAATAAATAAATACAGAGTTTTAAACATTTTTGAGAAGTTATTTGATATTTTCAATTTCTTTGTTCTTCAATTCAACACTATGTTTGACTGATTCTAAATCAATATTTAATTTGTTTATCTAAATTTTTAACTCTGTAATATTGGTTTTATTTTATGTTGACTCTTTTTCTAAGTTCTTAGATAAACTCTTTTATTGGTCATTATCTTCTTTAATTTATTCTATTTTAACTGTTAACTTCTTTTCTTCAAGCTATAGCTCTCCTTCCTCTAAAGCGAATTGCTTCAATTCTTCTTTTTACTAAAGTCATATAACATAATAAAATAAATAATTTTAATTTTTTGATGAAAATTAATCAATGACTAACTCACTCAGTTTATCACATCATTGATGTTATTAAAAATAATGTAAAAATTTGTTACATTTTCTTAATTTGCGCATATTTATGCATTTATATCTACTATACTTTAGTCATATTTATTTATTGCAATTTTTAGACCTTCAATTTATTCAACCATGTTTTGCAAATCATTCTTTCTTCTCTAAGCTTACTTTTAATTAAATAAATATATATTTTTTAATTTCTCCTATTAATCTAATTAATGCTATCTGATAATATAAGTTTGCTAGCTATGTTATGAATGTATCTAAGTTATATTCAATTTTTAATAATACCTTATAGTCATTGCACTTTAAGAAGCAGAAATCACAAACTCTTTACTCATTTATTTTTTTTTGAGAGCATTCTTTACAAACAGATTCACCACAAAGACGACTAAAAATATATGAGATAAAACAATTTATATAGTTTTTGTAACATTTTTATTCAATTTTATAAATTACCAATGATGCTGTTTCACAAACATAATTGTATTATATTTCGTTTCGCATAAACTACAAAAATCATTTTGCTTCCAATATTCTTTTTCTTTGAATTTTATATTTTCAACATTTATAGAATCTCTTCTAACTTTATAACAGAAATTATTAAAATAGATAAAATAATGTTTTATTTACTAACATCTATCAGAAAATTTCCCCTCTATCTTGTTGGAGGTTATGTTTTAGATCTTTTTGCAGAGCGAGCTGGTTCAGTAAAATTAGCTTTGGATTTATAAAATTGAAATTAGATTTGAATCAATCATATATTTTCAATTACACTCTTAAAGAATCTATGAATCACTTTGGTTTTTATCTAGATCCATCTTCTTTCTTAAAATTATTTTACAAGTAAATTCAGCAAGTTAGTTAATTTTTAAACTTTGATTTTAAATGTTCTTTCTTAATCCTAGTATCTTTACCTTTTTATTACTTTTGACAATTTAAATTATTCGATATGATTTTAGATTATTGATATTTAATTAATCAGAATTAAACTGAAAATATTAAAAATTGTGAAGAGATTTGCATTTTACAATTTAGAATACTTAACACAAAAACATATTCGTGGTTATTGTTTAAATTAAAAAGATTTATAAAAATTAAATGTATGTAAAAAAAAAATAATTTATTCTTATTCATAATCTTTGATTTTTAAAAAATAAATATTTTAAAAAAATTATAAATTTTAAGTGAATCAATATTAGAACAAGTATTATTTATATTTTTAAACTTGTCTTTTGTCTTCAAAACAATTCCAAAGTAGAGAATAATTTTCATACAGTTAGTTTAATGACTTTGCTCCAAATTTTTAAAAGGTTTTTTATACCCTGAAGTAAATTTAAAATATAAATTATTATCCGAATATTTTTTTAAGGTATTATTTTAATAATAGATTTCCAATTTTATCTTCATATTCTAAAAAATTATAGAATAAACCTTTAATAAAAAAAATCAAAAACTTTAAATAATCAAATACACTTTATCTATTTCTATCTATCATAAAATCAATGAGTATTTTAAATATTATACTTTCATAAATATATTATTGACTGAAGTCGGTTTGTTTGAATTAAATAAAAAATATCCTCTCTAATCAATCTCTATTTATTATATTTCTGATCAGCTAGATAAACAAAAATTAGTTATTTATTTTTTATTAAATAATTTAGTAAATTAATCTGACTTTTTATCTTTTTTTGCAATCAAATTTACTACATTTCCAAATAAAATATTTTTTAATTTATTTAAATAAATATTTAATCAAACTACATTTTTATAAAACTCTTTTTTAAGTTTACAATTTAAAAAAAAATCTGATGAAGGCGAGATTCGAACTCGCGCCCTTTCGGAATAGAGCCTTAATCTACCGCCTTAGACCGCTCGGCCACTTCATCTTCAGCGAAAGTTATTAGTATTTCTGAAAGAAAATACTTATGAGGAGTATTTATTAATTTTTAAAAAAATAAAATTAAAAAGTTGTAAAAGAATAATCATTTTTTGAATGATTGGATTTCTAATACATTGATTTTAGATATAAATTTGATTATCAAAAGTGAAGTAATTTTATCCGATTTAATTCAACTAGCTTGGTTTTTGCAAAAAGATATTTTGATCAAAATTTAATTTATTTATTTAAAAAATTATAATTAATAATATTATTGATAAGAGTGGATTATCTATGACTGATAATTAAATAAAAACTCTTAATATTATAGGCGTAATGTCAGGAACATCTTTGGATGGATTAGATTTAGCATACTTTAAATTTAAGTATCTTGAAAATTAAAAGTAGACTTTTAACTCTAAATCTTTTACTTACGAGATAATCAATGCAGAAACAATAGCCTACGATGAAAATATGAGAAGTAATTTAATAAACACAATGTAAATGTCTGGTGTAGAGCTGTCAAAGTTTGATAGAGAATATGGAAAATTTATTGGAGAAAGTATTGTGAAATTTATTAAAAAATTTAATATTCATCATAAATCTGTTGATTATGTTTCTAGCCATGGGCATACTGTTTTTCACAATCCATCAGAACAATATACAGTATAGATTGGTCACGGTTCTTCAATAGCAGCAAGTTGCAAAATTCCCACAATATGTGATTTTCGTAGTTTAGATGTAGCTCTTGGTGGTCAGGGTGCTCCATTAGTTCCTATTGGAGATAAATTATTGTTTGCAGAATATAAATATTGTCTGAATATTGGAGGCATAATAAATATTTCGTTTGATATTAATTAATCTGATGAAATTAATCAAATTCGCAAGGCTTTTGATGTATCTCCAGGAAATATGATACTAAATTACTTATGCAAAAAATACTTAAACAAAGAATACGATGCTGATGGTTAAGAAGCAAGGTTAGGTAAAACACATTAAGAATTACTAAATTAGTTATTGAATGTAGAATTTTTCTTAAAGGCAGGACCTAAATCTCTTGGTAAAGAGCATGTTGAAAAAGATTTTTTACCATTAATAGAAGCAAATTAAGATTTGTCTGTACAAGATAAATTAAACACTGTTGTTGAAATGATGGCTTAAACTACTGCTGAATAAATCAAAGTTAATGATAGTAAATAAGAAGATGATATAAAAGTTTTAGCCACAGGAGGTGGTGCATATAATAAATATTTTATTGAAAGACTTAATTTTTACCTTAGAGATACTAAAGTATAAGTAATTGTACCAAATAATTTAATTGTAGAGTTTAAGGAAGCTCTTTTGTTTGCATTTCTAGGATTTCTTAGAATATTAAAATTACCTAACTGCCTAAAGTCTGTCACAGGGGCTTCCTAAGACAACATTGGGGGATGTTTGTATTTAATTTGAAAATCACAAATGTTTATAATATACTGTTAATTTTAATTATTTTTAGTATTAATAATAAATGAATGTTATTCGGTGTAAATATAAGATTTTCTTTTTCAGTGTTTAAAAAAGATTTTAAAATTAAATTAATTAATTAATTAAATCGTAGCCAAAAAACTAAATTAACTACCAGAATATTATTTATTATCACAATTTAATGAAAACAAATAGCTATAAATACACATAATATGCTTTATTTAATTTAAAATGAATACTTGGTTATTAAAAAAAAAATAATATTAAATTTATTTAAAAGCACTTTATTACAAATATTATATAGTTAACAAAAATTTAAGCTATTTTACATAGTTGTTTTATTTCATTATTTTATAATGACTGATCAGTATTTTGTGAATTATTTTTCATTTTTATGATAAATCTTTTATTTTCTCAATCAAATCCTTTATATTATATTAACTAATTAACTCATCACCTTATTATATGCTCCAAACTTACTCGCGGTTATGACCAGGGTTGATAACATATACTGTAAATATATTGCTTTGATTTGATTTGATTTACTCAGAAACTTAAATCTTTAATTACTAGTTAATCTACAAATTTGTTAAATTATAAGCCTCTATAATATTCTATTCTGTAGAATGCTCTATGTAAATCTTCATTTTAGGGTTATTTTTACCACTGCAGCCACCCATGTTCTAAATAAGCTTATTCTTTTCTTTTTAATATAATCAAGATTAAATTATCTTTTAAATATAATCTTTTAATTTGTTTTTAGCTAAAAAGATATTTTTGAAATTTATTAAAAGATGCAAGTTAATATATAAGTATTTTAAATAACTATTTCAGGTTTTAAACTAATTTCAATTACTATTTTAATATAACTAGATTTTATTCTTTTGCTTGCTTCTCATTTCCTTTCATTGAAATTAATAATCTTTATTAAATACTTGTTTTTAAAATATAAATAAAACAAAAGATCAAATATATTCATAAGCATTATTAGTAAAATAAGTTTGTAATGCAGTTGTAGGTAGAAAAAGGAATTATATGAATAAAAAAATAGAAACAGATACCTAGCTCAATCATAATAAGATTTATCAGCTTAAAAGCTTTTAAAGGAAGTATAATTAACACAGTCAAATAGATTAAATAAAAATAAAATTAAATATCTTTCAATAAATCTAAATCAAGATATATAAATGATTCTTCTTGAAATACAAATCCAGAAATTTTATTTTTTGATTTTTATCAACAATTTATATAGTAAAACAATTTTTTTGATATTTTTCATCAAAATCAATCAGCTAAAACTTAAGAAATAAAATAATCAATTTATATTTAGTTAGAAAATTCTTAGAAATAATTAATAAGATTGTAATTCAGAAAACTTTTTTAAACTTTATTTCAGATATTAAATTAAAAGTATAACTAAAATATGACTGAAATATATGTTATTTGATTGTAAATTTTAATCAATTTCAATTGAATAAACTAATTTAAATAATCTTGTAAAATAATTTTGTTATATAAGAAGGTATTTATTTTAAAAAATTATGAATAAATAGAATACTATCAAAATTAATTCTTATGATTACTAATATTAATTACAAATAAACAATTTCATAATTTAAATACTAATTAATTAGTCATAAAATACCAAATAAATTAATTCCATAATAAAAATAAAAAATTTCATTTCTTAATCATATTTTAAACAATAATTTTAGAGTTAGAGTTATTGATATTGGTTGATGAAGTTTTTTTATTCATAATTATATGATTAAATAATATAATTTAAAACCATCTTAATGAATGAAACAGAAATCATTAAAATTATTTTTTCTTTTTGGGTTTAATTTATCTATTTTGATTTTCTTATGCTTTTACTCTTGCTTATTAATCTAAAGTTTCATATTTCAATTTAATTCAGATTTTATTGATATAAATCTAGAAATTTTATTGAAGGATTTACTTCTATAAAGCAATTAATTATTTTTCAACATTTAAATATTTTTTTCCAATTTTAAATATTATTTATTTCGAGATTTGTTTTTATTCTATTAAAAATTATTGAATTTAAATATTTTTAAAAATATTAAAAAAACGTTTTTTATAATTCTAATTTTTGTGATGTCATCAAAGTAGAAATAAAATTTTGTATTGATAGATAAACTTGAGCTTTTTAAATAAAATGATTGGCTAAATATATTGCTTATATAATAGAAGAAATAATGCTATACCATATTTAAATAGAGAGTTTAAGTGTAAGAAAGAAGTATATAATATGATGGAGTAGAATTTAAATGCATTATGTCAAGTAGATCTTTGCTTCAAGTTATCATACGCACTATTTTGAAAACAAACCTTAAACTTAAAGGTGTTTTGAAAAATATCGTATTAAATGAAAAACTCTTTATATAATAAATATTTACAATACAAACTATACAGAAAATATATATTTAAAATATAATGAAAATTTTAGGTTTGCATAATTAATTAATGAATTGATTGATTGATTCGCTTAGCTATTCAATAAAAACATGAAATAAATCAGTGATATATTTTTTTATTGATTGAATGATGCTTGCTACTTTAAAATGGATTAGAGAGTATAGTGTCAATATCTTTTATTTTAGTAAATTAAAAAAATAAAAATATTAACAAGAATCTTAATAGCGATCTTCTAAAAATTGTTTGCAAATTTATTGATAACAAATAGTAATACAATAAAATATATATTGAAAAAAAGCTAAAAAGGATTTGATTTTTAATAACAATTTAAAAGAATATTAAAGAGTAGAAATAGAAATGGGTATATCATATTTATTATATTATAGCATGCTCCTCATGAGTATGGATTAGTGAAAATAATATTTTTTTATAAAATAAATATGTATTGCAGAAAAAAACACTGTTTTGACTACAAGCATTGGTGTTTCAGTTGGTGTATTAACATCTCTTCTCATCAATTATCTCAGAAATTAAAAAGCTGAGTGCAAACAATAAAGACAATCTTTGGCTATTACAGAATCCGAATAACCATATGAAGATGATGATGCTAAGAGAAGAAAAGTTATCTAAGAGCTCATTAAAACTAACAAAGGCAAGTACAAAGGTAGAAAATTGCTTTAAAATTTAATTTACATATTTGACTCAAAAGCATATAGAACTATACAGCAAAAACAAAACATGCAAAAAATCTAAAAAAAAAGTTATATAGATTTAAAAACAAGCTTTAATTTGATTCAAAGAATAAAAAATATTTTAAATATACCATAAAGAATATTCATTCATAATTATTCGATTAACAAATAACGCCATAAAATTGTCTTCAACAATAAACTTAGTAGTTTTTCAATTTAAAAATACTATAAATAGAATTCCATAGACTTAAAATTAAGGATGGTGCATTAGTTGGAAATTCATTACTTGATGAAATCAGATTCCTTGACAGTGCTCTTTGTGAAATAGAGAAAGTTCCTAACCTCATTATTGATTTAGTAAGCAATCAAACGTTTACACCTAAAACTTTAAATTGAATTTAAAATATTTAAAATCAAAAGGGATTAGACATCTTTGAAGAGGTAGTTAACCCTATTGCAAGACACACTCATAAAGATACTTTTATTAATACAAACTCATTTATTTTATGTAAGTGATTAATCTTTTGTTTAAATTTTAATTTTTATTAATGAATCTGAAAAGCCTATGCTGCATTTGGTCCTTCTTAAATGATTCAAAATGCTAAGAGATGGTTAAGAGCTGGTCCTCGTTATCACAATTACTTTAGACCTGACTAATCAAAGGTTTTGATTGTGACATAAGATGGCCTTTGCCCTGGTTTGAATGTCGTCATTAGAGAAATTGTTATGCACTTAAATTACAACTATTAGGTAATTAGTTAATTAACTAAATATAAAAACCGTTTTCTTTATTCTTACTAATTTAATTACCTGCATAAAAAAGGTTGAATAAATCTATGGAGCCAAATTTGGTTGGAAAGGTATTTACGAGGAAGACTGGGTTCAATTAATTCCCAGCTAAATTAAAACTATCCATCACAGAGGTGGTACCTTCATAGGAACTTCAAGAACTGGTTTTGATAGAGATAAAATTATTGAAACACTTATCAAGCACAATTTTAATTAGCTCTATGTCATCTGCGGAAACAGTATAAAACTCTTTTTAAATAATTTATATATAATAATGAAATAAAATTTAAATTTCGTTCTAAACTTATTTTAAAATGAAATTCTAAACTTATTTTAAAATGAAAAGAATCCATGGGTCAAGTTCTTGAACTTTATTATGAAATCAGAAGAAGAAAACTCAATATTGGTGTTTGTAACATTCCAAGAAGCGTCGATAATGATATTCCTATTATCGATGAATCATTTGGTTATTAATCTTGTGTTGAAGTAAAAAAATTATTTTAAATTATTAATTTAATTTATTTAAATTTTGTTTTATGCTATTTGCAGGAAGCTTAAAGAGTAATTGATAGTGCTTGGGTCGAATCTCGTTCCCATAGAAATGGTGTTGGTATTATTAGAGTTATGGGATAAAAGAGTGGATTTATTGCTATGGGTGCTTGTCTTGCATCTCGTTGTGTAAATGTATGTTTGATCCCTGAATTTAATTACGATCTATATGGAAAGAGTGGTGTCCTTGACTATATCAAATAGAGAATTATTAAGAAGGGTCATTGTATAGTTGTTGTTTCTGAAGGAGCCAGTAATTAATTATACACAATTCTATAATAGTTTAACTTAATTTTTTTAAAAATATAGACAGCTCATTTGCTGATGCTGATGATGTTCCTGGTGATGTTGGTAAATTCTTATAAGATGAAATTCAAAAGTTTTGTGCTTAAGACAATACTGAAGTTACTGTAAAATATTTTGATCCTTTATATATGCTTCGTGCTGTTAGAGCTAATGCTTATGACACCAAATAGTGCAGGTAAATAAATAAATATTCTATAAAGCTGTATTGTTTAATTTATTTTATAAATAAAGTACTCTTGCTTAAAACGCAGTACATGGTTTAATGGCAGGTTTCACTGGGTTTTCTATTGGTCACGTCCATAACAAGGTAAAATGAATTATTTATTAGAATTTGTATAATTTAACAACTATTTTTAAAAAAAGACTTGTTTCATACCTCTTGAAGAAATGCTTAGTGGAAATTATAGAAATAGAATAGTAGCAAGTAACAAAAACTGGTAGAGATTACTAGCTTCTACTGGTTAGCCATCCTTCATCAATGAAGAAGAATTAAAGAAAATAATTGGAACTAGCAAATAAGAATGAGAATTAAAATAATAAATTGAATAATTATAATATTTTAAAAGTTTTCTACTTTGAATACAAAAAGTAGTTTGTGTAGATTTTAAGAAATATTTTCTTTAAAAATGAAGTTTTCGAAATAAAAAATAAAAATTTTATTTTCAAATTTTTTTAGCAACTTTTTTTATGAAAAAAATAAAAATTGGAATTAAATCTACTTTATCTTGAATTTTTATTCATTGGTTTAATTTATTAAAATAAATTTAAGACAAAAAATATAGTCTACTAGAACTATTTTTTAATTTTAAGTAGGTCTTATAGTATTTTGCTTATTTTGACTATTTTTTAATATTAAAGTATTTATAATACCTCATATTGTACTCAAAAATCAGTAATTGTGATAGCTGCATTTTATTATTATGCAATAAAATTTCCAGATATTATTATTAGTAATGCGTAGAGCTTTATTTGCATACAATGAATATTAGTGTGGTTTTTTGCATCACTAATTAAATAAATTATATTTGAGACAACACAAGATATGTATGAGTAATAGATAAGAGTAAAAAATTAGTTCAATCATTCAATTAATAACAATACTTATTAGTATAAGAAGACGAATAATTAATTAATAAATTAATTAACATGAATTATTTCTAAATAAAAGTGTGATCGGACTTCTATTATTAACTAAATCTTTAATTAGATACATACATACTGCTTTTAATAAAATAAACTTAGAAAAAAAAGCAATCAAAAACAAAAATAAATTAAAATCTACTTTCAAATCAAGCAAGCATAAATGGGTATTTAAATTATTATTTATTTTTGAATACTGATCAATAGCTTTTATAGCCAAAATAACCATTTATCTAGATTATCTTAGGATTTTATTTAACCTTATTTTATAGATTTAAAGCAAGGTATTGTTCTAACTGGTAGCATATCATTTGGTGTTATTGGTAGTATAGTAGCAAATTTGGTTTACAAAAATATTGAAAAGAAGAAAAAGAAAGATCAAGTTGAATATGATGGTTTCTTAGCAGAATAAGAAGATGTGATTGAAGAAGAAATAGACTTCAAATACAGAGTTTCATCAAGAAAAAAAACTGCTACAATTCATACTGACCCTGAAAATCTTAATAGTAAATTAAAATAAATTTTCAATTCTATTTTAGTTTTATAATTTGAATGCTAGTAAGCTGAAAGCATAATATACAAAACAAACTAAATATACTGCAAAATCACTTTAGAACTAAAGAAAATAAAATAATATTTTGAACTGAAATATTTTTAAAAGAAAGCATGTGCATTTTTTTTATAAGCGTTAAATAAAATTTCTTACAGCTTATATTTTTAAATAGCTTTTTTGTAATTCTAAAAAATAATAAATATAAAAATCGTTTTTAATTAATTAATGATTTAGTTTATTTGTTAATTTATTTATTTATTAAACAAATTTAATTAATTAGCTTTATATTTAAAATAAATATTATAAAGTTGACAGGTAAAGACTCAAAGTAAGTGCTAAGATTCACATTGATAATCATTTAATTGAAGAACTTAGATTCCTTGATTCTCCTATATGTGAAATAGAAAGAGTCCATAATCTTATTATTGATAGAGTATGATAAAAATGAATGAATAGGTTTAATTTGGTAACTTATTTTATTAATATAAAAAGGGTTTGACTTAGATTGATGATATAGTAACTAAAAAAGCAGAATCTATGCCTAAAGGAGCATTTATTTTCACAAATACCTTTATCCTTAGTAAATATATTTGAAATAGAAAGTATTTTACTATAATTAAGTTAAAAATTAATAAAAAAATAAAAGATAAGGTTGAATACGGCCCAACTTGCATGATTTAGTCAGCTAAAAGATGGCTCAGAGCTGGTCCTAGATATCATTTATATTTTTAACCTTAGGAAGTAAAAGCATTAGTCCTTTCAGTAGGTAGTATAGTTCCAGGAATCAATGTAGTTATTAGGGAAATAGTGCGTGCTCTTAATAATAATTATGGGGCAAATTAGGTTTTTGGTGCAAGATTTGGCTATAAAGGAGTGATTGAGGAAAACTTCATAGATTTGAGTAAAAACTTAGCTGAAAATGTTCATTCCACTGGAGGATCCTTTTTAGGAGTCTGTAGAGGTGGATTCAATTTGCATTTAATTCTAAAAGTTTTGATTAAGCATGGATTTAACTAATTGTATATCATCGGTGGAGATGGAGCTATGAGAAGTGCATAAGCACTTTTAATTGAAATATCTAAAAAAAAGCATAATATTGCTATATGTGTAATTCCTAAAAGTGTCTAAGGTGATATCCCTATTGCTGAAGAATAAATGGGTTTTTAAACAACCATTGAAGTAAAACATTTAAAGTATAATTAAATATTCTAAAAAATTTATTTTCATTTTTAGGAAACTGCAAAGGCTGTTGAAGCAGGATTTGTGGAAAGCTAATCTCATGAATACGGTATTGGTCTAATCAGATGCTTTGGTAGAAATGCTGGGTTTGTTGCAAGTCATGTTGCTGAAGCCACTGGTTGTGTTGATGTTGTACTTGTGCCTGAGTTTTAATGGGATCTCTATGGAGAAAAGGGTGTTTTGGAATACATTAGAAGCCAAATTAAAATTAAAAAGCATCTTATCATTATTGTTAGTGAGGGTTCAGGTAAAAATTATATTTCATTGTGTTGTAAAAATAAAATTATTGGTTACTGATAAATTAGTTAATAGCTTAAGAGATGTCCACTTACCTGAATTAGGAGAAGATGAATCAGGAAATAAAATTTACATAAATATTGGTGAATTCTTAAAAGATAAAATCATCCAATATTGTGAGGATAAAAAGTAACCAATAATCATCAAATTTATTGACCCTCTCTACATAACTAGGGCATGTAGAGCTAATCCACATGACACCAAGGTTTGCAGGTATAAAAATTTTTTGAGAATTGATTTTTTTTAAAAGAATTAAATAAATTAATAGCTAAATGGCTTAAAATGCAGTTCATGGATGTATGGCAGGATTTACTGGATTTGCTGTAGTCATTGTGCATCATAAAGTAAATAAAATTTATAAAATAAATCATATTTAATGATAAAATTTAAATTTTTTAATAGACAGCTTTCGTTCCATTATCAGAAATGGTATCAGGAAATTATGAAAATAAATTGGTCCCTCATAACAGACATTGGTAGAGAGTTTTATCATAAACCTTATAACCTTCTTTCATAAATAATGAAGAAGAGCACCTTAAATAATAAGAATAAGAGAACAAAGCTTTGTGAAGTTTATTTTTAAAAATAAGTATTTTAAAATAAAATTATAATTTGTTTGTTTAATTCAAATTTATCTTTACATTTTTGTAAAAAATAAGTTTTAAATAAATTAATTATAAAAATACTATTTCTTTTTCTTTAAATTATACATTAAATAACAAAAATTATTGCTAGATATGCATTTTCCTTTCTTTGATTCATAGATCAATAATAAAATAAACAATTAAAAATGATAAGTTGCTAAACAATGAAACTTTTTTATTTATATATTAAATAAATTATTTTTATTGGCTAATTCAAAATTTTTAATAAATAGTTGTCTATTAAAATTAATATGGAAATAAAAATTAAAAAAATCAGCATACAAAAATATACACTTTGCTTTTAATTATAAATATAATACATAAAACTAATTAATTATTCTGATTAATCATGAAAGTTCTTAAATATATTTATTCAAAAATTTTTCAAACTCTTCTAAAGATGAATATGTTTAAATTTCATTAATAATGTCTATTGATTCCTGAGTTATTATTTTATTCAATTTATTTAAATATTCTTAATATTGCTTTTATTGAGAGTTTTCTTTGCATTTAAAGTTCACTTTTACAATCTTTTAGCCTCTATCTTAGTTAAATGTAATTTCAAGTGTTGAATAAAATTCTTTTGCCTACTATATTGTTATTTACAACAATTTTTTCAAGTAATCCACTGATTCTTCTTAAAAATATTTTTCTTAATCTAATAAAAACAAAGAGAAACTTAGTACCATAAATTTTTCTTTGTCATATAGAGCCCATAATATTGAAAATAATTATTTATTTTCTATTAATTAATTTTATTTAAATTCTTTAATTTCGACAATCTTTTATTTAACTTAAGTAATTATATCTTTAATAAGTGGTGTTACTTTTTATATAAAAATATTTTATTCTTCCAATTCTTTTTGTTCATTTTAAAGCTTTTTTATTTAATCCTATATAATTACTATCTCTTTATTTTTTTAGTTTTGATATTATTCTTTAAATAATAATAGCTCATTTTACAAAATCTATTATTTTTACTTTAAATCAGTTTACTCTCCATTCATATTTTTAATGTTATTTTCTTCTTATAAAATATTTTCATCAAATTTATCAATTTCTTATTATATTTAACCCTAGCTTTTAACTTATAGTGAATATTATTGTTGTAATTCATTGATTTATTATTAAGCTTAGTTAAAATTAATAAGTTATTAGTTTGATTATTATTTTATATTATGATCTATTTTTTATTTTTGTATTTTAGACAACAAAATCTAAAAATCTTCAAGAAATGAAACATCAAATCCATTTTATTTAAATACATTCAAAAATTAATTAAAGAATACTGATTTAGAGAATTATTTATCAAAAATATTAATTTTAGTCTTATGTTTCTTAACAGAGAGACTTTATTACATTAGTGACAAGGCTTACTAAAAACCTGTATTCTTTGGTATTTCGTATTTTTAAGAATTACCTACCAAAATTATATTTAATTATAATTAATTAGTTTTATTATCGTTTGCTATAGTTTCTAAAGCTTTTGTTAAACTGGAAAGCAATTTAGGTAGATGAAATTTGTGCGTAAGGCTAATATTACTGAAGTTAAATCTATCCTCAGATTAATATTTATAAATTGAATAATCACTTTCATTCAAATTTTTTTGTAAAAATTCTTTTAATAAATTCTCCTAATGTTATTATTCACAAAATTCATCAATCAAAAGTATAACTTTACTTTTTTATTGTGATGCTTAGCCTATTATTTTATTTTATGAAATCTAAAACTGATTAATTAAATTTTAAATTTCTTATTAGTGTTTTTTTTAGATAGATTCATACATTTCTTTTTTCTATTCATAATTGTTAGTAGCCTCCTTTTTGATTAATAAAATATTATGTTAGTAAATATAAAATTTTTTTTCAAATAGAAAATTAATTCTTTAAAACAAATTTTTACAAATTAATTAATCCAAAGTTATTAACAACTAAAAATTTAAAATAATAAGAAATATTTTTAATACCTTTATTTGCGTAGTTATCTTATTTTACTCATTTTTAAGATTGGTAAGTTCTACTTCCAGATTTTATTTGAAGCTTTTTAATTTATCCAAAGACAATAAGAACATATTGATATTTTTTTCACATTCTTACATTTATTTTTTCACTTCATCTATTTCTTTATTTAATTTTATATATTTACTTTCTGTAAATAAATCTTATTCGATCTTATTTAATGTGCATTCTAATTATGTAGTTTATGTATTTATATCTTATTAATTTTAGTTTTTTTATTTTTCATTTGTTTATTAGGTAAAACTTAGTTGAGATTCATTTTTAATCATTTCTTCTAAGGATTATTATAATTATATTTAGAATTAGTGCATCTACATGTAAGATTGTTTTGTGAGGTTTATATTTTCTACAATAGTTTTTCTAGGAGCAGGTAATGTTGAAGGGCTGTAATGTTTTGTTTTTTTCTGTATTTATAGATGTTCTTATAAATTTTGTAGGATATTTCTGACACTAGGAACATAGCTATTGATATATTTCGAAGTTATATCTTCATCTCCTTTCATAAAATCTTTAATTTTTTATAAGCATAATATGATTGGATTTAATTGCTCTTTTAAATCTTTTTATTGATTTGATAGAAGCGTTTATTAAAGATATATAATATTCTTCATCATAGGTAAATATTTTTTTATATTATTAACTTTATATATTAATAGATTAAATAAATTAGAGTTTTAAAAGAATAATTTAATTAACTAATTAATTAGTAGCTACTTATTTACCTAATATTTGTTAGAATATTTAAATTTTAATTAATAAATTCTTTTATAATTCTATTACCAACTTTACTGATAATAAATATGATTTAAAATAAAAGTGTTTTATTTTAATTAAAGTTTTTCGACTATATTAAAATAAAATACTTTTATTTTTATTTGGTAGAATAATTTAAAATCGTTTTGAAGGGAAGAGGAGGTATGCTTTAAGTGACTGACTGTTGAATGGAAAGTGCTAAGTTTTATGGGAAAAAATTATAAGAATTTAAAATTAAAGAGTGATTTGCTATCTCTTTTTATATCCCTAAAGAAAAATAAACCGTAATTTGGAAAAAATGACGAATTAAAACGGAAATTAATAATATAGAAGTGCTTTATTTATTTATTTTATTTCTAAATGACGTTTAAAAAATTTATAAAAGATTAAATTCTATACCCAACTTTCATTTATAGATTGATTTGTTAGTAAAATAATATATTTAATATTTTATTATTTTATTTGCTTTTTTAAAGAGAAAAATTACTAAAATAATATTTATTCGATAAATGTATATTCCATTAGATAAATATAATAAACTAGAGAAGAAGAAAAACCTTTTATTTTTAATGTTTTTATTTGATAATCATTAAAAAAATAACAAAATATTAGAATTATTATAATAATTTCTTTTATTATAATGAATTACTTATTGATGACAAATTATGATGAATTTTTTTTCTTTTTTGCGTTTTAAGATAATAAAAGAGATTTAAATTGAAATTCGAAAATTTAAATGTTTTCAAAATAATAATATGTTTAAAATATAATTATTTTATTTGCTTTTTCTTATCGAAAAACAACTAATTTTATACTTATTAGGTAACTTCATACAAAATTAAGTAAAAATTATTAATTTTCTATTTAAAAATTTTTTGTTTTTCATACTATCTTTCAAAAATAATACTAATACCCTTCATTATAAATAAATGTTGTGAATATTTATTTATTAAGCCAATTTATGGTCTAACAAAAATAATTTTTTGTATAAAACAATTTTTCTATTCAAAAAACGAAATAAAAATTATTTCAATAAATTAAATCTTTATCAACTATAATGAATAGAATTAAAAATTACTCACTCCATTTAAGTTAATTATTTGATAAACATTAGAGTTTTAAATCATTTTTTCGAAATATTCTAATTACTTTTAAAAAAATACTCTTTGATTATTCGTTTTTATTTCAATCTAAGTTTTCGGAAAGTTTTAATTGAATTTTTCATAAATATACTGATTAGTATTAGAACTCAACTCTTTGATGATTTGTTTTTATTTAAATCTAAATTCGAAAATAAATTCATTTGTATATTAAAATAATAATATATTTAAAATATAATTATTTTATTTACTTTTTATATGGGAAAAATAATTAATTTTATATTTGTTAGCCACCTCAAAACAACAATAAGTAAAAATTATAAATTTTAAATTAAAAAATCTTTTGTTTTTAATGTTATCTTTCAAAAATTAATACAAACACTTTTACATAAATAAATGTTGTTAACAATTACTTATTAAGTAAATTTTTAATCTAGCAAACTGAATTTTTTGTATAAAATAATTGTATGATTAGAATATGTATGTAATCATAATTGTAAGAACATGATAAACATTTTTAATTTATCAACTAGATAATAAATACTCACTCATTTGTATATTTATTATTTGATAAACATCAAAGTTTTAAGTAAATTTATGTTTTTTATTCTAATTAGCTCTCAAATAATTTCTTTTTAATCATTTGATTTTAAATATTATGATTGCTCTCATAAATAATTATAATAAAATAAACAATAAAATAAAAAAACAAATAAATAAATAAATAAAAAGACATGAATTTCTAAAATCTATTGAAAAAATAGAACTAGTAGCTTGGAGAAATTTAAATAGGCTTTGATACTGAGGTGTAAAATTCTAACTAGGCTAATGATGTTTCAAATGCTCTGGAAGCAAAAATTTCTAATATGTAAATAAATAAAGAACTGCTTGGTTCAAAAGAATCTTTTAGTATATAATCAGAAAGCAGTATAAAATCTCAATTGGATACTACGGATCAATAAAAATAAGAAAATATTTTAGATAATTAATATAATAATTTGGCCTTAATTTAACAAGACTCTGATAACAAATAAATTATAGTCAATCAAAATTAAGAGGATGAAGAAAACTAAGAATAAGTTAGTTTAGATAAATAAAAATAAGAGCGCTCCTTGTCTATATAGATAAACCATTCAATTAGTGAAATGAAAAACTATTCTTCATAGTTCATAAAAGAATACAAATACATAAGTTAAATTTAATAATATTAACCAAATATTATTGAGGAAAACAAAAAAGATTAATACACAATATCTGTAACTAATTTCAATAAATTACTTCATCAATTCTAATGCTGGCCACATTTAATAAGAGGTTTACAACATTCAGTAATTTTATCAAATTTTTATTTTAAAACTAGTGTTAATTTTTATTTTTCAATAAAATATAGTTTGAAATATTGTCAAAAAAATTTGTAAGACTATAAGTCTAAATTGCTTAAAGAATTGAAGATCATTTCAAAATCACCTATACACTTAAAGATGAAGATCTTGGTTGTCTTTTAAAAAATAATAAAAATTTATGTGATGAGTTAGAACAGCTAAAATAATAGTTTTTAAATGAAAAATCAATTTAGGAGAGTAGTATTAATGAGTGCATTTCAAATCTAACACAGTAATTTAATGATATATATGGCACAGCATTAACTGAGAATTAAAGAGAAGATATTTTAAAAGCTAAAAGTGAATTAAATAACTTGTATTTAGAAAGAGATTAAAAATTGATGGAACTTACATAAAATTTTCAATAAACTGTGTGTAATTTTAACCTTTTATCAAATGAAGAATAATTTAAAAACCTTGAAATCTAAGAAATAATAAAAGAAATTTCTAAACTTAATCGATAAGAATAAAAAATTTTAACAGACGCTTAATGTTCATATGAAGAATTTAAATAGCGCCGAGATGAAAAAATCAAAGATATTTCTCTATAAATTTAAGGTTATTAAAAGTAAATTTAGGATTTACAGACCGAAAAGGAAAAGAAAGAAGAAAACAATCTAAAAAAATTAGAAAAAGATTTAAATTAAATTAAAGTCTGCCATTCAACCATTTAAAAAATATTTATGTAATCTAATAAAGATTGTTTTCATTACATAATTTTACTTGATTAAAGTAGCAGCTTCTAAAATGCCTATTAATCTGCAAAGAATGGAATCTTATAATTTACTAAAAATTTACAATAAAATGACGTTTTAACTATAGTAAGCTTTGCAAGCAGTTCTAGAATAATAGTTTAAAAGTAGAAAGTATCTTAAATTAATTTAAATTCATTAGAAGCAAACTTAAGAAATATGCTCTGTGGTGGAACATGCTTCATCTCAGCTTTTGAATCTTTAAAGTAGATCATCTAAAATCAATTAAATACAAATGAATATCCTATAATTTTATTTGTTACTGATGGCTAAGATAGTTCAAATCTTTCTAATACAATTTTAGATGTTAGAAATTAGGTAGAAGATTTAATATTTTTTACTGTAGGGTATGGTTATCAAATCAACCAAAAGTAGCTTCATTTAATTACAAATTTATTTAATAGAACGGATAACCTTACTAAAAATATTAATAATAATAAAACAATTAAACTATATTACGAAAATTAAACTCCCGATAAGCTTTAATAAGATATCATAAAAATATCTTAAAATAAACTTAGTATTGAAGAGATATAAGAGGCTGCAGATTTCTTAGAGAAAAGTTTTAATAAGTAAAATTAATTATCTGAAGATTACTACACATCGAAAATTTAAGGATTAGAAAAAAGAATCCAAGAATGTGTTAATTAAGAAAAATAATTAATGGATAATCAAAAAAATATATAACACTTTAGAGATTAAAGTAAACAATAATTAGAATAAATATAATAACAAATTTAATCATTGAAAAATTAGAAATTCGCACATGAAAATAGAATTTAAAAAATAAAATCAGAGAAACTAGCTCTTGATAAAAATTTCTAAAATAAAATCATCAGTAATTAGACCAATCTTTAATCTAATATGAAATAAGAAAATTATGAAGCACTGTATGAATATTAAATAAAACAAATTAATTAAGAGGCTGATTCTTTAATTAAAAAAACAGAGGATAAAATGTAAGCTATAAGAAAAGAAGAAGATATGTCTGTGGAGAAAAATAGAAAACGAATTATAGAGCTAGGTTTTTAAAATATTTAATAATTTTATAAATTTAGAGAACTCTATGAAAATATAGGATCTATTTAATAGTCAGCTTCAAATATAAAATAAAAGTACATTATTATGTTGGATGCTATGATTGATATTGGTCAAATGCTTGAATAAAATATTAATTGTTCTAAAAAAAATATTGAAAATATGAATAAAAATGATACTGAAAATAGAATTTTGTAATATTTTTAAAAATTTGATAAAGATATATGCTTATAGGATAAATCAGAGGCTAAAAGAAAAGTTTTACTAATATAAAATTCCTCTATTTACAATATATGCTAGTAATAAAAAAAGGAAAGTCTATATGAAAACTGTATAAACAATTTAGAGTTTTCAGATCTTTTCAAGTTAGTAGACCAGGATGAGAAAAGCTAAGAAAAATATATTATTAAAGAAATTGTTCCAAATATAATTAAGCAACCTAAATAATAAATTTCAAATTAACTTTAAATTTAAAAATATAATACCAAAATTAATGAAATTAAAATGAAAATCGAAGAATAAACAGATAATAATAAAATTCAACTTTTAACATAAACCTTAGAATAATATGAGGAATAATTAGATTTGTTAAAAGATAAAGAACAAGATTTGATAGCAGATTACTAAGACAGAAACTACGATGATATTAAAATTGTTAAGTAGATCACATACTCTTTTATCGAAGCAATCAAATGTGCCTCAATAGAATTAAAGTATCAGTTTGCTGTTTTACCTTATAGGCATTACATGAATAATATTTATAACTGCTATTATACTCTTAAAATTTATGAAAACCCAAAATTATTAGATAATTATGTTCAATCAGAAACATTTGAAACCAAGTAAAGATAACTCGAAAACAATCCGAAATGATATTCATGTAAAGAGGGTGAAATTCTTTTTGCTCACAAAATTTGAAAAAAATTGCTCAAAATTTTTTCAAATCTTCACTTGAACTTGTCAAGTTTATTCTGGTTTCCAGCCTTCCTGAATTACCTATAACTAAAGGATATTAAACTGAGTAATTTTGTTTTCTATGTTCTAACTGCATTTATTTTTTTTATATTTTAGCCATTTTTAAATAAATTCAATAAAATCAAAATACTATCAAAGAGAAACAAAATATTTTATTAAGTATTAACATTTTTTTTTATAAATAAGTTTTAATTTTCTTAAAAAAAAATAGATAGCTAGCTATTTTTATTCATTTTTTAAAAATAATTTTTAGTATTTTATATTAAATTAAATTTTCTATTATAATTTTGGAAATACATTAATTAATCAATATTGTTTTTTATCACACAATATTAATATAGTTTTCTTTGAAGTAGTATACTTAAATTATCAATAAATTTAAAATAAACTTAATTTTGCATTTAATTAATTAATATTATTACAAATCCACAATTAAGAAAACTTAAAATGCAAATTAAAATTAAAATTTTATTGATTTTCTTTCTATTTTTAATTCTACTTCTATATATTCACCAGATAGATCATGATTTTGGGTAAATTTTAGTGATCACATTAAATACCTAAAATATATGATAAATTTTATTTTATAGTTTTTAATTATTTCATTGATCAACAAAGGTTAATTGCACATTAAAAATCATATTCTTCTTATATAATATTCTTAATTTATTAATTTGGATCAAACAAATTTTTGTAATTTTATTTTGTTAAGTTTCTTAATTTTTATATGAACTAAATATGTTTGTAGTCTAAAAGAAAAATAAAACTTATACATATACTAAAATTTGAAGATATTTATTTTAAAAATGCTTTATTTATCAACCTTGTAAATATTTAATAAAACATTTTTTAATACGCTTTACTTTATTTACTAACTAAAATTATACTTAATTACCTCTTGCTTGAAAAGATTTATTATCACAAATAACTAGAATTTACAAATATTTAACAATTAATAATAATCTATTAGTTAAGTTTATAAGAATTGCTTTAAATAAATCTTTAGGAGAATTATGTCATCTATACCATACAGTAAAAAACTCTATATATGTTTTTTAATCAAGGTGTTTAGTCTTTGAAGCAATCAATCATTAAGAAGGGTTTTGGTTGAAGACAAAAGTATATAATAAGAAAGCTATCACTATGCCAACTACAACTAAACCTACTAATGTTTGACTACCAGATCCTTCAACATCTAATTAACCTGGTAATGGAGTAGATCCGTCAGCAATTTTTCCAATTGCGAAAGTTTATAACTTCTTTTGGGCGGATTCAGAATGAGCAGCTTCTTAAAACTTTTTAGTTGCATCCTTACCACCTCTATTAGTAATCACAATAGGGCCACCAGGATGGTCATTTAAATAAGAGGTAGCGTTATAAACTATATTGTTAACAACAATCCAACAATCTTCTTCAGTGTTGTGTTGGGCTACTTCAGACCATTCGATTTGCTTATCAGTTGACATTTTTATTGAATTACCTACTTAAATTTTTGATTTTTGTGAATTTAATTTATCTTATTAAATTTTGTAATTTTTTTTAATTTTTGGTGTCAATTTTTGATAATATGAATGATGCTATTTATTTTATACCTCATAGATTCCTAAATGATAGCACAAATTTAATTTACTTAAGTAATAACTTCTTTTAATTTAAAAAGTAAAACTTTGTTAGATATTGCATTGTAAATGACGCAACAAATTTCTTTGAATTTTCTTAACTTAATTTATCTAAGTATGAATTCTTTCTAAGATAAGCTTTCGTGTGATAGCTATTTAATTATTAACTCAACCAACTATCTATTACTCTTAATTTGCTTACACTCAGTTATTTTTTATCAAATAGTATTAAGATATTTATCTCAAATTAAATATGATCTTTAAAATTGATAAAATAAGTTTAAATATCAAAAATATAATAGCAAAATTTTTATTTTACAATAAAATATTATCATTAAAATTTATTATTTCAATTAATTTTAACTAGAATACAAACGCTAATATATTAGTTTAACTTAAATAATCTACACTCTAATTTTTCACAATTTAAATATTATATTAATATTAAATAAAATTGAGTATCTCCATATTATTTTTACTTTTTAAAAAATGCATTATTTAAGTTTGAATTTTCAAATATATTAAAGATATTCATTAATAAATTTGTATTTAGTTTTAATCTGTTTATTATTTTTTTATTATTTATTTGTATTTTTTTATCTTAGTTTTTCAGTTAGAGTTTTATTCTTTTTTTATTTTTCTTCTTTTATTTTGTTTTATTTAATTTTAATTTTAAATTTAAATTTTATTTGAATTTTAATTTTTTTCTTTCTATGTTATTTGATTTTAAAAGCTCAAGGTCTCTCAATGCTCTACTACTGCTCATCAATTCAAAGGTACCTACAGGAAAGAGTGCTTTGTGTAATACTTTTTTTAGAGAGCTTAATAATTACTTTTTTGCTCTTTTTTCACGCTCGATTCCGGGCTTAAAAACTTGGCCGAAAGAAAGGACTTTGTGAAAAATATAGTTCTCTTTATTGATTAAAAACTTAAGAAGCTATCTTTTCCACAAAGTGTTTGGCTCTTTGCCTCGCATAGGAAAATAAAGAATGCGTTTAAGGCAATTTACTGTAAGTTTACAGTTATTGATTTTTCAATCATCGATTCGATTCCGCGGGATGGGTTTCCATGGAGTTACAAATATATATTTAATAAATAATTAAGCTAAAAGTTAAAAAATCTTACGCTTTTGACTTACTTTAGCAAAAATTGATGGGAAGTTAGGGGTTTTTGTAGAGGGTTTATAGTTTACCTATTAATTTTCTAAAAATGGTTAATATAAAATATTTGTTTAATAAAATAATTTTGTTTATTATTCAAAAATGAAAGCCTTTTATTTGTTAAATGAAAGACTTCCCTTTTTGGTTAGCTTTTTATTAATTTATTTTCTTAAAAAACAATTTCAAATTTGAAAATAATTAAAAAATTTGATAATACAAAAAATAATCTTTTTTCAATTTGCTTATAATTATTCATTTTTTATTTTTTGAATATAAATTTTCAAAACTCTTTCAATATCTAAATAATAGCTTCATATTAAATTCCAATACATTTTTAATTAACTTTTTCCATTTTATTACCAAAGTATATTTTAAATATTTGAATACTGATTGTAACTTGAATTTAATTAAATGCATATAATTTAAACAATTATTATTTTTTTTTGTCTCTTATGTAATATAAAAATAATTTTAAACGTATTTTGAAAGAAAAAAATATTTTTTTATTTGATTTAAAATTTATTTATTTTAAATATTTCGTTTTGGCGGTTTGTTTTTAATAATCATACAAATTAATATATATAATTAACTTTGTATGATATCTAAATCAAGAGCGATTTGCCTAATTTTGATAAATCAGGGGGAAATTTTATTTTTAATTTTTTTTGCTTTTCTTGAATTAATTAAGTTAAAATCTTTATAATTAATAAATAAGAAAAAAATACAAACCAAAAAAAAGAAAAGAAAACAATTAAATTTAAAAATAAAACAAAAATGAACTTATTTAAAGCATACTATATGTTTTTTAATAAAAGAAAAGCCCTATATTACTTATAAATAATAAGTTTTTAAATCAAAGAAGAATTTGTTTACCAGTAGCATTTCTTCTTATTCATAGATTTTACTAATTTGATAATGGCCAAGTATAAAATTCATATCAATTAGTAAAGTTATGAATATCCATCCATCAAACGAAATAAATTTTTTAAATGAAAATAAGTAATATAGAAACTAAAATAAAAGATATCGAAAATAATTATATTTATTTTCGGTTGATTTTTCAAAATTCTATTTGTAATTGTATGACAGAAATAAGTTCTCTTTTTTACCAGTTTTTTACCCCTAGAAAATCAGATCAAGAAGATCAAGAGACAGATCACAGAAGAGAGCATTTAAGAGAAGGGAAACAATTGAGCGATTGAGACATTTGAGAAGCTGAGATAATAAAAAGAACAAAAAGAAAAAAAGAAAGAAAAATTAAAAAATTTAAATAAAGTTAAGCAATAAAAAATATTTAAAATAAAAAAATAAAAATAAATAAAGAGGAAAAAATAAATAGAACAAAAATAATAAATAATACCAAATAACATCACAAATAAAAAAAAGCAAAATAAAAAAGTAAATTAAATAAAATAAAAGATTAAATTAAATTAAAACACGTATTTACTTTTGCGCTATTTTACAAAATAAAATTTGTTTAGATTTAGCTAGCTAATATTTTTTATTTGCAAGTTATATAAATCATTTAATATTTGCTTATCTAAATTTAAATTTTTTATTAATAAAAAGATTTTTTAAAAATAATTTTAATTTGAAGAATAAATTAAACAAAAAGATCATAAATGTACTCTAAAATAATGATAATTAATATTTAATATAAATATTTACAATTAGAAATTTATTAATTATGGTTAAATTTCATCTTATTTATCAAAATTGTTTATTGCGTGGAGAATTTTGATTTAATTAAGAAGGATTATACTAACTTTTTAATTTTGAAGCATTAGTAAATCTTTTGGGACTATTATTTTTTGAGCTATTTCTAGATTTTGATATTTTAATATTTGGGGTCTTTGATCTTACAGGAATTACTATTTTTTAATCATTAGTTTATTAGGCTTTTACTTCTTGCTATTAATTGCATATTGTTTTTGGTAAATTTTAAGATACATAGTTAAATAATTAATCTTAAGGTTCTAAATGTTATATCTGCTATCCATGGGGAGTGTTAGAACAAAAGGTGTTTTAAAGTACTTAAGGTAATTACATTTGTTATTATTATCTACTTGGATGATTATATGATTTTCTTCTCTTCTTTGAATTAGAAGAAGAAGGATGCTATATTTGAACTGTGTTAGTAGGATATTAATTATTATCCTATTATGGATTAATATTAAAATTATTATTTTCTTATAAATTGTATGACTTGTTTTGCTTATCTACATATTTTGGGGTTTTTTAGAATCCGTTTTAAGTTTAATTCAAATTACTAGGAGATATTGCTCTTCCTGTAACACTGCTATGCTATTTATTACGTTTATAAAAATTGAAATTTGTATGGTTTTTATTAAATTCTTAAATTTCTTTGACTTTTTCTTTAAACTGATCTCTTAAATACTTTAAATGCAGTTCACTTTAATCAACTCCGTATGCGTTTTTAATCATTTTAGGACTATTATGAAATACAAAACTTTTTCTTCTTACTTATCTAGTTGAATTTAAAATTTTTTATATATTAGATGGTGTAGCATAAACTTGCATCTAGCTGCCACGGTTACTTAATAAAAATTTATTTGCATCAACACGAATACTGCCATCAGGCTGGATATTTTATTCTATGTTTTCATATTCTTAAATCATATCAACTTATTCATTTTAACTTAAATTCAGATTTTTCTTCTTGAGTTTTCTTTTCTTTCTATAAACTAAATTGTTATTGTTGTTACTACTACTTAAACTTTTTATTTCTTCTATATTATCATGCTAATTATTTTATCCTAAATGATACTACAATAGACTATTCGGGTTGGAGCTTCTAGGAGATTAATTTTCATTTTAATAACTGATTGTTGTTTCAGATTCAAATTAATATCTCTAAGATATTATTTAATCTTATTAAGTTGATGCTGCTGTACTAATTTTATTGTTGTGATTCTAGTAATTTGGAAGCTGCAACTGCTTATAAACTTTTGGTTCATAAGCATTTATTTTATGAACTTTTGCTAACGTATTCTTAAAATCAAATTCATCTACTCTATATTAAGATTTCTCCTATTTTCTATCTGGTGATTATGATTGTCTAAGGGCTTATCTTGAATAAATTTCTCCTTGCTTGGTTTGATATGAAGTTATTGTTTAATTTTTAGAGTTTTCTGTAAATTTTTAATTATTAACAGAAGATTATTCATAGTCAATTGAAGACTGCTAATTTTCCAATTCACTTCTGTTATTCATATATTAGTCAATATAAACTTTAGTTTTTAAAAGATCGTTCTTTTTTACTTTTTAACTAGAATTTGTTTCCATAAAAAGTTTGTTAATTTCCTGGTTTGTCAATGGTTTTTCAACATTTTTTGATCTTTCTTTAGATATTGAGTATTTACTCAAAGAATCAAATGAGCCTATTTAGTTAGATTAGCTAATATGTTTACTTTAAACTGGACTTTCAAAATCATCGTTGTACGATCCATTGAAATGTTACAGTGTTAAGTCGCCATCTTCTTTGAAGTATCTTTTCTTTTTCTTTTTTGAATTTTGTTAATTTGTAATACTAGAATTGCTACCTGCTATCCTTGAAGATTAAATATCTAAAGTATGAGAGATTTATTGATTATCATACATTTAAATTGTTCTAGCTTTAGCAGTATGGCTATTTTACTGCTTTATAGGTTCCTCCATCTATCTCTTTATTATCTGTGAATAAATTCAAACAAATCGAACAATCTAAAAGTGTATTTCTAAATGTAAAAATGAATTTCAATATAAATGTGTCGTTATTCTTATAAAAAATTAAAATTTTTAGAAGTATTCAATTATGATTAAATTAACAATCTTAAAAGTCTTTGATATTTGATTTAAAATTTGTTTTGCTTAAAATTAATGGAAGTAATTGAATGTAATTAATTATCAGTTATTAAGCTAAATTGTTAAATACTTTAAAGTAATATTAATTTACATATATTTGTTAAATAAACAAAGAATGCCTTCATTATTTTTAACATTTCTAAAAAATATTAAAGCAAATTTAATAATCAAATAGTATCCTAAAATCTGCAAAAAATTAAATATCTTTTATATTAAATCTAATTGATATATTATTGTAATTATAAATTTTTAGATATGTAGGAAGCATAACAAGACTTGCCTTAATGGTTAAAGGCATTAAAAAGATCAATTATCAATAATAGATAGCTTTAGTTTTCTAATATGTCTCAAATCGCTTATGTATTTAATGGAGAAGCCGGCATAGATAATATTACTTTTGATTCTTATGAGAAAGTAATTAGTGATAATCCATTACAAGAATATTCCCTCATTTACACAATTGATTCTAGAAAAAATACTTTTAATGAAATGAAAAACAATAAAGTTGTTGAACTTTGTTGGTATTTCCCATTGACTAAAGAATAATATAAAATAAAATGCCATTTCTCTTTTATTGCTTTATAATAAACATAAATAAATGATATATAAATAACAGAAGAAATCTTAATTGAATAATTACCCTAAAATTAAAGAGAATTATTAGAAAATGCATGGAATAAAGTTGATAAAGAGGCAAAAAAATTGTATCAATCACCTCATCCAGATACCTGCAAACCTAACTAAGAACCTTTAGATGATTTAGAGCGTTTTAATACTCCCGAAAAAAATAAAATATCTAATAATTTTGCTCTATTAGTGCTTACTCCTTTCAGAAGTAAAATATTTATTAAAATTATTTTTTAAATTAATAAATTTTATTTGCATAAATATTAAGTGGAACATACTTCATTTGCTATGCCTTAAGTTGTTGCTGATGGTCGTAAAGAATTCGAATCTATATTTAAACCCTACAAAAAACACTCAAAATATTTATATGTAATTGAGAATAATCAATGGAAAGTTCATACTCTTAATCCTTGATAGAATATTTTTTTTAATGCCAAAAAAGGAAAAATATTAAATAAATTGCACTGTCTTTAATATATAAATTATCCTTCCAAAATATAATTATATAATTAGAATAAATATTATTTTTTTTATAAATTCATCATTTGTATCTTTATTTAAGCAAAAAAAAAAATTGTAAATCCTTTTAATTTATTATAATTTATTTCTATTTTTTTAATCTGCTTTTAATTATAAACAAAAACTGTGTCTACTAACCAACTAGTTACTCTAATTAGAATTTAAATTATACAATTTTAATAATTATCGTTTTAAGGGCGCTGGCTCCGGTGAGCAGTTATGATCTCCAAAATGATACTTATTGGTTCGACTCCAGTAGTGCCCCCCATTTTTAGTTTTTAAATATGTTTTTATATTTAATACTTGAAATAAAATAAATTTTTAAAATAACACTAAATTAGTTGATATAAATATAATATATATGACTAAATGAATGATAGTAAAATTTTATTTAAAAAATAAAATAAATTATTCTTAAGTTTATTTAAAATATTTTTTAATAGTTAATCTTGCAATTTATTTAAAAACATAAAATAAAGAGTCTAATTAATTAATAGCTACTTTAGCTTAGATTTATATTATCAAGTTTGGTTAATTAATGTTTTCAGGGCGCTGGCTCCGGTGAGCAGTTATGATCTCCAAAATGATACTTATTGGTTCGACTCCAGTAGTGCCCCCCATTTTTAGTTTTTATATTTGATGTTCAAAATAAATTAATTTTTAACAGTTATGATCTCCAAAATGATACTTATTGGTTCGACTCCAGTAGTGCCCCCCATTTTTATTTTATTTTATTTGAGTAAAACAAAATTTAAATAATAAAACTATTTATTACTTAATACAAAATAAATCAATAAAGCACAATAATTTATTTAAAGATAAAAATCATATTTTAAGTTTAAAATAAACGATTAATCAAATTTAAATAAAATTATCCAACAAAAAATGATAATTATTATCTTATATTTATAATAAATTTTAATTAATATTTTTAAAGCATTGACTCTGGTGGGCAGTTATGAACTCCAAAATGATACTTATTATCTCAATTTAAGCAGTTTTGTAATTATATACATTACATGAAGTTAAAATAGATTTTTAGACACCTCCTCAATAAATTTATTATAAGAAATTTTTACATACAATAAATATTTAGAAATTATTTTCTAGCTTAGTATTTTAATTTTAAGATATTTTATTTTAAATAAATTCTCTCTCAGCTGATAGTTTCACTATGAATAAGGTTTATTTTTATGAGATAATTTTACATAAATATAAGCAAAGTAAAGTTTAAATGTAAAAATATATTTTACTATGATTATTCATTAAAAACATTATCAGAACTACTTTATTAAATTTTTGAATTTCTAATAAAAAAATTCGTATCGTATTGTATTGTATTTTACTTTATATTTTATTTAAAAATGATCAAAAATGTTATTTAATTAGCAATAAAAACATCATAATTTTTTTTAAAAGACATTCTTTGTAAAATTTTTATATTTTTCCTTCATAATTATTGATTTAATTCTAAGATACTTCTTTAATAAATAAATAATTTATTACTCTCAATTAATTAAAATGATAGATAAATGTTAATGAAATAATTTCTAGATTTTATTTTTCATTTGTTTAATAATTAAAGTCATCTACTTTAGCTTCTAAATCTATTATTAAATTTCAAAAATTATTTTAAAAAAAATATAAAAAGCATATTTTACTCTAAATTAAAGAAAATTAATATTAATACTATTCCTTTTATTGTAATTTAAAAAACAAATAAGTTTAATCTACATCATAATTTATGTTGAAAAAACAAAAGATATTATTTCTCATCAATTAAATATTTTGGAAAGTAATTAAAGTGTCTATAAGTTAAATAGAAGAATTAACTCTAATTAATATTCATAATTTGTAACAATAATCGTTTACAGGGCACGAGCTCCGGTGAGCATTAGCATCTCCAAAATGAAAATCTAATTGGTTCGACTCCAAAAGTGCCCCCCATTTTTTAAAAAATAAAAATAATTTTTTTTATTAACAAAATAGTTAAATGATAATTTTATTCATTTGGAAAATTATTTAATAGTCTAAAAAACTATAAAATTAATTTTTTAATAGATTTTTACACTTTTTTCAATAGTTAACTTCATTTTTTTCCATTTAAGTTTATTTATGACATTTTTTCTATAGCGTCTTAATTCAAAATAGCTACTTTACTAACACCTATAATTAATTTTACTTTAAAATATTACTTTCAGGGCGCGAGCTCCGGTGAGCATTAGCATCTCCAAAATGAAAATCTAATTGGTTCGACTCCAATAGTGCCCCCCATTTTTTAAAATGTAAAATAATTTTTCATTTATGATAATATCTAAAAAGTAACTTTTCAAAAAATAAATAACAATTTAAATATTTTTCATAATTTTCAAACATTTTATTCATCTGAAAAACTTTTTAATTATTCAAAAAATTATAAAATTTATTATTTAATAAATAAAATAATATCTTTTTACATTTATTTGAATAATTATCTTAGTTTATTTTTCTATTTAAGTTTATTGATGATATTTTTCTTATAGTGTCTTAATACAAAATAGCTACTTTAACTAACACCTATAATTAATTTTGTTTAGATTTATTACTTTAAGGGCGCGAGCTCCGGTGAGCGTTAGCATCTCCAAAATGAAAATCTAATTGGTTCGACTCCAATAGTGCCCCCCATTTTTTAAAATATAAAATAATTTTTCATTTATGATAATATATAAAAAATAACTTTTGAATGATAAATAAATAATTAAATATTTTTAAAATTGTTCAAACATTTTATTTATCAGAAGAATTATTTAATTATTCAAAAAATTATAAAATTTATTTTTTTAATAAATAGAATAATATATTTTTACATTTATTTGAATAATTAGCTTCATTTATTTTTCTAATTAAGTTTATTGATGATATCTTTTTTTAAAGTGTCTTAGTACAAAATAGCTACTTTAACTAACACCTATAATTAATTTTATTTAGATTTATTACTTTAAGGGCGCGAGCTCCGGTGAGCGTTAGCATCTCCAAAATGAAAATCTAATTGGTTCGACTCCAATAGTGCCCCCCATTTTTTAAAATATAAAATAATTTTTCATTTATGATAATATATAAAAAATAACTTTTGAAAAAGTAAATAAAGAGTTAAATTTTTTGATAATGTTCAATTATTTTATTCATCTGAAAAACTTTTTAATTATTCAAAAAATTATAAAATTTATTTTTTAATAAATAAAATAATATCTTTTTACATTTATTTGAATAATTATCTTAGTTTATTTTTCTATTTAAGTTTATTGATGATATTTTTTTTATAGTGTCTTAATACAAAATAGCTACTTTAACTAACACCTATAATTAATTTTGTTTAGATTTATTACTTTAAGGGCGCGAGCTCCGGTGAGCGTTAGCATCTCCAAAATGAAAATCTAATTGGTTCGACTCCAAAAGTGCCCCCCATTTTTTAAAATATGAAATTATTTTTTGATTTAGGATAATATTTAAAAAGTAACTTTTGAATTATAAATAAACAGTTTAATATTTTTCAAAATATTCAAACATTTTATTCATCTAAAAAACTATTGAATTATTCAAAAATTATAAAAGTTATTTTTTAATAAATAAAATAATATCTTTTTACATTAATTTGAATAATTAGCTTCGTTTATTTTTCTATTTAAGTTTATTGATAATATTTTTTTTATAGTGTCTTAATTCAAAATAGCTACTTTAACTAACACCTATAATTAATTTTGTTTAGATTTATTACTTTAAGGGCGCGAGCTCCGGTGAGCGTTAGCATCTCCAAAATGAAAATCTAATTGGTTCGACTCCAAAAGTGCCCCCCATTTTTTAAAATATGAAATTATTTTTTCATTTATGATAATATCTAAAATTAACTTTTGAATGATAAATAAATAGTTAAATATTTTAAATTGTTCAAACATTTTATTTATCAGAAGAATTATTTAATTATTCAAAAAATTATAAAATTTATTTTTTTAATAAATAAAATAATATATTTTTACATTTATTTGAATAATTAGCTTCATTTATTTTTCTAATTAAGTTTATTGATGATATCTTTTTTTAAAGTGTCTTAATACAAAATAGCTACTTTAACTAACACCTATAATTAATTTTATTTAGATTTATTACTTTAAGGGCGCGAGCTCCGGTGAGCGTTAGCATCTCCAAAATGAAAATCTAATTGGTTCGACTCCAAAAGTGCCCCCCATTTTTTAAAATATGAAATTATTTTTTCATTTTTAAGAGTATTTAAAATAATTTCTGATCCCTTAATAATAAAATATTTTTTAAAAAATTGAAACATTTGAACATTTTTTTTTTTGATAAATAGAAATGATATTACTTTACACTTTTAAAGTTCATAAATTAGTTACTTTAATAAAAACTTATATTTAATTTTACTTTGATATATATTACTTTTAGGGTGCAAGATCCTATGAGCTTTAGCATATCTGGTTAGACTCCAACATGCTCCCCATTTTTTGACAAAATAAATTAATTTAAAAAAAAATTTATTTAACTTTTAAAAAGATAAAAATGTATTAATTTATTTTTTGATTTAAAATCACATCTTATGCTTTTATGAATAATATTTTTTATTATTTGTTATAGAGAAAATAATAAAATTTAATAAAATAATTAATTTTAGATTCTCTAATTATTAAAATTAACAAAGAATTTCATTTAATTATTAAATTAAAACATCCAAATAAATTCATAAGTCAAATTATCTACATAAGAACTTAAAGTAATCTAAAAACCAATCTTAAAGCTATTGATGAAATTTATAAATTTTTGTTTTATTTTTAGTTTTAAAAGCATTTGAATTTAAATCTATTTAGCCATTTCCTGTTTAATTTAGCTAAAAATATACAAATTTAAAAAACAAAGATCTCAGCTTTAGCATCCTAAGTTTCAGTGAGCATAAGTGTCTCCCCAAAATCTATAATTACTCCAAATTTAAAAGCGGTTTATTTCCATTTTAGAATTAAAAATAATTTTTTAAGTTTAATAGAAATTGATAAACATTTTAAAATTTAGAATTACCTCATATTTATATTTTACTGTAATTTAAAATTAATTTGTGAAAACAAAAAGATTTATTCCAAAAATTAATTTATTTAAATTAATAAATCATATTCAATATAAAATAATTTATTAATAATTAAGAATAGAAATAATTCTTATAGAGAAGTCATTTTTTTAATTAATACAAATTATCTATAATAAAATGAAATCATTAAAATTAATATTTTAAAAACTAAATTTTAAAATTCTGTCTGTAAATATTTTATCATATTTTCATGAGTTTAGCTACAGATTAAGTTTAACTGATATTAAGTATATTTATATATATATATATTCACTTGTCTTTTAATTTATAATTTTTATTTATAATTATTATTTACATATTTATTTATATTTAAATTAATTAGATATAATGCTTATATAGATAGTTCAAACTCTTAAATTCTATTTTTATCTTGATCTGTTTGTAGAAGAGGATTACTTACTATTATGCAAGTTTTAATAAGTCTATTATATTTTAGATTTTTGTTCACGAGCTTTTTTATTTATGAAGCCAGAGTATCTTTCAAGTACATCTGTATATAAGTTTGAGTTATGTTTTGAAAATAAATATTAATTGTTATATAAATTATTAAAATTTGCATTTTATTTTTTTCCTACTGGCATATTTGACTATGACCTCTTTTCTTAGCAAACATTTTAAGGTTAATCTAAATTTAGAGATGTATTATTATACAATTTTTTGCTGCTCTAAGTTTATTAATATTAATTTGCTAGTACATTCTATGATTTTTCAAATAATATTTCGTCTACTAAAATTATAAATAAATAAGATTTAGAATATAAATAGATTATTTATAATTTAATATTAAGTAAATTTTTTATTTCTTAATTTAATATTAAAATATTATTTTTATTCTTTAAATTAAAAAAAAATATGAAAATTATTTAATAAATTTTTACTTTTTGATTATGGAATAGGAACCAAAGTACCACTTTTTTTGCAATATTTAAAAAATATCTCATTGTCTCCGATATCTATTATGTTTTTAATTTGACTCTTTAAATGCTCCTTCTCGTTGTCTGTATTATTATTTAAAGAGACCGAAGTTAAAGCTTAGAATTAGTTATTGACTTTTCTTAGTATCGTTGAATTTTGCAGATTATAGCTATTTACACTGCTAAAGATTTATTGTTTAGAAAAATTAAAGGGTGTACTTTAATTACCTCCAATACCATTGTTACTGTTTATGCTTTGTGATTGCATTGAATTTGATGCTTCACGATAATTATTTAATGACTCTTCTTCTTCTTAATCATTTTATGTTAAAAATCTTTTTTTAGGATTTAAATTACTATTTTGACTTTCGCAATAATCTCTATCAAATTCTTTGGGAGATTTTCTTTGATCTTCTAAGTCGATAATGTTTTAGTAAGTAATTAAAGTTTTTTTACAGATGTCTTAAGCTTCTAATAGCATTAACTCATTCATTTTACTGTTGACTTTTATATTTTGATCTGAAGGATATGAATCTTAGGTTGCACTGTTTAGTTCATTTTGTATTATTTTATTAATTTAAAATTCATTTGTGCTATTTGCACTATCTATGGGATTTTTTTTATTTTTATTGATACTTTATGTTTTATTTTTAATAGATTATTGTTTACTTTTTGGAAGAGTGTTTTATTTTTAAATCTAAAAGCAATTAGCATTATTTTTTTATTGATTTAATTTCACTTAATTTTCTAAAGAAACGTTGATATTCATACCTGCGATCAGGTTATTTTCTTTATTCAATTAGTCAACTTGCACTCCTTTATCATATACAAGCGGATTCTTTAATTATCTGGTAAAGCTTAATTCTTTAGCTGGGATAGGTGTAAAGTTGCTTAGCTTTTCGTTACAATCGGATAAAATAGATGAGTAATCTGAATTTTCAGAGCTAAAATTTAAATAAATTTAGATTTTATCTTCAGGATTTAATTTTTTCTTAGGTGCAGATTTAAGCAAATGCTATTGTTTATTATCCTCATCAATTACAGTGAGCAATTAATTTTATATGTATTCATCATCAGTACGAGTTAACTGAAAGTCGAAGGTGGTATTGTTATTATTATTAATACTCTAAAAATTGTTTGAATTATATTAAAATGAGTAATTATTATGATTAACACCTGCTTATTATTATTACTTTAAGTTCTCTTCTTTTTATATTTAAACTGAATTAGAATACTATCTTTTATCATTTTTTGGTGATAATTTTTGTTTTAAGTTGATGCTGTTTAAATTAATTTCCCTTTGTAATTTATTTTATATCTACTCTTATAAGTTAATGCTCACTTATATTGGTTATGAGAGTTATTTTTGTTGCTGGAGTTGTTGTTATTATCTGAATGAGCTGTTTTATTCTTACTTTATATCAGATGTTCTCACAGTATTTTTATTTGATAATGAATTTTGCTTAAGTTCTTCTTTATCTTTCGTCTTGTTATTGCAATCTTTTTTAATATTTTTATATTCATCACAGCTACTTGATTAATAATTAGCATAGCTTGAAGTAGCAACAAATGAATCCATACTGGAGTGATTGAGATCCTTCTGCTAAGGTTTTTATGTATTTGTTTAGAACTATTTCTTCTGTGAGAGATGCTCTATCGGTTGTTACTATTAATTAAAACTATCATTTATAATTCTATTATTTTATTTGAATTATGGATTATCTTAGACATCTATGCTTCTTGGTATTATTGATATACTTGCTTGAGAAATTTAACTATTTGACATCTCCTTGCTAAATTCCTATTCTTTTATTTGCATATTATTTAGTTCACAAGATTAGATAATAGATTTTTAACCATTTAAATCTTTTTATGAATTTATAAGGGATCCATCTTCATTTTGAATTTCTTTAGTTTTATTTTCTTAAACTGAATTTTATTAAATTTATTTTAAACCATAGGCATTAATATTTTATTTTTAACCATTTTGTTGAATTGGTTCTAAAACTTGTTTTAATGCTTAAATTTAAATAAGATTGACATTTTAAACAGATTTTTACTACATTATTTGATTTTGAGCAACTTAAAACCTAGCATCTATTTTTATTTGTTATTTGGGTTGTAATGCTTATATATTAGGTATTTATTAAGATAAAGGCAAAAAGGAAGGCTCTTGTATTGCCAATTATTTTTAATTACTGCTCAATATATTACTTAAAGGAAAAGCTTTAATTGATGGTTGTTCATTTAAACAAATTTATTTTGCTTATAATTATTGAAAATCATTTTAAACTTAAAAATTTTAATTGCCTTTTAATAAAAATATTCCTCCGTTTCTTTAAGAGTCTACTGAAAAGTAATTCTCCCTTTATTGTTTTTGACCGCTTGAGTATTAGTAAAAGGAATCAGTAAATTAGGTACTTTAATTAACTGATTAAGATCTTTAGTTAATATTAAATAAATATGGTTGAATTTATTATTAAAGCTGGTTGCTTTCTTTATTTATTGTTGTTACCTTTTTAACAGATGTAACAGGATAATAATATTTCTGTATGGTTGGTAATTAAGTTACTGATGTATTAATTAAGCTTTTATTACTTAAATCTTTCTTCTCACTTTACTATGTATAGTTATCACAGCTTTTATCTTCTTTTAGCTTTTCGTTTGAGGCTCTAAATACACTTAAAGAAGATACATGTGAGAAACTTCTCTGAATTTAAGGATTGCATTCTGTTGGATGTGGAATTATCCTTATTTATTAATCTACGAAGTTTTAATTTGATTACAACAAGTTATCTTAAGAGACGTGTTAGGTATCCATTTATTTATATAAATCTTCTAGCTTTACTATCAACTGTCTCTCATTATTTTAATTGGATTTTGACAAAAAATTATTGCTTCTGTAGTTTTGTGGTATTTGCTTGTTGCTATTTGCACACAATTAACTATTTTAAAATACTGTTTAAGAATTATTGTGAATGCTTTGATCTTTATTAGCAGAAATAAAAACATAATTATGTTTTGTTTGCTAATTATTTCCACTATTCATTAATAGAAAAACTGAGTTCCCACTTTTCTTTTAATCTTCAGTTGCAGAGTACATTAGAGAAACTTGATCATCCATATTTTTTCCATAACTTTTTTCCTCTCTTTTATGAGCTTAAGGAGGAGAATTTAAATTAATTTTAGATTTTTGCTAAGAGCTATAAAATAGCTAATTGATTTGTTGCTCTTTCATTTTCTTTTCAGTTTCTTACTAAATCAAGTAGTTCTCATTTTGACAATTTGTATTTAACTTTTTCTTTTATGTTTATTCGTTCGAAGCATTCTCTTATTTTGTTGAGGATGTTTAATTGCTCGTGATTTGGGTTCTATTTGTGCTATTTGGTTAAATAACTTAATTTTGCTACTTTGAATTTTATTTAGCTGATGAAATATTATCACTTGATACTTATTTATTATTATCTGCTCTTTCAAGATCTTTCTGTTCAAAATCTACACTTCTTTATTGATTCACTAGGCTTATACTTGTGTTTTACTTTTTTTATTCAGGGGATTCATTAAAGCAGCTTTCATCTTTCAATTAGCTAGTGTTGTGTGCACTTGATTATCTAGCTGTATTCCTATCAATTACTAAAATATTTCCAGTACCTTATTTTCCTTCTAGTTATTATTAATAATAATTATTTTTTTAGCATTAAATATTGTTTAATTGAATATCTGAATGGTTATTTTAAGAAAATATACAGCTGCAGTCTTATTAAGATGATAATACAGTTGAAGGATTATCTTGATTAAGGCATACATGATTTTGTGGTGTTTTATTTTTTTGTAAGAAATCTACAACTTTAATATTTTCTATGGGAATATTTTGTGAAATAGTTGTTCTTATTGTACTTTATTGTTCTGATTCACAAAATTAAGGATAGCTAGTTAAAATTTTAGGTTAATTACTAGCATTTATTGCGTGCATTTATCTGTTATTAGAAGTTATATTTGAGAAATGCTATGCTTAAGGAAATTGATTATTAAGCTTAGCTGTAACTGTAATTCCTTTATTTGCACTGTTATTATTGTTATTGCTGTTAAAACTAGAGTTATTATCGTAAATAACAACATTCCTCAACAATTAATAAGGTGACATTCTTGATGATTTATCAATCGAGCCTGCACTATTCTATATAATTCTAGGGACCTATTTTTAAGGAGTAGCAAGTTAACTACGTTACAACTAAGTTTGAGCTATATAAGGAACTTATTATTGCTATTAAATTTGACCTTAGTTTGAAGCTAAAGTCACTCTTAATCTTGAAGATATTTAATTTTATTAGTCCTATATCTAATCTTACTTAATTTAAGTAGGATTTTTATTTTGATATTCTATCATTGAGTTATCTAAATTGGAAATAACTGATTTCACTTAACTTGCTGATTGAGAATCATAAAAATCTGTAAAAACTGTCTTTTAATTTGAATTTTAAATATTTGGAATTTTTTAGGTGATGGAGTATTAATGAGGCTAAGAGTAACTAATTGTTGCAGATCGGTTATGTGCTTTAATAGGTACTATTTATTTTATTCTTAATAATATGATTAATAACGGCTATTGAGACTTAATAAATTTTTCGTTAAATTGTCGAAGTAGAATATTGAAATTACTGGTAGTTATTCATCGTGGAATATTGTTAAGAATGAGTTGGCAAAGAAACAGATCTTTCTTTTGCTTCATTTGCTTACTAACCACCTTTAATATAGTATTAATCATTTTAACCTATTTCATTCTTTTTGGATGGAGATCCTCCCATTTACCTAGATATTACTTGCTAGAATTAATAATATTAATTATAGTTTGAATTCTTCTTCTCTAAAATATTATATCCTAACAAACTAAATTTAACAACTATTTTTTTTTTCTTTTTTTAATTTTAAGTTAAAAAATTAGCGTTGATTAAAGAATAATTAATTATATTGATTCAGCTCTTTAACCAATTTGAGATTAATTCGATGAGATTTTTAATGAAAAAATAAGAAAATGAAAAATAATGAAATCAGTTTATAAAATATGTTTTGGTTTATTTTAAAAAAAGACTAGAATTAATTAAAAAGATTTTACAATTATAACTTTAAATCATAAAAATAATTTACTTTTTCAATTATAATTACAAAAAAAAATAAGTGGTAGCAATTGCAAATTTTAATAATAGAAAAAAAAAAATTTTAATTTTAGAATTTTAATATATTTTAAAAAATGAGTTAATTATTTATTTATCAGGTGAGAAAGAATATTAATGTATTTGATAAATATATTAATTAATTAATTGATGAGCTAGTTATCAACATATAAATGATCATCAGATCAGAGAATAGATGTTTTATTAAATTTATTAATATACACAAGATTCCCTTTTCCTATTTTTAATGTTAATGTTTATATGTATGTAAATATATTATATGTATATATGTATGTATGAATGTATCTTGCATTTTTTAAATGAAGAGATTTAGATTCTATTTGATATTTAATAAATAAATAACAAGAACATATCTATTCATAATTGACTCATTCATTTATGCATTCTGGTGTGTATGTGAATATATTTGTTATGTTATTTATTTATATTGCTAACAAATAAATGATCTTTTTTATTCATTTTATTTATATTGAATATATCTTTTTGTATAGGAAAATTTAAAAATAAATTTCTTTTGCTATATTTTTTCAAAACAGAAAAAAACTAATTAATAAATAAATAAAAAAAATAATTAAAAATCATATCTAAGGAATCACCATCGATTTCAAAAGTATTAAAAGCTAAATTCAACATTAAAGCAAGCAAAACCAAGATGTCTGACAAAAACAAAATGGAGGAAGAAAAGCCTGTTGCTGAGTAACCTAAGAAAAACAATAAAAAGGATAAGAAAGAAAAGGAAGACGAACTCGTAAAACAAATTTCACAATTAAATAGTTAAAGAAGGAGAATATTATTTTATTTATTTGGCTATTATGTAAATTGAAATAACAAAAATATTGCATAATCAATTTGTAGCAAAATGCAAGCTAGGTTAATGAGTATTGATAAAAGGCTCTAATAAAAAATCATCTTTAAGTTTTTGAGTTTGATTCAAGATTTTTTGATTTTAATGAAAATGTTTTTTCTACTTTAAATGAATCTATCTTCTCCTTCTTTAAAATAACAAAAATATCAAAGAAAAGTTTTTAATTTTTAAAATTTTATCAAGAGTGAGGAAGATAAAAAGTTGAAGGAAAATATAGAATTGTGGGTACTTAGAATATAGGATGTCGATACTAATTTAGCTAGTGTTGCTCTTGGTTAATTAAGAGAGGAAGTCAGAAAAACTACTACTTCAATGACTTCAGTTCCTAAACCTTTTAAATTCTTAAAGGCACACTATGAAGGCTTGTCTAAATTCTATGAATCAAGTGCTCCTTCTTAATTTAAAGTAAATAAATATAATTATATTATTGCCTTGTGAATGATTTTAATGCTTTATTTCCGTAAAAAACTAGAAAGAATTAGCTGATTTCTTATCAGTCATCTCCATGACAATGGCAGAAAGAGGAAAATAAATCTCTCTCAGATATTTAAAGGAAGGTACTCTCAATGATTTCAAAAATTGGGGTTATGAATATCTTAATCATTTATCAGCTGATATTGGATAAACGTAATAAATAAAATATTAATAAGCTTATTCCTTCAAAAATTTATTTTAAGGTTTTTGTTAAATTAATTGATTTTTAAATAACTAGATACAACTAGCGTATTGAAAAGAAAGAAAGTACAGATGATCTTATCTAGTTAGTTGAAGATATAGTCCCTTACTTTGTAGAAAACAATGCTGAGCACGATGCTGTTGATTTATTACTTGAAGTAGACAAGCTCTAATTTATTAAAAAGGTAAAAAAGAGTCAAATAGTTTTCAAACATTTTAAAATAATTAATTAGCAAAGAAATTTGATTGCTCCTCATGAATTAATTTTAGAAATTAATGGAGTTGAGTTTAAATTTTTCTTTATATAAATAAATAGTTCGTAAATAAAGAAAATTTTGAAAGAATCTCTTTGTATTTGCAATAATGCTGTTAATATTGTGTAGATTAAAATGAAATGGAAGAAACCTTAAAAGTTAATTATGAAATAGCATTGTCACTTTAACTTTATGTTAGCGCATTGAGATTAGCCATTAAGTTAGATGATATTGAAAAAATTAAAGAAGTTTTCTAAAGTTGTAAAGATAAATTAATTTTAAAATAACTCTGCTACCTTATTGCCAGACAAAGAATTGTTCTTAGCGAGTTAGACCTTGATGAAGATCTTTTAAAAATTGCTTCCAACTAGCATCTCACTGATTTTTATTTGCGTTTTGCCAAAGAATTAGATGCCTTAGAACCCAAAAAGCCCGAATAGGTTTATAAATCTGTCCTTGAAGATAATAAGGCATAAATTGATTCTTTAAATGCCAATATTGCAGATACTTACGTAAATGCTTTTGTCAATATGGGTTGCAAGAAGGACACCCTTATGGTAGTTCCAAAAACTGAAAAGCCTTGGATTTATAACTTAAAGAAAACCGGTATTGCTGCTGCTACTTCTTCAATCGGTTTGATTGATATGTGGGATATTGAATCAGGTAAAATAAAATAGAATATTATTATTAATTTATTCAATTAATTACTTTGAATTAAAATAAATTTGGATATAAACTCAATTCAAAACTTTTAAAATAATTAGGTACTGAACATATTAACGAATATCTTAATCTTTCTGATGGTTACGGTAAATAAGGTGCATTAATAGGTATTGGTTTGTTCTCCAGTGGTATTGTTGATGAGAACTTAACTGCTAAGGCATTACTTGAAAGTGAATTAAGTTCAAAAGATGAACTCTGCAAACTTGGAGCTATTATTGGTTTAGGTATGGCTTATGCAGGTAGTGCAAATGAAGATTTAAAGGCTATTTTTGAACCCATTTTCTCAGACTCATCCAGTAAATTATAAATCACTGCTTTCGCTGCTTTGAGTTTAGGTTTAATTTTTGTTGGTAAATGTGATGAAGATATTTCCTAATGGATTATTCAAATTTTAGCTGAATATGCTTCTTCTACTGAAAAATATCTTGATACTCATTTAGCTAGATATTTCGCTGTTGCTATGGGTCTTCTCTTCTTAGGTTAATAAGAAAGAGCTGAGGCAACTATTGAATGCATGGGTATTATTGAACATGATTTCGGTAAATTACTAATTTAAATTCTTTCATAAAAGATTGATTTCATTTCTTATTATAAATTGATTTGAATAAAAAAACATATTTTATCACATTTAATGATAAGTTGGATTTTAACATTATGAATTCAAATTAAAATATAATTTCTTAAAAAAAATAAAGCCAAATATTGTGAAATCACCATTGAAGGTTGTGCTTACGCTGGTAGTGGCAATGTCTTAAAAGTATAAAAAATGTTACATCACTGCACTTAGAAGGTAGAAGAAGACAAGGTATTTATTAGTTAAATAAACTATTGAGTTTAAATTAAAATATTATCATATTTATAAAAGTCTGCTTTCTAATAAGCTGCAATTGTTTCTCTTGCTTTGATAAGTTCAAGTGAAGGTATTGGTAATGAAATGGCTCACCGCTCATTAAATCATATTTTATAATACTGTGAATTACCTGTTAAAAGAGCAGTTCCATTAGCTCTCGCAATTTTAAATATTTCAAATCCTAAAATTAATGTTATGGATCTCTTATTAAAATTCAGTCATGATGATGACTAAGAACTCAGCTAGAGAGCCATCTTCTCTATGGGTTTAGTAGGTGCTGGTACCAATAATTCAAGATTAGCTGATATTTTGAGAAATTTATCATCAACTTATAAGTAAGACAGTAGCAATAAATTCTTTATCAGAATTGCTTAAGGTCTTGTTTAGATGGGAAAAGTAATTAATATCTAAAAATTTTGCAATTAATGTATTAAAAATTAATTAATTAATCAATTAGGGTATGGTAACATTGTAACCTTACTATTCTGACAAATTCTTGTTGAACAAGGTCGGATTATCTGGCATAATTACAGTAATTCACTCTTTAATGGATACTAAATCTGTTTTCGGTGATTAACATTACACCATGCTTTATCTAGGATTAGCTGCCTATCCTCGTATGCTCTTTACAGTAAAATATTTATTCAATATTGAAATAGCAGTTTTAAAGTATTAATTATATTTTCATTAATAAAATAGGTTGATGAAAATGGTGAAAATAAAGCTATAGATATCAGAGTTGGACAAGCTGTAGATGTTGTTGGTCAAGCTGGTAAGCCTAAGAAAATTACTGGTTTCTAAACTCATCAATCACCTGTCCTTATCAGTTATGGTGAAAGGTAATAAATATGATTTTATTTAACAAAAAGTATTAATTTAAAATAAAAATAAATAGAGCTGAGTTAGGAAGCGACGAATATATTCCTTTATAAGCAACTGTTCTTGAAAATATTATCATAGTATAGAAAAATCCCGATTATGTTCCTGAAGAAGAAAGTAAAAATAAAAGAAAGCAATGAGAAGTTGATTAAGAATGAAACATTTTCTAAATTTACAATTAAAGAAATGTATAAATTTAGAAAAAGCAATAGAACAAACAAACAATCGATAAATCAATAAAACAAACAAACAAATAATAAATTGTTTTGTATTTATAATATTATAATAGGAGAAAAGAACTCCATTATTTATAACGTGTATACATCTTGTCTTAAAAGCCTCTAAACCCAAATTAAATTAAAAAATTGTAAAATCAAGCAGATTTGTTAAAAATTATTAAAGATTTAAATTAAATTTTATAATTTATTTTTATAGAACTCAAATTTATTTTAAATAGAGAAATTTAAATAAACTTAATATATCAATAAATTGATTATTAGCATATTTGCATATTTGAATATTTAATTTAGTCGAATATTTTAATTCTACTAAATTCTATATTATGTTTCAAAAGTTTATTTATTATTTTAAAATTAGAAGCAAAAATAGATAATTTAAATTTAATCTATAAAAAATTCAATAATTAGCAAATGAATTCAAAATAAAACATTGAATTATTGAAAAGATGTTTAATTCAATATAAAAATTAATTTATAATAGTATTTAAATTTAAATTTTATAGCTGATAAAAATCAACAGCAAACACGCATGCCTAATTTATTTGAACAGGATTAAATTATTTCAAATGAAAAAGGAGAAAAGATACAAGATCATTCACTTTTATTTTATATTGTGCATAAAGGAATTAAAATGAATGAAAATATATACAAATACTCAAGCAATCAAACAAAAAATAGAGCATTTAATTATTTAGAAGCAATTATTTGTTAACTAAAAAATAAATGTTTGTATGTGTGTATGCATGTGAATATGCATGTAATTATATATATTATTTCCTTTAATAACACTAAAAAATAGGTAGCTCGCTTGGTCTTAATTTGAGCACTCTTGGCAAATGGATGAATGAATAAATGAATGAGGAAATGAGAGGAACAATGAAAGAAATGAATTGAAAAAATGCAAAAATGAATGAAGTGAGAAATAAGAGAAGGTAAATATTGATTAGATATAAAAAAGATCTAAGGATAAAAAACCAAAATAAAGAAATCAAAAATTATTAAATCAAAAAAAAAGAAATTAAAAGAAGAAAAAAGGAAATGTAAATTTTCGTTAAGACTTTAACTGGTAAGACCATTACCTTAGACGTTGAAGCCTCCGACACTATTGAAAATGTCAAGGCTAAGATCCAAGATAAGGAAGGTATCCCCCCTGATCAATAAAGACTTATCTTCGCCGGTAAGCAATTGGAAGACGGCAGAACCCTTTCTGACTACAACATCCAAAAGGAATCTACCCTCCACTTAGTTTTGAGATTAAGAGGTGGTGGTATGGAACCCACTATTGCTGCTCTTGCTAAGAAGTACAACTGCGAAAAGAAGGTTTGCAGAGACTGTTATGCTAGATTACCCCCCAAAGCTACCAACTGCAGAAAGAGAAAGTGCGGTCACTCCAACTCCCTTAGATTGAAGAAGAAACCCAAAGAGTGAGAAAATTAATCAAAATAAAGCATATAAATAAATATATAGGTTGTTATTTTACACTATGAAGTAATTGCAACTAATGACCAAAATTATTTTAAATTTACTATTAAATTATCGCCACAGCAGGCACATGCAATTAAATTAATTTTGTGTTCGTGTTTTCTTAATTTTTTAATATTTAAATTCATCCACACACTTTAAAAACTCACTTAGTACTTCCATTATCATACATTTATTCTGGTAATTAAAGTTTAACTTAATCACTTCATTATCCAAAAATCTACTCTCAATTTGCAAGTATAGCTTTTTTATGTTTTGTGGTTTCAAATTTAAAATATTTTCTACATTTTTTAAACATAATTCTATCTACTTCTCCTAACTAAAATGACTTAATTATTTAACTCCTATATGTGACAGTTTACAAAACCTAAATACTCAAATTAATATTTAAAGCTACTTTTATCAACTAAACCTCTCCTTTATTCCTTTTGATTTGAATTTATAATATTAATTTTTTGTGCTTAGTTTATAATTTTCGTTTGCACAAGAATTATTATAAAAAATATATCTATTCTCTTCAGTATTTATATAGTTGGTATATATTTTATCAATTCAATTTATTTAAAGGTATTCTAACTATGAAATATTTTTTCTCTTCTTAGAGTCAAAAAGTATTTAGACTAACTAATTTTGATTCCATAAAAAATAAACTTAGAAGGTCACATAAGTGTTAAAAACAAAAAGTATCTAAATTATTTTAAACTAGATTGTATTTAAAACATCAAATATTTTAAAAACTAAAAAATAAATAATTTGTTTTTTTGTAATTTATTTTTTTGAAATAACTATTTTGAATAAATAAATATGTTTAAGAAATAGAGTTTTTTATTTTAAATCATAAAAAATATTTAGTTGATATTTTTGAAAAAAAAGAGTTATAAACATTCTATTTAAAATATAATAAAAGATATTAAAATTTTTCATACTTTTAACATTATAAAAAAAGAAATTGTTGAAATTAGTTTCTTTAAAAATAATATTAAACATATTTTCTCGTTTTTAAATAAAAATATATTATTTACTAATTTAATTTTAATATCTGTTGGTATCAAAATCATTCATTTTAGAATTTAAAATTAGACAAAAATAAACTGAATAAACAAATTAAAATTTTAAAATATTAAACTAATTAAAAAATAAAATATCAAATAAATTATATTAAATAAACTGAATGAAACAAATAAACTTAAGCAAAAAACCATAATTTTTATTTCTGAAATAAAGTATTAAATAAATAAAATTGCTTGAATACTAAACTCATTTTAAGATTTAAATTTATTAAAAAAAAAATTAATTAAATCAAAATGAATTTCATTTGATGTATTAAAAATTTGTAAAAATTAATAATAAGAAAATGAATACATACATGATTTGATACTTCTAATATTTTAATGGTATTAAAATATTATTAATTAGTAAAATACTTAAAATATATTTTCAGAGTTTCAAAATTACATTGATTTATCTAAATTCTCCACTTATAAAAATTTAAGATATTTATTTATTTATGGTATTTATTAATTCTAATCAAATTCAGTTACATTTTAAAAATATTCTTTGAACATATTAAATACACTATTACTAAATATTATACCATTAAAAAAATATCTTGTTAAATTTTGATTTTTTAGTTTTTAAAATGTCTATTTTATTTTAATATATATTATATCTTTATTTTATTAATCATTCATCCATATATTTACTTTCAAATAAGTCCAAATTGGAGTAACATGTTTTCCTAATTAATTTTTAACTAATAAAAGAACTATTTTTATTCATAATTGAATAATTATTGATTATGATATTAGTAGTTTATAAAAAATCAAATAGAGAAATACCCAACCTTTTTAATTTGCAAAAATTCTTAAATAACTTAAGTAAAAATAAATAAAAATGAAGGGGAATAAAGAAATAAAAATAAAAATTTAAATGAATTAAGTATTTGATTAAGTAGAATTAAATAAAATGTATTTTGTCTATTGCTTTAATTTTCTGTATTTATATTGATTTATATACCTATGATTCTAATTAAGGATGCAAAACCAGTATTCAAATAATCAATCAATCATAAATCTATAAAATTAATTTTTTCAATAATCTTATAATATATAAATAATTAATTAAATATTAATAAGATAAGTCTTAAATTAAAAAATTAAACTTTCATCCAGTACTTTCAATAATAAATAAATAAGTGCTTACCATTCAATAAGGCATATAGGATTAACGCAATCGAATAGCGAATTGATTATATTTTGATTTGAAAATTAATTTTAGTCGCATGTCGAATAACAACAATAATGATAGTATGGAAGTAGATATCAACTACGATGTATAAAATCAAATTGTTTTATATACTTAAATATATTTTTTTTTTGCCCTTCAAATTAATGCTTTGATTTTTAAAACAGATAATTTATGAGATCGTTAAGAAAAACCCTAAGGATAGATCTCCAGACAATATAAAGTATTTGATGCGCTTGCCTGTTGATATTTTAAGGGAATCTATAAATCCTTATGCATAACTTTATGCTAGATACTTTGAATTCGAAGAGCATAAGCAAAATAAATAAATATTTGCTTCAAGTAAATTAATGTTAGAACTATTATACATAATATAAAAGCGAGAAATTACTCACATTTTATAAATTGAAAGAAGCATTTAGAAATTAACTAATAATAATTAAATAATAAAGAATAGAGGAAGAATGGGGTTTATTGGATTATCGAGGGGTAATTTGCTGTATACAACAAAAAGAACATCATAATTAGAGCTTACAAAAACTTAGATTATTTGAGCTAGAATGATATTATGAATGAATTTGAAGACTTTTAGGAGGTGAGAGCTCTCGAGAATACTAAGCTCGGATATATTTCAGATAGGACCATAACTGAAATCATAGAGCCTTTGAAAAAAGAAGCTAGATGGTAACTTCATGATTTTTTATCGTGCACACCTTTGCTTTGTACTTGGACCTTTAATCAAATAAAATTTTTGCTGACCTTTTTTAATACTTTAACTTTCGGTAAAAACTCTTATGTATTTCAAGAAAAGCAAGAGAGCACTGCAGTCTACTTTGTTAAAGACGGTATATTTGATGTAATGGATTATTTTATATTATTTTTTTAAGTTTAATTCAACATTTTGATAAATGAATTATAAATTCAGTAACTTGGTTAAAAGTTTGGGCATTTAGCCTACATGTAATTAGGAAATAATAATTAGATTCATATAGATTTAAATAGCTTAGATATCTAGAATTATAAGTTAATTTTGTAAGTGTTTCTTTCTTCTTGTTTATTTATTGATTCATTAAACTTCGCATGAACAAGAAGAAGAATGAATGAATTCATTAATGAATTTATTTTTTTATTTAAATTGTAATTACATTCATGAAGATATATTCAAGCAATTTATAAGCAATAATAACCAATAAAAAACAAAACCTTTTCCTATTTTTTCATAAAAATCCTACAAATTGTCTGTAATTAAAAACATCCATAGTTACTAAATCAATTGAGAGATTTGTTGAATGGAAATTTAATTTTTAAACAACAAAAATTAAATAGTCTACAAATTTATTAAATTTGATTGTTTCATTTTATTTAAAATAGATTAGAAAAAATTTTAGTGGAGCTGCTGATTATGATGATATAGTATCAAAAGAAGGTATTGTCATCAAGGATCTTCCCTTATCGAAAATTTAAAAACTCCAAATGAAAGAATTTAAAGTAAAATTAATAAATTTATATTTGATGTATTAAATTTTTTTAATTTGAAGATTAGCACCTTAAATTTAGGAGACTATTTTGGAGAAGAAGATGTTTTAACTGGAAATAATAGAAGCTTTTCAGTCCTGTGTAATTCGCTTTAAGGAGAAGTTGTTTATATATAAGCTGAACATTTTATTGAGTTTATTTACAAGGATCTATTTTGTAGGTCAACAATAGATTAGAAAGCAAAAAAGAAAGAGTAGCTATTTTAAAAGAGAGAGATTAACATTAAAGGTTCTTTAAATAATTATGGAAATTTTTTAGTCAATGAGCATTTTAACAAAAATTTGGATCAAATTATAACAGAATTAGCAATTCAGCCATAAGTAAAAACTTATAATGAGTAAATTTAATTTAATTTTATTTAAAAATATTAAATTATAAATGGAGTAAGAAATTTTTTTTTATCAATATAGAATTTAAAAGGAATAAGTTATCAAGCAAATGTAGTCTTTAACTAACATACAAGGTGCAAGTCCTAGAAGAAACAAGGGTTTGATTAGAAATGAAACTTTAGCTGATATTGAGGAACTAAGTGATGAAGCTGTGGCAAAAATGGTAAATAATAACCTATTCAGTAAAAAGAGAGTTCAAACTGAGTAAAAAATTGAAGAAATTCCTGATGTTCCAGAAAAATAAATTTTAACTATTTAAGACGAAGATAATAAAATTTAAAATCCTGATTAAATACAAAACAGAGTTGATGAATTAGTCAGAATCAACAAATAAGGTAAATAAAATTTTTTATATGACTGGAGGAGTAAGAAGAATAAAGAACCTTCTCACAACCGCACTCCATCAGAGTAATATCAAAAAGATGCTATGGAAGAATATGGATCTAATCCTCCTTCATAACCTGCTGAAAGAGCATCCTACCAAAATAATTTGAATAACGAGTATTACTTGGATGATGATAATTCTCCAAAGAGATAAAATAAAAACTCTAGCAATAGCCCTTTATAGAGAGCTAATACTAAGTTCTTATTTTCTTATGCACAAAACTAAAACTCCTCACCTCATTCTCCTAGAATAGTATCAATGACTGACTTATTTAGATTTAATACTGAAAATGCAGATGATTAATTTAAAGCCGAAAAACTTCCTTTCCCATAAATGATTGAGAAAAATCCATCGTAATAAAATACAGGACGTTTAATTAACATCATTCCGACTGTGCAAAAGCCTCTGCAAAAATAAAATACCTTAAATTTATAGCTTACTGATAGATAAAGATCATAAGTAAAATCACAAAATTAAAATGACTAAAATTTCAATGTAAATACCTAGATTTCAGATTAAGTAGGTTCTTCATAAATAACAAATTAACCTTCTAATTAAGAACTTTAATCTGAAAGCAACATATACAAAAGACTCTATAGCAGCAGCCAATCCCCATCTAGAAACGAAAAAAGTAATTTAATTTTTATTTTTGTGATAGATTATTAATAATTAATTCCCAAATTATTATTTAGTGCCTGAAAGAGACTCTACTAAAATGAAAAAGATAATGGAGTAAATGGATGATAAATTTCAAGTCCACCATTCAAACCTATAAAATTAATGTCAAAACTTTTTTACAAATCCTACATAAAACAATAATTAAGTCTAGCTAAAGATGATTAGATAAAATTCTTCTAAATCCCCCGAATTGAAAAATGGCTTATTATATGAGCAATAAGATGAGCTATAATAGCCAGATATAATTTAGTTAAGAAATTAGAGTTCTTCAGGAAGCTCTAATTAGCTATAATAAAAAGCTACTAATGTCAGGATTTAAACCTTTGAGCTTAAGGATATTTAAATATAATAGCCATAGTTATAAAAAAAGAATAATAATTTAGATTCTTCTTCTCCTACTTATAAATTCATGGAATCCCCTTAATTTACTGGTTAGAAGAGCTCTTAAGACACTGTAAAGCTTTCATAGAAAAACAGCACTAACTCAAAATTAGGTCTTTCAAGCTCACCTAGACTAAAAAATATCAGTAGTAGTAGTTTTACTAGCAACCTGTTTAACTAGCCCAATAACAGTAGAATTAATAAAAATATTTCATTTGTAGAAAAGATTCGCAGTAATGTAAAAGGAAGCTTTTCAAACGATAAAAATAACTACTTCAAACAAACTAGCAATGATACTCCAAATTATTCAGACTAACCCAATTTAATTCAAGGAGCAAAGTCAGTGAGTTCAGTTTTTCATGATTATAAGAATAATTAAATTTAACAAAAGAAATAAACCTTGAATGATTTATACATATCCCAGTTTTAGAGACAGCGAAGCATAGAAGGTAATGATGATGACGATGATAATGATTAACAAAAAAATTCATTAAGTTTAATATAAGAAGATTCAAATATTATTATTGCAAAATAAAATGCGAATACTTTCAATTTTATTAACAGTCCTGTTGAAGAAAACTTATAATTAAAGAGTCCAAATATGAATCGTCCTCTTAGCTCTGAAAGAAAAGAAAACTCCGCATTTTAAAACGGATATGACTTTTCTAACATTTAAGCCAAGACAACATAAAACTAAGATTTGTCTAGCAGAAGATTGCTGTTCTATAAGACTAATACAAATTTTTCTCATTACAAGCCACAATTTCCTAGTGTAAATCGTTAGGCTGCAATTTAAAATTAAAATTTATCGTAAAAATTATTATCAGAAAGATATCAAAAGTTTAAACTCCAACATAGCTAGATAAAGAAATAAAATCCTTAACAAGCTTAACAAGCGAATCAATTAAGCCAAGCTTCATAAAATTAAATAGAAGATATTAACAGTAAACCAGTGGTAACAAGTATATCTAATATTTCCTAAGTTAATACTTTTGGAAATAACTTTAGTCATAATTTTATTTCAAACTAAACTGTTGAAAGGCAAAGCCAAAACGATTCAGTTAATGAAAATCTCTTTTATCATAGCAACAAAACATAAAAAATTATTACAAATAAACCAACAGCTAGATAAGAAAATTACTCCAGCAATCAAAATATATTTTAAAAGAGGGCAAAAAGTTAAAATGTTTTGCCACCAACAACTAGCTATAATGACTATAAACAAATGCAAAAAGAGCATCTTGCTTCTCCTTAAGATCACTTACAAAAGCTCTTAGATAAAAAAGAAAAAATGTTTAGAAAACATTTGTTTTCTTCTCAAGGTGGATAAAGTCAAATTTTATAATAAACCAACCACGAAATTAATAATCCTTATTTCAACACTTATATTTAGTTAGATTATATGAATGCCTATAAAATTTCTTAAGCAAAACCTAAAACTTAGGTAGGTGGTAATTTATCTGCTACATCATAAATTATTAAATATATCCCTATGTCTCCTGATAAAAAAAAAATTCCAGATTATCCTGAAAAAATTTAAAACCGAAGCGGTACAAGAAGTAACAATCGCCAATTAGTATCTTGATTAAATAATTATGAAAATATAAAATATAATGAATTATTTTTGGCTATATTAATAAAATAAATATAATAAATAAAGGAGTATACATTTGTATTTCAGTTTGTTAAAAAATCTCATTTAAAATATTTTCAAGATAAATAAATAAATAACTCTTTATTAAACAAGATGTAAAATTTTCATTAAAATATCCTTTTTTTAGTGTTTTTTAATATTAATTGGCTTGTTTAAAATAAATAAGACATATTCAACTATTAATTTTCTAATCATCTAATTTTATTAAATATTTTTATTATTAGATTTGATAAAACCATTTTATTTATATTTTCATTAATTATTTCTTGATTTTAATATTATTTAATATGAAAAAATTAATCTTTAAAATCTAAATATTTAAATTAATAATATCTATTTCTTTATATTGATTTGAAAGAAATTTACTAACTTGGAATAAATGAATGAATAAATATAAATTATTTAGAATTATTAAATATTATAGATTTGACTTTAATGATACTTATAATTTGATTTTATTAATTGGGTGCTTATTAAATATTATAAATCTTTAAAGTTTGCAAAATTTTAGTTATAAGCTTTAATAAAGTAATAAAAGCCTTTAATTTTTGAATCAGTGATATTTTTACATTTAAATAGAGTTAATCAATCAATAGATATTTATGAGGTATACCACATTCATTTAAAAAAATATTCAAAATTTCAAAATCACAAATTAAATCTTTGTAAAATTTTATTATTTAAAATATTACTATTTTGCTTTGATTTCTTTTGATTTTAATAATAGGAAATAAATAATTCATGGATAATAAATAGTAAGTTGAAGTTGAATCAAAGTCTCATTTATAAGAAGATCTTGACAAATATTTATTTGCAGACAACCATTTTAATGGTTAAAATAGCAGTAGAGTTTAAGACGATTCAGAAAGAGAATTTCCTAATCATATATAATAAGTAGTTTATGATGAATCAGCAAGTTAGAATGGTGATTAATAAATATCAATAAATCCTAATAAAATACATCAATAAAAATAGCAATTTAATGAAGTTCAATAATAGGAAATCTATGAAAACAATGAAAACTTCAATTAAAATTAACCAAATTTATATAATAATGACAGGAGTTATAGTTAATCTAACTTAGATGATGATAGCTGTATTGAATCTAAAAGTTTACAAAATTATAACAAAGAAAATAAAGAAAAACTTAAAATATTTTAAATGCAAAAGCAAAGTTAATAAAACTTTAATATGAACACTTTGTAAAGCAGATAAAATGTCGAAAAAGATAATATGAATTACTTGCAATCTTCATTAAATTACTGCAACAAAACAAAAGATGAAATTTAAGAAATTATTGAATAAATACCCTATCCTGATTAATTATCAATGACTTCAATATCGAATTCTACTCATTCTTATATTGGTTCAACTCCTTAAAGAAATCTTTTAGATAATGCGGATTTTAGGCAATCAAAGAAATCTATGAAAAGAGGATCTCTAAATAGATTTAATAACGAAATTTAAAAAATGGCATAATACTAATCATTATAAAATGGTAAAAAGTAAGCTCATAGTAAAACTGAAGAAGACAACCATGACATAGCCCTAAATTGGTCCAAATCTAATGTAAGACCTGGAGATTAATAAAATATATTCCCATAGGTAAAAATCATTCATATATAAAAAATATATTTTTCAATTATTTTTAAAGAAGATTTTAATCTATCAATCAAAATTATTTATTTTAAATCTAAATTATTTATTTAATTTTCATCATTCATATTTTAAAATAATTATTTAATAATATTTTTGCAATTTTATTTTTGAAATAGAAAACAAATAGACTTTAATAATATATTTATTTATTAATGTTTTAAATATGATTCTAATATTTTTAGGTACTTGCTCCCTCTATAGAATTATCTAATGAAAACTCTATGATTCTAAAGATGATGCAGTAAAATAATAGCGATATGAATTAGGTTTAAAAGATTAATTTAGCTACTTTTGGAGGTTTTGATACTCGTAATGACGAAGATTTAGAAGATGAATTAGAAAATTATAATGAAAATAGCAGGATAAATTAGGATATTCAAGGTTAAATTGATTAGCAATAAAAGAGGTTATAACAATACCAAAATATAAATCATTATAATTATAATTCAAATAATACACCATATGAATTAGGTCATGAAGATTTGTAGGAAGATCATGAGTATTACATAGATGATCATAATTTTTAACAATAATAGAGATAGTTTGAATAAAAATCTTAGAAAAATAGCAGCATTATTGAGCACAATAAAAATTATTTATAATCAAATAATATCAGTAATAATAATATGTAAAATAATTCAAAGAGTTTAAATGTGATAGATAAGAGTCGCTCTTAAAATTATTCTATGCAAGAGGATCAGATTAATGCTGTAGCTTACCAAAATAATAGCTAAACTGATAATAGCTATTATGGTGAGAAGAGTAATTATCAAAGCTAAACTCTATAGCAACAATATTAGTAATAAAAAATGCATTATAGCAATAATAACAATGGACATTCTTAAGTGAATTACAGTGACAATTAAATGGATGCCAGCTGCTTGAGCACTAATTAACAAGATCAAAGTGTTTTACAAAATTTATAGCAAATTTAAAATTAAACCATTAACATTATGAGAAAAAGTGATGATGACAGTGCTATGAGAATTTAGCTGTCATAGCTTTCGATGGAAAAAAATTAACTAATGAACAGAGTCTAATATTTAGTTTAATTAGTTAGTAAATATGAATAGGAGAAAATCTATTAAGCATCTCAAATTGAAGATTTGGATCAGGTCTTGAAGCTTCTAAAGGTAATTAATTTGCTTATATTTTTCTAACTATAAAATTTTAATTTAGGAAAAATATAAAGATAATGGGAATTTAGAAAAATTAAGAGGAAGAGAGCTAGAGAATGAAAGATAAAATAATAAAAGGCTCAAATAATAAATAGAGTCAAAGAATGAGAAAATTTAGTCTCTTCTTGATGAGATCTAAAAGTTAGAATAATAAAGAGAAGCTTATCTAATAGAGTTTGAAAAACAAAGAGAAATTAAGCAAAATGATCAACAAATGCTTTAGGAATGCTAAATTCAAATGTAATCTATTTAGGAATAAAACGATTAACTCCTTATTAAAAAAGAAGAATTAGAAACAGAACTTCAGACAAGAGATTTTGTATTTAATTTTATAAATTAATTTATTTTTAAATAATGATTTTATTTAAAAAAGAACCTTGAAAATATGAAACAAACCTATTAGCAGAGAGAAAAGTTATTAAAAAATGAATTGAGTAAGTAGAGAATGCAATATGAAAAAGAACTCTTTTCATATTAATAGGAAATATAAATTCTGAATAAGGCTAAAGAGGCTGAAAGATAAAAATTGCTGATGAGGGAAGAAAGTATTCAAAATGATTAAATCAATAAATAGACTATCGCAAATTTGAATGAAGAAATTCATGAATTGATATAGCTAACAGAAAAGAAAGATAGAACTATTGAATTGCTTCGCTTAGAATTAGAAGAATACAAAGACGAAGTAAGACAAAATCTTTTGAAAAATTTTTCTTATTGGATTTAAAGCGAAGAGTTTAAGAACAACGATTATGAAATAATGATTGAAATAATTAGATCTTAGTAAAAATTATTAAATAGAAGAAAATTAATTCATTAAATAAAATTTTATATTAAAAAGTTTGTAAGAGTTAAAATATGAAAATGAAGGACTCTCGGTCTCTGTTAAATAAAATAATAAATAAAAAATTGAAAGTGTGAGTGAAATGAGAAAACTAAAGAGTGAAAACTATAAGTTGAAGGATGAAGTATTAAATTTATCACAGCTAAATGATGATAAAACTAATATCTCGGGATTAAGCAAAGGAATTTTAGAAGATAAATAAGAAACGAATTATCTCAATGATTAGATTAACTAATTAAATAGTGATATTTCTAAACAACGTTAAAATTATGAATCTTAAATTGAAAAGTTAAAAAATGAAATAAATATTCTTATTGAAGAAAAGCAGAACACTTTAGAAAAGATTAATTTTGAAATGAAGATATTGTAAAACGAAAATGATAGTTTGATTCAAGAAGTTGCATAATTAAAATCTATGACATAAACTGGCTAAAATATTATAAATGAGCTTGAGAATAAACTCAAAAAAACTTAGCAATAGCAGTTACAACAATAATCACACTAACAAAAAAACATAAGCTAAAGCAGTTAAATAAGCTTAGAGTAATCAGCTTCTACCTAAGAGCTTGAATTAAAAAATATGCAAAGAATAATAGAAGAAGAGAAAAAGCAGCTAAATGAAGCACAATTAAAATTTGAAGAAGATATTTAAAAGAAATATGAAGAATTCCACTTAAAGGAGTAAGAACTTTCTAAAAGGATAAAAAATATTTAGATATAAGAAGAAGAAATAAAATAATAAAAAGATTTAATTAAAAGTTAATAATAAGCACTATTATCTATCAATTCTGATAGGAGCACTAAAAATACAGAAAAAGTAAATCTTGGTTAGATTGATCAAGAATAGCTTAAGAATTTATAAACTTAATTAAAGAGAGAACAATAAGAAAAAGATTTAATGAAAACTGAAAATGATCATCTAATAGAGCAAATCGAAAACAAAGAAAAAGAAATAAACTAACGTGATGATTTAATTAAGCAGTTTGAAGAAAAATGCGAAAAGCAAGAAAGAATGTTAAAAGAAGAGAGAAAAAAATTATCTGAATGGTAGAAAGAAAATAAAGTACTTTTAGACAATATTAATCAATTAAAAATAAATTATGAGAAAATGTAAACACAGCTTTAGACTAATGTGAGTCAACTCCATCAAAAATAACAAGAAATGTAGCAACAAATTAAAAATTAAAAATAACTTAGCAAAAAAAATAAAAATTTGAGTCAAACAAACTTGGAATTACTCTCAAAGATATAAAATTTAAATGAATAAATAAACAATATAGAAAAAGAACGCCTTTTCTTTAACTCCTAGCCTTCACCTATATTCCACAATAAAGCAAAATCTTGCTAATATAATAATAAAGGACATTTAATGCAAGATAATTAGAAAGCATAAGATTTAAATAGAAAGAGAAAAAATTCTACAAACAGTGCTAGCTCAACAAAAAGAGATAATAAGAGCTTGCTGAATCTCATATAAAACACTTTTAACAATAGTTCTCATAATATAAGATAATCCACATTACCTGAATATCCTATAAATGATAATGCATTTGATTAGCCAAATGCACAGAATCATAAACTAAACTAATTGCATTTAACTCATCCAAGTTAAAATAACCTAAGTTTAGAGTCTTTTTATCATAATCTTGGAGGAAATACAAATGTAGTAAACAGTTCAATAAATCATAGTAATAGATAGGATTCATACAAGAATCTAATTTCTTCTGTTATGCCTTCTACATATTAAAATAATAGACACTCTAATAGAATCCCTCCATCAGTGAATCATAACGATTTGTAAGGTGAAGAAACAGGAGCTAAATCCCAAGTTATTGAATAAAAGACTAATAATGCTACACAAAAAGTAAAAGATGATAACTTATTCAGCAGCTAAAATCATAACTTTACTATTAGCCAAAGTTATAATTAAAACCAATTGAGTTAATTTAACAGGAACCCATCTAACATTTCTGACACTCTATAAATGCTAATCAGTGAACCTAATCAATAGTAAAAATAACAAACGCATGAAAACTAAGGTATTATTTAGCAAAATTTAACTACAAAAATAGAAACTGAAACAACTTCAAGATAAAAAAATCAATAAATAAACTTTGATGATAACATTCATAGCAATAAAACAGAATAAAATACATGCGAAAGATGTAACAGCCAGTTCCAATCACTACACGAAGAAAGATAATAAATCGAAACTATGAGAGAACAAATGGAAAACTACGAATTAGAATTTATACAAATGAAGGAATTTTTCGTAAATAAGTTAAAAGATGTAACTTCCACAATTAAAGACTTAGAGCTTTAAAAGAGTATCCTTGAAAAGGAAAACCAAGATTTAAGAACATTCAAAGCAGACTATTTTACTTAAATTGCTTCACTAGAACACCAAAAAGCAATTTACGAAAGATAAGTTTACAATTAAATTATGGCATAAAAGAAGCTAGAATAATCTAAAGATGAAGATAATGAAAGTGATTGTAACAGTAACTACTTAACTATCACACCAGAAATGCTTTCAGCAGAGGAAACTTTAGATTTGATGCAAGAAATACTCAGAAAGGTAGTAAAAAGCAATGAAATGAAAAAAATTTTATTAAAATCAACAGATTTAAAAAATCTTATTCTAGCGTTTGCAGAGCATTAGCAAATTTAATAATAATAATAATAGCTACATTAAACTATAAATACTTAACAATCAAGTATCTAATAATTTAATTCTACATAATGCAACAGTAACTACAATAATCAATCTGCACCAAATTTAATTAGCAATCATTAAACTGCTAATAAATTTATCAATCCAAAATACTTACCTTATCATTCCTATAATTCAAGGACAAAAAAAGTAGGAGTAAATACTGCTTATTTAAGCAATAGCTATATAGATCATACTTTGAGCTAAAATAAAAATTTGAGTATGTTAAACCCTAATGAAACAGTTAACTATAACTAAAACAACTTCACAATGTAAAATAACTCCTCTTCTGCTCTTATCTATCCCTTAAATTAATAGAATGGTGTGAATTAAAACTTATTTAAAGCAAATGAAAATAAAACTTAAATTCATCTTTAAAAATTATTAGATGATTAAAATAAAAAGCAAAATTACTAGAACTTTAGTGGATAATAACATTAAAATAGCAAAGCTTATCATAGCCAATATATAAATCCAAAGAGCATAACATAAAATAATTTTTATTCCTAAAATCCTAATTAACAAGTTAAATAACAGATTTATGACTCTAATAACTATAATCAAAATAATTATCTTCAAGTTTAAAATCAAAATCTCATCAATATCCCAATTCAAAGCTAAATACCTCCACATGTAATGCATTACACCAAAAATAATAATTAAAATTTACCTTTATCATCTAGACGTGATAAAAAATAGCAATTTTTATCTTTAGACTAAAATATAATTATGTAATGAAATCTATGTAAATACATATATTTTATGATGATTAAGTAACTCAACTTAAATATTTTTTAAAAAAATAAATTTAAATACAAAAACTAATAAATATTAGATTAAGTTTGATTTATTTATAGAAACTTAGAAATATTTTTTCTTTAAAGAAAGTAAATTTTATTTATTATTATTATTGTTATTATTGCTTTTATATATATTATAAACAAAAAATTTACTTATTTTAAGTTATTTGGATATAAAAAAAAAACAAAATTTATTGATATTATATTTAATATTTTGCATAATATAATTGTTGATAATTAGTATTTTTTTAAAATGAAATATTTTTTTCAAATCAATATGAATAATCATTTAATTATTTTAGCAAAAACTAAGTAAAATTGAAGCTATTTATTTATCATTTTGGAGCTCCTAATAAGGTCTATATTAAATTAAATAATACATAAAACATTTTTAAATCTTATGATTATAATTAGGGGTCAGATCCACTCAAAAAATTTTAGTTCGATTAAAATGTTTTACTCTTTAAAAAATGTATTTTTAAAATTATTACTTTGACTACAAATTGGTCAAATTTGTTGAATCTAACATAAATTATTTCAAAATTATGATTCAAAATATTTTATAAAATAAAAAAATGGTTAGTGAATTGAAACAAAAATCAAAATAAATTATAAATATTAAATATTTATCTTAATTGATTAGTAAATTTAAACTTAAAAATTCCTTGAATAAAGATATTATTTATAAAAAATTACTATTTTTTTATAATTTATTGATATTCTTATTATTTTTTAAATAATAATAGTTTATCATGAAATTAATTTATATTATAAATCTAAAAAAATTTTAAAGTTTGGTATTAATTTGATAAAATTTAAGTAATAATAGATTACCTCTATTTATTTTTATCTTAGTTACTTATATACTTTAAAAATTATAGCATTTTAAAATGATTAAAATCATATGAAATATCTTTTATTAGTAAATTGAATCTAAAAATATTATAACTTACAAATGTATTTTTTATTAAATTTTTTATTTAATTAGGATCCTTAAAAAATTAGCTGCATTAACCTCCCTGACTTTAAATTTCTCTTCTAAGAATTTTTATTTATTATTAATTTGATTTGTCTTATTTGTTAATAAAATTTAATATTATTTGATTTAAAATCATAAATTTTTTTACTTAATTTTTTTATTTAATTTACTAAATTTATTTATTTTTAAAGATACTTTTAGAGTTCATTTAAACAAATCAACCCATTTACTTGAATTTTATTATTTTGCAGAATATATTTTAAAATAATAAAATAAATTAAAATGCATATCTGATATTTAAATTATTTTTTTTTCTCAAAAGCTAACAATTTTTTCCTGAATATACTAGCTTCTTTTTTTACACTAATCAAAACTTAATTACCAAGAAATATAAAAGAAAGTTCCAAAAACTTTATTTTTGGTTTGAAAAGATAAATTATATTTAAAATCTTTTTTATTGATTTGTAAATTATTTGTTTTGAATAAAATTTTAAGAATAAACTAACTTATAAAGAGAAGAATATATCCTTTAAAAAAAACAAAATACACTATATTAACCATAGAAATACTGAAATTAATATAATTTATTTGATATATTATGATTAGTACAAATGAATGAAGATATCAGAGGTATATCAAAATAAGTATAGGGTAGCAATATATAAAATTATAGTATATCAGATAAATCAACGGTCATTGATTTTTCTGAAAGCAAGATTGACATCTTCAACGTATTTACTGAAATATTGATTGACTTCTTATTTAGGTTTTTTAGGGTCCTATTTTATTAGTTAAATTAAATAAATTAAAAAATTTTTAAATTAATTAATGAATTAGTAAATTACAAGTCTCTTCATATCAGTAAGTTAGAGGAAGAGAGGCTTGGTTTGGAAGAGAATTTCGTTCCAGTTAATCTTGGTTTCACCAGAAGATTCAACAATGGTTCTTCTAGCATTGTCGTAGTAAGTGAAAATACCTCTCATCATACCAATAGTCTTTTCTAAGGGACACATGTAATCATAATCTGAGAAAGCGTTTTATTGTAAGAAATCTTCTCTAATAACTCTAGCGACTTCTAAGGTAAGCTTTTAATCTTCAGAAAGAGAGTCCTTACCGACCAATTGGACGATTTCATTCAATTCATTTTCTTCTTATAAGATTTTTTTAATAGAAGTACGTAAATTAGAGAAATCAGGATCGAAGTTGTTGAAGTAAGGATCTAATTGTCTATTTTTAATAAGATTCAGTCAATTAATATTTATGTTATAAAAGATAAATAAATGATAAATACCTTTCGTAGTTGGATGTAGATTTGTTCCAGTCGACTGAAGGGAAATGTTTACGTTGAGCTAATTTCTTATCGAGACCCCAGAAAACTTGTACGATAGCAAGAGTAGAGACTGTAACTGGATCAGTGAAATCACCACCAGGAGGAGAGACGGCACCGACAATTGTAATAGAACCTTCTCTGTTGGGAGAACCCTAACATTTGACACGACCAGCTCTTTCGTAGAAGAAGGCAAGCTTATTGGCAAGATAAGCAGGATAACCTTATTCAGCAGGCATCTAAGCAAGACGACCAGAAATTTCTCTCAAGGCTTCAGCCCAACGAGAAGTTGAGTCAGCCATCATACTAACGTTGTAACCCATATCTCTGAAGTATTCAGCAAGAGTAATACCAGTGTAAATAGAAGCTTCTCTGGCAGCGACAGGCATGTTAGATGTATTAGCGACCAAACAAGTACGTTGCATAATAGATTCTTTCTTACCATTAATTTCAGTTTTCAATTCAGGGAAATCAGTAAGTACTTCAGCCATTTCGTTACCTCTTTCACCACAACCGACGTAAACGATGACTTCGGAGTTAGAGTATTTAGATAAGGCTTAAGAAATACAAGTTTTACCGCAACCAAAAGCACCAGGAATAGCGCAAGTACCACCCAAGACTGAAGGGAAAAGAGCATCCAAAACTCTTTGACCAGTAAGAAGAGGAACATTACTATTTAGAATTAAATTAAAAAATATTTAAATTTAGTTTATTTCATAAATAAAAGGTAAGTTACCCTTAGAGTCTTTCTAAAACGGGACGAGCTTATCTGACAGGCCAGAAGTGAGACATTTTGTAAGAAGTCTTCTTGCCATCAATTTCGAGTTCTAAAACTTTTTCATGGATGGTGTATTAGCCTTCAGGAGCAATGTAAGTGACGTGACCCTTACCCTTGGGAGGAAGCATAATGTTGTGCTTACAGAACAAGTTGTTTTCGTGACAGTGACCGAAGATATCACCACCAGTAAGCTTAGAGCCAACCTTAATATCAGGTCTAGGAATAAAATGCCATTACTTATCTCCATCTAAAATAGGGACATCAACACCTCTAGGGATGAAAGCTGAACCTGAAACCTAAGCAATAGAACCAAGAGGTCTTTAGATACCGTCAAAAATACCATTCAAAATACCTGTTTTGTTGTAAAAATATAAAAATTATTAAAAAGAATGACAAAGTATTTTTGTTTGCTTGGAAAATGAAATTGAAGTTGTTTGTATTATCAATCAATCCATTATTTGTGCTAATGTCTTATTTTTTAAAGAAAATAATGAAAAGCTAGGTATAGAATATATCTTGATGATTATTAAATAGTAAATTATTCTAGATGTTTTCGCAAACAAATCAAAATCCTTCTAATTTGTTTATTAAATAATTTATTTATTAATTCACTATCTTAAAATCTACCCAACTTTTATTTATTTATTTATTAATTTTCTTAATTTTTTATAAAATAAACAAATTTGCACAATATAATATTTGCTTTTTCAAGATTAAAATGCGTGTATCTTTTTAATAATTAAAATTGAATCTATTTGGCTTATCTTAGCTTAGCTGCTAACCTTAAATTTTATTATTTGCAAATCAGAAAAAACCAATATATTTTTTGAAGTCCTCTATAAAAAAATGACTTACTATTTATTTAATATTTCCTAAAAAACAATCGCTTATTGAAAAATAAATAAATGATTCATTTATTTTTAAGTCTATTTATTGGTTAATTTTATTGCTTATCGTCTTTTTTTAATCTAAATTGGATAATTATTTATATAATTGGATGCGCATATTGTAATTGGATCAATTAATTTTTATATATTTTGGTCTATTTTGGATAATTGATACTTCAATAAATCAAGTTGGTATTATAATAAATGAATTTGTAATTTATTTACCAGGACCAAGTTCGACTGAAAGAGGTTCTTTAGTTCTCATGACTGGATCACCAACAGTCAAACCATCTATTTTTATTTAAGATTTAATTAATTAATTTCATTTAATATCACTTTTCTGATGAAAAGTATTTTTTCTTCTTCTTACAAGTATCTTCGTAACATTGAATAGATGCAGTGTCACCATCGAGCTTGATAATTTCACCGACCAATTTATTCCAACCGACTTTAACCTATAATTGTATATAAAATAATATTTAGCATGCTTTCATTTTTGATTAACATTAAAGTGAGTAATTTTGGTTAAAAGTAATTAATTCTTAAAATCTAAATTAAACAATTTCTTACCAATTCGTACATCTTAGCACCAACCATTTGTTCAGCAACGACCACTATTTTATAAAATTATTATGAAATTTAATATATTTTTTATAAAAAGTTTTCGAATGGAATATTTAAAGGATTTAGAAGAGGATTTTATTTTTCTTTTAGGAGCAATTGTGAAGCAAATCAAAATTAAGAACTGAAGCACTATGTAGAGTGGTAATCAATTAGATTTAGATGCTATTATGTAAATATTAATCAGCATATCCTATTTTGGTCTTCAAACATATTCTGCATATCATAAAAAAGAAAGAAACATTAGACACTAATTAGGATTGGCAGTCTAAATTGTATAATACAAATAAATGCATTCAATGTTAGGTAAAATCATCCTGTGTAGATTTGCTCACTCAACTGCTACTTTACTTTCTTAATTTTTGCACTCTCCTAAACCCTATTACTATAATATTTCTTGAAAGAAAATAGCTTACGAGGACCGGCGACCTTGAAAATTTTACCGAAGTTGGATTCCTTTTCGGCAATTTCTTCTAAAGCAGTTTTTCTTTAAGCCATTTGAGTGAATTAGACTTCTTTCTTACTTAGTTTTTATTTTATTTTTTATTATTATATTAATTTTTGTTTTCTTTAATTGTTTATTTTTATTTTTATTTTATTTGTTTTCCCCTTTTATATTTTTTTATTTCGCTTTATTATCTTTTATTATTGATTAATCTTTCTTCCTATCTCTAATACTTACTTATCTTCATTAATGATTTATTAATTAATTGATTGATTGATTGATTTATGGCTTGTTTCATTCTTTCTTTCTATCTATCAATAATGTTTATACTTCCATATCTATTCTACGATAAATATGCATAAAAATATTTATATACAAGCAAGCGAACTTCATTTCATTTTAATCTTTTTATTATTAATTTAGCTGTTTATCAATCACCTACCTACCCTTTTAATTAATTTTTTAGTATTCAATATTGTTTGATAGAAATCAAAATTCATATGTAAATGTATGATCAAATAAATCTCACAAATTATTGATATCAAAGAATAAAAGAAATTGTTAATATATCTTCCTCTCTCCCAAAGAAAATTTCCATCACTATTCTTTAGATTTTTGTGAAGTCAAAAAGAATTAAAATGATAAACTTACTTCTTAACTTTTTTAAATTTTCAAGCATTTATTTTAAGTAAACGAATAAAATAGATTTGAAAATGTTTATGTAATAGATTAAATCATCAGTTAAGTTCTAAAAGCTTAATTTTTATTAAAATTTAAATTTTTTTTTTTTTTACTAATATCAGAAAATTCCTCATTTAATTAAATTTAATTATATAAACAAAGTTAAAATTAATTAATCTTTTTTGGTCTTACTTCCAAAATATTTTGATAAGAACATTTGCATAAATGAATGAATTTATAAATTTTAGATTGATATCATCTTTATTTTAAGTATTGACATATTTATAAAAAAATGCTCATATAATTGCTTTATCTTCTCTTTCTCTTATAAACAATTCCTGTTTTGTTTTATTTCTTAATTTTAAAAATAAAATCTACTATTTAAATTTTTATCTAGAACATATTTTGAGAATTTTAAAATGATTTATAAAAATGATATCTATTAAATTTATTATCTCTTTTCTATTTCAATTTGATGAAATAGATGAAAATGATTTATATTTAAAATAGAAAAAAAATTATTTAAAATCAACTTAATATTTGAACTGAGAGAAAAAGAGATACATAAAACAATAATTTATTGAGATGAAATAAATATTAAATACTTTTTAATTAGTTAGTTAGTTAATTTTTTAGAATAAAATTTAATTAATATTTACTAATTAGATTATAAAGTAGATAAACGTGATTTATTAATTATAACATTCTATTTTATATTTTATTAAAGGTTAAAAGATATTTTTGGTATATTAGATAGGGTAGGTCAATAAAAGATAAATCTGTTTTAGCTTTTAAAGTTATAATAAATTTTCTATTCTATTTATTAAAATGAAAAACTCTTCTAGACTCAAATATTTTTTAACTCATTTAAAAATAAATTAATTTTGTTTAATTAAAAATAAAATTTTTATGTATTCACACTTGCTATGATTTATCAATTTGCTTAAAGCTATTAGCAAATTCATTCTTAAACTCTTCAGAGAGCTTTTAAATATTTTTTTGAGAGTATTTTGAAAGTTATGGCACACAATTCTGCGAATTCTCTATATTTAACTGCATTGAAGCTCTATTGTTTAAGTACCCTTTAGTTTATTTTAATTTTTGATCATTTTTAAAAATATTTTATAGATAATACAGAGGATTATAAAAGTCTTGCTTTAAAAAATAATTTTTCATATTATTCAAAAAGGGAAGAACTTCATGACATATTTTCTCGCTGTATTTCTTATTTTCTGGATAAAAAAGCATTTAGATGTCTTTGAAATTATTCCTTTTTTCTTATATTGATATATTTTCATCTAAAAAATACTTGATAAGTCTAATTTTTTAATCTGCAATATCAGGATCATCACTAATCAATTTTTTATCAAAAAGCAGTTAGGCCGTTTCTAACGAAGGGTATATTTAATTTTTCATTCTTTCTTTGAAGGTCATATAATTGCTTTATGTTTCATTTTAAATATCTTTATTTGAATTAGAAATGGTTGAGGAATTCAATTAATTTTAAATATTTGTAATTATATTTTATTTATACTCAGTTTAATCTTTTTCTATATTAGTTAAAAGCCTTTTCTGTGATTCTCTTTCACTTTATATCGCTTGAAAATGATTCTTAATATTAGAAGACTTGATTGGTGATAATGATTTTTACTTACTCTTTTAAGAAATAGAAAATCTAGATTTACCTGTTTATTTTTATTAATTTTATTGCTAAATAGATAAAAATAACTGTTAAGGTTGCTATTTTACAGGTATTTCTTTTAACTAAATAAATTTGTTTTAATTGTTAGATTTGCTTTTACCAAAAGAAGATTTATTGTTCTTATCAAATTAATTCTAACTATGTTGTTAAGTCTAGGTCACGAGACCAGGTGTCGTGCTTAATCCTACCAATTTATACTCATAAAGCAAATTTTTACGCTTTTTAGGAATACCTTTTTTAGATTAAAACAAATAATCTTTTGAATCTTAGTATGAGCGAAAGATTTATGACCATTTTTAATTTATATTTTTTGCCTCAGACAAATTTTCTGTTAAAAGGCTTGAAAGATTTTACCTTTTTTAGCTATACATGATTTCTTACTCACTCTCTAATTTATTATCTTCACCTCTTAAGTTTAGCAAAGATAAATTATTTCTTTTACCCATAATTGAGCTAAGTTAATTTTATAATTTTTATTTCATCTAATAATCTTATTCATTTTTATTTTCATCAGGATTTCTTAATTAATGCTGTAAAGCTATTTCTTATTCGATGCTTTATGATTACTAATTTTAAGGGGCTTAATCAGAATTTACTCTAGAATGGATTTATAAGCTTTAATTATTTTTTTCTGTTGTTTGATATTTAATATTTCCTATATTTTAATTGTTGGTGTGTTGATTTAAAAAATTATCTTCATTATCTTTTATTGAATTATTATTAGACCTTTTAAATGATGCTGAATGTTTAAAAGTTTAAAAAGGCTAGTATTTCGATATGTTTGAAATAAATAGTTGGTTATATAAGCTCTAATCTTCACCGTAATTGCTTGTATTTTGATGTGAAAAAGGGTGATAAAACGGCTTGCTTCGTGATGAATTTTAGCTGTTGAAAGTAGATTTTGGACTATGCAGATTTGATTTATATGATAAATTAGTTATGTAAAAATTTCCAAGCTTTTTAGAATTTAAATTTTCAGAGCTTTAGCGAGAGTGAAAATAATTTAAATTTGTTTTATTATTATCACTTTATTAAACAGAAAATTAAGTATGCTAGCTTTATTTTTATTTCTATTTATTATTAAACAAAATATTGTTTCCCTATTCATGAGCATTTGAAGAATAGTTCAAACTATTTTAAGATTTCTGTAGATTTTATCTAGACTTATTCATTTAGTTCAGGTTTTATTCATTATCTGTAGGCTCCTTTGATTCACCTTACAATTGATTAAGTTGTTAGCTAACTTCTTGTAATTGAGAAGAATTATTAGCAATATTTTAGTACTTTATTAAATAAGAGGAATCTATAGTTTTATTTGATGAAGGCACAGATTGAAATATAATATGTTGATCTTCTTAGCTTTCTGAAAATAGTTTATTTTTTGATGCATTTATAATCAGAGTATTCCCTTACTAAGTAGAGTTTTCAATAAAATCTTTACTCATCTCAGTTGAGTTTAAAATATTAGCATTTATTGTAATGCTCTTAATACTATTCGGTTTTTAGATTTGCTAACTACTTTTTATGAAACCTTCATTTGCTAAACCTTGGAATTCTTAGCTGTTTTTGCTATCTTAGACATTTTTTTCATCTTTTTACTATTAGATTTAATTGTATTTGTCAAAAAAATTAACTTTTTAAGGAATAAAAGCTAAATTATCAATTGTTTTCTATTTAAATGAATAACTTTATTATAAATAGGGTTTTTAATTTATGTGCACTGGTTATTAATTTTTTTCATCTGTTTTACTTCCTAAATTTAGGGATTTATTTCTTTAAATCTACTATTTCTAATTTTTTTCAAGTAAAGAAGACTAAAGTGTGTTTTAGTGTTTTAATGGGTTATTTTGTAATTAACTTTATTACACTTATTCATTCTAAATTTATATATTAGATTAATTTATTATTGTTTAAGAGCTCTTTTGTAGTAGAGTTTCTCTCACATGTTTGATTGAACGACTTGAAACTTGATTTGATTCGTTGTTAGGAATAGATGCTTAAGAATTAATATTATTAACCTTTTCAATTTATAGAGGTATATTTTGATGTTAAAGCTATAAAATTTTATACATTGCTTATTGGGAATCTTTGCTGTAGCTTGTTGAATATTTTCGTGAGCTTTTTGTCTGAGAGTTTTTACATTACTATAATGTATTTTATGTAGGAGTTTTATTCTTTGAAATATCCTCTATTGAAATAACACCATTATCACTTATTAAAGATCGCCTAAACTATATTAAATTCTCTGCAGCCTGATCTTTCAAGTTTATAATATTTTTGCATTCTTTATTAGCGCTATTATAGTTAACTCCAAGTGTTTAATTTTACATTAGCTATGGAGTTTCTAATTACTAGATCCTAAGATCATAGTTGTCTTTTTGTTACATTACTTAATTAATTAATTATTTTTTAATTAAATAACACTTTTTATTAAATTACTGTTTTCAGAAACACACAAACACACACCTTCAAATATATTGATTGATTGATTAAAATATAATTCAGTCAAATGTTTCTAATTTATTTTCTACTTGATAAATAAAATACCATAACAAAAGAAAAGAACACTGATTTATTTTAATTACAAGATATTAAAGTAATCTTTTTGATATATATAAAGTAAATTTCAAAAAATATTAATCTTACCAAAATATTTGACTGAAATCTTTTTAAAATTAAACATAATATGATAATGTATTAAATTTACCACAAAACAGGTTTGAGACATTTAGAATACCACAAATTGTAAAAAGAACTTGTGTCAAATCACCATTTAATACAAAATAGCTTGAAATAATATATTGTTTGTTGCTCTTATAAAATAAATGTTAATTTTAAATTATTTGCAAAATATTTCAAGAATATTTTTTGAAACCAGCTATTGCAGAATATTTCTAATTTAAATGAGAATATCAAAAAATGTTTAAATAAATTATTCTAATTTTTACATTAAATTTTTTAATAGAATAATTTAAAATAAAACTTAAGATTTGCCATTTCAAATTTTCTAAATAATTTCTAAATTACTTTTCAAATTATTTTTATGTTTAAGCATGATAAATAAATTATAAAATACTTAAAAATAAATTTAATAATAAATTGATTTTGGTGAATTAAATAAAAATACTTAAAATAAATTTAATAATAAATTGATTTTGGTGAATTAAATAAAAATACTTAAAAATAAATTGAATAATAAATTGATTTTGGTGAATTAAATATTTGTAAAAAAACAATCAATTATCAGAAAATTATGAAAATATTTTTACTTTAATATTTATATTTATTTTTGAAAATGTAATTTTTTGAATAAAACATATTATTTTGCCTAATAATAAAAAGAGACAGTAATTATTTACTTAATATTAAAATTGAATTTCAAAAAAATTTAATTATTTATTTTTTGTTTATGTTGTAAATATAATTTATTATTTATTGTTTGTAAATTTTTAAATTTTGGTTTCAAAATATCTTTAAGTAAGTAGCCCTTTTAATTTTTAGATAAGTAGAAACTTGAATCAAAAGCAATAATATGATAAAATAAATTTACATTTCATTTGTAATTTAACGAATAAAAATATATCTTTTGCTTAAAAAATATTGTTATTTTATCATTAGGTTTTAGCAATTTTCTTAAGACTCAGCTTAGCAGATAGTATCAATCCAAGTAAACAAAAAATATGCTTATGATAAGAAGATATAAATTTATTTAAACCTTAAAAAGGTTCTGTAACATCCAGTTGCCCATGCAATTAAGTTTAGGGTGTGAAAGAGTATGAATGCTGCTGCGATACAGACACTATACCTAATATTACTCCTAGTGTTTGCATAGAAAAGAGTAGCTTCACATTTAGATTTATTAAATTCTAATTAAATGTCTTTTATTTTGAGTATAGATTATGGAAATGTCTTTTCGATACCTTTATATTCTGACTTAAAATTAAAAACTTCTAGTATAGAAGATCTTTATAACCCTTTTAGACTTGCATATCAGGTAATCAATCTATTTTAAATTAACAATTTTATCATAATAAAAATTATTTTACCAAGGTAATTAAAACTCTTGGAAGTGTAATGGATAGAAATAGTGTATAAAGTACTATCAGTTTCTCATTACCTAGTCCTTCTGATACCAAAGACTTCAAATAAATATTAATTGATTAATTAAATTAATAAACATATTAAGCTCTTCCTTCCTATTTGCAGGTAGCTATTTTGAATCAAATTATATAAATCAAGCAAGTTTAACACTTTTTAATTTATAAAAAATTAATGAAAAGCCTGAATAAAGGGTAATTAACAAATTCAACTTTGCAACTAATTCAAGTTTTAGTGCTGTTTCAACTTCATCAAATGCTTTATATTTCAATATGTTTGTGAAAGATGAAGTTACAGGAAATTGCATCTAGTATATGGCTACAACATATGTAATTAATTCTTACTCATTTAAAAATTGTATTATATAAAAATAAATATAATTTATTTTTTCAGGAAACTGTAAAATACCAATCCTGTAAGATAAGAGACACAAGTAACAATTTTTATAAAAATATGGGAAGTTCATTAACTTAAAATGATCTTTGCTATGATCTAACTAATGTATTCGAGTTAACTTCTTAAACTCCTAGTGCTTGTGTTACTACAAGCACAACTACTGTTATAGGTTTTGTTAATTCAAATACTGCAACAAAAGGGATAATATATATAAGGTATCCTGGTAGTACTAGCCCTAATGTATTTTTAGGAGCAAAGTTTTATTATGACTATGTAATTAATTAATTAATTATTAGTATTCTAGCAAAAAAAATAAATTAAAAATATTTTAATGAATTAGGCTAACCGTAGTGGTACTACTCCTAAACCTAAAAGCGGTTACTAAATAGGAGATCCATTGGCATTTTATATCAGCGGTAACGTCTAGAAAGGTCTGCCTTTTAATGATATTTTTAATACAAGAGGAGTATGCTACTAAACTGGTTCGACTTATAATATGCTACATCCAATAGTATATATAATTTTTATTATTTTCAATACAAACAAACTTAATAAAAAATCTTTTTAATAGGATTTATAATTCGGTAGAAATTTGACAATATCTTGTAGTGGATAATTGAATACAAGAACTATGCTGACTACTATCACTCAAATTGGAAAATTTTCAAATCCAGATCCAAGAGCACCATTTGATTGGGTACCTATCTAGATTAGTGTTACTACTGGATTTAATATTGCCATTCAAGTTTACTATTTTAAGTAGGGTAAAGACACTAATCCTACCTACAGAATTACAAATGCTTAATTCAAATAAGTTCCAAAAATTAATTAAAGTGATAATGGTGTTGTTTCAATTCTTTTCTATTAATAGCCCTAAAGTCCTAATTTTTTTATAGCTGCTCCACCTTAGCTTACAGCAAAATTACCTCGTAACATACTGTATCCATTCTTTACTTTCAACGATTGAAAAGTATTCTAAAAAAATAATTTTAAAAAAATAAATAAAATATTTTAATTATTATAAAATATATTAAGTGAATAAGTAAGTAATTAAGCAATTAACTATCTTTTTTTATGTATGTATGTGTGTGTATATTACTAAATTTTAATAATTTTACTAATTGATTCATAGATTATTCGCGAAAATTAAGAAAGGTTTCTTTTATCAAAAAAAAAAATGTATCAATATTTGTTTTTTAAAAAAATTAATCTCTATTTTTATAGATAACTAATTAATATATTTCAATCAATCAATCAAATTAATAAATAAATAAATAAATAATAATTAATTGTAAAATTAAAAGCAAAAATTTTATACCATAAATTGAATTAGGTAACATAAATAATATAAACTTCATAGTGATAATGAGCAAAAAGAGTTCCTCAACAATTGAATTAGACGAAACAATAACAAAAAATTTATAAAACAACAAAATCTCATATAAAGAATATATAAATACTAGTATTTAAGTAAAATATATGGTTCCTTGCACCGCAAAGTGTTTTGTTGATTATTAAACACCATTAAGTGGAGTAGAAAAGGCTTGTCTCGCAAAATGTATTGATAGGGTTGCTGATTATTACGCCATCTCATAATCTGAATTAAATCCCAATAATAAATAGAATCAAAAGCATATGTTTTAAGCATTTAACCTTCCAGTAAAAGACTGAAATATTAATCTCTCACTAAAAACAAACCGATTAATTGATCTAATTTGATACTTATTTTGATTTTAATTAAATGTCTCAACATTTTCGTTCGTGTATGCATATTTGTAAATAGGTTTTATAACATAATTATTATTTCCAACAAATCTCTTTTATGTGTAAGTATTTGATTAAAAATATTTTATATAAATTGAGTTATTTTGTAAGTCTACTTATAGTATTAAAACTAAAACAAAACAACACATAAAAACAAGCAAGTTTAAAAAAAAATCTTTCGAAATCAAAAAGAATATTCGTAAGCAAAGATATTAATTTAGTTATCTAACTACTAATACTAAATGAGTTATACTTAATTTTATCAAATCAGGCTCTTTTGTGAAGCAAATATGATGGTAGATTACCTATTGAGCCTGCTATTTCATATTAACCTGGAGATGGCTCAAATAATTAACGAATATCCTGCTTAGATCTTTTTTGCTAAGTAAATCTATATTTTTTAATCAAAAATTAAATTTAAAATAATTTTTTAATTTTTTGTTAAATAGTCAGTTACGCAAATTTAGGACTTTGTGATAAAAAGGAAACATCATATGAGCCTGGACCAGGAAAATTAATGGAGGATTCAATTTTATTATGTTTACCTTTTATTTTTGCTCCTTTTGATAAATCTTAAAAGATATAATATTTAGATAAATGAAGGTCTTTATAAAATAAATTGAGTTACCTATGCTACTTTGATTTATATTATATGAACCAGGTCCAGGAACCTCTTACTGAACTTTCCATTTTCCTTTGTTTACATGAGTGCTTATTTTAGCATGTGGACTTTACCCTAAAGAAGTGGGAATATCATAGCTATTTTAAATGTTTTATAAATAAAATAATAAATTTAATTAGTTAATTTACTTTCCTGGCCCAGGTGTTTTTATATTAGGAACTAAATCAGGTCTTTTTGAATATCCAAGCCCTCTATTTCTTAATTTTTAAATTTATTTTTTTTAAATGTTTTTTGAATTATAAATTCCAAAATTACTATGGCTGTTTTACATTGAATTCTTTGAGAGTATCATCTCTAGAAAAATTAGTAGATAGATATGATCCAGGGCCAGGAGTATCACTCATTACTAAACCAGTTCTAAGTGAAGCACCCATTCTTTAAAATATTTTTAAATAGGTTAATTTATAATTTTAAATTAATTAATAATACCTAATAGTTGGTTTTCTTAAATTCACATTAATATCATAAGTCCCTGGTCCAGGAACAGAGGACTTAAACTTGTCTTTAACAGATATTTTTTAACCAAGAGTAAAGTTTCTTTGAGAATAATATTAATTAGTAGAAATATTAAAGTGGCCTGGTCCTGGAGTACTGTCTTACTTCATCATCATTCTTCCACTTTTAGCAAAACTTTTGATAAAATATTAATTGTCTTTAAAAATATTTCACTAACTATATACGTTGTTCCTTTGCTATTCAAGAAAGTAGTTTCTTAAAAATAATCCCCTGGACCTGGTAGAGAAGAAGGAGTCAAATACTCTTCACTTTTTTGAGCCCTAAGGGTGTCAGATTAATTGGTTTTCAAAATATATTTGCTTTAATTAAACTTATCAGTAAACTAATCATTAATGTCATAAGCGCCAGGGCCAGGTGTTTATAGTGTAGGCTTTAATTCTTCATATCTTAAAGAGAAACTATACTAAGGAGAACCTTATTTATTCTAATAAGATTTAGTAACTTCATAGCTTTATTTAAATAAAAAATAACTTCATTTATTTTGTTTTTGGACAAAATTTTAATTCAAATAAAACCCATAATAATTTTTTAAAGAAATTTTACCTTCCAGGTCCTATCTCATATTTATCTCCAAACTCTTTGTATTTACACTTACTAATTGACATACCTTATCCACTTCCCTTTAAGTTAATTACAAAAGCATTATATATGACAAGAAAAGATATTAAATAATAAAAATAAAATTTAAACCATAAATAAAAATAAATTTTGTTAAAAATAATTAATTTTAGTTACTATATCTGATTTTAATTCATATGCGCCTGGGGGAGGTACTCCATTTTGTTCAAAAATTGGCTTTCTTGGGGATTTTGAAATTCTTTTTTTATAAGAGTCCAATCATTTTTTAGCTTAATTAATAGATGATAAAATAATCATCGAAATAATTCTAAAATATACTAGTATTATGGTAATCTAGGAGAGTTTATAGTAACATTTTCATTATTGTAAGCGCCAGGTCCTGGAGTTTAGTTTTAATTGTATAAGTCCTCTTATATATAACATATTAGTCACTATTATTTATTTAATAGCAAAAAAACAGAATTTACATCTTTTTGATTTTCCAAGGGAAAAAGCACCACCAAAAGAATACGTGATTGAATTTGAAAATACTGACATCGAACTAAGATTATTTTTAGGATAATTTACTATTTTTTATTTTGGAAATTCTTCTTTTTTTAGAGAAATAAGCTATAATACTTGTTGGCTAAATTCTTTAATCTACTTATCTATTCAAAATGTTTTGATCTATCAGATAATTTACAAATAAAAAACAAACATAAATATAACAAATATATTAATTAAATGTAAAGGCTTGATACTTTAATTAAAATTGTAGAAAATTAATTCAAATGCTTAATAAAATTTCTTTATTTTGCGTTTTTGCCTTCAGAAATAACCTAAAAAATTACTTAAACCAACTTAAATTAAAAATAGTTTATAAAAAATCTTAAAATTAAATTATTAAATTTGTAACATCTTCAATATAAATTTTTAACTCTAGGTTGGTAGATCGTAATATATTTGGTTAATAATCAATCTAATAAATAGAGTTAAATTATTTGATAGATAAATTGTTTTGGCAGCAATCAATCAAGCAAGTAATATATAAATAAAAAATAAAAGAAGAATAAAATAATGGTAAGTAAATTTAAATAGATAAAGATGTTAAAAAGACATACTTTATACAAAATAAAAATACATTGTCAATAATATATCAATTAAGTAGGTATTTATTTTATGTATTTACTTATTCATTTATTTATTTTTATTATATAATTATAAGCGATAATTTAATTTTCATTTTTAAAAATGCTCTATACGTATAATTATCATCATCATTATTATTATATTTTATTTAAATATTTTTTTATCATTCATTAATAATTAATCACCAGCCATCAGAAAGATCAGTATTAACCTTCTTAGCAGCAGATTGCTTGACTTCTTCAACCTTCTTGGTTTCTAATACTTTCTTTTCCTACTTTTTATTTATTCATTCAAAAATTTATTTTTTCAAGAAATTTATAAAATATTTCTTACAGCTTCCTTTTCCTTCTTGACCTTTTCAGCTTTCTTTTTGGCATCTTCAACAGCCTTCTTTTCCTTTTGGTGGTCCTTGACGGTGTTCCAATCTTCTTCAGTCTTCTTTTCTTCAGCCTTAACTTCCTATATTTATAAATATTTTGTTATAAATTGTCAAAAAAGTGAAAAAATTTTTATAGTTACGGTTTTGTTTTCAGCAGCCTTCTTGCTGTTAGTGATTTAAGGCTTGTTAGCTTCACCAATAAATCTCTTATTTTCACCAGTAGGCTTGGGTCTATTAGCTTCATTAGAGATCTTTCTAGTTCTAGGTTGGGTGTGTTGGGTTTCAGTAGCTTCTTCGGTGGGTTTTTCGGTGGTGGCATTTTCGGTCTTTTCTTCAGTGTGATTTTCAGCATTTTCTCCTTCTTCAGCTAAATAAATAAATAAAATAGATTTTAAAATAATACAATAATATTGAATATTTTTTTTTACATGTTCTTTTGTTGAAATTCTTTTTGGCCTTGCTCTTGAAGTACTTTTATGTTTCGTGCTTTTCAGTGTGACCGCTAGCACCTAATTAGTTCCATCCTTCGTGGGTTTGGTGATGAGCGTGATCATTAATTCTGATGAAGAATTTCTTGTCTAAGATAGGCTGATTAAAAATAATAAATTAATTAAAAATATTTAAATTTAAGTAAAAATGAAATATATTTATTGATGCAATCACTTTTTTGATGCAATATTAAAATTTAATTTCGAATAGTTGAATAGTTGGATTTAAGTCACAAAAATTTCTACAGATTTTATTAATTTTGGTTATTGGAAAGTTAGTTATTTATGTTGATTTTAGGAAGATAAAGATATAAATTTAAGAAGTATCAAAATTTTTATGTTTTGATTAAAAAAAGAAAAGATCGAATAACTAAATATCTTCTTTTTTTCATGGTAAACTGTCTCAATTTAAACGATTTGAGTTAATTTTGCAGTTAAAATTATTTTTCACTTTAAATAAAATAAATTAATAAGGTATTTATTTACTCTGATAGGAGCCTTGATGAAGCTAATAGCATCAGCGTGGTTTTTGAAGGTTAAGTTGAACATACCTTCTTTCTTAACGACCTTAGAAATGTTCATGTTGAACTCCTTATAAGTTTCCTTAACGTCCTTCCAGGTAGCTTCGGGATGAACCTTATAGATGTTAAGAACGACAACATTGTTTTCAGAAGCTTTAATCTAATCGATAAGATCCCATCCTATATTACAAAAAAATATTATTTGATAAATTTTTAAAAATATCAAAATTTTCAAAATTATAAGATTTTACTAATATAAAATTTCATTTAACTAGCGCAAAATCTAAAAATCTAAAAACTTATTCAAATCAAAGGGGGAGATAGTTAAATAGAAAGATAGATATGTAGATAATTGCTTTAAATGCACCTAGTTATTTTTGCTTATATTTTAAAATTATTACTGGAAGGGTACTTCTTTTAAACGGGAGCTTCCTTCTATTCTTCAGTGTGTTCACCTTCTTGGGTAGTCTTTTGTTCTACCTTAACTTATTCTTCAGTAGCAGTCTTAGCTAAAATTTGTAAAAAATAGTTAAATAAGGACATTCATTACATTGCTTAGTATGTTGTTATTATTGTTTTAAATATTTCCAAAAATCATTTTTTTCATTGTTAAACTTAAAATTTTTTAAAATTTAAACAATAATTCTATTTAAAATTTTAACACAGCTTTGTATTTTGATATTCTTTTTTATGAAACTTGTTAGAAAATAAATATTATCTATTAATTTGGTTTGGCTATGTTAATGGTTAATTATGGGAATTTTATCATCAAAATTTTGATTTTGTAGTAAAATATGTAGTGTTTGTGTAGTAGCTCTATTCCTTTTAGTAGTAGCTTATCCAGGATAGAAGCGCTACCACTTTATTATAAAATTTCAATTTAAAAAATAAAAATTTTGTCTACTTTCAACGTCAGCCATTTTAAATGAAGATATCTATTTCTTCTTAACTCTTCTTTTCTTTTTTCTTTTTAACTTTTTAATTTTGGTTAAATTATAATTTTCTTTTTTTAAAATCTAGCTTTGATATTTTATATAATTGGTGATCATCTGATTCAAAATGAATGAATATATGTATGTATGATACATTTGCTTAATTTATTAAGATATATCATTTCAATCGCACATTAAATTCACAAATACATGCATAAAATCAGATTTAAAGAGAAAAAAAAAACTTGATAAAAATGAAAACTAATTTTTTATTAGTTTCTCACACATGTAGTAATAATACAGAAAGAACATATCAATTTGGCCTTTATAAAAAATAATAAATTCAACTATAACAAATACTATGAAAGCATAAATTGAATTCTAAATTTATAAATATTTTATTAAGTAAATGTTAAAAAATTAACTTCATTTAAAGTGAATTCATTTATTTTATTTGAATAAAGCAATACTAAATTTTTTAAATTAATACTAACAATTGATTAATTAACTAATTGATATGATAACTTTTCTAGAATATTATCTGTTAAACCTTAGAAAACAATAAAATCTACAATATAAAAATATAAAATATCTTTTTACTTTTTGATTAAACATATTTGCTAAAAAAATAATTTCTATATGATAAATTTGATTTGAATTTCCTGCTTACTTGATTGTATTACATTTTTCTAAAGATACATATCCTTTGATAAGAAATTCTAATTTTTGATAAGTAATATGTATCTTATCTTCTGATTAAAAATTGTTTGTTTATTTAAAATAATTAAATATTTTGATAAATTTTCTCTATTTCTTGATTTTTAAAAAAATGAGATATATTTTATTGATTTTTTTAGTAATAGTCAGCTTTTCAATAGCTCAACAGATTATTTAATCTCACAACCTCAAGAAATAAAGAATAGCCTTTGGGTCTTGCAATAAATTCTTCAGAAACCATAAGTCTGATATCTTTTATGACATTGCTAAATAAAATCCTGATATATGGGTTTGGTTAGGAGATGTTGCTTATCTTGATTATATGCCTCTACCAGCTTATTGGATACCAGATACAGATTTCTACTAAATAAAACTTAAATTAGATGCCACTAAAAACGATCCAGGTACTTTTTTTCCCCAATTTCACTATTAAAAAATGTTCTTAAAACAAGTTTTTTAAATTTATTTTTAAATAAAAAATTTTAGCTTATTAAGAAATGCTCAAAAAAGTAAATGGTGAAGTTGGAGTTTGGGATGACCATGATTATGGCCATAATAACTCTGGAATGACCTTTAAGTATAAGGAGCATATAAGATAAGTTTGGCTTGACTTCTTCAACGAACCTTAGAACAGCGAAAGAAGAACAAGAGATTCTGGCATTTACACTTCTTATTATCTTGGCTAGTAAAAAAAAATAAAAATCATATTAACTGATGTCAGATGGAATAGATAAAGCACTGATATTTTAGGTATTTAATTAATTATGATCTATTCTTATTTTAAATTTGCGATTTCGTTAAAGGTGAGAAGCAATGGATATGGCTAGAATAAGAATTAAATGATCATAAAGTAGAGTTATTTATACTAGGAACTGGATCTTAGTTTCTTCCTGATGACAGATTTATTCCTGAAACATGGGATATCAAAAGCAAAGAAAGATTCTACTAGATAGTAAATAAAACTAGAGCAAGTGTAGTTATTATCAGTGGAGATGTTCATTATGCTGAGTTAATGGAACATCCTTGCTCTCAAAAAAGTAAAAAGGAATTTGGATGGTTTTAGTTTTTATATTTTTTTTATAAAATAAATAGAAGTAGGATATAAGTTAGCTGAAATAACTTCAAGTGCATTGTCTTTTGATTTTAATAGTATATAATATGGAGAATTTGAAGCAGCAAATTACTTTGTTTTAACTACACCAACATATAATGTAAGTAAATCTTGAAAAATATATTACTTTAAATGTTATTTTTAAATGAATCATAGGAAGAAAAAGATAGATTCAATGGAAGGAACTACGGCATTATTGATGTAGAATGGGATGAAAATAATATTGGTTTAACTAAAATAAAATTGCAAGTCTATACAATAGGCCAGATTGAAAAACCTGTTTTAGAAAGAACTTACAAATTGGAAGAGTTCAAGTATTCAGCAGAAAGATAACAAAATTAAAAATCTTGTGTAGTAGATGATGTACCAGCTAACGATAGATGGAAAACATTCGCTTTAAATAACTTAAAGAGATTGTTTACAGAATTTAATTAAAAAATTGTTATTGGAGCATTAATAAAACTTGTTTAACTTGTTTTGCTTTTGAGATTTTATTGGTATCTTATCTACATGGTTTTTTTCTACTAAATAAAGGAAAAGAAAGATTGATCGATCAATCAATTAATTAACCTGAATAAAAATACAGACAAATATTTAAAAATAATAAATATTTTAGTAAAAATGTTATTTTTTAATCTTTAAATTGCTGTACTTTTTAATAAAATTTTAAATAAAGACACATTTTATCTACAATTTTTTATTTTTCATATTTAAATAAAATTTTTATTCAACTTTTGAAAAAATTTGTTTAATATTTTTAGATATAATTTTGAAACTCATTTTAATTTTTTGTAATATTCATAACATCTTTTTTTGGTAATACAAAATATTTAGATTCTTTATAAGCTCTTACTTATTGTAGTTAGCAGTTATATTTATTGAAGTGTAATTTTATTTAAAAGATACTTTTTCTTTGAATTAATTATCTTTTAAAAGTTGTTTTTTTCTGAAAAATAAAATTGTTTTTATTTATTTTTAATTTAGTTAAATTTATTGTCTCCAGTAAAAAAGCAAAAATGATCTTGCTACGATAACTCAAATTGGACGGAATTTTATTTATAATACTTAAATTCGCAAAAATAAACTCTCAAGAAATAAAATTAATTTCTTATAAATATTAAAATTCATCTCAAGTTATTTTATAATTATACTTTTTCAAAATAATTAGCGAAGATTGTTTGCCTTTTTTAGATAAATTTCAACTTTTATTTTTAAAAATATTTTATCATTTGCATTTAATTTGTTTTAAAAAATAAAATTTTTGTATATCAATCGAATAAACTTTTATTTAGTTTAAAAATAGAAGATATTAATGTAATTTTTACCATACAATTTAATGGGCATACTAAAATAATATAAAAATTATTGCAATAATAAAATATCATTTTTTTTTCTTTTTCTTTTTCTTCTTCTTTAAATTGACAGGAGGGAACGGCATCCTTAAACCATCGTCTTTTACATCTGTGAATTTATTTATGTTTCTAACAATTAGGACATCTGGATTTTACTACTTAATCTCTTCTAACTCCGCATCTCCAATACTAGGAGTGAAATTTATAAAGATTCTTTGTATATTTTAGCAATATTTTATTAGAGTGACTAAAACTTCTTCAGATATATTCTCAAGATTATTTAATTCAACAAACTCTAAGTTAGGAGTAATTTAAAATAATTTAGAAAGCTATCCATTAGTTAAACTTTTGAGTCCACCTAGCTTAATAGTCTTTAAAAATTAAAATGTAGGAGCCTTTTTAACACTGTTAGTACCTTATTATAAATTATTATTATTAAAAAATTATAGCTTTCTTAAAATATTTAAGTTTTCATACCATTTATCATTTATGAGATACCACTATCTTCAATATTAGTAGTGCCAGTTAGAATTAACTATTCTAACTATCTACAATCACCAATTTTTTCCATTATATGTTTACTTGCTTCTTCCTGTAAGTCAAATAAAAAATTAATAAGGATAAAAATAAGTTTATTTATTTATTTACATTAGTCATAAAGGATAAATCTAAATGTTTTAGGTGATCCATAGAATTATATATAATAACAGATAATTTTTCTCCTGAAAGTTTTTAACAATCTTTTTAAAATAAATGATTTAAAATTTAATTTTCCAATAATTAAATACTTGATAGCGAAATGTGTTTGAACTTCTATCCTTTATCTATAAAGTAATCTAATGTTGCATTTGTAATATTGTAATCAAAAGACAAATTTATTCTTTGCAGTTATGGTGCATCTTTCAAAGGCTATAACGAAAAATCTTTTTTTATTTATAAAAAATTTATTCAAACTTATATTTATTTTTATATTAAGTTTACCAGTAACAGAATGATCATTATGGGCTGCAAAGAATTTTTTAATATTAGGTTTGGCATTCAAGAATTTCTTAATTCCTTGCTCAGTTAGTACAGGACAATTGCTTATATCTATGGAATGAAGTCTTATTTGTTAAAATTTTATTATTTAAATATAATAATAAAGTAGCTTATAATATTACTTTGAACATGATATGGCTAATTCGTATAAAACTTCATCAACTAAATCAGTTCCTGAAAGATTTAATTCTTCAATATTCGGTGCAAAATATCCAATTTTATTAACGAATTCATTTTTAATCCAAGTGTGATTTTAAAGGTTTAAGTATTTAAGTTCATTATTCAGAACTTCCATCAAGTTCTATTCTGTCAAAATAGAATTAGGCAGTTTCTATATATTTTAAAATATAAATTAACAGCTACCTTTATAAAAAATAAACTTGTTAAATACCTTAAGGTGACGAACTTCTTCACTTTCATAATTAGGCTCGTAAGTTATTTCTCCTATTTGTCTAACATGCCTACTAAAATTTTCATCAACTTTTGATACTGGTATTTCACAGCTTAGGGGTAGAAAGTTGCTGTATTAAGGAAGATCTTTATTTGTTTCTTCTATCTTTTTATATGTTTTAATAGTTTAACTACCATTATCTATAAATGTTTGTTTTATTGTTTTAATTTCAATTTCAAATAATTAAAAGGCTAAAAAACTTTGTTTACAATTTTACTACGAGCTTCTCTTTTGGAAGTTGTTAAAGATAAAGTAGAGTTTTTGTATCCATCAGGAGGAACTCCTACTTTTTCTTCCAAAATAGGTTTTTGAATTTTTTATAAATTTTAAAAAGGTTTCTTCAGAGTAAATTTTTATTCTGCATCTTGTCTCATTTTTAATTAATACAAGTAATCTAAATGTGTGGGATCTTCTTTTGGTTAGGGTTTTGGCATAAAAAGTGGATTTTTTAAAACCCTTGGATAATTCATTGTACACCATCCTATTGAATTATAATTTAAACAAAAAATAATTAACAATAAAAATATGTTTTATTTTCTTTTTGTATCATTTTTAGTTGTTATATCTGTATATTTTGAAACTATTATTTACCAACTAATGATTTATGGTTTCTAAAAGATGGAAATTAGTGGTTCTCAATATTTTTATTGACAGTCTCAGTAATTGAGAACTGCTGTTTATTTTAATTCATTCAATGAATATACTTTAACTACTTTCGCCAGTTAGTTCTCTTTCCTTTTTATATAATTTCCTATTTTATTATTCTATATTCCTAAATATTAGATATACAATAAATTTTGTCTTTTATAAGATAGATAGTATTATTGATTAATTTCCAACGAAATTAATTTGTTGCGAATTCTTGTAAATTTTACAATTAATAAAAAAATATATTCTTTTTACTTCATATTTCAAATTATATACTTTTTTCAATCAGATACTTGTCTTTTGAAAATTTCAAATATATTCACGATTTTCTTGATATAAGTTGATAAAAAGCTTAGAATGATTACTTGATACTCACTTTTTTACCACTGAATTAAAAAAAAATATTAATATCTAAATTTTTTAATAGTCATTCAAGTACCATTAATTTTTAATTTGAAAAATTTTTTTAAAATAATATTTTTGTTTTAGGAAAGTTTATTTATTTAATAATTTTGTCAATTACTAAACTAATAATCAAAAAAAAATTTCTTTTTAAATTAAAAAAATAAATAAGCACTTTTAAAATAATTTAATTTCTTATGTCAATTAAAGCATAAGTTAATATAATATATTTTAGCTTTTAATACATAAATATTCATTTAAAAATACAAAATTTTTTACCTTTAAAAATGTTTTTAAATTAAATTTAGTTGTAATATATACATGAGAAGTTACTGTGATTTTATAATTATTAGAGTCAATTTTTTTTTGCTAATTTTAAAAATTATTACTTCATTTTTAAAATTAAAATTAATAATTGATAAAACTGAGAAAAATAGAGGACATGTTTTATATCAATAAAAAAATAAGATTTTGTCATACTTTTGTAAAGAATAAATTGATTTCAGGAAAGAAAAAATTACAAAAAATAAATTCTATATAATAAATAATCTTTGAATTTTGACAAAAATTTTTAGTAATTTATAAATGGCTATTTTTCACATTGCTAATAAGTTTTTTTTGATAGATTTTTCAAAATATGCATTTAAAAAATGTTGATAATTTTATTTTTTAATATTATTATAATTATAAATTTACTCACATAAATAAATAATTTATTTTGCATTTATAATTCAAATAATTTTTTCATTAAGCAATTGTGTCGTTATCTGATTTTTCAGCTATGTAAATTGTATGTTCTATAAAATCAAAGCCAATATAGTAAGCCTAGAGAGCTGCATAACCTATACTGAGGTTACTATTGTAAAATGTAGGGTACAATAACAATTCATAAGCTCCATCAGCTAACTTTCTTGAGTATTATTAAGGTTTCAAGTTAATTGAAAAGGAAGATCCATCTTCAGCAGTTACATCAATCTATATATTTTTAAGTTTTTGAATTGATTTCACATAAAGAGCATAATCTTTGTCTGGTTAGTATACGAATGCAATTCCCTAGCGTTTAAAGTCTTGTAAAATTAGCTTAAGAGAAAATTCTGGTATCTAAATATATGGATCGTTTATGCTAAAACTTACAGAATCATAGCCATATAAACTCAAATTTCCATAATTCATATTTCCATTTGATGAGGCATAATATCCATAATTACCTGTATAGGGTTTTAAAGTAGTAAAACCCTATCCTTTTTTTATCAAATAGTAGTTAGGATTGCCAATATCAATACTACCTACAGTACTTTTATATTTAATATTATTGATATCTATATAGAATTTCTTGCTATCTATCAACCCTTATGAAAACAGCTAATCGATTATATTGTCATTTTTTACTTATCCTGGTTAATTTATAAAGCAAAGTTGGCTGTCAGGAATAGCATCATAATTATCTAGTACAGAGAAATTCAAGTCAGCTTTAATATTTCCTGATGAGAAAGTAGATGCGAATTCTTCAGCATTTGAGTAAAAAGGGCTTCTTCCAAGGTCCTATGCTCCACATTCAATGGCCTCATCACTTGGCTACTTTACAGCATTAGAGCAATAGTTTAAATCTGGTACAAAATTCACCAGACATCCATTTCGCTCGTACAGATGAATAAATAAATTGTCAGATATGTGAGTGCTCAAAGGAAGGCTAACACTGGAAATACAAGAAATACCGTTTAAAACAGATAAATAGGTAAAAATAAAAGTAATAGTAACTTTTTTATTCATTATCACTATTTATTTAAATTAGATTTTTTTTTAATTAATTTATTTAGTACAATTTATGAACAATTAGTTTACTATTTTAAACGCATTTGAATAAGAAAATAATAATAATAAATTATTAGGTTGAAATGAGTTTATATTTTCTTTTCTTTTATTATTCAATAGTAAAAGAATTTCAATAGATATACTTTTTAAATCTTTTCTTGCAAACTTTCTATATAAGATTCAATATACTTTAGGTTATACTTATTTATTTAAGCATAAATATATAAGATAACATAATAATTTCACTTCCTTTCTCTAAATTGTTTTCCTTGCTATTATCTTCTTTTTCTAGTTAACTTAAGTAATTTAAACTTTTATCTTTTGATAATATAACTTATATAAAATTGAATAAGTGCACATAATTATTTCATTATGCGTAGAATAAATACATAGCTTGTATCTTTTTTATTAGAAAATTAATTAAAAATAGATGAAAAAATTATCAGTAAATTATTGAGAAATTTTTATTACATTAACAAAAAAATGATTGCATTAATTTATAAAGTTTTTAGTGATTTTTAGTTTGAAAACTGGTGAAGTGTTTATTTATAAATATCTACTCATATGAAATCAGAGTAAAATATCATTATCTAAAAACAATTATTTTCATTTTTTAAAAATAAATTTTAAGAATGGAATTTTTGTAAAAGAAAAAGTACTTTATTTAAATTTGGCTCATTTAATAAATCTTATGTCATATTCATCATTTTAATTTATATATAAATGCCTTTAAAATTACTTAATTTATTATGTCAGTTGTAGCCTGAAATAGTAAATGATAAGATATGTTACATTTTAATACATAAATAAATCCATAGTTTTCATTTTAAAAATGTTTGTTGATTAAATTCAGTTGTAATATATGTAAAATTGCTGTAATTTGATAATTATTCAAGATTAGAGTCAATTTTTTTGCTAATATCATTACTTCATTCTATAACTAAAGTTAATAATTGCTAAGACTGAGAAAAATAGAGGACAGGTTTTTTATCAATGTGGGAAAAAAATAAGATTTTGTCATATAATTGTATAGAATTAATAGATTTGAGGAAAGAAAATCTTGTAAAAAATAAATACTCTATTATTATATTTGACTTTTGATAAAAATTATCAGAATTTTTTAAATTACTATTTTTCGCACTGCTAATAAATTTATATGTTAACCTAAAATTAATATTTTAAAATAGTTAATTGAAAAAATAAAATTTTTATAATATGAATTTAAAAAATGTTGATAATTTTATTTATATAATATTTTTATAATTATAAATTTACTCACATACAAAAATACTTTATTTTTTATTTATAATTCTAATAATTTTTTCATTAAGCAATTATGTTGTTATCTGATTTTTCAGCTATGTAAATTGTATGTTCTATAAAATCAAAACCAACATAGTAAGCCTAGAGAGCAGCATAACCTATACTAAGGCCACTATTGTAAAATGTAGGGTACAAGAGTAATTCATATGTTCCATCATATAACATTCTTGAGTATTATTAAGGCTTTAAGTTAACTGTAAAGGAAGATCCATCTTCAGCAGTTACATCAATCTATATATTTTTAAGTTTTTGAATTGATTTCACATAAAGAGCATAATCTTTGTCTGGTTAGTATACGAATGCAATTCCCTAGCGTTTAAAGTCTTGTAAAATTAGCTTAAGAGAAAATTCTGGGATCTAAATATATGGATCATTTATGCTAAAACTTACAGAATCAAAACCATACAAACTCAAATCTCCATAATTCATATTTCCATTTGATGAGGCAGAATATCCAAAATTACCTGGATAGGGTTTTAAGGTAGTAAAACCTTATCCCTTTTTGATCAGATAGTAGTTAGGATTACCAATATCAATACTACCTACAATAGTACTTTTTTTAATATTCTTGATATCGATATAGAACTTCTTGTGATCTATCAAGCCTTATGAAAAGAGCTAATCGATTATATTGTCATTCACTTATCCTGGTTAACTAAAAAAGCAAAGGTGACTGCCATTAACAGCATATGGATTATCAAGTATAGTGTAATTCAAGTAAGCGTGAGTATCTCCTAATGAGAAAAAGGATGTGTATTCTCCACCATATGTGTAAAAAGGGCTTCTTCCAAGGTACTCTACTCCACATTCGACTGTATTAGTAGGATCTTCAATTACATTAGTAGAGCAGTAGCTTAAGTCAGGTATAAATTACACCTAACATCCCCTTTATTCGATCACAGTAACAAATACCTCGTTTGATGGGTAAATTCTCAAAGGAAGGTTAACGCTGGAAATACAAGAAATACAGTTTAAAAAGGATAAATAGGTCAAAATAAAAGTAATTGTATCTTTTTTATTCACCATCTCTATTTATATAAATTAGATTTTTTTTAATTAACTTATTAAGTACAATTTATAAAAAATAGTTTTGCATTTTAAATACTTTGAACAAGAAAATAATAATAATAAATTGTAAGGTTGAAATAAGTTTATATTTTATTTTCTTTTATAATTCAATAATAACAGAATTTCAATAGATATATTTTTTAAATATTTTCTTGCAAGTTTAAAAATAAGGTTCAATATACTTTAGATTATACTTATTTTTTTAATCATAAATATAGATGATTATATAATAATTTTACACACATTCTCTACATTTTTTTCCTTGCTATAAACTTATTTTTTTCTAATGAACTTAAATAATTTAAACATTGATCTTTTGAATAATATAACTTATTTAAAATTGAATTAGTGAACATAATAATTTTATTATGGTTAGATACAGTACATATTTTGTATCTCTTTTATTAAAAATATTTAAAAGTCAAATTTAAATTAAAAATAGACAAAAAAAATGTATCTGTATATCAGAAATTATAATTATATTTACAATAAAATACTTGCATTAATTTATAAAAGTTTTTGATGATTTTTAGTCAGACAACTGATGAAGTGTTTGTTTGTAAATATATACCCTTACGAAATGAGAATAAAAATATCATTTGTAAAAAATATTATTAAGTAAAAGATATAAATTTTAAGAAAGGAGTTTTTGTAAAAAAAAAAAGTACATTATTTAAATTTGGATTATTAAATAAATTTTAATTGTTATGCATCATTTTTATTCATAAATAAATGCTTGTAAAATAACTTCATTTATTTGATTAGTTGAAGCATAAATTATTAATAATAAGATATATTACTTTTTAATGCATTAATACTCATTAAAAAATAAAAATTTTCAACCTTTAAAAATATTTGTTAATTAAATTCATTCGTAATTTATGAGAAATTACTGTAATTTGATAATTATTCAACATTAAAATCAATCTTTTCCTCTAATTTAAAATTTTTTTAATTAACTTATTAAGTACAATTTATGAAAAACTAGTTTTGCATTTTAAATACTTTGTACAAGAAAATAATAATAATAAATTTTTAGGTTGAAAAAAGATTATATTTTATTTTCTTTAATTAAAGTTTCAAAATAAGATTCAATATACTTTAGATTATTTATTTTTTAAGAATAAAAATAGATGAAAATATAGTAGTTTCACATACTTTCTCTAAATTTTTTCTTGCTATAATCTTATTTTTTTCTAATGAACTTAAATAATTTAAACTTTTATCTTTTGAGTAATATGATTTATTTAAAACTGAATAAGGGCACATAATTATTTGATTGTGTTTAGATAAAGTACAAAGTTTGTATTTCTTTTATTAGAAATATAATCTATAAATCAGAAATTTTATTACATTTACAAAATAAATCTATGCATGAATTTATAAAAGTTTTTAGTGATTTTTAGTGTGACAACTGATGAAGTGTTTGTTTATAAATTTCTACTCATATGAAATCAGAATAAAAATATCATTTCTAAAAATAATTAATAATTTTAGTTGATATAAATTTTAAGAAAAGAGTTTTTGTAAAAAAAGTAAATCTAATTTGATATGCATCATTTTAATTCATAAATTAATGCTTTTAAAGTAACTTCGTTTATTATGTTAGTTGAAGTATTAATTAATAAAAAATAAAATACATTAATTTTTAATACATGAATACTCATTGAAAAATACATAATTTTCAGCCTTTAAAAATGTTTGTTGATTAAATTCAGTTGTAATATATGAAAATTTACTGTAGTTTAATAATTATTCAATATTAAAGGTAATTTTTTTTGCTAATTTTAAAAATTAAAACTTCACTCTAAAACTAAAGTTAATAATTTTTAAGACTAAGAAAAATAAGAGAACTGGTTTTTTATCAAAGTGGTAAAAAAATAAGATTTTGCTATATTTTTGTAATGAATTAATTTATTTGAAGAAAGAAAATCTTGCTAAAAATAAAATCTCTATTATAATCTTTGATTTTTGACCAAAATTATTAGTAATTTTTAAATTGCTATTTTTCACATTGCAAATAAATTTAGATACCAACCTAAAATTAATTTTTAAATGGTGAATTGAAAAAATTTAATTTTTAAGATAGATTTTTATAAAATTCATTTAAAAAATGTTGATAATTTTATTTATATAATATTTTTATAATTATAAATTTACTCACATACAAAAAGAATTTATTTTGCATTTATAATTCGAATAATTTTTCATTAAGCAATCATGTTGTTATCTGATTTTTCAGCTATTTAAATTGTATGTTCTATAAAATCAAAACCAACATAGTAAGCCTAAAGAGCTGCATAACCTATGCTAAGGTTACTATTGTAAAATGTAGGGTATAAGAGTAATTCATATGTTCCATCAGTTAACTATCTTGAGTATTATGAAGGGTTTAAGTTAATTTTAAAGACAGATCCGTCTTCAGCAGTTATATCAATCTAAATACTTTTAAGTTTTTGAATTGAATTTACGTAAAGAGCATAATCTTTGTCTGGTTAGTATACGAATGCAATTCCTTAGCGTTTAAAGTCTTGTAAAATTAGCTTAAGAGAAAACTCTGGAATTTAAATATATGGATCATTTATGCTAAAACTTACAGAATCATAGCCATACAAACTCAAATCTCCATAATTCATATTTCCACTTGATGAGGCGTAGTATCCAGAATTACCTGGATAGGGTTTTAAGTTTGTAAAACCCTATCCCTTTTTTATCAAATAGTAGTTAGGATTACCAATATCAATGCTACCTACAATAGATCTTTTTTTAATATTCTTGATATCAATATAGAACTTCTTGTGATCTATCAAGCCCTATGAAAAGAGTTAATCGATTATATTGTCATTCACTTACCCTTTTTATCTAAAAAAGCAAAGGTGACTGCCTTTAACAGTCTCTGGATGATCAACTATAGTGAAATTCAAGTAAGCGTGAGTATCTCCTAATGAGAAAAAGGATGTGTATTATCCACCATTTGAGTAAAAAGGGCTTTTTCCAAGGTCCTATACTCCACATTCGACTGTATCATAAGCCTCTTAAACTACATTAGTAGAGCAGTAACTTAAGTCAGGTTTAAATAGCACCTAACATCCCCCTTTTTCGGCCGTAGCAATAAATAAATCATTGTATAGTTAAGTACTCAAAGTAAGGCTAATGCTGGAAATACAAGAAATACAATTTAAAAAGGATAAATAAGCCAAAAAAAAAGTAATCGTAACTTTTTTATTCATCGTCTCTTTTTATATAAATTAGATTTTTTTTAAATTATCTTATTAAGTACAATTTATGAATAATTAGTTTTTGGGTTTTAAATACTTTGAACAAGAAAATAATAATAATAAATTATAAGGTTGAAATAAGTTTATATTTTATTTTCTTTTATTATTCAATAGTAAAAGAATTTCAATAGATATATTTTTTAAATTTTTTCTTGCAAGTTTCAAAATTAGATTCAATATGCCTTAGATTTTACTTATTTTTAAGAATAAAAACGGATGATAACATAGTAATTTTTCTATTGAACTTAAATAATTTAAACTTTTATCTTTTGAGTATTATACATTATTTAAAATTGAATTAGTGTACATCATAATTTCATGATGTTTAGATTAAGTACATAGTTTGTATCTCTTTTATTAGAAATATAATTAAATGTCAAATCTAAATTAAAAATAGATGAAAAAAATTTTATCTGCAAATCAAATTTTTATTGCATTTACAATAAAGATGTTTGCATTCATTTATAATAGTTTTTTGTGATTTTTAGTGATGAAGTGTTTGTTTATAAATATCTACTCACATGAAACCAAAAAAAAAATATGATTTCTAAAAAAAATTATTAATTGTAATAGAAAAAAATTTTAAGAAAGAAATTTTTGTATAAAAAAAAGTAGTTTATTTAAATTTGGCTTATTTGATATACACCATTTTAATTCATAAATAAATACTTCAAAATAACTTCATCTATTATATTAGTAGAAGCATTAATTAATAAATAATAAAATATGTTACTTTTTAATACATAATTTTCATTTTAAAAATGTTTTTTAAATTAAATTCAGTCTTAATTTATGAGAAATGATAGTAATTTGATAATTATTCAACATTAAAGTCAATTTTTTTTGCTAATTTTAAATATCATTAATTACTTCATTCTAAAACTAAAGTTAATTTTTGTTAAGACTGAGAAAAATTGAGGAAAGTTTTTTTATCAATCTGGAAAAAAATAAGATTTTGTCATATTTTTGTAAAGAATGATTTCAGAAAAGAAAATCTTGTAAAAATTAAAATAACTATTATAATATTTGGCTTTTGACAAAATTTATCATCAATTTTTAAATTGATATTTTTCTCTCATATTATTATTTTTATGATAGATTTTTATAATACACATTTAAAAAATGTACAATTTATGAACAATTAGTTTTCTGTTTTTAAGGTATTTTAATTATTAAATAATCATAATAAATTATAAGATTGAAATAAGTTTATAGCTTAATTTCTTTTATTATTCAATAGTAAAAGAATTTCGATAGATGAATTTTAATATTTATTGGAAACTATCAATTTAAGATTCAATGTAATTTTGGTTATATTTATTTTTCTAAGCATTAATATAGATGATAGCATTATAATTTCACATACTTTATCTAAATAGTATTATTTACTATAATTTTATTTTTTTAAAATTTAGATATATATTATTTTTTTCGAGTGAACTTAATATATTAAAGCTTTAATCTTTTGAATAATATAACTTACAAAAAATTGATTAGGTGCACATAATTACTTCATTCTGTTTAAATTTAATACAAAGTTTCTTTTATTAGAAATTTAATTGAAAGCCAAATCTAAATTAAATTTACTGAAAAAATCTGTACTGTAAATTGAGAAATTTTTAAATCGTTTTCAATAAAAAGAATCTATTAACTTATAAAAGTTTTTAGTGGCTTTTAATTATACAACGATGGAGTGTTTATTAATAAGTATCTCCTCACATGAAACCATGATAAAGATATCATTTCTAAAATAATTATTAATAGTTAAGAATATAAATTTTAAGAAATGAGTTTTTATAAAAGAAAAAGTACTTGATTTAATTTTGGCTTATTTAATTAATCTTATATCATGTATGATTTTAATTCTTGAAAATAAATTATTGTATAAAAGAAAAACCACTTTAATACGACAAAAATAATCAGAATATCAATTTAAAAATATACTTTTTATTTCTATTTTAAATATTTTTAGAATAATAGAAAAAGTCTAAAATTATTTCTAAATTTAAATATAAGGTAAATTGTCTATTTAAAATAAAAAATTTTTTCTCTAAAATCATAATCATGGAAATAAAAAAATATCTCGTTTGATAGTTAAATATTCAATGGAAGGCTAATGCTGGAAATTCAAGAAATACAATTTAAAAAGGATAAATAAGTCAAAAAAAAAAGTAATCGAAACTGTTTTATTCATCATCTCTATTTTATTTTTAAATCTTTTTTTGCAAGTTTCAAATAAGATTCAATATGCCTTAGATTTTACTTATTTTTTAAGAATAAAAATACATGATAAAATAGTAGTTTCACATACTTTCTCTAAATTTTTTCCCTTGCTATAATCTTATTTTTTTCTATTAAACTTAAATAATTTAAACTTTTATCTTTTGAGTAATATAACTTATATAAAGTTGAATAAGTGCACATAATTATTTTATTCTTTTATTAGAAATATAATTAAAAATCAAATATAAATTAAAAATAGATGAAAAAAATTTCTTTGTAAATTGAGAAATTAATTTTTATTACATTTACAATAAAATGATTGCATTAATTTATAAAAGTTTTTATTAATTTTTAGTTTGATAACTAATGAAGAGTTTATTAATATCTTCTCTTATAAAATCAGAATAAAAATATAATGTCTAAAAATAACTAATAATTGTAATGGATAAATTTTAAGAAAGGAGTTTTTATTAAAAAAAAAAGTACTTTATTTAAATTTGGCTTATTTAATAAATTTTATGAAGTAGACATCATTTTATTCATAAATAAATATTTTTAAAATAAATTCATTTATTTTATTATTTGAAGAATTAATTAATAAATAATAAGATATGTTGGTTTTAATTCATAAATACTCATTGAAAAACAAAATTTTCAACCTTTAAAAATGTTTGTTGATAAAATTAATTTGTAATAAATGAGAAATTACTGTGATTTGATAATTATTCAACATTAAATTCCATTTTTTTGCTAATTTTAAATATCAATACTTCACTCTAAAACTAAATTTAATAATTGTTAAGACTGAAAAAAATAGAGTACAGGTTTTTTATAATGTGGAAAAAAATATCTTGTAAAGAATTAATTTATTTGAGCAAAGAAAATCCTGCAAAAAATAAAATCTCTATTAAAATCTTTGACTTTTTTTGACCAAAACTATTAGTAATTTTTAAATTACTATTTTTCACACTATTAATAAATTTATATGCCAACCTAAAATTAATTTTTTAAAGTGGTTAATTGAAAAAATTTTAATTTTATGATAGATTTTTATAGTATGAATTTAAAAAATGTTATTTATATAATATTTTTATAATTATAAATTTATTCACATACAAAAATACTTTATTTTGTATTTATAACTTGAATAATTTTTTCATTAAACAATTATGTTGTTATCTGATTTTTCAGCTATGTAAATTGTATGATTTATAAAATCAAAACCAACATAGTAAGCCTAGAGTGCTGCATAACCTATGCTAAGGTTACTATTGTAGAATGTAGGGTACAAGAGCAATTAATAAGTTCCATCAGCTAACTATCTTGAGTATTATGAAGGGTTTATGTTAATTTTAAAGTCAGATCCGTCTTCAGCAGTTACATCAATCTAAATACTTTTAAGTTTTTGAATTGATTTCACATAAATAGCATAATTTTTATTTGGTTAGTATACGAATGCAATTCCTTAGCGTTTAAAGTCTTGTAAAATTAGCTTTAGAGAAAACTCTGGTATCTAAATATATGGATCATTTATACTAAAACTTACAGATTCATAGCCATATAAACTCAAGCCTCCATAATTCATATTTCCAGTAGATGAGGCATAATATCCAGAATTACCTGTATAGGGTTTTAAGGTGGTAAAACTCTATCCCTTTTTGATCAGTTAGTAGTTAGGATGGCCTATATCAATACTACCTACAATAGTTTCATATTTAATATTATTAATATCAATATAGAACTTCTTGTAATCTATCAAGCCTTATGAAAAAAGTTAATCGATTATATTGTCATTCACTTACCCATCTTAAGTTATAAAGCAAAGTTGGCTGTCAGAAGCATCTATACTAAAAAATATAGTAAAATTCAAGTTAGCTTGAGTATTTCCTAATTAGAAAACGGATGTGAATTCTTAGCCTCTTTTGAAAAAAGGGCTCGTTCCAAGGTTAATTGCTCCACATTCAATTGCATCACTTGCTGTTTACTTTACAGTGTTAGAGCAGAAGTTTAAATTTGGTATAAATTATATCTGACATCCATTTTTTTCATCAAGAGGAATAAATATCTGATTTGATGGGTTAATCCTCAAAGGAAGGCTAGCACTGGAAAAACAAGAAAAACAGCTTAAAAAGGATAAATAAGCCAAAATAAAAGTAATAGTAAATCTATTATTCATCATCTCTATTTATTTAAATTAGATTTTTTTAAATAATTTATTATGTACAATTTATGATTAATTAGTATCCTGTTTTAAAGATATTTGAATTAGAAAATAATAATAATAAATTATAAGATTGAAATTAGTTTATAGCTTAATTTCTTATATAATTCAATAGTAAAAGAATTACAAAAGATGAATTTTAATCTTTATTGCAAACTATCTATATAAGATCCAATATAATTTGGGTTATACTTATTTTTTCTAATCATTAATATAGATGATAGCATTAAAATTTCACATACTTTCTCTCTAAATAGTTTTACTTGCTATAGTCTTATTTTTTTAAAATTTAGATAAAAATTATTTTTTTCGAATGAACTTAAATAATTAAAATTTTAATCTTTTGAATAATATAACTTACATAAAATTGAATAGGTGCACATAATTACTTCATTCTGTTTAAATTTAATTCAAAGCTTCTTTTATTAGAAATTTAATTGAAAGCCAAATCTAAATTAAATTTACTGAAAAAAATTACACTGTAAATTGAGAATTTTTAAATCGTATACAATAAAAAGAGACCATTAATTTATAAAAGTTTTTAGTGGCTTTTAGTTATACAGCTGATAAAGTGTTTATTTATAAATATCTCCTCAAATGAAATCAGGATAAAGATATCATTTCTAAAAATAATTAATTATTAATAGTTAAAGATATAAATTTTAAGAAATGAGTTTTTATAAAAGAAAAAGTACTTTATTTAATTTTGACTTATTTAATTAATCTTATATCATATGTATATGTAAGATTTTAATTCTTGTAAATAAATTATTATATTAAAGAAAAACCACTTTAATACAATAAAAATAATCAGAAAATCAATTTAAAAATATACTTTTTATTTCTAATTTAAATAGATTTAGAATAATAGAAAAAGTCTAAAATTATGTTTAAATTTAAAAATAAAATAAATTGTCTATTTAAAATAAAGTTTTCAAAAAAGTAAAATTTTAAAATTTATTTAATTTATAATAAACTAAATACAAATTGTATAAAAATATTTTAAATACTATTTTATAAATTTATTTAATATTATTTTAATTTTTATAAGGAAGATAAATAATTATATGTATCACTATTTATCTCTCTATACAAAATAAAATCCGCAATTAACAATAAACCTTGATACTCGTTAGGGTACTCTTATCGATTTATGGATGTATTAAGGTCATATTTTTTTTTGATTAAAATAGAAAAAAAATAATTGAGATTAAATAATTAAGAGACACTCTAGCTGATTCTACAACATTTAAGATAATAAATAAGTTAGGTAGGATTTTATTTATAAGCGCCTTTAAAAGTTTACATATTTATTTTTAAGAAAATATATTAAGATAAATAAAATCAAATTAAATTCTTTTTAATTATAAATGGAAAGTATTTGTGGTTATAGAAATATAAAAGCAAAAAAAATCTATATAAAATTAAGTGTTTATTTTGAAAAGACAATATAATTAATTTTACCTTTGAAAATTATGTGTTTGCTAATTTAAAAATCTTAATAAAACTTTTGAACTCTAAATTCTAATATTTAAAGAAAATAAAAGGATTATATTTATTTTAACTAAATTTTATTCATTTAAAACATAAAAATCTATATTAATTCATTTAATAAGATAAGCTATTCTGAATTTAAATGTTGTTCATTTAACTAAATTGATTAAATAATTCAATCATTTGTTAAGTCTATCTTCTCCAAAATATAATGATTTAGTTAATGTTAAATTGCACAGTAAATTGAAAAATAAAACTTAAAATTTCATTTTTAAGAGTAGATATTTTAGAAATATTCACTCCTATAGTAAATATGGCCCTTAAAAATGCTCTATACTTCAATATTGAAAAGGTTATTATGATGTTAAAGCGCTATTAATTATTTTTTACTTTTTCTCTCTCTATTTATGCACTTTCTATATTAATAAGCTGATATAAATAACCACACACTTTTCTAAAAAATTAGAAATATAAAAGAAGGTGAAAGATTCTTGTAAGCTAAAAATTAATTTCTTATTTATTTCTTTTTTCTTTTTCTTACAATCTAAATAAATTATAATTAAACTTAATTCAAATTGGTTTTTTTGTTAAGATCTTTTTAAATATGCTTCTTCAATTAAAAAAAACATATTGATTTAATATATTCAATATAGTTATTAATAATTTATTTCATTTTGAGAAATTAAAATTACATTTTTTCTTACTCACAAAAAAAAATATAAAGTATTGATAGCTATGATATTATTTTTAAATTCTATTTTTATGTAACATATCTTTGTTTTTCTTTAAAAATTTAATTATAGCTTAGAATATGTTATTATCATTGAGAATTCTTAATTCATAAATAAATCATAGAATTATAAAAATTATTAAAATAGATAGATATATAATTGGATATATAAACAGATTGATAGATAATTAAGTTGAAAAAAGTAAATGCGTTATTAACAAGTTCATTTCTGGCATTAGTACGATAAAATCAAATAAGATAATTTTTAAATTTTTACATCCAGCTGAAAATACGCACATTCAAAAGAGCATAGTATCTTTATTTTAATAACAATAGTTTAGCATTTAATCTTAATTTTTGTAAAATCAAATTGTTTGTTAAATTTATGGTTATAAAATTCCACTATAAATATTATAATTAGTTAATTATTTAAATGTTTTCCCTTCTATATTATTCATATATAATTAATTTTGTGCTTATTAATATACGTAATAAGACTGACATCAAATCCTTTAAAAGTGTAAATAAAAGTATATAAAAGATAAATAACAAATTTGATTAATATTTAAATAAATAATAGCTAACATAAGTTTATCAATATAAAAATGAATTATTATCTTTTGCTAATACTAATTTGGTATTCCTTTTTAGGAATAGTAAGGAATTTAAATATATAAACTTATATTCCTGGTTACAAAATAGATATAAATGGGTAAATTTTATTTTACTATCCTTTAAAATTATCATTATTTGTTAACATAACTCTCCTTTTGAAAACTTTGATTAGGCTATCTCTAGAACTCACAAATCAATACTTTGATGTAACAAAAGGTATTATATAAGATTGTCCCTCAAATTGTGGGTCATGTATTGACCAAAACACCTGCGTGACTTGTAAATTTGGCTACTTTTAATGGTCACCTGTTTCTAACAATAATCTTTATTGTATTCCATGGTATAATATAAATTGATTATTAGTGTTTTTTTAAATGAAATTAACTACTTTAACAATATTTATATTTACCCTTAGTCCTTTGTTCAATATCATTGACCTATAAGACTAAATTTTATGTGCTGACTGTGTGATAAACCCTTTAACTTGGTATATTAAATTTAAAATCAAAGAATTAACTAAATTATTTTATTGCAACCCATCGATAAATAGGTAGAATACAAAAAAGTGTACTTATAGTTACAAAAGAATTATTGGTATTACAAATCAACAAGTAAAGAGATATTAGTATTACTAAGGTAGTGACTCTATAAAACTGCATTAAGTATTCTAAATTGACCCTTTAAGTTAGAATGCATAGGTAATAGAATTTGTTGGTGGAGATTCTTGGTGTGGTTATTAATTAATATAGCCAAATCCTCCTACTAACTGCTATAATATCAATAGCTAAAATTAGGTAGATTAGTCTTAAACAGCAGTTTAATGTAGAGTTGGATACATTTTTAATTTCTAAAATAATATCTGTGAATCTTGCCCTATAAATTGCAGTGTTTGCAATTCAGCTACTCAATGCTTAACGTGCTCAGATGGTTATACTTTAGGAGCCAATTTTTAATGCGTTAGTTGTATGAGTAAAATATAAAATTGTTAGAGCTGCTTTTATGAAAACTCCTCCTAAAATAATCTTGTAACTAATCCCTTTTTGTCTTCATAATTTGATAGCGAGCAAAGTCTACTAAACAGTGGATATAAATTGAGATGTAGTTAATGTTCTCAAACGAAGTAATTAATTTTCATTTGTATTTATTTAATTCAAATAAGATTCACAATCAATATTACACTTTATTGATAAGATTCTAGCAAGTTTTTTTATTTACTTAACATTATTATTATTGAAATAACATTATCTGAGATGAATCAAACATTCATTATTAAAGCAAGGAGCTTTTTAAATTTAAGGAACAATTAAACCCCCTAAATAAATTAAAATTTTAATAAACTTAAAAAAAATCTTTTATTTGATTTTAAGTAGTATTTAAATTATCTTGAGCTAAATAGAAATAAATTTAATATTAAATTAAAATATTATTTTTTATTAAAAAAAAATTTTTATTCTTAAAGTACATTTTACATCCCCAGCTTAGATATGACTTCATGTGAAGATTGCTCTACTTTAAGCAGCTGTATAAGTTGTAGATATGCTAAAGTAGATTTCGGTTTAGTAGTTGATCATTCTAATTCTCCATATGTTGTTGCATAAGATGATTAATAAAATTACAAAAAATATTGTTTGGCCTGCTAAGATCCCTTTTTTGTAAACTATAAAGGAGAATGCGAGTAATGCGTTGATCCTAATTGTGAGCAATGCTATTATGGTTCATAATAGGGAACAGATAGCAGCTATACATTGCAATAAAATTTTGTTTATAAAACATCATAAGATAATCTAGTCTTAAAATGTGCTTTCTGTAAATATGGAACAAGTTAAGCAGCTCTTCTGCTAGATGGAACTTGTTAATAAAACCTTTCTTTTTTAGCTACAAAAGATTCAAATTGTGCAAAGTGGGTCTAGTTCAAAGTTTTACCTATTAATACCATGCTGGATGGTACTTACTTTTAATGTGTAGAATGTTAGTTTGGAGCAGGATTTAATGCTTCCTTACCACCTTAAGATAGGTATTTTGTTTTTTTTTTTAAATAGAAAACAAATTTCTAAATAAAAAATTTTTTTAACCAGAAAATGTGATTAGTATTCAGCTATAATGAATGTACCATATTGCACTAGTTTCTACTATATCACAGTTGATGGAAAACCTCAAGCAGTAACTTGCACCAGATGTGAAAAAGGTATTCTTTTTTAAAAATTTATTTATGTAACCTTTTTATTTACCTATTTTAAATTAAATGATTAAATTTTTAAAAAATATTCTAACAAAACACTAATCTAAAAATACTAAAGGATATGTGGCTACAGCTACTAGAGGGTGTGTTTCTTGCTCAAATGGAATTAAAGGTGTTTACAGTATGGGTGCTATTTAATAGGGAGCTTGTAATGGATGTAGTTTGATGACTCCTTCTGGATTTAACTATACATATTACTTAATAACTTAAACAGCTTAAAATTATGGTAAAATTAAAACTATTTATTTACTTTATTTATAAATATTCTAATTTTCATTTTTAAAAACAAGCCTAAGCTGTAGAAATAGAAACCGATTTTAACTTACCTATTGTTCCATTCTGTACTTACTGTCATGAATAAAAAGTCTATGGAACATGTCCTGTTTCTTGCTTCAATGAGTAATATTATTATAAAAATGCACATTTTAATTTAAATTAACAATATAGTTGTTACACAGAAAAAGATTCTATGGGTAATTTATAATATAACGCTTGTGTACCAGATTCTATAATGCAATCTAAATGTATAGCTTGTGGTAATTCATCTCCATATTAATTGCCATGGCATTTGGATTAGAGTGTATCGTCAGATTATTCATAATGCATAGAGTGCCCGAGGTATTGTCTTTTTTGTTAATAGAGAACATAAGACCAAAAGGATGGAATAAATCCATATTATAAGCCTGGTTCATATTCATAATTATTAAAATATGCTAACCAATGCATAACTTGTAGATCAATATCAGATATTTGTTCAGATTTTTCTGATAATACAGCATAGTATTAAGGATACTAGCTAGATTGCACATAATAAGGTAACTATGTAATGTACTATGACCCAATTATCAATTAATGTACTCCATGTCCAATAGACAAACCAAATTGTACTAGAAAATTGAAAATTTAGTAGCTTGTAGAATGTAGACCTAATATATCTGTAAATGATTAAAATTTAGGCACAAACTAAAACTCCTATTACCAAATGAAGCTAGGTGGTATGGGCCAATTGAGCCATATATTCGATGGAATAGGCACTATCTTTTTAGATTCATGGAATCCAACTACTACACTGAATATTAACTTTTCTGATTTTAATAGCTTGGATGATAACTTGTAATTAATTAATTGATTATTTATAAATATTAATAATTAATGATTTAAAAGAATATATTTCATTTGCCGATATTTTTAATTTATATAAATTATTTTTAAATACCACTTTAAAAAAAATGAATCATTTTTTATTATTTAAGATTCTTTTTAAATAATATCTAATTAATTTATAGTAATAATCACTTATTATTTTATTTTATCAAAGATAAACTTACTATGCACTAAATGAAGAAAATATAGCAGAAATAGAGTTTGAAATTCTACTTATACCAAATGTTTAAAAATACACGACGAATGATGGATATTCTAAAGACAATGCAAATGTTTGTTTCTTTCCAAATGATGTAAACTTCTCTCTAAAGCTGGCATAATATATTGCAAATATAAATAAGCTATCTCTTACTTTTAAGACAGTGAATCCTACAAATGGATAAATAGGATAAGATCCTTTAGATTTATTTATATCATCATTTAGTTTTTAAGGGTGGAATTATTTTAATTTTGAAAACATAAACTTTCTACCAATGTATTCAATTAAAACAAGTGTATAAGTTAAAAATATGCTTTTCGACTTTTCAAATAATCATTTCCTAAGCCAGTTAGTATTCAAAAATGTTATATTTATGAGTGGATTTGATAATACTAAGTAATAGACACTTTTAAAATAAGCCAAAACAATTTTTTGCCCCGTTATAGATCTTTATAATGTTGAGCAAATAACTATGAATAATGTTCAAGTCTATAATTTTTATTACTAAAAATTCACAAGCTTTTTTAGATTTAATTAAGATTCAGGTAATAAAGTTAGCATACTTTTGATGAACATAAATAACTTTATTATTAATAATTGCTAATTTTAAAGCATTAATTTATTTTAATTACTTTATAAAACTACTACTATTAGTATGAATTCTGTGACAATAAGCAACAGCTTATTTACTAACTCAATCATTTTTAATTAATTACCTGGCCACAATTTAGCTCAATCATAACACTCTTTATCAATGAATAACCTTGTATTTTAGAATAACTAATTTGTTTAAAGTTCTATTTTAAATGCATACAATTTACTTGCCTTCAAAGTTACTGGTCTATCTCTCAATTTCAACTATTAATTGTAATACAATACATATTAGCCTCTCATAACAACAAACACTGCAGTAATTTCAACAATGCAATTGACTTCAAATTTACCAAATTAGGGTGTACTTACAGTGCAAAATGCTACATTATTTGCATTTCCTGTTTCGAGTTCAGCAGCAGCTCCTCCTAGTATTACTTTAGATCAGTTGACTGTTACCTCAATTCAGTTCACAGGAAGCAATGGCTACATTATGAATTTAGTTAGTTATTAAAATATTTATTCAGTGAGAGGAACAGTGTCAGTTTCTAATTTAAAAATTCAAAGTAAATTTAAAACTAAATCATTTTAATATTTTTTGCTTATAATAATATTCTTTTATAAATGAAAAAAAAAGATTGCAAGGGAGACAGTTATTTATTAAACTTGTTCTATTTTAGTTCAGTCAGATTAGTTACATTTAATACTATAAACATGATAGATTCAGTAGGCTTGAGCTTCATTTACTCTGAGTATTCTGATCAAATATCTATTACTTCAGGAAGTATTAGCAATAGTCAACTCCCTGAAATTTGTAAAAATGGGCCACTACCAAGCATACCTACTCTTCCAACTGATCAATTCCATGGTACTATGCTTTCAGTAAAAAATTTGAGAACAAGATCTTACATGTTTGACATCACTTTCCAAAACCTATGCATCATTGACAGAGTAATTAATTAATTATCTAAAATTTTAATAATTATTTCAACGAAGATGACTGATTATATCAAAAGCAATAAATTTCCCCAAAAATCGTTTTTATATTTGAAAGCAATTATTTTAAATTTAAAAAATAGGTACTATTTTACTTTGCTCATGATTAAAGAGATCCTCGCTATATGCCTGAAACTCTCAACGATCCGATAAATTAGATTATACTTTAGAACGCAAATACGTATACTCAATTTGATTAAAAGATTAGCACTGCTGTAGTATTTAATTCATGCTAATTTAAAACAATCAACGCATATGTTTTTAATTCAAATATTATATCTACGTTATTTTACTTTAGCACTAATTTACAATATGTTAATTTACTAGTCAGTGTTACTGCTTCCAAAATAAATATTTTTTAAGTGAATTAAGATACTTTATTTAAGTCTTCTTCATCCTTTATGATTTAAGATTCTAACCCGTCATTCATGGTTTTAGTTGGGTTATCTCTATCAAATATAAACTCTGCTTTCTAAATTTAAAATGGTATATTATTTAATGGTAATATTTTTGCATGCATTAGCTGTGTATTTGATAGTAGTAACTATGGTTAAGAGCAGAACTCCTTTGGGTATTAGGGTGGCTTTTTAAATTTACAGGCAAAAGCTGTTGTAATAAATTACTCAAAGTTTTCTAAATCAGTGTCTGATTAAGGAGGAGCTATATACATCAAAACATATTCCACTTCAGCTTCTATTTAATTACTTAAAGTTGATTTTATAGATATTAAATCTTCTTTTAGTCCATTAGGATCTGGAGTTGGAGGAGCTATATCCATAGATGGAACTTCATCATTAACTTTGACTATGACTCTATGTACATTTGACTAGATATTCGCATATAAAAAAGGAGCTGTATTAGATTTAACATGTGGCTAAGGAGTCTGTAAAAATACCTTTGATTAAAATACAATTTCCAATGTTTTCGCGCCGACAGGAAGTATTTTTAATGGTAAAAATTTTTAATAAATATTCAAATTCTTTTTAAACAAAATAACCTAATAAAATAGATATTATTTTTCAGTTAAACTAGTTTATTATTTTTACAGCTTTTAATAAAAATTTTTTTCTAAAAAAAACCAATAATTGATTTAAAACATTAATTATTTTAAAAATATTTTATTGAATTTTAGTAATTAATTATAAAGTATTTAATTTTTATAAAAATAAATATAAATAGTAAAATTAAATAAGCAATCTTAAAGTATCAGCTTTACTAAGAATACATATTCATCTACTCTTACTATTGATAACATGATTAATAAATATGCCTATTTCTAATTTGTTGATTCAGAACTTTAGCAGGCTATATCTTAGTTTTATATAATGTATATCTAAGGAGGAAGCATAACGTTTGAAGATAACGTTTTTGATGGTGTCAACTATTTGTAAGGTCTTATTTATGCAACAGGAGGGATAATATAATTCAATAGAAATACATTTACAAATTCCAATTTTAGATTTACTCCTTTCGTTTATTTTTACAAACAAGGAATCACATAATTTACTACTACTGTAATATAAAATATAAAAGAATGTGTTGATTGCTAACCTCAAAACAATTAATTATATTTTTTAACTAATTACACATTAACTAACTTCAATAACTTTTTCCTCATAGAGAGCTCAACTTAGAGTGTACAGATAAATGATATTACAATTTAAAATGTAGTATGCTCAAAATGTACTTAAGGTATTCTTGGTTTTTAATCAAGCTAAAAACCTGTTTAAATTTAAGGAGGAAAAATTGAAAATAATGTATCTAACTAGGGCTCCATATATATTGGAGGTAGCCCAAACTCCTCATCTAGAATTTTATCTTCTTAATAAAATTTAGCAGGTACATAATTCACAATTAATAACATAGCTTTTTAGTAAAATACAGCAAATTTAGGTGGAGCAATATATGTATCATATAATAATCTTTAGCTCATATCTTGCACTACTATTTAGTAAAATACTGCAGCATAAGGAGGTGCAATATATTTCTTAACTTCAGACTCTAATCCAAATACTCTTATCTTATAATCTTCTACTATTAGTAAAAATTAAGCAAAAATAGGTGGAGGCATAAAAATAATAGGAAGTAAATTTATTTTATTTTTTTTAATCAAATTAATTAATATTTATTATTTAAAATAAAGCCTTCCCGTAATTATTATAGAACTCTGTTGTTAATTAAAATACTGCTTCAGTTTCAGGTAAAGACTTGACAAGCTATCCTACAGGATTAAAGGTTTATTAAAATAAAGTTTCTAAACCTTATGATTCAAGCAAAGGGGCTGTTCTATTGAATTAATGGTCACCTGGAGTTTCAGTGGATTAAGAATTATTTATCTATTTAACTGGAGAAGATGGTAAAATTTAAAAATTAGACTCTGGATAAACGGCTACTTTAACAGTTTCATTAAATTATCCTTCAAATTCGCAAATACCTCCTTTGGCTAAAATAACAGGGGCTACTACCGTAAACTATGATTCAATAATAGGAGGATTTTACTTGAATTCAGTATAATTTTAATAGCAACCTCTATCTTAACTTCTTGCTAAATTGGAATCATCAATCATAAAAATTCCATAATTCGACAGCAGCGGAGCCTTGATTTCAATTGATACAAGCTATAATCTTCCATTAATTATAAACACTAGATATTGCAAATTAGGTGAAGCTTTCATATAAACAAGTGGTTAATGCTATTTATGTGGAAATAACACTTATAGTATAATTGATAATTCAACTTAATGTTTAGATTGTCCTAAACAAGGAGTTAGCAGTTGTCCAGGAGCAAATGTATTAAATTTATAATCTGGCTATTGGCGTCCATCATATGATTCAGATAAAATTGAAGACTGTGTAAATTCTTTATCTAATTGTGTAGGAGGTAAAGGTACTGGAGATTAGTTATGTGCAGAAGGACATATTGGAGCTCTCTGTGAAGTTTGCGATATAAGTGCAAGGTTTTGGTTGGAGAGTTATTCTAATAGTAATGAATTTTCATGTGGTAAGTGTAAAGATACATCAAATAATACCTTGAAAATGGTTGGTTTGAGCATTTACACCTTGATAGCCATATTCTTCTCTGTCAAGAGCACAAAAGAACTTTTGGATTCTTACATAATTACATTTTACTTTTAAAAGATTGGATTTATTTAAAAGAGTGCCAAATAAAGTACAGAAAATGTGGGTATTGTTATCAAGCTATTCACTACATATCTTTAATTAATATTAGTAATTACTACTTTCAATTTATAGTTACCTCCAGGCTTGAGTGATATTACTATGAATATTGGAGATCCAGTTAAATAAATGAGTTTTAGTATGGACTGTGCCTTATAAAAGATGTCAGGAGGCATACCTATGACATATTTTAGATTGATTTGGTCACAGTTAATGCCACTTTTATATGTTATTTTCTACTTAATTGGGCATTTCATATGGCAAAAAGTTAAAAAGATACAAAATAGAGCAGTAATTGCATGGATTGCTTTTATTTACATTTATATTTCTATGCAGCCTTCGGTTGTAAAATAAAATATCTAGACTATATCCTGCAGGTAATTAATTAATTAATAATTTGCTTCTTTAAATGAATTAAAATTGAATAAAATTTTTTTTATTATTTGTCAATCTTATAACTTTTTGATTTGTAATAAACAGACAGATATCAGGTATCGAGTACATAAAGGCTAATGTGTCTGAGGAGTGCTACACTTCTGAGCACATAAAATACATGTTGATTCTCATACTTCCTTCATTAGCAATATGGGTTTTTTTGATACCTATTTTCTTTATCAAAAAAATGTATGACGGAAGAGATAAAGTAATTTTTAAACTATTTTTTTACTAATTTTTAACAAAACAATAAAATTAATTAATTAGTTGGATAAAATCGAGATGCAATACAAATTTGGGTTCTTGTACACCGAGTATAAAAAGACATCTTACTTTTGGGAAATAGTCAAAGTATATTAAAAGACTTTCATAACCTTTTTCATAAACATCTACGATAGCTACAATATCGTCAAAGGAGTACTAGTTATTATTGTTCTGATTATTTATATAAGACTTTGGAGAAAATACTAGCCATATTTGGAGAGAAGATTTAATTTAATAGATTTGTATTTAAATCTGACAGTTATTGCCTCTATCATTATTGCTATGTTTATACAATAGAACCCTTTTTCATATTTAGTTTGGTTTGGATATATCATTTTAGTTACTATAAACTCAATCCTAATTATAATGCTCATTAGAATTTTAGTGTCTGGTTACACTTACAAATTCGAAGCTAAGATAGGAGAAAAATTAGTTTAATTCTCTATTAAACATCCGAAAATAGCAAGATATTTTAATGTAAGTTAATATTTTTAGTTTTTCTAATAATAAAATTTTATTAAATTAGCTCCCCTTAGTCCGCCAGGAAAGGGTAAAACATCTATGGAATTTACTAAGATTGCACTTTAAAGAAAAATACTTGGATAAAGAAGAATTTGATAACAAAAAAATGACAGAAAGAGCAGGTTAGAATAAATTTATAGATTCTAAAAATAAACTTATTGATTATGAAAAAGAAGAAACCCAATCATAAAAATTAGAACTAGTCAAAAAGCAATCAATTATTTAGCAAGATAGAATTGCTTTAAAAAGTAATTATTTAATTTAAATCTTTAGATTTATTTTATTAATTTATTTTTCTTTTAAAGAAGATGACATTGAGTGTTAATCTTTAAACAATTAAAGTAACTAAAGTGCCGACGCAAATTAGCAATAAAGACCAACCCAAATACTAAGTGGTAATATTACAATTTTTCAATAAATAAATATGAGTTACTTTACTTCTAAATTTACTATATTTATATTTTAATTTTTTTTTTTTAAATAGAAAAAAATATTTAGAATCTCCAAAGTAACAATGTTGGGGTTGTAATTTCAGGTCAATAAGTTGATGATTAAGATGATTTTAATAATGTTTCTGAATTTGAAAATCCAAAAAGCATTCAGAACACTTAAACTATATAAATATAATAGAATACAAAACACCCTTAAGAAAACTTAGAAAGCTCATAAAATAATATTTAAGTGATTCATTTAAATTGAAACGTGTTTATATAATAAAATTTATGTATATTTATATGATTTATTTTGTTTTTTATAAAAATTTTTAAATTAAATAAAAGTTTTTAATCTTCTTAAAAACATATTATAAATGCTATAAACATATATTAAATATATAATAAGCCCTCATTAATTAATTTAGTCTTATATTAAATAAATAAATAAAAACTTACTGTTAATTGATATTTTTTATAATTCATTTATTTCGTAAAAGATAGCTAAATAATTCTTATTGTTAAAAAATTTTAAGAATATATACTCAAAAGTTTGTTAGATGCTTTTAATTATTTAGGAGTTATTTAAATCTTAACTAATTTATATTTTCTAAAATAATATCATTTATTTATTGAAAATTGCTTCTGTTTTTTAAGCTATAATTATTACAAATATCCCCCTTCTCTTTGATAATTTGATAATTTATAAATTGATTGTTTGAACTCTTTTATTTTACCTAAATTTGTTTGTAACCTATTTATTTACTATTTATTACTTTTATGTTTAATGAAATAAATTAAATTAACATATAAACATAAATTACTTTCTATAAATTTGTTTATTTTTTGTATAGAATAAGACCATAATGCTATGAACTTTTGTTTTGTATAATATTATTATAACTAATTTTTTGATGTGAAATTTGTTTGATTGATTAATTACACTATTTGCCTAATAACCTCATAAAAAATAATCAGGAACTCTTTTATTCACTCTACCTCCATCATCATTTGTAGCAGAGTCAAATTAAATGCTTTTAAAATATAATTTAAACAAATATTTATAGAAATAATAAATTTACTATGTCATTCTCATATGCTCATCTAATTCCATAAAAGCAGCTTAGTTACCACATCTATAGCAATAATTAGGTGCGGAAAAAACTGTTACAACATTTTTATCGTGAGTTTATTAATAACCCTAAATTATTTATTATTCAATTAATAATCCTTTGTTTAAGTTAAAAAATAATACTTCTAAGACTAGTTAATGTGCTCTAGCAATTAATTTTATATCATTCACATGATTAAATTACTCAGATATATCTTATCCAAAAGTAAAGCCTGCACCTCTTGGTGACATACCCCAACCTTTTATATATTTTATTAATATAGTTAAGCATATTTTTTGTGGAATATTTTACCTGATCTATCATCAGGGTCTGACCATAATAAATCACACATTGCACCCTCACTAGGAACATCTTATATTCTATCTATTTATCTTATATGATCTAGTGTATCAATACTAGGAGATAAGCCACCATGAAGGCAAAAAAACTGTAATTTTTTATTGAAAGTGATTTATTAACATTCTAAAATTTAAATTATTTGGTTATTTACTTATCCTTCTACCAATGCAGTAATTGGAAGGTAATGAAAAGTTTCAGTAAAATAATTCCATACATTATAATTTCCATATTTTCTTAAACATTCATCGTAAAAGCCATAGCTTTATGTAATTTATCTGCTTTCATGATTGCCTCTTAAAATTGTTATACGATCTTTATATCTAATTTTCAACAAGAACAAAAGAGTAACACACTCAATACTATGATAACCTTCGTATAATAATTTTAAATTATCATATTTTTCTTTACTTAATTTTTAATTTACCTCTATCTACATAATCACCCATAAATAAATAATTAGTTTCCTAATAAAAAATAATTTTTATAACCATTTTTGCTTTAATTTTCATAAATATTTAGAAATCTAATATGCCTTTAAACAAAAAAAATTACAGGTAATTTTCCTGCTATAGCAAATAATTCCATCAAATCATAAAATTATCCATGTATATCACCGCAAACCATTACAGGAGCTTTTACATTTTAAACATTTTGTTCATTCTTCAAAATTTCTCTCACCTATTTTATTATGTATTTATAAATTTAACCACTAATAGCAAATGAAATACTAAAATTTGTATTTCTCACTATGAAAGTTTTAGCAATTAATATTATGCTAATATGTAGAATGATAAATTCAGATTTTAACTAAATCTTGTAAAATAGTCAAACTAATTTAATTTTTACAAAAAAAAAATGGCATTCCACAATTCAATTTTATAATTTAATCTTGAAAAATAAAAACAGACTTTTTCACATATAGATTTGACTTCAGCTTCAGGGAGAATTTTACATTCCATAACCTTTTCAATTTACTTTTCTAAGTTGTTGTATTCTTTGCTAATTGCATTATTATTGTTACTGTTCACTACTTATTACTGCTAACTAGCGCGCATTTTCTATATCTAATTTACTAAATTGTTGAAAAATATCTTTTTATTAAATTCCTTTTTAATTTATTGGTAAATCTTTTATCACTTTTGATGGCAAATTCAATTTAATCAAAAAAACAAAGCAGCAAGCATTTAAATGCAAATCTCAATTTTATAAAAGATTTCAAATTCTTTTAAAGCATAAAATAACAAACGACATCCATTTAAGAAAAAGATCAATATAATCAAATGTTTAACGTAATCGCATAAAAAAAACAAATAAATAATCAAATAAATAAAAAATATTCAGCCATTTATTTATTTCTTCAAAAATGAAGAATTTTCTGCTGAATTTTAAAAACCTAATAAATGAATGGTAAAAAGATTTAAAAATGTTATTTTTAACTTAGAATTTTATCTCCCTATAATATTTAATTGATAAGAATTTAGATTGGTAGTATCTATCATTAGTAAATCAAAACAAAATATTAAAAATTTATGCAAATTGTTTTTAATATTGTTTTTGATAAAATATTTACTGTATCTTTTTGAGAATTTTAAATTAGATTATAGACACATTCAAAATAAATATTAATAAGCATAATTTTTATCACTTCAATATTTCAAATTATGGATTTGAAAAACGTTAAAGATTGTATAGAGGTTTATCCTTTGGGTGCGGGACAAGATGTAGGGCGCAGTTGTATTTTGATTAAAATTTATGATAAAATTATAATGTTAGACTGTGGTTTGCATATGGGTGTAAATGATTTAACAAGATATCCAGATTTCGAAAAGATAAAATAAATTTGGAATATTCCTGAAAAAAGAAAGTGGGACTAGATCATAGATTTAGTTTTAATATCTCATTTTCACTTAGATCATATTGGTGCGCTTCCCTATTTTACAGAAATTTATAATTATGATGGTCCTATTTATATGACAAGTCCTACTAAGGCACTTCTTCCATACATGTGCGAAGATTTTAGAAAAGTAATTACAGAAAGCTAAAAGAAAGAGTTTACAGATGATAGTATTCCTTAAACTCCTGCTTAAAAAATCATAAATGACAGCAGATATCCTTTAATTTATACTTAAGAAAACATCTAAAAGTGTTTTTAAAAAGCAAAAACTATCTAGTTGCTTGAGACTATTGATGTGAATGGTATAAAAATTAAGCCTTACTATGCTGGTAAGTATTAGCATAAATAATACATTTACTAATTCAATTAATTTATAAATTACAATCAATTTTAAAAATTAATATATTTTCATGATTCTTGCTAAAAAATTATTTTATTTAAAAATTTTTAAAGGACATGTTTTAGGAGCTTGTATGTTTATGATCGAGTATCGAAATGTGAAGGTGGTTTATACTGGCGACTTTCACTCGAATGCTGATAGACATTTAGGAGCTGCTTGGATCGAAAAAGTAAAACCTGATTTGCTTATTTCAGAGTGTACATACGGCACTATTATAAGAGATTCAAAGAGAGCTAGAGAGAAAAATTTCTTAAAACAAATTCAAGAAACAATAGATCAAGGAGGAAAAGTTCTCATACCAGTTTTTGCTTTAGGAAGAGCTTAAGAATTGTGTATTTTGTTAGAAACCTATTGGTAAAGAACACAAAGCTAAGTTCCTGTATATTTTGCAGCTGGTATGATTGAAAAGGCTAACTTCTACTATAAATTATTTGTGAATTGGACAAACGAAAAAATAAAAAGTTCATACCTTACAGATAACATGTTTGATTTCAAATATATAAAGCCCTTTTCAAGATCACTTATAAAGACAAATGGTCCAATGGTTCTTTTTGCAACACCTGGAATGCTTCATGCGGGTCTTTCGATGTAAGTCTTCAAAGAATGGTGCTATGATGAAAAAAACACATTAATTATTCCTGGATATTGTGTAGCTGGAACTTTAGGTTGCGTTTTAATTTCATCTTTTTTTTTCCAGTTTTCTAAATTTTCGCAATCTAAAATAATAAAAATTTTAAGTTTTATTCAGCATAAAATTATTTTTCAAGTAGTATTATGAAAATTAATTTTGAGTTTTATTTATTTTTTACTCTATTTGATAAAATAATAGGTAACAAATTGCTTAGTGGTTGCAAGCAGGTCATTTTAGATAAAAAGGTCTATGATGTTAATATGTAGGTAAAAAATATGAGTTTTTCTGCACATGCAGATGCTAAAGGAATTTTAGGCTTAATAAAGTAACTAATTTATTTTTTAAATATTTTTTTAAAAAATCTTCAAAACAAACAATGAAATAATATATTTTAATATACAAAAGACATTGTGAACCTAAAAACGTAATGCTAGTACATGGAGATGTTACTAGAATGATGCCACTGGCAGAAACAATTAGAGATTAATTTGAAATATAAGTTTTTACTCCAGCAAATTTTGAATTAAATAAGATCCCTTTAATGAATGAAGATAACCACTCAATAAAAATTACTGAAGATATGAAAAGAGAGATAGAAGAATAAAAAATGAATGAAATTAATGGATTGATTTTTTACAATTAGGACAAACAATATTAAATTTTAAGGGATCTTGAAGAGTTTTAGCAGCTATTAAACTAGTTATCAGATGAATACGATGCATACTGGCATAGATTTGAGACAGGATATATAATTAAGATAAATCTGTCAGTAAAAAACAAATGCTCTGATTCTTAAAAACCTGATTTGATTGATAAAAATAAATTGATTAATCATTACAAGCAAATCTTAGAAGCTATTTTGAAAATGCATGAAAAAGCTAAAGATACATTAAGCGATTACTTAGAATTATGCAACACAGATAATTTTGATGTGCTTGATAATGAATTCTTGGTCATAAAAACAAGCTAGCAATTTACTCCTTAGCAATAAAAAATAATTGATAGTATCTTCAATGCTTTAAATATATATAACAATAAATGACTAAAAATCAAATGAATTTTAATTGCAAGTCATACTTATTCTATAAATAGATAAAAATTATAATTTTTAATTCTACAAATAATCTAAAAATAAATGGAATTTTTGTTTTTTACTGATTTATTTTTTAAAAGAGTAAGATAAATTATTCATCCACATTATTTTTCTTCAGTCTTCCATTTTAGAGAGAATGATTATATATTTTATCTATTTCATTATAAAAAAAAGTAAATGATTCATTAAATTTTTTCTAAATATTAAATGTAAATATAAAGATTGAAAATGAATTTGATAATTTCTAATGGTTGAAATATTTAAATTACAGAAAAATTATAAATATATGTAATACATATAACTTAAAATTTAAAATAAAATATGCACTTAAAATCAATTTTAGTTTACAATTTTCCTTAGATTTATTCAGATAGAAGATTTTTATAAAAGTTTCTTTTTAAAAGATCTTATAAAATATAAGTCAAATTTATACTTTTGCTTTTCTTTTTCAGAAATAGCTCAAAAATTTTTTAGTTAGTAAAGATCTAGTGTAAGTATTGTATAAAAGATAATTAGTAAATTATTATATTTTATAGATTTATCAATCATTAATTTCTGTAATTCAAGTGGTTATAAATAAATCAAATCAAAAATTTTAATTTGCTATTCTAATTTAATTATCTAAATTTTGATATCATGCAATCAATCTTAATATTTACTTGAAATTTATATTTTCTATTTAAGGTTAAATTAAATCTTAATATATTTTTTAATTAATAATTATTATAAAAATTCTAAAAAAATAACAAAAAAAGAACATAGATTAAAAAAGTATCAGAAATAAATGCAATCTTAAAATAACAATTAATAAGAAAGTAATAACTATTTGAAAAATATTTAGATAGGTTTAGTAATAGAAAATCTTTGTATAATAAGTGTTATATATTTGATTATAGGCTTATCTTAATACAATTTAAACTGCTAGTTTTTTGACTTTGGATTCTATGTAAGCATGAGCTTTTGGGGTATTCTAGGATATTATTTTATATGCAAGGGTTAAGCAAAATCATCTGCCTTAAGAAGCTTAATACTAAAAGAAAAAATTCATAAAATTAATGCTTCATTTTTATTCTGCAATTATAGTTTTATACTGCCTTTATTTTTAATATATGAAATGACTTTAGATCAAAAGAGAAATTCCCTGAGTTTTGAAGTTCTTTTTAGATAAACATCTTTTTATATTTCTTCTTTATTTTGTTTTTTAAAACAAAAATAAGTGTGGATGCTTATTAATAGTATCAAGAATAGTTTTATTAAGTAAATATTAAATGGACTTAACTTTGTCTTTTATTTTTTGATAATCTCGAGCTTTCTATTCTGTACAAACTATGAAAGTAATAATCATAAATTTATTTACAGCTAGTTTCCTTTCTCTTTAATATTTATCGGAATTTCAAGGAATAAAAGCTTCAAAAAATTTGGAATATTTTTGCATGTAGCTTATTCAATTATATAGATATTAGTATCTTTCAAAGAGATTAACTCTGATAAAAATCTTCCTATAATTAAGCAAGGCTATTTATTTTCTATATTATTATAAGTAATGACTCTTATTATTTTACTGCTTAGAATAATCTAAAAGATAATAAAAATCAGAAAAAATCTTGGTTTATAAATGATATCTATTTAAGCAACTGAATAGGAGGATTCAATTAATTAATAATTAAACAATAGCTAGGTATATTTTTAAGTTAATATACCATAAATAAACTAATCAGATGAAGAAACTGGAGATGGATATGAAAAAAAATAAACTAAATATAATATTACTTTGGAAGAAATAGAAAAAATAATCTAAATAAAAAATTATGTAAGCTAGAATTAACAAATAATGTATTAATAATCAAAAGATTAATAAATTTAATAAGATGAATAATACTCTAGTTTAAATTAATGTAGAGATTGTCCTATTTGTTAACAGGACTTTTTGAATGAAGAAAAAGTTTACACATTAAACTGCAAACATGAATATCATTCAACATGTCTAATAGAATGGATAAAAATGCAAAATACCTGTCCTTTATGTAGGACATGCATAATTTCTTCCTAACAACTACAAATGTTACAAAATTAAAAATTAAATATTAATGATTAAAAACAAAGATCTTTGTTCTTAATACCTTGATTTAACTAATTTTAATTTATATTTTTTAGTTAAAATAAGTAAAAAATATCATTAATTATTGTGAACTTCTATTAAATTTTTAAAAATATATATTGTATTTATAAAATTTGTGTATTAGATTTTTATTTTATTATTTAGGTAGAAATTAAAAAATACTTGATTGAGTTTTTAAGTATTTTTATTATTTTTTAAAAAATTTACTTTTACAATTATAATAATACTAAAATTATAAAAAATATACTTTTATAAATACTTAATTTTTGAATTTTGTCAATTAATTTTATTTATTTATTTTTAGTCAAATATTATTAAATTTAAAATAAAATTTTTTACTTGCTTTATTCAATTAAATTTATTTTTATTAATAAAATCTTGTTTATTTCATTCAATACTAGATTAATTTGCTGTTAACACTTAAATCATTTATTTTTGAGTATAATTAAAAATTATCTCCTCATTTTGTTATAAGGCGTTTACAAAAAATAATTTCAAATTTAATTATTTTTCTGCTTGAAAAAAGTATTCTTAATAAAAATAGATATTTTATGGCTTTTCAAGTTACAATAAGGACAATAATACAATAATTAGAAGAAAAAAATTAATATTTTATAGTTTGTATTGAAATTTAATAAAAATTTTAAGATTAAAATAACTTTTTAATATAAATATTGCTCAAAATAAAAAATAATTAATATTTTTTGTGAAAAATTACAAATTATTAAATTAAGAAATATTATTTAGTAAATTTTAATTAATAATTTGTATTCATTTAAGAGAATTTTTGTATATTCTTTCTACTTTTATTTATTCTAAAAGATTTGATTTATATTTATCCCATTATTTTGACCACTAGCTTACCTATGTTGTATAAATGGCATCATATTCTTTTCTTGTTATAAGCCCATCAATCATAGTTCGCTTTTTTTTTTTAATATTTGAATGTTATTATGAAAAATATTATATTTAATAGCTATTGATATACTCTTAAAAGATTGGGAATGAGATGAATTTTATCTCTTTCAAGGATATATACTTCTATTTCAGCTGAGTCTGCAATCTAAATTTAAAAATTTTAATTTATTTAAATTTCAAATATTTAAATTATTTTATTCATTCATATAAAGTCTTACAACTGTTAATTTTGCCCTTTCTCTTGGATCTGTTTAATATTCATCTTCAGCTGCTGGATCCACTTTTAAGTATTCTAATAAAATGGCACGGCCAAAGAAGAAATCTCCTCTCACTAAAGAACCAAATTCATGCTAAATAAAATGAAAAAAAAAAGCAATAAATTGATTTTTCTATATCTGTTATTAATAAAATTACTTGGTATTTATATGCTATATTTTAGTCGTCAGCATAAATAATTTCATAGTTAGCAGCTTTAAGAGGAGCATCATTATCAAAGTCATCATAATCGCTTTCAGAATCTTAGGAAACTTTTGTATTGTCAACTAGTGTATTTTTCTTTGCAGTTCCTTCTGGTATGATCTTAGTGTCTAATTTTCAAATAAATATAAAATTCAGTTTAATTTTAGAATAAATAAATAAATAAATAACTTACAATCTTTAATTCCAAAGCTTAATTTTTTATTAGAGAATTTTCTTTCTCTTCCCATAACGAAATTGTTTCTCACAATAACTTCTTCTTTTATAATTTTTAATCTTCCAGAGCTTACAATAAATAAATTATTTGGTTCTTGACCTTCTCTAACTAGAATTTCACCTAACTTATATTTTTTTACTTCAACTAAATTAGCTAATGGAATTAAGCTCACAGGATCCATATACTTATTTATAGTAATTAATTCATTAATTTTATTTGATTAATTTTAATTCATATTTAAATAAATTTACTTCAAAAAATGATAAGGTCTATAATAGTTTCAGCTTAACATCAAGTTCTTTTTAAATAAGTCCCAACAATATAGTTTTGAAATAATCTCTCGATACTGTAAAAAGAGTTGTTACTTCACAAGTCTTGAAATTTAATATAAAAAAATATTATATTAATTTAAATGAAAATTTACTTCAATCGTTGCAGCTCTTTTAGATGAATTTTTATTGGCTTCTTCAAGCATTTTATTTAAATCTTCCTCACTCTTTTATTTTTTTACATTTTTATCTTTAATCTTTTTATCGTCTTTGTTCTTTGATTCTTCTTCTTCTTCTTGATCTTCTACTTTGTTAAATAAAGGTTGTTTCTCTAATTCCTTTTTAATTTGAGATATTCTAATTGGACCAAGGTCATTTGCCTTGATTGATTTGACTATGTTAGTTGTTTTCTTTTAATTCATAAGAGCCAATTCACCAAATTACTATCCATCATAGAGTGTAGCAACAACCAAACTATCATCTTTCCCATCAGGACTAATTCTTTTTATTCTAACATGGCAAGCACCTCTGATTATAACATACATTAAATCACCTTCATCTCCCTTTTTATAAATAAGATTTGCTATTTTTACTAAAAAAAGAACTACTTACTTAATTGAAAATAATTTAGTCAGCTGGATATTGCACTATATTTGCTAACTTAAGTAAATACATCCTAGTTGGCTTTGTAAATCTCTTAAAGAATTTGAGTCTTTCAGCAATAGTATCTAAGAATTCATAATCTCTTTCATTTGATGGTAATTTATATTCTTCCATAATAAGATTTAGTTCGTGTTAACTAACACCTTCTTCATTGGTATTTAAGAAATTATAAACAAATTATTCTTTTTTCTATTAAAATCTCTATTTTTATAAGAATATTTTGTTAATATTTGCCAAAAATCAAACTAATTTTCTCATGCATTTTTAGTTTAAATTTCCATTTATGCATACATAATATTTATTAAAATATATTATTTTAATTATTTTTGTTTTTTTAAAAACTTTATAAAAAAATGTGAAGATTATCAAATTGTAAAGAACTTTTTACTTTAAAATCTAGTTGATCCTCTAGATGATACTTTTCAAACTTTTATCTTAGCTCTTCGCCATATTCTTTGAGTTGATCATGAATGTTGTTTGGATGATCAAAAAAGAACTTTTCTTATTCAACAATATTTTGTTAGTTTATTACAACATCTTTATTATGTAGGTTCTATTCAGAATTGCTAATTGGATTTTCTAAATTTACAATCGTTGGAACATCTAAAACTGAAAAAGTCATTTATTTTTTAGACCCAAATAAATCTGTATGATTATCATCAAATTATTTCTATAGTGTTTCCATATATGGCTATAAATCTTGCTAATACTATCTTCTATTCTTAATGATGTAGTTTAATTCTGCCTGAGTCAAAGCTTTGCTTTTCAAATTGAGACGAAACTTTTTAAATAAAAAATTTTGAATAAAATTTAACATAAATTGATTCTTTCTTTCTTTACCACTATTTCTTCCTTTTAAGCATTCTCATAGTCCTGCTAATTCAATTAATTCAGGGATTAAGGATCATTCTTATTATTTTAATTTTTAAAACTCTTTCTCCCTAAAGATTTAGTATTCTTAGGAGTTGGTTGTACGCCTTTAAATGATTTAGGTGTATTATTGAATGTTGAAGGTGATTTCAAAGCAGAGCTAGGAGGATTTTATGAAGATTTATTTAAATCAATTTAAAGCTTTTCTTTTAGCGTAGAATCTAAGTGTATCTAAACATTTTTTCTCTTGTTTGTAAATTCTTACTCCTAACCTATAACAAAATCCTATTTTAGTTTCTGATTAGTAACTTTATTGTAATTATCTATCTAAGCGTTTTAATGCTATTCATCTATTTTATAATTTTAATCATATTGATTTTATAATTCCTCTTAAGGTTTTAGGTCTCCAAAAAAATTATTGCTTACTGGCTATCTTTATCCAACAGCATTTGTTTATGGTCTCTCTTATAGATTAGTAGTGCTTCCTTGTGCATTTTAATTTTTTAAATTCATGTGCTTTTTTAAGTGACTGTGGACATCATTATTTAGTCTATTTGCTTCTTTTTAAAGTGTATTTGAAGAAACTGACCCAATTTAAGCAGTTTCTGCTCTTGGGGGTAATTGGTAACTAACTTATTCGCTTTTTTTGGAAGGATTTTCTGATTCATCATCAATATTTTCTAGTTCTTAATTTTTCAAATTTGCTTTGTTTTAACTTGTCTTTCTTTATAGCTCATTTGCTGTTTTAGCACGGTCTATAGTTGCAAATGTTATGTGATTTTTACCTTCCAGCTGTTTTTTCTAAAGATTATCATACATGATTTGCTTGAAATCTTTGATATCAGCCAATGATTCTATTTCTTTATATGTTTAAGAACGAGTAGATGCCGTCTTTACTCTATTTTCAGTAAAGAACTTTTTCGATTAGTTCTAAGTTTCTTATATGGAAATAACCTGATTCAGTAAATTTTTTGGTTAGTTGAACATATCCATATATTTTTACTACATTTATTAAGTTTGATTTATTTTACTAGTTTCAGGTCGAGGTCCAAGTTTCTTAATATACTTCTAACTCATTACTGCAGAGGCGATTCTTTCTTTTTTAAATTTATTAGGGAAATTAGGAAATTAGTTATTTAAGACAGACATTTAATCTTATGAATGAGGTAAATTAGCTTAATCAAATTCTAATTAGTTTATTCCATTAATTGTATGTCCACTAGGAACTCTTAGAGCAGATGCTAACCTTTGAATTTGATGAGAGCTTCTTGAATTTCCTTAAGCACTCATGGGAATTTGTTTTAACATACCACTTTATCTGTTATTGTGGCTTGTACTTGACCTGAAATAAATGTTGTTATTCTCATACTATGTTTAAGAATTAGCTTAAAAATTGACAGGTAAGGTTGCTGTTTACTGCTGCTATTTAAATGAAGAGAGAAACTTTTCTTTAGTGTTTTACTAAAAATTTTTATTTATTCCTTTTTCGTCATCAAAATTAGTACTGCCATTTGATTATCTCTTTTAAATATTTAGAAGATTAAACATGTATCCTGAACTAAATATTTCTCAGAATTATTTTGTGGATTATTGGTTGCTATATTGTTATAAAGTAAATTATTATTATCTATAATACTATCTTAACTATGATTAAATTAATTAAATTAAAAGATTAATTATTTTACTCATTTAAATTAAAAGGTTTCAAAAAGCAATTACTTACCTTCATTCATTCATACTTAAATTTTGAAGATATTTATTTACATAAATTAGTAAATTTGAGATATAACATATGCATACATTTTCAATTAAATTTTGCATAATAATTGTAATAATTGTTTGCTGCTGAATATTATATGAATGAACCAAATAAATTGTATTTATTTCTTAAATCTGGGCTATTAATTGATTAACTACTTATTTATTATTAATACAAATCTTAAAAACAATTTATTCAATTATTAAAGTGATTAAATTACTGAATTATTTTATGAATATAAGATATTAAACTAATCAAATCTTATTTCCTGCCTTTGAATTTCAACGTGATTTAAAATTGAATTAAAACTGATCTAAAATATTAAGATTTTTAGTTTAAAAAATTTAATTATTTCATAATCCTAATTCAAAAACATAAAACAAATGTATAAATTTACTACTAAGTTTATATTATTCTTGTAAATTTTAAAAGTTTTAAAAATTTAAAAAAAAATAAGAATCAAAAGTAAATGTTATGAAATATTTAGCTATAACTGATTAATTTCTAGTTTGTCTTTGCTGAGGATAGTGAGGTTTTATTTTAAATTAAAAAATAAACAAATAAATAGGTGAGTTATATCTAATTTTATTAGTTTTTTAATTGATATTTGGATAAATTAACTGAGGTAAATGAAATGAAGCTAATATTTTTTATTTAGTAATTTAAAAATAATATTTTATAATTTTTTGTTAATTAATTTAACAAAAAATTAATCTGAATTTAACAAAAATAGAAAGGTTAAAAGTATTTAAGAGTCAATTTAATTTGAAGATTTATTACACTAAATTTAAGATTAGCTTTTGATATTATTTGATTTTTGTGTCTTTTGTTTTTTATGATAACTACATTTAAAACTGATGGAAGGTATGTATGTACATATGTATGTATGAATGTTTTTTAATGGAGTAGTTTATATAAAGTTAGAGTTTTGTTGAATTAATGATAAGAAGTTTGATAATTGGATTTGTAACGTTTAAATAAAATATTGAAAAATTATTGTTGCAATATAGATAATTTTACAATTTTTAAATTAGTGATAATTTATATATGATTTGTATTAACTTTTAAACATATAGTATTTATTCAGCCAGATCAGTTACCAATGGCGAGTTTACCCTTTTTGGTCTTGGGAACCTTCTTAGCAGCATCCTTAGGGGCTTCCTTTCTGACCTTAGCAGCAACTTCTTAAGCGAAAATTTCGACGTGGCAGCCAGAGTTCAAGTAGGCTAATTTATTCAAAGTAAATAATTTAGATAAATATAATTTTAATTTGAAACACTAATAATTTTCCTTTGTTTTCTTTTAATTTAGAAAGAATGACAAATGCTATTTGATATTTGTTTTTCAATATTTATATATTCTAGTTTAGTTAATATGTTATTTTATATATTCATAATAGAGTGCTCGTTTTTTATCAATTTATTTGATAGATAATATTTTACTTCACACTTATAATGAGTTGAAAATCAAACAGATCCAAGCAAAATCAAGTAATTTAAAAATATATTTGATATTTCCCCTTTATTCCATATTATTTTTTTCATTAATTAAGTATGACTACACTTTTTTACATTCAATCTGATTTTTTTAGTCTTTTTATGTACTTTTAGAGCAAATTTAATGACTGAATAACGCTTTATCAACTCTTCTTTTAAATTTCTGAAGTAAAATAACTACTTTGAAAGTAAATTACTCTAGAATGATTTTATTTTTTAAATTATTTTTGACCCATTGTTGAAAGCAAACCATATAATTTAATTTAATCATATTTTTTCTTAAAAGCTATGTAATAGTTTGCTTTATTATTATTATTTAATTAATTTTATCTCTATCTTTTTATATCTCTAACAAATACAACAACTTCAAAGTGAGCGAAGGTGAGTCAAGTTTTTTATCCTAAATAATAATTTTTGGTTCCACTAAAACAACTACTAACATCATGGATAAACATAATTTATATTGTGATTTAAATAGCTTGCATTACTTGTATTCCCAAAATGAAAGAACAACAAAGGATTTATTTGTTTGTTATTTCGTGTTTCTTTTTAAACTTATTTGAAAATATGAATAAAACTTACGGTTGATTCTACCGTGGGCTCTGTAGGTTCTTCTTCTACCCTTTTGAGCTCTGTTAACTTAACCGTGTTAGATAACGAGGTTAGCAGTGTTCAAGGACTTAGCCTATTTAAATAAAATAATATTAATTTTGATTGTCCTTTAAACTATACTTAACGCCCACAAATAATACCATGTATATTTCTTAATTAATCAATATTACAACTACTAACTAAAATCAATTAACTATGCCTATTTTAAACTCATTCGCAATATATATAACGCTTGCCTTTGGATTTAACTCTTTTTCGGCCTCTAATTTTAAATCTAGCTAATTGAAATATATGTAGAAGAATATGTGATTAGTCAGAATTTTATTGTATTTGATTGTGGTCCTTATATAAATAAATTATTTATTTTTTCTTACTTGAGCGTTAGCGGAAAGGTTATCAAGGAGACCGAGGATGACCTTGACAGACTTAACGGGCCATCTACCTGTTTGATTGAAAGAAATAGAATTAGTTAAGAATCATAGAATTCATAATTAAAATGCTCATTTTATGAAAATATGCAAAAAAAATTATAATGTAGTTTTGTATGTTTTTTGCATTAGATCAAAATTTGTCCTATTTATTTATATCTTTTGCTCCTTTTGCTAATTAAAAAGCAAAAAACACAAAGAAACATATTTCATAAATAAATGCAAAAATGAGCTAGTTTTTGATAAAGTAGCGAAGTGGTTACCTTGGGTTCTGCCGAATTCGTGAGCTTAAGCAGTTCTACCAATGCAACCAGTGAATCTGGTGAAGGGGATACATCTCTTTCTGTCAATAACAGCCTTGAGGTATCTCTTGGCGTTTTCGAGGTTCAATCCCTTGATGGCTCTGACAACTTCATAAGTGTTCTTGAAGTGGACTCTTAAGTCGGAGGCAGAGGTCTTGACGGCTTTTCATTAAAAAAGTTAAATTTACAATCCATTTTTATGCGAAGATGGTTCAGCGAAAGTGCTTTTATTCTTATTGAAAAATGAATATTACCCTTAGCTTGGTTAGCGGGTTCACGAGAGTAATTAGTCTTTCCCATCTTTATTTTATTAAAAATCTTATTTTTTGGTCTTTATATGAATTTCTTGCTATACGAATCTTTTTTAATTAAAAATCCCTTCTTTGATATCAATTTTCTTCTTCCTCACTTCGATCTTTCCCACTACTTATTTTTCGCCTCCTCACTTTCTTATTTATTTACCTTTTTTTGTTCCTTCACTCTTTATTTCAATCATATAATTAACTTTTCATATAAATTTGTTAAACTCTACATTTTATTTAATTTCATTATATCCATCTTTCTTTCTTTCATTCATTCATTCCTTTCAAATATTAATTAAAAAAATTATGCATATAAATATAATCAAGCATGCTTATACTGTCTTTGCCAATCAAGTCTTTGAAAATTCATTTTTTTTTATTTTTTATCATATTCCTTTTTTAACAATTCATCTGTATATAAATTATTTTAATAAATAAAATGTTATAACAAAATACTACAATTTTATTTACTCACAAAAAACTTAAATTTTTTATTTTCATAAAAAAGATTGTGTATATAAACTATATATTTAATTTTACAGTTAAAACTTTTCTTCTACTTATTAAAAAATTATAAACATAAAACTATAAAAATAAATTTCTAAAAATATGCGCTTTAAAATATAATAAGATTAAAATTTATTAAAAATTATAAAATTATTTAAAGTAGATAATTTATTCAAAATTTAAAACACAAATAAAAAAACTTTAAATAAATGTCTTTCATTTTTAAAAATTTCAGAAATTTATTAAAAGCTTATAAAAATGTAAAAATGATAAATTAATTATTTTATTGTTGCGAAATATTTTAATTTTTATTAAAATGTTTGAAGTTATTTTAATAAATATGAAATAAGTAAATAATTTAAAAGACAAGCATACATTACTAAATTTAAGAAGAAATTAAAATTATTTTTATTTCAAAGCTTTATATCTTGTTCGTCATATTCAGCTTATTATTCTATTAATTTGATAGTATAATAACACTTTTAAGCTTAATTTAATATTCCCTTCAAGTGTGTTATCCCAGAACAATTCTCGCGACAAAGCAGGCTTAAGTTATAATTGTACTCAAATACTTTACCAGATAGAGTGAATAGAACATGCATTATCATATCAAATATAAAAGAGAAAACTAGCACGCTTTTAACAAGCTACATACAGTCTTTAATATAAAGCTTATCTCGGAAATGAGTTAAATCAGCTTTAAATACAAGCTTTTTATCGCTATTTTCTTAAATAGTTATAGATCCAGCAAGCTAGCAGTCTAAATAACTATAGATCTCATAGTCTGTGCAAGGTTTATATCCAAAAATATCTTTAAAGATAAGAAGCATATCTGGGTTGTTGCTCAAAACCTTTTATTAAAAATATTAATTAAATACTCATTTTTTAAATAAAATTAAAAATTTACTTCTTTGAAAATTGACATGCCTATTTTTTAAATTATTTCATTATCGGAAGATCTTTAAACCAAAAATTAAAATATTGATTCTTCATTTTTATATTCGGGATTTCTGATTTCATCTTTCATTCTTTTAAGAAACATCTCTTTGAACTGTTGAATGTTTGTTGATCTCAGCTTTTTATCTGAAATAATAGTTGAAGCCTTTTGGCTGAATTAATTCTAAAAAAACAAGTCAAATCTTATGAGTTTGTGATAAAGTTCAAATAAAGAGTCAATGTTATCTATTTTTTTCATGGTATACATCTCATTTTAAAATTTGCATTCCTCTTCACTTTTTATGAATTCTTTTTCCATGTTTGACAAATATTAATCTATTTTGTCAGAAGGAAGATAAAGATAGTTTTAGTTCATTTTCTTACTTTTATTCAAATTTATTTTATTTAATAATTTATAAATATTCTCTCTCTAAACAGATTCACTCTTAAGCACTACTTATAAAATTATTAGTGTGATTTCTAAATAATTTTTTTATGTTTACAAATACTACAAATAATTTGATAAACAATTTTAAACTTTTATTAATTTTTTATGGTTTTTAAAATAAATTATCAGAAAAAATTCTAAACAAATAATTTCATAAAAATTATTTTTTTACTTTGAATAGATATAAATTCTTTTTAATTAAAATAATTAAGTTCTGTTTTAAAATTTGTATTTGATTATCTGGTTTTATAATAAAAATAAATATAAAAAAATATCAATATAAAAATGATAAAAAACTGTAGATTTATTCTGCAAAAACCCAAGAATATTTAATTAATATTAGGAATTTATTGATTAGAATATTTTATATGAATTTTCCCTTGATTAGCTTTTGTTAATTATTTTAAGAAATGCGATTTTATTTATGACTTTAATTTAAATTATTTGAATAATCTGATCTCTTTTACAAAAATAAATATAGACGAAATTTCTTTTATAGCATTTGCTTATTAATTTTAACTTTCAAAACAAAAAAGTATTGGATTATTTATTATTATTTTAAGATTGAGGATCATTTTATTTAACTAAAATTTAAATTCTCTCTATAATTTTGGTAATATTTTAATAAAAAAGCTACTTATAAAAGTAAATAATTTTTTAGTAATATCAAAAAATTAAAAATAGTTAAAAATAGCATCAAAAAAAATAAATTTTGGTTTGAATAAATTGATTTTTCAAATCAAATTATTTAAACAACAAAAATTGAATTGAAAATTTTATTTACAATATTATGTATAATAATTCAATTTAATGAATAAATATAGGTTATACAGATGAAAACTAATATCATCCTTTAAGTTAAGAAAATAAAATACAAATAATATTTTTAACAAAATAAAAGTATTAATAAGTTTGTATAAGAAAAAATAAGAAATAGTTTTATTTTTATATAAAAAATTAAAATAGTCAACTAATAATTTAAAATAGGAAGGTTCTATTCAAAATAATTAATAATTAACTACTTTTAATGAATAGAAATTGGAAGACAAACACTAAATTTAGAGTTTTTAATAACTTTTTAGAACTATCTGTAATGAAAAGTGTTAAACAAAAACAAAAACTTAATAACTAATTTATTTATTTATTTATTTGCTTGTTTTTATCTTTATTTATTAATTAATTTATTTATTTATTGGATTAAGAAAAAACCAAAAAAATTTTATAATTAATAATTAATAAAAATATAAATTTTCTAAAAAAAGAATCATAATAAATATTATTGAAAATAAAGATTGAAATAAACACTCAGTTGCTAAATAGCCACAAAATAAATTTATAATAAAAAAATTTAATTAATTAAACTTATCAAAATGACTTCTACTTTTGCTTGTAGGACTTTACGTTATTCTTTCTCAACTGTTGTTTTTAATGGAAATAAATCTGCAAAAAAAATTCTAAGCTCTTTAAGGAAGGAGATTGAATGGTTTTAAAAATGTACAGCATTTTATAAATTTAATTAACTTTACATTTTTTTTATACCATACATGCACTAAAGTGTTTTATTTTATTATTAACGAATTGATTAAATAAAATGATGTTTAACTCAATAATAAAAAGATAACTTTCATCAAGAAATTTATATGATAAACTTAATTACTTTTTGATTGCTCAATATATTTAATTCTACCTTAAAATTAGAAAGCGATTTATCAAGAAAGCCAGGACTAGGAATTATTCTAGTTGGTAATAACCCTGCATCACTTTCTTACATTAAAAAGAAACTTTAGGCTTGTGAAGCAATAGGAATCAGGCACGAATTATACCATTTCTCAGAGGACATTTAAGAGTACGATGTTTTAAGTGCCATCGACAATCTGAATCGTAAAGATGATATTGATGCTATTATGGCATAAGTATAGCAACTAATTATTTTTATATTCAAAAAATCTAACTAAAGCTTTTATAATTTAATTTTTTACTTTGTTATTTAAAAAAATTTAACAACAAGTTTCTCAATTCAAATTAGATATTGAATTTTTCTTAATTTTGAAGTAAATTTTTTATAAAATCTATTATAAAGCTACCACTTCCATCTCATATAGATAAAAATAATGTTATTAACATGATATCATCAGAGAAAGATGCTGATGGCTTGAAGTTGAATTCAAATAACCTTGATCCAAAGGCAAATATTCTCCCATGCACTCCTGCTGCCTGTCTTAAAATATTAGAAGAGCATCAAATCTGCCTTAAGGATAAGCATGTAGTATTAATAGGTAGAGGAAGGCTAGTAGGGTAGCCTCTCGAATAACTATTAAGTAAATTATCTCCTGCATAGATTACAACTTGTGTAAAAGAAACTGGGGATATCAAACAACATATTTTAAAGGTAAAAATGATTTTATAGAATAAATTTACCTATTTACATTCTTCCATAAGCCTTAACTTAAAGGTTTAATGTAATATTTATAATTAAAGTAAAAAACAATAAAAATTAATTTTTTAATTGACAAATGCTTTGTCATTTTTATTATATTTGAAATAAATAATTTCATAATATTAGGCTGACGTCATTATTGCTGCTGCAGGAGAAAGATAGCTCATAAAAGGTAAATGGATTAAAAAAGGAGCTATTGTACTTGATGTAGGAGTTAATAAAGGCATTCCAGGAATTGATCCCACTAAAGTAGTTGGCGATGTAGAATTTGAAGAAGTAATTAATTTATTTAAATAATTATTTTAAGAACATATTATTGCAACTATAAATTTAATTAAGGCAAAAAAAAGAGCAAGCTTAATAACTCCTGTTCCTGGTGGCATTGGCCCAATGACAGTCTCAATGCTTATGTACAATACAGTTTAGATATGGAAGTAAAGAAGAATGTAAGAATTGTTAGAGTTAAATGGGTAATTATAGACATCCAACTTTGAACATGATAGTTTTGGTATAACAGTTAGCAATAGCTTTCCTCCTGAAAGCTCAATATATAATTATTTATACATTTGAAAATAAAATTCAAAAAACTAAGTTGAGAATAAAATTTATTATAAAATTAAGAATAAAAAATTATTTAAATAAATAAACAAAGAGAAAGAATAACCAAAATCTTATTTAAATTACTACTAAAGATTTATTAAATAAATTACTAAATAATAAATTGGAATAATCTTTAATAGAAACATAACAAATATTAAGTACATTAAAAGCTTTATATTAAATGGAAATAATATAATAGATTATATAGATTAATTTATATTAACTACTACTCTCTTGTACCTACTTTATTTACTATATATATATTATATTTTACCATATTAAAATGAATTATTAATATTATTATTAAATATATTTAATTTTTCAAATACTTGGTTTTGTTGTAAAAGTTCATATTTTTTTGTAGTAAGTAAGTTATTACTAAATAGTTAAATTGATCTTAAAATAAAATTAATTTTAATTTCTTTAAATATGTTGTTACATAACTTACTAAAAAAACAAAATAAAGCTATCTTTTTAAAATTAATATTTAACTAATGAATTACACTTGTAAATTTGTTATTTGTTAATTCTAAGTATGCATTTATTAATATAGGAATGATCTTGTATGTTTTATCAAATTTTATTTTGAGAAAATTTCAAAATTTATTTTTAATCAAAATTTAAAAATAGATAGATTGACACCCATAAATTATTCACTTTTTATAATTTTTAAGACGAATTAATATAAAACGTCTAAATAAAGTAAATAGGAAATTTATTTCTTCAAAACAAAAATCAAAAAATTTAAATAAATTTATCAAAATTATTTAATTTATTTTTTTTAAAACTCTCTTTATTCATTTAAATGAAATGAAATTGAAAACTGTTCAAGTAAATTAATTTTATCAAAATATTTTTATAATTCTGTTAATTCATAAAAAATAATAATCTTTGAGACATGAAAATATTAAAAAACCAAAAATAAGCTCAAGAAGAAACAAATTAAAAAAAGAAATCAAAATTATATTTATTTTGAAAAACACTTATACTTTTATAAAACTTGTTAAGTAAATACAAATTAAATTAAATTAATATGGAAGATGAAAAGATGAATGAATAGCAGCTGTTAGATAGTTAATTATACAAAAATAGATAAATAGATTTTAAAATATAATAAAAAATCAGCATATACATACTAAATAAATAAAAACGATATATACTGACTGACTGACTGAACTTAAGCAAGCTGATTTAATTAATATATAGATAATAAAATTATGATAGTATTTTATCAATAGCATTAAGGAATTTAAAACGAAGTTGATAAAGAGCTTGATTGAGTGAGTGAGCGATTGGTTGATTGATTGATAGATAAATAGTAAAGTAAGTTAAAGAGAATATGATTTATAGATTTAGTTAATTTATTATTTTTATTTGGAAGCCTGTTACTATTTTAATTTTACATCTGATTAATAACTAACTTTGTTGCTGTTTGCCTTTAAATCTTACTAAACTTAAATTAGCTGGTATTTTTTATTTTAAGCAGTCTTAAATGCATATACAAGCTGTTGATAGAAAAAATTGAATATCAAACTAATTTTATTTCACATTGCTACTGTCTATCTGTCAATCAATTAATCAAATACTGTTTTAAATTTAATAAAAATAAAATTTTTCTCAATTTTATTCACAAATATTTCTTCAATTCAGCAGGTTTAACTGGCTTACTGATAATTCCATCCATACCAGTTGATTATGTTTATGATTTAGTATCATCATCTTCATCTATAAATAAATAACAATATATTATATTTGAATTAAAATATGAGTTTAGTTAATTCTTTTAAAATTAAATTATTCGGCTAATAATTGCGCAATTCTGCTAAAAAGCAATTCTAAACACTATTTTTCTTTTTTATTAATATTTTTTTTGTAGTCATCTTATCAAGTACATGAATATTTTTTAGCTATTTAATTGATTGTTTTTCTACTTTCTAAATTTAGGCTTTTGAATCAAAATTTAACTTTTAAAATTTTTTCTTACATGCTGACATGGCAATAATCTTTACTTTTGCTAATCCCTTTGATTTTTCGAATTCCCTAATAGCTTTAGTTGCCTTTTATAAAAATAAGAAGAATTTATCATTTGATATTAAGTATTAAGCGTTTTTCAAAATTGTTTTTGAACTTGAAATAAAGAAATCAATATAATTTTACATCATATCCATCCATATTAGGCATATGTAAATCCATAAATATAATTTTGTATGCACCAGGATTAGCTTGGTATTTAGATAAGCATTCTTTTCCATCATTAGCTTGATCAAGTTATTAGCCAAGAGCTCCCATCATAGTAGAAAACATTTTCATAGCAAAGGCATCATCTTCAGCTGCTAAAACTTTTTTTCCGTCCATTTTGTCTATAATTTGTTTGGAATATATTTATTTTATTGGTAGGTAAAGCTTTTAATATATTAATGAATACTATTGTTTTCTTTATTTTTTATATTTTTTGATAATAATATAAATTATTTTTTTAATTATTTCTTTATTATTCAATAAACAGACTTCTTCTGCTACAAAATCTTAATTATCTATCAATCTAGTTATAAGCAATCTTATTAAATAGATAGATTAATTCAATGAATGAATGAATGAATAAATAAATTATTCAATTAAAAAATGATAATTAATTAATATCTTTAAGAAATCTGCTCATGAACATATTACAAAAAATACATACATGCATTCATTCATGCTAAGCTATTGAATAAAAAATATTACTTTTTTAATTCACAAATTTATTTGCAATAGTAAAATATTAAGAATAATTTTGTAATTTTAAAATCTGTATTAAAAAATATGGATAATTTGTTTAAAATAAGTAATGAATTATATTTCTTTTACAAATTTAAGTATATGGTTAGATCCATCATTTAAATAAAGAGCTTATTAAATTTTGGTTTTATTGTAAAATTATGTTTTAATCATATCTAAATATTTGGTCCTCATTATAATTACTGTCGGACTTATGTTACTAAATTTATTTTAAATTCTTAAAATTCTGAAATGTTCTTTATCCAATTACTAAATAAAGCAAAGAAGAAGTTGAGCAAAATCTAAACTTAAAATTGAGGTAAAATTCCGATTGAAAATCACTAAATGAATTAATAAGTAAAATTTTAGAGCTAATAAAATTAGAGACAAATGTATTAAAAAAAATGTAAATAAATATTTATGAAAATTTTACAATTTTATCCTTAACAAATAAGCTAAAATTTTTATTTTCTATTTTTAAATGAAATCTAAATAACTCAATAAACAAATATCTAATTAGTTTATCTAAAAAATTATTCATTTACTATTGAAGCATTTACAATGGTTTCAAGAAAAACAGAAATATTCTTTATTCAAAAATATTTACATCATAAGTTATATATATTTCAATTTCTTTTTATTGATTCATTATTGCTATTGTTAAAGTTAATTTAAACATTTTTCTAAATCTAATGCAAACATATCATTGAATGACATTTTATGTCTATCACCACCAAATATATATAACTTTCTTTGCAAGATAGCTGCTGCATGGCCATCACGGGCACATGGCTTTTTACCTACCTTTGAGTTTGCTGGACATTTAATAGGTTCTAGGAATTTTGAGAATGTAATTCTACCAAAATCAGTTGTTTTTCCTTTTTTTCCTTATTTTAATTCTGGCATCGGATTACCAATTGTTATAAGAGCATTTTTCATGGCTTCAGAAGTAGGCGAATTAGAGTTATTTCTCATCATTTTTTCTTCATCTTCTCCAGTTTGAAGTTAAGCTAACATCTCAGCCTTTTTTTAAAAGAACTCTTTTTTCTTTTAATTATCTAAATTTCTTGTAGGTGAATGAGGTTGATCTGCTGATTCAGACATAGCATAATAGGGATCCTAATATATTTGTGTTGTACCTCTATTAAGACTCTTTCTTGTTGCACTACCAGCATTATTTGGGGAAAAATTAGAGTTTTATGTTTTTATTGGAGAAGTTACTAACAAGCTTTTTTATCTTTATGTGTTATATAGAGTGTTTCTTTTAAATGATCCTCTCTGACTCTATTTTTACTTGACAGGAGAAATATCAGCCATATTTTAGTAATCTTTTCTTCTGGCGGAATCTTCATCTACAACTAACCATCTGCTGTTTCTCAAGTCAAACACATATAAATCATCAAGTTCCCAAGTAACATCGTGAATACCTCCAAATAGAATTAGGTAATCTCCATACAAGCTAAGACTATGACCTTTTCTTGTCTTTTATAAAAATATAGAGATTACTCTTTAGATATATGCATAAAAATAAATATCATCTACCTTTGGTAAAAAGTTTACTTAGTTGCTACTGTACTTCACTTGATTCCAACTTTTAGATTAGAGGTCAAAATAACAAAGATCATTCAATCTTTCGTAACCGTCATATCCACCAAATAAATATATTTTTTCTTGATAAAGACAAATGCCAGCTCCTATTCTAGGCTTGTAAGTTTAATTCTTTTATGAATTGCCATCATATAAAACATTCCACACTTTAGTATTAAAGTCGAAACTAAATATATAATCTGAAAAAATTCCTGTATCTCCAAGATAGCCTGATAAAACTATCATTGTATCTTTGTATACTAAAGCTTTGTGAGAATCTATTGATGGAGGTTATATTGTACCTAAATATAAAACTTCTTCCCAAGTCTAAGTTGCAAAATCAAAACTATACATTTTATTATGGTTAAGCTGTCCTTAATATTAACCTCCAAACAAGTACATTTTATTTTTGTAAACAACTCCGCTATGTCTGCACAACTTTCCTAAATTATAAATTTTAGTGAATTAATTTAAAATAAATATCATTTAAAGAGTTTTTTTTTTTCGAATTTATCCTCATTTACAATATTTATTTTTTAAACCTAATGTAGCTCATTTTAGGTATAATTAAAGCATATCTGTAATATTAGGATTCAATGAAAAAAGTTAATATTTAAAATACTTACCTGGAGATTTCTTTGGATTCTTGGCAACCACTTTATCCCATATATAAACTCCTGCTTAGAGATCAATTTTATGGAAATCAGAAAGAATGCCTGCATTAATTTCATATCCACCATAAATATACATTCTTTTTGCAAATTGATGATGTCAGTTAAAAAATCTAACAAGCTCAAAAAATTTACGTATGGTCAAATATCACTGAAGTAAAATCGCTCCTATTTTAAATATTTCTTCCAGATATAATTAATTCTTCCCATTTTGTATCAGTATTAGTGTTATTTAGCTGCAGTTTTGTAGTAATTTTATTGGCAGTGTCAACTCTAAGTATATTTTACCCATTTGGGCTGAGTTCATTTGCTCCTTAATTTTTTTACATGAGTTATAATTTTCTCATATAAATTCCATCTTTATCACTAGCATTCTATCCCTAAGAAATGGGTCTTGATAAATTATTTTCCTATTTATTAACCTCGTTTGGGTTTCTTTGGTTCTAACTATTTTAAGCCTAAATATGGTCTTAACTTTAAACTTAAGGATTTTGAGTACTCATATTTATATACTTATCTAATAAAAGTGTTGAATATGTTAAGAATAACTTTTTGCTTTTGTTTAATTGTAATTATTATTATAATTTTTTAGTGATAAATATCAAATCCTTCTTTATTTAGGATTTGCAAATAGCTAATCAATAAATTGAATGAATTTAATTATTCTCATCAAAAGCTAACCATCATTAGTACAAAATATTTAATTAATTAATATTTATCAACCATTTATTTTTATTATAAGAAATACATTTTTTATAAAATTAAGAAAACTAGTAAATAATATCTTACAAAAATATAATTTAGCAGATATTTCTTTTTTATATTTTCATTGTCTTAAAATATTAAATTGATAAATATTATTTTGCAATTAAATGAATCATCATCTAAAAAAGTTATTATTTATAAATTTAATTTGATTTAAATATCAAATCAGTTATAAAATAAAGGGAATTAAAATATAAATCAATAAAATAATAAAAAAACTCTTTTTTATTTAAAATATTATGAATTTTCAGTAAAATTGAAATTTTAATTTTTATATTTAATAAGTGGTCTTTTTATGAATAACATTTATGTATTCATTAAAAAGTAATAAAATATAAATAATTTAATCATAATCTATCTAAAATTATTAAATTAAAAGTTTTATAGCTAAATAATTATATCTTTATTTATTTTAAACGATTACATTTTTAGGAAAAAATAATTTAAAATGTTTAAACTAGTCATTATAGTCAAATTACAAATTTTATTATAAGTAAATAGAAAATAATTAAAAATATTCATTTATTAATTTAAACGAAAAAATATCAAAATTTTACTTTATTGCCTTTTAAATAAATTATGGCATGGCAAATTAGTAAAATTTTATTCATGTAAAATTTATTATTTTCGAGAATTTTTGATTGTAAAAGTGTATTGATTTAATTTAGAACGTTTATAAGTTTTTATAACTTTGAAGAATTTGTTGAGTAAATTATTTATAATTAATTGATCAATCAATTAATAATGAAATGTGTTACTTTATATTCAATAATTTGCCAATTTGTGAAAAAAATTAATTTTTAAATAATTATGCTTGTAAGTTTTGAAATCAAAAGTAATACAAAATTATTCAAACAAATAGTAAATTAAAATCCTAACTTTTTGTCAGGAGATAAGAAATTTTTATCAATATTTAATTATTTAGTTATCATGAAACAATATTTGAAATAAGTCTAGAATATATTATTCTTTTTTTTGTTTTGTTTTGTTTTGCCTTTCATTACCAGATGGGGCTATACTTGATGACTAAGTTGTGCTTCTTCAATTCATTATTAATGATTTCAGAGGCCTTAGGGAGATAGTAGAAAGGAATTTGAGGGAAGAAGTGGTGTTCGGTTTGGTATTACATTCCTCCCATGAAAATCATGGAGATAACGCTCTTGTAGTCATAATTAGTGGTTGCAGTAATTTAGTGTTATAAGAAAGGAAGGTCAACTCTCTTCTCGAATATAGTCTCTCTTTCATGGTTACCTACTAAAACAACTGCGGTTAAGAAACCAGCAATTAAATGACCAATTAAAACAACCCACCATGTTTATTAAGTTATAATAGCCCAGTGGATAGCCAAATAAGCAAACTCCTTATAGCCAATTTCAGCAACTAGAGAATCAAATTTCCATTTAGGGAAAAGAAGTGGGAAGAGCCAACGGTTGTAGCTATGTTAAATATCTTCATCCTTTGAAATGTTATTAGTGAACATATGATGCAAATTATGTTTACGGTTCCACCACTTAGAACTTAAACCAGCTACGATACCTCCATAGATAGTACCAATTTTATATAAAATAGGGTTTCTGTTGTGATTTTAAGAGTGTCCAATCCAACCAGCTAAGTTTTAGTTGATACCAATGAGGACGATTCCAAGAAGAGGATTGCTAGTGAAGGCACCCAATAAAAATACTGAAAAAGAAACAAGTAATATAGTCATCTCAATTGGCCAGTGAGGTTCAAAAAGATGTTTTACTTTACGCTTGATAGTTGTGAATAATTAGGAGTCTTTAGATTCAAGAAGGTTAGTTTATGTCTTAGGGAAGCTCTTTAAGATCTTGAGAGCCTTCTTGCTGTGCAAAGTACGGAAGTATTCAGTAATATCACTCTTCTCATCTTTCATCTTTTCGAAGAAATGAAGACCACCAGGATGCTTCTAAGCATATTCTGTGCAGTCGTACTCTGTGTCCTTGTAAATGAACTTAAATTCTTAAGAAGTTTCTTGTTATGAAACATCTTCTTTAGGAGTTTTAGAAATGGAAGGAGTCATTGACTTTTGGGAACTAATATTCTTTGATTTATTTGTCTCTTAACCTAAAATTTGCTTTATATTACAAGATTTTCTTTGATTACTTATTTAATCTTTATTTTAGATTTCTTTTTGTTGTTTAATAATTAATAGAAAAAGAGGTTTTTGTGTTGAATATTTAAAAGTAGATGGATTTTACAATATCGACTGATGCTTAGTCATATAAGAATCTAATTTACTTCATATGAATAGTTAAATATGAAAATTATTTGGGAGATTAGGAATAAAAATTAATCAAGGCAATCATTCAAAAATTTAGGCCAAAAGATATAACTAAATTAAGGACATGTTTAAATTCATACATCCTAAATATTATTATAAAATACAAAAAGCAGACTTTTCTAATTTTTCTAAATGACATCATCAAAACTAAATTTTTGATTTTGTTTCTGAAAATAGCGTCATAAACACTTACAACTTTTACATGTTTTATAAAAAATAATCTAGAAAACTATATAGTCCCATCTTAAATTAACTTAAAATTTAAGTAATCTTTTTGTATAATCTTAGTCAAAATATTTAGATAGCTATTGAATTACCCACTAGCTATTTTATTTTTATGAATTTCATTTTCAAAAAAGCTTTTTCTATTAAAAATATATAATTCAGATTAATAATATTATCAATATCATTAAATATTCCAAATTCAGATTAAAATTAAATCATACATTTTTACGTGTTAAATATAATAATTACACAAAAAATTTAATCTTCTTCTAGAAAGTGAGTCTAGATTTCCATCTCTGGAACTCAATCTTTATAGAAAAAAAATTAATTAATCTTTCTACAAACATTTATTAGATAAATAATTTATGCTTGCTTTTTTTGAATAAAATTGATAAAATACTTATAAAATAATTTATATTAATTACTTACTTACTTTAGTTTCATAGTAAAAATATAAAAATAATTAAATTTTATTAATTTTAGATGATTCTTTATTCAATTTAATTAAAAATTCATCAATATTTTTTAAGTAATCTAATATTTCATATTATTCTGACTAATTTCACTTTATTAAAAAAATATTTTAAAATATTAAATAAAAACAATAAATTAGACTTAAATTTTTGAAGCCTTAATTAAAGAAGTATTTTTAAAAATATAGAAATAAAAACAATAAATTAGACTTAAATTTTTAAAGTATTAATTGATATTGAAGCTGATTTTTAAATATTATGAGAAATTTAAAATAAACAAAAATATTTTTGAAATTTTAATCTATATCAAATAAATAGACTACAATTTAAAAGTTTAAAAAAATACTATCTATCTCTATCAATCATGAAATTTTAATAGATAGTTGGAACTTATATTTATTTATAATATTATAATAAATTGATAAAAAATCTTCAAAAGTGTTTGCTAACTAAAAAAATATTATTTCTCACTAAAAAATAATGCAAAATAACTTTAATCAATAAAATCTTATTAATTTAAATTTAATTTTTAAAAAGTATTTTTTATTTAAGTATGCTCTTATATAATCCAATTTTAATAATAGCAACTTATTCTCATAAATATTCAAAAGGAAGATATAAATATCTTATCAATTTAATATAAAATTGTTAAAAAAATTAGTTTATTTGCTTGTAAATGTAGCTAAAAAATATACCACAATAATAGAAACTTTTTATAAAGCTGTTTTTCACATTTAATGCAAATGATTTAATTCTGATATCATAAAGAATTTTAGTAATTTAAATACAAATAAAAAAAAAATCTTAACCAGTTAATCTTGGTTAAGATTTAGTTTAAGAAATTAAAGAATATTCTAAAATTTTGTTTATAACTACATTCATTAAAATAGAAAAAATATTACAAAAAGTTTTCATTTTTTTTATAATAAATTTTACTGATATTAAAATGAAAACAAACAAATAAAACTTGGATAATTAACAAATAAAATTACATTAAAGATAGATAAATATATTTAATAAGATATTGATTACTATATTAATTGTTCAATTTAAATATAAAATGTTTTTGTATCATAAATAATAGTCCAGTTAACGCTGTAATTATATAAGAAATTGTAAATTAAAGGTAAGACTTATCTGACGATGAATTTAATTATCTAATTTAAAAATCCATTAAGCAAAAAAAAAAAGATTATAATTTTTAGATAATGCGTCACTTTCTAAATAAAATTTTATAATTCCCAAGTAAGATTAATCCCGAACCAATCAGACTAAGAATATTCAACTCTTTATTAAAAATAACTATATCAACAATAAAACTCATGACCAGCTAGCTGTATGAAAAAGGAACTACATCTTAGGATTTTCCAGTTTATAGTCCTCTGCTGTAAAAAAGTTAGGCAAGGAAATTTAGTAATGCGACAGAAAAAACTATTGGAAATATGCTAAATGAGTAAACTTCAGCATTAAATTACCCAGACATAATCATAAAGCTGCCATTAAGTGCAAAACCAGAAATATAAACATATTGAATAACTGCTGTTACTTTTACACTATTACTCAAAGAGCGGATGAGTAGAGCACTTAAGCTCTCTAGGAAGCTAAAGGCAATACTAGCAGCTAAACCTAAGATTGCATAAGGATCATTTAAAGACGAAGAATTAACTTATAAACCTAAAAATGATAATAAAAATGGTGGCTTTACAATCAATACAATTCCTATAAAACTTGTAATTATTGAGCTAATCACACTTGGTTAAAGCTTCTCTTTAAGCCATATGCTAGCAAGTAAAGATGTCCATATTGGGCTTGTTAAGAAAATAGCTTAAGCATCACCTAGATTCAGCAATTTGATTCCTTAGTAATAGCATACATGGGCAATACCACCAAACACACATCTCATCATCAAAAGTTTAAATATTTCTTTATTTTGTGGATAAATATCATGCTTTCCTATTTTTATTATGAAGGTGTTCAGTACCATAGATATAATGCACCTGAAATATAATATCTATGTTGCTGATATACCATGAAGAGTTTTAACACAAAGACCAACCATTACATAAAAAAAGCTGCCTATCACAGCATAGACAGAAGGAGATTTTGGATTCTCTTCAAACTTATCAATCTTATCTGTGACTGCCTAATAGAAACTACTAAGACCCATTAAATTTTATTTGAGGAGTGATGAAGTATATTTTAAAAAATGTATTTATTTTATATTGTTGACTTTTGTAATCTTAGCTTCTTTTTGGAATATGAATTTAAATAATTTTTTATAGTTTATAATAGTTGTATGGTAAGGGTTTTAGAATTTGCAAAATAAATTGAATACAGCTGATTTTTAGCTGTAACGAAGAAAAAAAGGAGATGTTATTGATTAAAATCACTTTAAGATTACAATTATATTGAAAAAGTTTGATACTAGACTGCTTTACATAATAAATGAATTTATCTAAATTAATTTATGGAGAATTTAATTAAATTCAGAAGAATAGATCCAAAATATATCAATTTAATTGTAAAATATATAAAACCACTCTGCCCACCATTAATCCACTTTTAAATGTAATAGTGTTACTTTCTAAATAAAACACTAATTAATTAATTGGTTAATCATTTAATTTCTATGATAAAACTTTTAAGCATCATTCATTTTATTGAATCGCAAATTAAAGCATATAACCATTTAATTATTTGATCCTCAAATCAAATTAAGCGACTTTATTTCTAACCTAACTAAAGCTTTACTTTTCCTATTTATTCTTGTATTCAAATAATTAATCAATCATCTGCAGAATTTTAGAGATGATTAAAATTTTCATTTAATAGAAAAATGAAATAGATATCGACTAAAATTTCTATCTTGATATTTAAATAATCGTTAAGATTCGCATCCTTTTTACTTTGTAAGAATAATAAGAAAATAGTTATCACATATCTTCAAAATCTTTTACATAAAATTACTAGGTATTTTGCAAAGCAAGATATTTTTAAATAAAATCACTATTATATTCAATAAATATAAATCTTTTAATAATTAAATACAGATTTAAAAAATATACAAGCATATTTTTAAAACCAAAGTAAGGACTATCTAGATTCCTATTAGGTAAATAATTAAAAGTAAATTTTAAATTAATGTGAATATAGAGAGAGGACAATTACAAAAATTGCTGAAGAAATTTTAAAACTTTACTTTTTCTGGTCATTTCTTAATTATTATGCACTCTAAAATTTATCTAATCTACACTGAAAGAGGAAGTATTTTATTTTCACAATAAAATCTTAAAATAAATATAAAATATTTTGCACAATAAAATTCAAAAGCAGTTTTTCGATGAGAAATGATTTCAAAATATAAATTTAAGTAAATTTTATGTTAAAAAATCTAAAGTTTGAAACGATTTTTATAAAGATAGCTCACTTCTGACTATTTCTTATTTGCTATGTATTGTAAAGTTGAATATTAATTATTCAAACAAATCCTCTCACTTATTTCCGTTCATTTGTAAGTAAACATTGTAATTATCTTTATTGAGCTTATTCGTCATTTAGAATTTAGTTCTAAATAAATTGAGTCATTTACAATTTATATTTAGCAATGGTTGTTATTTAACAAGCATAAATATAAATATGGGTTTCAATTCTTAACAAATAAAAATTTATTTACTAAAAAATTAAATCCTTGAACTTAATTTAGATTTGCAATTTGTAAATACTAACTTTGGTAATATTATTTAGCTATTTAAATATTTTAGCTGTATTTTAAATGCATTCTAAAGGTGAAATAAAAAGAGCTGACTAAAATTTTAATATCAAATAATCCCTTTGACTCATACAAAATTTAGAAATTTATTAAGTCACTTCTTATCTTACAGTCAATTATTAGTATATTTAAATTAAATTTTTTATATAAAGTTTATTTAAAGCCACACAATTATGTAAATTTCTTGAACAACATTAAAATTTTTAAAATAATAAAAGTAAATATTGCTATAAATATTTGAGTAATTAAGTAAAAAAAATATTTAAGAGAAAAAAAGCTGTAAATTTTGATATTTTTAATATGTATTCAAGAATATAATATAGGTAATCGAATAAACTGTGAGTAATATTTATAACTTAAAAATCATTCAATCCAAACCAATATCTGCAAACATTAATATAAATATATCAATCGAATCTTTATATAATCACCTTTACTTGAAATATCATATATTTTATTAAAGGGTTTTAATGTGGAATTCAATAACTGTTTTCAAGTATTATGCAAATCTCTATAGACTAGCAAAGCACTTATTTATTCAATACAATTAATTTTTTTTTCAATTTATTTATTAATTTTTATTTCATAATATTTGTTGCAATCTCATAAATATGTAGATTGCAGATTCTAAAAATCACTTAATCTTTATATTTTTACACTCAAGTTATTAAACATATAAGATAATTATAATGAGTCTATTATTTTATTACTTTTATGTTAGCAGAAATTGTGGTTATTTGTTAATTTTAACTAGTATAATTAAAGTATGCTTTAAAAAATATTAATAATTTAAACAAGATCTATAAAAAAATAAAATTTTCATAATTTGGTAATATTTTAATAAAATTAAAAACATATTTTAAATTGATGTTTAAGGCTATTTTATTAGTTTTATTTAGCCTTTTGCTTCAGGTAAAAATAATTTTAATCATCTAAATAAAATTTTAAATTAATTCAATTAAAATTATACCCTATTTTTTTGATTTATTTAAGCTGATTAAAATAATTCATAAATAATATGGTGGAATATTTATATTCAAAATAAAATTATTAAATTTATTTTCTTAAAAGATCCTGACTTTGTAGAACAAATAAGGTTATTAAATACTTTCAATATATATTAATAAATAAATAAATTTATATGCTTTAAAAGCTTTTTTTATAAAAAAAGTAGTTTTTATTAAGCTAAAACATTTTCAAACTTTCTCAGATTTTTAATTATAGCACTTACACTGGCAATAAAATGGAAGACTAAACTAAATAGGACTAAACAAAGAATAATGAAGTGACAGTTTTTAATCACCAACTTTCTCCTCTAAGCATGTATTATTGCACAACAGGGAGTATGGAAAACGCTAAATAAATAAGCTAATCTTTAGTAGAAAAAAAACTAGCTGCTTGCGTTAATATCTTAGGGTAAGGTGAATCTTCCGTTATAAGCAGTGTCTATTTTTGGGATAATAAAGTGAATGAAGATTCTGAATACTTACTAATCATAAAATCGAGAACTGAGCTTTTGCAAGAAATAGTTGATGAGATTAAAAAAATTCACACATATTAAGTCCCTGAAATCATAGGAACTCCAATATTTGGTGGAAGCAAGGCTTATCTTGATTGGGTATTTGAAAATACTAAATAACCAAATAAATTGTGATAAAAATACCATATAAATTTAAAATGATATTCTGTCTTTTTGAATAAAAGAAACAAATAATCTTAAATAAAATTTGATTTCTTTATTTATAGCTTTTTTTGATCAAGTATTTGGATTATTATTGATAAATTGGAAGATTTCAGATTAAAAGTTACATTCACACTCAAAAAGTTATGTCTTTATAAAATTCTTAGAACTTCAATTATATCAATCATTCATTTTTTCATTTTTTCACTGTACTAAAACATAAAAAAGTTAAGAATCTTTCCTGCTTAAAATACAAACAAATATATGATATATTTAATTTAAATTTTATAAACAATATTTTATTGTATTTTAGTGACAAATAGCAAGAAATTTAAAGAGGAGTTTTAAAAATAGATTTCGTAGCTTTACAAATCCTTAAAACTTACTTTACCTTTAAGTTTATTAAACAAAACATATATTTAAGAAATAAAATTCTATATTTTGAAGTAAGTTTAACATTTAAAATGAATTTATCAAGTTTGAATTTTGAAATAGATTCAATTTATTTAAAATATTATTTCTTTAGAAAATAAAGATAAAAATATATATGTTAACATTCATTTAACTAATTATATATATAGTTCATAATTTATTAAAATTAAGAGTTTTATTTAGAACACCAGCTAAATAAGTATTATATCTTTTCTTTCAAATAGAATCTATAATATGAATTATTTTTCTTTTATTATAATTATTATTATTATCTTTTAAATGAAACCTTTAAAAATAAATTTTATAGATTTGTAATTTAGTAAGCGCTTTACATTTAAAGTATTTTCATCAAGCATTAATGTAAGAAGGAAAAAAATTTTATTTTTAAACTATTGTTACATTTATATTGTATTTTTAGATCATATTTTAAAGCCAATTCCATTTATATTTATTTAAGAGAGTATTTTCAAAACGAGTTATTGTTTAAACTGCTTCCTAATATGAATTACACTCTATTTTCGAGAATAATAAATGGCTAATAAATAAGTTTTCAATTTTATTTTTTTGTATTTTTTTCGAGATTATAAATTTATAATAGATTACAATTGATGTTTTAGACAATTTAAAATTTTCTACATTTAAATTGATTATAATAAATTTATTATTATTTTAAATTTGCAAAAACTTAAAAAAGATACTGTATCTTAAATTTAACAGCTAATTGATGGTGTTTGATTTTGCAAAGCTGATTAAAAGATACTATAAATTGATTTAAATATGAGCCTGTTCTTGGATAGCTTTTTTTCATAATCAATAAATTAATAAATAAATCAAGTTGAGTTTTAGAAATTAAAACTACTATAAATATTACTAAATACTTTTAAAAGAGCAATAAATCCTAAACGCTCATAGGTCAAACTTTATATCTTGAAATATTGGGTAGTATAGATAAAATGATGGACATTGAGTTCTAAACTAAAGTTGAAAGATTGGAAGATAAATTCTAAAAGATAAAAATGTTAGGAGAAGGCACTTATGGACACGTGACTAAATGCTAAGATAAATAAACAAAAGAAGTTGTAGCTGTAAAGAAGATTAAGTTAGAGATTTTTTAAGGTGATGGTTTTCCTTCCAGCTCAATGCGTGAGATTTCTACTCTTAAAAAAATGAAGCATGAAAATATTGTCATGTAATTTTTAAATACTTACTTTTGCTAAACAACAAAAACCACTTTAATTTCCAAAATATAATTTGCTTGTTTAGAATGAATAAACAAACATTTTTCAACATTTATTGATTTGATTAAAATATTACATCCTTAATATTCTACTTTTTACTATTTTGCTAAACATTATCTTACTAACATTATAATTTTGTAATTTAAACAAGTTTGAAAGATGTCCAATTTTAATTTGATGAAAACAGTCTCTTGATGGTGTTTGAGTGTCTAGAGTGTGATTTAAAACAATATCTTGAGAATGAATTTCCTATTTAACCTATAAAGATTAAAGTAAGACTTAAACTACTTTATTAAATTAATCTCTCACTTCATAAATTAATTACTTCTATTAGAATGAATAAGTCACATCAATTTAATAAATAAATAATTAGTAAATCATGAAATAAATTTTATAAGGAGTTGACTATTGCCATTAAATGCAGATCATGCATCGTGATTTAAAACCTTAGAATATTTTAGTTTCTACAAAAGCAAACAATACTATGTCAGTTAAAATTTCTGACTTTGGACTTGCTAAGACGTTTACTACTCCCCTAGACAAATACACAAAGGAAATAGCAACACTCTGGTACAGAGCTCCAGAAGTGATGCTTGGAGATGAGCACTATTCAATTACAATTGATATTTGGGCAGTTGGATGCATTTTTATTGAGCTCATTACCAAAAGGCCACCATTTCATGCCTAAAGTTAAATAGACTAGCTCTTTTAGATATTCTAAATATTTGGCACACCTAACGAATAGACCTATCCTGGAATTTCAAAACTACCTGACTATAATGAAAAGTTCCCAAAATTCCAAGCACAAGGAATTTAAAAACTTCTACCTTCTAATTTTAATGATCCTGAAGCTTTAGACCTCCTTTCCAATCTTTTAGTACTTGATCCTAGCAGAAGAATTTTTTCTAAGGAAGCACTAAAGCACCCTTACTTTAATGGTGTTTGATTAATATAATATGCATTAATGAGAATATATTCCTCATTAACAATTTTCACCTTGTTTTGTTGTTTAATAATTTAGAAAAACTAATATTGTTAAAAAATATATTTTATGTTAATTTTAATCACTTTTTTTTTAGCATTTATCAATTAAAAAATAAAAATTTTTATTTAATGTAAAATTAATTTTATTTTTCTTTTTTAGTTTCAATTTTATCAAAAAAATTAAAATAGATAAAATATATTTTATTATAAATTATTTTTATTTGTTTCAGATAATTAATATGTTTTAAGTGATTATTAAATATTCATTAACTTAAAGTACCAAATAATAATAGTTTAAATTTCTTTTTCAATAAATAACTCATCAATGAATTCAAAATTTAATTAAGATTTTATAATCACTAAAATTTACCTGATATTTTTAAATTTTTTTTAAATCAAAGTTAATCAAAATTTAATGGATATCACTATCTATTTTACAGCATTTTGCTTGCTAGAAACATAATCAATATAATTGTGTTAACTAATTTAAAATTCAAATAATATAAATAAATCATATTGAAATTTTACTATTTGATTATATTTCTATCAAAAGTTTTCTATTTATTTCTTAAAATAATTACTTCGAGTACATTTCAAATTAAAATTCAGTAAGTTATTCATCTTATTTTTTACAAATAAATTTAACAATTTTAAGCATAACTCAAATTAAATTTATAAAATAGACTCTAGTAAGTTTTAAAATTCAAAAATTTCATATTATAATTATCTTATTAAAACAGGTTAATTTCCTGTGTTTTTTATGTGGTACTTCTAATTAATTAAACATAATATAAAATAAAATTATAAAGATGAAATTCTTTAGTATAAATTTATTCTTTAGTGTATAGTGTCACATGATATAAATATCACCATTTACTTGATAAAAATTTGAAGATTGTAAGTTGATCGATTTTCTTTTATGTCGAATTTATCTATTTTTTTCTGGTGAGGATTTTGATTAGACTGAAAACATGTAAAATAGACTACCTGACCAAGTAATATTGGACTGAAAAAGTATTAAATTAGTGTAAAAGAAATTAATAATTTTTTTATAATAACAAAAAATATTAAAATATAATAAGTATATACATAAACTAAGAAACTAAACATACAAATTAAATTTCTTTAAAAATAATAAATGTAATAGTAAGTTCTTTAAAACGCTTTTGTTCCTACTCATATCCTTATCGGCGCAGAGCATAAAAAATCAAAAAAATTTGATGACAATCAGTAATTATAAAAGATAGGTGGCCACTATAAAATTAATGCTGTCAGCGTTTTTTGGGATGAAAAGCATGTTATTGGTGTCTAAATTTACTACAAAATAGGAAAAGGCGCAATTGGTGATTTCTTAGATGCTGGTAAACTACTCTATTAATTGTTATAAAATATATATGCTCATTGAATTATTAATAAGAAATACTTTTACTAAAATGATTTTTATAATTTTTTTATATTCTCAAACTTATTTACTTATTTTTATTCATTTAAACATTAATTAGCTCATAATAAGCCAGAAAAAGTTGGAAAAACTCATGGTGCTCTCTTTGAAATTGGTCCAGATGACTATTTACTTGAAATAAATGGAAAAACTTCTTAAGACTCTCATTTGAATAAAATTGGTTTTGTAACTTATAGAGGCAAATAAGCCAGTTTTGGTGTCGATGAAGGTACATTCTTTTCACACAAATACGATAACTACACATTCGGTGGATTTATCGGAGGATTTAGAGAACACTTAGACTTCTTACATATCCCTCTTCTTCCTATTCCCTAAGATTTCTTAAGAGAATTTAAACCCATTTAATTAAATCTTAATATGAATAATCAAACTATTGCCCAAGCTGAAATTAGAAGAAACAATACAGGAGCTCCTGCATTTGGTAATGGTGGAAGTAATAATAGTATTATTTAAGCTAAGTAGGATTTCATGTAAATAAACATACCTAAATTACCTTAAAAGTTCAACACCAATCCAGTTCCTGCTTCAAATTAACCAAACCAATATGGCTATCCTCCTTAAAATGCTTAAAATGGTTATCCTCCTTAAAATGGTTATCCTCCCTAGAATTTCTATCCAACCTAAAATAACTAATTTGGTGGCTATCCTCCTCAACCCGGATTTAGTAATAATAATAACAACAATAATAATAATTTTGGACAAAACAATATGTTAGATAGCAAGTATCCTATCTTAAAAAAATGAAATATTAGTAATAAATTTTGATTATTTATAAAAAATTTAACAACAACAACAACAACAATAATAATAATAAAATAAATAAATATTTATTGAAAGTAATTCAAAATTATATATTTTCTATATCTTTTATTATATATAATTATATTTAGTCTATAAATATCTTATAAGCATAAAGTAAATATAGAATATTTTCATAATAAATATAGTATATTTTAATATTAAATAAAGCCATTTTATATCTAAAAAATTAAAATAGTCTATTTTATACTAAAAAACGCACCAAATCTAATAAAATTCAAACCTAATAACATTTGATAAATTTTCTTTCGCTTCTGATTGGATTTTGTAAAAAAAAAATATTTGAAGATATCATTGATATAAAGTATCTTTCTTTTAATCTATAGTGCTAACTGATATACACTATAAAGCTGATAAAATTACAATCCTATAAATCCAAATTTAAGAATGAAGCAAGTTAAGCCTCAATACAAGTTTCTTAAATATTATAGCAATATCAGATATTTTTTAAATGAAAGAAAAATACAATTTTATGCTGCTGGAACTCATTTATTAGCTGATACTTCTAAAAAGTAGCATATTTAAGATTTCTAGACTTTAGTTGCGATCATACTCAATCAACAAACAACGAATTATAATGTTGAAAAAAGTATGAGAAACTTAAAATTCAATATTAATTTTACTCCATAGCAAGTATCAATAATGAATTAGAAAACATTTGGAAAATATCTAGACGGAATCACATATCCTGGTAAAAAATCAGTCTAAATTATAGAAATGGCTGAAACTTTGGTAAATGAATTTGATGGCTAGGTTCCAACAGACCCAAAAGAGCTCAGCAAAATCAAAGGCGTGGGAAAAAAAACGATTGAATTATATTAAAAGAGACTAGAAAATAGAAATAGTAAACACATTAAATTAACACCAAAAACGCTCCTCTTCCTCATTAGAACATAGGTTATTGAGGATCAAGATATAGGAATATACAAAGACGAAACTTAATTAAATAATCAAGATATATAGGATTATCTCTAGTCTTTTATTGATCCTATTTTATGGAAAACATTACATATCCCTATCGACTTATTTGTTGATGAAATATGCTAGGAAGAAAAACCTAAATGTTCAGAATGTCCTCTTAGTGATAAATGTCCATCATTTTAAATGAGTTTATAAGATAATAAAAATATAATTTTGGAAGATTGAAAGAAATTTATTTTAAAAATAAATGAATAATAAATTCTTTTTAAAGGCGAATAAAAATGTACTACAGCATAAATTTAATTCACTTCACTTCATGATACTTAATATTTCTAGTTGTATGTTCGTATCTTTATAAATGTAAACCAAATATAAAACTCAAATAGTAGTTTTGGGTTTTACAAAAAAAATTGATTTTTGATTTAATAATTAATTATTCGTGTAATTCTTTCCTAAAAATCTAAAAGTAAAAATAAAAATAATAAAATCTACAAAAACATAAAACAAATGAGTGTTTAACAAGGTATAATCTCTCCAGTTAATGCCACAGCTCAATATTTTGTGTAAAATTTGAACCTATTCAAGCTTCCTAATAAAATGTACCTCGCTGAATTATACACCTCTTAAGATATTGTCAAATCATCAGACGACAAAGAGAGAAAGGCCACCTCTGCAGTTTACTGCTTATATGAAAGTGGTGTATTTGTTGGTTTTCATACTATGTAAGCTGATGAAATTTTAGTTCTCAATTATGGATGCTCTCTTGAAATCATTATTATTAACGAAGATGGATCTCTCACCAAAGAAGTATTAGGATATGATTTGGAAAAAGGAGAAAAACCTTAATTGACTGTTGCCAAAAACACACTCTTCACTGTTGTTAATTCTCATTAAAATCCTAACGCTTTTTCATTGGTTACAGCTTTTAATATTCCAGCATATGACGAATCTTATGTTACTTTCCCCAAGAAATAAGAATTAATTGAGAAATATCCTTAACATAAAGAACTTATTGAAAAATATGCTGAATAATGATTTTATTTTTCAATATTTTTCATGTATCTTCATATAATTTAATTAAATATTGTAAAAGAATTTTATTTGTAATTTCTTTTTTTATTTATTAGAAATTTGTTAAATATTTTTATTAGAAATTTATTCAATATTTTAAATAGAAAAACATTTTACATATTATTAGAAATTACTTAACTAACACCAAAAATATTATAGTTTTATCAGAAGAAATATTTTTGCACACAATTAGTTGCTTTGTTATAATTTTTCAAAAAAAATATAGCTTTTTATTAAAAATATATTTAGATGTTTTTAAATTAATTTTATTTATTAGAATTATATTTTGAAATGAATAATATATTCTTTTTAAAAGTGAATAAAAATATACTACAACATAAATTTAACTCGCTTCACTTAATATTTCTAGTTGTATGTTCGTATCTTTATAAATGTAAACCAAATTTAAAACTCAAATAATTGTTTTGGGTTTTACAAAAAAAATTGATTTTTGATTTAATAATTAATTATTCGTGTAATTCTTTCCTAAAAATCTAAAATTAAAAATAAAAATAATAAATTTTCAAAAAGATAAAACAAATGAGCGCTTAACAAGGTATAATCAATACTCCTTTGATTGTTGCAATATTATTATCTATTATTTTCTTATTTTTGACAATTAATACAAAATAAACTGTACAAAATCACTGGCTTTAGAAGAATAATGAAGCTCCAGTTAATGCCACAGCTCAATATTTTGTGTAATATTTGAACCTAGTCTAGCTTCCTAATAAAATGTACCTCGCTGATTTATACACCTCTTAAGATATTGTCAAAACATCAGACGACAAAGAGAGAAAGGCTACCTCAGCAGTTTACTGCTTATATGAAAGTGGTGTATTTGTTGGTTTTCATACTATGTAAGCTGATGAAATTTTAGTTCTCAATTATGGATGCTCTCTTGAAATCATTATTATTAACGAAGATGGATCTCTCACCAAAGAAGTATTAGGATATGATTTAGAAAAAGGAGAAAAACCTTAATTGACTGTTGCCAGAAACACACTCTTCACTGTTGTTAATTCTCATTAAAATCCTAACGCTTTTTCATTGGTCACTGCTTTCAATATTCCAGCATATGACGAATCTTATGTTAATTTCCCCAAGAAATAAGAATTAATTGAGAAATATCCTTAACACAAAGAACTTATTGAAAAATATGCTGAATAATGATTTTATTTTTTGATATTTTTCAAGTATTTTCCTATAATTTAATGAAATATATATAGTAAAAGAATTTTATTTATAATTTTTTTTTTGATTTTATAAGAAATTTGTTTAATATTTTTATTAGAAATCAATTTAATACTTTAATTAGAAATTTTTTCAAAATTTTTAATAGAAAAACATTTAACATATTATTACAAATTACTTAACTAACACAAATATTATTATATTATCAGAAATATTTATACATACAATTAGTTGCTTAGTTATAATTTTTCAAATAAAAATATTGCTTTTTATTAAAAATACATTGAAGATATTATAAAAAATAAATAAATATATTTAGATGTTTTTAAATTAATTTTATTTATTAATATTATATTTCTATTATTCTTAGAAAAAATATTTAAAATTTTATTAGAAATTATTTATTCTCATCAATAAATATTAATATTTGTTAGTTTAAGAAAAGATATTTAAAGATTAAAAACAATTTCATAATTTAAAAATATTTTTACAAAAAAAATAATTATTTTTAAATAAAATTAAAATATTTATTTTTATTAAAATAAAATTTCAAAATGTTTTATCATTTGAAAATATAAATTAAATTAATCAAACAGATTTGATTAAAATTAAATCTTAATTGTGACTTGAATACTTATGTTCCTACATCAAAATATTATAATTGTATTAACAATCAAAATAAATTCAAAAATGATGGAAATATTAATCATATTTCTCTAAGTAATTTGAATAAAATATATTCAGAAGATTTCTCAAAATGTACACCTCATCATATTAATTAAGCTGATCTATTTCATTTATTTTAAAAGACTGAAAACAATAAGGAGGTTTATCAATAATTTTATGATGAGCAAACCTCTACTATTCTAATAAAAAGAGTGTTCGAGAGATAAAGAATCGTAGAAAAAGGCCTATCCTGATAGAATTTGTCATCTCCTTTCTGGATATTATTGATAAAAAAGGGCAGAATTTCTTGTCTGTGATTTATCATATAATTTTTCTTATTGATTAATTTATTATCCGCTTTATTTATTAATTGTTTGTTTAAAAAAGAATTTCCTTCTTCTTTTTTGATAAAAAATAAATATCTAAATAAATCAAATTAAATAAAAAAAAGACAAGATGTAAATTTCTATTAAGACTCTTGCTGGTAAGAAGTAAAACTTAACCTTCGAACCTACCAACACTATTCACTAAATAAAGCTTACCCTTTAAGAAAAGGAAGGTATTGGTGTAGATCAAATTAAATTGATTTTTGGTGGTAAGCAATTAAATGACGAAATGACCATTTAAGATGCCAAGATCAATGCTGGTGATACTCTCCACATGGTCTTACAACTTAAGGGTGGTTTCTGAAATATATAAACTTATAAATAAAAGCTTACTAAAAGAAATATTAGTTCATATTAAATAAAGCATTCATTAATCAGATTTTTATTCAGCTTATAATGAAGTTACTGTATTTTTAGCTTTATGTTTCATCTTTAATGTAATTATCATATAAGAATAACTAATATATTTGATAAAATTATATATTTAACTCATTCGTTTTATTTTATAATTTATGTATAAATTCAATAGACTTCCTTTTATATATAATATTATTTTACACATCACCATATTTATCTTATTCTAAAAAATTAAATTGTTTTGAATTTCAAGAATTAAAAATGATTTAATGTCTAAACTGCATGTTAAAAGTGTCTAGATACAATTTTTTTAGCAATTTCAAGATGAAAAAAGATTATATTTTATAGTAAATAAATAATAGATTATTTAAAAAAACGTTTGACCATATTAGCTTTTATAGAGCAAAGAATATTATAAAAGATACTTTCAAATACATTTAACTGCAGCATCAGAAAAGTTAATTATTTACCAAGATATTAATAATTAAAATAGCAATTTGATATTTTCTAAAAAGTGCAAATAAATAAAGATATTTAGAGAGAACAAATAACTTGTTTATTAAATTGCACTAATTTTGTATTTTTTAAATGAGAATGAATAATAATTATAATTTTTAATTAAAATATTTTTTTATAATATGTTTATTTTGATTTGATTTTTGCCAAAATTAAGAGGTTGGAAGATCACAGAGATAATTAAAGTGAAAAAAAAAAAAATATTGATTGCAAAGTATTTCATTTTATAATTAATAAAAATTTACAAAAAAAAATAAATTTTAGCCAAAAAAATTGAATAATTCTTAACATAAACGATTTACAATTAGTTGAATAGAAGATTATATATAATGAGCATTTAAATATTTAGATATGAACTACTTACTATGAAATAAAGTATTCAAAATAAAAAATTACTCAATAGTTGTTCAAATTACTTCAAATAACATACCTTTCTTTAGATATTTATATACAACAAATCAAGTTAAATATTAAGAATTGACAATAGGCTTTCATAAAAAGAGAAACATGATGAATAGATAAATTTATTATAAAACAATTTTCCATTAAATAAATCTTAAAATTAGAAAATATTGTTACATAAATGTAAGATTTAGTGAAATCATCTTTTATACCATACTTTTTTATTCATTTTTATGATGATTTTCTAAAAACAACTTTTTATTGTAGAAAAAATTAAAATTTTAAACAAAAATATGCTAAATAACTGGTTGACAACCTTTTATTATTTAGAACTAATTAATAAAGTAAATATATTTATATCATGATAAACAAATTCTATTTTTTGATATATCAAATACAATTAAATAAAAAATAAAATGTTTTCTATGAAAAGTTAGAAGAAGTAACTCTTTTGTGGAGTAAATTGTTTTATTAATTTAAAGTTTTATTTAATATATTGAATATTAAAATAAGATATCTAAATATTTTTAAATATATGTAAATTAATTACTAGTTATTTTTAGAAAGAATTTATTATTATTTTGCGAATAGCTAATTATTTAAATAGAAAGTGTTTTTTTATTAAAAACTAAAATGGATAAAAATATAGAAACCAACCAAGTTTAATTATTCAACTAATAGGGATAAGTAGGCTAGAGGATGTATAAAGATGGAATGGAATTTTTATAAAGATAAAAAAAGATGTTAGAAGATGAACATGCAGAAGAAATGAAAGAACATGAATTCATTATTAAATAAAGTACTTGCTCTGATCTAGAAGAATTAGGTTTGGCAGTAAATAGATTGAAATTAAAGTCAGTAAAAACAGGTCTTTATGGAAGAACATTAGTTACATTTGCACATCCTCATTATTCAATGGATAAAATAAAAGAGTCTCCACAGTTAGCTAAAATGGTTAAGTTGCCAGAATCGAAATTTTAAAGTGGTGATAATGTATCAATTTATAAACAATCGCTAACATTTGATGGAAATCCTTTAGAAAAAGGAGTTATTTTTAAGAAAAATGATTACAAATTTGTTGTTGCATTTGACGAAGAAGTAAATGAAAACTAACTCTCTAATGAAGTTATTAGTATAGTTATGGAAGTAAACGAAGTAACATATAATAGATTTCTTAAATGTTTGTAGAACATAGAAGAGAAATACAGCGATGTAAATTTCAAAGGATCCCAATTATTAAGAGTATTGCTTGATGGATCAGATCCAACTAATCCAAATCCAAATATTAAGCCTGTTCATATTTTAAGCAAGCCAATTGTTGACTTTTATAAGAAAGATCTCAATGAAGAGTAAAAAGATGCTATTAACTTTTGTCTCTCTTCATAAACAATAGGTAATCATGCTTTATATTTTTTCTAAAGCATTTAAGTGAGCAGAATTGTGAATTTTTTATACAATAGAATAATAGATAGATAAAAAGAATAATATTTTTTATTTTGGAAATATTTTATGAGAAATTTATTGTAATATGTCAATTCATTTCTAAAAAAATTATTCTTATTTTATCTAATTTTAGGATTGATTCATGGACCTCCAGGTACAGGAAAAACCATGACAGTATGTGAATTAATTTATCAAGCAGTTAAAATGGGACTTAGGGTGTTAGCTTGTGCTGGATCAAATATTGCTGTTGATAATATGGTAGAAAGATTAGCTAAAACAGACTTAAAAGTAATGAGAATAGGTCACCCTGCAAGAATGCTTCCAACAATTTATGAATAATGTTTAGACAACAAACTAAGAAAAACAACTTGCTTTAAAGAATTAAAAGCTTTAAAGCAAAATATTAACAAATAGCTTTAAAAACTACAAAAGGATATAAGCTATGGTGAAAAGAAAGAAATCAAAAAATTGCTTACAGAGTTAAGAAAAGAAATGAGGGAACAAGAATAACTTAGTATAAAAGAAGTAATCTAAGATACTCAAGTTGTATGCTGTACTAACTCTGGTGCAGCAGATTATATCTTTAAGAGAGATTTTGGTAAAGTAGAATTTGATTTGGTTGTAATTGACGAATGTGCTTAGGCATTAGAGCTCTCCTGCTGGATCCCAATATTACTAGGTAAAATTATATAAAACACATTTTGGTAAATCAAATTACAATATCCAAAAATACTATTTTTTTCAAATCTTACTGGAGTTATTTTATGAAATCAAATAGCCAATTATATTTTTCGTTTTGTTACTCTGACTGAAGGATACATGTGATAGGATTTTTATTTTTAATAAATTTGGTTTTGAGATGTATTACTTCAAATATCTTAATTATAAATATATTTAGGTAAAAGAGTTGTATTAGCTGGTGATCACAAATAACTACCCCCTACAATAAAATCAAAAAATTAAGGATTATCTGTTACTCTTTTTGATAGAGTACTAAAGGAATTCCAGCCAGAAAATGTTTCCAGACTCTTGAAGGTATAGTATAGAATGAACTAACAAATTATGGAATGGTCATCTTAGTATGTATATGGCGGCTAGTTAAAGGCACATGAGTCAGTAGCCACTCATTCAATAGGTGGAGAGAGTATTTTATTATTTATAGATACTGCTGGTGCTAAAATGGGAGAAACAATAAATGAAAATGCTAACGATAAAAATAAATCTAAATCTAATTTAGGAGAGGCCGATTTAGTAAAAATAATATTTGAAGAGCTAAAATTACAAGGACTGCAAGAAAAAGAAGTAGGTGTCATAACTCCATACAATGCACAAGTTGACTTGATCAAAAAGCTATTTGAGAATAATAATATAAACACATAACAAGTTGAAGTTTCTACAGTGGATGGGTTTTAAGGAAGAGAAAAGGAATGTATAATTATAAGTATGGTTAGGTCTAATCCCCTAAATCAAGTAAACAAACAAATAAATAAAATAATAAATTTATTTAAATTTTAAAAAGATCTTTAGTTAGTTTTATTGATTGATTTATAGAAGATTTGTTTATTATTTATTTATTTATTTTTCCCCAAGTAGGAACAACTAAAATACCCCCATATATTTATTTATCATTAGTTGTTCTTACAAAGATTTAAGTAATTAATAGAATGAGTGTAAATCTTTATCAAAGTAAGATATAATCAACATTTTAAGTTTAGAGTTAAAAATTCTCAAATTAGAGTTTTCTTTTACAACATAGACTTTCTCTTTTTTTATAAATTTAATATTATAATCTATATGAACATATTAGGTTGGTTTCTTGAGTGATTATAGAAGAATGAATGTTGCTGTGACCAGGGCTAGAAAGTTTGTTTGCTTGATAGGTGACAGTGAAACAGTTAGTTCCGATAAATTTTTAGATGAGATGGTCAAATACTTTTAAGAAGTAAATTTTACAATTTGAATTATTTTTTGAAAAATTTAAAAATGTTAAAAATGTGTAAGTTAGCATGAGTTAGGAAACAGATTAATATAAGTGCTATTTTTAATTTTTAAAGGAATTATGCCAAGTGTGTCATACGTTTAAAGCGTATGATTGATATTTTTAAATATAATAATCACGTTGTATAATATATAATTATTAAAAATTATTATCATTAATTTTTTTATACAAAATTTTTGGCAGTGATGCAATAATACAAGCAAAAATGGCCTGAAATGTTTTAAATTTAATACACACATATAACTTGTTTTTTTTTAATTTTGTTTCTTAATTCTTACATATAATTGCTAATTTAACAATCTAAAATATGCAGATTTGTATAATTATCTCTAGTTAAAGAATAAAAGTTCATCCAACAAATTTTTTACTGAAAACAATTTTTATCTGTAACTCAAAAAATTCAAATATATTTTTAATTATTGATAGCATGGTGAGGTACGTAGCGCCATGGAATACGTAGGAATGCAAGATGTGCATTTTAACTGTGGTTTTATAGATGATAAAGCTAAAAAGGAGATCAAAGCAGAAGGAAACAAAGCTAACTAATCGGCTCAATAGTAGAAACCTAAATCTGAAGGACAAAAAAAGTAAAAAAATAAAGAGCAGTCTAAAAAAGATGATGATAAGTAGAAACAATAAAATGAAAATGCTAAAAAGTAACCAGAAACTTCTACAAAAAAACATGAACACTAAGAGTAAGAACCAAGAAAAAAATTTTCAGAGGAAGAGCTAAAGAGCTAATATACAAGAGAAATATCTATATTCTTAATGAGTAGTGCCAAAGAACTAAAATATGATTAAATTAATAGCTTTTAGAGGAGAGTTTTACATGAACTAGCTGATTCTTTCAAATTATACCATGAAAGCATCGGAACTTCAGCAATCAAAGATTTTGTAATTCGTAAAATTGCTAATTCAGAGGGTACTTAAAAAAATAAATTGAACGATAATGATAGTAACTCTGACGACGATTAAGAGGAAAGTAAATAAAATAAAGAGGGTGAGGAACAAAAATAGGATACGAAGAATAAAAAGAAGAATAAAAAGAAAGAATAAAAAAGCAAATTACCCTAAGGTATTTTAATCGGTACAAGCGATTCTTCGAATCAAAAAGCAAATAGTAGTACTTAGAACATAAATTAATCAGATGTTAAGTAACCAGAAAATACGAAGGTATCTTTGGGATTAAGCTCAAATCCAGTAGTACCTGAAGGAGTACAAGGTGATTAAAAGAATCAATACCAAGAATATGTGCTAAAAAAATAGTAAGAATAATAGGAAAAGTTAAAGTAATAACAGTTACTGTTAGAATAATAAAAATAGCAGTAATAACAAAAAAAAGCTAATAAGTAAAAGAACAAGGATAAAAAAGAGAAGAAAGATGATGTTGTTGATGAGTTAGACGACTTGGCATTCTTAGAAAAGTTAGCTGAAGAAAAGAAATACTGCAAATTTTAGCTAAGCAGTGGGAAGAAGTGTGGTGTGTATGTTGAAATGCTCGGCAGTGATTGTAAGTATTGTGATTCAAGGTATTGTATAAAGCATGGCTTACCTGAAGATCATGGCTGTGGTGATAAAGTGAAAAAAGATGCTAGGGAAGCATTTTAGAAATAATTTATGATGTAACATAGAGGAGAAAAGCCCTTGCGTCAAGATTAGCTTAACAATTTACAAAGTAGACTACAAGACAAAATAAAGTAAAATATTGATAGTAGAAAAATAAAGTAACCTGAAAAAAATGAAAAAAAGAAGTGAAAATTGATAATCTATTTAAAGAAAAAGTGATGTGATTTGATTAGGATAAAAATGATAAATACTGACAAAAAATAATCCTTTCTTTTATTTAAAATATAATAATTATAAAATTAATTAAATCGGAATTATTTCTATGAATTTCTATAAATTCGTAATTTTATTCTATTAAAAATAATTATTTATGTATTTATATTCTCTTTCATACAATCAATCCTGCATCATTTGGATTTAATATAAATTCTTTCATGATGTATCCACCCTCTCTTTGTTCGAGTTTGCTATGACACATTTTCAAATTATTAAATTTTTTTTTTTTAACACTTTTACGTGTGGTTAATATTTTTATTAACTAATTAGTTTGTATTGAATGATTAAATTATTGAAAAAATGAGATCACAGAAGCGAGGGATATTTAATTATTAAATTAAGCTAATTTGTTCATTTTAATATCAATAAAATAGTAAATGAGGAAGCAATCTTTCTAATAGATAAATTTAAATGAAATTTTACAGTAATTAATTTTATCTGTACAAAAATTTGGTAGTACTATTTTTTTATTATAAATATCAAACATTTCCATACTAAGTTATTATGTTCACACTTACTATGAATTTATTGTAGCATGAAAACTACTATGCTTATAGTATTTTATAGAAGAATTTTTTTTTAAAATTCTTATTTATTCATCTGGAGAAACAAATACTTAAAAATAGCTCAAAAAAAATTTTTTCAACCTCATTAAAATAAAAAAAAAACTTTATTTATGAATTTAACATTTAAGTATTGTGTTCATGCACCACCACATAATCTTCTTTGGTAGTCATTATTAATATGAGTTTTTTATAGAAAAATAAAGTAGTCAATTTAATGATATCAATAAATTCATAACAGTTTAGCACTTAAGTCATAGTATTTCAATAATTATTAAATACATAATCACTTAATTTATTAAAATTACATTGATCAAAATAAAACTATAACCAAAATTTTTATAAAATATTAGTAAGCCTGTATTTAATATTTAACTTTGAATATATTCAAGGATTTTGTGATTTAACATTTATAACCTAAAAAATTAGCAAGTATAAGTGCAAATGATATCAAAATTTATAAAAACTATTACAAACTAAGTTTTGATAATCAGGATGTATTAGATTTTATTATTAAGCTATTGAACATAATATTGTATTAATATTTAACATATAGTAAGTAAATCAATCAGTTAAGATAAATAACCTTAAGATTAAAACTATTTACATTTTTATTAATCTGTCACAATTATTAAACTGAATAGCTTTAATTTCGTAGGTAAATATCCGATAAATTTCTCAGAATAAATAGTCTTAGAAAAATTAATTAATTATATGTAAATTTAACAACAAAGAAACTAACAAAAAATTTATATTTTTAAAAGTAAAAAAGTTGGTATCTTTTTTTTTGCTACAAAATCATAATTTTCAACGAACTTTAATTTTTGGCTAAACAACTTATTTTTTGAAGTGAGAAGTTTTTTGTCTTTAATTTTTGTAGCTAATATTAAATTGCTTATTTATCCTAAAATAAAGGATATCTATCTATCATCTCAAATTAATTCTAATGAAAAACCTAAAAAGGTGATATTACTTTTATAAGTACAAAATATTAATTAATTTTTGTAAAGTGCTTACCCTTTTTAAAAATTCTGTAACATTTAATACAAATTTTAGATTCTCTTCAAAGTTAAGTTAATTTTAGTAAAGCATATATGAAAATTCAGTATATAAATCAAGTGACATCAATCACTAATTTTAAATTTACATAATGAAAAGAAACATTTGGCCAATAATCAATGAATATATTGATTGATATGGTCATAGAGAAAAGTTAATTAATAAATGATCAATTATTTATTTCGATATCTATTTCTAATTCCTAAAATTAATATAATTGCATTTTTGAGTACTCAAAGCTTTTTTAATGAATTAATGGAGAAAATTTTTAATTTGGATATTCGTTAAGATTATATTAATTTAGAAGATTACATAATTTTTTCGATTACAGACTACTCTTTTTACGGCTAGGGGTGTGCAAAATGCAAGTGTGTGAATAAAATTATTAGTTTCTAGTTTATTTCTATTTTTACAAAATATTAAGGGAACACAAACTCTATTCAATAAACATGATTAAAAAAAGCATATATTCATGATATTAATTTAAAATTTCAAAAAAAGTCGCTATTAAAAATGAATAAAAATGTTTAAGAGTCAAGACTAGTCATGTAAGATAAATTGAGAAAGAGTAATTTAAATAATATAATAGATTATAAATTACAGTTTATAATAAATTTATTAAAGAGCAAAAAGAGAGGAGTTTTTATATAAAAATGTAATCATAATATTTAAATGAGGATTAAAGGTGAAGAATATATTTTGTAAATTTGCAAGTGTGTTAGAAATATCCTTATGTTTGTTTCTCTTTTTGATATCTTACGAAAGAAATGTGTTGAAAATAAATATATTATATCCGTAAAAATGAAATTGTGGGTTTTGATTATAGGTTTGGGTTAGGATGTTTGATGCTTCAACATCGTATTATTTATCAATGGTTATTTCGTCAATATTTAATAATAAGTCATTCAAAAATAATAAATGAGACTTGGAATAGTAATATACATTCACAGTCTTTTTCATAATCTTTCCCCAATAATAGGAAATTTTCAATTATATTTTATTGCTTAATTATACTCTTAAATCAAAAAAACAGGTATATCATAATATTCAGATTTACTTTATAAATCTAAATATTAAGTAATCTGAGCTATCTTGCCAAAAATAGTAAGAAAAACTATTTTTGATTTTTATAATAATTAACAAAATTTCCTTTATTCTTAAATTTTTTTGTTGAAATTTTTATTATTTTCCATCAAATACTTTTTACGTGATATCAGAGCCTTGAGCTGTAAACTTATAATTTCGATACCGATAACAAATTAAAAAAAGAGGGGGTTTTTCTATATAGCTTTTAAATTGATAAGCCACCATGCTCTATTTATTTTTTTTGAATGAATGTATTAGATAAAATTAAATTTAGCAATACTATGAATTAATTTATTAAGAAGCTCTAGCAATAAATATACATGAATAAATGCAAGATTTTTAAAAATTTTTAAATTGACACATAAATATATGCTTTCTTTTTGTAAATAAAATATTAAGAAAAATTTTCAATGTTGCGAAATAAATAGATTGATAGTTATTTGTATAATAGGAAAACCTAAAAGGAAATGGTTTATTTGATTTGCTTCATCATTTATTATGAAATTTGAATTAAGCATGTATAAAAATGAATGAATAAATAAATAAATGAAAGATTATATTTATTTAGAGAGAAGAAATTAATTCAAATAATGTTTAAGGAGTATACCAGTAAATGAATTACAAGCAAGACTTGAAAAAATATAATATGAATGAATGTTAAATTAATTAGCTATCGATGATGATAGAGTAATTGAAATTGGCTTGACTTATCAAATTGATGATGTGAATAAAGGTAGATGTTTGCTTATTTATTATATATTAACAATGAGATAGAAAATTAATTAATTATAACTAAGAGAAACCTTTCTTTTAGTTTAATATATATTTGTTTATATATATGTATATGAATATAATACGCAGGCTGCTTTGCATTCATATTTAATCTAGAATCAGTCTTAGGGGTTATTATTAAATTCAATATTATTTATTAGCTTTTAGTAGAGCTAATTAGGAATTATGAAAGGAGAGAGACTTGTTATTTATATTTACTATTTTATTTAATTTTAAAACACAAATTAAGAAATAAGGCAAGCAGGGGAGTCCTCCTATTAAATTAATATCTTCAATTACTTATAATAAATATCTAAAAAAAAAAAAAGAAAAAAATAATTAAATAAGTAAAAGATAAGAGTAATAAAAAAAGGTCAAACAACTAATACATATTCTATTTATATTGCTCTATCAACTTTCTAAATAAAATGAATCATACTCTTAACATTCAATTCAAGATTCATTACCAAACTTACTATTCTTATTCCCTTTACATCTCGGGAAGCTCCAAAGAGCTTGGATGTTGGGATCCTAATTAAGCCATCCGCCTGAATTGGGTTCAAGTATGCATATTATTAATTATTTATTTTAATCAAAAATTAATTAATTTTTGATCTACTGAATTAAACCAAACTTCTTTACTTCAATGAAAAAAAAAAAAATCACTGAATAAATATTAAATCAATTACTTATTTTTATTCTATTTATCTATATATCTATCGCATGGAGTATTCTATCACTCCATTCTTACAATTTATTTGATTTTCACTGATAATGAGTGAAAGAAACATACAACAATAATTCAACATTGTTACGCTTTTAAAGACTTGGGATTACTTTTAATTTTTAAAATATTTTAAATTTATTATTTTCCCGTTTTAAAATCGAATTCTCATTCAAAAATACATAATGAATGAATCAATTTCTATTATTTCATGGTTTTAGACCTATTTTAAAATAAAATATTTTTTTGCATATTTAATATTATATAAATTTGGTCTTACTTTGTTAATTCAAAACTTTAAACAAAGGAATACACTTTTATAATTGCTATTCATACCATAAAATATTTAAAACTTAGTCTATGCCTATTAGCTTTAATTTATTTAGTATACCTTACTGAAAATAAAAATTTTAAAATTTAATCAAAAGCAAATATTTAATCACCCTTCAGCAATTAAACTCCAGTATTAAGTTTAAATAAACATAAAACATCTAAGTTATCAATATACTACCATTTATTTATATATAAAATATCAATTTATTTTAATAATTTAATAGGGAAATTGGTGGACCACTAGCGCAATTACAATCTCAGAAGGATCACATGACTATAAATATTTTGTTGCAAAATATGACAATCCTACTTAGGACATGAAGTGGGAATAGGGCCCAAATAGATCAATCAACACTAAAGGCTATCAAAAGAAAAATATAGAGATAAGTAATAAATCTAACCATTTTTTTTAACTAAATTTTATCATTTTCATGCTAGTTTAATTCATCCATCTATAAACCAATACATCTAATTTAATTAGAGTATCATTTACTTTGAAAGAAAATGTTTGAATATACAGATGAATGAATCATTAAAAAAATTAATCAATAGTTAGCTCTTTATCTTTTAATTTGCAAGAATATTTTACTTTTGATGAAAGTAAATTTAATAAATCTGATAGAAAGATTTCTATTAATAGAAATATTCTAAATTATTAGAAGCTCTATATAAAAAACAAGAAATGATTTGTTGATGTGTATATTATTTAAATTTTAGAAGCTAATTCATGAATCAACTGAATTTGAATAAAATTATAATGCGAATACGAATTACTTGCTTTATTTGCTTTGAATTTTTACGGATTAATTTTAGAAATTTTGATGAGCTTAATTTTTGATAGGTGGATTTATAGCATGACGATAATTCTTAATTTCTATTTATTGCTATTTTCATATATTTTTATTCTAATCAATTACGCAATTTTTATAAGCTCATCATCACATTTAATTTATTCTAATCTTATGATTTAAATGATAAAACTCATTTTAGAATTACATAACTCATATTTATTCCTATGAAAAAAGGTGACGTTTGGGAATACAAAAAAGTTATTTTGCGTCTCTTTGAAAGCACTAGAATTATTTCATGCGATTCTCCCAACTGCATATCATAAAAGTGTCCTTAATTATAAAAATCCTTATCTACACCTCCAAAGTTAAACAATCATAATTCTTAGGATTCAAAACAAAGTTTGATTGATAATTAGCTTGTCGTTTAGTAATCACGTGAACATAGCTCCTCGATTTCTTCTAATTCCACCTAAGCCAGCGAAGAAAGCAGCGGTTCTCCAGGTACACCTGAAAAATTTGGAAGCAGTGGCAATCTCATTAAGGAGCGCTATTATGTAACTGCAAACATCGAGTCAATGGGAAACATGATTAAGCTTTAGAAAATGAAAAAATACACTTATAGATCATAAGCTAATACAGCTTCTAATTGCTCAGAATAAAAGGAAATAGTTTTTTGGGAAAAACAATTTTTAGTGAAAGCAAGTCAGTAAAATTTGAAATATAAGTACGCTTACAAAAGCGAAGCATAATATAATGATTAAATGGAAAGAAAATCCCATAAAATAAATTTCTCTAAAAATGATGTTGATTATTAAGGAGCATTCTGTATTAATGACAAATGGCAAATGAACTAATTCAACTTTGACAAGATCACTGACAATATTAGTTTAGGTAAAATTATAAAAATTCATAAACTGCAAATTATTTAAATTGTTCACATAACAAGAGAAATAATAAATACACGATTTTTATTTACACCTCTTACTAATTAATTCGCACTTTTGGATAAAAAAAAATACTAAATAATCCTATAAATTTATGAACCCTGATTTGTAAATAAACCAAAAAGACAGTGGGAAGTAAGAGTTCGTGTAAAATAGAACACTCCATTAATATTTCTTATAAAATTGTAAATAACAAAGCTTTAAAATCATTTTTAATTGTTTGAACTCAAGAAAATACAGCTACAATTAAAAAATCAAATAGAAAAAATAAGCAAAACAAGATGATGGAATTTTTATCAAATAACTTATAGGAGTTTTAGTTTTAGTTAGCAGTATTTTAAATATCTAAAATTATACAAAATAATCCGCAATTTAATTAAAATGATGCACAATTGATTTGGAACAAAAAGATTCTAGTGAATTTTATAATTTTAGTTGAATAATACGCAATCTGTACAAATTTAGCATCAAATTGATAAAATACAAATATTTCATTAATCTTTCCATTCAATTTTTCTTTTTTAATTAGTGTCCCACCTTTTTTTAGTTAATTAATTTTACTTACTGATTATTTCCATCATCATCATTTTTTCATTTTGATTTCAATTAAACATAAATTTAAAATTAATCAATAAAATTTACCACCTTCCTCCCCACCAACTCTTAAAGATTTATTCTACAGAAACTTTTCAAAATATACTTTACAAAATTTAGAAATCTTACACATAAATAAATATAAAATTCGATTTTTCATTAATTTTCAGCCATTAAAAATTCTAATTGAACAATTTAAAATAATCTAATTTCTTCTTCTCTTTCTTTTATTTGATAAAAGAATTTAAATTATTAACAAAGACAATAAATCATCTTATTTAAATATAAAGGACCTTACCCTGAAAATTAAGAGCAAATTAAAATGCTTGCTTAATCTGGAGTTAAGGCTGTTTTCAATCTTCAAACAGAACAAGACATGGAATATCATGGAACAAACTGGGAAAGTATTAAAAAGCTTTACTCTAGCAATGGAATTAAAGTCATTCATTACCCTGTTACTGATATGGACGTTCATGACATGGCTTACAAACTCCATGATGCAGTCGATAAATTCGCAATGGCCATCGAAAAATGGAACGTAAATTAATAACAATTATAAAATCATCAAATAATAATAAAATAAACAAATATATAAATCCCAAAAATAATAAAAGTAAGAAAGAAGACTTTTCTCTTTTTACTGAGTGGAAAATTTAAAAATTTTAATCCCCAAATTGCTTACCTTAATCTCTAAATTTAATTCTTTAAAATTTTTACTTAAGTATTTTGTATATTATCTAAAAGCACGTTTACATTCATTGCACATCAGGTATATACAGATCTCCTTAGGTTATTGTGGCATATTTGAATCTCTATCACGAAATAGATGTCAATAAAGCCATCTCACAAGTTGAATCAAAAAGACCTATCACAAAGAAAAACAGAGATTATCTTCGTCAAGTGTATGCTATTAAAGGAGGATATGGAAAGATCATCAGATAAATAAACTGCCAAATACTTGAAGAAAGTAATAGAAAAAGCAAAAGTCCTTCAACTAACTAATTCTCTCCTTTACTCAAAATAGATCCAAAAGTCTCAAAGGTACATCATAACCTCTAAAAGCTTTCTAAAGCCAGCTCTGTTCAAATTGAATCCAATGAGAAAATATGCTAACACAATTCTTCTAACAAATAAGTAGAACAAAATATCAAATCGCATCATAATGTGCAGTAATAATATTTTAAATAATAACAAAAACAGTAAAACATCTTCCACTAGCAATATTAATAGTAAATGCTTTTATAACAGCACTACTACTCACTCGAGGAAATACAAACCATCAGAAGAAAATATTTAAAGCAGTAATAGAAAGCATCACTCTCCTCCTTAAGTATCCACTTTTAAAATATAAATAAAGAAAGCTAAGCATTAAGAGACATTAGCTTCTGGGATAAATAGCCCATCTAAAAAGAACTGTCAAGAAGAAGACACTCTTTAATAAATTCTTTTTAATATGAAAGCAATTCTCCCTAAATATGGGCATGAATAAATAGAAAAAGATCAAATTGACTCCACTCGTTAATGAGTAGTCAGTCAGTCAATCAATTAATCAGTCCTAGGTCTTTTATGAAAAAAAATAACAAAAATTTCAAATTTAATAACAAACATCTAATTATATTACAATCAATGTTGATTAAATCCCTATTACAATCTAAAGGGAAAACATCAACAAAAAAAAACATTTTTAAATATATACAAATTAATTTAATAACTGAGGAATAAATTGCCTTAATAATAATAATCTTAACTAAAATAAAGTATTAATTATAACCAATAACATTTGAAAAATAAATATTAACCACTTTCTTATAAATAAATTAACTAGTTAATTTACTAATCACTGTAAAATAATAAATTCAACCAGTCAATAAATCTTATTTAAAGTGAAAAAAATCAATAATAAATAACTCAAATAACTTAATTTATTATAAAAATTAATTTTCAATATCATTAATTTCAGATTTTTCTTTTTCTCTGAGATTACAAATTTCAATTTAACTTTCTCAATCCCTACTACTACCATTTAAATAAATCATAATTAAAAAAAATAAACCAAAACCAATAATAACTTAAAATCATAGTAATTAATTATTTATGTAAATGTATTAGCTAATATCATTTTGTAAAACTAACATTCTGAAATGACAAACAAATTATACCAACCATTCATCCACACTCTTTTAATCAGTCAATTAGCTACCTATTAACAAGAATAAAGTTGAATAGATATTCTTTCAAACCTAATAATTAAACTAAATAGAAACTTCAATATCTTTGATGAATACATAGTCAATTAACTAACATATGTACGAACTCATTTCAAAAAAAAAAACAAATTTATTCCCTCTGGTGTATGCAATTTTCTTTCTATCAATCAACACAAACAAAAATAAAATAAATCTATACAAATATTATTATTAATTTATATATCTATTCCCTTATTCTATTGTTGAATTTATATTAAATTACATGTAATCTAACTTTAAGCTTAATCTTTCTACAGTCTCATTTTATTAAATCTGATTATATTTATTTATTTTATTAACGATTTTTCAAAAAAATAAAAACTTAAACTAAACCTGGATAAATAAAATAAAAAAAAACATTTAAAGAGCATCTTTTTTTAATGTTTTTAATTTAAAATAAATAATTATATAACTTTTATAATTTATTTATTAAATCCTGTAAGATTAATAAAAAAACAATAAGTATTTTTTCATATTTTGAAATAAACAAAACAGTTATCTTTGAACATATTAATTACATTTCTATATTAGACTTTATCAAATAAAATTTAAAGCCTGGTTAATTATAAAATATTACACAGCTGTTAAATGTGTTTTTGTTTTCTTCAGATCTAAATTATGATTAATTAATATTAATTTAAATGTTAACAACAATTATCTTCAATTGTAAAATAAAGTTTATAAAATTTATTAACTCAAATAAGAATGGGTAGGATCAATAATTTTATTATTTATTTTTTTTTTAGATGATAATTTAAAAATAAATATCTTTCTAAACACAATTTTTTAGTTTTCTTAGGATTATTTTGAATGAGAAAAAGCTGATTTTTTTGCTCAGCTTTATAATGAACTTGAAATTTTTTATAAAAATAGATTCATGTAAATATTAGAAATGAAATAATGTTTATTAAAATGGTAATAGAAGTATAATGAGCTCATTTTTTATTTGCTCTAAGATCCATAAATATCAAATTTGTTTTTATATTTAAAAAATATCGTGATATTTGTTTATTAATTAATATGTCATAAAATTTAAATAAAATTTTTTTCTGAAGTATTAATACAAGATAAATTCTATATAACAATTCACTTTTTTTTTAAAGTTGCTGCTAATTTATACTATTAATCCCATTTATCTATGTAAATATATTCAAATAAATAGTTTTATTAAATAAAATATTTATAAAGCTCTATGGGTTATGAAAGCCTGTATATTAATTTTTTAAATTCAAATATGCTATTTTTAAGCTTGGATCACAAAGAATAAGCAGCTAATTTCAAAGAAAAAATCTGAAAAAAGAGTTATTTAAAATTATTTGTAATTATTGTAATAAGCAGCTTTTCTTATACAACTGACCATAACTTTATAAAAAAAATATAAATAAGTGGGGATGAAAATTTTACTTTATTCAAGATACAAAAAATCAGATTTAAACTTTATAAATGAAAGCTCAAATAAAAATTAATGTTAATTTTATTCATTTATGTAAAAATTTCAAAGGTTTATTTAAAAATAGGTTTATTATATAAATAAATACTTAAAATACTTAAATATTGTAAAAATACTTATATTATTTATTCTAATTTTAACCTCTTTCAAAAAAAAAAAACTAGAAACATTTAGTCAAATAATCTTAAAAAGAAAGATAATTAATTAATTGTTGATTGTTGTGTCATAAAATTTAAAAAATTAATTTTTCTTATGTATTAAAAAATCATGATTTGTGTGATTAAAGTTCTGTCAGAAATAGAAAGTTAATTTAAAAATCATAGATACGTCAAATTTAATGATTTAACTCTTAATATTTGATTTTACTTTTTTAAAATGTTTAAATGAACTCGAAAAGTTATATGAAAATAGATTTATAGATTGTATTAGTTATATATATCTTTAAATAAATTGAAATAAAGTGTATTATTATTTTTTTTAGTTTTAGAAAAACAAGGATTTTCAAAATAATTTGAAGACTATAACAAGAATTAATACACAAAATAATATAATTTGTTTTATAATATGTTGTTAAATACAATAAATCTTCAAACTTTATTAAAATTAAAAAATAAATATACCAAATTTTAAAAATAAATATTATGAAAAATACTAAAAAAGTATTTTTAAATATTTAGTTGTTTTGAGATAAAGATAAATGAAAAGTGATAACTTGAATTGTAAAATTACAAATAAATTTTTAAAGTCACTTCTTTTTTAATTTAATTAGTTAGTGAAATCTGTCTGTTTTTCTTTAATTAAGTTGAGTATTTTTAAAAATTATTAAGTTATTAAAATATGAAATCCCAAATATTTATTTTTCTTTATATTAATTGAAATCCTACATATTTTTTTAATTAAATATTTCTTTGGATTAGCAAAGGTATTGAAGCATTATAATTTAAAATCGATTTCTAAAACTTCTCCCGTTTAAATAAAGTTAATATACTAATTAAAATATAAAAAATTAATTTATTCTTTCACTCTTTAAAATTTTATTTCAAAATTTATTTTAGCTCAAACAGATTTTTCACACTAATTTAATTTTAAGAAAAAATATTTATGTTTGTTTTAAAAACTTTAATGTTCTAAAAATTAACTTTTATAAAAATATCAATTTTTATCAAATTAATATGTCATTTTCAATTACTTAATTTTTATATTTCTTTAGCAAATCTTTAAATAACAATTAATTTTACAATTTTTAGGCAAGCAAAGTTATTTTAAAATATTATTAGAATTTCGATATTTCAATTTTTATTTTATTCTTAGATATTTTCTGATACACAAAAATTAGTTAATTATTTAATTTAATTTAAGTTAAATAAATTAGTTTTAAATAATGGATTAGGAAAAGAAAATCATAAATTAGGATATTAAGTATGTTTAATTGAATAATGGCTATAAAATGCCACTCTTAGGTTTAGGTACTTAACCTTACGATATAGTAACTAGGGTTACCGTTGAAGAAATGACAACCCTCCTATCAAATGCTCTTGATTTTGGTTACAGAAATTTCGATACCGCAAAATAATATAGAAATGAAGTAGAAATAGGATAAGCATTTTAAAATATATTTTAGCAAGGAAAATATAAAAGAGAAGATGTATTTATAACTACTAAGCTATTTCCTTTTAAAATTGAAAAAAAAATAAAAGAAGTTGTCTAAAATTCTCTTGACTAGCTTTAAACTAGCTATATTGATCTATATTTGATCTAATGGAGTTTTACTCCTGTTTTAACAAATTTTGATGGGTCTGTTGCAGTTAACCATAGACCTATTCATGAAGTCTGGAGGGAATTAGAAGAATGTGTAGAATTAGGAATGATTAGGAGTATTGGAGTTGCAAATTTTAATTGTCAGATGGTACTTGATTTGCTAAGTTATGCTAAAATAAAACCAGTTGTAAATTAGATTGAGGTCACTCCATATCTTCCTTAAATTGACCTAATTAATTTCTTAAAAAGATGCAAGATTGAGACTGTTGCTATTTCACCTTTAGGTTTATTTTTATTGATGCAAGCATAAAATAGTTAAATAATTTATTTTTACTTAAAAATACTATCATAGGCAGAGCAGGTTGTTTTGAAAATACCCCCGAAGGAATGAAAATTAAATTGTTAGAAGAAGATATTTTTAAATAAATTGCTTAGAAGCATAAAAAAAGTGTAGTTCAAGTAATATTAAGATGTCTAGTTTAAAGAGAAATAATGATGATACCAAAGACAGCAAAGTTAGATAGGTTAAAGGAAAATAGTGAAATATTTGATTTCGAGTTAACAGAAGAAGATATGAAATAAATTTATTCATTAGAAAATGGAACTAGAGCTATTAATTTAAAGCACTCATAATGGTTTGGGTATGTACCTATATTTGATTGAATAGTTTATTAAAATAAAAATAATATAAAAGTAAGCTGATTAAATTGTTTATATTGTATGTGAATTTGTTTGATGTAGATAGATTATTGATTAAAAAATGATAATATTTAAGTTAAAAAAATATTAAAAAAACACTAAAAATAAATAAAATCTCATTTTAAATTTAAGAAATTCAAAAATATTGATCAAACAACCAACAATATTTTGAATGATGCTTCAAATTTGTTTGTAAAAATTGTTGAAGATGATAATGAAATAAATATTTTGCTAAATTATTTAAGAAAGTACTTGATTGTACAGATTTAATATTATTTAAAACTATTATTTTATGAATTACAACATAGTTTAATTAATAATTGAGTTAATAATACAATTAATTTAGATTTGAATATAAAGTTATTATTTTCGTAAATATTATGATAATGTATTAATTTTAGATATTTTTTTACAATTTTTTGAAAAAAATCAAATTTATCGAAGCATAAATTTGCTTGAAACTAAATTTTGAGCTTTGCAAGCAAGAAAAGTATTTTTTTATAATAAGAATTAGAGAGTAAAAGTTTTATACTAGAAATAGAAATTTTATAAAAATAAATTTTACTCTACACATTAATAATTTAACTTTTTGTTAATTAGTTTAACCAATAAACAAAATAAAATCCTATTAGATAATGGTGATTGATTATAAGAATTTACTTATCAACTTACTTACTTACTCACTCCAACTATTAAATAAAATATAAACTTTGTTCAAAGATGATATTTTGCTATATTTCTTTAAAAATAATTGAAATAAAATATTTTTCATGAAGAATATGATATTTTACAAATATTTTTTACATAAAAAGATTTTTTTAAAATAAATTTTATGATATCGATTAGTTGTTAAAGATTTAACTGATATTTAATGAAGTATTTATTACTAATGATCAAAATAAAAAGGTATCAATTAGATAAGAGTGAGTGGTTTTGTAAGATTTTAGGAATTAGCTTATTATTTTGCTTATTAACTTTTAAATTGGTCAAATCATATCTAAATTTAGTTTAAAGATGGTATTTTATTATATTTCTTTAGGCACAATTGAAGATTTTCTAAAGAAAGAGGATGAAAGAATAATGCCAAAGCTCCTACCTGTTCAGCCATATTAAGATATTCTTAGTTGATTTCTTTCGAAACTAATATGACTGGTATATTTTAACTGTTTGGTAATTAAGAAATATATTTTTTCATTTTTCTTACATCTAAAAACGAGTCTCCAGATTTTGTATTGATACTCATGATAATCAATTTATAATTAAAATCTGGGTTAGAATATTGAAAGGCATCATTATCAGCATCAATTATTCTTTACAAAGCTATTTTACTATTTTCTGCTATATGTATTTCAATTTCTTTTACTTTTGTTTGGAGTAAATCTATTAGCGTGTTAATATCTTCTTATTCATCATTTATGATTAGTATACGAGAATAATTTAAAAATCTTTTAAGATCTTCAAGGAAATCCATTTCAAATGTGTCAGCAGTACTCCTGATTTTAGATAAAGTATTTGTAGTCTCTATATCATATTTTGATTTTAATTTATAATCCTTATGAATATAATGTACTTGCTAATCGTTATCAAAATCTCTTTTTTCTCCTATCTCTTCAGTCAAAAGACAAGCAGACTCAAATATTCCTTATGGCTATTGGTTCTATTAAAAATTTGGATAAAAAATTTACGATTATTAGTTAAGCATTAGCTGTAAGGAAGGTTAATGGTTTCTTATTTAGAATGTTTAAATTTGTCCTTAAGATGGTATAAATTATTCATGATTAATATTTTAGTTTCCGCTGCCTTATTTTTATATTTACTAGCCAATATTTTTTTGAATCTAATTATTTTATGTATTCTTTTTTTAAAATTGAATGCCTTGTCCATAATTTTAAGGATCAATACCATTATAAGTGTAAGCTTGATTCTTTTTTACAATTTAAGAAGCAGAATGATCAATTTTAGACTGTGATCTTCTATATTGATCTAAAAATGCTTAGTTATTTTCTCTATTGAAGGAAATGAAATTAGTTCTACTATCGATCTATTTGAATATCTATGAGTAGTTAGAATATATTTTAAATCTTATTTCAACGTTACCATCATCTTATTTAACAAAAAAATGAGAAGGTCCTATTCTCTCAACTAAACCCTAGCATAGTAGTAACTAAAGATTTTTACCTAAAAAATTAATTTAAAAGGGATTAATTTAATTGTTAAGGTTAGAACTAAAAATTTTAAATTAAATGATCTGATTTAGGAATTATATAATAAATTCATCTGTAAGCTTATACAAGGACCAAATTAAGAATAATAAATATATGAGAAAAAAATAAACAAATAAATAAATACCTGAAGTAAAGTCATCATATTTATTATCAAAGATTTAGAAACTTGATCTCAGCTATTGAATAATTTCCTTAGGCAAGAATGATTCTGTATGCTAAATGATAAATTCTATCGTTTCTTTCTTAGTATCATAATAACTCATATATATTTTTATATTTCCTTCAGTGGTATATTTAAGTGATAAAGAAATAAGGTTAACAATAATCTATTTTAATCTTAAAAAATCAGAATTAATTTTTTCAGATTGATCAATCAAGCTGCAGAATTCAAAATTGATGCATCTTTCTTTCATCTATTCTTCGAAAATCAATGATATATCGCTTTGTAACTAATTCACAGTAAACCAATTTTTTTTAATATCAAGTTATGAATTTACTAACCTGAAATAGTCTATAATATCATTCACAATGAAGTAAACTTGCATAGAATTTTATTTGGCAACATATGTAGCATGATCATGATCAATTCCTTAGTCATTTAATGCATCTTTTATAAAATAATTTATATTAAGCAAACAACAAGCTATGTCAAGAAAAATAAAAATATTTTAACAAATTTAATTTAAAACAAGCAAAACTTTTTCTTGAATTCTATTTGTATTTTTCAATGATGAAAATACATTTATTTAATAATTTAATGAGTTTTTAATAAGAAAATATTTTTAAATGATATTTTGTATTGTAAGCTTGAAAAAAATTATTTTAGTGCACTTGTTGATTATCCTAATGACAATTACCCAGTAAGCAATAAAGTAGATTAATATCTCACTGAAAAGAATAAATTTAGGGAAAATATTAAATGTGTATTTTAATTTTTTCTCTATTTAGAAAAATTTCAAAATATAAAATAGAAAGTATAAAGTAAAGAGTTGTTAAGATAAGATAAGATAATTAATGTATGTATGTATGTTCTAGTTCTAACTCAAAAAAATTTTTTATTTGAAATCTTACTATAACTAAATTTATTTTACATTATGACTTTTCACATTTTAATTTTTTATCATTTCTCTTAAAAATAATTATCTAATATTAATTGTTAGCAGGATTAAAATTTTTACACAAATTATAAAAATAAACGCCATTTTTATGGTAAAATTCACCTTTTTATTTCTTAATTTGTTTATCCTTCCTACGAATATATAAAAATGTTATGCGCTTTTTTGGATGTAATTTCAATCTTAAAGATTCTTTAATCAAATTAAGGTATAAATAAATAAATACACTCATGTAAGTTGGCTTTTCTAAAATTCTTATAAAAAAGAGTTTATAGATAAAATTTTGTACATAACGGACTTACTTATTTATAGTACCAGTAAAGAGTATAAAAATAAATTATCTCTATTTAAAAATGAAAAATTAATTTTATTTTACCAATGCAATTCATGAGCTTGCTCAGGGGAGGATTTATTTCATGCACCAAAGATTAAATCAGCTTCTCTTTTTATATTTCCCTATACCTCTATTAGAAATATTTTTACTACTCAGTAATATCTTTCATTACTCCAATAATAGACGGGACTCCTTTAAATACACCTTCGTAAAGGTGTATATTGTAATATTTTATTTAATATCCAAAACCATTGTTTACTTGTCTTTCGCAATTTTCAAATGAAATAATTTCGCTAACTTCAAAAAAATCTGATTCTTCACCCAATTCATCAAGAAAATACAAATTCGAATTTTAGCATTTCTTTTGTATTTTATTTTACTGGATTTTTTTCTAAATAAATTCAGTTAATGTGGATTTATAAAATTTTTTTGGATTTTTATAATCATGTTCTTGAAGGCGACTACTGCTTGCTATTTAATTAGAACTGTTAGATTAATTATTTATACCCTTGCCATAAAAAAACTACATATTATTCATCTACTTATGCTTATCTTAATTTTATTATTGCAACTCTTAAGAGAATTATAACTCTATAGCCTACTCAATTGGTATATATACAGTAATTCTTTACATTTCTTACAAAAAGTAGTCAGTTTGATTAACTTTTTAATAAAATTCTTTTTGACAGGCTAAATTTTAAAATTTTAATGGGAGAGAATCATATTCATCTGATGATATTTTTCTAGAGTCTAAATTACTTTGAGAAAATTTATTATATCTGGATTAGTTATTATCCATAATACCAACTATTTTTTCACTTCTCAAAGCTCCCTAAACATCACTTCCTATTTCTTCTGGGTGTTAAAATTGCAAATTTAGTTTATTTTTAAAAGAATTTTAAAAGAACTTCTTTTCTGATCTTTCAGACTCGAAATCAAAGTTTCTACTTATTTAAGAGGGTATACCTGGTATTTCTTAATTTCTTTACTGAGCCTATAACATATCAACGCTGAAACCTTTGATCTATTTATTATTAGAAAAATCTTAAATTTAATCATGCCTTCTTTTCTGGTCTTTCTCCTCTTTTTCTATTATTTCTTGATTGAAATTTTTAACATTTAACTTATCTATACTAGGCCTTTATTTAGCATTTGATATGGAGCCTTATAATCGCTGCGTAATATTTATTACAAACACAGGGTCTTAATAGCTTGTATCAAGAAACTTTTCCCAATTTACCAAACTTTTACTTTTTTACTATAATATAAGGAACTATATTCGACTTTCTTTTTCTTGTTTGTATAAATTTAAAGTATATCCTAACAAAATTAAGCCTGTTATCACATATGCTATTATCTCTAAATCATAAAATATATTTAAAAGAATAGCATTTACTATTATAAATATTATTTTTATAGTCCATTAAGAGGTAAAAAAGCAGTTAACTAATAATTAAAGTAATCCACCAATAAAATACAAATCTTATTTATAATTACCAGTGATGCTTTCACTATATTATGATGTGGACAGAAGTATTAACGTAACTAACACAGATCCTGACGATATAATAAATACAGCTTGATTTAAGTAAAAGCGGTACTAGCTTAGCGCTGCCTAGAGCACAGTAGAAATCAAATTCAAAATAGCTAATGGTATAATTGAGTAGCTGAAATTTGAAGCTATGAAAAGTATACCACAAATAATAAGTTAAATTATAAACGATATGAGTAGTTGTAAATGTCCATGAGAATATTTTTTTTATTAGTAGTGCTCAAAACTATCTTGTAGTTCTTTTGTCTGAAATTACAGTGTGAATAAATTTAATGGATTGCCCATTTTTTGTATATCTGTTTTTGAATTAAATTCTTATATTTTAGTACACTTTAAAGATTTATTTTTTTTTTCTGCTTATTATTATTTTAAGAGTATGCGAATATTAATTAATTAGTTAGTTAGTATATTTATTTTTATGGAATTTTAATTACAGGTCTAACAATTAATTAATCATTTGCTAAGATTATAAATCATTAAAATAACATCATTAAAATAATTAGAAAGAAATTTTCATAAATCTGACTCAATAGTTAGACTAGTTAGTGCTAGATAGAATTTTAATTGATTTCTTAGATTATTTTATCTATTTTTTAGTATTCACTCTTACATAGTATTTTTAAAAAACAATATTTTTACTTTTGTAGGATATTTTAATCTTACTTTACATTAATTATTATTTATTATTTTACATTTATTTAATCATAATCTTACTCCTGTAAATTTCTGATGTCCCTCAATATTTTTAGATTATTTATTCAGAGGGAGTAAATTATTAATTCTTTTGCGAAATCTCCTTTTTAAAATTAAGAATTTTTAAAAATATCTTCTTATCGTCTCCATTTTAAAGTAAATTTTCTAGGATGTACTCAAATTAATAATTTTTAACAGTAAAGTTTTAATCAAGTTCTTTATTATACTTCAATAACAATCTCGATAAATTCAACTGCTAAGTACGATTTAAATTTTATTTTTTTTCTTAATTCATAGAAAAAATACAATTTGAAATAATTATGAAACAAATAATGCTAAATTTAGAGCTTTAAAACAATTAAAATTTAAAGATTTTCTAATTGAATAAAAATAGCTAAATTTAACAATAAAATTTTTTTATTTTTATTTTATTTTATGATTTTAGTCAATTTTAATAAAAAGAAATATTTTCCAAAAAATCATAATAAGATTTCTTTAACTTATTTATTTTTCTATTCTAAATTTAGAAAGTAATATTTTTTATCAAAAATAATATTTTTTTAAATTAATTTAAAATAAAATATTTACTCCCTATTTAATAAATAAATTAAAACAAAAAAATAAATAAATTGTATAAATTATATTTTTCAATTAACGTTTTACTGATTTTTGATTTTAATTAAAAACGATTATTTCTTGATGACAACTTAAATCTTTAAAGATATTTTTAGTAATAATTAGTTATCTATTTATTTAATTAATTTTAAAAATATCATCAAAATTTGATTAACTATCACCAATTAGCATTATAAAAAAAGCTTAATATTTATTAATCTAGTTTAGAAAAATGATTTAGAATTAAGACTAATTAAGCTATTCTTAGGCAAAATTTAAAGTTGTCTACTTAAGCGTCTCCTTTTTAATACTCTTCACAGCTTATAGCTCTACTTAGAATATTATTGGAGTGCTGTTTAAGGAACAAGGATACGAATAGCTTGGATTCACATCATTGATATTTTTATATTTTTCTTTTGCTATTTCTACACTTTTTGTAAATAGGATCATCAAAAAATATTCTTACAAAACAATATTCTCTTTAAGTAGCATTGGATACACTCTCTTGAATATCAGCGGTATATGGGTAACAGTGTGCAAGTAAGAAGAAAAAATTGGAATTTGCTCCAATTAACTAATATACTCAATTACTTTTATTTTTTCAGCGCTTTGTGGTATTTCTGCATCTACTATATGGGTAGCTTAAGGAGTTTACATAGATCAACTCAGTAGCTAGATACCTTAGCATAAAGGATCATTATATGGTTTATTTTGGTCTATATTTTTAGTGAATAATATCATAAGTTGCATTATGAGTGCAGTTATTATTAACTTTAGGAAACCTTTTGACTTTTTCATTGTGACTAGCTCCTTAGGAATTATTGCAACTATATTCTTTACATTTATACCTCAGCCAACTAATAAATAAGAGGAACCTCATTAGGTTAGAAATCTAAGATGTGAAAAAGATTTATCAAAGAAAGAGTAGCTCAAAAAAATTTTTAAGCTGATAATATCTAAAGAAACAAGGTCATTGATGGTCTTTACATGCTTTTCTGGAGTTATTATGAGCTTTTGCTCAGGTTTTTTATCTGAGTTAGTTGAAGATTCAATAGGAGTAGAATAAATAAAAAAAGAATTAGAGAGTTAAAAGTTGAGCTTAGTATGTATATGTCTGGGTTTCTTTGAAGTTTTATCAGGAATTGTTTCGCATAAATTAGGTGACAAGATATCTCCAAATAAGCTAGCTTCATTCAGTTCTCTAGTTTCGCTATTCGCTATTATGCTTTCATTTGTTGGGCTAATTTCACATAATTTCTTTTTTTGCTTTCTAATCGGTGCAAGTTGGGGCTTTAGTGATGGATTATTTGAAAATCTAATGTCTATAATTGCGTCAAAAAGATTTGGTGGATCAGTTTTCATATTTTAAGCTATAATTTTTATTTAAAATATTGGATTTTGTTTTTCATAACTCCTATTTACAATGCTCGAATCATAACCTATTTACGTTTATCCAATGATTGTTAATGTAATTGCTTTAATTACCAATGTCTCTTTGTAATTTGAAGAAAAAAACGATCACCAATAAAGCTATGTAAAATTAGATTAAGAATATTCATTATTGCCAGAAAAATATGACATTAGTGAAAAAGATACCGATGAATCAGAAGGATTAGGAAATTTAATAACTCCAGATTTTATGGAGAGCAGGCTTTGAATTTCAAACTATAAAATATTTTACATTAATAATGCAAAAATTAATATAATTTTTAAAATATGGTTTATTATAATATTCATTAATTGAATATCAACATGTCATAATTTTATTTCAAACTATTAAATATTTTACATTAAAAATACAAAAATTAATATAGTTTATTACAAAATTCATTAATTAAATATCAACATGCCATAATTTTATATAAATTAATTATGTTTAATTGATAATTATTAAGTTAAGAAATTAAATTAAAATTTTTTATTTTAAGTTTCAAAAAAATTTTTTTTAAAGAAATTGATTTATTTTAAACTTTGACTTCAAATTAACTAAAATGAAGTTAATATAAGCAGTGGTGAATACAAAGACGATTTTTTGGTTTATTAATAATGATTATTTGAAAATTATATTCTAATATATAAAAATCCATTGACTAAAATATATTTTATCAATAGTTAGTAACTATAAAAGTAGCTCGAAACATTATTGAAGTAAGAAAATTTATATTACATGTTTTTGATATTTCTATGAAAAAATAATTTCTCTGATTAATTTTTAAATTTGCCATCTAATTTATCATTTTTTGAGGTTTTTAAGCCAATGTGACAGAGTTATCAGCACTAACTATAGTTAAATTATTTGTAACTTACTGATTTATTAAATTTGAGAGTAAAATTATTTGTCAATTTTAATTATTCAGTTTAGTTTAAGAAAGATCTAATTCTTATAGAAATAAGTATTCATTATTAAAAAATATTCATATTTCTATTTATATAGATGTAAATGCGTTTAAAAACAGAGATAAAAGGAAAAATTATTAATCTAAATTTATAAATCAATTTCAGAAAATAAATAAGTAAAATTTTAATTAAATATGAAAAATAATAAAACAAGCAGTAATTTAGGCTCAATTCCTTAAGAAAGAAAAAATAAATATATAGGAATGTCTAAGACTCTTCATTAGCAAATTGGCATTAAAAAAAGTGTAACAGATATGATTTAAAAATAACCAAGTACTTTACATAATTGTAGCTCTAGTGCAGTTAATGTGAAAGATTAATAAAATTTTTCAAGAGTCAATAATTTAATTACCATGTATGATAAAACTTAAAATAATGTGAAATAGAATTACATAAAAAACATTTAAAATAAATAACAAATAATTTAAAAATAAAAAGAATAAAAAATATAAGTATAGTCTAATTAAAAGTTATAAAATTAGTAGATTAAAATTGAGTAATCTAAATTAAATTCTGAAAATATAAAAGCTGTTTAAAATGACAACCCTTAAGAACTATTTTATGTATTTTTCAAAAGTAATTTTTTATCAATTTTTTAATTTTTATTAGCAAAATTATTTAAACTTAAGCTAAAAGTTTTGAACTTGAAGGAAATAGCTAATAATAAGGTAAATCATTTTTAGAGATTAACAAAATGATTTAAGAAAATAGTGATATAAAATTTAGTTAAATACAACAGATTAAAGTAGAATGGTATTTAACTTATTTTGGTTTTTTAAAGTTGTAATTTTATACTTTATATTTAAATTAGTGGCAATTAAATAAATAAGTTGCAGCTGTTGATTCCTAAATGCAACAATCTTAAATCTATAAAGATTTTTCAAAAGTATATTTCTTTCATAAAATTAAATAAATAACATTTTTTCAAATTAGATTTCAGACAATCAATTTTTCGGAGCTTAGTAAATTCATACAATACATTTAAAATTTTGAGAATATAAAAGAATTCAAGCTAGATTTTAGTCAGTAACTCATTCAATTAGAATAATATTATTTTTTTAAATTATTAAAATCTCATGATATATTTATTTAAACATTTATCAATCAAATTAGAAACAGGTCTCTTACAAATAATGTAATTGAATTAAGTCAATCCATAATTAAATGCTCGTTTTTATAAAAAATTTAATTAAAATTTAAGTAATTTAATTTTGATAATTATGCAAATTAGATAAAAATTAATTTAATTAAATAGTAATTGCTGCTTGAGTATATAAGAAACTGAAAATCTATTCAACGGTATAGAAAATTGCAAAGAACTGAAAATACTATCAGTAGATCTTAGGTAATATTTTATGAAAAAAAAAAACTTTATGATAATAAAATTTTGAAATTAGAAATAATAATTACGAGTAAGAGTCACTTTTAATGATTTTAACAGATATTTCTAAATGCACTAATATTTAAAATCTGGAAATATTAACTAAGTAAGTATTATATATTTCTATTTTAAGATATAAATTTAAAATGTTTTTAGTTAATTAAATATAGATGATACTTATCTACTACAATATGGAATATTAATATAATAACTAGTTAATTTAGAGATATTATCCCTAGGATTTATGTAAGTTATAATTTTTCATCAGATTAGTTAATATTGAATTCAAAATATAAAAAGTAATTGTGGTTTATAAAGAAGTATGGAAATAGAGATATTAGTGTAAAGTATATCGCACTGTGAAAATTTGAAAGAATTAAATTTAGATTTAGAGTAATTTAGTTGATTCTATTAATATTTATTATCATATTTTAATATATAGATGCAATAACATTTAAGACTTTAGTTAACTAGGAGAAGCTTTGGAAATGTGTAAAAAGTTATAATCTCTTACTTTAGATATTAGGTAAAATTAATTACTTTGCTTCAAATAAATTAAAATTTAATATAAAATATAAAGTAGTTGCTTTTTGGAATTCCCTGCGTCTTTAATTTAATTACAGAATTCAATAGCAAGACTAAAGAAAGTACGTTTTCTAGCATTTTTTTTAATGTAATCTTATATTTTACTTTTTAAATCTAAAATAAACTTTTATCTTAAAATAGAAGATAAATGGAGGTTGCCGAATTTAATTATTATAAATATATTTAAACATTTAAAAATAAATTACCTCGTTTGGTATAATACCTGCATGATTCTTTAGAAAGTATTGATTTTCCAAATTAAAATGATAATGAGGACTGATTTTATAGAATAAGAAAATGATTAAAATAGGATAATAAAAAAATTTTATTTGGATTGATAATATTTAACTTCTACAAAAATTTATATTTGTATAAATATTTCCATAGAAATAAATAATCATCTTTTAATTTCAAAAGTTGTAAAACTTTCCAATAAATTACGAATGCTAAGGGAAATTCAACTTATCAAGCAAAATAAAACCATTATAAATATGAAGCAGTTTTAATTTTCATTTTTTGTACTTAAAAAAAATCTTTATAAATATTTCTAAATTTTACTTTTAAAAATTAAATACAATACATAAATTACATTTTTCTAAATTTTTTTATTTAAATTTAAAAAAAAAATATTTTAAAATGAGGTAGTACTTGAATATCATTAATTTTTGTGCTTATTTAATTAAAATTAAATGAATATAAATGTACTATAAGTATAGTTTAATTTTATTCATAAAGCACTTCATTTTTAAAAAATATAAATTAAATAATTTTCTTCATGACAATATGATATTTTAGTTAAAAGCAATTTTATGCTAAATGCAGAAGTAAACATACATTTTAAGCTTAATAGTCCTTGTAGCTCTTTTGATGATTTCTTCATAAAGCTCAGCTTTTAGATACTATAAAAAGAATCCATCTTTTTTAGCAAAATAGCTAATATTCAAAAACCTTGTAAAAGCAAATCCAGAACCACACTAAAAAATTTTAATCACAAAGGTTTCATCATTTGTATAGAAATAGCTTCTAATCATAATTCTATTTTTAATATCAATTATGCTGTCATAAATAAAAATTGAAGATTTTTCTGATAATCTTGATTCATCCAAATCTGTACTATTTTAATTTATTGTATGCATGTTAAAATAATATTCTGAATCAGATTTAAAAGATCCCACTATTGAATTTCTTTTATTGAAATTGCTAAACTTTGATAAATCGCTATCAACTCTCTTTATTCCACCTAAAATTTAACCTCCTGGAGAAGATACGCCTTCAGTGTTACTTACCACATTAAAATTTACTTTTTTTTAGTTCGGATCAAATATACTTTATCTATGACGGACAACAATAGATTTTCTGTGTTAGCTATTAGAAGATTAAGAATTAGGACTACTTTTATCATTGCTTGCAGCAAAAAGTGATTTCTTTTTCTCATTTACAACAAAATTATTTTTATTTTTTGGATTATTCATAATGTTACTGATAATACTAACTCTTGGTAAATTTTTTTATTCTGTATTTACACCATTTTTTCTTGGCGATTATGTATTCTATCTTTCAACAGTTTTCTTTTCTACACTAATTTGCTTTGCTCTAACAGTAACATTTTCATTAATAGCTAGATCTAAGAAATTCTAAGTTCTAATTTTAAATATTATAAAACTGCAAAGCTCTCTTAAATCATTATAAGTAACTTTTGAACTTGTATATCCTGTATGCAATTTAGAAAAGCCTTCAGCAATATACAAATTTAATATTTCTCGTAAGTTTATGTCAAAAACCTTAGTTGTTTAAGTACGGATAGAGTAATTTATTAAATGAAAATTGAATTTAGAAGTTGATTCTTGAGCAAGATAGTCCATATTGTTAAAATAATGGTCAACTAAAGCCTTTCTTGTGTTTGTAAATTCTTTTCGATCCTCGTCCTTTTTTTCGAAAGTAAAAAAATATTTATTTATTTAAATATTAAATAATATTAAAATTGTAAAGTTCTTACTTTAGGAGGCTTTTATCTCTAAAGACTATGAAAACCTTTGATTAAATCAATATAAATTTCTGTCTAAAATTCGTTAGTCTCATTTAGTTTATACTAACTATATAATACTAGCTCATTAATAGAAAGCTTAGTACTACCAAAATGCATATACAAATCTAGATTTTAGTGATTTATACGAAAGTGACATTTTTTCAACATCATCTACCAAATCCAGATTTCGATGAATCTTTATAGAAATAATTATCTGTAATCGTATAAATGCATTTAGAAACTATCATCCATCTTCTTTGTTAAATCTAAGAACTTATTTATTTTGTATATTTTTTTCACAGAATTTAATTTTGAAGTATCAGCATACTTTGGCTAAGAATTTTCAAGCAAGATATGCTTGTATTTTTAGACAAGTAATTTAAACTTATTATTTGGATTTGGCAACAAACAAAAATCTATTTAAATAAACAAGAGCTTAATCATATTTCAAATAAATAAATATATATTAAAATTACTTTTCTTAATGATAGGATTTAAAATTATACTCAAAGCTGAATTATTACTTCCAATGTTATAGAAACGAGCTTTCATTCTTTACTCAAAATCAATAAAGTTCTAAAATGACTAAAACTTCGGGTTATCATTAAAAAACATAAGCTAATTAGTAATGCATTGCATAATAAATTCAGAACTGCACCTTTCAAAGTTTGAATTGGAAATTTTACAGTTTAAAGTTCTAGATGTTTTTGGAATATAAATTTTAATGCTCCACTACTAAGCTTAAATATCCTTTTATTTATATTGGATGATTTTGATTGATTAAATAATAAAAAATAATTAATAATATAAGTACTTTTAAGATCGTAACAAGTCCCCAGTCAGTTCCAAACAACTTAGGTTGCTAAAAAATAATTCTGGTAGAAAATGATGAATCCTCTAAAAATGAGTTATTTTTATTGTGCTTGGAAAACTCGTATTCATCTTTATAAAATTTATTTTAGAAATAACGAAATTTCATAGTTCCGACCTTAATTTGATCACTTCTTCTTCTATTGTTGAAATTAGAATTTGAGTTCCTAAAACTGCTGTTTATGTTGTATACTTTTTTAAATATATCTTTAGCACTTAGCTAAGGGTATAGTTTTTAAACTTTATGAAGTCTTATAGAATCTTTTTTTACAATTGAATAATAAACTTATCTCTCGTTGCCTACAATTTACTCTTTTTCAACTTGTTAATTCAAATTAGTTTTTTAAAATGGAAATTAAATTTTTAATAAAAATTATAAAAAATATTATTTACTATATGAGAATATTGGTATTGAACCTATGTAGGTCTTCAGAACAGAGAATGAGCTAATAATGAAGTCAATCAACTTGCTGATAGAATTTAAATCGAAATTGTTTAAAATCTGCTAGCCTATTTTTTAGTTGAGTTTCACTACGTCTAAATAATTCATGACGAATTTAAATATTTTTGTTCTTGATTCATAAGGGATTAGACTAAATAAAAATAGACATTATAAACCATCCAGCTTTGATTGTACATCATTACCTAGTCTGTAAGCCTTTAGTATAACTGTGGTTTTTCCTAAAGACTTTATATTTCTAACAAAGCATGAAGTAATTTCTAAATAATATCTCAGTAACTCTTTTTAGCTTAGCAACAAATGATCTTTTACTGTATTTAAGCTATCTAAATTTAAATTATTCTTTAAATTATTTTCATTGAATTTAGTAGGAACTAATCTAAATCCTTGTGAAGTAATCTATCTCTTGAAAAAATTTTTAATTAAATAATCTCTCAGATAAAGAACATTCCTTACTACATATTCATCTTATTTAGATTACTGCTAGATTTGTTAATAAACTTATCTATAAGCATGATAATTTCTTTGTTCTAAATTCGTATAGCAAGTATTAGGATGAGTTTATTTTGTTTTAAAAATATTTAAAATTAATTCTTTTTACTTCCAATTTTTAATTTTATATTTGTAACTCTCTCTATCTCTCTAACATTTAACAAATAAAACTAAATTTTGTCCATTAGTTTAGAGGTAAACCCAAAACTTTCTTCCACTTTCTTTTAAATTCATAACAATTACCCTTAAACTTTTCTTATTGCAAAATATATCAGATTTTTAATTCTTTTTAAATTATTCTGTTATTCTTCTAACAATTGTCTCCATTTCTTTTTTCATATAATTAGTAATCTTTTACTATTAAATTATATGACTAGCAGAGTTATCTATCATATCTTATTGAGTTACATTTTCAACTCTAGGACCAGCTTTTTCGAGGCCTGTAAATTTTTTGCTCACTTACTTAATAAACTCAATTTCTACCTCTTTTAAATCTTTTGTACCATCATAAAGCTTAAAAGATAAAATAAATTTGAAAAAACTATGTTTAAAAATAAATATTAATTTACCATTTCTTCAATATCTAAAATATTAAATCTTATTTAACTTGAATATTGAGCATACGCTTCATTAAATTTCTCATCAAAGATTGTTTAAAAGTTTTCTCTGCTTATTTGCTCCTTGAAAAGAATGTTTTTAAGAATCAAGTTATTTATTTTTGTTTTCTTTTCAATTTAGTCAATAAATCTATACTCTTTATCAAATTGTTATTATTTTTTCACTATTTGATAAACACTTTCTAACTTGTAATCGTAATTCGACCTCATATACCTATCTGAAGATCTAAAAATTAAAAGCTTATCAAAATATTTTATCATGTACTCAGTCCACTATCGCGGAATCCTATCATATATAGCGAATCTTTGATATATATAAAAAATTTCTTTAAAATTCCCAATTAAATTTTTGCTAATCAAATTAATTAATTTTAAAATTGAAATATAAATTCTTAATTTTTTTATTTCTAATACCTGCTGATAATTTTATATATATAAGAGAACTATGGATCGTTTTCTATAATTTCTTCTACATGCAAATCTAAAGGCTGGATCGAGTTTCTTAAAGTTTTCATATTTTTTCCAAGAATATAAAAAGAGAAATTAGTAAATGTTGAGTTTTTTATATTCTCTGATCCAGGTTTAAAGCTTATTTTAACTGTTATCTGATAAAGCTTTTACGCTTCATCTTTTTTGAAGAAGGTAAATATAATAGGAGGTGATTGTATTATTTTTAAGATTCTTTGACTCAAATATTTTATGTGTCTAGAGATAATGTAATTCTCTGTCCTAAAATATATTAATAAAATTAATATTTAATTTAAATACTTCAATCTTTTTTATTTACTTTCTATATGAAGGTTCTTTTAAGCAAGAAGTTTATAACTTAATTGATTTATCGACTTCACCTTCCATGTAAAGATTCTTTTTCATTTATTAAAGATTAGAAAGATCCCATGAATAAAATGGAACTAAGTTGGAATATATTCTATTTGATTTATCAATTTATTTGCGAAGTGATACCATAACGAGTGAGTTTGTTTAGTCTTGATCGCTAATATAAAAAGAGTATCCCATTTCTTTTCTAATCCTTTTTCCATAATGCTTTATTAATTGGTTAATCTTATCTTTTACACTTCCAATATTTTTAAGATCAATTTCTGTTACTAAATCAGAAGTATTATCTGGTCTCTCAATAAACATTTTATACTGAGATATAACATCCTTAATCTTCTTTTTTCCAACTCTGGAATAGTATTTGCTTATTGAAGATGATTTTTTCTTTTCCTCATCATCGCTGTGAGGGTCTGGGATAGTATAAACTTTTGGTAAACGTTTTTTCAAATAAATCTCAAATGCAAAATTAAATAGAGGCCATATTGTCTTGTAGTCTTTCTCATCTGTCTACAAATTAGAGTCATTTTAATTAGAAGATTCTTTCCTACTTAAATTATTTTTTTGTAAGTCATAGAACTTATTTTGAACATCTTAATCAATCTCCAAATCAATTTGTGCTATAAACACGTCTTCACTCTCTTTCTTGGCAAATATTTAATTATCATTTAACTTCATTATTATCCGATTCACTTACTTAAATTCTTGGATGATCGGTTTTTTAGATATAGAAATACTTCTATTTAAAGATTCCTAGTCTCCTTTCTATTTATAATCAATGCCATTAATTTAAACATCATTTTCATTATTACCATTCATAATTTCATTTTTTAATGTTGAAAGAACTTTTGGTATATTTTTAATTTAATACATAACACTAATAACCATTGGCTTACCAGATACAAATCTCACAAATTTAAAGTTTGGTAAAAATGGTTATTAAATATCTTCTTCTTATGAAGTATTTTTTCTATCTCTAATATCCTTTTTTTTAAATTTTAAATAAGAAAATGAAAAGAAAAAAAAAGATTTATTACTTTTCCTATTTTCATAGCTAAAGCATTTTTTATTGATTTTTACCTAAAAAGCTCAAATTAATTTTCATTTACATTTTCTTCTATCTGAATATTTTCTATAAAATCTCTTTCCTATATATTTAAAAGAAAATCTAAATGAAAATAATTAAATTAACATTTTTTTTTACAGCAATTTCATTAATATCTTCTTAATAAAGGAATCTCGAACTTGGGGACTTTTCACTTGAAAAAATAATTGTTTCTTCTTAATTCTGTTATGACACGCTAGATCTTTTATCACCTTAAAAAGCCAGTTATAGAGCCTCTGAAAATGTAGATTTTTTTTTTTATTTATTTTTTTAAGTGAAATCTGGAGTATTAGATCCACTTCTATCTTCACCTGAAAATTAAAAATTAATTATCTCAAAGAAAGGAAATATTATTTTGAAAATTATATTAAAAGTTAAGACAAATAATTTTTATCTAATTTATTGTAAATTAAAATTTGGCATCAACTGTATTGCCATATTTTTTTATTCGTACTTAAAGCAATTTTATTTAGGGTTAAAAGTTTTCAATTTCATCACTCACTTAAAAATACAAAATACCAATTATTTAAACAAATTATTATTTTATGGTATATCATCAAATTAAAAGAGATAATAATTCTTTAAAAATTAATAGAAAATTTCAAGAAAGTAATGCTAACGAGTAAAAATAGTCTTAAATTATTTTAATTCAAAAATAAAATTTTCATCAATTTTAAAGAAAAGTGAAATAAAATTGTTACTTGAAACACTTAGTTAATCAGTTAATTCTAAATTTTTACTAACTGAGGGTTAATCTTCAATTACTTCACTACTTGATTCTAATTTATACTGCATAAATCTAGATGATTTCTTTTTTTTGCTTCTTTCTTTGAAATCTCTTAAAACTTAAAAATTTTAGTTTTCTTTTTATTCTAAGCTCTGTTTTAAGTCATCAGCTAACAATTTTTTCTAAGTATCACCATACTTTGATTCATCTTAAGATGATGATAAAGATTCATTTTATTCAGGGTTATTATTTCCTCGTATAATAGAAGTTTAAGACGAACTTTACTTTTGCTCGGTCTGACTAATTTAACTAGACATACTATCATCTTAATTTTTTGCTAATTTATTTAGCTACTCTTACTACTATTTATAAAAAAGACTTCTCTGCCTTTGTATAACCTGTCTGTTATTAGTGGTAACTGGCTATGGTCCCTAGTCAGTTTCTATCTCTTCTTACTCTTCCTATATTTATTCTTTCCTACCTACTTATGATATATTTGAATAGCTTCTCTTTGATCTCATGAGGAGATTTTTTTTCTCAGATGAAGCTTTTTATATAGGCTCAGGCTCTTTAGTATCAATAGATGCTAATATATTCTTAATTGTAAGCCTTTTTTAAGAAGTAATTTATTACAGAATTTCTTAATTTCTTTTATCTAATTATAGCTATCCAAGAAGAATTTGTAAATGAGGTTTTCCTTTTAAACTCTCTTCTTTTTTAAGAATTTCATTAAATGAGCTTAGAGATATTTGTTATTAGCTGAGCATTTAATTGCTTTAAATCGAAAGTCTTCTAATACTTTCATTTGCTTTTGCTCTGCTGGTATTACCAGGCTTAGAACTGATTGTTTGTGCTTAAAGACGATTCAATATATTACTATCGTTGGCGTTTAAATTAATACTTGTGTTATATATATTATAATTAGGTATACTATTTGTACTGTTGCTTGTTAAAGCAGGTGAAGTTAGTATTAGTTGCTATTGTAAACTGCTCTAAGCGTTTTAAACTGCATCAGAAAAGTGTTATGGATGTGTAGTATTATAAGTTTAAGAAAAGCTTTGTCTCTTTTATTTAGTATTGTTATTAGAATCTAATTCAAAGTTATTTAACATTTTATTAAACATTTGGGCACCTCCAAATTTAAGCTAAGATGGCTGCTCTATTATAGTATTCAAACCATGATTAAATGAACTTACCTCTTCTTACTAATAGATATTTGATGTAGTGTGAGCTTATGTATTATAAATATTCTTGTTGCTATTTACATCTACATTATTTGTATTTGCCAAATTCTCATTCCTTGTGTAAGAAAATGGTGTAGATTCTCTTTAAATTTCAGAGTATCTATCAAAATCATAATCCATTTGTACTAAAGGAATCTTCAGCTTTCCATCAATTGTTCCAAACACCTACTCGCTATTATTGGAAGCATTAGTTACTTTTCTTTAAAATGGGTGTTTATTTTAAGAATCATAACTTTAATCACCTGATTAACTAAATTAGTTATTACTTTAATATGTTATATTTTCTTAAGTTTAGGGCTCATTTACGTTTTGTAAAATTTATTTTTTCTATTCTTCTTTCAAAAATTGAATAAAACTAGCTCTTTTTTTATTTTTAAATTTATTAGCAGTAAATAAATCACTACCTTAGTGATAAGTGCTTGGGTTTTGCTAGCTCTAATGCCTTATGCTATTTCTATTAAAAACTCTTCTAAACTATAAAGGTTAAATATAAGGTCTTGTGCTGCTTTATGATTCTCCTCCGTTTTCATTTTTTGATTTTTCTTCTTAATTATGTATTTATTGTTATTCTTACTATCCAGTCCCATCAATTTGAGGTTCTAAGCTTTTGCTATGGAGAAAGAATTAATCATGTTAAATTTTTTGTTAAGAAAAAATCTTATTATTCTCTTATGAATTATCTTTTTAACTTATTTTTTATTTCGAATCATCTAAATCTTAGTTAAGGATTGATGTAGATTAGATCGGATTAATAATTTCATCATAATTTTACATCGTCTAGATATCATTTTTTGTTTGTGATTTCATTAATATCGGAGAAATGGCATCTTCATATACTCTTTAATCTGAATTGGTATTAAAAAATTACTAATTATTTCTTACGTCTACATTAAAGGTAAATTTTTTTTAATGAGTAATATTATCAAAACCAGAAATGCTTTTCTTAGGATTATTGATTTAGTTTTAAGTTTGAGGAGTTTAAAGATCTTCTAAAAGTTGTTCTTCTGTTAAAGTTTGAAATTTCATAGGCTCTTTCCTTTTTACTGAGATATCCTAAATACTTTATAAGCTGTCAATCATCGGATTTGGAATAGAGTCTTGCTGCCTTTGATCATTTAATGACATATCTTCTATGTTTTCTAGAGACATTATTTTGTAAGATTAAAGCTTTTAATATTAAGCCTATTTTTCAGTGCCTTTATTAATTTTTTGCTAGCTTTTTGATCTTTACTCCTCATTCTTTTTATTTAAATACTTTTAAAATACGCCAAGTCTTTACTCCAGCGCTTTATCATGTTCTTTTAAGCTTAGTTGTCTATCAATAATATTTTATTTGCTGATTTAGCTCTCAGGACCATTTTACAATACAGATAAGTTTGAATGTTTTTCAATAACATCACCTTCCATATTTCTTACTATAATTGATGGCTTTGTCTCATTCGATTCGGCTTATGATATTGCTGGACTTTCTATAAATTTAATTTCTGTATTTCTTTACTAAAATAAAAGTAAGGGAGAAACAGTTTACTAAGAATCCATAACATTTTTTGGTGCAATCTTAGAGCTATCGTTAAAAAAATCCTTAATTAAAAACTATCCTTCTGCCTAATTAGTATCTTCCTATTAACCCTTTTCATTATCTATTTACTCTGATTTTTATTATTCATTCTTATCAACGTTATTTTACAAGTTATTTAGCTTAGTTAATCTCTTACTACTATATTACCTTCTAAATAAAGAATCTAATTTCTAGATATCTTTGATTTTTTGGGCTGGAACATTATGCTACTAATTCTCTTCTGCTTATTCCTCTACGACTTACAGATCTTTTTATGAAAAGGGTTATGCTTTATCTATATCTCTCATCTAAATCTCTAAATTAGAAGAAACTCTTCTAAATAAATGCTAAGAAGAAACTTGTTACTCATAAGTAGACAGGATAGAAGATGTTTAAATTTCAATTTAAATTGGATTGTTTACTTAAATCTAAGATAAGTCAATTTAATTAAAAGGAAGTGATTAAATAGAGTTAGATGAAATGTTATTTTAATCTAGCTACTAATTACTAAAAATTTTAGATATTTGCTGATTTGGATTAGAAGCTGCATTTGCATTCTAAGAATTTATTTATTCTTAATCATTTTGATCTTACTTATTGTTTTGAAGATATTATTTCATCTAACTTAAAGATAAATCATCAACTCTATTGCTATCACTATTTTCATAGTGATGAATATTAGAAATTGATGGCATGAATTAATTAAAATATGAGTCATCACTTATTTCTAAAGTATAATTGTTCACTTAAATTATTTTTTAATTCGTTTTCTTCATTTCTTCCCTTTATTTTTTTACGATTTCTTCTGTTTACTTAATTTATAAAATCAGCTATTATTGCGCTTTAGTAAGCTCTTTTGGCTTTTCTTAAGTTGTTTACTAGTTTACTACATTATTATTATAGTTACTATTTTAAACATCCTTTTGTTAATCATTTTAAAGGAATACTGCTGAAGCATTTTCTGCTGGTAATTAACTATTTAAATTATTCTTCAAACCAATTTAAGAGTTTTAATGAAAAGATTTTGAGGTTTACCTTTAAATTTCAAAGTTAGTTTTTAATTAAGGTTGCATTAAATAATTGTATTAAAAAGACTTGTTTGGTACATAGAATACACCTACTTTAAAACCTGTTTAAGAATTTGCTTGGCTTGAGTAATTTGAAGCTGAGCCAAATGCATAGTGTATTGATCTACTTTTTTGATGATTTTATGAGTTCCTATTCTTTCCTTTAAAAGTGTTTTAAGACGTAGCTTGAGAATGAATTGAAGTGATCGCTGACCTGTATATTTTAGCAACATCTGTAGAAGTGCTATAAATGCTTAGACTTTTATCTTCGTTATAATTAGGGATAGTGTTCTAAGTAGTTTATAAGCCAATAGTTGTAGTAGGCTAATTTAGAGTTTCATCAGTGTTGATAAATTTATTTTTTTATTCATTAGTTTAGAAAACACCTTTTGGAATAAATTATTTTTGTTTATTTGATAGAGTTCTACTTAAAATTTTTTCATTTAATCTATTCAAAGCACTTTTTTGAAATGATTGATCACTGCTAGTATGTAATGACCTTGATTTTAGATTTCTTTTTATTTTATTATTTGCAATTTAGTTATATTCATTACTTAGTTCTCTTTTTCTTTCAGTCCCTTGCAGCGATTATTGCAATGATTTCATCTTAGGGGTAGGATCTTCAGTGACGTTGTTATTATTTACTTAATTTTTTGTGGGTAAACTAAGCAGTCCAAATGTAAAGGCTCCTGCTTAATTGTAATTTGGGAGGAGATTAGCTTGCTCATCACCTTGCTCCTGAAATGAAAATTATCCCTAACAGTGTTCAGTTTTTTATGATATAGGATATTAATTTTAAATACTTTCTTAGCGCTTTAAGTGAATATGCAAATCTTATGATTTGTTCTGCTAAATTTCATCAATATTTAATGATCCCATGCTATTTTATCTAGAGTAAAATTATTATTTTACTTAGATTATTGAAGGCTGTCTTCTTAATCCAAATGAAGAAGCAGTTTAATTATTATTACTATCGAAAGGCCTATGAAGATTTATTTAAAACTTTTTAAAATCTTAACTTAAGTGAGTTTAAGATGTTGGTGAATGTTCAAAATTGTTCCTTTAATATTAGTCTAAAGTATTTAAGTTAGATTTCATAGATTCATTAGGATTTAATGCTTTATTTGTTTCGCTTCCACCTCCACTAGAAGCTCTAATTCTTTCATATTTGCTATTTGAGAGCTTTAGAGGGCTTTGACTCTCTTAGTTGATGTCGTTTTTATTCTTTTTACAATCATGAATCTGATTAAGTAAATCTTTTAGAGAGCTGGTTTTCTTATTTTGATATGTATTTGTTGTGTTAAATCCCATTTATTATAAAATATTATTTTATGTTTTTTATTCTATTTCTTCATTTGCTGCTCCTTCAAGCTAAATTTAATTCGTCATAACTCTTTTTCCAATATCTGCTATCTAAAAAGTCACGTTTGCTAGATTCTCTTAAGTCTTAATTTTATTCTATGATTTAGAGTGGCTTCCTATACCTAGCTACTAAAAGCTAACTTGTGTTTGTAAATTCCCTTTTGAACCAATTGAAAATGCTGTTTTAAGTCTTTATTCATTTTGCTATGCTATTTTTCTTTATGCAAGTAGATTTATTTGGCTGAAGCTATTTTATTTTAATGGGCTCTATTAATCTTTTTTTGGTAAGGCTGAAAATTTTTTTAAAGCCAATTGCTTTGAATATTTTTGTATACTTTCTAGAGATAATTTAATATTTTTATTGCTGCTTTCTTTATTATAGTTATCGTTATGCTAATTTTAAGCTGATTAGATTTTTTTTATTTAATCCCCATCCTGATTAGACTATAAACTATAACTTTAATTTTAGCTATCCCTCTCAATCAAATATTCGTTTTATACCATTTCATCTTTGATTTTGCTTTAAATTTGCTACTAAAACTTCTAAAAACTTTGTTTAATCTTTAAATAATAATCCTAATTCAGCTTTTTACTCATTATCTCTAAGAGTTTAAGTGAGTTCCAAATTAGTTCAAAAGCTTTTTGCTATTTTCCATCTAAATTCTGTAATAATTTAAAATATTTTTAAAGAAACTCGAAATAGCAATGAACCCACTTAAATTCATCTTTTTCTTCTAATATATATTGCTAATTTAAATTATTAATTTATATGTATTAAAAGATCTTCAAACCAAGATCAAATACCTTTTCTCTTTCTTTTATATCATATTTTTTGTATTACCTATTTTTCATAATATGTTAATAAAAAAATTAGAACATAGTAGAACTTTTTCCGAAATCTTAATTTAAATTACATAGAAAATGCAACAGCAGTGTAAATCTTATACAAATAAAGACAACTGTAATTATACTATTTTTATAGAACATTTACTTCAAATTACTCCTAAAGAAGTGCCTTATAATTATCATATTCAAATATTATATCATTTATAGAACTTGCTTATCTTTAAAATATTAAAATAACTAAACATAATTTTAAAATCTAATACTCTTCCAACTCCTAAATTTCAGAAGCCCAAAAATTATTGAAAATGAGCTATTTAATCTCTGAAATTTTGTCATATATGTCAATTTAAAATGTATAGTCTATTTTAGATAATAAGTATATCAATGTAAAAACTAATCCCTTTAAATTTATCCAGATCACGTATCCTCTTTTGTAATTCTTTTAGTTCAAAAATAAAATAAATATTAAATTGTAAATTGATTAAAAATATAAAATGAAATGTTTCGATTAAAATCTGAGTTATTTAATCATACTTGCTTAATTGAATCCCTTATTATTCCTTAGTATTCTTCTAAAGATTCACTTATTTTTATTATATCATTTCCATGTTTTTAAAAAAAATTTAGTTGAAGATAACTATCTAACTCTTTAGTATTGACTTTTACAATATTTTGAATCTATTTTAATCTTTCTTCCTCTCTTTTATCATTTTAATTATTTTCTTTTTCTTACAGAACAGACTGTTCATTTATTTCATTGCTCATTTTCAATAAAAATAACTCTTTTAATATTTGTTTGCAAATAATTTATATTAATTATACAAATTTTTTAAGATTTTAAATTAATTGATAAAAAGCATTTAATAAAAATATAGAAGATTGATTGGATATTTTTTAAATTAATGTTTTTTGAGTAATTAAAAATATTGCATTAAATTTAAATATTTATCATATTTAACTATTCTATTTTTGTAAGCTTTAAAATTATTTTAAAAGATTAAGTTTTTATTATAGTATCTAATGATTTATTAATTAATAAAGCATACTTTGCTATCTATTTTTTAAAAAAACTAAAAAATTATAAAAATTTTTTTCAAATTAATAATTTATCCATTTAAAATAAAAAAATTTTGAAAATAAAAATTTAAAAAGCATTTTAATTTTTTATTCATACATTAAATTAACCTATTAGTTATTTATTATGATGAGATTGTGGATGATAATTTTTTTTGTTATTTTTTAATCATATTTATATATACTTCCAATTATATTTGCAAAAATGTGTTAAACAATTTTCAATAAATCAGTAAATTTCATAAACAAATTGGTGAATAAACAAAAATTAATTTTTAAATATCTTATTTGCCTTAATTTTTCTATTTTCTAATGATAATTAAATTCTAAAACAGAAAAAATAATTAATCTTAATATGATTTTTTATCATCAAAAGATAAGATCAAGCTTTTTTTAAAGCATTCTTCTTAATAATTTTTAAGTTTATAAATTCTTATATTAATATACCTACTATTTTGTTGTTGATTTATTTATAAAACTAATTTAAAGAATATATTTAAATTTTAATCAAAATATTTATTTAGAGTAATTGAAATAGTAATCAAAAAATTTAATTAATTTTTTATTTTATTTAACTAAAAGATTATTTAAAAATTTTCCTCTTTTATTTTAATGAAATGAGGAAAAAAAATAATATGAATTTAACTTAAGATTTGTTATTTTTATTTTTTCATTAAGAATGATATGCAGAAGTATCTGCAACTATTTAACTCATACAGCAAATAAGATTTTCTGTAAATTATAAATGGAGCATTTCATTAGGACCTTTTAAATTTAATTAATAAATTAGATTAAAAATCATTAAAAAATAATTTTTTATACCATGAGCATTAGAATGAGGACCTAGCACACCAGTTACAATAAAATTGATATTAGGAAATTTATCTTAAAGTTTATTCATCAAAGGAATAGAACCACCTTCAGCCAAGAAACGACTTTCATTGTTAAAATAATTTAACGAAGATTAATTAAAAGAGTTGGTTAAATGCTCTGGAGTTTCTTTTGCATCCCATCCATTAGCAGAACTTAAAATATCACACTAATTTTATAAAATAAATTCTATTAATTTCAAACATATATTAAATTTAAATATTTTACAGTAACTGTAGCATCGTAGGGAGGATTAGACTCGATCAACTCTTTTAAATTTTTTCCAGCCTAAACAGCATCTAAGTTAGGAGGCAATCTTAAAGAGATTCTAATTTTTGTTTCTGGTAAAAGAACATTACCTGCAGTTTAGCAAGCAGGAAGTCCATCAGCACCAACTACAGCTAATTGAGGTCTCCAAGTCTTATTAAGATAAGCTTAAAGTGGATCTTAAGACATTGATTTGGTATTATTTGAATATGGGAATTTTAAGAAAATGTCTTTTGATAAATCTTTTGCAACATCACAAGCTTATGAATATCTGTTTAAATTATTTTATAAATTTAAAATATTTAATACTACCAAAATTAAGTAATAAACAAACCTATGAGCTGGAATGTTAGTTTAAAATAATTCATGAACTTGACCACTCTTAGAATCTTCTAGTCTATCTAAAAGATTTCTCAAGATTCTAAATCCTGAAGGTACTACTCCACTTGCGTCTAATAAATAATATATTTATAAATTTCTTTTTTTTAATTGTCAATAGTAAATTTTACCTCCAGAGTGAACACCTTCATTAAGAACTTTGACTGTGATTTCTGCCTTGATATTTCCCCTTAAACAAGTTGTTAGCCACATAGTATCATAGGTACCACAACCACTATCCAAGCAGAAAATATAATCAGGTGTTTATATCTTATCTTTAAGCCTTTCTAAATAATTCATGTAATGGAAACTTCCACTTTCTTCTTCTCCTTCAATTGTAATTATACAACGAGGGTGAGGGAATCCAAGCTTTTAGCAAGCTTTAATGGATGTTACCTTTATTTGACAAAATCATGTTACAATAAAATATATTAAATTTACTTAAACTATATATTATATGTAAGATAAAATTTAATTACTGCAGCATAAACTGAATATCCATCATCTGATCCACCTCTTCCATAAAGTTTTCCATCAATGATAACAGGTGTAGTAGGTCCAGTTCCTTCCATCCAACCACTGAAATGAGGTTGCTTATCATAATGTCCATAGAAGAGAATGGACTTTCCTGAGTTATCAGTTGGATTTACTTCAATAAATAAGAGAGGAGGTTTTCCTTCATCTTGAATAATTTAAACTGAAGCGCCTTTTAATTCTTGAGCAATGACCCATGCTTTAATGTGTTCAGCAGCCTAAATAAGAATTGAATACTTAATTAATTCTTAAAATATCAAATAAGTAATTACTTTCATGAGTAATCCATTTTTATTCCATTCTGGATCATACATAGGTGATAAATTTGGTATTCTAATATAATCCATGATAGATGGTACGATGTTTGAAGAGAATTAAGAGTTTACATACTCTTTAATTTATTAAACTTAATCTTTAGTTCTTAAATAAGACATTTGATAACAATTCTAATTAACTCTTTGATATTTGCTAGAAAAAATAATTATCTTTTTAGGATATATTTTTTACTCGATTTTTGATGCTAATTTTTTGATAATCATATTTTTATTAAAAAAATAAAAGTAAATAGTTTGCATGAATTAAAAAATAGAATATATCTTTATATTTCAAATTCATTCTAGATTTTTAAAAAGTATTAAAATTTATTTATTTATCTAAAGATATTAAATTAGAATCTCACTTTCTTTAAATAACATTCAATTATAAAAATATTTTAAAATTCAAAACAAATGAATATCATATATTAAAGCCTTCCTTTGGTATTTGGTGGATTGGATAGATAGCATTCTCAAATATATTTATTTTTTATTATGTATTTAATTATGTGTTTGAAATATTGAGAATAAATTTATTTTTAAAAGTTATCTAATTATTTTTTTAATTCTTAATTTTAATTATAATAAATGGTTCTATATTTTTTCTATAATTTACTATCTTTATTATAATAAATATTACCATATATTGATATTCAAAAATAAAAAAATAATAAAATATATAAAAAAAAATATTTTTTATCAAAATCTTTTTTGATCAGGTAAAAATAACTTTCTCAATTATGCTTTATATTTATTTATTTATTGTAAGATCTTTTGATTGTTTGTGTTTCAATTTCCTTTAAATGTAATCCATTATAACTGTTAAAATTTGAAATAGAGTAAATGTTTATTTATTTAGAATTTACTATTTCGCATAATTATTATTACATTATTATATTTTATAAATTTACTTTATTGATACACTACAAAAAATATTAATTAAAAATTTCATAAAAAAGTGTTTGGTTACTTAAATTACCTTTCTTATGTACCAAAAAGTGTCTATTCAAACACCAATCAAAAAAAACTATTAAATTCAATTAAAAAATGTTATATTAAAAAACTTAAAATCTAAGTTTTTATAAAGTGTCTAAGTAATTTCCAAATTGAAAATAATTAATCAAAAATATCTATTTTTTGTAATTATTATTTTTTAGATCAAAAAGGAAAATAAAATGAGTGCTTAAAACGAAGGATAGTTAGAAAATAAAATTGATGAAAATAATGGAGAAAGCTTTGATGATAATATAACTAAAGGAGATCAAAATGCATTGTAAAGTTAAAAAATCAGCTTTTAAGAGTTGAAGTAGCTTGTCAATTCAATTGATGAATAGAATATTGATCCTTCTAAATACTTTGAAATAAAATAAATGGCAAATACTTTACTAAATAGAGCTAAAAGAGTTAGAAGATAGTAAGGAGTGGAAGTTAGAGTAGAATAAGATAGATAAATGTTAGAGAAAACTGCTCTCGCTCAGAAAAAGAAAAAAGAAAATTAAGATATTTTAAAATAGCTTTCTGATTTTGGAAAATAAAAGGCAATTGAATATAAATAAGACCCTTCTTTAGCGAAAAGAAAAAATGATTTTAATCAACAAGATGAGTCATAAGATGATGAAGAATATTAGTTTATTGAAAGCGATATTTCTAAAAAAATTAAAACATCTTAATAAAATAATTAGGAATCTATGGATTAAGAAGATTAATAACTGAGAAAGGATGGCTCATTATTCCATTTAAATAAGCCAAAAAAATGCTATGTTTGCAGGTAATTATATAGAAAAGTACACCCTCATTATCATTCTATGTGCCTAGATTGTGGAAACTTCAACTATAATAAAAGAATAGAATAAAAATATGATTTAACAGGAAAAGTTGCAATAATTACAGGAGGTAGAATTAAAATTGGCTATTTAACTTCATTATTGCTCCTTAGAAATAATTGTGTTGTCCATGTTACTACACGTTTTCCAAAAGATGCACTAGAGAGATACAAAAAAGAGACTGATTATGATTCTTTTAAGGTAAATTAAATAAATCACATCAAATGAAATAAATAAATATAAAGTTTATTTTATAATTTAGGATAGATTATTTATTTATAGTTTAGATTTCAGAAAAATTAGCTCGGTAATTGAGTTTTGTGACTTTTTTAAAGAAAAGTTTGGAAAACTTGATATTCTGATAAATAATGCAGCATAATGTGTAAAAAGAGAAGCATCTTACTTTAAATATTTAATTGATGTTGAGTCCAAGCCTTTGAAAGAGTATTCTGATTCAGATTTAAAAGTCTTACAAAATGATTTAGAACTTAAACAGTATGAAGCAGATAAAATTAAGTAATTAAATTCTACTCAGCTGGAAAATGTTTCCTCAGCTGACTAAGATCTATAAACAGTAGATTCACTTCAATAAAATAATATTGAAAAACAATTAATGTAAATACAATAAACTTAAGATCTAGCTTTTTGCCATTTTTCTGAATCTGTGTTGATGAATGTTAAACCTGTTTTAGAAGGACAAAAGACAGAAAAGGATAAGCTTTATCCTGAAGGTGTAGTTGATTCAAACGGAATACAAGTAGATCTTGCATCTAAAAATTCATGGAACTCGAAACTAGATGAAGTGCCTTTATTTGAATTTATGGAAACTTAAGTAATTAATGCATGGGCTCCTTTTGTTTTATGCCAAAAATTAAAAGATTGCATGACTATTACACCTGAACAGTAAAAAGAATATAAATTTATTGTAAATGTATCTTCAGTTGAAGGTTAATTTCACATGAGAAATAAACCAGTATACCACCCCCATAATAATATGTCCAAGGCATCATTAAACATGCTTACCAGGACAACAGGACCTTAATATTCTTAAGAGTATAACATTTTTATGACTTGTGTCGATACAGGTTGGGTTTCAAATGACATGATTCCAAAGAGCTTTCTCTTTGATAATGTTTACAAAACAACTCCATTAGATGAACTTGATGGTGCTTTAAGAGTTGTAGATCCAATATTTGAAGGATACAAAACAAAAAAACCTATTTGCACAGTTTTTTTAAGAAATTATAAAGTGGCAGAGTGGTGAGAAAACCGTTATAATTAAATGCTCATAGTTTTAATTAATAATAAAATATTTACATTTTTTATTACTTTTTTTAAAAATTTATTTATTTATATTTTCATAAAAATAATATTGAAATAAATATTTATGAACTTTAGCCTTAAAATTGCTTTTGTATATTAATATACTATTTTGTATTCCATTTACTTATTAATTATTACTTTAGAACTTAAATAGTTTAGGATATGTTTGCAACAAAATTAAAAAGATACTGTAAATATTTTTTTTGTGATAGTTTAAATCAGAATTTTTTTGTACTTTTTTTTTACACTAAAAAATAAATATCCTCTACCTTTCCAGCCTTCAACCTAGTAATAAGTAAAAGAGGAATTACAGTAGTCTTAATTAAAGATTGAACAAAAATATGTAAAAGTTAAAAAATAAATTTAAAGAAAGATTTTTAATCCAGGGAAATGGTAAATGATGAATACATTTGTAAAATATTTTAAATTATTTACACAAAAAGTACTAATATAAATAAATCAAAGAATAATTTTTTGAATTAATTGAATAATCTATCTTTAAAATCAAACAGAAAAGCTTGAAGAAGTATCTGCTAAAATTTGAGTAATACAGCACATAATTTTCTTAGTATATGGTATGTGAAGCATTTCATTGGGACCTTTATAAGTTTAATTTAAAAAATGAACTAACACTATAAAAATTTTCTAAAATTACCATGAGCATTAGAATGAGGTCCAAGGATACCAGTAACTATGAATTAGATATTAGGATATTTTCTTTTTAAATCATTCATCAAAGGGATAGAACCACCTTCTCCTTAGCATTCAACTAATTTACCAAAGAAGTTTTCTGAAGCTGCATTCATGGATTTATCAAGTACTTCATGAAGCTTAGGAGCACTCCAACCTTCAGCAGAGTCGTGAACTTTACACTATAAGTAAAATAAAATTATATAAAATGAAACATTAAAGTTGTTATAATTACAATAACTTAAGAGTTATAAGGAGGATTTTCTTCAAGAATTCTCTTAATATCATGCTTGGCTTTTTCTGCATCTAAAGTAGGAGGTAAACGAAGAGAAAGTTTAAAAGTATTAACAGGAAGCAAAACATTTCCTGCAGTCTTGGCAGGTGGTAATCCATCAGCACCAACAATTGATAATTAAGCTCTCCATGTTCTGTTTAAATAAGCTTCTAGTGGGTTAGTAGTAGTAGGAGTCATTTTAGAATGGAAGGGGAATTTGTTATAAACATTTTCTTATTTAATTTCAGCAACTCTGTAAGCTTCTTCGTATCTAAATTAATAAGTTTGTGGTGTTAATTATTTAATAGCAAATAAATTTTCTAGTAAAATATTCTAATTAATTAAATTCTTTCTTACACATTCAAAATAAATATTCTTTTTTAGATTATATTTTGGGTGTTTTTATTTTATTAGATTACTAATTTTAATGTAAAAGAGTTGGAGAATAATACTAGAATCAATTGCTGATAATTTTTATATTGATTGTTAACAAAAGCATATATTCATGATTAAAGCTTTAACCAAAATCCATCTTTAATTCATATTTTTTTTACCTGTGAGGTGGGATGTTTACTTAGAATGCGTCATGAATTCTGCCGTTTTCGATATTTTCAATTCTGGAAAGGAGTTAAGTAATTATTCTAAAGGGAGTAGGTACTATGCCACTACTATCTAATAATAGTTTACAAAAAAAATTAGTACAATTTATTGATGCGATATTTTAGATTACCTCCAGAGTGAACACCTTCTGTTAAAACTTAAACAGTTAAATCAGCTTCAAGGATACCTCTCAGAGAAGTTGTCAACCACATAGTTTTATAATCTGAGCAACCGCTATCCAAACAAAAAACAAAATCAGGAGTTCCGACTCTTGGGGAAAGTTTATCTAAATATGTCATATAATAGGCACTATCTGTTTCTTCTTCACCTTCAATAGTTATAACGCACTTAGGATGACCATATCCTAAAACTTAGCAAGCTTTAATGGAGAGAACCTTTATTAATTATAAAGTTATGTAAATATATTTAAATTCAATAAACATACTGATGCGAAAATGGCATAACCATCATCGGAGCAACCTCTTCCATATAGGCAATCTCCAATAATAGCAGGAGTAGTTGGACCTGTGCCTTCCATCCAGCCTGTGAAGTGAGGTTGTTTATCATAATGACCATAGAATAATACAGTTTTATTTGAACAGTCAGTTGCTGCTACTTCAATAAAAACTAAAGGAGGCTAACCTTACTCTTAAACTACTTCTACTGTAGCGTTTTTTAAATCTTACTTCAAAACCCAATCTTTGAGGAAAGTTGCTGCCTTCAAATGAAATATTTTTAAAAATCCTTATATTTTTAATTGTATATTTTACTTTTAACAAAGTTCCATTTGTTTCCCATTCAGGATCAAATGCAGGAGAGAGGTTAGGAATTCTAACAAAATCCATTAAAGCAGGAAGGATGTTAGAGTGGAATTGCTCTTCAACATACTTTTCAATTGCTTCCTTCTATACCTTAGAACAAAAATTGAATTTATCCATTTTTTATATTGCTAATTTCTAAATCAAGTACTGTGTTTTTTATAATTGTAAAATTCAGAATAATTAATCAAATAAAGTATATCTTAGTAGTTCTATTCTTTATTCTTTTAATTTAAAAATGCATTGTCATGTTTTTGATCGAATTATATCTTTGCAAAAGATACTGTAAATAAATTAATCAAAAATAAAAAAAGAAATAAATAAATAAACGAATGAATATATATGTAATAGATTACACTTTATTAGAATTTTCATAAATTTTTATATTCATAGTGTAAGACTATTTAACACATAATAACAATAAATACTTAAAGACACAATTTAATTTTCTGATTAAAAAAATTATTAAAATTAATCACAGAAAAAGTATTTATAATAGAAAAATATATTCAAGATTTAATTGTATTTGTTTACAAATTAAAATTTAGAATTATTATTGTTACTCATGTGGATCATAAGATAAATTTATAAGTGTAGATAAATCTATCTTAACTTAAAAATTAAAAGGTTAAAAAAAATGTGAAAAAACAAAAATATAAAGAAAAATTAATAATTTTAACTTTTTAAAAATAAATTGAATTAAATAATTGCTTACTTACAATAAAAATAGAAAACCAAATCAGATTGATATTCAAATATATATTTAATGAACTGCAATAAAAAGCACAAAACAAAATAAATCATTAAATAATTTATTCATTCATTTATTCAATAAAACAAACAAACAAAGAAAGAAAGACATAAATAAATAAATAATGACTTGGTGAAAATTTAATATAAATATTTTTTATTAGTTAATAGATGTATGTATATAAATTTAATAATTTTTCAATCTTTTGATTGATAGATAGATAGATGGATTGATGGTTAATTTGATAGTTAAAGAAGATAGTAAATATACTATTTTATATTTATACTTTTACTAAATGGTATTTAAGACTGCCTCAATTATAACTTGCTTGGCTTTTTCATATTTTCTCTTATAAATACTAATTCCTAATCTTTATTTCTAACAATTTTATCATTTCAAGTAGAGTCAGAAAGAAAGTAAGAGTTTTATTCTATAATATTGATTGATTGATTGATAAAATTTCATTTTTTAAATTTAAATTCGTTCTTTATAAAATTTTATAACTAATGATTCTACTTAAATTGCTTATTATCATAATAGAGATTATATATTTACTCTATAATTATTTTTTTACAGTTTTGCTAGACTATTTAGGCAATCAAATCTATAATTTTGGAAATCATATTGGAAAAGCATCATTTACTTAATTTTATTTTTAAATTATATCAAATTAGATTACAGCCGCAGCCAGGCTCAGAAGTTACGTCTGTATTGTATTATTTCCAATTTTCTACTACGTTAACTTCCTCAATTTATTCATGAAATGTAATTTTATGCAAAGGCTTTTCTCCTCCTTTTATTTTGGGTTTAATTTCATTTCCGCTTGCATCTACTCTAACTAATAAAGATGAATCATTGTGCTTGTGTTTACTAGATTTGAGGATACTTCTGAATTATCTACCACAATTAGGATTCACAGATTTAAATTATTTTCCTCTACTTGTGTCATGGTTGTTTTTTTTTGCATGAGTTTATAAATGGCATGCATTTGTAATATCAGAATGATCGTCATCTATAATTTCTACCTTCACTTCATTTTCATCAGTAAAATTTACCTAAGTTTATTCTGGAGCACTATTTACTCTATCAAATCTCATTTGAGCCATTGATTCTGATTAATCATTTTCATCATCACTTTCCTAAAAGTCGTCCTTTTTTTCAATAAGTTGCTTTTGAAGTTTGCTTGTTTGATCTTTTTCTGAATTTTCCATTATGAATAAATTAAAATATTTGCAATTTTTTTTCTAAAGTTTGTCTAAAATTGGTAATGTTTATTAAATTTTTTCTTAATTATAAAAATAGTATATTATCAGTTTTTATTTTTTTTCACTTATACAATGATAATGAAATTAATTTCTTTGGTTGATCAATATTCATGATTTATCTAATTCAATAGCTTTTAGAAATATAAACTGGCGCATTCTATTTAACAAATTTCATTTTATGAATCTTTGATAACCTTTTTCACAAAATTACATATGAAAGATATATTTCCGAGGAATTAATTGGTTATTAAAGAAAAAAAAAAAAAACTTGAAATTATATTTCATCATGTTATTAAATATCTTCAGTCAAATGAAGTAATTATTCAATTTTAGTTAGAATTAATCTAATTTTTTTCGTCAATTGTTAAAATCCACGAAATATTGAATTTACATCATCTCCTAGATGTTTAATATTTATTTGAATATTCAATTACTAAGAGATCTTTAACATTTTTACTGAACTACTTTATTTAATTGTTCATATAATTTTCAAATAATGAAAATTAAACAATAATACATTTTATTAAATTATGTCTTGTTTTTTATTTTTTTTTCTGAGAAATGCAGTTATAAATTTTCTATTCTATGAAAAATTGTAAAAAGTTTACGATTACAAATTTAATTAACAAAATATCCAGATATACTTTGAACTAATATGAATTAATTTATTTACTTTTTTAAAAATAAAAACTATTAACAGATAAATAAAATTCTCTATTTAATACGCATTAAAATGTAAATTAAACAATAAAATTTAATTTATGTTAAATATTTAGCAATAGAATCATTAAACCTAGTCTAACTCCTACATAGCTTACAAAAAGCTTTTTAAACTTACTTATCCTGATTCTGTTGTTCCTTGCTTTTATTTTTATAAACAATCTTACACGATTACTCTAATCAAATAAATATAATTTACAATCTCTTAAGCTCTCTAAAAAATTCCATGAAATTTTCCAATTTTATAATTATAACCTATAGCACTAAGAAGTTATCTTATCTTTATTTTATTTTTAATAACTATTGATATAAAATAAACTATGTTTTTTTTTTACTTCTTCTCTTGGTCTTAACTTAGAAAAATCTTCCTCTTTTAAACCATAAGCAGAATATTAGTAAGGATTTAACAGCTAGCTTGCACTTAACTCATTTCCATAATTCTATGTAAAAAATACAAATATTTAAAGAAATAAATATGCATTTTTAAAAATAATTTACATATTAGTTGGTTAATGATTAAAAGCGAGGAGGACTGATATCTGTACGAATTGAGGGAATACCGAATATTTTTTTATCATCAATCTAAGATACACTTTTTACTCCTATTGTTGGAATAGATCTACCTATATTTGATTACATTACATCTTATAGGGTAAGATCTTTATATTTAAGACAATCAGCCACACCAAGTTTCTATAAATTCAAATTAGGTGTTGAGGAGCTTAAAAAATTTCTCTTTGCTGTATCTTTAAATATAAAACTAGACTTAGGCATTCCCAAATGAATATGATTTGCATTCTGATACAGTTCTTATCTCCTATCTATTATCTTTGTGCTAGCTTAGCTAAGTTAATAAATGAATATTTAAATTAAAATGAATTCATTTTTAATGTATATGATAAAATAATTTATTCTACACAATTAATTATGCATTTTTAAAATATGTATATACTTACATCTTTAATCAAAATATGCTAAAAATTGATTGTTGAATTATTTAAATTTTAAAAATGATGATCTAAATAAATGATAAATACCATCTTATATTGATAAAAAAATAGCTGCTTTAAATGATTTATTTATTAAATAATTAGCTTCCCTTTAGGAAAAAATATGGCTGGAAATGATTCAAATTAATAGTTCAATAGCTGACTAGCTAACTAAATAAATTGATAAATTAATTATTGATATAGCTTGAAAGTTAGTTCTAATTTATTTTTTAAAAGAGGAATCATTAAAAATACTGCTGATAATTATTTTTCATAAATTATTCCTCCTTTCAAGGTATATATTGGCTGATAATTAATAATTAACTACAGCTTATATATAATATTTAGCTTGCTTATTATATAATTAGATTTGTTCTAAAATATGTTATTCATATTACTATTTATTTTTATTTGATAATTAATTTACTTTTTTAAGCAATTATAGTTTTAAAACGGTATGTATTTAATGTTTATTTTTATTTTTTTTAATTGATAATAAAAATTAATTTATTTAAAAAAAAAATAAGTAGATAAATTGATAAAATAACTTACTTGTCTTCACTCTAAAAAACCTTTTTCATTTCATCTGTTTTAATTAATGATGAAACACCAAATTTGTTATCAGGATTAAAGTATTTTGTATCATATCTTCTATTGAATTATTCTCCTGCTTCTAGTTAACTTAATGGTTTCAAAAAGGGTCTATTAGTTTAATGTTATTCATTTTATTTGGCATCATCTACATAAGAGTATATCAAATCTTTAGCATCTTTTTCATCCTTTCTGGTTGTAGCGCCATATCTAAAATTTTATTTCTACACTTAATCTGGGAAAACATATTTACGATCTAAGGTTTTTCCTAAAGGCATCCTTTTTTTTAAATAGTAGTTAAAATTCATTTTGCTTCTAAATTGTATATAAAAATTAGCTGTACGCTTTATTTGAGGCATAAATTTGTTCACGAATATCATTAACGACATCTTCTACTCCTACAAATTTGTCTTGAAAGTAATCGCCATACTATTAAAATGATAATATTTTTTATAGTAGTTTAGAAATCTTAATTTAAATTTACATGATCAGAAGGAGGCTGAGGCTTTCCATAAACAGAAGGCAATTGCATGGTTTTAGGATCAACTCTTAACTTTGGATGAATCTAAATTTATTTTTTAAAATAATTTATCATAAATTTTATAAAACTTTAGTTGTTTTCTTCTTACACATGATTTACCTAATTGCTTGCGATATGATTATCTAAATTATTTTATTTCTTCAGGTGTTTAAGGTACCTTAAAAAATGAATTTTATTTGCTTATAAGCATTTTAATGAGTAAATATATACCTACTATCTTTAAAATTTAAATAAGGAATCAACTCCTTCATCAGTTTTAATTCTACTAGCCATTTTAAATAATCAGTTGAAATAATTTAATGACAAAGTAACTTTAATTCAAAACAATTTTTTTTGGTTTGATTATTTAATAAGTTTTATAAAAACAGAAAACACGCAAAATTAAAACATAAAATCTATTTAAATAATAATTGTTTGTTTGCTTGTTTTATATATTTCATTCTTATTTAATAATAACATATCAAAGCAGTATCTTTAAAAATATGCAAAAAATTATTATCTATCTATATATTAATAAAATTTATAAGGTATTTCGTGAAACAAAAGAATAAATAATTTAAATTAATTTATTTGTTGAAAAGTAAGTTGAATGTCATATTTAAATTATATAATATTCTATAAATATACATCTGTCAAAATAAACACATTATTTTATTAAAATAATTTTTAACTAACTATAGTCATCGATTCTTTATTCTATTAGATAAAGATAATTTATTAATTAATTAGTGAGTTAACATGCATTTTAATTTTTTATAACATTTGATTTTAGTTTTAAAACATTGTTTTTTTTTTATTAGTTTTTATTAGATGCATGCATTTTAACTTTTTATGTTACTTATCATTATTTATAAAGGATTTACTTATTATGAACCTGTTAAAATATTGATTATTACTGATAAGGCTACTATTATTACTACTACTATTAAACTTAATTTTGTTGTTATTGTTAGTAAATTAAATTTTAATTTTAAAATCCTTACATTTATTGTTGCTTTTGTTGCAATATTTAATTTTGGTTTTCTATTTGCTCTTAATATTGCTTTTGGTTTGGTAAGAATTGTTCATTATTTGCTAAAATTTAAATTCCTACTTGTTGAGGTTATTGCTATTACTGATCTTGCTATTAAGAATTTTATTTTTATCCAGAAAACGATTGCTGTTGTTGCTTTTGTTAATATTAAGTCATTTTAAGTTATTGGACTTGCTACTTTACTGATAAAGGTTACTGCTACAATTGCTATTATTACTATAATTAATATTATTATGATTTTGTATTTTCAATATTTTGTTAAAGCTAATATTATTGCTACTATAAAGCACTAACTGATTGTTACTGAGGGGAGATTTGTTAGAATTAAGATTACATTTAATCAGTATATCCGACTTATTAGTTTTGTGAGTAATTTTAATATTATTATTGCTATTATTATAGCTATTGTTGTTAATTTGGCTGACATTGATAAATATAAATGTAATTGGGATCAGAATAATTTGTTATTTCAGATTGATTATCAATATTATAAGCTATAATCTAACCAGGCTATTAAGAATAAAATCCTCCATAATCAAATGCATTATTATTATTATTACCATTAATTGCATCAATTCCATTTCCATCTAAAATGTTGCTATTATTGTAAACACTTGATTATGGATTATAGTGACCTTTTGATATAAGATATTGCTCATACTCTGTTAATTTCTTAATAAACCCAGTATTTGGATTAATGAGTCTTCTACATTTTTTTAGATGCCATAAAGATTTTTCTAAATTCCATCTATTTTTTTTCATCAAATATGCTATACATATTGAAGCACTCCTCGAAACACCAGCAAAACAATGAACTAAGACACTAGTATATTTTCTATTTCTTTCAATAAACTCTATTCCTTTTTCAAAGTGGATAGTTATATCATATCCTTCCTTATCATGAGCAGGTAAGCCTAATTTAATTTATTATTGGTTTAAAAATATTTATTAAATCAATTAAAATATTTAATTAAATAAAATGCATAAAACGAACTTTAAAAATCATAATAAAAATAGCAATTAAACTAAAGAAGGATTAATGTTTATTTTTAACAAATTTGATTCTAGCTTTTTGATTTTTTACAAATAAAATTTATATAAATTTGCATTTATTTGTATGTCTTTTTTTAAAATTTACAATTTCCTTTTATTGTATGCATGCAATTCGTATTAAATTAAAAAAATTACACTCATGAAAATGAATTGATTCTTCTGCATATCTAAAACCAGTTTCAACAGATGTTGTTAGGACTGCACGAATTCTATTCTTCTTTAAAATTTCTACACTTAAAGCTGCGTCTAAATTTCCAATAAAAAGTCCACCTAATTCATTATCTGCTTCAAGGACACAATCTAAAGGATTTGGCTCTATGAGTTTAGGAACTGAATAGACAAAATTGTATTGGCTTTCTTAGGATGGCTTAAAAACAGCTAGAACAGCTTATTAATTTTATTCACTAATATTTTACTTAGCTTGTAAAATGTTTTCATTGAAACTTGAAGGCTTTTTGTGGTGCTATGGAATAATCTAATTTTGGCTGTTTGGACTTGCAACAGCTATATTTTAATATTGTTGTTATTATCTGTTTTGCTAGGGACTAGACTAGGCCTTTAATTTTTCTGGTGAGTTCTAAAAATTTTAGTTAGATTGGTGATATTGTTTTTAAATCATAGGCACTTATTGCCCCGCCATAAGTGCTTGTGCTTGCTATTAATTTTACTGTTAAGATAATTAGTGGCTAACTTAATTTCCTGTTTTATGAAAATGTGCTTACTACTTCTATAGATCTTATTACTGAATTAAATACTAAGGCTATTATTACTCTATCAAGACTTAATTTTCATTTAACTTCCTTTATTGCTGCTATTGAATTTGCTAATGTTAGAATACATTTTATTGCTAAGGAGATGATAGCTACTATTAAATTTAAAGCTATTATTACTACTATTATTGCTACATATATTATTACTGCTGAGCACTAGTAAGATACTAATACATTTAATTTTAAATTTATTAATTGAATGCTTGGTTAATGCCTTTTTGCTCATTAATGCCTGCTTAATTATTTTAAGTTTAGAGCTGTGCTAAATTCATTTCTTCTAACTTTTTAATATAAATTTATAAGAGTGATCAGTTCCTCCAATATTAATATTGCTTTTGTTTTATTGCTAATAAATTTCAAATAACTAAAGAAAGCATAAAAGAAATTGGCAATGAAATTTTACTGTCTCGAATTGAAATTTAACAAAATAATAAATATTTAGTTATATAACAAACAAACAAACATTTAATTGAAAATATCAATCAATAATTAGAGCGATACATTTTTTAAAAGAAATGAATGAATGAAAAAAAATTTGATTGTGAAATAAAATCAAAATAAATTTAACAATATATTTTATATAAACAAACACAACAAAACTTTTTAAAATGTATTTTTAAAAATTAATTAATAAAACAATATTTTTAAACAACTAAAATTATTATTTTGATAAATTTATACAAAATTCATCAAATAAATTGTGAAATCAATAAATAAATAATAAAATAAAAAATTTAATTTATAAAAAAGAGTTTTTCTTTAAAGATATATTTTTTAAATAAATAAATAAATAAAAATAGTTTTTTTTATTAGATTTATTTAATCATTTTTAACTAATTTTTTATCATTTTTTAATACTATAGAAATTTTTTTAAAAAAAAAGATGAATAAAAAAAATTTGAAAAAGGGATGGGATACATTAACTATTTCAACTCAGATAAAATCGAATATTATTCTTTCCTTACAATTTTTAAATTTTATAACTAATTATCTGAGAAAGTACTTGAGTTACATCCTAATTTTGGAAAGTGTGTTACATTGAAATATTTACAATCCATTTCCTAAAAATAAGCATAATAAATTTATTTTTAATGACGTTGATGACATTGATAGTATTATCTTTTGATTAGCTATTTACAATGCTTTTTAATATTTATAGTAGTACTTTTGCTAACATTCCCACGATTTTCATAATTAAAAACAATTTAAACAACTTATTAGCCATAGCTTATACTAATTAGTAATAATTAAATTACTCTTACCCAGAAATTTTATAATGCTGCTTTGTTTTGACCTTAAAAAATTATTGATTTAGTATAGGTTTTAACGTGTAGTCCAAATAGTATCTTAGTAGTATCTTTTTTATAAGATTGAATGATCAATTAATTTGCTAATTCTTCTAACCTAAACTAATTAAAATTATCAAGCATATTCATAGGATTTTTAGAACTCACTTTTCAAAAAATAAAAAAGAAATGCTTAAAAAATATTTAAAAATGAAATTAGAAAAACTTTTTTGTCTTTTTTATAAAAAATTATTACTGAAATTTTAGTTTTTTAATATATAAAAAGCGCTACCAAATAAATAAAGATAGATTACATTAACAATATCAAACTTTTGAATTATAGAGTACTTGGTTTAATATTAAAAAATTCTAAAAATTTATAAACCTGACAAATATTAATTTTCAACTTAATTTGAGTATTAGCATCTCTTTTAAGAAATTTAAAAATTATACTTGTTAAAAAAAGATCATTTCAAACAAAAAATATTTCCTTCTGTTTAGATAAATTAAATCCTGCTAAAATCAATATGTTATGAAGTACTTTTAAGGGAGAGAATTGCAAGAACAAATATATTCTTAAAACAATTAATTGATTTTGGTATTTAAACAAGAAAAAGCACAATCTTAATTAACTTTTTTATTTAAAATGATCAACTATCAATATAAAATTTATTTGCTAATCCAATTTTTACCTTTTTAATTTTTTCAGATTAAGTCACCAACCTACATACATATATACCTACCCATTATTAATATTTTTCCATAAATAAGAAATAAAATAAGTGGTTAGGCTCATTATTTAATAGAAATAAGTGTAAAAAATTTAATATTTTTGTATATTCTCACTTATATTAAAGTTTCTAAATTAGAAATGAATGACACAGTTGTTAAATTATTTCAAATAGTAGCTCTAAAAAATAAAATAAGATTGAAATATCTTTTCTCTTTTTGCTTAAATCCACATAAATATTCAATTTTACATGATTTTTATTTGCTTTCTTTTAAAAATTAGTACTATACTTAATTATTAGCTAAATTTGTAAATAAACATATTTAGAAATAGGTATAATTTTTTAGGTGTTGATAAGATTGCAAAAACTTAAATTTTAGTTATTTATTTATTCATCAATCAATAAAAAAATTCTTGTAATGTTCTGCTATATATTTCTGAGCCTTTAGTAATCAAACCTTTCATAAAATTATACTCAGAGAATGCCATTAAAAATAAACTTACATTGTTACACAAAAGTTATAAGCAACTAAAAATCAAATCTTTTAGACAAAAATCATAAAAATTATTTTATATTGGCTTTTATAGAGGATGAATTATCTATTATAAATAATATAAACGTAGTCTAGGCTAGCTATCATTAAATACAAATTTTTGCTCCAAGTTATCTATTTTATTAAATTTGTAATAATAGTAATTATTTTACAATTTTTTTCTTGGAATTTGACTTTGTTACATTCATTTCATCAGAGCTATAAAAAACGAAGGTAACTACTCTATTTTAAAATTTAAAGTGGCTTAAATTAAAATCTAGCGCATTTGTCAAATTATTGTGTTTTTATGAAAATAGTGCTTCTTTAGATCATTTATTTATTCATTTTTGTTACTAATTCCAAATTCAAATTTAAAAAATAGCTTTAGAAAAGTTGAATCTTTAATTTATAACAATAAATATTTTAAGAATACTTCAAAATTAATTTATGACACAGGTAAAACAGAGTAGATGATAATTTTTAAGCAAAAAAAATATATCAGTTTTCTAAAAAATTAAGCACAATTGTCTTATTTTCTTAATTTTACCTTGATCGAGTTGAGATTAGTGAAAGAGAACTATTGCTTTCATAAAATTAATAAAGCAATTAAGTATTTTTTAATTTTTCGTAATAGAAGATATATCTGTGATGCTTACATAATCATATAGAATATATTTAAATTAATCTAACTAAATACATGCAAATAATTAAAAGCTTATCTTGGCAAATTTCTTGATTAAAACAAAATCTATTCATCTGTCCAAAAAAAAAAATATGATTTAATTAATTAATTATAATAATTTATAAAGTGTTTTTTGTTTAAGAATCAAAAAATTTAATACTGATTCAACATAAAAATTTACTTAATTTCAATCTTAAAAATGGTAAAAAAAGCATTTTACAAGTTATTAGAGTAGTAAATTATTGCTACTTTCTCCAATCAATTGATAATATTAATTTAAAAAAAAAAATTTTAACTTTAAAGAATCAAAAACAAAAAGATTTTATGTTTAATTAATTCATTAACTAAAATATTGATTTATCTATTAGCATTGTTACATAAATTTTGATACTTTTTTATTTTGTTACATATTGTCTTTTTCCTCAAGTTTTCTGAAGTAAAATTTTTAATTTGTGGAAATTTTGATTTTTTTAAAATGGAAAAATCTGCGTATTTTTCAAAAAATAAATAGTAATAGACTTGATAAATCGTGTAATTTTGATATGAAACTAATGCTTTCTGAACTAAAAAATAAATGTAACATTTTATTTGTTACTTAATTTTAAATTACTTGAAAATCAATATAGAAGAAATTTATTTACTTCTCACTCATTAAAATAATTTATAGCCTTTAACTTAACTATTTCTATTTATAGAGATAAATCGAATATTTAAATAGTAAATTACATTAATTTATCATACAATTTGTATATGTCTATTATAAAATTTTACAGAATTGAATAAGTTATTTGTATTAATAAATATTTTCTTATTTTAATTATTTGGATTTTTAGCATATTGAAACATTATTATTATGAGACCTTAGTTTAAAAGTTTTTTATATATATTTTTAAATATTTTAGTAAGTGTTAAATTCTTTAACTTGTATTTTGTTATATTTTCTTGTGTTTAGATTTATTGGTAATTATTGAATAACTGAATTAAGTAAGAGCTAATATTTAAATCTATCTTGTAGATAATTTATCTTGGGAAGTAGTCTATAGGATTTCATTATTTTTTAAGAGTAAATAGAGATTTCTTTTTATGATGGCTTCTTTTTTTAAGATCGGATACTGAACCGCTTCTACAGAGTTCGAGGAATTTTAATTATTCTTGCATGTTTTGAACTTTGCTATTCACTATCCAATCAGTTGCGGGTTATCCAAGGAATTCTATGAAATAAGAATGATATGGAGAATTAGTTAAAAGCTTTATTATAAGCTCATTATTTGTTTTGTTAGAAGAAATATAACGCTTGAAATTAAAGAGAAATCTTTTATTCTCTGAGTTAGCCTTTTGAGTATATTTAAAGAAAGATTTAAGTAAATTTTTTGAAAAATTTCTCGATTTGTTGTAGAGTTATTTTTCCTTTGTAATGTTGTTTTAATTTTGAGAAGCTTCTTCACTCTCTAAAAGGTTTTCTTCATCCAAAGATTATTCGCTGAGCTTGTTATCATCAAGTGAGAGCGATTTTTGGTTGATATCAGAATTATTTTAGAGAGAAAATAGGTTATCCTGAGAACTAGTTTTCTTTTCTTTAAAAATTATAAATCTTGAAGAATTTTATTGGCTTTATATTTTTAGTTCAGTGGTGGAACTTTTATTGTTTTCATTCATGCATAAGCTTGTGGAACCTTCATCGATTAAATTAGAGGATTTGCAATTCTCAGCATTCTTTGTACTGGGTTCATCAGTATGAATTGAGAGTCTAATTCCTTTAAAATGGGTTGATCTACTTAATGGGGAATCAATTTATTATTGCTAGAATTATTCACAAGAATCTTTAAAAGCACTATTTTTTTCTTGCAAAATTAAATTAGAAAAATGTTATGTGTTGGAAATATTCGATTAAGAGATATTGCAAGAATGAGCTTAATTTATATTTATATTATTTTCTTATGAAGATTACTATTAATTACTTATAGAAGAATCTTTTTTAATCAATTATTTAGTTTCAGTATCTTGATTAACTTGTAAATTTTCAATTTTATTATTATTTTGAATTGTTTAACTCATCGCTTATTAAATTTAGTTAGCCATATATTAATTATCCACAAAATTTTATTCATTATTCTAAGATTATTAAGCATTTTCTGTGACGTTTATTTAAGAAGAACTTGGATAATTAGATGCTAATACTTAACACTAGTTATTGAAAAATAACTGTGATAATTATTATTATTATGAGGGAGTGAAATACTAAAAACCTCCTTAAAATGGAATAGAAAAAACATAATTTGAAGCATTTTGTGGCATTTGTTAATAAACAGTGCCTTATTATACATAATATGGATTGAAGTTAAAATAGTAGGGGGAAATCATATTGGGCTGTTGGCAACTAGCATATGATCCAAGCATTGCTGTTATGTTGTAAAGATGATGATTTTTTATTATTTAGTTTAGTAGCTAACTAACTAACTAACTCTATAGGTTGGAGATATTAATAGTATATTAAATTAAGTTAATTTCTTTTAACAACTTATTTTTATTATTCTTTTGTTTTTTAGCTTTTCAATTTTTTTTTTTTTGTAATTAACTATGAAAGCTTAATAGATGAATATTTTCAAGATTTAACTCTCCTTGTACGTAGACCAGGCTATAATTAAAATTGATTATTGTGAAGAGAGATTTTAATTATTTTGCAAATAAATTAGCAGCAGTAGCTGAAATAAAAAAGATTAGTGTGATTAATTAAGAGTCCTAGATAGGGTGGGGTTAAAATTTTAGTGAATTATGTAAAATATGCTTCTATACTGAATTAATTGATAATAATAATAATACGTCTATGTTTTTCTACTTAAATTTGAAATATACTCATTTTCAAATATAAATAATTTATTGCTCTTTGCCAAACCTATTCATTTCTCTTTCTCTCTTAGTAATTCACAATAAAAACCTAAAAATTAATCACATTGAAAAAGTGCTTTTATTTATTTTTCATTCATTTTATTCTTAAGTATTCTGAAATGTTAGAAATTCATCTGACATATGATTCTCTTTTAACTTATTCATTGATTCAATTTAACTTACCAGATATTAAATTTTATATTTTCTTTTCTTTGGGCTTTGCTAATTATTTCTAAAATCTTAGTTTGCAAAATATTTGCTAACTCTTCATTTTATGGATGTACAAAATGCTAAAATAATTATGATAATAAATAAATAAACATATATATCTGATTTCTTAATCAAAAATGAAGATATAAAATCATTTAGAATGAATGATTCCTTGAAAATTTTAATTTTCATCGATTAGAAAGTAATTAAATTCAACAACTGCATGCTAAAGTTTTAAACAGGATAGGTAAAATTATAAAAAAATGACATTAAAGCATTCAAAAGGTTTTATTTTAAAGCCATCTATTTCTTTTTTATGCTTGAGCTTATTTAAACAATTAGAATGTAATATTATTAGAAGACTCTTACTGAATAGCCAAAAATTTCTTTTAGTATTATTTTAATTAACAAACTATTGAATAGCACAAAGTAGTATGAATTAAATACAAACATTTATCAAACTTGAAAATTATTAGAGGCTTCTAAATTAATATACATTTTTCAATAGAAAATTTGAAAGCTAAAAAAAATTGAAATTTATCATTTTTTTTCTTCAAGTTTTTGTTGTGAAATCTTGATCTAAAAATTATTTAAATTAAAATACACTGTTAACACAATCAAGAAAGTCAATTAAATCAAATTCTAATCTAGAATTGAAAATTTGCTTTACCAAATGCTTTTGTTTTGTTTTATTTTTTATTATAAATTTGGTATTATTAATACACCAAATGCCAAAATTAATGCCTCAGATATTTTATCTCCTCATAGAAATTCATTTTCTGTAAATGAATGTATTTAATTATATTAAAAGTAGTAGAAAGATTTTAACTCTTATTATTACCTTACTACTTACAATACAAAAAATAACAAAAATGTGAGGGAATTAATTTTTTTTCTTACCCAGATAGAAATGTTCTAACTCAATCTATCTTTTAACTAACATCTATTTTGGAATTCAAAATTTTAGACACCAAAATTATCACATTTGATTACAATTTCAGTAATCTATCAAACAAATGTTGATTATCTGAATCTTTTAAATCAAATATTTTAATTTTAAATTCTTTCGTTTCATAAAAAAAAAAAGAGTTCATTTAAAATATTTTAAATTTTATTTTAAATTTAAAAGATAATTTAAAATAAACTCTTGAAAGAAGACAGTTGAGAATAAAATTTATTCTTCTTTTTTTATTTAAAAGAGCATTCTACTATTTAATTCTAAATAGTAAGTAACAAAATAAATAATTAGCTAAACTTCTTCTAGATTTTATCAATATCATTACCAAATTGAAAAAGAAATTTGAATCAAAACTCAAAAATTTTATTATTACTACTACCAAAGATAAGTGCATTAAAATAGTCGAGTATTATAGCAAATACACTCAATTTAATTTTTATGATAAGAAAAAATTGGAGTAAATCCAAAATTCTCCACAAAATTTTAAAATACTACATCGGAGATATTTTTATAGAACTGTAAATTCAAAAAATTCAGAAAGCTTTTAATTATATTAAATAAGAAAGTATATTTTGTAATTTATCAAAGCAATCGATTTAATGCAAAAACCTCTACTATCTATCCATAACAAAATGGGATGCTTTAAAAAATTATGTTAGTAAATTAATTGTATCTCAAAAATACTTATGGCTCTTTCAAAATCTTCATACAATTTTTCACTATTTATGATAACTTTATATTTTTTAAATATTTTACGATAGTATGAATGTTAATGGCTCTTTACCTTATTCTAATTTATTTTTTATCATTTTTCAAAAATATTGTCCAATCTCACAATTAATTGATTAATCATTTAAAAATTTGAATGTTAAACTTCTATATTATTACAGCCAAAGCTATTTACGGAAAGTACAAATCCAGATAATATAAAAAAATATTTATTTAAAACAAAATATTTTTTTTGTTTTATCATTATAACAGAAAAAGAATCAAACGGGTAGATCTAATTTAACCACTAAATCACTAGTTAACTAATTAATGCTATTTTGTATTAATAAATAATTAAAAAAAATCAAGTAAGAAGAATAATTTTTCAAAATTTATCTAACTCAATTTATGGGTAAAAATAAATTGAAGTTATTTTTCAAAGATTTTTGTTATTTCTGTTTATATATCATACGCCTAATAATTACAAGTTTAGTCTATTTAAGCTATTTATGAAATTTCCGTTTTACAATATTAAAATTATAAAATGACTATTATAATTTCACACATACACAAAACCTTGTAATAAGTATTTAAATATACTTATTTAACAATTCTAAATGAAGCAATCTTTCTATTTATTTTTTTTTTGTTACTTATCTAATCAATTTACTCTTCTTCTTTATGGACTGCTTTTAATTTTTTCTATTGGCCAAACAAATTTGATTACAAAACACTTTCTCACTAATTAACTAACTCAATATTTATCCTTCAATATACTTGATCACTTCATCACCTGGACATAAATGAGATAAACAAATAACTAAATTACTATTATTTAAAGTGGTACTCTTTTATCATTTCTGTAAATATTATAGGCATAATTTAGGGTGTCTTTATTTTGCATTAACATTTGCATCATAATTAATTGTCAATAATTCTTGCATAATGTATTTATGAAAATTTATTAAAAATCCAATAAGATAAAGTTCAAGACAACAACAGCTCATCAAATAGTCCGATGAGAAAATACCTAATGGATAAAAGAGAGCAAAAAAGAATTAAAAAAATTTTTTCAGAGCATAAAAAGAATGAAGCACGCTTATTCTCTGTACCTAAATTTTCAAAAGATGATCCAACTATTAGAGATTTAGAAATAGCTAAATATAACCTCTAAAAGTATTCAAGAGAATTACCAGCCTTCTAGGGTCTTAAAAAATAGTTAATCAGCCAAGAAACTAAGTAATGATTTCCGTTTAGAAAAATATATACTCAATAGTTAATGATATAAATACTAAAACTAACAACAATTTACCATTAAAAAAGTATAAAATTGCTACGAGTAAATAACCAGAAAGGGAATTTGAGCTATAGATAAAGTAAAATGAATGAAAGCGTTGAATACAATAGATAAAGTTAATTAGAGTAATTTTTGAAAAATACAAGAAATTAATCTTTCAATATGTGCTAGAAGGAGTAGCTTCCTAATGTAAAATAAACATTTAAAGACTAAGCTATAAAAAACTATGTATTTGAATCTGTAACAAAGAGAAATGTAAGTATTATGTATTTATTAGTATATATTTTAAAAATAATTTATATATGTAGAAGATTGATGATATAATTAAGAAACTTGAACAATCTAAGTAAGAAATATCTAGTAAGGAAATATAAATATTTCTACTTTTAATTGAAACTCTTTTTTAACATATTTTTAGATAAGCATCAAGGGCTAGAATCTCCATTTCAAAAAAAAATTTAGGTAATTATTAATTTCAAATTTTTACAATTTAAATTTTAATTAGAAATTAAAAGAAGACCGTCTTAAAAGTCAGGAAAGGGAATTTAATATTTATAATTCCATGCCTTTCGATCCATGCCAGCGAAAGATTAAAAGAGAAAGGTACCTAGCCTATAAATTTGATCCAGAATTACCCTTCCTGACTTTGGGAAAATTTCACCCAAAAAATAAAATTAATGATAGATATAGCAATATTACCAACCATGAAGTTTTAGAACAAACTAATGACTTAAATATAGATTAAAACTCCTCGAATATGGTTAGAAATAGCATATTTGATAATTAAAATCTTGAAAAAAATCAATTGTAATAAGGTACTTAAATTTTTAACACTCAATAAAGCATAGTAGAGGCTAGTAGGAGAGCTTCTGTGGTTTCCTAGCTTGATTAATTTGATGATTAAATTAATATTTCTTAAGATATTGAGGATTAAAAATTTATTGATTCTGTTTTCAATAGTAGAGAATCCTCTAATAAAAAGATGTAAAAAATTATAGAAGGCAATTAAAAGCTATTAAAATAGATTAAGAAAAACAGTAATTCTAAAGGATTATTTGACAGTCTCAATTACTTTACTAATGACAGAAGTAATAGCATAAATAATTTCAATTTTTCCATTTAATTAACAGATTTTAGATCAAAAAATTTACAAATATATATCAATGGGTAGGATTTATATTTTACAATAAAAAACTAAAAAGGATAATAAAATCAAGAGTTGACTGAAATGCTGCAGTAATTAAATTCTAACAGAGATAGAACTCTATAAAAAAAGGTAATTTTAAAATAAAAATACAATAAATTTAAATTTTTTATAACAGAGAGAGGTCTATTAGGATCTTTTCGTTTAATCAGCTTAAGTTAGTCCTCAAAAAAAGAAGAAAGTGAGAGATGATCTAAATAAATTCTTACAGTAAATATTAAAAGATAATAAAAGGCAGTAATAAATGTAAAAAATTTGAAGTTGTATTTTAATTAATTAATTAATTAATCAATTATTATATATTAACTTTTAATTAATTTTTAGGAATCAACTATTCATAAAAATTATCATAGTTAAACAAATTAAATTAAATTGTTTAAACTCATTTTTTTTATTTTTGATTTTACAATTATTTTAAATATATATTAATTAAACGATAAACAACTATTTTATTAATTTATTGCTAAAGATTTAAAAATCTCATTTAAGAATTGAATAACTCCCATAAAATTATTCCAGAAGATATTTTAGAAGCGTTGGATGAAATGGCAACCGTTTTAAATTAAGGAAGAATATTGTTTCAAGAAAACCTATTGAAGATTTAAGTACTTCTCGATAATTATGGTGTTGATAAAAAACCATTCAATTTAATTTATAATGCAATCTAATAAATATCTAGCTTTGATAATAGCTAAACTACTAATAGGTCATTAGATTCAACAATATAAACAAGTTATCAAATATGAGTTTAATATAAATAAAATTAACATTTTGCTTAGTTATATATTATATAATTTATTAATTAAAAAGTGAAAGATAATTTATCATTAATATTTATAATAAAAATACAATTTTACTCTTTAAAGTCTATGTTAATAATTTGTTATTACCAGAAACCTTGCTAACTAGGATGAATATTTATCATCCAATTATTTATATATTTATTTATATCTTTCTTAAAACCATATATTTTTGTTAGGAAATAACTATATATATCTTCATTCGTTTTATACTTTAGAGAAGAACAAACAAAAATTTAGTTTCAAAATATACAGATAGATAGCATCATCACCATTTGAAAAGTTATTTGAGATAGATTGATTAATGGCTGAAATAAATACCTTAAGTATTAAATAACATTAATAAACTTAACAATCTGACTTTCAAGAAAAGGCATTTAACTAGAACTTAGTTTTCATTGTTGAAGATAAACAAGCTTCAGATTTTGAAAGATTGTAACACTAGAATGATCTTTCGTCTTTGTACAGCTCACGTAAATAAATAAATACTTGAATGTTTATAAATACCTAAAACAACTTTAATAAAAGCACTTAAAGCTCAATAAAATAATAAAATTTTACTAAGAGAAATAGGCCTATAACTTTGATAGTATAGGGGGTCGAAATAGCGACGAGTATATCGAATCTATGCTGAATAGTAGAAATTAAACATTCAACAAAAATTAGTAAAAATTCTAACAGCAAAAAATAAGATTGAGAAGTTCAACGACTTTTAATTTGGAAGAAAGGAATAGCGAAAATGATTAAGAGTTAAAAATACTTCAACAAATCAAGAATTCCCAAAAAAAGAATGTTTGGCAACAAATTTCAGAAAATATTTTAACTCCATTTGCACCAAAATTTTAAGTGTTGTATGATAATTCAAAATTCATTCCTGAAGATTTACTGAAGATGGAAAAAGACGAAGATAGGGATCAAACACCTTACTCAGAAGAAAAAGAAATTAATTGGGAATCTAGTGAATATGATAGTGATGAAAACAATTCTTAAATTTAAAAAAATAACCATCATATTCCTTCACTCGTAACTTCCCCTTTGCTAAGAAAGAAAACAAGAACTGAAAATTTTGATACACTGTTATAAAAAGCATAGCTTCAAGAACCGTTTCTACATACAAAGTTAATAAAATAAATTACTGAGAGCAATGAATAAATGTAAAAAAGAAAATCTGAATATTCACCACTTCGTTATAAATCATTAAATTCCAAGAGTTTCTACTCAAAAGTTAGTTTTGCTGACCAAAATAAGACGAACACTTCTAACTTATTATTAAGTTAAAAGAATTTCATGAGAAAGGTTAGATTTGAGCACTTGCCTAATACTATTAAGGAATAAGTAACAAATAAATCGAATGATCTTTCATCTAGCTAATATTAAGTGATATCTAAAAAATAATCAACAAATAAAATATATTTAGATAAAATTCTTATCATTCTAGAGAATTAAGATAAAAATGCTTTGCAAAAAATATATGTTCCAAAATTAAAAGATTAAATTGATAAAAGTTAGGTAAAAAATAGAATTCTTAGTGCTACTGCCTCACTTCCAACAAGAGAATAAAAGAAAAAGTTATTGAATTTGTAGAATGGTAAATTATAAATTGATGCATCAAATTCGAATAAGATTTAATCTGAAGACTTTCAAAAATACTTAAGAAGGAGATCTTGCTGCTGCGAAGAATGTGGAGGTATCAATTCTAAATTAGAAAGAATAAAAGATTTAGTTTTGGATAAAGATATTCCAGTGAAATAGCAAAAAAAATCACCTTAAAATAAAATATCAAATTTAAACTCGCCTGTTTCATCTTAGAGCAAAAAAAGTTCATTTGATTCTAGATTTTAAAGAAAAAAAAACCTGACAACTAAAATCAATGTCATTCAATCCAATAACTAAAGCTAAAGCGAAATTCAAAAAACAGCAGGATCAAGCCACAATGTTTCTCTCTCCAAAATACCCTCATTAAATGAAACCTAAACATTTAAAAATTAAAATGATAAAAAGCAAGCTGGTATCGAAAGTTTCAAAGACGCAATAAATGAGTAAGTGTTTTTAAAAAATATATTTTTTTTAAATTTTTACATTAAAGAAACAGTTAAAATTCTCCAATAAAAAAACGAAGTTAGAAGAGATATGAAACAACTTAACCTTTTAGTTCTTTATAGAGAGCTCCAAGTTTTAAAACTCTAAGATAGGAAAGAGAAATAAAAATATAAAAGCAACATGAAATATCACAAGAAAGGAATATAGATGAATAAAATATAGAACAAACACAATTCTAAAGTAATTAAGAAGCAGATAAGTAATTTTTAAGAGAAAATGACAAGATTGAAGAAAATAATTTAGAAAACTAACAGAAAAATAAAAATGAATGCTAATAGAAAATGATTAGCCATATTTTATAGGAATATGATTCCTAACAAAGAAGAGATAGTTCAGAATAAATTTAACAAGCGAAAAATAAAAGCAAATAAACTAATTCACTACCTAAAATTGATTAAAAGTAAACATAAAAAAGATGCCAATCAGTCTAAAATGGTATTTCTCGTAAAAGAAGTGAAAGTGATATTATTTTTGGTAGAGATGAAGATTTAAATATAAATAAATATGGCAATAGTACTTAAAAAGATAAAGCCTCCACTAATAATCATCTTCTAGGTAAAAGAGAAATATAAACTTCTTCTAGAGAAACAAGATTAAGGAACGAAAGGAGTTTACCAAACATACTAAGCAAGAAATAGTTGACAAATCAAACACATAATGATGGTTTCAAACAAAAATATAAAGAAATAATTGATTATGTAAATAATGAAGAAAAAAATTAAGTAATTTAGGAAAATTACATTAAAAAAATTTAGAAAAATAATAAAAAAACAGCTGTATCTGATAAACTTTAAGCTTATTAGAACCCAAATGAATTAGTATTTAAAACTAAATAGTAAATTATAGCAGAATCATATAAATAGTTATTCGATCAATAAAAAAAGTATTCTATAAACCATAAGCACAAATCTCACCCTTTAGTAGATCTAAATATCTAGAAAAGGTAATCCAATTTTATGTAAACGAACACTTAGTATGAGAATTTTAACTTACAAACTAATGATATCAATGAATAAAATTAAACAACCAGGTATGATTTTATTTTAACTTTCACAAAAATTTATATTTAATATTAAAAAAGGAAAAAAAGTAGATCTAAAAAGCGTTCAAAAAACACCTCCTTAAAAGAAAATATGGAAAAATTAAAAACAGTTTATGATATTTGAACATTTACAATCAATCAATCAAACAATAAAAATATTTATTTGTTTTTCTCAATAGATATATATTTAAAATACATTTTTTTTATTCAAACATTTATTATTTATTATTCACTTTTGTGTAGATAATCTAATTATTTACTCAAACAACAACTCCAAACTTTTATCTACATTTGTCCTATAGAAGAAAAAAAATATATCTTTGATAATATAATATAAAACATACCCATTAATGGCTGAACAGCTTTGAACAATAATTTTTCGATTATGAATCAAACTTATACTCAGTATAGTTGAAATTTCATCGACAATAGGTCTATTTGGATCTGATTAGTTTTCCTATATTTATAAATATTTTTATATTTCCATTAAAATAAACATTTTTACTATTTTATTTATCAAAATAAGTATTGGTACACCTTAACTTTCTGGAGAACTTGTTATTGATTCTATTTTTATTTGATCAAAAAGATTTTATATCTTAATTTATCATAAAAATTACCAAATGTTTTTATAAGTTCTTCCTTTCTCGAAACATAATCTTAATCTACAACAAATACTATCCCATGGCAGTCTGGATAATATTTTTTCCAAATACTTCTAAGCAATTGAGCTCCACCTAAGTCCCAAAAAAGGGCATAATATTTTGCTTTAAAAATAAACATTAAATCATTTTTTAATTGATTCATTGAAAGATTTTACGATATTCTATTTTTGCAACTATTATTATTAAAAATTTTTAAAAACATTTAACATATAATTAATTTTACTATTTAGCCCAACTGTTGGAATGATTTTAGAAAATTCTATTGCTTTTTATTTTGCATTCATTTTTAATCTACTGAGTAAACACTTTTGGTTATAAAATCATATTTATAAAAAATATTGAATTGTTATAAGACAGATATATTGTATTAAAAATGAAGTATATTACAGTTTTTCCGCTTTCATTCAGCCCTACTATTAAAACTTTTAGAGTAGGCTTTTCAAAATACATTGACCATAACGCTTTTACTAAAGAATACATATTATTCACAATTGCTTTTGTTGAAGTTTTAGAGCTAATAATTTAGAAATAATAATGTACAATCACAAACAAGTAAAGAAATAAATATTATAAATTTATGAACAGAATTTTAAATTTTTAGTATTTCAATTATTTATAAAATATGAACAAAGTCAATCTTAAAAACTTCAAAAATAATATATAAATGGGAAAAATTAAGCAAGAATTTCAGCACAAAAATTTTAAAATAATTAAATTAATTCTTAAAAAATATAAATATTATGCAAAGTAACTTAAAATAACTTGTATAAAGCTAAGTAAAAAAATTAAAAATAAGTGTTCTTTAGTGACAAATGCCATATTCCTAGATTCTACTAAACATTAGTAAATAGTGATTATATGATGAGCTGCTGGATAGACTAATTGATATCTTATGATAACTGGAGAGATCAAAATAAAATCTCATTAGGAATAAATGAATCTATGATTTAGTGATTGGTATTTTTTTAGTTAAGTAAATAAAGTGATTTATAGATTATTGAAGATATAGATATGTAGATAGGTAGGTAGATAGGTAGGTAAATTGATAGATATGTTGGTAGTTATTTTTGTTATTTTTATTAGCTTATTGATTTTTATTTTAAGCTTTTTAACTTAAGTTTACTGATAAAGTAATTCCCGTGTATTTGATTAAAGAAATAATTAGTGACTTGGTTAAGAAGATTAAAGAAATCAGAGGGAGGTATGGAGGGGAGGGATGGAGATGATTGATATTTTAAATTTAAAAGGAAGTTAAATTGGATAATGATTAAGAAAGTTTATTTTTTATTATGATCAGTATATGAAATATTTTATTAGTTATTTATTTTTATTTTGTGTGATTTTAGTGAATTTTTGAAAACTCTAATTTCTTAGAAAGTGTTATTTATTTTAATCAAATTACCAAATTTGAATAAGGTAATTAACCACCTTATTGCTGTTGTTAATTGGTATAATATAATTGTTATTGCTATTGTTATGGTTACTAGCCAATCTGTTGTACTGGATATTATGCTTAAGGCATTTAAGGAGAAGAAGGAGGATGATGAATAGCCATCTATGGAGGAGAAACTTACACATTAGAATATTGTTGTGCTACAACCTACTAGGGAGGAACATTTAATCCATAATGAATGACTGGTGGAAATTAATTTCCAGTTTATGCAGTCGGAGAAAGAGGAGGCTAAATGGATATTAAATGATTAGTTGAGGGTGGCATCAAAGTAGCATGATTTAGGTAGTTTTACTAATAAGGTGAAGCAAAGTAATCAGCCTAACCGCTTGAAGTTGGTGAATGGATCACTGGCCCATTAGGTGCTTGATAATAAGGAGGATATGTAGAAAGATACTACTCTGGACCCAACACACGTATTGGATTTATAGGTAAGTATGGTGGTGTATCGCTTAGTAATTACAGGTCGACTGCTTTACGTGAATTTTAGTATTTTCCAATATAATCCATCATACTAAATTAGAAACGTATAGATTTACTATGCTTGTGATCCATCAAAATACCTTTATGAATTCCTGCTTTCTATAAATCATCAAAGTGAACAAAAATGTCTGTTCGTGATTCATCTTCAACTATAAAACCATAATTCTTATCTTAATCAAAGAACTTTAATGTTCCTTTGTATTTTTCTTTACTGCTTTCAATTACTTAGTGCTTTCTCTTAGGTACAGGATTTAAAAAGTTGCCTTGGTTTAATTGTTATTGTAATTATTGTTAATGAAGCAATTACTGCTACTAAATTGTAAGCTGTTACTAGTCGACTCCAACAAGAGGTGGAGTAGATGAATTACTACCTCCAAGGTTAGTAGGATTAATAGTCAATTAAGTAGTGTTATTATTAGGATTTTAAAGGTCTGTCATTGAGTAGGGTCCGTGCTAATGATGCTGTTAATTTGAAGACAAAGTTGTAGCAGACTACTAGCCATATTAAGAGGTCTAATTTTAGTATTATAACCCTTATTTATTTGAAGTAGAATAAGTTTCAGAATTATTGCTTGGGGATAAAGGCCTTGAATGTGGGTATTAGATCTAAGGGTTGCTACTGCTATGCTTCATAGTTTGCTATGGGATACTTAAATTTTGGCAAGAAAAAGCTTGAAATGAAGCTTGGTTGCTTAAAGAACTATTAGACATATTGGCTCCATTATAGCTTGCAGTACTTTCTTGGCGTGGACGCTTTAAATCTATAGCTTCTTTAATTAAATTGTCATCATCATCCTAAATGATGTTAATTTGTACGCCATTACTGTTGCTTGTTTAGCTAATAACAGAATCCACCTTGGTGATAATTGTTTATTTAGGGGTTTAATTTTTCTCATCTTCATCATCTTCACTATCGCTTGATTTCTCGCTATCTGTTGACCCTATTATTCTATTTTTTACAGCACTTAAAGATACTCCAACACCTTTTTTCTTTTCAAGAGGAGCCTTAACCTATTCGTTTGGTAAAGGTGATTATTAGCTTTGATTTGATTGGTTTACAGAGTTACAAATCGTGCTCTTTTTGTGACGAATTTATTCAACAATGCTATTTCTTCTCTCCTTATCTAATATAACATTAAATAACTCAGGTGGTATATTATTATCAAACAAGTTATATCCTGCTTAGCCGCTTGATTATGTATCTGTTAACTATAATTATTATTAATTTGAAATATTAGATTAACTCTATATTTTTCTTGTAAACTATTAAGTTACATTGACATCTTCCTAGTCGTCAGGTGAATTTCTACTAATTTCTTCTAAATAATTCTAAAAAATAAATTTTCATAAAAATAAATTATCAAAAAGCAAATAAAAAGAAATAAATAATGATTATTTACTTCATAATCTATATTCAGTAGATCTTAATCAAGCTTCTTTCCAAGACTAAGAGGCTAGTCACTTAAAATCTTTAGTAGTTAATTTAAATAAATATTACATAAAAATGATTAGCAACAAACAAAAAAAAAATCTATCAAATTAAATTATATCAATAAATTTTTAAAGGCTAATGAATTCTAAATTTTTAAATTTTAAAAGCTTTTTTTCATTAATTTATTAGATTGTTTATTTATTTTTCTATCACCTATCTATTTATCTATCTTTCTTTTTTATTCTTGTTGATCGATTAAGAATATTCCAAATCTAAACATAAAAGTAAAAAAATAAATAAATAATTACATCATAAAGAACATTTTAACATTCAGTTAAACAATTTATCTCGTATTCAGAATAGATGGAATCGTAGTGATTGCTCATATTAATAACTTAAATAGTCTTAGAACATCTATTATTAAAAAGTAGTGATTTTAAGACTAATTCTTTGCTCATAGAATACACTACTATTCTAACTTAGTAGATCAATGAAACCAGCTCTAAATTTATCTTTTTTATAATAAGAAGAACTTTAAAATCTGAATAATGTTTATTTCTATTTCTATGATTTCATTTGTTTTTTTATCTGTAACATTGCATTTTGTTTTAATTATCAATCAAAAAATTAAATTTATAAAACAACTTACTGTGTCAAACATTATGTTAGAAGGCTCTTACTTAAATTGCTCAAATATTGTCTTTAAACCCTTAAGCTTGTAAGGAATATTCTAATTTTTTAGATAAATAAACTTACTTTTACTTATTCAATCTCAATTAAAATATTTTAGTCTTCAAGGAGTTGTTTTCCATGAGTAAAAATTTCATATTTAAATTGATTGATTACCTTCTAATTTATTAAATTATTTGCATATTAAATGCATTTGTCCTAAATTTCTTAGTAGCGAAGTGAGCTAAAATAAAGTTAATCACTGATTGCCTTCATCAAGGATCCAGGACCCTATTTATTATAATTATTTGAATTTTGAACTATAATTAAAGCCTATTTTTGAGGTGATCAATCAATAATTTTCTGCTAAAAATTTAAATCTATTGTAAATACCTCAGGTATCAGCTTTCTTACGAGTTAGTGGTCTTCTAAGGTTTATACTATCCTCTAAGTCTAAAATAAAAAAGTAATATTATAATTTGAATTATAAAAATATAAAAGCATAAATTATTTCTGGTCACCATTTTTTATTATTTTGGTAAATTATATCATTTTAGCTAAAAACGTTAAGTAAGATTCTCTTTTTGTTATAATTATTTAAAATCTATTTAAATTATACCAATGTATGCTATTTGGCTTCACAGAATATCTCCAAGAATCCATTGTGAGTGACAGAAAGTCTCTTTTCTTGCATATTAAAAACCTTATACAAAACTCCTATTAGAGTTAATCTTCTATAGTTCCTTTAAGTTTTTGCTTTTGCTTGTTTGCTTTAACAATTATTATTGCAATTTTAATAAATTTTGATTATATTTTTTTCAATTTATATTTCAGTTTTCAGGAAGAAAAAAATTATGCAGAAGCAATTAAATTAATGTGATTAGAAAATTTTAACTTAGTTTTGTGGCCTATTAAAATTTAATATTATGATTTTTTTAAAGATTTAGATAGACGAGTAAATGATATAATTTGTATTATAATATATTATCCTATCATATCATGAGTTAATAATCCTTTATTATTCTGATAGCTTTTAAAATATTGATTTTTCTCTAAAAAAATAAATTACTTAATTTAACAAAAATTTGTATGTATTCATTTATATTAATAATCAATACAATATTTTGATATGTTTTAAAATTATGATAAAGCATTTTAATATCAAGTTTACCATTTTTTTAACTTAAGATTTATTTTTAAATGCATTTTAACCTCACCAATCAAAAATGATGTACCGAAAAATTAGTAAAACAAACAATTAAATTACATACTTTAATTAGCCAGTAACTAATTCCAAAATTCCTTTTATATTTAAATCTGTTTTTTTTTTTTGAATTAATTACTGATGCTATTTTAAATAATTAAATTTTATCCAAAAAACAACATTTAATCTAAATTTTATAAAAAAAACATAAAAAACTTTAAGTTAATTAAAAAGAAATCCTACAATTATAAAAAATAAAATAATCAGATATCATATAATGATTTGCCGGTGAGCCTCATTAATATTTCTGGTGATCTCAGAATTCTTATTAGTAATTCATAATTTCTTTCTTCTTTCATGAGATTTTACTCAAGTCTAGCTATGTAAATACTTTAGCAGAGATCGAAAAGGTCATTAGTATCTGGCATTTCTTCCCAGATACATCTCATAGATACATTATTAAAATACAGACGGAGGAATCTACCAACTGTGAGAACCACAGTTAGATAAATACCAACAACACTCAAATTATCACTCATAGATCTCAGTATAGAGGAAAAAGTTTTTTCACTTAAGGTAATAAACGCTATTCTGTCATCAACATTTGGAACAATTTTATCTTTTTTTCAATTATTATTAAACATTTAATATTTAAAAAAAAAATTGTTTTTAATTATAATTCAAATAAAATCATCAAAATAAAGAATTTTGTAAATTTCTCTAAAAAAAATTTAAAAATATAAATTTTCTAGGTAAAATTAAAGTTAAATTTTTACCAAAGTATGGTGATGATCTGCGTTTAATTTGCCACTAATATTCTCCTGCTTCCATAATAAATAATAATTCAGCATCAAGGTATTTTAATACATTTGGATCAAAGTTAGGATCTTACAACATATCTTATGGTAGGGATTTATTATACTTATCTAATTCATCTTTGTGTTATGGTTCAAATGCCCTGTCAACAGCATTTTAACCATCAGGAATTTGATAGAAGAAAGGAATAAATTCATATAAAGAGATTTTATACTCTTTATACTTTTCCTTTTTTTAGCTTTGCATATCAACTCTCATGTCAGTTAATATCTATTTCATTTTTGACATCTAATCTTTATCAAAATTAAGTACTTATTTTGCCCTTACTTACTCTTTTCCTTCTGGCTTTGGGCGATTAAATGTAAAATCTATGAGTACTCCCATTTACATATCTGGATTGTTAAAGGATTTTTCAAGATCTTTGATCATATTTTCATTAAACTCTTAGTATTTATCAGAAAATTTATCCATTTTTATAACTTAAAGCCTGTCTTACCATAAATCATCAACTGCATAAAACAAGTCACTAAAGGTGCTAAACTGTTGATCTGTAAAATCTTTTACTTCAATACCATTTTTTTGATATATTCTTACATGATATTCTTTTCCAGTCAACAAAACCTAAAACTCAAGCTTAACCTACCCTGAAGTAAGATTATTTAGCTCTACAGCTGGGTTCAGGTTTGAGAATAAGAATATCGGTAAAAGTATGATGACTAAAAGGAAGATTAAAAATAAGAAACCGTTAGTGCATTTTTCTACAAAATCTCTTTTTTCTCCAAATTTATGAGTTTCTTTTCTGACATTCATTTCAGCCTATAATTATGGAAAGTTAATTATTATTTAGTATTATAAAAAGTTAAAATTCTACTTTGACTGAATAAAGATTTGCATAAGCATCCTCCAATTTAAACCACTAGAATAAGTCCAAAGAAGTAGAGGTAAATGTCCAATCAATCACAGATCTAAGCTCATACAAAAATGGAAGTGCTCTGTATACTATAAATGATAGCCTATACACAAGACTTGTATCTCTAGAAAATATAGAACCTACACTCATTTGAGGGTATCCAAACTTAATCTACAAAGCTGAAAAATAAAGATAAACCAAGATTAGCATATAGCAAACTATTAAGTAAGAATTTTCATGGAATCTTGAATATGTTTAATCAGGCAAGATAAAGAACAAGTATATATGTGAGCCTATTTATATTATTTTATGTTTGTTATTAATAAAATTATTTTAAATATATTAATTTACATATTGTGATTAGTATATGAATGATAAGTTTTATAATAGCTGCATGCTATGTAGAATCCTGTTTTCTCTCTTCAACTTATTCGGAAGATTCGTGTATATCAATAAAATAAGATTTAATTCTACGAAGCTTGTAAAGAATACGATCCATAACCATTATTGTTATGCAAATAAGAATGATAATAACTACTGAGCGACTAAAACGAGTCTCATTTGTTATATCTCTAGTTGACTGGCTAGCCATTTTGTTGTAGAAAAGAATGATATATATCAAAACAACAAATGATGAAACAAATTAATGTATATAGAAATTTCTTCCGGGCTTAGTACCTTAAATGTCTTCGTCCTTCATCTCTAAAGACTCTATTTTAGCATCGTGTAAGATTTATGCAGCCTCTTTTTCTTCTTCGGTTGATAGCAATTGCTGCTTTTACTTGTTGAAATTGATTTCGTTTTTAATTTTTTTCTTGTAAAAGTTTTGCATATATTGAGGGAAAAGACGATAAATGAAAAGCATTAAAAAGTTGATACGCCTATAATATTAATTATCTTCTTCTTCTTTAATTTCATTATCCTACTAAATAAGTTCATCATAAGAATTATTTGACTATTATTAATGTAATGAAGCTACTTGGTCCTTTTCTTCTTCCAAGCTTTGATTCAAATCTTGTAATATATTTCTGTTTACTACTTAATCTCTTTGTCTTTAATTCAGGTCTAAATTTTCTTCACCTTAGTTACTGGGGTTTATAGTATGTTAATTTACATCAGCTACTTATTCTTAGTTTAGATTTTGATTAGACAAAACTTAATCTTCAATATAATCTTCCTATTGTTATTCTTAACTTTCATATTCAGAATAATTTATGGTTGCATCAGTAATTCCATCAAGAGAAAATGAATGCTTCATTTACTAATCCAGAGGAAGCTTATGATACTTAGAATACTCACCCTATGGATCGCGGAATTGAGGAATATAACATTCGTCTTTAGAAATAAATACATAAGTCCATCTTCCTTCAAGTTGAAGTAAATAACGCTAAACAAATAAGCAAAGTAATATTATATAATCCCAAAAAATACCAGAGAAAAATCCTTAATCTCTTGGATAGCTTGCTGGTCCAGTGTATTTCCTAATTCCAATAATAAAATCTATACGAGTTCTGGCTTATTCTGAAGTGATATTTGAAGTGCTGCAATCTTAACCATCTGAAAGTAAGAAAAATGTGTATGGTGGAGTACCACAAAAAACTGGAAGTTAGTATAAAAATTTAAGAGTGATTATCAAGATTGTATAATACATTATTAGTTTCCAAAAAGATCTTGTTGGAAAAGGGCTTTCAACAAGACAATAAGTTAAATATATTATAGGATAGATTACTGATACAATATCAGCGTTATTAATAGCATTTAGTGAGAATGCAAATCCACATACAAGCTAGAATTTTCTTTGCATAAAAACAATAAAGATTAAAGAAAGTGAATCCTACTTTTTGTAAAGATTTATTGTGTCTTTACTTAATTCTGAAAGCATAGAGCACATCATATTAATAAGTAGAACCTTAATAGCCTTAAACAAATCCTTAATCTTGAGAATTATTATTTTAAAGTTTTTTTATTTCTGCTTCATCTCTTATTCACTCTCTTTTTAAGCATTTTCTCCTTGATTAGAGGGACTTACGCTTTCAACTTATTCTACTAATTCTTAAAGTTTATTCTCTTCTTACTAAACTTCTTAAGCAGAACGATTCAAGCTCTCTTAGACTTCATCTTTTCCTTAATCTTATTCTTACTCCTATTTTAATTGGTCTTTATCCTTTTTTTCTAAAGCAATACTTTCAATCTGCTTTCTCTTTTAAATAAAAAAATATTTGATGAATTTATTTATTTTTTTGGAAAAATATTTTAAAATAATTTCAAAATTTGTTTAAGTAGTTTTACCCTTGTTTAGTGCAACAAAATCATTTGATCTTTAAATTAATTTATTCCTATATATTAATTATCATACACCATTTCAATAATCATCTGTAAGCTATTGGTTTTGAGATTCTCTATTTCAATTTCAAGCTTTTCCTAATCTTTACTGTACTAGGTGCATATTTTCATTACATCTTTAAGATGGATTGGAACTTTAGAATTAAAAATTTTTTTAAATATAAAAAATGACTTTAAAATTATTACTGTTAGATTCTAAAACAATCTTTTCAGCTTTATGCATAATTATTTCTTAATCTTTTTCACTCAATTTTTATTATCCTTCTTCCTATTACTCCTCAGCTTAAGAAATTTGTGCTTCTTCTTTATTTACTTCCTATTCAAGAAGGTGTTAACCTTCTTCTGTTTATAATTTTGGATTGTTTGATTCATCTCCTGAGGATACCATTTTTTCCCAAATAACTACTTTATTTTCAACTCTAGATTAAATAGAATCATAAACTTCTAATTCCATTTCTTGTTAGAAATTAGAACTAATCCTAGCAACGTGAAGAGCCTCGACAATATTTATAGCATTTTCTTTTTATTTCTCTTTTTCTTCTTTAAAGTAAGGTTCAATATAAAATTATGTATATGGGTGATTCCATAAATTTTTCTAAAGTAATCCAAAAAGAACAAAAATAATCATAAAAACTTCTTTTGTGAATCCAAAATGGAAATGATGACTCTTGTTAAAACCAAATATGTGTGAAAGTAAAATATATAGATCATCAATGCTATCGACCTTTCTATTTAAAACTTCAAGGATATAAAGTTAGCCTTTTTTAGAATTTTATAAATACAAACACTCTTCAGAATTTAAGTAGTATCTATCATCTGGATAAACAATAGGACATTAAAAGAAAGGAGATTAATAAAGGCATAGGATAACCATGACTAAAGTGTTAAACAAAAGCAGGTATTTCCAAATGCTATTTTTCTCTCTTAAAAGCATTTTGGTTTTGAAAAGCATGAATATACTCGTAAAGACATAAACAATGCTAATAATATCGGTGTATGAGGAGATGTTACTCAAGCAACCAATAATAAAGTAAATCATAATTGGAATCTGATAAAAGTACCCAAATATAAATAGCTTTAAGTAGCTAAAAATATCATTTTTTCTAGTGAAATCAAGCTAATCTTAGCTTTTGATATCGCTGTGGCATCTTTTGGGTCCATTATGCTAGTATATTTCTCTAAAGTATCTATCATAAATAACCTTTAAAAATTTAAAATAAATAATTGTAAAATTATAAAATAAAGTCTTAAAATAACTAAATGAATTTACTAAAAATATAATGTAAAAGTAAAAAGTATCATTCAATTAATAAACAAGATAAAAATTTACCATTATCTAAAAGTTGATAATATCCAAAATCAGATGGAGATTACTTTCTTCTTCAAGTGAAAGCCAGTATCTCCAGTCATGAGTGCAAGAATCATAATCACTTATCATATCTGATTTATCTTCCACACCATGATTCAAATAAGGACTGTATGAATCCTTACCCTATTTATTGCATGTAAAAACCCAAGAATTCCATGGTTTATTAACTTTCCAATCTTAGGGGAACCAAATTGAAATTATATATTTCCTAGTTATATCTAAAACCATAAGATAGTTGATAAATCTCCAAATATAGTTAACAAATAGTAAAGCTTTAGGATTATACATGCTTTGACTATTTATAACATTTGAAAATAGAGCAAAGAAAACAGCAAGAATAATATGGATTAGAGAAACAGCATTCATTTCAAAGTATGCAGCAACTATTAATATAAATATTGAAATTTCATACCCAAAATACTTAAAGAATTCCTTTAGTTCATATTCTAAATCAATTCCCTTATTTATTTAATAAAAATTAATTAATCATCATATAAAATAAAAATAAATAATAAGATTTATACTTTTTTATATGGATTCCATTTTAAATAAGTTTAGTAGTTAATTTTATTTTGGCTTTTTTATAATTCACTTTATTCATCGCCACTTTATTTATGTCTTCTGATCATTGATTTACTTAATTTATTTAAAGGAGAGTTGAGAGAATCGCTGTTGATATCTTTTTTTCTTTTTTTGTTAGATAAACTAAGACTCTATTATTGTATCTTAAATGATATCTCTTGTTAATATTTTTCTCTTTCTTCCTAGTCAAGAAGTTCCATCAATTCTTTATCATTTTCTTCATCAATTCTTTTTTTCTCAATTTAATAACTTTATTTCACTGTTTAATAATCTTAAACAAAATTTTAATAAGAGCTACTGCTTAATCTCTCTTCAAATTTCTAAAGCTTTCTCATAAAAACGCAAAGAATTTGTTGAACAATATAAAGTATTAAAAACACCCAATATCTGCTTGACTTTTAAATTAAATTAGTATGAAAAATTATCAATAAAATCACAATTTAAATATGCTTTTACATTTATCGAGAAAACTCCTGCCCAAGACTTCTCAGCATCTGATAAGTGGTCACCGATAATGTGGAGCTAAAAGAGATATTACGATAATAAGAATACAAAAGAAATGAGCCAAAGAGGAATCCATACTCTTTGCCAATATGTATCTCTACCCCATAGGAATATAAGCATTTGTGCAAAACAAGCCAATACTCCAGCAAAGCTAGAATGCAATATGCTCAAAAGTAATCCATAGAAAAGCACCAATTTACTGAAATGAGTGGATAAAAGAATTAAAAATTTTATTTTTAAAGCATAAATTTGGTAAGTAAAGTATCTATGATTCTTCAAATCAACTCTATTTTTTTAAAGTAGTGTTAAGAAAAAGATGTAGCAAAAAATTTATATTACTCAAGGTCGTTTGATTAATTATCTTACTATTCAATATCACTCTGTTCTTCTTCGTAAATTTTTGCATCTATCAATCGTTTTTGTGCATTTAAAATAAAAAGGATAAATGCATTTCCACAAATTTAAAGGGTATTCATTTCGTTTGAAAGTCCAATATCTTCTATAACCTTCTTTGATGGAAGTATACTTTGTAGGATATTATTTAATGCTGAGAACAGAGATAAATATCTAACAATCAAAATGAAACTACTGATAAAGACTAACAAAGGCCATCCTTTCATAATTTTACTTAGTGCTCTTCTTTCATGGTTTTCGTACATAGTAAAAGAAATAAATAGCTAAAGGAATATCAAATATCCTAAACTGAGTATATTGGCAGGTGGAATTAGACCAACACTTAGTAAATTAATATAACACACCCAAACACCTTTTTAATAAAACACAAATACTTTTTAATTGTTTTTTTTTAACTCAAAAAAATTACCATATGAAATGAAAAATCGACTGAAGAAATCCATTTATTTTATGATTTACTACTTTCTTTAAAGTGTTGTTGCCTCTTCTTCAAGCTCAATAGACTATTGTCTATAAATATTGTACGTATCAGTAACATAAACAATATTTGCCTAGCAATATGTGAATATTAATACAATTACTATTTCAAAAGTTTGAACTGTTAAGAAGGTTTCAGCTGTTGGCTTTTCATTAACACCTGAAATAAAAATAATAATAAAATTTAATTTATATTTAAATAGAATTTATTTATTTACCTATTATTTACCAGGTTTGAGATACCTGTTTGATAGCTTTTGCCTCGTATAATACTGTGAAAATGTAATGCAAAATAATAACTGCATAAGAGTAGGCAATTATTGCTCTAAGTATGTTTCTCCAATATTTCATATGAGAGAAAACTAAAGAAATGAAAGCAACCATATAAATTGAATGAATTACATCTATTTTATATATAGATACAGCGAATATCAAAAACACATTCAATTTTTCTAAATGGAGAAGTGAAGTTCTCTTTAATTCTTTCCAAAAAGCTGACAAAGCTAATTTAAATTTGGATTTAGTTTTTTTCTTTTGTTTTTTCAGATTATTATTTTGTTGTGTTAATTGTGATTCGTTAACACTTTCTCCTTACCTCAGTTATGAGCTTCTAAGATCTGATTCTAAGTGTCTTGAGTGTTAATTAATTTAATCTTAATGCTAATTGATATCTACAAAATTATCATCATCAGCTCTTTGAGGAGGCAGAGTTAATTCACTTGGCTAGTTTAATGAAATAGAGTGTTATTAGCTTTGATGACTAGATAAAATGCTCTGATGTAATGCTTGTTATTATGCAAGAAGATGATAATGTTCTTTTTAACTCTCCTTATCGTAAATCTTAAGCAAAGTTATGTAATATATTGATCCAATAGTAATGAGATATAAACTCAAGTACGCCATTCTATCCAAAAAGCCATCTACACCATTTTCTTCTTCATTATAACTATGTAAACCTAATATTTTAAAAGTAATTTATTTATTAAAATATTTATTTATATGTAAAATTAATAACCTAGTAAATCAAAGAGAAGTGAACCAGTGACATATTTGAAGATGAAAGGTATATTAAAGATGGCGATTACAACTAAAAATATATAAGAAAAGTAATTGATAATGATAGCTGTATTTAACTTAGCATCTTTCTAATAATTATTTATGAAAATATGTATTAAAATTGATACAATTTCAAATAAATTACATGTTTTCTATTCACACTACCAATCAGCAAGGTTAGTAGAGGTATGAACATCAAGAGGGATGGAATGATATTAGACCAAATGAAGCATAAACCTGTTACAATACCAAAATAGTTAGATGTCAAAAAGGTTTTTATAATTGAGGAGTTTAGTTTGCTTTTCTCTTATTTGAGCTTTATTGCAGATATATGTTATGAATTAATTTGAGAAAGCAAATCGTAAGCATAAACTGATAGCATAAACAGCAGTAGTTCCATTATGAAAGAAGTAATAAAAAGTACTGTATAGCTTGTAACATAACCATTAATAATATAAACAATCCCTTTATATTTACGTACAAATACATTAAGTTTCCAAAGTATGCAGCAGTAACAAGTCAAAAGTGAGAAATACTTAAGGAAGGTTAAGTACTTTTTGTCTATATCTATTTGGAGTTGTAATTCATTTCCTTTATTTTTTAGTTTTGTAAGCAGCCAAGAAGTAAGGATAATGCTATAAATAACTCCAAAGACACCATCAATTAAAACAGTAGCTATAACTAAAATAACTATTGAAATAGTTATTAAAGTTTATGACCATTCATATTTTGCTACAAGAGTTTAAAATGTATTTTAATTATTCACAGTTTTCCTAGTAGAAGATCTAAAATCTTCACCTTTCCCTAAAAATATGTCCTCTTATTTGTTAATTTGTATAAAGACCATTATACTCATAATGAAGCTCAAAAACGATAATACTATATTGATGATGGTTTCCTGCATAATGTTAGTGTTCTTCCCATACTAAAAAAAAATTTAAATTATTATCAAGTTAAAAAAAGGTTTTAAAATTCTTTTAAATTTTGAAATGCTGAAAATTTTAATTGTGTTTTGTATGACTTTGTATTTATAAATTATACTAAAAAAGTAAAAAAAATATCTTATTTAATATTTTTGATGCTAATTTAAACAAATTTGATAGTATTAAATGCTATTAATAATAACTATAAATATTCATGTATGCATTACTTCAAACCCAATATTTGAGACTTCTAAGTAGTATGTGTCTTGATCATTACTAGAAAGATATTCATATAAAATATAACTATGAAATATTAATATCAAACTAGTTAAAGACATGAGAAACACAATTAAAAATCTCAAGTTTTTAAAGTATCTCGTTCCTCTGTCATCTTTTAAAATATATAGATATAGTTTAAATATGATTATTAATTAAATTAATAAATATAATACCAACACAGAAGACATTATAAATATAAAGGAGGATGCCAAACCAAAGAATAGATGAAAAAACGTTAACATTTATCCAAGTACCTGAATTTTTTGAATAGTTTTATTATAACTTGTAAGCATAAAATAAAGTTACCAAGAGTTAAGACTATAATGTACAAATAGTTAATAAGTCCTACACCTTTAAGATTCATTTATTATTGTTGCCTTCAAAATTCTCCTTCTTTGAATATTTTAAAGACTTATGAGAAAGATATGTTATGTTAGAAAGACAACTTAGAAATAAATAATTTTTCTGTTCTAAAATATTTTTTTTAAATTCAATATGCACCTACACGCAAAAGTAGTTTTTCTTTTCTTTTTCAATCTATTTTTGATAGTCCTTTTTTACTTGAAACTTGATGATCAAAATTAATTAAATAAAGCAAAAAAATTATTAAGAAATACTTATTATATACTAAAAACGATTCTATTACAATAATAATGCAAATAGATATGATATAATTTAAAGAAAAACGGTAAATTAATTTACTTAAGAATGTTTGAGAGAGTGTCAAATTATATCTTCTAAAACACATAACCAATATATAGTTTGAATAAATTTATTTTACTGTTTATTTTGAAATTAAAAAAGAAAAATAAATTGTTAGACATTTTTGATATTTAAAATTGCAATCTACCAATTTCAAAGATATATCATTTCTCTTAAAAATTTTAATATTTGCCATAAAAAGATTGATCCTTTGAGATATTACTCTTTTATAATTAAGTTATATAATAAAAATAGGTAAATTAATTTTTATATAATAAAATATAGTTGAGTTTTTATAATATTATTTTATTAATATTTTCAATTTATTTTAAAAATAAATTTAACTGTGTTTCTTATTAATTAAATAAAAATATTCTTTAAAATTATATTTTTAAAGCAAACAAACAACTATTTATTTTTTATTTAATAGGTACTGTTAATACAACATCTTTGTATTTTTTAAGATATAATTTTTTAAATAGGAATTATTATTATGAAATAATTTATGCTAAATTTAAATAATGAAATTCTTTGACATTTAATTATGTACAGATGAGTGAGTGAGTGAGTCATTTATTTTTTTCATTAAAATCTATATTACATTTAATATATTTTTCTATTTGTTAAATAGGTGGAAATTAATTTTAATATAACTAAATTTGTGGTGCATTTATTTTTATTATTAATTAGATTCATTGAATTTTTTTTATTTTGAAGTGGCTAGATTGAAGTTCTGGATCACCTTTTTTTAATATTTCTGAGTATTATTATTGGTACTGAGCTATTTCTGATTTTAAATCTTTTTTCTTCATCTTTTCAGAATTTTTAATGTTGTAGTTAGATAAAGTGATTTCGGATTTATTTTTATTGCTAATAGGAGGGATGTTCTCTATTTTCAAATAAATTAAATTAAAAAAATCATCTAAGCTTCTCAAAAATTACCATCTTCATATTGATATTTTTATGACTTTTAATCATCTTTAACCCTAAAAAATTATATTTGAAATGATTAAAACTTAATTTAATTAAATAGCTATTTTTTATAACATGAATATATAAATAATAATTTGATTACGTTGTATTAAATTAGCTGGCTGAAATCACTGATTGTGATTTTACAGTTCTGCGTTAATTTATATTTTTTTTATCTTGCTTCCAATCAGCATACAAATGATTAAATTTATTACCCCACTCGTCTGCACGCATATCTTTTTCAGTTTTATTTAAAGAAAAATTGCTGCAATACTTTAAAAAATTGCTAATTCTTTCAAAAAATTCTTATCTGTTGTTATATTAGATATCATTATGATTAGCATCCTTCACCCACCAAGGATTATACTTAGAATTTTATTTCAATTTTTTGTATAAGTATTTTCCATGTTTAATAGGGATAATGTCATCTTTATCGCCATGCATAATAAATACTGGACAATTCACAAATTTAATCATTTAAAAATTAGGAAAAAAATCTTCTTTTGCTGTTATTGTATTATTAGGTAGCAATAATTTTAATCCTGAGCTAAGTGGTGAATTTAATATCATTCCTCCAATAGGTTTCTAGTTTTAACTTGCTAAAAATATGCTTGGACCACCTATAAATTTATTTTATTTATATAAATTTTTAATTTATTTTGAGAGAATTTTTACTTCCTAGTGAATGAGAATAGAGTATAATATTTTGCCATGTGTATTCTAATGTGCTAGTTATGAAATCATAAGCACATTCTATGTTTTCTATGATATATTTGTCAGAAAGTTTTCCTGGAGTAGGGCCATAACCTGGATATTCGTAGCAGAATGTATCACATTCTAACTCTTAACTCAATTCACATAAAAAATCATAGTATTATGAAAGGTCAGTACTATTTCCATGAGAGCATAATAAGATCTTATTTTTTCTATCAAAACAAATAATTATTTAAACTTGATAGTTTATTACAAAAAAGAATGATTCAAATCAATCGCTCTAAATTTTTATTTTTTTCATATTCACTCTTTTTTGATGTAAAAATGATTTATTATAAATTAAATTGGCTCAAGAAATTAACAAAAATTAAGTTTTAATCTTATTCATATTATTTTATCTGTTTAGCGAATTAATTTCTTTGTAAAAATAATATATAATTTAAGTACTTAGATTGCAAATTTCTACAAAGGATAGCTGGTATTTAGTTCTATCCTATACAAAACACATGAGTCTCCATATTTTTATGACTTGGTAGATATTCGTATACGTTCCCTTACTTTTGCTTTGGAATCTTTAATCTTCTCATTTTCTAAATTAAATAAATAATTATGCTAAGTTAAACTTTAAAATTATTTGTTGTCTTCATAGATTTGCTTTCTTTTAATTTTTTTGATTTAATTGTGTTACATATGTCTAAATGAGTTTAGAATCTCCATATATTCTTGCAACATCAGGCTCAAGTGTATACTCTATTGAATAAAAAAACATTAAATTTTTAATTTTCGATAATAAAAATTATAATTTTTTCTTTCATAGCGCAGGTGCTATTTTTATAATTCCTAAATCTAAATTCTATGAATATGGATATTAGCATTTTGCAATTTTAAATTTAATTTTAAGGGAATATGATTTACTTTCTTTTGGAGGTAAGAATGCAACTTACTTAATTAAGCAATCCCTCAAGCCGCATTTACTTAGGCATAAAAATAGCTTGAGGATACACTCCATAAATTTAATTTTGTAATATCTTTTTTTTATATATAAATTTTTGATAATTTTTTCTAAAATGGGAATTAATTGAGTAATCAAAAGAATTTTTTTATTACGAAAATATAGTTATAAGATAATTGATGATCATAATTTATGATGAATATACAGACAAATAGATTTTACTTATTTTTATTATTTAAATTTTTCTTTTCATGCATGTAATCCTTCAAACACTTATTAATAATTCTTAAAAAGTAAAAGTTACTTTGATTTAATTTGATTCGATTCAGAATATCAATCACATACTTACTACTTATAAATACTTATTTTAAGCATGCAGGAGTAATTTTGAAATTAAAATAATACTTCATAAAAAAATTTTTCAAAAATACTTCTACTGAAGTAAATTTTTAGTTTTAATATTGATTTTAAACAAATAAACCATTTCTATCTAATAAAAAAATGAACTTTATTCTTAAAATATTTTTAATTAAAATTTGAAATTATTTACCTCTGTAAATATTATTTTAATTACTGGAGCAGATCGATCCTTTTAATTTCATAATTAGTATAACATAAAATAGATAGAACATTAAACTTTTTGCTTATTAAATAAATCTGATTATATTTAAATCTAATATTTATTTTTAATAAAGAAGCCTCTTTTGCATTGTTTTTGTCAACCATTTGCCAAAAGCATTTTATAATTTATTAAGCGCTCTTTTAAATTTTTTGTAAGGAATGAGTGAAAACCCAAAAGCAATAAAAAACATATTAGTTTTTTCAACAATCCAAAGGTCTTTCAAAAAAAAATTGCTAAATATTACTCACATAAGCCTTAGTAAATTAGCATAGTAATTACAAATTAATGAATAATATACTTAAAAGTAAAAGCCTCAAGAAAGTTTACTATATCTCGAAAAACTAAAAAATGACATTACTAGTTTACTTTAGCAGGTAGATATATTATTTAGTTGTAATATTATTAATTAAATTATATTTTAAAGAAAGTTATTCTCAATGAAGATTTTAATAAATTGTATCTAAATTATTGCTTTATGCTAGCATATCATTATGAGAATTACAAAAAAAAGGAGTATCTAGAAGGTTTAAGAAGTCTAATAAACAATACTACAATTTTATTTCACAAGGAAGATTGCTTTTTTATGGCGATGATAATATATTCTCTCATCGAAATTAAAAGAAAAATAAATAAATCAAATGAAGATCCTCATTATAAATTATCTATGTATGACCTTATCAATTCTGCACAGCTAAAGCAGATAGCTTATAAAATAATGTAGCATACTGTTATAAATTAATTAAAATAAACAAAGCAGCATTTCATTTGGTTGTATGTAAGTTAATTTTTCTGTGCATGGATGATATTGCACATAAAATAAAAAAAATGTTTGACTAAAATTAAATCTGAAAATGAAGAATTATCATAGTAAATTAAAGAAGAAATTGAAAATTTAGAATAAATAATTAGATAAACTTACATAAAAGCAAACTAAATATTCGCTATTGCTCTTCTAAATAAAACCATTAATCTTAGTAAAAATGAGTGTCTTCAGATCTTTTATAATATGAAAACCATTGATTATAAAATGTTTGGAGTTTCATCTCAAGATGAGAAAAATTTTATTTTCATATAGCAAATCATTTTAAAGTGGTAAAAAATAGATTCAATCTATTTCCCTCAATCACCTAGTAATGCAAAGCATACATAAAATGAAATTGATTCAAATAATTTAATAAGCAAGTAACAATCACCTTAAGAGTATAATTATATATTTATATCGAAGATGAATCAAAAAATTAATCTATTTTCTGAAGAAATAGTCGAAGCAGTGCTTGATATGCTAAATAAATATTTATTATAAAATTAAAATAATTTAGGATAAGGTAATAAAAAGTAAACAGTATAACCAAAATCATTAAACTTTATTAGCAACAGAGAAACTATTTAATCAATTGATCATATTGAGAATTAAAACCCAAAGATTTAAGTATTTGATTCAAATCAACATTTACAAATAGAAATTTAAGTTTCGTCTAAAAATATTCCATTAAATGAATCAATAGAATACCAAGATGATTCAAAAGAAGGGCAAATTATAACAATCAGAAATATTTTATAAAATTAAATTTTAAAACATGAGCCAACTCACCCTAGTTTTTTAAAATAGCCCAACATTTATGAACTAGAAGAAGCTATGATTCAAACAAAATAATTGAAAGGAAAAAAATTTTACAGTGTTTAAGAAATCTTAGGCATAGAAAATCAAGATAAGTAATAAGAAGAAAGAGAAGAAAATATAAAAAATTCTCAAAAAGAAACTGCTCAAAATAGCTAGCAATAATAAATATTAAGTTAAAGAGTTGATCAGCTATTATAAAAGTGGAAATTCTCTACATAAAAAAAATTTCTAAACTATAAAACTTCAAGTGATTAGCAGGAGCAAATTATGAAGTATTTATTTATTTAAAAGAATTTTCTTATCAAAATTACATTTTATTTTTCTTTTTTTAATCAAAATATTTGTTTAATAATTAAAAAATTAGAATTTTAAAATATTTAAAATTTTTTGTTTTAAAAATTTCTTTTTGAAAAAAATTTTTAGCTAAAATGAAATTTAAATTTTCAAAAATTCTAGCAATCAAATTAATCTTTTACTAAATAAAACATTTTGAATTCGAAGAATATTTTGAAGAAAAATCTAAATTTTATTCTAAAGTATTTATTTATAATTAGAATATTAAATAAGAAATATTTGCATGCCAAAGAGGAAGAATAGCAACAAAAGAAAAATTAAAAATAATAAACTACTACTGGAATTAGCATCACTGCAAATACTCACGATAACACATTCTCAACAAAAACATTCTAGAGTGTTGCTTATCTAGATTTTAAATAATATTAAAAAAATCCAACTGTTAAAAAAAAAGATGAAATTTATTTTACATATACCTCAAGACCTTATAGTGCCAAGTAAAGGAGATTAGTATCTTAGCACAGTAATCCTTACTTGAACTAATCTTCTGCCAAAACATAAATAAAGAGTTTTTAGGAACTTACATAATTATATAATGATAATTTAAACTCAAATTAATAAATGATTAATGATTATCAGTTAGTTAAACCTCATTAAGCAAATCAGAATTTTAAAGAAACAGATTCTTAAAATGTATCCAAAAAATAAAAAAAGAATTTGAACTACTTTCAAAAAGTTATATCGAAACATTCTAGTAACCCTTTTATTTAACCATAAAAACCATCTGGAAACTAACAACAATAATTAGAAGAAAATCAACAAAGTTTATCAAGAATAAACTAAAATGATTTAAGTAATAAAAATACTGAATGCTAAAGTTAAAAAATTAGCTCATTATAATTTCAAAATTTTTTTTAAAATTCTCAAAACAATATTAAACAGCCAAACTAAAAACAATTTAACAGAAAAATGAAAACTTCTCTTAGTATAGAAGAAGATAAAAATTTCAAAGATAACCTAAGTTAGAATAATATTCCAGGTTCTATTTCTGCAATCCCAGAAGCTCAACTTGATAGAGTAGCAGCTGGTACATCCACTCTTGATGAATTCGGTATGAAAACAATTTTCTCTATAAAAGACTTCGACTCTAAAGAAGAAGAATGGATTTTAAATGGATTAAATACTGATAGAGATAAAACGAGTAACAATAACAATTAGTTAAATACTTCAGGCAGATAAAGTTCAGCGAATAAAAATATAAACATTCCTTTTTAAATAGATTCTATGAGTAATATTTCTTAATCCAACAAAGGTTACTCTACCCCCTTTTCCAATAGATTAAGTAGTGTAAATATAAACTCAAACAATATTAACTCTCCATTAAAATATTAAGAATAAAATAATTTTTAAGAATGTTAATTTTTTCAATCATAAAATACAGTTTAATAAAACTAGATTTTATAAAAAAATAACAAAGAAATAAAATCATAAAATAAATTTATGATGCATAAGAGAAGTGTTCCAACACTAAATAACGAAAAGACTGCTACTTAAAGCAGCTATTAAAGAGAAACCAATATTGTAAGCTATGAAAAATCAAACTAAGTACCTACTACGTCTTATTCAAAGTCATATGCTAATCTGGTTGAAGATTATTACTTTACATCTAATAAAAAAAACTAACATCATAAAAAAGAAAGAATTAATTATATTTAAGAAACAACTTAATCAGCTAATGAGTTATCCTATTATAGAATATCACCTTAAAGGAAAATACTTTCTAAAAGCCCAGCTCTGAATTAAAAAAATAAAAATTAAAATTCAATTTATGATAAAGCATAAAATCAATCAAATAATTAAATAATTCATTAGTTAATACGGAGACCCGTTTCAGCTTAAAAGAATATCTCTCCAAAACCTAAAATTTCTTTGCATAATAAATTTTAAAATGATGAATCTTTAAATAAATTAATGAGTATGAATAATTTATTCGAAGGTTGTGAAGGACTTAAAAACTAAGCTATTTCATAAGGATTATTATTACAAAATCAGCTTAATACAACAACCTATCTTTCAAAGCTTTAGACACAAAATTCATTTGACTCATTGATACAAGATAAACCAGCCATAAATGCGTTATTAAAATGTTAACAGCTACAAAATCAGTATGAAGAGTATGAAAAGACCATTTTAAATGCTTATTAGAAGAAAACTCTTTTTGAAATTGACAATCTACCTAAAGGTAAAGGCAAAGAGGAAATAGCTAAGCAATATGAAACAAATTTATAAAATAATATCATAGAGTAACCATAAGAAGAAAATGCAGATTCTATTGGAATCTCTGACAAAAAATAGAAAGTAATATTAAATTATTAAAACGTAAATTAAGAAGAATAAAACGAACTACCACCACCTTTATTAGGCATAAGAAAGTGCGAATCTGAATTAAGCAAAGAGGATAAGGTCGCTGGATTCATGTCAAATAGAGAAGGATATGATATCAATAATTTAAATTAAAATGGATCTAATCAAGAAAATGTAGCATACTCAGATAGTAATAATCAAAATAATAGTGAGTAATCTATTAATTAAACTCCGAATTTCTAAACGTAAGGTTAAGGAAACAGGAAAATGTATATAATAGAATAGATTGAAAAACGCATGAGAAATAAGTTAAAAACCCCTTCTTTATTCTCTAAGTAGTCGCTAACAAAAAACAATTCACCTAAAAATAGTCAAAGCTAGGAAAATAGCTAGCGTTAAATTAAATTCCATGCTCAATTAACCATTAAGTAACCAAAACCTGTAGCGATTATACCTTCATGGCCAAATATAAATTTATAAAATGAAAAGCCAGCAGTTATAAATTAAGACGATCTCATCTCAAGCGATGCCTCTCGACTTTCTATTTCATCTCCTATAAGTCATTCTCCTTAAAGTAAAAACAAGCTCACATTTACTTAAAGACTTTTATAATTTGATTAAGAACAGAATCAGAACTCAAGTAAAATTACAAATTTATTAAAATAAAATTACTTAACTTACACTTCTCTATTATTTATTTATTAGAAAAAAATTTGTAAAACTCTCAAACCCTTAATTAATCTTCTTCAAAAAAGAGCATATTTGAATAAAGATCTAAAATTGACTAGGAATAAGTTTCGTAAACCAGTGAGAAACCAGAATAAATAAATTCTAATAGTTTCTAGAAACTATCATAACTTCGAACAAGTGGGGCATTTAAACTATCAGTTAAAAATATCTTTTAAGCAGAAGAAAAGAGAAAATAAGACGACTAGCTAAGAAAACAAAGGTTTTAATAGAGATAATCATATTTATCTCATGCTACTTAAAGTAAAACGGAAGATAACAATGTAAAAAGTATTGATGAAAGCTAAAACTAGTAACTAAGTGTTGAAAAATATGGTTCTCAAGAACTATCATCCGAAACATTAATTTTGAAAAAGTCTCCTTATATTAATAGAATAAAAAATGATCAAACAATAAAGGAAACATCTCTAGGGATAGATGAAACTAAGTTTAGTAAAATAAATTTAACATAAAATAATGAAACAGATACTCCTAATTCTCAAGCATCCTATACTAACAGACCTTCTAGGTTCAAATAATAGAAAGGTAAAGTACTTGTTAAAATGGTGATAGAATTTTATATCTTATAATTAAAAAATAATAGAAGAAGCTTTATGGAACTCAGATAAAGAAAAGTATTAGCTTATGATTACTTCCCACACAAACACTAATGGAGATAATGATTTGAGTGGAAGAAACAATTCCTTATCTAAGAATTAAACTCCTAAAAATCAAATTCAATTCTCAAACTCGAGGAAGAGTTCAATTGGCTTTATTAATTTTACAGATAGTTTAGAAAGAGGAAATCTACTTAATAATATTTCTAGTGGAAACAATAAAAGTAATTATGAAAAAGCTTTTAAACTTTAGTCTTCTCAGTAACTTATTAGCAACGAATCATAATAAATTAAACCAGAAGATTAAACTCCAAATCCTGATTTACAAAAAATAAAAGAAGCTTTTGCTTAAATATAATTAAAAAGAAATGTAAATGAAATTAAAAAAAAATATGGAAAAGTTAAATTTGAATCATTGATACGAATTGTATCAGCTTTGAAAATGTAAGTTATTTATTTTTTAAATTATTAATTTAAACTATTTTATTTGTTTTCTTTTAGTTATTCTCTTAATTAATTGTATATTTCTGAAAACTATCAAATTAAAAATTCTAAAATGAATTTTTAGAACTTTTGTTTATAAAATCAAGAAATTTAAATTTTTTTATTTTGATTTATTTAAAATTATTTTTTTATAATTCAGCTTGTTAAATATATAAGAGAGGAAAAGATTGGAAGTTAAGTGTAAAGATATTATAGAGTAATGCACTTACTTAATAAAATCTATTTGCTCTAAGTAATACAAAGATAAAAAAAATTATGATAATTGCGAATAACCTTATTCAAATACTTAATAAAATGCAAGCAAATTGAGTCTTCCTTTCAGATTCATGCTATCTTGCTTAGGGAGTACTCCTTTATGTATAAATGTTTTTCATCACTACAATAAGTTCTATAAATCATATGGCTTACTTCTTAAGTGGGAATATTCTGAAAGTTTTATTCCTTTAGAGCTCTCGCTTGTTTAAAGCTTGCCCTTTAAACATGCATCAGTTTGGCCATAATATTTTATCATTTTTGCATCTTTTCTAGTCGAACAAAAAATTATTAAAAATATTGATTCTTACCCTTTTGACATTTACATGGAGAATTAAAAATTTAGCATTAACTTCTTCAACTTAAATAACTTAAAAGAAAATAAATAATAAACACTACTTTCTTAAAAAATTACTTTTGAAGATGTAGTTTTGGTAGGATATTTGCAAGAGATGATTTAAATCTACATGAAAAATAGATTTTATTTTTCATACGAACTTACTGGTTTTCGTATTTATGAAAATATTTCACCTATAATCACTATGCAAATAGAGTAGGCTAAATCATAAATAAGGCATGTTGAGAGGTAAAATTAATTTATTTTTTAATCATTTTTAACAAATAATTTAATTCATAGACTAATATCTCAATAAATTGACTTTAATGTAGACATAAGTTATGAACCAGATTACATTTATTAAGGAATTAAAAGACTATATTAAAATTTCGATAAAAGCATGATAACCTATTCCCCATCATTTAAGAAAAATTCTAAACTTTAGTTAGCCAACTTAAATAGAGATAACTCAAGCAAATATAGCATTTCTTTAAAAAATTTAGCACTTTAAAATATTATTCAACCTTTGGCAATTAAATTACATCAAATTTTTAATGAGAAATCCCAACAAATAGATAATTTATTAGCAACATATAAATAACCTAGGCATATTATTGGCTTTCTTTAGAAAGTAGGAAATCATTTTATAATGGTTGATTTAAAAATGTGCTTACAAGAACAATTAAACTATAATAGTCTGAAGTTAGAAAAATTTGATACTTCTTAAATTTCCTTTTTAATTAAAGCTAAAAATTTATCTCTCCCTCTGATTCATGTTGATGCGAGAGAAATAGGAGCAGATGAGATTGTGTAGTTCTTTGGATCCTTAAATTTCTCAAAAGCAATAAAAATGTAAATTATTTGTTTGTTTGTTATTAAAATAGCTATTTTTTATCTAAAAATAATAAATAAAATTAAAGGTTTGTGTTAAGACAGAGATTTCCTAAAATATGGAGAAGAAAGCTTCTAGAAATATTTAAGAAATTTGTTTCTTTTTCTTCTGCCTAAAATATAGCTTTCGATAAACTTCAAGGAAGCCAAAAAAACTTCAAAAAAAACATGACTCAAAATATTATTTTTATGCCTTATCTCCCAAAGGAAGATAGATATAACTTTAAGATAGCAAGAAATATTCCGATTCTAAACCATTTAGAATAAAACGAGCAGCAAAATAATTATGAACATCTTTTTAGAAAACAATTTTCTTAAATTTATGAAACCAACTTTGTGTTAAAAAGAGATTAATATGAGGACTTGAATATTTTTTAAAATAATTTAGTCTAAACTTAAAAAATTTCTAAGATCGATTATAAAGATTAAATGGCAATTCCAATCGAATTAACCTCTTAAGAAAATACTTATTTCGAATAATCAGACTTTTCTAGTTCTATTGCATGTAAATTACTTAATTTAGTTTCACAAATTTGAAAAAAATTTATTTATTCATGAAAAATATTATATTCTTTTTTGGTTTTATTTCAAATAAATTAATAAATAAAATAGGCGAGATCATTAAAAAGTTCACAAAAATTAATTAGATATTTTTTCTTAAAAACTAATAAAATTAGAGCAATTTTCTGTTCTATCTTAAATTGATTTGGCTACCTAATAAAGATTTTTACTGCTTCAAAATTACTATTAGAGATATATTTAGACATTCAACAAAAAAAATTGAAATTTTTGATTTAAAAAGAACCTTACTTTTGGCAAATATCTTATTGTTATATTTAGAGAATAATATTCAATAAAAAGAAATTAAAAATGATGATGAAAGTAATTGTGAATTATAAATTATACACAGATATGTCAACTATCCACAATAAATCTGCAAGTTTAGAGATACAATAATAAGAAGGATCATATAAGAAAATGTGAAAACTCTAGGCAAATCACTAGAAGTACGTCAGACAATATTTAAAAATGAATAAATTGGATTGCGTATTAAAGATGATGAATCTATATTGAGGCATTTGATTGTAAGGTCTCCTCAGCTCTTAAACTTTTTTAATGTTATTTAGAGATCTTATATTTTAAAAAACAAAGATTTAGGGGGCAGATGCTCAGTTTCAGCATTTTTTTATATCAGAAAAAGTCCAGATTATAATCCTAATTAATGCATGCTTGTTTATTTAAATATTCTACCTTACAATCTTCGTATAAAATAGTTTAATGTATTCTTAGGATACTAAGATTTACAAGCTGTTGATAGGTAATAATGTCTTTAAATATTTGAAAAAAATTAATATATCACTGAAAATTATATGCAAACATTCGCTCAAAAAATAGTTTCCTAAGTGTATGTATTTCGAACATTTTTGGGAATGTAGCTATTTTTTAGATAGATTAGAGCGCCAAAGCCAGTTCGTCGTAAAACTCTTTTGTTAAATAGCCCTTACAAAAAGTTAGCAAATAGATCGAAATATTTGCTTTAAAATACATAGTCAATAGAAAATCAAGCATATGATAGTCAAAGAAGCGGTGACTCCCTAAATAGCAGGGCTGCTTCAAGACATGAAAGTGATGACCCATAAAACTTGCTATAAAAAGCGAGTCTTCATCATAATCTAGGATCATAATTAAGTACCATACATTCACCACATGCTGGAAATCTAGGAAATTACAATCATTCTTAATTTTAGAATTATCAGACACACATTAATCAATCTCAAACTCATAATAGAATGAAAGACAAACACATGAAAGGTATCAAAAATTTTGAGCAGTCATCACCTGAAAAAGATCTTTACCAAAGGAAAAAAGCAGCAGAAACGCTAACAAAAATAAAATATGTTCGAAACAAATATACTAAATACAATTTCGATCAAGGTATTGACAAAGAAATTTCAAAGCCATTTTTGGAAGAAATCATACACCAAAAAAGAATTATCTACTAAAGTGCTAAAAAATTTAATAATTAGTATTCGATTGTTACAGTAATGAGAGACCTCGTTTTTGACTCTTTTTGCATTTAAATTTACATTCCTAAAATGTCTAGAACAATTTAAGCTAAAGTTACTCTAACAAAACTGGTAGATTGCTCATGGAATTTCTTTTCTCAAGTTTTCAAAGACAAATTCTTTTTTTTCTTCGATAATAGTTGCTACTTGCATGTCTTTGAAAATTATTAAAGATTTGCTCTTCGCTGTTTATATATGGAAAAAAATTCAATATAAAATAATAACTCAACAGAAAATCTTAGCTCAAGAGCAATTAAAAGCGTTTATTCTATTTCTGAACCTTAAAATAATAAATTCTTTAAATTTAAGTTAACAGATGAAAATAACAAGGTTAAAGTTTATAAAGTATACTCAACAACTAACATGAAAGAAACTAATGAATTAGATGATGATGAGTACAAAACCTATGTAAGTCCAAACTAAAATTAGGTTAAACTTTAGAGCAATGAACCTGTATTCAATAATTTCATGAAAGATATTTTGCCATAGTCTTAGCTTTATCAGCCTAAAGTTTCTTTCATGCTTGGAATTAATTTACTCTAAAAAAAAGAAAGGATCCTGAAATTTTTAGGAAAGGCTATGAAAAATAAAGAGAGTAAAAATGAAGAGGCAGACTAAGATAGTAATAAAAAAAATAATAATGCAAACAACATAAATCTTAATTTATAGTAAACATCTGAAAAATCTAATATCCTAGATCTTAAAAAGAAGATGAAAAAAGTAACAATGAAAGAAAATTCAGATAAATATGAATAAGATGAAAAATACAATTAAGTTAAATCTACTAATTAAGATAAAAGTTAAGAATTAGATAGATAAGAAAGTACAGAATTTTATCAGAAAAATGGTATTTCTATGAGCGATTATTTAGGAATACCCTTTCTGCAAGATTTAGAAAGCTCTGATTTTGAAACATTAAGTAAAATAGCTACTAGTCCGAGACAGCTATCTATTTAGTTAAAAAAGAATTAAGATTTTATAAAAGCTTAGATGGACTAAAGAAAATCTTTGACTTTTTCTGGTTACAACAATAATTTTGAAAATGAGAGCTTTAGTTCAAAGTCTTAATTCGAAAATGAAAATCTTAAAAAACCTGCTTTAAGTAAATATTCGAAGCTCCAAAAAAGAAATACAAGGGGTTTACTAAAATAACTAATAATAAAACACAGACTCAAACTTATCTATTATAAAAACATTAAAAGAATTTTCGAATTTTTCCGTAAAGAAAATAGTCGCAAAATTGATAGAATATATTAATTTGCTGCATTGACAGAGCATATTGACACATATTATATCAATTAAATAGAAAGTGATCGCTTAAAAAAGCTATACAATTATATTGAAATCTATATATGGGAGAAACTAATTTAGCAATTTACTACTATTTAATCTTTCCCTGATAAAGATAATATGAAGCAAGATGAAGTGGAGCCGTATATAGAAAAAGGAGAAGAAGCTCAAAATAATAATAAAAATGAAAATTAAAATGTAAATGATAGCAAAAACAAGATTTTAAAAGAAGATAAAATTGATATGCAAGAGGACAACGAAAAAATCAAAGCTGACCATTAAACATATAGTGTATATTTGTGCATAGATAATACGACGAAATTGTATCTTCGTGAACTACTCCACTCAGATTATATGAAAATAGATGGTGGAGAAGAATATTAGACTACTTTATTTGTTGATTTTATTAAGGTATATATTTTTAATATTTAAAATTAATTTAAAAAATTTTTTTAATAGAAAACACAAGAAGATAATATTTCTATTGATAGTCCCAAACACATGTTGGATGTAAACTTTTTCGATTAAACTACAAAAAAACAACGAGCAGAGGATTATTATTTTGATACTCTTCCAACTATAGGCTATACTGAATCTTCCAATCATATAGTGTATATTAAGCACTAAAACTTAAATGAACAAACAGTTTAAAAAATGAGAATAAATTTGCGTGAAATTATCAATCTTTTTATTGCAGAAGGTTATTTTAAGAGTTAAACAAATTACTCCAACTCTAAGCTTTCTTATGCTGAAATGAAGCAACTTTGCCATTTTATCATATATAAGATTAAAACAAACGAATTCTTTGATATAGTCGAAATCAAGTCAACCATAAGAAACTTTTATTATCATAATCTAATTTTAGATCCTGTTCAAAAAATTTACCTAAAGTCTGTATTAGATGTAAACAGAAAAAGTATCAAGTTTTTGGTTTCTAAAATAGGCACATTTGAATAAGTTTCAAGAGTAGTTCCAACCCAATTTTTCGAAGCTTATGTGCCTTTTTTCTAAGCTCTCATAAAATAAAAATAATATAATTTAGCTTTACAAAGAGTTGCATCTTTCTATGGATCAAAGATGCTCATATTCTTCTATTACAAATGATATAAAATTAAACATAAAAATAGATAAATAAATAAATTTTAAATTATTCTTGTATATTTAATTTCATACCATTTTAATTTAATATAACTTTATAATCCTCAAATTTATTGTATAAAATAATAAATTATAAATTTGAAAAGTTAAAAATTAAAAACATAAAAAACAGAAACTTCATATTATTTGTAAAAATTTATTTAATTTGAACTATATTAAATTTAAATGTTTTTTAATAGAGTTGATAAATTAAAAACAAAAAAACAGAATTTTAATTATAATTGTACTAAATTTATTTTATTTGTAGTCTATTAAGCTTTTTGATTAATTAAGCCAAAATATTAAAAAATAGAGTTGATAGGTTAAAAATTAAAAACAAAAAAAAACAGAATTTTCATATTATTTGTACTAAATTTATTTTATTTGAAGTCTATTAAATTTTTTGATTAATAAAGCCAAAATATTTATAAATAGAGTTGATAAGTTAAAAGTTAAAAACAAAAAAAACAGAATTTTAATTAAATTTGCACTAAATTTATTTTATTTGAAGTCTATTAAACTTTTTGATTAATAAAGCCAAAATATTTATAAATAGAGAAGTAAAAACAATTTTATATAAAGTGAATAAAAGTACTTTAATAATTCTTATATATTATAAATATTTATTTAACTATCACATTCATTAATTAGTAAAATATATTTAATCAGTTAACTATCAAGCTAGTCAATTAATCAATCTATTTATCAATCCATCAAAGCATACTTTTTTATAATTTACCACTTGCACTCATATTACCCATTTCGATTAAAGGAATTTCATTTTTAGTTGTTTCTTCAAGCTAATCTTAAAGTGGTTAACCAAAAGTTTCTGTGATAAATCTACACAAAATAGCAGCACCAATTCCTATAAATCCAAAAAATGCTAACGGATTTAAGTTATAACTCTATACAAATACAACTATTAGAGGGACAAATATGGTGACTATTTATTTAAATATTTAATCATTTTTTAAATTTTAAATTAATTATATTTTTTAAAATTTACTAATTTTGCCACTTGCTATACAAATTCCATAACCCAAACTTCTAACCACAGTTGGATATCTTTCACTAGTATAAGTCATCAATATGCCACCAAAAACGGATATGCCAAACCTTATACCCTAAATAAAAGTTAGTTATCTTTATAATATCAAATTAATGTTTACCATTGCTGAAAATACAATTAGACCTTTCTAAATGCAGGCTTGCTAATCAAGATAACAATTTTCTGGTATGTTTAAGAATATTAAAGAAATGCAACATAGAGCAGTTATAAGAGAAAACCAGAATAAAGATGGCTTTCTTTTCATTTTTAACTTAATTGGAGCTTATTTTAAATAAAATAAAAATTATTTATTTAATGTAAAAATGAAAAATTAAGTAATTTTACCACTCATGAGAATTGCAACAGTTTCACTAATAGCAGTTAAAGTAAGATTTGAATGCATTTCTGCTCCTAGACTGCTAAGTGAAAGAGATTACCCATAATAAATCATATATCTGAAACTCCAAAAAATGACTAGGTACAAGGTAGTTATTCTAATAGAAGAATATCTAAACAAATCTAAGTACCCGTAGTTATTTTATTGCTAATAGTTATAATATGAAGAGTATTTCTCTTCTGGAGTCTGATAAGCACTAGTGTAATAATTTTCTTCTTCTACTTCTCCTTCAAGTTTATACTAAAATTAAGGTTTTTTATTTCTATGGCATATAATATTTAAAACAGCTCTGGCATCTGCAAATCTACTTTTGGATACTAAGTATCTAGGAGTTTCTAATAGATATCCTCTAGCAATCCAAAATAATATTAAAAAGGGTATTCCCATCAAAAAGATGCATTAATATCTCCAAGAACTTATATAATAAGTGATAAATCCATAAAGAATTTAAGCTATTGACCAAGCACAACCTAGAGATATCGTTGAGTAGTTTCTAAACTTTTCAGCTTTTATTTAAATTAATAACATTTGTTATAAATTCTTGAAAGAAACTTAAAAAATAAAGTATTTTACTAATAAAAAACACAAATAAAGGAATTAAATGATATTTTATATCAAATTTTCAATTTATAATTTTATTTTTATGGTAATTTTTAGAATAAAGTTTACCTGATATTTCAGAGACATAGACTAAACTTATTGTCTCAAAACCATTTAACCCTACTCCGCAGAAAAAAAACATGATCATAAATTAAACTATGTTATGAGAGAAACCACATATTATGATTGAAACGCCTGACAGCAAAATACTTAAGCATAAAGCAAACTTTCTACCTTTTTTATTGCTTAGAGGGGGGAAAATAAAGCCAGAAATGGCATTACCTTTTTATATAAAAAGATGTTAACAATAAATTTAGACATATAAATGTTTGAAATTATTATAGGGAGTATTTAAATAAGGATTACCAGCAAAGAAAATTGATCCACATACACCAATCAAATATTATCTATCACAATATAATTCAAAATCTAAAGTTACAGAATCACTACTTTACGACATATCTATTTCTTTATAGTGAGCCTTACATGCTTACTAAAAACTACATTCTTTTAAATCGGTATCAGTTTCTGTGAATTTGCATTTAAATACTGGCTCTTAAAACAAAAAGGGCTAACCCATAATCATAAAAGAGAAAAGCATCCATGTTATTGAAAGTATATTTATAACACCTTTTTAAAACCTTGAGTTGTCTCCAACATATTCTAATGCCTATGAGTTTTTTGTTTAAAAAAATGTCTATTAGTATTTCTTTACTAAATTTCTTTATTTATTTTAAGACTGATAATGCTCAGAATATTATAATTTTAAAAAGATTTTACCTTATCTATTGAAAAATAAGTATTGCTAACTATCAAGCTATTTGAATTCATAATTTTAAGACTATATATATTGTTTCTAATAAAATAATTTTCAACAGCTTATATGATATAAAAAATTTTTGTCTTCTAATTTTTAAGTGCTTTCTTTAAAAAAAACAGATTACTTACTTTTAATTGGTAAATAAATATCTTTTGAAATTAATTAAAAATTTATGCCTGTTTTTTTTCTATTTTAACAAAAATAAATCAAAAATTATTAACAGATAAAATTTTAATATCATTGTATGAAAATTAATTAATACTGAATTTAATAAAAATTTGAGTAGAAATTATTTCAAGATGATAAATACTTACAAAAAATTATTTGTTTTCTTTTTTTGTTTAAAGAATTTTCTATTTTAATTTAAAATTTTTACAATAGAAAAATATAAATAGAAAATAAATTTAATTAATTAAAAATCAAGCAAATAAAAAGTGGAGAAATGGAATGTTTTGAAAAATAAAAAAAATAACAAATATAAATAAAAAATTTTTTATTTATTCTATAAAGCCGAGTGGCGCAATGGTAGCGCAGCAGACTTCTAATCTGAAGGTTGTGGGTTCGAGTCCCACCTTGGTTGCCATTTTTTTACTTTTTAATTAAATTTAAAAAATATAGGAATATAGTATAAGTAATTGTTATTTTACAATAAAAATACATATAATTTATACAAAAAAGCTTAGTTAATAAGGTAGCTAATGAACTAATTAGTAATATATTTTTTATTCAATCTGAATGCAAATGTTAATTAAATCTATTGTTTTATGATATATTGTTAATTCTTATTTCTTCTTCTTGATTAAATGCAAATTAATTCTAATCATTCTTTCCTTTTAATTTTTTAAGCAAGAGAAATAGCACAATAATGGTGATGAGGAAAGATACAACACTTTAAAAAATATTTAGCAAGTAATACAAAGGGGAAGAGTTGAGTTCTTAAACTGATTAACTATTAACACATTAATTATCCACAAAAAATTAGATGTAAGATTTAGAAATATTAAAAATAATAAAAATGTTTTAGAGGAATTAATTGCCTATTTCAGCATCAACTGAACTCTCACTATCCTTGATTTCTTTATAAGTAGTACACACATCAAATTATTAATTGCTTTGTATTCCCTTTATTAATTTAATTGATAATTTTAGCTTAAACAAGTAAGTCTAGTTATTTTTTTATTTTAATTTTAATTTTACCTACTGAATCTGTAATAAGCTTAAGCTTTGGGCGTCTGCACAGATAAAAATAGGGCTAGATGAAAATATCAAGGGCTTACCTTTGCTATCTTAAGAGATAACCTATAATTAAGGTAATGATTTGATCCAAAACAAAATGTCATCATAATTTAATTTTATTTTATCTATATTCTTAAAATGATTATTTGTAAATAATCCAAAAATAAATAAATGAGAAAAATAGGTGGGGGACTAAAATTAAAAAAGGAAAGTACACAAAAAAATAAAAAATAAGCTATGCAAATTACAAAAAGCAAAAGTTCCTTTAAAATTTGAGGTAGGTTAGGTTATATTTCTATATATTGTTATGATATCTTTAGTGCTTATTTTATGAGCAGATAAGGCTACTAGTACGATATTCTTGCATTAAAGGAAAAATCAATTTGCTTCTATTACACTTACACAGCTATTAAAGGTGTCATATAGTCATATATATTTTGTAGATAAACTTTCTAGTATTACCAACTACTTGAGATATCTAAATCACCAATTTAAAATACTCCTTTACCTGAGCTTACACATATCCCTATAAAATATCATAATTAAGCAAAATTTAATTTAAAAAAGATAGTTATTCAATTAATTAAAGATATAATTAACATGATTAAGGAGAATTAATATTTTGTCATTTTTTTTCTTCAAAAAATAATTTTTAGAATTAAAAAAACAATCAAATAACCACTATCTTTAAAATATATTTTAATTTTTTAAATTTTCTCTACTTATTCTTTTAATTAATATTTGGTAATTTATTAAATGGAGATAAAATAAGATATTTATTTGATAAACGATTTTAAATACCAAAGGAGACAGTAGTTATAACTCCATTTGTGAACAACTGATAAAGTAAGTTATGGCCGTATGAGGAGTCTCTATCAGGGTTGGCTAAGCCAAATATTCCATTATTAGAATTGTTATAGTTAGTAGATAAAATTGAGTTTTATATTGTTATTTGCTATGAATCAATGTAAAACTAAGTTTTGCCTAAAACTCCTAATATATTTTGTTAAGTCCATTCAATTTAAATATATTATGTAGAATTACTATTATCAATCACTAAATTAGGCAATTAAACATAGCAAAACTAAGAATTATCTGTATTGTTAGAAGATATTTGTGATAAATTTTGTTATTAAGTGTCCGTGCTTTTGATCATTAAGTTGCAATTGCTATTTGATGATTGATAAGCAATCTAATTTAAGAAAACTTGACTCTATTACAATTACTGAACCTAATAAGGACTCATTACAAGATAAGAGTGATAGAGAGAAATAGTCATGTTTAGAGATATTTGAGAGTAAAAGATTATTTATATCATATATTCTGACTATCTAAAATAGATAGGAAACCCTTCTTTTGAAGTAATACTCATTTAATGTGAGTTTTTAATCATGCATATTAAAAGAAGTAGAAAAATTAACGAAGTGATCTACTTTAGAGTTCTACATCTTAAAATATCTCCAGTTAGATAAAATAAAGTTATTTACATGAATAAAAAAAGTATTTAAAGAAGAGCTAATAATTAGATGGAGGATTTTAGAAATGTAATATTGGTTTATGCAGTTTTTTTAAATTAATAGATTGTTTACTATGATTTAGTTATTAAAGTTTAAATTAATAGAAATTAAAGAAGTTGAACAAGCAACTAATTTATGTTTAAAGTCTATTTGTATTATTTTATTTTTTTTTCGATATAGATAGATATGTGTGTATTTTGATAGATAGATACTTCTATTTTTCAGATTTAAGAAAATATTAATTCAATAAATTCTTTTTAATATTCAAAACAGAATTAAAAATTTTATTTTTTCTTTCAAACGCAATCCAAGACAACTTTTATGATAAGATGATAAATATAAGCTAATATTCAAGCGACATATTAGATAATATTACCTATCTTATTGTTAATATATGCTTTTAAATACACAAAAAGTGATGTAATTGCATAAGATATTTATTTCTTTGTATTTTATAACTAATTTCATTTATTTGGCATAATCATTCTTACATATGTTTTGAAATATTTCATCAACTTTATTTTTAACACATCTCATTTTTTCAAATTTTCAACATTTTTTGATCTAAATTAAATTTTTATTGCTAAAATAAAAGATTCTTAGATAAATTCGTAATAGGAGAAAATTATTTCTAATATTGATTAACTCAAATATTTTGATAGCTTATATGATGCTATATGCTAAATTTTATAAGTAAAAGCTTGAATTTTCCTTTGAGTAGACCCCTAATTTTTGAAGAGTTTTACTTGATTTTTTTTCAGACTCAACACTTTGAAAATATTTATTTGAGATAGTTTTTCTATTAAACATACTTTCAAAAAAAGATATTCATTAAATGTCTTAAATATATAAAAATTCTAAAAAATGAATTGATCATGCAAGTGAGTAGTCAGATAGATATTTCAAATGAGGTAATTTAATTATGTAATATCTTATTTCTATTTACAATTCAAAATTGCTTAATAAATCTTTTATAGATTTTTAGGTTACTCGCTTATGATTATCAAATGATAGAATTTTTATAGAGATAAAATAAAATAGAAAGAAAGGATACACGATTTAACAATTTGAAGAATACCGTTTAGTAAATAAATCTACTTGCTCAACAAATTTTATCACCTACAATAGAATTATTCATCCATTACCTTTTGATGATAATCATCAGTAGTTAAGTAAGTTGGATAAGTTCTAATTTATTTTTAAATCGAAAGGTAGAATCTACTTAAGCGCACAATTTATGCTATTATTGAAATAAAATAAAAATATTACGAGTCTAAGTTACAAATACTTTTATAATATATTTACTATTTAATGTTATCGTATATCTAAGTAAATAATATTTTATTTTCAAACACTGAAAAATAAAATTTGTTGTGCTAATCACAATAAATTTACCCTTAAAATTTGTTCGGAGTATTTAAAAAGTTAAGCCAGACGAAATAATTTAAAGGTAAATTTATATGAAATGCATTCAACAATTTTAAAACTATTTAGAATTAATGAAATTTAGTTCCAACTTGATGTGCTAATATAAATATTTATAAATTTCTTTTGGATATAATAAATAAGATAAACCACTTCTTGCGGCTAAAAAATTTAGTAAAAGAAATTATTAAAAAAAAAATATTTAAAAGAAAAATATTAAAAAAATCATATCAATAATAACAAAATTTATATTCAAATGGGTAACGTTTTAGCATGTCAAGACAAGAGGGATATTGAAACCCAAGAAAAACAACCTAATGGCAACTCAAATAAATTAGCTAACACCAATTACAGCAAGTCTAATATGATTGCTGATAAAAACGACAATTAAGAATCTAAGACTGAAAATCCTGAAGAATGCTCCAAGGATTAAGTTTGCGAAGAAACCATAGAATCTAAGCATGCCCATCACACTGAACGTGTTGAAGGAGAAAAAAAATAACAAATTGGAGATATGGACTTAGAAAAAGAACTTGCTGCTGCTGCTGAAGAAGAAGAAAACCAAGAACAAAGCAAGCCTGTTGAGACTCAAAAAGAAGAAAACCACATTGAATAATAAGCTGAACCCATTGCTGAAAAAACTGAAGAAGTTGTTGTTGAACAAAAGCCTGAAGAAAAGGTTGTTGAAAATGCAGAAGAATAAGTTGCTGAATAAAAGCCCGAAGAAGTTGTAGCCCAAAATACTGTCGAATAAGCTGTTGAACAAAAATAAGAAAATAAGGAAAACACAGCTGAATAAAAGATTGAAGAGCCTGTTGCTGAATAAAAGGTTGAAGAACCTGTTGTTGAATAAAAGGTTGAAGAACCTGTTGCTGAATAAAAGATTGAAGAACCTGTTGCTGAGTAAAAGGTTGAAGAAGCAGTTGCTGAATAAAAGATTGAAGAACCTGTTACTGAATAAAAGGTTGAAGAACCTGTTACTGAATAAAAGGTTGAAGAGCCTGTCGCTGAATTAAAGGTTGAAGAACCCGTTGCTGAATAAAAGGTTGAAGAATCTGTTGCTGAATAAAAGGTTGAAGAAGTTGTTGCTGAATAAAAGATTGAAGAGCCTGTTGCTGAATAAAAGGTTGAAGAAGTTGCTGCTGTTGTTGAAGAAAAGGCAGAAGAAACTGTCGCTGAACAAAAGAATGAAGAAGCTGCTACTGAATAAAGTGAAGAAAAGGTAGAAGAAAAAGTAGAAAATCAAGTTGAAAATGCTTGAAAGTATAAGTATTTTTGTTTAAAAAAAGTATAAAAATAAAAAAAGATATTATATTTTAATAAATTAATTATCAAACAAACATTTAGATTATATATATTTCATATTAAATAACTAAATTTAATTCTTAAAATTTAAAATTTCACTATTACAATCATTTATTCATTATCTATTCAAATCTCCAATTTTCTATCTATCTAAAAATCTATGTTTCAACCAGTCTTATTTTTGTTAATATTTTATAGGGTCATTAATACATTTTTGGTGTTTTTAATTATTAATAATCCCATAAACTTTGTATATTTGATATTTTGAAAAAAAAAAAAGATTTCAGAATAGCAGTTAAAAATAAATTAATAGATTAAAAATTTAATAAATAATTTTTCAAAATAAACAATAGCAAAACAAAACAAATATTTCAAAAAAATAGAAATGTTAAAATTTCTATCTAAAATAAAAACCATTTTTAAAAGATAAATTAAGAACATATGTATCATCAACCTTTCCTATTTTTTAAGGTTTATCTTGGACATCACGCACGAAAGGAAGGAAATTAGTCTAATCTTAAACTCCTTTTGAATTATTAAATTACAAAATTAGTTTTTAAGCCACAAAAAAAAATAATAATTATTGAATTTAAATTTGATCTGCAAATATGTTTCAATATAATCTGTTTAAGATCTGTAATTTATTCATTTTATTATCCAGTCAATAAATTTTTATAAGAAGCAAATAACTTCAAAAGGACTTTCAACAGGATTATTCCAAGCAAGTTTTTATAAAAAATCACTTAGGCTTAAACATAAAGATTAGATTTAGATGATACTTATCTTAAAGTTATACTTTTAATATTTGGATTTAAAAATATGATTGATGAGTATAAATTTCTTTACTGCAAGGAAATCAATAAAAAAAACTAAACTATTCTATTTATTTACTACTAGCATTTATAACTGACAAACATATCAATAAATTGGATTTTTTTATAATTTTTTTTTAATCTAACTGAATAAAAATTCATAAAATCTAAAGAATTAGGAAATTAATAAATTAAAAATAAAAAATATTAATAAATAAATTAAATAAAATTAACAAAAATTATATTTTAAAAAAGAAAAGTTAAAATAATTATTAAATAACTTAAAAAAATAAACAATATTTTCATATAAAACTAAAAATATACTATCAACTATTATTTTTAATGTAAATTTTACTACTTTAATAGATAAAATACTTATTATTAGTTTATTTAATTATGACAAAGATTTAAATTTATTTATAGAGTTACTTGAAATAAATAGTAAATAAAAATAAAATGTTAAAACTTATCAGTTTGAAATTATCAATAATATTCCTTAAAAGATATTGTACTTAATAATTATTAAATACTGCAATTTCTCATATATTAAGAATAAACAAGGTAAGACTAAGTTATGAAACTTTTAAAAAAACTCAATTAAATTATTTTTATTTATTTATCTGTGATAATTTTGATATAGAAAATAATATGGTATATATATATAAATAACTTTGATTGATGATAATATCTCAAATTGAACCAATATATAAAAGATAATAATAAGGCAAATTAAAAGTTTTAATTAATATATTGAAATATCAACACTTTACAACAAACACAAAAAATTATTTTTAAAAATATAAATTAATAAAAATCAGAAAAATAATAATATTGTTAATTAAGTAAGTAACTAAGCGAAATTATTGATAAAAAATAAAAAAATTTTATTAGATTAATTGTAAAAAGAAAAATTAGAATATTATTGCATTTTAATGTATCTTACTTAATTCTACTTCTAGAATCTTAAATTAAAATGAAATTAACTGTGAATTCAAATTTATTTTGTAATGAATAGATGTGATAAAGTTATAAATGAATATATTTTAAATCTATTTTTGAAATTAACAACTAACTTGATTCTTTAATGCAAGAATATATTTATTTTACCATATTTATTTTCATAGAAACTAAAATATTATTTTAATTTGAGAAATGTACAAATAATTTAAAGTTTTTTCTATAAATATGTCTTATAATCTATAAAAAAATTATTTAAATGATGCTATGTAATAGTAAGTAATACATTATTATAAATTAATAACTTTTTAAATCTTTTTCTTGTTAATTGTAAACTTTTCTAAAATACAAACGATTTCTTTAAAATTTTAATTCATTCAATTTCTTTCATTTCTTAAATTAAATACTTATTATAAAAAAATTTGAATTTATTTGTTTGTTTAATAATTCATAATCTTTATGTCTAACTAATTTAACTTAATTAGAGTTTTAGATATTGACAAAAAATTACTATTATATACTATTTATCTTCAGAATATTTTCCCCTTTCTTCATTAACTCACTCTTTATTTAATCAAATTTTGTAATTTTAATTTCTCCCTCCTCTCCTATATATTTTTAAGAATAGGAAAGAAAGCAATATTAAGGTAAATATAATATAAAAATTGTTATATAAAAATCGCATACAAAAGATTTTCTAATCTATTTGAAAAAAAATTGTTATTTTATTAGTAATCAATTATATTTACTAAGAAGGTAAACTTAAATAATAATAAATTAATATACAACTATACAATAAGTATTTCTCTTTTGATCTATCAAATTAAAAAAAGAATCTTCTTTCTTCAATGGAACCTGAATTTTAATTAGTAAATCTAGATATCCCTGATTACTTTAATCCATAAAGCCTGTAAGATGGTAATACCTAACAAAATTTTAATTAGGCTTATAATCATAATCAATTTAGCTCTTTACTTAACTAAGAAAATCCATATTATTATGATGAATATTAAACTGATGGACCTCTTGTTTATTCTTATTCCCTTATTAATAATAATCCCCATCACCATTTCAGCACTGTTTTCTAAATGAATACTCTTTAGAGCACTTGTGAAAGTAACACTAATTAATAACATAGTTATTAAAGTGGTGAGTCATCAGCATTATAAAAATACAATTAATCGCATGATTAATTTTATGGTTAATCTTGTGACTAGCCACATGCTTTTTAAGAACATAACTAATCATAGGTAAGTTAACAATAATAATCTCAACAAAAAAATGTATCTAAGAAACCAAAAAGAGATTATAAAAAAATTTCATCATTGTTAGATGCAAAAATTTAAATTTATTTAAGTAAGAAAATTGCAGATGCTAATGATGAAAACTATCTCACAATAAAAAATTGGTATGACTCAAGGAAAAATGTTACAAATAAGCTTTATCAGAGCATATACTAAAATTAATCAGGATTAAGCATAATTTGCTTTCCTGATCACACTTTCGAATCAATATCTAGCAACGAAGATGCTTAAATGATTTTTTGTCACTTCCTATAAAAAACACAAGCTAAAAAACCTTCTATTTTTAATTAGTATATCAAAAATACTTCTTAGGAATAACTTGATCTTAATATTAATTGCTTTAACAAAATTTGTGGCTTTAATAAAAGAATGGTTCTTGAGTTGAGGGATGAAAAACAAGAAATGGAAGATTAAATATCATATTTCATTGATAATATTTATTAAAAAGTTTATAAGAAATAAAAAAAATCAAAAATTTGATTTATTTAAAATTACTTCAATAATTTTTTGTGTATTCTTATATTTAGTTTCTTCGAATAGTATTATTGAATTTAGTTAGCTTCTTTTATTTCACTCACTAATTCACTAATTCACAATTAAAATAAGTAAAAAAACTTTTAATAATCTTAAAATTTGATTTTTATTATTTTTATCAAAATTATTTTTATTAACATCACAATAAAGCTTTTTATACATTAAATCAACAAAATTTAATAAATTTTTGTTAGATTTATCAATTTATTAATATTTCTATTATAGAGTAGATTAAATATTTAATAAGTTGCAAATTTTATTATGACCTGATAAATTAAAGCAATGAATTTTATTTAGTGAATACATGGTGATTATAAATTTTATAAAAATTATTTTTTTAACTTAAATTTTTTTAAATTTTTTGCATTAGTTGAATAATATATTTTGGAGATTTTCTGTTCTCTTGAGATTATTGAAAAGGATTTAAGGTAAATATATTTAAATAGTCCTAAAAGAAAGAAATTTTTATTAGAAATATTCATTTTTTAAAATAATTTAAGAAATAAAAAATAAAATTAATTTATTGGAGATTAAAAACTAAAATATATTTTTACAATAACTTAATAATCTTTTAAAATTTAATTTATGTAAAGAAACCTAAATTTATTTTTTAAATTACTCTTTCCAGCCAGGAATAGCTTTTTTCGATTCAAAAATGAATTAAATAAATTTAAAAGAAGGCTATTGAATGTTAAATGAAAACAATTTTATTTTATATTTTTGTAGTTTTTCTTCTATTTTTTACAAAAAAAATCATAATAAATAATTAATCAATGCCTTTTTTTATAAGAAATTGTATTTAATTTAATTTGCAATTTATAAAATACTTGAAATGGGGTTGGGGTTGGGGTTGGGGTTGGGGTTG